GATGGCTACGGTACCTAACCCGGTAATTGGGCAACCAGGTGATACCAATGGATGAATGTTGTACATATGTAGGCACCAGCCGTACGTCGCTTGAGTTTATTTATGACTCTATTATCTCACCTCATCGTTGCTATGAGAGAGGGAGAGGTGGACGATGGCCCTGGTTTTCTCAGCAGTGTAACTAGGTACACTTACCTTTCTGAGTGTCCCGATCCGCCATGCCGCATCCTGAGACACTACGTGTGATAGAACACAAAAGAACCATCATCGGAAACTTTCTTATGGATCCATTCTGTGTATTACTAGTCAAGGTTGGTGAGCGGGCATCAAAGGCTGCTTTGAAATCCGGATTTATGGACTCTAACCCCTTCTAACCCCATAGTCTCACTGTAACCTCACAAACGACCTTAATCTCAGATGATCTTACCAAGTTCACCACTCTAACTCTACACAATCTCAGAATTTCTATTCTCACAACCATGGCGGCAGCCATTGCCAAAACCATCGTAGCCACAGGGGCTTCATCCGGACTGGTACGTCATCATCATTCATGATCCGAGCCACATCCCCAGCCCTGTTCACTTCATCCGAACTGAAGTCATAAAAACATAACACGATCACCACTAACAAACACGAATACCCAGGGCTTTGAACTAGTCAAGCAGCTCCTGGCGCAGCCGACACAGGCCTACCGGTTCATCCTGGGTGCGCGGGACGTCGGCCGGACACAGGCGGCCTACGACGCGCTCCGGTACGACGCGGGGCGGCACAGCCTCACGGTTCTGCCGCTTGAGCTGTCCGACCTGGGAGGCAGCGTCAGGGCCTTTGCCCAGCAGACGCTGCAGCGCCTGGGGCCGGACGGCAAGGTCGACTACCTGTTGCTCAATGCCGCCATTGCCAACGGGGCGGAGAAACAGGGTCCAAAAGGGTCCCGCTGGTGTGAGGCTTATGTGGTTAATCATCTTTGTTAGTGACTTCCCGGGGGGGTTACCTAGATTGAGATCGAGATTGTTGCCGTTTGGTGTGCTGACATGGGGGGTTGGGTGGTTGTTTTAGCGCAGCATTACCTTGTCCATTTGCTCCGTGAGAAGTTGGTTGCTTCCAAGGCGAGGATTGTGTTTGTATCATCAGGGGCGGTTCGGAGGGTGCAGGACACAGGTCTGTCTGCTGGTTTTTCCATTGTGGGATCAGTGACTGTTGGATAGCTACTGACAGCGAGCAGCCAGTCTGGAGAATGACCTCAAAGGCGGCTCTGGCATTCCCGGCCAGACGACGTACAGCCAGACCAAGTTTGTCCAGCTGCTAGGAGCGCACTGGTGGCGACGCCAGTTGAGAGGACAGTGCACTGTCGTGGCCGTCTCGCCGGGTCTCATTCCCGACACGGGACTCGGCCGGGGTTCGGGCATGAAGCTGAGTATGGACATGCCAGACGCTAAGACCGTCCCTGAAGGTGAGATAGTTTCTGTCACCTGTGTGTATTCTGTGTTAAGCGTCATGAAACTGAATCTCAGCAGGAGCGGCAAGCATCCTCCGCGCCTTCACCAGGGACGATTTCCCAGAGGATCCCGACCAGATCTTTCTCACCAGCTGGGGTGAGTGGTGGAGCAAGGATGTCTACGGGCTGACGTTGGATAAGGCGCTTCAGGATAAATGGTGCTTGAGCAAGGAGGAGATTGAGAAGGAGGAGGGCTTGACTTCATAAGAACTCAGGGCTGTGGCAGATTTTTGTAATCTTCAAGGGAAAGCAGGCTGCCAGTGCCAGGGGTGCTTGTGGGGCTGATCCCAGCCTCGCTGTCGGAAGCTGGGTGCCAAGACTATGCCGACCGGGGATGCGTTCCGTCCGGTAATCTTAAATTCCGGGGGCAGGTGAACGAAAGACAGACGGCATCTTGTCCATCTCTGTCCTGCTCCTTGGTTCTATCCGATCGTTTATCCTCAGAGCTCATGTTGTTAATATCTGCAAGACAGCCGAGGAGGTCCGTTACTGCTCGCCGTACAGCATGGAACGAACGGGCCTCTTCGTCGTCACACATTACCCGAAGGACAGCGAGGTGTCCGGGCGCCGCCTGACCCACCGGTCCGATGTGCAGCTAGCCAGCATCTTCGTCCCGCAAGACCCGAATCTGCCGCCCGAGGCCCACTTTCCGCTGCAGACGGTCTTCAGCCCGGGCCGCCCGCCGTATCCGCGCTTCGTCAACCGCTTCGACAGCCGCGAGATGCTGCTCGTGGTAGACGGCTCGTGCGTCAACAACGGCCGCCACGCCAACAAGCTCCAGGACCCCGTGGCCGGCTGCTCCTTCGCCTTCAAGGGCACGCCGGGCATTATGCCCCTCGACGACGGCCTTGGTACTACCAATACTACTAGCAACACCACCCCAACAACCTTCCCGTTCCTCGCCGGCACTGGCACGGGAACACGGGAACCACGGCAACAGAAGGAGCCCAGCAGCAGGAAGTATCAGGTAGCATCGCGTTCCGCCTAGAGCGCGAAGGACCGCTCGGCAACCCGGTGGAGCACACGTCGAACCGGGCCAAGCTGCGGGCGGTGATCGCGGCGCTGCAGTTCCGGGCGTGGGGCGGGGAAGGGTGGCGGCGGGTCGTGGTGCTGACGGACCTGGAGTATGTCGTGCTGGGCGCCACGACGTGGCTGTCGCGGTGGGTGCGCAGGCGGTGGCGCAAGAAGCGCGGCGGGGGCCCTTACCTCAACCGCGACCTCTGGGAGGAGCTGCACCATTGCATCGTCGAGCTCCGGGACCAGGGCTGTCATGTGTCGTTTTGGCTGGTCACGGGCGACCGCGCGTCAAGGATTATTGCTCATGCGAAAGCTGCCGCGCAGAGGGCCGCCCGGTCGCATCCCGAGGCGCAGGCTGATAAGTTTACCATGATGTGTGGTGTTATGCTTTGAGTGATGGGGATTGTCTGGGAGATGGGTAAGGCGAATCAATTGACTTGGTAGATACCTATGTAGTCAGTTCGGTCTCATACGGTGAGGTCGAGGGGGTTCGCTGACGGTGAATAGCGAGCTCCGTCTTGGAAGGTTCCACCACCTCCAGTCAGAGTTGGCTTTGCCAGGGTAGAAAGAGCAGTGTGTGTGAATTGTACTGTACAGTATGTAAGATAGCTAGTATGTTAATAACTAATGTCTCTTCCAAGGTGCATAAGCCCTCGCCATTCTGATTTGGACAGACAGCTGAAGAGGCAGAAGAATACGGGGCGAATTCCGGAGGAACGGGGACTGATGCGGGACGGCACGGCAGATGGTGGGGCGGCGGTTTCCATCGGACATGCCCCTCCTTTCCGAATCATCTTAATGCCCACCTTGAACCTTGAAGTCAAGCACGCAGACCATATTCAAATCACCTTCGAAGCACAAAACAGATTCCACGCTGTCCATTCACGATGGCGGCTTCATGGGTGCCAGATGTTGACCCTTCTAGCGATTTCTCGCTGGCCAACATCCCCTTCGGCATCATTACTACGCAGGATGACCCGGCACCGCACGCGGCCGTGGCCATTGGTTCTCACGTGCTGGATCTCAAGGTCCTGGCTGCAAATTCAGACCTGACGAAGCTCTTCCCTGGGATCGATGGCCTCGCGGAGATTTTCTCGCAGTCATCGCTGAATGCCTTTGCACAGCTCGGGCGAGCAGTCCATCGTCAGGTGCGCGGTGCTATCCAGGACCTACTCTCCACAGACACCCAGCATCCCGAGGTTCTGCGAGACAACGCCGAGCTAAGAAAGAAGGCCCTGTTGCCCCAACGGGCCGTCAAGATGCACCTACCCATGGAAATCGGCGATTACACGGACTTCTACGCCGGGTTCCACCACGCCCGCAGAGTGGGCGGCATGTTCCGCGGGATGGACAACGCCCTGCAGCCCAACTACCTGCACCTGCCCGTCGGGTACCACGGGCGCGCCTCGAGTGTCGTCGTGTCGGGCACGCCCGTGCGGCGGCCCGTGGGGCAGATCCTGCTGGACAAGGACCCGGTCCCGGTCACGGCGCCGTCGCGCAAGCTGGACTTTGAGCTCGAGCTGGGCTGCTTCATTGCGCGGCCAAACGACATGGGCAGCGCCATCCCCGTCGACGAGGCCGACGAGGGACACATCTTTGGCTACGTCCTGCTCAACGACTGGAGCGCGCGCGACGTGCAGGCCTGGGAGTACGTGCCCCTGGGCCCCTTCAACGGCAAGAACTTCGCCACCACCATCAGCCCCTGGGTGGTGCTCGCCGACGCGCTAGAGCCGTTCAGAGCGAGGCCCCTCGAGAATCAGACGCAGTTGCAGCAGTATTTGGGGGAGATTCAGCCGCCGTTGCAGCAGTACTTGAGGGAGAAGAGGCGAGATGGCGTCTTCGACATCCAGCTCGAGGTCGAGTTGACGAGTAAGCCTGGCCTGATTTCCTGGCTAACGTTAGGTATTTGGTTTCTTGCTTGACCGATGGCTAACGGTCAGGGTTTTTGGTCCAGCGGCGGAAGGCGATACGACGACGATTTCCCGCACCAGCTCCACGAACTTGATCTGGTCCTTTCCTCAGATGATTGCGCACCACACCCTGGGCGGGTGCCCGTTGAGAACGGGCGATCTGTTGGGTTCCGGAACTATTAGCGGTCAGGGTAGACTGGAGAGTGGTAGCCTGCTGGAGATGTCTGAAAATGGCTGGCGTGTGGTTGAGCTGAAGGGGATGGACGCCCGAACGTTCCTCAAAGACGGTGATACAGTCACGCTGCGTGGGTTTTGTGGTGTGGATGGGGGCAGGGTCGGATTTGGTGCATGCGAAGGGAGGGTTTATGAAGCGTTGCAAAAGGTGACAGACTGACAGCAGTCAGCACTAGCGCTGGATGTAAGGGTAATTACAGCTGTCCCTGTATAATTCTTACATCATTAACAGTAATTACCGTAATTGCTTCATTACGCGCCCAAATCTGTAGATCCACAGCGTCATTTTCATCAGTAACATCAACGGTATTGGTATTGATGTACGAAGTACAAGTACCTCAGTTTGGTGCCAACATTCTCGATCCCATGAGGCAAGAGGACTCAATGTTCCTTGCACGGACCGAGGGAAAAAAATCATGGTTAACGTTTGGGCGGATTTGGCCCGTTGTCTGCTTGGTAGGAAGGAGCTCTGCAGTCCGCACAGATATTCGTACTCATCACGTGGCTCTCCCCACCGACCGAAGGGCTGAGGTGAGCTTCTGTTCCCCAGCCTGTGGCAGGAACAGTACTGCATTTGAGAGTCCATCTCATTACCTGAACCTGAGTTGAACACACCACTGCAGGGTGAGCACCCCTGTGGCCATGGATCAGCTCGAAACACAGGTCAGTGATTTGCGCTCGTTTCTGAGCCAAGATCCGCTTGCTCCGACGCTTTCGCCGCAAGAAGCTGCGTTTTCTCCTGCTGGTCCACTCCGTTCCAACAGCCACCATTCGTCGTTTTCCGCCCGCGGAGACAATTCCGCACCACAACCCTTATCGCCCCGCGAATCCCGGTCGAGCGCGACTCCCACAACAGCAACAGCAGCAGCTAAAAGGAGGGCAGACGACGCTGATGCCGAAAGCGCTGCAAAGCAGCAGCGGAGCAAGCGAAACAGAGTAGGTTTTTGTCTGTCTGTGACCGTGGTGCATCAACTGTACCGTTCAAGTCCATAGTCGCTTACATTGGTCGCTTAATCCTCATAGTACATCTCACTTGCATGGTAAGGGTCAGCTTGAGACTTGACTTCCGCTTGCACGACCGCACTCTTCTTTTCCCAGGGACGTTCGTATCTAACTATGCCTCACCCTACGCCTACAGCAACGAGTGCAAGCGTCGAAAGATTAAATGCAACGGCCAGACCCCATGTCAGCGTTGTGGCCATCTCAATCTAGAATGCCTTTACGCGCCCAATTGCTGTCCCAATTTTAAGGACTCGGACGAGTTCAAGCAGTTATCGGACCACGTTACCCACCTACAGCACCAGGTCAACACGCTCTTTGACAGCCTGAATCTGCTGCGCCGAGACACCCTCCGGCTGGCTCCGCTCTCCGACCACGTCCTCTCGCAGTCCTCGGCTACCGTGCCACTACCAGCATCATCCCGCCATGCCCCAATCAAAGACCCCGTCCCCTTTCGGGTTCCCCAGTCGTACCACGGGCCGACTAGCATCGGCTTCACCGTCGATGTGGCCAAGAACACTCTGCACAAGATGGGCTATTCAGCCGGGTGCGATGGTAACGAGGACGGCTATCCCCAGCCTGATTCTCCTGTAATAGCGCCTGCGAACCTTCCCACTCTCACACCCAACCCGGCGGATCCTATATGGGATTTCAACGAAAGCGAGATGTTGCACCTATGCAAAATCTACGAGGAAGAAGTTGGCGCCATGTACCCCGTCATCAAGATTGGACCGGTCGTCGAACATGCTAAGGCCATAGCCGCATGGGTGGATGCCAAGCGTAGCGGTATGGCTCCGCCCCATGCGCGAGAGCAGGACCTTTTGGATGTTGAGACTTTGCAGCTAAAGATCGTTCTTTGCTGCGCCTTGACAATCCAAGAGCACGGCAACAGCGCCAAGGCCGCCAGACTCTATGAAAGTATCCAGCCGACTGTCGACAAAATGTTAATGACTGAGCCCACCGATGTTGCTAGGCTCCCTTTCCTTGCATTGTGCGCAGGGTACCGGTGGCTCTCCAACGACGAGATTCTGGCGTGGCGAGTCATAGGCCAGGTGGCCAGGATGTGTCTAGAGCTGGGTCTGCACCGGAGGGAAGGGCTCGACAAGATTGCGGATCCTCTTATTCGTAGGAACGCGCTGCACACGTTCTGGTCCGCCTACGTCCTAGATCGCCGGTGGAGCTTTAGCACTGGGTTGCCCTTCGTGTGCCACGACGACAAGATTGATCCCAAGCTGCCGTACCCGGTAAGATGAGGCGGCTGCCAGGGGCAATATAAGTCTATTCAAGCTAACCTTACCCAGGACAGTTATCCATTCCTTGTAGCAATGATCGGCTACTCGAAGCTTGGGGCAAAGGTCTGGAAGCTGGTAGACTGTTTTGAACCTGCTGTAGTCCGGGAGCTCAAACCTCATGACTTCGAGGAGCTTGATCGTGAGATCATGTCATGGTATGAGAGTGTTCCGGAGGACCTTCGGATTGGGCCGCTAGAGTGTGATAAAATGCCGGTGCCAGCGGGTCCTTCATACGACGTCCAGCGGCTGCGGATTTGGTTGAGACTGAGGTTGAATCAGGTGCGTTCAAGCCTCCAGTACCGCGAGTGTGTAGACAGATATCTAGCTGACAGCACACTCCACAGGTCCGCATATGGCTTTACACACCCATCTTGCACAGCGCCACCAGCATTGTCCAGAACGAGCAGCTCGCACGCAAGGTGGTCGACCTGGCCAAGCAAACCATCCGAATACTCACGCATCTCAACCGCAACTCGGATCTGTACCGCCGGAGCCAGGTCTTTTATCATCAGTTCCTGACTTCATCGATTGCCGTGCTGTTTCTCGCTTCCACTCATGCGCCCCTGAAATTCAGCGCCACGTGCCGCGGCGAGTTCTATATGGCCCTTGACATGGTCAAGGATATGTCTGCCCGATCCTGGGTGTCGAAATGCCTTTGGCGCACCATTCGATCGCTGAGGGCGTATGCCCGTAGACTGGGCCTTGAAGAGGACAGCTCGCGACACGCTGGTCCAGTGACGGGGCCAGCCTTGCCATCGACACAGCCGCATGAGAGCAGCAATGGGAGTGGCCCTGGTTCAGCTGTGGGCCTAACCAGGCCGTTTGACGGACGACCCGCAGTCAGTTCTCCCATCGACAATTCGCCGACACACCCGATGCCGTTACAGAAGCAGGTTCCCGCCGAGGATGAAACCAATGGATTACGATTGCACGATGAAATGTCGCGCATATACGAGTACATGGGCTCAAATACTGCCCGCGAGCTAGGAAGCCCGACAGTTATCTCGCCTGGCTTGGCCTACAGCCATAGCGGGCCTGGCGCTGCAATCTTTGGCGGCGACGAGATACCTGCGCAGGGAGATTGTGGCGTGTACCAGCACATGAGGGGCATGTTCTGACAGGGCACATAGCACGGTATCCGGCATGTTTCGGATATTCGACTCCCGTCACTTGATCTGGGTGGAAGTTCCCAGGCCCAATGAAGTGATGCCATGACGGAGATCCAATTCTGCAGAAAGCAGTGGAATGGTCCACAGGTCGACGGATGCTTGCATCGGCACTGTGTTTGAGCTTATTCTACAAGTGAGGTGGAAGAAACCGCTCAGCTGATGATGGAGTTGACGTTGTGTATGAACCCTTGCACCTGGCTAATGAACACTGGCCGAGGAACAAAAAGGTGTAATCGCTAACTAACAACGCCATGTCCCGGGCAGCCCGGCCCCTGGGTATACTCAACGGGAACCATTACCACCAACGGCGATATCTAACTGAGCAGTCAATATTTTTCTGTTTCATCTGTTTGAAACGCCTTGCAGACACCTCCCTTTCCGACTAAGAGATTACCTACATCACCTACCCCTTTTCTTGAGCTCTGCAGGCTTAAAAAGCTAGACCATCATGGTGGGGCCAGTAGGCTCTTTGGCGGTTTGGCCTTTGTTGCTCCTACAAACGTGTCTTTCACTGGCACTGGGCAAAACCATAGGATAAACGGGCTCACCACCCTATCTATATAGCCACATTCTTTGAGCCTTATCCTCAGCCATCCTCCATCCTCTTCTGGCCCGAACAGCAACTACTGAGCTCGATTCCCCACATACTGATCCGGCGGAGATGAAATAAGCACAAAGGATGTGTCGTTGACTCTACATGATAATGAAGATCCTTCTGACGGCGAGGGAGGTCTCAGAGAACTCCCGTCAGGCTCTCCTGGTGGTACTATATAGATCCTAGTCAGGGCATCCCGCGTGGAAGCAAACAACCTAGTGTAAGTAGCGTTCCAGTTCAATGAAACGAACGTGGGATAGAAGCTGATTTACTATAGTAAACGTTGCATTACAGCCGAGCGTTGGACAAGATACTGCAGGATTCATGTCAGCAATTGTCAAAGTGAGATGGCACTCCCAATGCAGGTCCTTTTGTTGTTCTTACAAAGGACCTTTATATATAAGAACGGTGAGTTGGTCAGGCCACCGAGACTACACATCAAGTCTTTCTCACTCGACCCTTGTTCAACCACAGATCTCACACTCGCACAAGATAACCTTCGGGCGCTTGCTGTGACAATGGCAAACACCGTGACATTGCGTAATATCACGCTCGTTCTGGAGCGGCTAGGTCTACCTCCACCCACGGAACAGATGCTGGTCCCAGATCGGATGCGCACACAAGTACCATCTCAGCTCGGCAAAGACACAGATGAGGACAAGCTCATCCGCACTGTCACCTACTATCGCAAGGAGTACGAGCGCCTTCTGGCCTGGTTCGATCCTGACGAAACCGCATGGATCCGTTCGGCTTTGAGCGAACCGTTTGCCTCACCCGCCACTGCGAAGGTTCTCGGCGACCTCCCAGTCGAGGTTATCTCCCAGATTCTTGGCTACCTCGATATCGCCTCGATCTTCCGCTTCCGGCAGGTCAATCGACAGGCCCGTGGGGTGGTCAGCAAGTTTCCCTTATACCGCGCCATCCTAAAGTACGGCATGAACACCATCCTGTTTGTGCTCAAGACGGGGACGGCGAGGTGGTTCACCCTGGAGGGTGTCAGGACGGCGATTTCCGCTGAGACTTGTTTTCTGTGTGACCGATTTGCGGGCTTTCTCTTCGTCCTGCGTTTGAAGCGGATCTGCTTTGAGTGCTTGGAGAAGGACAATTACCATGACCTGCGACAGGCGCCTTGCGAAGCCGTGAATCCGGATCCTAGAGTCTGTTTTAGGACCGTTCCTGGCGTGTACGGTAAACCCTACCCGTTGAACTACGCTGGCAGAGGCAGATACATCAGCTTGGACCTCCATCCAAGTTATTACTGCTCTGACAGATGCAACCATGACATCATCAGCGATAATTACCGCTACATGGCGGCGATAGCACAGCCGGTCGTCAATTTCACGAACGGTCCGGTGCCTCGAGTCTGGGCGGGGGTGTCGTGCATTGGCTACCAAATTGCGTACGAGACGCCGGGTGCCCGGAGAATGACGGCACTTAACGGGAAGGTCTCCATCGACCAGGTCCGTGACCGCGGCTACTCCCGGAACGGGTACATGGAGCATTTCAAGTGGTGCTCTTTTGCCCAGCGGCTGTGGCAGGACAGTCAGGGCGGGACTGTCCCCGTTCAAGTGCCCGACTGGGACGCACCCTGAGTCCCCCGGGTGAGGTAGGACCTACGCTGCTTATGGGGGAGCAGCTGTCCGGTACTTGAAGCTAAGCCCATAAACTCATGAGGGGGCATGTGAACCCACTTCACTGAGGGTGTTTGATACTGAGTGTTGGGGTCAACACTGGATACTACTAATAAGATAGGTAAGCAATTGAGTACGGTTTTTGAACGTCCAGTTTGATGACTCTATTGGTCCACACCGTGACACCGACGCCATTTGCTGCTAGCAGCTCCTATTTAAGAGTCATCTCCCGTCACCAGCTTTCAGGGGTGCGATGTAAACACAGTGATGAAAACCAGAGAGGCGTGCAGAGAGATGTAAAGTTTTAGTAAAGTTTAGCTCAAAGGATGGTGTTGGCTTGATATACTACGCTAGTCGCCATGATCTGCCTTAATAAACATTTCCTTGATATTTCAGGCACGCTGATCTGCCACCATTTACTAGTAGTGGTTGCGAAGGGTCATCATGCCTTTAACAGCTAGATACAACTGAACCTCCTTTGAAGGTGGCATCACTCTGATGTGAGGCAACGTCACGTCGCGCTCAGAATCGCCGACTTTATACTGACACAGTCGATTCATATCATGCTGCCGGAACCATATGCTGACTGCAAATCCCTGACCGGGCCGAGGAAAGATATAGTATTGCTGTGTCCGTGTAAATATCTATCTACCTTGCGCTCGCTGAGAGCCCTCAGCTAATCCCCCTCGCTTATTGGGTCCAGTGCTATCTCGATGCTGGTTTCCTCCCGCTCAGTAGCAGTACCAAACATCACTCCGAATCGCCAACTTAACCCCATGTCTCTCATACGCCTTGATAACGTAAAAGATCGCCCTTCTCCCGATTGTCGCCCAGTATTCCAAGAGCGCATCCGAGTTCAGATCTTCCCAGGGCTTCGATCTAAACTCGATCATCTTCAGCGCCGGGCGCTGCTCTTTCACAAACCTCGGCAGCTTCCACAACCCCATGACAATGATCCTATGGTACTTCTCAATTCTAGACTTCTGAGAGGCAGTCCACTCCTCGTTCACATACTCGCCGAACCACTCGATAAGGTTGAGCCTGGCCAGGCTGGGCGGCAGCGCCTCCACCAAGCCCCGCAGCATTCTCTCCTCGAGCTCCTTGGTGCTGGCAGTTCCGGCTGCATTAGGGGGTTGCCGTGCGAGCAGGTCAAAGATGTAGGCACAGCGCGCAAACTTGCCAAACAGACCCTCCATGGTGATTGTCAATGTTCGCAGCGAGGCAAGCCGATCCAGCCACCGCAGCCTGCCAGGCGGGCCATAAATGAACGCGGTCAGGTCGGGCCCCATGCACAGCGGGAGGTGCAGTTCTCTGAGTTTCGGCGCCTTCTGAGAGAGGGCGAATAGGCGGAATTCCAGCGGGCGATGAGGCGAACTCAACATTGGATCGTACCGCCGCCACCGGTCCGTCACCAGCTCCGACATGTCGCTGCTTCTCGGTGGCTCTGAGTACAGCGTCAGGGAGACGAGGTTGTCGATGTGAATGGGTTTTTCGGTGAGGGGCAGCAGGCGGTAGAGAAAGTCGCCCACATGGATGCTCAGGAATTTGTTGATGACGTTGAGACGAGGTGACCAGCTCCGTTTCATGTGTGAGAGAATCTCGCCCAGGGAGCGGAGAGTCATCTGACTGCTGCTGATAAGGTCGCGTGAATGGACGGTTCCTGTGTAGGCCATCGCTTTGAGGTCGCGTGAAGGGATGGCTTGCGTGTGGGCCATGGCTTTGAGGGCGTCGATAAAGCGCTTAAGTCGAAGATTCCTGAAGAATTCGAGGCGCATGAGGGAGTCGAGGTAGCCGTTGAAGTGGCTATGTTCTTCGGCAGTGAGACGGACTATGGACGAGCGAGGGTATCGTCCCTGGTTCAGAGCTGTGAGCGTGTCCTCCATGCCTGGAACACAAAACTTGTCGCGCTGGTGCATGTAGATCCCAGAGTCGATGTGCCTGATCATGTAACAGGTTACGAGGTTGCAGCCACCGTAGTCCCCAAACTCAATGACCACTTTCCATAGAAAGGGAGGCGGCCAGCAAGGGGTTTCATTGAGCTGCTCCCAAGGCGGATAGCCCGTACTCGTGGTGATGCCCTGGGGAATGCTATGATGGCTTTCTACCGATGAATTTGCATCGTCGAGAAACCAAGTCCACATAACCGACCGAGGAAAGTCCGGACTGGGCTCTCTCAGAAGGAGATATAGTGTCTCAATCTTGTTCGCAAGGCAGAGGATGGCGCAGAGGACCATAGACGGGAACAAAGGATCCGTGACGTTGTTCGCCGCATGCTGCTTAAACCAACTTCTCACCTTCCAAAACGAGTGATCCTGGCCAATGTCTCCATCGAGCTGCAGGTGGTCAAGGAAAAGGGTCGAAAGGCACTCCCAGGCCCTGCCGCAACGTGAGACCGTATCTGGATCTTCAAGGGAGATTGCCGATGAGATGTGTCGAATGTGACGTCCTAGCCAAGGGTTTCGGACGAGGTTACAAAGGAGGAGACACAAGCCGTAAGGTCTGGTGATGAGGATATTGCGATACAAGAGCGGTCTGGCTATAGTGTAGATCCGCCGGCTAACGCGACAGAGCCTGACCAGGTCAGCCTTGGCTATGCAGTAGCTTGTCCACTCCCACACTAGGCGGTTGCATAGCGAGGTGCCGTTCCCCAGTGCGACGGGCTGGGGAATGAGATATTCAAAGATGCTGGTCAGGATCTCGTCAGGGAGCACGTCCAGAGTCCGTGCCATGGCCAATCCCCCAAGATCATCGGCGAGCGCTGCGAGGGTGCTATCGTAATAAAGTAATACGTCGTTTTCTTCGTATTCGATCTTCGGTCGCTTCAGACGCTGTCTCTCGAAGTTTTCGGGAGGTGGTCGCTTGCGGTTAGTGGGAGATCCGATCGTTTTGACGGATCTTTCGGTTTCGCTGGGCATGTTTTGGCGGTCGAGATGGTGTAAACACTGAGCTTTTCGTGCGCTTGCAAGGCCAACGCTGTCGGAAGTATTATAGGTTCAGGTTCATGGCAGGGAGCAAAAGCAGCGCTGTTGGCACGAGACGGAAAGGAAAACGGTTGGGATGAGTTGAAGGAGAAGTCGTGTTATATTAGATTCTAAAAAACAAATTCGCTTGAGTATCCGCGGGAATCGAAGACAAAGGGAGGTACCTGTATCAGCAATGACCCAGTTGATATGTTGAAAAATTGGCTTGAATATCGGGTGTTCTGAAAAGATGCGACGAAAATTAGATAGGTGAAGGATTTGGTGAGTGCCTCATGGGTTGCCTAGTGAACGTTTCACGGTACTGTCCAGCGACGGAATCAGGCAGCCTGTTCACGGAAAGAACTGAGGTACTCAACTGTTTCCTTCTTGAAAATGTGCACTGGCATGATCCGTCGTCGGACCGGCAAGAGCTGGCTTGGAGAGTGTAGGGAAAGTCCAGTCTGAGTCACCATGGGCAGGAAGCTGCCATATCAGCATCGAACGAGACTGCTTGCACACCTATGACATTAGTGCAAAGAACTCGCGATGGCTTGAGCGCATCCTTTGTTCTTGTCTGATATGGTCGAATGGCTGGTCCCAAGCCTAGGTCTGCCTTCTTCTATCAATCTATGTCAGACATCCCAAGGTCCTGACTCTTTAACTAGGATTCCACTCTCCAATCCATCCATAATCGGAATCCACGCATCTTGGATCGGTGGCGTCTGAGTGAGTCTGAGATGTCTGTCTTGATAGCAACATGTTGCTATTGCCAGGGAACAAATCGTATATCCAGACAGCTGAAGGTGAACCAGGTAGATCCAGGACTGGACTGGAACTTTATAGGGGATGGTGTTTTGAGAATCGATTCCATGACGTTGGCTCAAGGTTACTGGGCTTAATAATTGCATAGACCCACGGTACCCACCCATGCCACTGGCTAGGCCCTACCACTGGCTCAGACAAGAAACACTATGAACACGCTCGCCCTCCCCACTCAGCAAAAATCAAGGAATCCATCAATCCAACACAATTCGTTTGTCTTCGGACTCCAGAGAAGCACCAAGTGACCGTCGACGGGAACTTCGATGGGAATTGCTGGCCATGAAACACGGCCACGTCAACGCTCAGGCCCAGCTTGATTTTGTCACTTTGTGCAGAGGCTCCTGCGCGACCAGTTTATTAGCGTAATAACGTTGCGTTGAGTGGTTCGTTAGATCGTCGACTCAACAAAAAAGAGTCAAAAAGCCGAATCAACGTCCGATTCCAGATGGAAATACAAGGAACCTGCGGATATTGTTCCCATCCAATACGACCCCGAAAGCCCTTTCAAATACAACAACTTTGTCTACCATGTCAACCTTCGCTCGGCCATTCCGTCTAACAATGCGGCAAACAATTCCCGCCTTCAAGCGGACTGTGTGGCTATGCCCGAAGGCATAAGTTTCTCAATCGCTTGGGACAGTGATTCCTTCTAGGAGACGCGCAACCTGGATTGTGTGCCACAGGCCAGAAACTGCAAGCGGACTGCTTGTGTTACAGTGAGTTCAGGGGCCTGGAGGCCGGAGATCGCTGGTCAGGGGCTCGCCTTCAGCTCGAACTCGGAGAGGGCTGTGTTGCACAGTCGCAAACTTGCAGATTTCAAGAATCTCAAAACTCCTGCAATTCATTCGACAGCTATCCAATTACACCATCAAAGAGGTATCATACGCATGGCTAAAGATGCTAACAACCAACACGGACCCCAGTAAGAGATGTGTACCACCATTCAACCACCATACAACGACCATTCATGGCAACTGAAGCACATCTCTCTTACTGCTTCTGGTCCGCGGGGTACGACATGCCGCCAGGAGCCTGATAGGCCTGCCGGATGGCGCCGAGGTTCGCCAGCTCGCGGTACTCGGCCTCCTTGTCTTGCTGGATGATGCTGCAGCAGCCGCAGCAGCACGAGGTCGCGATGTCTCCCAGGCAGCTGCCCTGCAGGTTGTGCTTGGTGCGGAGGTCGGCGCGTTGCATTGCGACGGGGAGCCAGTGGCAGCCGACGCAGGCCGTAGCACACATGAGAAGGCACTGCCGACAACCGACGACTGTCAGCACATTCCGCTGGATCATTGAATGAAACAGGGGACAATGGAGAAAGACAGAACCCGCCATACCGAAGTGTTGATGGACTCGTAACCCTCCAGCGTCGGGCTCTTGCGCAGACGGTGGTGCGTGCGGCCGAAGACGACGCAAGGCACGTACCAGGCGAGCAGCGTGGTCTCGCGCGGTTTCCAGAATTCGAAGAACGGGATCTTCCACGGCTGTGCACTCTCGGGCGACTTAGACTTGATGTGCTCGCTGGGGCGGGCAAACAAGTCGTTGAAGCGGGCCTTCCATTCAGCTACGTCGGCATCGTTGATGGGCCCTTGTGTCTCGAGCTGCTGCTGCTGCGGTTGTTGTTGCCGCGCGGCCATCTTAATTTATCTGAAGTACTGCTTTGGAATGACTGGAGCTGGGTATCACAACGCGATTCTGGTATAGGAGGGAGCCCGTGATGGGAAAAAGACACCTGATGCGGGGAGGGAACGATGGGCCTCGGAGATGAGGTGGAAGCTCAGCTTATAGGTCTTCCTCGAGGGCCTGCAGCCTGAACACAGGCATGGCCTGGAGCAAACGCCCTTGACTGGCGATCAGCAAGCAAGACATCACGAGCGACGCCACACCAGTGACTTGCCGCTGGCGGTTGGCGTCTCGTTGGTTGCTGTGGGGATGCGGAGATGAAGTCCCAGTGCCGACTACTTGGTTGGTTATCCCCCGGCAGGGCTGAAATGGTGGCACTCTGTGCCCGAGAGAACTGTCTGCTTCAAACAGTGCGTGTCCTAGCTCTGCCTTCGAACCTCTAATCATGTTCAGCATTGTAGCCTATGGAGAGGATACGCTTATACGGGCAGATTCCGGTCGACTCGCAGCCTTTCTGAGAACAAGAGGCCCTTGTTTCGTCATGAGTCAGACAGAGCTGTAGGTAAGTTGCGATAAGTTGCGTCTACATGAGACAGGGAGTTTTTCACACTGTTGACGCGGAACTTAACGTATTAGGTACGACTCAGGAGTTACTGTGGTGCTACGAGCTGAGGACGTTGTGTAACTCTAACAGACTGCATCATGTTGGTGGCTGATCTCTAGATTCCGAGATACCTACCTACCTGGTAGGCTAGTACGGAGTACGACGCGGTAGTAGGAATGCAGTAGACAAACAGAACCTGCATATTGACCTCTAACCATGTAGTCCGGACTTGAGGTTCAAAGAGCGTCTCACGGGAAAATGAACCATGAGCAGCCCCGGACTGTCAAATAGACTCCGGCGTTGAAAGATTAGAACGGGAGAAGCAACTTTGTTAGTTGCACTACTACTAGTAAGTCCCTACGTTACTTTGACTGTCACTGGAACGAACTTGTGAGCCTAGGGGTACATGACAGCGTCGCCACCGATTATACAGACTTGACTGTCGAGAAAATGCTCATGTTTCGCAGTCTTAGCTTCTTAAAGCGGCAGACATACGGAGTACATGGGCTCGACTAAACTACGGATATTGATCACTCTGTTTACTCGTACTCCTTGATACTGGGAAACAGCAATGACTGAACCTAGTAAGATCAGACATGACAGAGTCTAGCGGACAGCACTTCCACTCTTGCAGCAGAGCCAGGCCCTGGTCTGACGTTGCTTATCGTGTCATGGAGCGGAATAGATACCTTGTAGTGGTAAGTTGCTGAGGTGGGTATCCCCTGAAGCGCATGAGAAACCTGGATATACTCGGCTAAATCAATACATCGATTGAATAGGTATTACTAGCAGGTCATGCTGTCATGGTCATGATTACATTCCTTCTCGAGTCAAGCTGGCATCAACAACATCATAATTCAAAAGAGACCTAATCACCACCGTCACTGGACTTAAGGAATTAAGGCTTTGGCCTTGCAGTCCTGGCCCTTGGGTCCGAACCCCTGACAGAACGAAGCAATGGCCGGCATCTTGGCTTCCTACAGCACCTTGTCAGCGACCCGACAATGTTGAGGAAGTGAGAGAATACTCACAACAAAATTTACTCCCCAGAGCGGCTGCTCTGCGCCAGCAACCTTCTTCTTCAGACCGACACCGACCGTGGTGCCAAAGTTGAGGCTTCCGGTGACGCCAGTCATGTATTGGCCGCACACGGTGCAGTTCGTTGCTGTTTCTGGTGTCAGTCCTCTTACAGATAGGTATGCACAAGTACTCGATCCGGGGCGGACTCACATGCAGTAGCCTTGAGAGTCGCGGACAGCTTGGGCGCATCGGCAGACACCTCGGCCAAGAACCCACTCTCTGAAAACTTATTAGCATCGCATACCGCTGGTATTGTACTCTGGCTCCAGGATGGCAGGGCACTCACCGAAAACGCTAACCTCGACCCCGATGGCGCCCCTCACAAAGCCGGCCGCCCCAACTTCAACCGACGTATCGACCTTGAACTGCTCATTATCAAAGTTGACGTCCCAGCCCGTCTTCCCCGTCCGCTTCTCATCCAGGAAATCCAGCCTCGCCTTGGAGTCCTTATTGATAGACGCCCTGCCGCCCATGGTGACTCCCACAGAGCCCCTGACAGCGCCAATCTCGGCTCCCAGACTCAGCGTGACCTGCGGGCCCAGGCTGATGACACCGGGGATCTTGACTCCCCCCAGGGGCGGGGCAAACACGGGGATGGTGCGGGTCAGGGGCTGGGTCAGGGCCGCGCTCAGCGTCACGCCCAGCACCACGTCGGCGACGATGGGATCCGGGAGCGAGATCTCGAGCGCCGCGTCCGTCATCTGAAATTTCTTGGCCGCGAAGTGCGCCTGCACCCAGATGCTGCCCGACGTGGTGCACGTGATGCAGCTGGCCGCGAGCGAGATGTCGCCGCCCCCGGGCGCCGCGCCGGGGACCGAGAAGCTGAGGGCCTTGCCCGTGAGGTTGGAGCCGAGCGGGATGGACAGGGACGGGGACGTGTCGAATTGGCCGATGGCCTCCTCAATCTTGTCGCCAATGTGCTCGATCCCCTCCTCGATCTTATCGCCAACGTTTTCGAAGAAGTCGCCAACGTCGTCCCAGAAGCCCGGGGCCCGCGCCCGGTGGATCTGTTGGCTATGCGGGATCTTGGTGTTACCCAGCGTCAGGTCGTACGTGTGCGCCGCCTGCGACCAGGGGATCTGCGTCGCGTGCAGGTACGCCGTCTCGGCCTCGTCGTTGTACACGAGGCCCGTCACCTTGTACACGATCCGGTCCGTGTTCCATCCGCACTTGCCCGCGCCCACCAGGAGGAAGAATTGGTTTTCTTCCTTTTGGTTTACCCACTTCCAGATGTCCTCGGCGTCGTTGTAGTCGGCTTCCTCGGCGAAGGTGACCTTGAGCGGGTCCTCGCTCTTGGACGGGCACGCCACCTGGCGCACCATGTCATCGATGTCCTCGAGGTTCACAATGTTCTCGGCATCCCCGGGCGCTTCCCAGTCGAGCTTGGCTACAGTGCCGTGCGTGCTGCTCCAGTAGAGGGTTTCCTTGGACTTGAGCTTCAGAACGTCTTTGAGCAGGGCGCGTTTGGCATTGCTCTTGCTGTGCATTCGGAGCGGCCTCAGGACGACTGGCTCCGGGGCGGGGGCAGCAGCGTGTGTGTCTGCGCGCGCAATGTGATGATTGTGAAGCGGCTTGAGGATGACAGGCTCTGGTTTGGCTGGAATGGCGGTTGTGCTTCTGCCATCGACCGTGTCCCGACTTGATACAACTCCTCCCGGGGGGCGAGCGACTCTTTTGGCTTCGACATGGCTCGTCGTCGACAAGGCCGTGAGGGCCGCGGTCAAGAAGGGGCTCAGGCGAACCATTGTGTTGCTCCCAAGATGCCGTGGAAGACGTATGAAGAGACTGTTGGATAGGCGCAGTCCTGGACAAGTGCCAGCCTCAAACGTCTCTCGAGGGTGAGGAACTGCCCACTTATTACTCGAGTTGAGGGAGATATCCCGTTCCTACCACGGCTGGTATGATCCCACACGTCAACCTCGCCGGGGTAAACATCACGGATATTTAACTATGTAGTATCCTCGATGCTTGTTTGTCAAACCTTGAAGGCAGTCTGATAATTCTGATTGCGAGGATCAGTCCCATGAGGCAGGGCAGGCTTGGCAGGATGCAGCTACCCCTGACCCCTGAGAAGAGAACGGGTGCATTGCGGTGTCAAAAGCCGTTGGGCGGCGCTGCGGTGGCACTCAGGGAACGAAGGCCCCCTATTTGCTGGAGGAGCCCGGGGGTGTTCCTTCGACTGACACAGGATGAGACAGGATCCGGGATGGCGGGGCTCAGCTTGCAAGCCTTAGCATCCCTCCAGGGACCACCGAGCCGAGTCTCCAGGATCCCCGGCATACGGGATCCGTCGCGGGGATTGGACAAACAAAGTTGGGGGTGGGCGGGCCCAAAAACACATGATTCGATTTGTGCGATTTCAGGTATATTGTAACCTTGAACAGACCTGCCAATCCGGGTCAGCAACGTGCCGGGCTGAGCCCAGTGTAACGGCTCCTTAATGGCCGCTCTGTGCTCGGTAGCCCAATCAAGGAGCTAGATGCAGTGGAGCCGTGCCTGTCAACTTTTTCTACGTGCAGGGTCATGCAAACATGTCATTGCCTTACACAGGAGACGTCTTGAAACAAGAAAGATCTGCTAATGGACGAACCTATTACACATTTCTCTCATAGTGCAATCATCTAGAGCTGCCGCTCGGTGAGCATATACGCACGTATAATTTCTCTACTCGAAGTTAGAGTTTGATTTGTATCATGACTGACAGTGAAGGATAGCAGAGCCTGCTTCATTACTGAGTTTATTAGATCTAAAACAATCGTATCATGGTCACGGGGTGAACTCAAAGACAACTTCACAACTCTCACAACATTGAAAATAACCAGTTTTCAGTCTATCATATGCTAATCTCTTATCATCCTCATGAGAGTCTCATGCTCACCAGATACCGGCGTACTACCCAACCGCCTGCTCAATGCTCTGTGACCACCATATTCCAATCAACCCTTTTCCTCGCCTTTCCCGGGCCGGCATCAACACCAGAGATCCCGTCAACGACATCCAGTCGTCGCCACCCTCCTCCGGTATCATGACCGGCACCCACCCCTGAGCCTCGACCTGCTCAAAGTCGTGCAAGAAGTCATGCTCGCATTCATCATCGACGAGGCTTTCCGAATCCGACTCATCATCAGACCCCGACTCGTCGGTGAGAGGCCCATCCGCGATATGATCAGTCTCATCTGATTCCATCGCCACGGGCTCGCCGTCGGTGTGACCTATTCCGACATTCTTACTCTCTTCAAGCTCCTTGACTCCAACTCTCCCCTTCTGCTGCACAGCGATCAGATTTCTGACCGTGTAACCCGGCTCCTCGCGGACGATGGAGTCCAGCGTGAAACCCCCGTCGCGCTCTCCATCTTCGTACCGCAGCCCGCTTTGGACTGCTCCCTCCAGCCTCTTCTCTTCCAGCCCCTCCATGGTATTCATCTGTCCCCTCCACCAGTCGCTAGGCAAGACATCCCCCGTGGCCGCGAGCGCATATCCGTCCCGTACAGGGTGGTCCAGCGCCTGGTGCATTGCCAGCGCGGCCGCACCGCCCCGGCGGAACCTGGACTGCTCCCGGGATGGCCTGCTCCTCCTCCTCCAAGCACGCGGCGCCCCTGCTCCGGGGTGGGTTTTGTTGTTGTTTCCCTTATCCGGCGGTGATGGTGCATGATGGGAAGGATCCAGCAGAGCTGCTGTTGGCAGCCTCGGTCTCGGCCCCCAACGAGCGTCATGCCCCTTGCTGCTCTTCCCCAGCCTTTTCTTCGGAGCCTGCCATTTGCCCCGCCGCCAGACAAGTGTCTCGCTCCTACGTGTTGTACGTGTATGGTGCTTCTTGCTCACACGTGTTCGTCTGTGCGCTTCTCCTCCCCGTCGACATCTGGATTGATCCAAGGATGATATCTCTTGAAGGAGTCGGGCCTTGTCTTGGCAGCGATCGTTGGTGCGATGGCAGACCTTGTCGGGAGAGGAAGTGCAAGTGTCGCTGATGGTTGTGGGAGTTTGCATGGATTGTTTTCTAGGAAACGGAAAATACTTTTTTTTCTTCTGCCTAGACTTGTGCAGTGTGTGTGCGGCACGGTCTAAGCGAGGTGCCTTGTCCAACTCAAAGCTGTCGTTGTTTGAAGACTAGGATTATGATGTAGTGTTAATAGAAAATTAAGATCCCCTTTCAGTGCGATTTAACGGATAAAAAGGGGTTTTGGATAGAGTCAGGTGAGGAGGCTGGACGAAGTGGAATTTGTCCGACTCTGAGCATTATATAGCTTCCTCTGATGATGGTCTTTTCGTCATTGCTCGCCACTTCGTTCAAAGTAAACAGTTTCGGCGCTGCTTGATTTGCGGGCCGGATGGACGGCCAGGGGCCTCACATATCGCTACCCTGCCCATGGAGGTTGGGCTTTGTTGGGACCCTCCCGATGGTGCGGCACAGCAGACCATGTTTGGTCGCCGCTTGAGTCTTGACCAGAAAGTCGGCCGCCTTTTCGAATGATAAACGTAACAGGAGACTTTCGAGATTCCTTATGACTTCGAATTGGCCCAGCTGACCTAGGTTCAGGAAGAGGAGCGGTGAGAAAGGGAGCAATCAACTCATGCTGTTAGACGAACCGCCTCGCGCTGATGACTATACTTCATAGCAAATCGCGCCTCACAGCTAAGGCCAAGAAATAGTAGTGTGTTGTCTGATCACAGGATTGAGGAATGAGGAGTTGACGGCCACGGTCACTCCCGGGATGAGCCGAGCAAGGGTCCATCACCGTCCGGTTCTTCGAACCCTTGGTCGCGCCAGTCAACATTGGGGAGAAAAGAAAAGGCTGGTGGCGGGGTAGTGTAGAATGCTGCCTGGTTAGATATCGCGCTGGCTTCGCCAGGGGTTTCCTCGCTTGTGTTCGCCGATACGGCAGGTCTGCCTGCTCTGCCAGGAACTCCCGATGCTCTTGCTAGACGTCTCTTCTTCTCTGAACCTTGATGCGTTGTACCGGCCTCTTCCAGCATCCTCTTCCGACTCGAGACTGTATGTCCAATCCTTGAAGCAGAAGGCTGCTGGACTGTGTCGAAAATTTCGTGCTCGGAAGCCTCAATTCGTGTGCTCGGGGCATCGGGGCTCTCCCAGGCCCCCATTACCGTAACCGTATCCGCCGGCGGCGTGGCAATCCTCGCTTTCTTTCTTAGCCCCGTGCAAACCGGCCATTGTTCAACAACCTGCTCCCGGTCGACTATCATTCCAAATGAGAACTCGCTAAAACGTTCAATCGGTATCAGTTTGAGTTCCGCGGCTGTTGGTCGATTTGAGGGTGATTCGCTGAGCATCTGAGCCATGATGTTTGGGATGGAGCAATGTCTTGCAAAGGTCAAAATACGATGTGTCCATCGCTCGGCTTTGCTTTCAGGTTCGTTATAGTCAGCCATATTGCACCCGAACTGTGCGAGTCTTCGACTCCAAAAACTGGTGTCCGTTTCCGAGTCAGTGCAGCTCCAATAGCGTCTGGTCTCACCAAGAGTGACGGCAAGCGCCCAGATATCTGACGCTGGTGACACATGACCACGTTCTCTGAGTTCCGGGGCATTGTAGAACGGCGTACCACCCCCTGGCAACTCTTCGCTAATTGCATCCCGTGTCATTGACAGCCCAAAGTCACCGAGATAGAAAGTAGGGCCAGCACTGTCGGTAGTCTGATCGTACATGATGTTGGACGGCTTGATGTCACGATGGATGATCTCCTTCCCGTGTAGGTATTCCAAAGCAGAGACCATCTGTTGGATAAGAGTATTCCAGTAGGACGGCGGGGCCCCTGTAGGTGAGATCTCGCAGCGATCGTCATATATCAGGTCGTATAAGTTCCCCTTGTATAGACGAAAGAAAAGCTGGTAGCTCAATGAAGACCTGAGAATTTGGCAAGATTCAAGCTGGACAATGTTCTCCTGATCAATGCCGTTGTTAGTCTCCCAATCCCATTCCATGGAATCTCTCACTTCCATGTCGATGTCATTACTTACATGATGACAGAGTCTTAGCATATTTACCTCCCGGAGGAGAATATCCCTCCATCTGTCATTTTCTCTCTCGCCCTTGGTCTCCTTGACGATCTCCTTGACTGCCCATACTTCCCCCGAGGCAAGATCTACAGCTTTCGACACGCGGCCAAGACTCCCTTTGCCTAGGAGTTCGTATTTATGAATATCCTTAGAGTGACCCAACTTCGAGAGTCCATTCCGAGTGGTGCAGCGGGTCCGGAGCTCTGGGAAATGATACGCGTGCGGTTCAGGGGGTTCGTTCTCCGGAGGGGTCATGGTCATGCCGTCAGCATGGAGGGCAAGTGCCTGCGCAGCAAGGCGATCCTGGGTCTGCCGAAGTGTAACATTGTCGAGCTCGGTATACTCCGGAGCCCATTTGAACTTGAAGTAGGTGCGGGTACCGAAAAGAATATACCAACCAACTGCTGCCCGTGGAATGACTCGTTGCCGGGGATTCTTGCCCTGAAAGGCGTAGAGGTTTGCCTTGTCAGCAGTGACGTTTTCAACTTCAATTGCTGTCAGGCCAGGCGAGAGATCGCGGATGACAAGCTCCCCTGATTTCGCGAGAAAAAAGAAAAAGTGATAATTGCGGTAATTCTGATAGCTGCGACCCCTTCTGCTACCGCTTGATGTGTTGTTTCCCGCCCGACTGGAGGGGCCTGATGGCAGGCAGATGTCGTTCGCACTATGTCGTCCAAACGAAAGCAAGCGGCCGCGTATTTTGGATGGACGGTTAGCGTAACAGGCAAGACATCGGACCCCGTCGACGACACATGTGTAGTCCGGGTTGCAATTCACGACGAGCTCGGCCTCGCTATTTTTCGGTATCAGGTAGAACAGGATGTTGTCAAGGTTTGACGGCATCGAGCCAGCCATAGCTGGGATAAACGTGAGACCAGAGGCAAATAAGGGCAGGATAGATCAAAGTGAAGCGAGTAATAAGTGAACTGAAGAACCGCAGGCAACTCAGATAAGACAGTTCAGGCATACACAGACAATATATGCCGTCTCTTAGAATCAAACGTTAGCTGTTAGCCTGATAATGCTCTGATCTGAGCAAGGAGTATCTGGCCTTGCGAAAGGTCGAGGGGTGCGCGATGCGGACATGATTGAGGGTTGAAGTTGAGGCTGTACAGCGGCTGCCCAATCCTTTCATGGCACAGGAGAAATCTCGAAACATTATGTCTTGCCGCGCGACAATATATCGGCGTAGGACTTGTAGCAATGATCAAGGTGGTGTCGAAACCACTCGGTCGGGTCATTGCAGCCAATCGCACCGCATCTTGGTGAGACGGGAGCGAACTGAAGATGGGTAAAAAGCTGGATTTTAAGCGCCCAGATGCGGAGGCCCCTCGGTATGTTGTTTAAGTTGGCTAATCGCATAGCATGCATTGGGATGTCCAAGCGTGGACACCAGTACCTACCTCTTCCTCAAGCACGGTTCAAGAACCCAGGAAATAGAGAGACGCAGCAGGAAACTGATGGAGGACTAATTATTGGGCAGTGTTGGTATCGATTCTTGACGTTAACGAGAAATACAGTCAGACCTACACATAACGATCAGAGGTATAACGATTACCTGCACTTAACGGTTAATACCCTAAGCCCATCGTTATTTGTATAGGAGATTGCAATTACTGTCTACTAAGATAATCGTTAGAATTTCTGCTGAGTAATGCATACAAATCGCTATGGTTAGGGGGGTCTTAAAGCTTTGGCCTCCCAAAAATGGTTAGCTAAGCAGCCTTGGGGCACCGCTGAACCTGCGATTTTAATGGTCGAGATGGGGAAATGTCCCACAACTTTCCCTCTTAGGCAGGAAGTGGGTCAACTCTAGATAGCGATAACCTGGAATCAACGGTCAAATTTCTGTAACCGAGCCAATCGTTATGTGCAGGTTAGCCGGTAAATTGAACGTCTGAACTTCAAAGGGGCTCTTACAGTGTGGGCGCCGACAGATTCGTACGGTGCTTGGGTGCCATCATCATCTTGAATTCACTCACTCCTCCTTCTCACTCCTCACTTCTCACTGCAAGCCCAACAGCCACCTCTCCTTAGTACATCAGAACATATAAGTTTAGCTTTCTCAGTCAAGAAGGGAAGAAGAAGGAAGCAAAAATGCCCGGCTCATCCCTCTGGCTCGTCCCACCGCCAAGCCACCCGCTGCACGGCATCCTCAACACCCTGGTCAGCACCACGCTGCCGGCCCGGTTCCCCCGCGAAAGCGCCTCATCCCCGGCGGTGGCCCCGCACTTTTTCGCCGTGCACATGACGCTGACGTCCGAGATCGACCCAGCCCGCTACGGCAGCGACCCCCAGGCCTGGCTGGACAGCATCCCGTGGCCATCGTCGTCGTCATCATCATCATCACCCGGGCGTGGCGGAGGCGGTGGCGTCAGGGTCCGCTTTGAGCGGGTCGATACGCAGGACGTTTTCTTCAGGAGGTGCTTTATCCGGGTCGGGTTCGACGGTGTTAGGGAGGTTGCGGGGTTAGCGAGGGAGTATGGGGTCGTGAAAGGAGGGAATGAAGGTGAAGAGGGTACGAAAAAGTTGCTGTTCAGCAAAGAGACGGAGGAGTGGTTGGTCTGGTGGAGGGCGGAGTATGGGCCGCACGTTAGTTTGATTTAGTAAGTTGGTTTGCTTCATCCTCCCTGATCTTCCATTCAGAATTCTGTTCCATTTGTTCTGGAACCGTGAGGCTGATGCGCTGTGCGATAGCGGGGATGTACCGATGGAAGATGAAGTGATGAAGCAGGTGGCAAAGGTGGTGCGGGAAGCTGGGGTCAAGCTACCTCAGGATAGCGCTGGCGAAACCGAAGATGGAAGCCAGTTGGACGGTTGGGATGGCGGAGTGGTCTGGCTTGTACCGACAGACAGGCCCGTTTCAGAGTGGAAGCCGATCGCCACAAGGGTACTCTAGGTGGTCGACACGCCAGATTCGGCGCTGCCCAAACACTTGTCTATCTCCAATCCGAACATACGATTCCCATCTATGAGTCGCTCGACGTCAGCCGCATATATTCCAGCTTCTGCGCGAGTTCCGCCTCGGTTCCCCGCCAGGTCCTTCCCTTAAGATGTCTCATGCAGAGCTGCTTCCCTTCATCAGGGTAATATAACCAACAAGCCCACTTCCGCCACTCTCCGTTCTTCATTTCCGTCCGCGCACGGTGACCGATGGTATCCTCGATGAAGGCGCCCCGGGGCAGCGCTGCGCGGTTTGGGAATACGACCGAGAGGTAATGCTCAGTTGCCGCAATGTGCGGCTTGTCATGCCAGAAGAACAGAGGAGTGAGCGGAATCTTGGTCGTACTCCCATCCCCGGATTGGACAGAGAAGTTCTGCTTGTGAAGCTGTGTCAGGGCCCGGAGGGCTGGGAATAGCATGACGTGGTCAGACGTCGCGTACTGCACCATCCTTACGGTGGGAAAGCAAACGTATTTGATGGGCACTCGGACGGTTTCCGTATCCTCCGAGGACGTACTCTCTAGTTCTGACTGTTGCATCACTCTGAGAAGCGGGCCGAGAGGGATTGCTGAAACAAGAGACCAATCGTGCTGCTGTACCCAGACGTAGGGTGTCTCGGTCAGCCTCAGGGCTGAGCGCACTGCTAAACCGAACCCTAGACGCTGCGAGGGTTCGACAAACACGATGCGTGCATCCGAAGTCTTGGTGATTGTTAGCGGCACCGTGTTCGTCTGTTGTGCGTAGGCCGTGGAGCCAAACTCGGCCTCGCCAGACGAAGCAATAAGGTCCCCTTCCGAATAAGCACTTCCGTTTGGCCCGTACTCGTGGAGGATGAGCCGCTTCGCGTTCTCCTTGTATTCGGCGAATTTCCGGGCGCCCTCTACTGTCACATGGCCTTTCTTAAGGCGAGGGGCAGAGCTGATGTGGTCGTACGTGTCGAGCACGAGAATGACCCTGCATTGCGTCAATGCAGGGCAGTACTCACGAAAGGAAAGGATGACCATGGACAGTAGCTCGGTTGAAGGCGCCGAAGGCGTCGGCGACGTTGTGATTATGAGGGTCAGGAGCTCCGGGTCGATGGTCGCCGGGCCAAGACCCGAACATGTGGGCGAAGACCCATCCGAAGCCATGCCGCCGCCGCCAGGGAGCTAAAATCCCACGAAAACACACTGGGAGGACATCAGGAATCGAGTCAAGTATCGATTCCCGGAGCAAGCAGCAGCTGTGTTGCCGGTCCTATGAGTTGACGGGGTAGGGGATTGAAACCGAAGGTGTGAAGAGTGCTGGCGGTGGGTGTGAGTTTTGGGGATGTGGATCTTAACGAGGAGAATTCTCATTGGTTTGCTGGGGTTCCACACAGTGTGTCTCCTTAGTTACTCCCACCGTGACTACTTCAACTTGAATACTCCGTACGCTCAACTTGAATTTCTCTTGCCCCGTTGCTCGAATACTGCTTGCTGACAACACCACACTTCAAGTGAGAAATCAAAGATCTCCCATCCCCAAATCGGTATCCAGACTCGAATTTCGTGACGTCGTTCCAGTTCAATGCGTTTAGGCCCGCCATCACTCTAAAACGCCACATCGCCCTCGCCCAGCTTCCGCTGCATCTCTCTTCTACTCGCTCTCCAACGCCGGAACTCGCCCCAAAGAGCCGACAGCATCCAAAGCGACCACATCGCGGCACTAGCCGCAACATACGCGGTTTTGAGTGTTGTGGATTCCCGCGCCATCCACACGCCAAGGCCCCCGTTGGCAATCCCCAACGTGATGAAGACGCGACCATTGAGGAGGTGCAGGTAGGACCAGACCTGCCGCCGCTTCACCTTCTTGAACTTTATGTGGTGAATAATGCCCAGGATTGGCTGGAGGAGCAGGAACGCAAACACGATGAGGCCAATTATCGGATGGTAGTTGATGTTTGGGTTTGACATCTGATCCGACATCTTGTTAGCCATTCCGCTGCCGCCTCATAACGTGCGCCAAGGACTACCATGATGAGTACTCACAATAGTACCATCGCCAAATGGTATTTGCACCTCACGAACGAGCCGGACACCCAAAGCGACAGTGGCAATGAAAACCACAAGGGAGACGACCTGCCCCAGAGCATGAGCCCAGAGCGCAAAGCGACCCGGCAGGACACGGATGAGTATGGAACCGCCTGGAAACAGCACGACAAATGCTAGCGCACCGAGAATGCCGTGTATCGCGCGCACCCTCTGGGCCGAGCTGATGTCGAAGGGGGCTCCGCCTCGAAAACCGTTGAATCCGGATCCAGAATCCGATGCCGAACTGGATCCAGAAGACCCAGAGTCACCGCCAAAGGGACCACGGCCTCCGTCATAACCTCCATAACCCCCAAACTGCTGCGCCTGTGCAGTTATTGCCGAGGCTGGTTGACCGTAAGTAAGTGCCGAGCACCGTTTGATAGCATTTATAGCAGACTCACCCAGAATGGCCATCAACACTCGTTTTGCATCCATTGAGCTCAACGATTTTTGGCACCCGTTCTTGAGACAACAACAAGAACAAAAACAAAAGGAAAGAAACAAGAGTTGGGGGCCAAGGCCTTCTGGAAGGCCTATGCAGTTATATTCCATGGCCGCCTTATGCATGGCTCGGCGCCGACGCGGCCGCATGGCTTCGGACTAGCGATGGGGTAGATCGTCACTGGTGTACTTGCTCCGCCCACCATCAAAGCACAGAACCCTTGGAGGCTTGTTTTCCCTGCGTACCACTGGTCTTGACCAGCAGAGGATGTGCGGCATTGTGCATACGTCGAAAACGGTCACACAGCGCAACCACTCGCTGGCATGCGCTGAGTCGGGGGTCCAGAATGCAGCTGACGTAGCCCCGGCTGTCGGGACCGAGGAGGCGCTCATCACAATTGGAACATGGGAATGTTCTTCACACCCACGTGTCTAACGTTGTCGGCTTTCGTGTAGTCCGGATGAGTTAGTTTGGTCCCTTACCTATCCCAACATTTACATACAGCAAGAGACTGTACTGTACAATACATATCGTTCGACTTCTGGCCTGTGTTCAGCAGTTAATAATTCAGGTCTCTCCTATCAAGCGGCTAGAGCTGCTCGGTATCTGTAACTTCCTCGATCAACCTGAATAGGAGCCAGTTCAGGTTCTGGCGCTTTGTTAAGTAGTGACACTGTCGCGGCCTTGGAGATATAGAAACAATCTGGAAGCTACATCCACTCACCCTACCAATGTAGCCTCTGCCTCCCGTCGCGTGTCGTCTTTCTGTCATGGCATTGACGATGCTTACGTCGATGTTAGGCTGAGCTTCAGACGAAGAGGATTTTGAAGAAGATTAGTTGTGACTGAATGGGAGGCGGTATTCAGGCAGAGAGCAGCAAATACACTGGGCTGAAGGTGATATCGTCAATCTCCTCGTGGCTTTATCAGTGTGCCAGCTCAGTTACTATGTCCATTCTACATCATCAAGGTCCGTTAGGCAAATCCGCGGTATTGTACAGAAATTCAGGACTACGAAAACACCAGGACGGATCGGGGATAAGCGGTGATTATTGATGGGGCGTCTCTAGGTGAGACGTCGTGTAAGTCTGAGACATCAAACCGAGATTAGTTTGACCTGATAGGGAGTTCCAGATGGGTTGACCAGAAATGATGCGGCGCGTCGTGTCAGTGTGATGCTTCATTGCTTCTATTAAGAACGAGATAGGGTAAATGAGAGAAAGAAGAACATAGTAGGAAAGGAATGAAGCAAGAAGGTATGGTTAAGCTAAGAATCGAACCCGAAGGCTAAAAAAAGAGGGTATGAGCCTGGGCAGAAGTCTGGGACTGTAACACCCGTCGACCAGAGCCTGTCCAGGGATTTTCTCAACCCTGCGCTGGAACCGTTACAGCACAACGCCGTTGAAAGTGTAGTGACCGTTGAAAGTGTAGTGGCCGTTGAAAGTGTAGTGGCCGTTGAAAGTGTAGTGGCCGTTGAAAGTGTAGTGGTTCCTGTTGAAGACCGGTTCACTTGGACTAACCTATATACCTCCTCCCACCACCTTTTGACCACTTCCTTGGCCAATTTCTTTTGTTGACATTCACAGTACCTAATCACACTGGATCTTTGCTCTAGATGTCTCTTTTTCAGTTTCGAGTCCCGGGTTTGGACGTGGAGTCGCGACGATGTTGACATTTGCGCACCGCACTGGGGAATGGAGGTAAAATATCACACCGGTGGTCCTGTTAAGAAGGGTAGTAGAGGGGATCATTTTTGCATACTAAAATCTGGCCGCACTAACAGACGTCGCAGCCTCTTTAAGTACCCATACTAGAGAATAAATGTAGATGGCATCCTAGTACCCTCTTGGAACGTCATGGACAACTGGCTGATTACAATCCTAGCACGACTTGTATAAAGGCTAATGTCTTGATGACCGATCCGGGCTCGCATGTTACCTAGGTAGCTTCCATCATGCTCAACGATTTCTTCCCAAGCGATCTTCAACAACTCAAGGTCTGTGTCAGCGAGCAGTTGGTACTCGAGTACCGCAACGCAAGCGTCGCATTGTGTTAAACTAGAAGCAGTAACGAGTCCTGCTTTAATGCTTGGAGAGACGAGGCGAATTTGATATTTGTGTGCTGAGTCGGCCATATCGACCTCTAACTGCCCAGGAGGCTGGAGCTTGTTCGTGCCAAGGCTAACATGTCGCAGTTACCGGCAGGATGCAAGCATTTGCCAGTCCCCATGTCTCCCAGGCAAGTGAATACGGCAGGATGAAGATATCGAGAGACTTATGCTGTTTGTGGTTTGGTGTTCCATAACGATCATGAGTTCGGTGATTGAAACTCTGTAAAACAGAAGGGTTGACAGCTAGCCTGGGCTAGAGAGCGAAGCAATGACCTGAAGCCAGCTCAGTTCGAAACGCCGGTCATTCTGCTCTGACTTCTCACAAACACAGCGGTTTCTGAGCCTTGATCGGCCAAATGCTCTCTGTATGACCTTGACGAGGATTCCTGAAAGGAGGGAAAGCGGGAGATGCCAACCTGACGAACGAGAACCAGCAAGCAGTAGGCGCCTGATCTCGGGAAAGGTACCTGTTGCACACTGCATGACGCTGTCATAGACCGGCATGCTGGGAGACTCGCGGCTACCTATCTGGTACATCACCTTTGAATAGTACACGACGGATAGAGTCGGCAACTGTCCTCATTTTGGTAAATGATGGCGGCGATGAGAGCCTTGAGAAGTTGAGAGGCACCGGACTCCAGAGCACAGACGCGGCACGCCTTGAGTCCTTGGGCTTGAGCATACAAATGAGGGAAGAGAATCAAAGCAACAATGAATAATCATTTGGTGAGTAGATGGAGATGTAGCAGCATTTGTATTCTCCCACGGCTTGTTTGGTGAGTTGCTCTTTCTTCCTACTTGATACTCCGTTCTGAATGTTGAGGTGAACGAGAGGATATTGCAACGTGGGAGGGAATCGGCGATCTCCGTCCTGCCTGCTTTGCTCTATCTAGTATCCGTTAATCAGACAGTGCGTGGTTAAATAGTGGGCCATCTGCCAGGCTGCCATAGTGGGGCACACTGAATGGCGGGGCTGACGCGCAGGGCGAGCGCCCGCGATTGCGGGGTTCAGGGGACTTTGGTTTCTCTCAGAGCCTTCCAGATTTTGGTGGGGTTTGAGCCGACTTTTTTCTTGAAGGATTTTCTGCCTTCCCTTTCTTGACTTCATATCTCGTGAATTTGGTTTTCCGAATCCTTTCTGACTTGCTGCGATTCATCTATACCCGTTTATCTTTTTCCGAGTTGCCTTACTGCCCTTATCTGACACCCATCCTCACCCCACGTGGCTTACAACGACCTGGGACCAAGGCTGTCAAGTCCGAACTAGATACCCGTTGTCTCCTAGAAATACTCAGCTAAGCCATCAAGATGGTAGAAAAGATCTACGTTACTTATAACGATGTGAGTTGACCCAATCCCTTCTCGGGAGGCGCATTCGTACTCGTGCATCTCCAACTGACCCCGCATGGAAAAGGTACATAAGCTTTGCCAGGAGGCGGCCCCTAAGATTCTGGCCGATTTCAAGCCAAACCTCATGATCGCGATCGGCGGCGGCGGCTACGTGCCGGCACGCATCCTCCGTTCCTTCCTCAAGCAGCCCGGCAGCCCCAACATCCCTATCCAGGCCATCGGGTTGTCCCTGTACGAGAAGCTGGACAATTCGACCGACAATGCGGTCGAGGCGCCTGGCACAAAGGTCACACGTACCCAGTGGCTTGACTTCACGGCGCTCGGCGCGATGGAAAACTTTGTGGGAAAGCGGGTATTGATTGTCGACGAAGTGGACGATACACGGACTACCCTTGAGTATGCCGTCAAGGAACTTCAGAAGGACGTCGAGCTGGCCCGGGAACGGCTCGGCAGCGACAAGAAGACCGAGTTTGGCATTTTCGTGCTGCACGTGCGTGCTTCCCTTACCCCCTCCCCATGGGCTCGATCAACGTGCTGACAGGATGAGCCTGCAATACAGAACAAGGACAAGCCAAAGAAGGGCACCTTGCCTGAAGACATAATTAACGGCCGCTACCTGGCTGCCCGGACAGTTGGTGATGAGTGGATCTGCTACCCCTGGGAAGCCACGGATATCGACGAGCACGACAGGATGGCCGCTGAGGCCAAGGCAAAGAAGGGACTTTGAACAAGGAAGTCTTAACGGGAGAGAGAGAATAAGTCCGATGGACATATCAGACAACACGTATATACACAGGGACAAGCGGGCGTTCAGCATTAAGCATTACTGTCCCTGCTTCGATGTGCTACTGCTACAGATCGGCGTAAACCGGCGCCTACCCTCTGAGCAAAAAGGGGCTTGGTGTTTGTTGGCTACACAGGCCTAATTCGGGTCGAACGAAGTACTGGGTGGTCCTGGTTGCCAGGTGGCAGCCGTACAATCTGCGCTGGCCCTGATGTCAGGGACATGAAAGGGAAGGTGGACAACCTGACTGCCGCGCGGTTTGGGCCTCGAAGACCAAATAGTGTACCTCAAAGCATGTAGCGTGAGGAGCGACGAGAGTAAATTAACCCCTGGCCTCTGGTCTATCGAAACACCACGCTCGACTCTGGATATCATATAGTACAAGCCGGCAGACAACCCTATCACCCCCCAAGCGACCCTTCTCTCATATGCTTCTCCTTGAGCCTCTTTTCCTGTTTCATAAACTCTCTAATACCCACCGGCAGATTTTTATACAGTTCCTCGTCCCAAAAGTCCTTGCTTATCCTCTTCCCAGCAGCAGGCGCAGTGGGACTATCCAAGGGGACCCAATTATCCACCGACCCGCCCCCGTCATCATCCATGCTAACGGCGCCCCTATCCTCCGCTTCCTGATGGAACCCCAACCCCTCTCCCTGCCGCCTTCCAGCATCATCAGCAGCAGCCATACTCTCCCCGGTGACCTCGAGCACGCCGGTACCCTCCTCCCCCTCTTTGGACTCGGCAGCAGCGCGCGCCCGCAACCGGCGCTCCACCTCGGCGCTCTTGTCCGCCCAGTCCTCCATCTCGTCGCGGAACCGGTCCCACACGCAGTTGACGCACCCGCTCATGCAGCAGTTGTCGGGCTCCTCGGGTTTGGGGGGAACGAGCACGCCCGCGATCAGCCGGCTCTCGCGGCGGATGCGCTCCAGCCGCTCGGCGCGCTCGGCGGGACCCGCTAGGCGTGAGCCGAAGACGACGCGGGCGCGGGCCTGTACGTCGCTGTTAGATGACGGTTCGTCCGTTTGCTCTGCTTGACTTGCTTGTGGGAAGAGGGCGGGTCCGGGGGCAGATTGTGGTGGTGGGGAGGGATAAGAAGAAGAAGAGGTGGTAGTGGTGGAGGAGAAGGGGACCGACTTGGTGGTGGTGTCATCAGCGGCCGGTTGCTTTGCTTTTCGAGTGCGTCGTGCGGCGGGCTTGGCCTTCTCTTCTGCTGTTGTTGGTGTTGCGGTGTCTGCTGAGGCTTTGGCCGGCGTCTCCTCCGGAGCGGGCTTGGATGGCTCGGCTGCGGGCTTTGGTGCTTCCGCCGCCGGGGAATTTTGCGAAGTCACGGGTGGTATTTCGGGCTTTTCCTTGGGAATCGGCTGCGGAGTGCGGAGGATGCTCTCATAGAACGGGCCTATCGGATGTGCCTGCTCCTTGGACGGCTCAATCGGCGACGGCGGGCTGTCGTCCTTGGTAGAGAGCGTGGCAAAGGTGCGACGGGGCTGTCGATTGCCAAAGACGCGGTACACGGCATGCGCCGGCCGCGCGCAGAAGACACTTCTCCTCATCTTTTAGTTTTGTGCTGAAATGAGTTGTTGTTGCTGCAGTAGACGCTGCAGGCGACACGCTTCTGAGGTGTTGTAAAGAGTTGATTGAGAACTGGGCAAGAATTGCAGTCAACAAGTTTGTTATCGAACGATTGCATTTGACTTTTTTCTGGGTCCAAACAGGGTTCCGGCTTGCCGAGGGTCAACGTCATTGAGCACCAATCAACCTCAATTCCAGATAGGTACGGACAGGTCACGAAGTAAGTGTAGTACTCAGCACACAGTGTAAATCAGCAGAGCACGTGATCCACAACTGAGTAGGAGTAGCAGGATGACAAGACCAAGAGGATGCGAAAGCGCAGAGAAGCGAGAGACTTGATTGCGCTCTAAGATTAGAATTCATTTTTGCTGGAGTTTTAGGGTCTCGTGCATCATCATAGTAAAAGGTCGTGGTGCCGCTAGGGGATGTACGATCGTCGATGTAGACAGTACATTTTTCAACAGATCCTGTACAATACCTCCAGTACTACATTGACTGGGTACACAGTGCGGGATTCGACTTAAGTCATTAAGTCAACTGTCCCACCTCAAGCTCCCCAAGAATCGCAATTTCCAAACAAAACATGGATGCGCACTAGGCTCGAGGTAACGAGACCGAACACGCACAGTTCAACGCGTCGCCAGGCCAAATCTCGCGCCGAGGGTGGATGCGACCATGGTAGTATAGTCAGGAACCCAATTGCGCCAAGATGGAAACCTCGGCGCCCAAAAGACGCAGAACATCGCCGCGGACCGCAATCCCAATCCAACCTGCCGAGGAGTCGGAGTCGACAACACCGCAAGATGCCCCGCCACGCCTCTCTGCCTCACCAACTCGACCCTCGTTTGCGTCGCCAACTAGGGCAAGTCTAGGCAGATTCAACCCCGAGGTTCTGAGACGACGGGAAGCTCAAACTAGGAGACTGCGCTCCTCCCCTCCGGATGCCCCTGGTTCTGCACCGCGCGCCGTCACTCCCGATAGCACCGGGAGTCTAGCCCGGGCCTTGAGGACTCGCCTTGACTTACGTTCTGCAGCCCGCGATGGCGGTGCCCAACGAGGCCCGGAAGAGGGCAGCATTTTGCGGTCTCCGCCGAGACGGCTGGGGCCCACCCACGCGTCGACGACGAGGCCAACTCCCAGACCACTCCCACCGCCTGGCCCTGATGACGACGAAGAGATTTTGAATTCTATTGCTAGACGCGGCCTACGACGAACTAATCTTGGCGTGCTCCCAGAGGTTGTTGTTCCAGAGCCGGAGCTACCCCCAACGCCGGAGCACCCTGATCCCGTTGTCAGCACGCCCCCATCTGGCATACACAACACGCCCTCGAGGCGACCAAGGCGGAACAAGAGCTTGGCCGAGAACATTAAGAGCTCCTCGCCCCTGAAACCGCCCCCCTCGCGCCCCCCTGGACTGCCTCGAAAAGGAGCGCCACCAGAATTCCATCTTCCTGTCAGAGAGGATCAGGCAGCGGCTGCTCCAGCACCAACCACTGCCGAGCTGCGCGGTCTCAAACCCCCGGATCCAGACGCCGAGAAAAAGAAGCGTCTCGATTCTCTCCTCGCCGAGATCAGCCAACTCGAACGCGACATAGACATCGCAAGCAGGGAGAGCGAACGCATCCACCAAGCCCACCTCGCCAAACGCGAAGCTTCCCCTCCCCCCAACAAACACGAAATCCTCGACTTCCTCCGCCGCACCATTCTGCCGCCAGAAGAACCGGATCACGACGTACAGTCCCAATCAACAGATCTGCTCGCCTCGGCCCTTGACCCGATCGCCTTCCTCCCCTTTAGCAAGCCCAAGCCCGCTGCACCACCAGTACCTGCACCCCAACCCCCGAACACGGAAAAAGAAACTCCCAAGCTCACCGACCCCATTTCCCACCGCCCGATCCCAATGTCCGCCTCCGAAGCCCTCCCTTATCTGCAGGTCTTCACCCCGCTGACATTTACCTCGCACATCTCTCTTATCTCCGTTCCCTCCCAAACCCACACCACCACCCCCAACTCATCCGATACCACCACCCACATTTTGCTCCAAAAGCACAGCATAACCGCCATGTCGTCGTCGTCATCGTCATCGCTACGCGGCCTGTTCGCGGCGCGCATCGAGATGACTGTCGACCCATCGACGCTGCGCATCACGGACCTATCCGTGCCGCGGCTCGACCCCAGCGCCGCGGGGGAGCTGGCGCCGTTTGTCGAGCAGATTGTCACTCCACCTCCACCACCACCCGGAGGACGCAGGGACGGTGAGAAGGCGGCGGTGGCGGCGGCTAACAAAGATGATGCACCGCGTCGCCGCAGGACGGGGCCGCTGTACCACAACGTGACTGTCCTTGCCTGGGCCATGGGCGAGTGGCTGCGCGTGGCGGTCCAAAGGGCTAGGGTGTGGCTTGTCCTGGAGCGGGAGTTGCGGTCTGCTGAGGGTGATGGTGGTGGTGATAAGATGGCTGGGTTGGGGGCTATGGTTGCGAGGTTGAGGGCTAGAGGGGAGAGGATGGGCAGACAGGGGTGGGGTGGGTGGGGCCGGAGGAGGAGGAGGAGGAGACGGGTGGACGATGAGGGAGAGGAGGGGCAAGAGGGGAAAAACGGTGATGATGAGGACGGGGCTGAAGGCGGGGAGGAGGAGGATGGTGCGAAATACGAGGCTGCGGATCTCCTTCCATATATGGGCCGCACGAATATGGATTATGATATTCCGGTACTCGATGGCGGAGGAGGGACAGACGAGGGGTCTACCTTGAGAGTGCAGTGGCGGATCAAGTTTGACTGGACTGGCGAGGCGAGGAGTGAGATTGGCGTGCTGGTTGGCCTGCCCGGGAAGTGTGAGTTCCAACCCAAAGGGTTCTTGTTCGAGGATTATGTTGCTAACTGTGTGCAGGGCATCAAAGCGACGAGAGAGGCCGGCTTTCCGGAATTCCGGGTTTATTTGACGAGCTCATTCAGGGCGGCGAGGACCCGCTCAATGCTGTAAGGACGGTGGCTTGTTTGCTTGCGGGGGCCCAAATGGCATGACCGGAGTCTGTATGGGCATGTAAGGAGTTCTGTTGAAGTAGACCGTAAGCATTCGGATTGGAATTGCGTTTGAAGAGGGGCCACTCGGCAGCAGACGGCCAGCAGTTGAGTGTATGGAATCGCTTGACTGCAACACAGACCCCGTAGTCAATTCGTGCTACTCGGTGCCAGCAGGGAGCACATCCGCCGCCCTGCTCGGGCCGGCCCTCCCTCCCGTCCAGAATCACGCTCAACGCCAATCCGTTGTGGACATGCTCATTATTCCAGTTATACAGACGATTATCCCCGGCCATCGCCAATTAATTCGCACAGGAGGTCCACTCCCCACAAGAATATCAAAACAATCCCTTTTCCCTGACCCGATCCTTTTGTTCTATTTAGTCAACATCAACACCCTTCGCCCTCAAATCCGCTTTGGCCATCTTGATCTCGTTCATCAGCTCGGCGTACGCTTCGGGCGTGTCGCGGAAGGTGAGCATGCCCCATCCGAGGCGGAAGAGCAGCCAGGCGCCGAACGAGACGAGGAACCAGAACGGGAGCTAGTTTATTTTTGCAGGTGTAAATAAATATCCCACAAATTGATTCGGTAAGGGTGGGGTGGGGTTGACGCACCACGGGCACAATGTCCTGCTGGATGACGGCCGGGAGGGGGATGAGCTCGAGGTAGAGGGAGAGGTAGAGCTGTTGTTCGTGCGAGCGGTAAATTAGTTTTTGCGCTATGCGGCTGGCTTATCGTGAAGTGGATTGACAACGTACGGAGCTCACGAGGAGCGCAAGGGAAATGGTTTGTTGTGCGCGTGTCATGGTGTTGTGTCGCTTTCTTGTTGTTTGGTGCGATGGGGAGCAGGACTGAGATGAACACCGCTGCACATGCGTCAGTGGTTGGAGTTCCGAGTTTGCGTGGGCAACGCCGTGCGAGGCGCTCCTGGGATCTGGAAGACATGGGTCAGGCTTACAGATTGTGGACTGGCTGCTTGGAAAACGAGATCAATGGTGTTGTGCTGCGAACGACGTAGCTTCCTTCGAGGACAGGTCACTTTTCGGAAAGTTCGAGTCGCATTGCAGCATGCATTTCGCGGCTTCGCCTGTTGTTCAGGGTCTAGGCTTGGCAGGGGTAAAGAGGGTTAGGGTTGCTTCCGCATCTTAACCTACAAGTTGAAACGACCGCTGATAGGATTACTCCGGCATGGTTGGACCCTCAGCGTTATTGTCGGCGGACGAGCTCGAGACCCCTTGGCTCGTCACTTCTCACGAACTAAGTGACGAGCCAACGGGTATACTCTTTATGGGGTACTGGAAATGAGGCCTAACGTGTAGCCTTGCGCTCAGGCGGACTCGGTTATCCTGACAATCGCAGCCCATGGCGCTTGTCGCCCATCACTCAAGCGAGGGCACTATGACGAGGAGAAGGTCTAACCAAATACTTTACAGTTATGGACGGGACTCGGAAAGTACAAGACAAACAGCTGGGAATGAAGCAACCCATTTTCCCTGGGAACCGTTCCTGCAGGCATCCCGTCCTCCCCAGCTTGCCCGCCATCCAACCATTAATATTAATACACCATATCGAACACTTGTCCAACAGAAAACGCTCTCCAGCAATGGCCCGGCTCATACGCGCAGCCATTACAAACAAGCCAGCCAGGAGGTATTAGAATATACACACACCGCAAAGTACCAGGCAAAGGAAAACACCCAAAGCAACTCTAAGACCAACACCATGCTGAGATCCGCGAATACCGAAACCAACTAACCCACACCAAACAAACTGATATCCTACTCAATCCAAATCCTCCTCCCCCTCCTCACCACCATTCTCCTTCCAAGCGCCCATCTCAGCAACAGGGACCCTGCCTCTCAACCACCTAAGTGTGGCCTCAGTCCCGCGCTCCAGCACATTCCACCTCGGGACGCGGAACCTATTCCCACTCACCTCCAGCCGCTCCAGCACACCACCCAGGAGACCGATGCGCGGGTTGAGGTGGGCAATGTCATTGTTCTTGGCATCCACCACTCTCAAACCGCGGATCGAATCCGGCTCCAGGTCGGCCAGGTGGTTGTTGGAGACGAGCAGGACCGTCAGGTTCCCAAAGGTGTCGCGTAGCTGCGAGCCCTGGGGCAGGGCCGCGACGCGGTTGAAGCTGAGGTCGAGTTTCTGCAGGTTCGGCGCGCGGAGGTGCGCGATCAGCGGGCTGAGGCTGGTGATGTGGTTGTGGGCGAGGTTGAGCTCTTTCAGGGCGGGGAGCTCGAGCACGCCGCTGCCGCTGCCGCTGATGGCGCCGAGGTAGTTCTCCCCGACGAGCTGGTTGTATGCGAGCGACAAGGCGGTCAGGGTCTCGGCGAAGAAGGTGAGCGACTCGGGTAGCGAGGCAAAAAGGTTGTGGTGCAGCTGGGCCTCGTAGATCTTGTGGGTTGTGGCTATTTTGGAGCAGATGACCGGGTGGAGAGAAGAGGACTGCGTGTTGGATCGATCGAGCACGCCGCCCGACTTGACCGGCCACATCTGTCCGGACATGGTTTGGGAGCGTGTGCTGACCGGTGAGCCTGGAGCCGAAGTCGGGGGTGTTGCAAAATCGTCCAAGTCGGAGCGGCTGTCATCTTGGTCATCCTGTCCAGGAGCGCCGTGGTTGGTGCCAGGCGCGGCCATATCGCTGGTTGCTGGATCTGGATTGCTGGCAGCTGCTACAGACGATTCGGGTTCATCTTGAGGCTCCTCGGGAGGTGGTTCAAGCCGCTCAAGAAGGATTGCCTTCATCTCTTCAGTGCTAATGGAGCTAAACTTCTTCTCCCGCAGCGGATTGCCGCTCAGCCGGAGCAGTGCAAGGTTCTCCATCCGCCCGACCTCATTGGGGACGACCCGAATGTCGTTGCTAGAAAAGTCGACAGATCTCAGGTTTTCAAGTGCCGTGAAGCCATCAGGAATAGCGTTGATGTTGTTCTCGTCAGCGACCAGGGTGAGAAGGCTAGTCCAGCCGCTAATGTCAGGCAAGGCCTGGAGACGGTTCATTGACACGCACAGCTGCTGCAAGGCGGGCATCGTGACCGAAGTTCCCGGGGAGCAAATGTGGACCAGCTGATTCGACGAAATGTCCAGAGTTTGAAGTGTTGGCAAAGAGTCGACCGAATCCCGGATTAGTGTGCCGTTGAGTTGATTCTTGCGGGCGTTTAACTCAGTCAAGGGCAACCCTGCTAATATCTCAAAGGGCAAATCTTCGAGGCTGTTCTCGCTAATATTCAGAATCCGAAGACGCGAAAGATTGCCAAAGTTTGACGGCAGGGACGAGATATTGTTGCTGTGCAGGTCCAGTATCTCGAGATTCTCCAGGTTGGAGAAGCAAGGATCCAACGGTCCGTAGAGGAGGTTGCCTCCTATCTTCAAATCTTTCAACGAGGTAATCTGACAAATTACTTCAAGACTGTTGTTGGCCAGTCGGTTGAGTGACTGCCAACGTTAGCTAGCTTCACCACAAGTGTACACAGGGACTTACCAGGTTGAGGGAAGTCAGCAGGGACAACCGTCTCAGGCCCATAGGTAAGGCGACTAACATATTTCCGTGGAGATCAAGCGTTTCCAGAGCGGCAAATATGTTTCCTTGTGGGTCCTCGTCATCCATAAACTCTTGCGGGTCGACGTCGGGAAACACCGAGTCATTGATCATCTCCAGCTCGTTGTCGGCAGCGACAAATCTAGTGAGATCGACGCTCTCGGCCCAGGCTGCGCCCGGTCGGCCAACGGACTCGAGATTGTACATGTTTAGCACATCGGCTGGGATCTCTCTCAAGCCCATGGCGGCGATATTCAGCCGCCCGCTCGTTCTGGCAGACTCCAGGCGGCCGTGCAACACCTTAGCCTGCGACTTGTCGTCCCGGTGTTGGTTGAATGGGTCGTTGGACAGGCCAAAGTCAAACGTGGTGTCTGTGGGAACCAGCGGAGGCTCTTCAGACAGGGATTCCGGATGCGATGAAGAGGATTGTCGTGAGGCGGCGGCTCGCTTGGCTGCTTTGGCCTTGGCAATTTGCTCGCGCAGAGCTGCTGATGTCTTCCTGTACGTCTGGCCAGGTTCACTACCATCGTTGGTGGTTGCCGTGCTTGCCGATGCAATTGACGAGCCCGAAGGGGCGGTTCCCTCGTTTGAGGTTGCCGATGATCTTTGCGAGGCCGTGGAGGCCTTTCTGGGCGCCTGAGCAGCAGCCGTCTTCCCAAGCGCCGGCGCCGACGGTTTCCTGTACAGGCCATTGACCGATGGCCTTTTAGTTGGACGCAAGGCCAAGGTCTTTGCGCCAGACGTAGGCGCGGGAAGATCATGGGTGCGCTTGTCCGGGCTGGGCGTCAACGAGCGCGGGACAGGGATCGCGTTGGGCGTCTGCAACCCATGGATTGATGCTCGAACCGCTTTTGCTGGTGTTGTCTTCACAGGCGGCGGGTGGGAAGACTGGACGCTGCGCCTGTTGCGCAAAGGGGTGCCTTCGGCGGCGGAGAGCGCACTATGTGCGCCGATCTGGGACTGAGGATTAGAGATTGGATCATCCAAGCCGCAGCTGGAACCTGGTCTGCTGCCAGCCCTCGATCGCCCACCTGACCCGTCTGACTGACGACTTGGTCCTGGCCGGGTGGGCGACCTCATTGCAATTGCCGTGTCGTAGAATGACGCGGCGCCTTTTCCTTTGACAGAAGGAGACGAGGGCAAGCGAGACAAGGTCTCGATCGTCCTCTCGGCGAGCGAGGGACGTACCTTTGATGCGGAGGCCGGAAAGGTCGACTCGCCGGCATTATCCTCACTTCCGGCAGCCACAGAGCCCCCTGAAACATTGTCCTCTTGCGGCATAGCAGCAGATGAAAGCCATTGCTGAGAACGTTGTTGCCGGAGCGAGCCGCGGATTGCGGGACCTGACCGAGCCTCTTGACTCGGGAGCTGACCACCTCCCTTGGCAGCGTCCAGCCCAGCTCTCGTTGGCCGGCTTTGCGGTGACGAAACAGCGCGCAAAGGAGCCGCAGACGGCGGAGGGCGACTCGCCGTCGCTGTAGGAGTTGCTAATTGGTCGCGCGAAGGGGTCGGCCGAACTTTGGGGTTTCGCAAGCTGCCCGTACTGGCGCCTAGGGATTCTCGCGACGGAGAGGCTCGGACGGAGTTCGATCGGGGAACCGGAAGCTTGGAAGCTGTCGTTGGAATCTTTGACGGCCGAGGGATGCCGCTCTGTTTGGTTTGGCGCGATTCGTCCATCTTTTCTGACGGGAAGCAGCGTAGTAGGAGGGAGCGAACAGCGAGGAACGAGGTATTGTCGATTGCTTTCACAGGAAGGGTTCCCGAGACCCAATGGCACCAACTAATGAAGCCCACTCATGCGGAAACAAAGCTGCGAAGAGAGAAATTGGGCGAGCAGAGTCAGAAGGGGAGGAGCCGGGACATTGCCCGGCTAGCGTTTGTTGGTTGAGCTCAGGAAAAGAGCTTGGGCTTGACAAAATGCGGATCGGCGGTGATGCAGCTTCTTTCGTTGGCTCGATAGCGCGTTAGCGCGTTCCAGGGCTGAGGTTGGCGGCTTCCCCAATCCCCAGGTGCTTCTAGGTGGAGGTTCCAGAATCCAGACCACGCTCAGCTCAGCGTCAACCGTCCACGCCGTTAACCGAGCCTTGAGTCACACTATACCTACACTTTAGAGCGCATCCTGTCGTCATGATTGCCCGCTAACTGAAGGTTCTCAAGTTTTCTGTCGTTTTGTCCTTCTCCTCTTCCCATCTTTCTCACTATGAGTACTGAGTACAATAACTACTGCACTCCGTACCCTCTACAGTGTAGGTTGACGCCAAGGCCAGGTACTGTGACCGAAAAAGCAAGAACACCATGCTTCCAGTCAGTTGACAATAAAAGGGAACCAACAGCTGGATTAAGCGGTTCGCGGTTTATATTCATACGTGACCATCTTTCTATCCTAAGCCGCATTAACGTACACCTGCAATCACAAGGCTGGAAGCGGAGGGCTTCAAGACGAGCGTCGGAGAACACCGCTACGAAGGTACTGATACTTATTGCCAATTGCCGGCCTGGACCATGCCGGAACCCCACCGAACGGGCCGGGTGCGGTCCGCCACCGGACCCGTCAGACCGGTTGAACGCGAGGAGCTGCCGCAGTCCGTAACACAACGGCCCTGAGTTACCCCACCAGTCCGATCTGGAATCCCAAACCTCGCACTTTCAGAGTCTACTGCCGCCACTACATCAACCGCCTTCTTGGAACGTTTGCCTGGCAATCAGTCTACTACTACCGAGTACATACGTTCGGACAGTGCCGTATAAGTGTCCAAACATGAGTGGCATCACCGTGCAGCGCAGAGCGGCACTCGAAACTGTGAAACATGGATATCACGAGGAAAATCCGAGGTCTTGGTAGCAATCAACAGAAGTGGAAGAACCCGATAACTGTACCGTGGGGTTCCCCGGGCCTAGGAAACTGGTGGCCAGCAAGCACAACCCATCATGCTGACGCGTAGGTTGCGATCCAAGGAAGGATCAAGACACGAGACGCTTATGGATCCTGTGAGAAGTGCCTGGCAGCACAAGTTTCTTCCTTTGCACTGCCTTCTCTTGAGTGTTTGCCTCGTCCATTTCCTAGACCGATAAGACAAGTACAATCATTACCCGCATGCCCGACTCTGCATTGAGCGTGATATCTACAGATGCAAGTCAGCGAGGATGCCATACAAGATCCGCACCACCGCAGCGCGGCAGTATCCATAACCAGACGAGAGCGAGCCCTGGCGGCGCAAGAGAAAAGACGAAAAGAGCAACACGAGCCGATGAAGCCGGCACAGACTCTGCTCTTGACCGTTGCGGGTGCAGGCATCACTTCGGCAGCGGCGGCGCAATCCCTAACATCTCAGACAGCAACAGCAGCACTCGGGCCTGGCTACTTATGTCGGGAGACAAATCTCGCAAACATACCATCCTCACCACAGCTCATAAGATGATAAGAAGGCCCCGCCAAATCGAGACATCCGTACGAATCGTGACCCTAAGCCCAGTAAACAGGCCCACGAGCACCACCACCTTCCGGCCCCAAACCTCGGAATCCCCGCAAGAAGACGGCGGCGACAACAGCAGCAGCGGAACGATCCGCACCACGAGACGAAGCAGCAGCAGCAGCAGTGCCATCACAATCACCTTAACTGCCCGTCCTGCAACCACCACCACCTCTTCCATTTCCTCCGCCTCATCTTCCCTCTCCTTCTCCTCCTCTTCAACCACTTCAACCACGCAACCGCCATTCTCCACCAGCAGCAGCACTTCAAGTCCCCCAACCCTACCCTCCTCGTGTTCCACCTCTACATCCTCATCCTCGTCAGAAAGCACCATCACCCAACAGAGCGCAGCAAACGGTGACGGGAGCGGAGGCGGAGGCGGCGCCCTCTCAGCGGGTGCGGCGGCAGGCGCCACGGCAGGCGCGGTATGCGGGCTGTTGTTGCTGGCGGGGGCGGCATTTCTGCTCTGGCGGTGGCGGCGGCGGCGCCAGGGCGGGGTTCGTGGGGCTGAGATGGTGACGGCGGGTTACTCCCAACCACCGCGGGGGTCTAGCGGTGTGATGACAGGTGGGAGGGCAGGTGCAACCATGTTTGGGGACGGGAATGCTGGAGCTGGGTTTCAAGCAGGGAATGGCGGGATGGGTAGCGGTAGCGCTGAAATTGGTGAGGAAGGGGGAGGGGGAACAGTACTGTTGCCTGGATGGCATGCGGACCACGGAGAGCATGGCGGTGCGGGGCCATATGCCGATGCCGGGCAACAATGGCAATGGCCGAGCCCAAGCCCGAGCTGGAACATGGATCTCCAGTCGGCGACCGGCTACGTGCTCCTCCCAGCCCCCGTTCCCGTACCCGTCGCCGGGCAAGGGCCGGGAGGGTACCCGTCTCCTGCACCACCGCAACCACAACCGCAACCACAACCGCAGCGACCAACGGAGACCTATTCCGTTTCGCCGCTGAGCGAGACCTTCCCGGTGGCCAGTTCAAGCGATTACCGCGTGTCGTCATTGTATTACCCGGACGCGACCGAGATGGCGACGGCGGCGAGCGTGGTCTCGACTATGCCAAGTCCTGATCTCCCTGAGTTCATGATACCCGGAGGTGACAGATCGAGGGCGGCGAATGTCTGTCGCGTGTCGCAGATCGGAGGAAGGACAGCGAGGCACACCATGTTGCGAGCCAGTGGTATCCAGCCGCAGGTCGGTGACATCGAGCGCGGCCGCAAGAGAGAGGTGAAGAGAGGCTGCGTCTAGGACTTCAAGCGATTTAACGACCCCCGGGTGGTAGATGGGTTAGAATCGCTGGTGAATGGATGGTCCTATCCGGAGATCGCCAGCGTCATATCCGACCCCCTCCCCCCCCCCACCCCCCCCCGCCCCCTCCTCCTCCCCCGCCTTTTTCTTTTCCTCCATAAGCGCGTCGGTAAACCTTGCCCAAACAATCCTCTGGGCAAAAATGGGCTAAGAGAAATCCCAATTCATATCAAAGATGCCCGCAATCCAGGACTCATCCTCATTCTGAAACAGCGGCATTCCACCCATTCCATCCAGAAACGGCTCATTACCAGTAACCGGCGCGTCGCCAGCCATCGCCGTCGCCGCCCCCGGCATATATTTCTTCTCAGCAGCCGCCATCTCAGCTCCCCAACTATTCCGAATCGCCAGCAGCATTTTCGCAAACTTTGCGAACCCGTCCTCCTCGACAACGGAGGAGACAAACCCACGCACCCGCTCCTCAACGACCTGCTCGAACCCGGCCTTCAGCCGGTCGCATACGTCGAGCAGATCAATCTTGGCTCGCACGGCGCGCAGATCCCAAGCTGGATCGTCAAGGACGGAAAGCCGGTAGAGTGATAACAGGCAGTGCGCCATGTGGCACCAGTAGCTGAAGGTCATGCCCTCGTAGACGTAGCTCGGGATGGAGAAATGCCGGTCAAACCATTCCTTGACGGCGTTTAGACAGCCCTCCATGGCTTCGTACCGCTGCAGGTCGGGAATGCCTGCGTTGAGGGTGGTGGTGGTGGTGGTGGTTGGGAATCGGGGCTTTGCCAGGCCGGCTTCTTGGATGACCAGGTCCGTGTAGGATTTGTGGCCGAGGACGGTGTCTGGTGGGGGTAGGTTAGGAATAACTGGTTGTTCAGAGGGGGGGGGGGGGGGGGGGGGGGGGGGGGGGGGGGGGGGAGCAGTATGGTGGTTGACGTACCGTTTTGCTGGAGATGGTTAGGGAGTTGAGCCTCGATGGTCTGCAGCTGCGTCCGGAGGGCCGAGAGATAATAGGCCGGGAGCACACCGTCGGCTGACTGTGAAATGGCGCGGGTCAGCTGCTCGAGGGTCAGCTGGATCTTGACCTGGGCCACGAGCAACTCATCGCCTTCCCATTCTGGTTTCTGGGAAAGGGTTTGAAGGAACTCTTCCATGTGGGGCGTCCAGGTCAGGGCATCCATCCGTTTGAGGGAATGCGAAATTCTGGATAACAGGTCAGTGTCTGGGAGTGAAAAATCAGGTGGGAAGTACTGACTGCGAGGTAAGATAAAAGCACGCAAGTACGGCCCGGCGCTCGTCGTTCGTCTTCTCTCTCGGGGGGCGCTGGCAGTCTAACGCCTTCAGTTCTCTCGAGTGAGGGGCCACGGATTTGAAGCACGCGGTAATGTACGGCTCAGTGGGGACCTTGTTGAGGCCCAGGTCATAGATTAGAGATTTTGCAAGGGAGGCCAAGACGGAAAGAAGTGGCTTGTCCTTCTTGAAGTGGTAATGGGTCCTGTCGGGTGGATGTAGGTTAGCCGATGGCCCTCCTGGATGGTTCGGTCAAGGAAGGCTACTCACCACCCCAGTATCACCAAGATGCCTAGAAGAAGATCAAGGCTCTTCTCATGGTCGAGTATCAACTTGTTGGCCAAAAACCTCTTGATGGCTGCACTCATTACGAGGCGGCGATCCACGTGCCTGCAGGTGACCGTCATGATGTTGAACCACAGAAAGGGGTACGCTTCTTTAAGCCTCTCCGAGGTCATGGTGTCGGGGAGGTACACAAAAGGCAGAAAAATAAGCATGAATTTGCGGAAAATTGCCAGGCTTTCCTCGGCTTCGCGGGGCGTCGGCTGGTAGATGCAGGCGGCAATGGGATCTAGCTCAACGGGATCGGGAGGAGGCGGAGCAGGTGGCGGAGGAGGGGTGGTCGTCGACCGCGTCGTCTCTGGCGAATGGAAGAGGGTTCCCAGGAGAGAGCCACAGGAGACGGGAGCGGGCTGGAGCCTGCCAGGTTTGCAGTTTGGTTTCTGTGGAGGCAGCGCGGCGTGGATGCCCAACTCCGGTGGGCTCTCTGCTGAGTGGCTCGAGTTTGAGAGACCGCTTGCGGCGGGTGTGCCAACGGAGAGACTGCCGGCCGTGTTGGCGGGGGAAAGCGGCTTCATGTTGTCGGCGGGGCCGGTCTGGTGACGGAGCAGCGTAACCAGGTCCTCGAGCTTCGCTTCCAGCTGGGCTGCCCGCGACACATGTGCGCGCTTGCCATTGCGTTTTCGGACAGAGACAGATGGGATGCATTCCTTCTTTAGTCGATGACACCTGTTTACACGTTAGCATGAACAGCCCGCCATTGGTGAGTCCCGTCTCAGCCATGTTCTCCAGCGGAGTGGAGCGGATCCGGACAAGCCCCCCGGAATCCACAATGCCGGCATTCAGAGCACGGACCCGACACGCACTAAACCGGGACGGGATGTTCCCGACACGGCATCTCTCTGGCCAGATCTGGGTTTGCAATGTCCAGACACAGAATCCAGAAGACAAACGCCGGCCTATGTATCAAGCACCAGAGCCATACCTCTCACAGTCAGGTCCGCCAGTCCGGTAAATGCACCGGCACTTCGCCCGAGCACAGTTCGTGCATGCTCTCCCATAGGGTGCCGGCGTGCCGTTTGTCGACGCTGCGGCATCGGGATTCATCGCACGGCGGTTGAGGTGGAAACAAACGTCTTGGTTAATGAGGGTTAGGGTTGAATGAGGATGGGCTGAGAGGAATGCGGGCCTGCGATGGCTCTCATACTCGATGCATTGTTTCGAGGCTTCAAGCAATCTGGTCGGTGGAGTTGGTAATTGGATGCAGTCAACTCCGTCGGATTTAGGCAGCGAGACACTGCAAAAGAGAGGCAAACAGCTTTTGTTATGAATATCAGCAAAGGTTGGAAGAAGTTGGGAGTTGGGAAGCAGATGCTGACGAACGGGATTCGGGAACATTTCTTGCGGTCCGAAATCCGCTGGACGCGGACTTGGAAAGAAGTCCCCGTCGGGATGTGGGGCCCGACCAAGGACCTGGAAATCCCACGGGCCACCACAGAAAGCTTAACGGGCAAAGCAACGTGGGCCCGCACTAAGTTGTTCGTACCTCCGTACCTGCTCTCGGGCTCTTCCATATTCAACGTCGTACATTTCAGCTCTGAGCATATATCCCCAAGCGGCAAGGGCCGCAAGTGTCTGGCTGTTCGAGGTTAGTTGGTATCTTGACGGAAACAAATATTCAACGTTTCTACCTGAGTAGAATGGATCTCAAGACGACATTATCCCAGGCTCTCGTGCACGCACATGCAGACAAACCACATCAGATCGTAAATCTCACATGCAGCATTGTAGGGGCAACGCGCAGCTCAACAGGCAGGATGCCATTGGAATTGAGTCTGCCGGTGCGCCGCTTGGATATTGGCTACCCAGGCAAATGATCCTGCAAACAGGAAATAAATCCCGTTCCCGTTCCCGCACCAGCAACATCACCGGGCCTTCAATGCCTACATCAGGCACTCGGGTCTGCCTCTCGATGAAATCTGACAGCCATGGCGCACTGTTTCTTTCCTTGCTACTACTTCTGATGCACCACGATTTTTCTTTCGTTCGTTCATCTCGACCGTAGTGTCAAGATAATTACATCTTTTGTTGTAATGGCCGATTCATCATCACTATCAACGGCGCCGGTCCGGGATACTGCAGATACTGCCTCGTTAACCGGCAGCATCCGCCATGCGGCCGGCTCACCTCCGTCCGAAACCGCCAAGTCGCAGCCCGCAGACGTAGTATCCCCGCAAGACGATTCCAGCTCGACGGATGCCGCCAAAGAGACCACCGCCGCGAATCCCCTCGAGGTGCCCCAGTATGTGAGTGGCCTGAGGCTGGTGATGCTGACATCGTCCGTCACGCTCGCCGTTTTTCTGATGATGATCGACACGTCCATCATCTCTACTGCCGTAAGTCCTGTTTATTTCAACTTGAGGTTTTCGTGCCGAGATTTGCTAACTCTTCGGCTTAGATCCCTCGAATCACGGACGAATTCCGCTCCCTCTCAGACGTCGGCTGGTACGCGAGCATCTACCAGCTGGCCAGCGCTGCGTTCCAGCCGCTGTCGGGCAAGATCTATGCCAAGTTCAGCACCAAGTTCACCTTCCTCGTCTTCTTCGCCATCTTTGAGCTCGGATCCCTCATCTGCGGCGCGGCAACCTCGTCGGCCATGCTCATCGTCGGACGTGCCGTCGCGGGCATGGGCTGCTCCGGCCTCATGAACGGCGGTCTGGTCATCATTGCCACCGCCGTACCCCTGGAGCGGCGGCCGTCCCTCACGGGGATCATGATGGGCTGTTCGCAGCTGGGCATCGTCATCGGCCCGCTCATCGGCGGCGCCTTCACCTCGTACTCGACCTGGCGGTGGTGCTTTTACGTCAATCTGCCCATTGGGGCAGTGGTTGCTTTTGGCATGCTGCTCGTTCCGATCCCGGATCAGTTCGCCATGCCCCGTCCGCTGGACGTTCTCAGGAGGCTCCACCATGAACTGGACCTGGTCGGGTTCGCCCTCATCGCCCCGGCCGCTGTTCAACTCATGCTTGCCTTGCAGTGGGGCGGCAGTCAGTACCCGTGGAACTCTCCAACCGTCATTGGACTGTTCTGTGGTGCCGCGGGTACGGCGCTGGTCTGGGGAGTTTGGAATTGGTACCGCGGCGATGAGGCGTTGATACCCCTGTCTTTGATCAGGCAGAGGGCTCTGTGGGCTGCTGCACTCACTCAGTGGTTTCTCTTGACCACGGTATATGCCGCGTCGTTCTTCTTACCCATCTACTTCCAGGCCGTCTTCGGTGCCACCCCGATCATGAGCGGCGTCTACGTATTGGCCAGCATTCTCAGCCAGCTTGTGGCGGCGGTAGTGTCAGGTGTGCTAGGTAGGCAGTGCTGTCATGCTCTTCTTGCCCGGGGATTTGCTTCTAACAAAGTGTGATAGTTGAACGGACCGGGTACGTCATACCGTACGCCATGGTCGGTGGTGCCTTGGGCGCAATCTCAAACGGCCTCTACTCGACGTTTACTCCGACCACACCTACGGAGCGGTGGGTGGGATACCAGATTCTCAATGGTATCGGCCGCGGAGTGGGCATGCAAATGGTAGGCCAAACCCGTCGCACATCCCCTACTCTTAGGAATGCTCTTAAGAATGCACACTAACTCTTCCTCGCAGCCGATTCTTGCCGTTCAAGTCGCCGTCAAGCCGCACCTGCTGTCCATCGGCATGTCGACCGTCGTTTTTATCCAGAGCCTGGGCGTCGCAATCATGCTTTCTGCGTCCGATACCGTATTTCAGACCATCCTGGAGCACGAGCTACCGATTCAAGCACCCCTTGCAGACGCTGCCGCAATCATTTCCGCCGGCGCGACCCATTTCCGCAGCATCGTCAGCGAGCGGGATCTGCCCGGCGTGCTGGCGGCCTACACCCTCGCCGTCGACCACGTCTTCTACCTGGCTGCTGCCGTCACGGGCCTAGCGGTGTTTTCGGCGATGTTCCTTGGATGGACCGACCTGCGCAAGGTCAAGAAGGTCACCGTCGTCGATGCGGAGCAACCGAGGGAGAAGCCCCTGAAATCTGAAGACAGGGCCGAGACTGACGGGGGGCTAAAATCCGTAGACTGAGGGCATAGAGGCCATGAAGGACTACTATCCGCACAGCTAGATACCTTGCACCTATCTATAGACTTGTAGAGATTGGTTCGCGGCGTTCGCTCTCCGGTCGGTTAGCGGTGATGGCGCAAATCTGGTAGAGTTGAGAGTAAAGCTAATGGCTGAGCGCCTCTATAGTGCCAGACATTCTTTTCTCTGCCATCACTCTCCCATCTTTCACTCTATGTGGTAGATACTCATTTCCTTCTTTGGAGTCTGGGCGCATTTCGCTCGTGGCCAATGTATAAGTTTCCTGCTGTTTAACTTATTCCAATTCCGAATCATAGAGGTACTACTAAACGAGACTAATACCAAGCACCAAGAAACACGCTGTCAGAAACCAGACTGGAGTGACCGATATAGGGAAACGAAGAACAGAATGAAGGGAGAAGGGAGAAGGGAGAAGGGCAGAAAGGTAGAATGGCAGAAAAGGGAAAAGAGGAAACAAGAAAATCAGGAGACAAAGTACGACGTATAGTACCTCGCATGTATGTGTCCTGTCGCCGGTCGGGTCCTTCACTAGACCAAGACTCTTATTTCCTTGTCATGTTGATGTCCACAAGCGAACACCAAATAAGCCGCATCCTGGGCCCTTCTTCCTGCTCCTAATCCTTTTCGTTTCCACCTAAGCAGCTTAAATAGAGTCAATAGAGAAGAGAAAGAAAAAGGCAGCCCCGGGAAACAAGAACAAAGGAGCACATCGAACCCATACACCACTCCCCATATTACGCAATAGGGTAGCACTTTGGATGCCCTCTGCTTACCCCCCTGTCCAACCCTCAGAGAGGAGTACACGGTTTGGGCTCCCTCAATACCCTTTCAACGCTCTTCCGTTCCATCTTCTTGGCATAGTCTTCCGCTGTTAGGCCGTTGGGGTCTCTTTTTCCCTTGTCTGCCCCCCGACTGAGCAGGACGCTCACTGCTCCTTTGTGACCCCTCCTAGCCGCGTAGTGAAGCGGTGTCATCCCGTCCCCGTCGCCCGCATCAATGGTGGATACATCTTCCAGCTTGTCCAACTTGTCTAGCAGCGTATTGATGATGGTCTCGGATCCATTCGCAGCTGCGCAGTGTAGTGGTGTTTGCCCCTCAAGGTCAATTGCTCTCACATCCGCTTCTTTATTTAGCAAATACTCCGTCACTCCTTCATGCCCATATTGGGCTGCGTAGTGCAGCGCTGTCAGTCCCGAATAGTCGGCGGCGTTGACATCAGCTCCGCTCTGGACAAGTTTCTCCACGATCCGTTCGTTGCCACGTACAGCAGCTTGGTGTATCGCTCCCGTTGCGCTCGCCTTCGCTCCTGAAATGAGCAACCTCTCTACCTCCCCCAGCCAATCGTTTCTGCACGCTTCAACAAGATTGTGCTCTTTCGTCACTGGTATGCTCTGGTCGCATGTGGAACACTGGAGCTGATCATTCACCGACATAAGGCTCCCGCTCAACCACTGTGACTCGATCGTGTCGGCCTGAGGGCGCTGGTCTCGGTTGTTGTCTAGCATCTTCCGGCAGAGCTCGAACATCTCCGCATGCTGGCCGCGTGTCGCTATGCGCTTGTCTAGAAAATCATGCACCTTGTTGATATTTCTGGCGTACGACCTATTTGCGCCAGTTCCGACTATGTGAACCAACTCTTTGTAGTCGGCCGAGTGGAAGAGGGAGAGGAGCATCTCAAGAATCACCGCTCCCAAAGAGAAGATGTCTGCCGACCGGCCGCGGGTCCGTCCTGGAGCCTCGTCCACTTCCGGGGCACAGTAGGATGGTGTCCTGGGCTTGTTCCACCCAGGCATGGTCGTTGGTACCGTCTTCCCGAGACTCATTTTAGATATCCCGAAGTCAGCCAAGAGCACCTCGTTTTTAGCATTTACGAGGATATTCGGGGGCTTGATATCCCTATGTCGAATCCCCAGCCTGTGAATATAGGCTACAACTCTTATCAAACATCCGATCCATCGTTCATTGAGCTTGAAGTTCAGGCTATCGGATCCGAGGAATTTCGAGAGATCTCCTCTTTCAGCATTGGCCATGACGATATAGAAATTGAGTATATTCGGCTCAGTGGGAGGTTTGTAGAAATACGTTGCGATGACTTCTATGGTGTGAGCATGCCGGGCCGCACGCATGATTTTGGCCTCTCTTTGACAAGTGACTTTGGAAGTTTCTAGAGGCATTGTATCTTCATGCTTGATTCGGATGGTCTTCTTGACCACTACCTTCTTCTCTGGATCTTCTGGACGGACTCGTATCGCATAGTCCACATCCGGATGGGAGCCAACTGCCGACTCGTTGCGGGAATTGACGAATGGAAGGTCAGCGTCGTTTTCATACTCGACCACTTCATCATCCAAGGAGTCGTGCTCCATAGCAGAGCTGAGGGGTCTGATGAAGATCGATATCGTGATCTGATTTTGGGTCCGTCTAGAATGGTAGGTACCTTGCTCTTGGTGCTGAAGGTTTAACTAACATGAAGGATCCCGTTATCTCAGGAACAAGATCTCTGATTCATTTGATTCTGGTAGGTATTGTATGTATATAGTAGTAGTACTTATCAGCGCTGGCGCTTATGTGCAGAAAATATCATTCCTATTCCGCTTTCTTCTCTTCTTTCATTGGGTGTGATAATTCCACGGCGATAGTCGTGGAGATCCCAAAGCTGGGTAGGCAGACAAGTAGGCAGGCAGGCAGGCAGACATCACACCCTCAACTGGAGGTGGGTGACTGTCTCCTTCCATTCTGCAGCCAATCCCTCGTTTCTCGGGCACTCTTTCCGTGCTTATACGAAGACGGGTTGTAGCTTTGATGGTGATTTGCTCAACAAGCAGCGCGGAGCGCAGAATCTGCGTCCGGATGCCTGTCCTACCCTCCCCCAGGGGCCAGAGCCTTCTTCCCGGTCTCGCGGACCCCTCTTTCTTTCCTCCCTTTCGGCCCCACCCGGAGCCGCGCTCCCATACCCAGTGAGCCAGTTTCTACACATTCACCAATGGGCGAAAGGTTGCCAGGCTCGCCAGGCCAGCCGCCCATGTGAGTGCCTAGATTGTGTCGCAGACACGCACATTCAGCCTTGATCAACCAGTTATAAGCCGGAAGAGACAGTCTCTTTAGTCTTTCGGGCTATGAGATTAAGGTAGTGAGGCTCGCGAGGTCCTGCGGGAGAAATTCTTGGATCTAGCCTATCGCACGGAGCCCCACATATCGCAAGGGTCCCAACTCCTCCCCACACCACCCCAGATTACACAGTAGGCCCAACTTTTGTGCCCCACTATTGGAACTTGCTCCCGATTTCAACACAAGTCTGGACACACTCTCAACTCCCGAGAGATGACGCGTTGGTTTTGCAGCGGTTTCATTAGCCACCGACTATCTCGGTGTACTTGTAGTACCTACAGACGAGCAGTCGCTACCCTCCCTCCCAGGTGCATTTTGAGCTCTGTCTCTCAGCTATCGGTAAGGTCCTCATGCTGACGCTTTCCGTTCTAGCCGAATATGTATTACTCAACATTACAAATAATAATAAGAGCGAGTCGAATAAGTGAGGGCCTCGAAATCTAGCCTTGGACGACGGCCATCCACACCAACCTTTCCTGCATTTTGCATTTGAGTACAACATAATATACGGAGTACAAGGCAGACTTTGCAAATCCAACAAATTCATTGGCCAGGTTCTATAATTTTGCTGCATCAGAAGCGAATCGAACACGGGGCCCTCGATGGCAACGATCGTTTCTTCAAGTTGATGAAGCCACCTCAATCAAAAATCTGTCGGCTGTCGTGCTTTTGCATCCCGATGACGCTAATTGCGGCAGGCTTAGCGTGATTTTGATAGGAGTTGAGTATGCGACTTACAACGGTTACACCTGTTGGAGCTACCATTTGGCAGCTTGGCTCGTCCTCCATATGCATTTAAGGGGCACTATCGCTGACCAGTGCAAAGTATTGAAAGCAAGGTGAAGTTAGTTACCTCATGTTTCTGATCGTTGGGCGCAAAAACAAGCCGTTGGGCAGAAAGTGTCCCTAGATGTACAACATGTATATGCAAATCGTGGCAATCATTTGCTCTATGCATGTACGTTCTTGCTTGTGGCGACCCGATTCCCGCTGGTTTTTGCCTTTGGAAATGAAGGTTGTGTCACTTTCAAGTCGCGTGGCGAGACTGCCGACCAATATCTTACCGATGCTTCCTGGTTAAGAGGACTCTGTGTTGTACAGTGCATACCGCTGTAAAGCAGAAGCGAGTCTGGGCTCTTCAGTTGTCTTCACTCACTACATGCCCGTTCACATTACGCAGATCCGACACCACCGTACCCAAGGCTTTAAGCTCCTCATAGAAGCTTCGCTTCAAATATGCTACGACATATTATACAGTAAGAAGTGATTTCCCCAACACAAGCACCTAGTCGCAATATTTGGCGGCTATGGCAACCGCAACCAGACAACGGCTGATTAGTTCATGGCACAAGCTTCTGGAGATCGATAACGAATCCAGCGGCAGGCACCGGATGGGGGAACTCAGCAGAATCTGAACTCGAGAAAGGCAAACGCAAGAACGGAACTGTTGAGACGAAACAGCCCGCTGTCAAACCCTTCAAGTTGCAGGATCAGCTTCGGTCCATTGGCGGAGATGATGTCGGACGATTGGCCGTCCTGAGCTTCCGAACCTTGCAACTCTACCGGATCGCGGCGCTTCAGAAGAAGCTCGTTGAGATCCAAATGGGCCTAGTGAAGGACGGGAAGGAGCCGCCACCTGATACTGACACGATAATCCAGAACTATGGTAAGCGGCCGAGAATATGTCCAGTGCAAAATCAATGGCAGTATACTCTTTACTTCGGTACTAGCTAAGCAACACACTAGCGGATGCAATCCGAAATTACGAGACCTTAACCCAGGAAGACATCGCGTCTGGCAAGATACAAAGTTACGACTTCCTTGGAGGAGAAGGGACAGAAGATGACTTCCGGGTGGTGAAGCGGGAAAACTTGGGATCTGGACGGATGGGGATCTGGCACCCTGCTAGTCTGACGGTGGAAGCTCGTCACAAGCAGTTGAACGAGATCGGCCGTCTCGGATTTCGCGAGCTGGATAGAAAGAGACGGCTAGAGAGAGATCGCATGTCGAGGTATGCTTTGCGGCTCCGCATGGCCGTGTTTGGGGGTCTGGCTGTCATTTCACCCATGTTGATTATGGCTCTCGTGCCGGGGCTGGTGGTTAGCTTGGTCACGACGTCGGTAGCAACCGCAATATTCGGCGCCGTTATGGTCATCATAGGCACGGATTCCAGTGGGAAAGACGTTCTGGCGTCAACAGCCGCGTATGCTGCTTTTCTAGTTGTGTTTATCGGCACACACACTTAGGTCACTAGTACCTTAGGTGAACGGGGACAAGATACCTTCTATCTGAACCCTACCTAAGGTACAGTCACCTACCTACATATCTAGCTTGCTCTGTTTATTACTACTTGTACAAAATACCACACAGGCCGGTCTTGATGACTGCCTCTGGGAGGGATCAATGCTTCTCATGCCTTGCAAACACTCAATACTACATGTAACATACCGGTACTACCTACAGTCATCTCGTCCTGGAGCTAACTACCATGAATGATCTGATATCCGTCGTTTCATAATAGTCCACCAGCATCTTGAGGATTTCCTTATGCCCACTCAAAGCCGCAAAGTGGAGTGCAGTAAGGCCTTCCTTGCTCTTTTGGTTGACGTCGGCCTTTGCCTTTAGTAGGATGTCCACGACCCCCTTGTTTCCCCCTTTGACTGCAAGATGTAGCGCCGTCTGGTTCCTGCTATCTCTTGCCTGAATATCAGCACCTCTTTCCAATAGCAGCTGTACAGTTTCCTCGTGCCCATGCCGAGCTGCAAAGTGCAGCGGTCCCCATTCATCAGCATCCACCTTCTTGATGTCTGCCCCTTGGTCAAGAAGCAGCTTCACTATGAATTGCTGTCCTCTCCCGGCTGCATAATGAAGTGCGGTCCAAGCCTCTTTATTCTCTGCGTCTACCTCCACTCCCTTCTCCAACAAGACCTCAACCACCTTTTCGTGTCCATTTCCGGCCGCATAGAAGAGCGCCGTCTCCATTCCATTGTCCTTTGCGTTGACGTCAGTCCCGGAGCCAAGCAGACTCCTGACCTTGTCCACCTTGCCCGCCGCGGACGCACGGTGTAAGGCTCTGGGTCCATTTGCCGTATCTTTCTCTTCGCCGAGTGCCGCTTCCTCGCACAAAGGGCACCGCGGAATTGAGGAATCTGAGTCCAGAACCCTTTTCCACCTCGAACGTAACTCTTCGGCCAGAGGTCGAGCGTCTCGGTCCGGGTCCAGCATATCCCGACAGAGGGAGAGCATCTGAGACTCCCAGGCCTTTGGGGGCGGGTCTGTGCTGGCAAGCCATCTGTCTACCGTATCGATGTAGTAGATGTAGGGCATGTCATGGTCAGACTGGAGTTTGGTCCGGAGTTCGCCGATGAGCTTGTCCTTGCTGCCGCTGGAGTGAGCCAGGAGCATCTCAATGAACACAGCGCCCAAGGAGAAAATATCCGCCGCTCGGCCACAGTTGCGTCGTCCTTTTTGCACCTCGGGCGCACTGTAATAGGTACTCATCGCCACCGTTGTTCCAAGAGCCCATCTCGGCGCCGTGCTTTGCCGTGTCTTCCAGCCGTCTAAGGCCGATATATCAAAGTTTGTCAAAAGGACCTTCTCGTTCTTGATCAAGATGCTTTGCGGCTTGATATTCAAGTGCTGGATCCCTTGCTGATGGATATAGGCAACAACACCAATCAAGCAGCCGAACCATTCCACCCGGGGCGCCTTCTTGCTAGTGAGATCGAGATAGCTCACCAGGTTGCATTCTGCAAGATCCATGACGATTGCAAACTGGAAGCCGTCTGCCTCGTTGTAGAAGTACGTCGTGATGATGTTCACGATGTGATGGTGGCGGTTTCGGCTCAGTATTGAAGCCACCTCCCGGATCCTCTGTTTGCGAACCTCTAGGCGACCGCTGTCCGCGTCGGTAATTCTGATGGTTCTGCGAACCGCAAACTTCACGCTGTTGGAATAGTTCGAGGTTGCCCTTACTCTCATTGCGCGTCCGGAAGAGCTCAAGGCTGGGTCGTTGCCATCCGGCACGAACGGAATGTCTCCATCTCTGTAGTACTCCCTGGGCGGGTAGATGGCATTGGAGACGGAGACGGAATTCCCCATGATAACGGGTATGAACTGAGCCTGCTTCTTCTCTTTCGAGTTTCGGTGCACTGTGCTGGTGGAGGAGAGGGTGAACGACTACATGTAGCAGTTCAGTGCAGTCGGTAACGAACGCCTAGCTACCTACTAGTACTTGGATAGTATGGTCGCCTCCATGCCAGCCGATGTTGGCTCGGGGGGGAAGGGCTAGGGGGAGGAAGGGTGTGCGGGTTGGATGGTGGACGGGATACGAGGCAATTCTACACCGAAAGATCTGCTGACCGCGTAAGAACTTCTCCTTTTTCTCGTGAAGTGTGATGGTGGGACTTCTTTTGTTCTGGGCAAACCGTTAATTCCTGCCCTGCTGACGAGGCTGCGATCCGCCTGCGGAGTACTGATACCACCTGGTACCTATGTTTGGCCATTTGACCATTAACACTTGAACCTGAGCAAGGTATTCAGGCTTTTCGGATTTGGGAACTTTCAACAGTAAGGTAGGTAGTGGTAACACACCATCTAGCTAGGCTGAAACCAATATCACGGCTGAAGGTGTGAAGGTTGGCAGCTTCGCTCCTATCGTTTACTCTATAAGGCAGAGATGGTGGCCATGTCCACAAACCATGGTCTATAGCCGGGTTGAGCATCAGCTGGACAGGTTGGGAGGGGGGTCTTGGCTTTGAAGCAGGTGGTGGGCTCACCTCATCTCCAACATGACTGCACGAAAAGTAGGTAATCAAGGTAGGTAAGTAAGAAGGTATTCCGAATGGGGTCACCGAACCACACCTGGCAAGGCTGGCAACATCCCGTCCCTTAGGTACGGTGACGACTCGACAGGCGTCACGGTTCATTTGAAGATCTTGCCAGGTTTGGCAACAACAATCCACCTCGGCTGCACGCGCTATTCAATAATGATGGTAACTTGGTAAGTATGGACCGAGAGACTCTCCGACGAGTGACGGAGACTTTCATACCTGGGTGGCTAGCTTTAGGGCCGGCGAGCATTGTTAGGTTGGATCACACCTTCATCTCGGGGCGCGACTAATTGGAAACCAGTGGTGTAGGTAGAATGCGCCTTCTGCTCTCAGCCAAATGCCCAAGGTAAGGTAGGTACTAGTACTAGGTACGTAGTACGTACCAGCGATGAGCCTTACGCGACTTGAGAGTACATGAACTAGGTACCTAGGTACCATAGGTACTAGACTTAACCGGGGAGGATTTGAAGAGATGAGGACTGGCTTCCCCCAAATTCTCAAAGAGCAGATACCACACAGAATTTTCTGGAGTCCATTCATCGGAAGCAGATATTGTCTACAACTGCGTTTTACCTTGCCAATCCCCAACAACCGGTGACCAGCACAAGATGGCAAACGGCTCCCTACCTTTTGGCTACGACCATCGCGATTATAAACGCGATGGCGAGATTCCGTTTCGGCCAGCGGGCAATGCCCCAGAACTAGCCCAATATGTCTGCGAAGTAGTGGGACGTCTCGAGCCGGACTTGGATGGGAAAGTGGCCGCTCGGAAGAGGATACATGTGCTACAATCGTCCCCAGACCACATGCACCCAGAAGCAGCACGTCAAGCTGCTGAACGCCAGCTCAGAAGAGAAGCGAAATTCCTCTACAAAGCCAGACACCGGCATGTCGTGAAACTTATCATGACGTACTCCAGTCCGAAAGCCGATGGAGGTCTTTCTTTCTCTATCGTCATGGAGAAGGCAGACCACGACCTAGAACATTACATTCAGCGGGGAGAAATTAGGGTCGAGTGGTTTGGATGCCTGATAAACGCCATGGCTTACATTCACGAACTAGGCATCTGGCATAGAGACATCAAACCGAGCAACATCCTGGTGAAGGATGGAAAGGTCCTGTTAGCCGACTTTGGCGTGTCAAGAGCGCACACGGGAAAACACAGGCCTTTGATTGCTAGCAACTCATCCCGCAATCAGGTTCTACCAGGAACACGAATGTATTTTGCTCCCGAAATGGAGAACAAGGAGTCGATCGGCGGCCTACCGGCAGATATTTTCTCCTTGGGACTTGTGTTCCTTGAGATGGTCGCTTCCAAGGATTGTACGAACGCGCAGCAAAGCTTCCTTCGGGACATCAAGCACAAAAAACCTTCCTTTGCCTGCGAGCTTGACAAGATCCACCTCCTGATGGAAGAGATAGGGTCGTCGTGGCCCACCTCGCAAGGCCCCGAGCATTGGCACTCCCAGATACGAAAGGTCGGAATTCCCCGTGCCTGCCTCGCCATGCTGGATAAGGGGCCACATAAGCGACCTACGGCTGACGACTTGCGCTCCTGGTGGAAATATCGGAGAAGAGAGGAAGCTCTCGGTTGTGCTTGCGATGCTACCCCGTCCGACGACGCTGAACATGATCGTCCTACTGAAGGAGACCTCAGGAGGGCCTATGGGATTGGCTATAGATTGACGTCGAAGGAGCTGGAGAGCGATGGGGTGCATATCGACAAATGTACCATGCTCCTAGCCGCTGCCAAAGGGGGCCTGTGGGATCTTGTCGAGGATCTAGCGAATACTCTCCCCAGATCCGACGTTGCAGCCAGGGACGACGCCGGCCGAACAGTCCTCCATTATGTGGCCCGTGAAGGGAACAATGAAACGTGCCTGCGCGTTGCAAGTAAACTGTTGGACAAACTAGGTGAAAGTGCGAATATTTTGACAAGAGACGGCAACGATAAGACCGCTCTTCGGATGGCGGCGGAAAGCGGGTGTCCGGATATGATATGGCAGCTTCTGCGACGTCTCGTACCAAATTCTGGCCACATGCAACGAGCACACTCCATACATACGTTCTTACGTCAAGACGGGACCAAGAAAGGCGCTGGAAGCATGATCGCAGATTTTCTACGCAACAACAGTTCCAGCGTGGATGAAACAAGGATCCAGCTCTATCGCCGCGAAGTTTTGTCCGGGCTTCTGAACACCATCACCATCACGGGGACCAAAGGCGCCAGAGAGGATGAGGCTGCCTTGCTGTGGAGAGCTGACGTGTATCACCACGGGGAGCTCTGTCCTGACGAATGCACATGGGCATTGTTCGAGGCCGGTCATGATATAGAGGAGGAAAACGAGCATAAGCAGACACCACTGTCAATAGCAGCTATGCATGGACACGAAGCCGTCGTGAGGCTGTTGCTTCATCACGGGGCCGACATGAACACAAAAGACAAGCTCGGCCGCACCCCGCTTTCGGTGGCCGCCGAATACGGATATAGTGGAATAGTGAGACTTCTGGTGGAGAGGCATATGGCGGAGCACCAGGAGCAGCGGGGAGGAATCGACCACAAGGATGATTTCGGACGGACGCCACTGCACAAGGCGTCTGATCGAGGGCATTTGGATGTTGTCAAACTGCTGCTCGACGAAGGCGCCGACGTCACGGTGCGGGACAAAGCGAGCCAGACAGCGCTATCGAGGGCTTACAAAAATGGGCACTGGGCTATTGTGAGCTTACTAGTTGAGGAGGGAGCCGCCATGGACGTTGAGGCACTCAAGGTCCTGCATGGAGAGGCTGCCGGGGAAGGCCATTGGGCAGCGACGAAGGTGCTCGCCCCTCCTAAAGAATCTCAAAAGAATGGAGATTTGGAGAGAAACAATTGTAGGAGGATAGAGAACTGGATGGTCATGGCACGCTTGACGGAATTTCTTGGCATGCTCCTGGAGATGAGAGTAAAGGATATTGCAGGGTACTGGACGACTTACATCTGGATGGCTTGTCTCCTGGCAGTAGCGCGGGTGCTACTGATGAGCACCTCAGCGATATCATATGGTCGGAAATCACCTCCTGGTTTTGGGGCAGCTGAGATTGATGGATTAGAGGCCGCAAGCCTAACGTATGGGTACCAGGCCCCAGAGGTCCCCTGGCTCAAGATGTACTTATCCAGACTCGGAGCCTACCGACCATCCTAGAGGTCTGGTGTTGACACAAGCAATCTACCTGTTCTTTCGGAGTCAATATCGAAGTGAAAAAGGATTGTTTAATAGTCTTATGGGGGCTGGCCCTGCTCTGCAAGTATCCGGCCGCGGACTCTGGGTGAGCGTATTAGTTAGGGGGTGGCTGGTGAGTACATACAATTAGGGGGTGGCTGGGGTGACGACAACAAAAAAGTCGCCAAACAAGAGCACGCGACTTCCCTTTGTTGATCTGATTAAACTTATTCATACTGCTGCACACAGTGGATATGTATCACTGGCCGTGCACCAAGTGAAGCCGAGTTCTCTAATGCCCTCACCGGTTCGGAGTCGGACATTCTGCTCTCCTTCGGCCACGGCCACGGCTCGGGAGCGTACAACACTTCCAGTCGATGTTAAGCCGCAACAGGTCCCCTGCCATCAATCTTCACAGCTGTCCTACACTCCATTCATTTCTTATCAAGTGTCTCCTTGCCCTTCAGAATGTCGCGGCACGAGGCACAGGCCATCATCCCACATCCGGGACAGCAGAATGCGCAGCGGACCTGCCGGCGCTGGCACCGCTGGCACCGCTGGCACAAGTGCCTTCCATCTCGATATTCCCACCAGCCTTTGTGCAGGCACGCTGTGTTTGTATTGGCCGGCGCTGCCTCCTGGCGCCAGGATGTCCTCGATCTCCAATCAGCTGCGCCATTTTCGGTTGTCTTTTGTTTTGCCTTTCCTCGCTTCCTTGTACCTTTCTCTTCCTCCTCCTTCGCCCTTTGGGCATCTTGCGCCTTCCTGTCTTGTTCCGCTCTTTGTTCCCGCTCGGCCCTCCGTTTTCTCTCTTCAGCTAGCCTCGTTCTTTGCTCCTCTTCCCATTTGTGCATAGCTTCAGCTTGCTTACGTTTCCGCTCAAGGCTCGCCTCCCTCTCTTCCCTCCTTTTTTTCTCCCTCTCCAGACGCTCGGCCTCTTCTTTCCGCGCCTGCTCTTCCTGTTGCCGCTGCTTTTCTGCGAGCCTTGCTTCCTGCTCCGCGTTCTCCCGCTGGCGCGCCACGAACCGCCGGATATTCACCCACTTATTGATCTCCCCCTCTATCTCGTCAAGCTCATTTTGGAGTGTGTTAACCCGCGTCTTGTACCTCTTGGATTCTGCTTCAAGCACAAGCCTGCCCGTCAAACGCTCCGTCTTGCGGCGGGTTCGAGCCTCCCGTTCCTCGGGCGTCACCCTGGGGCCGAACAGCATGTTGTACCAGGATCTTTGGGCTGCCTCCTCCATGGCGTCTCGCTTGGCTTCCTCATCAATCCCAGCTAGAGAAGAGGATACTTTGTCGTGGCTCCGCTTGGCCTCGAAATGTTCACGGTAGAGCGTCGACTTCCGTTCGCGTAGGCTACTTAGCTTGGCATCGAGCTCAGAGAGACGGACAGTATGCTTCTGCACCTCGTCCTCGGGAGAATCTGTCTCATTGGCCGACTTGCTCTGTGATGTGGTCTTGAGTGGACTGTTTGCTGTGTTATGGCCCCAAAATCGGATGAAGGGATAATGATTCGTGTCATAGTCGCGGCGTTGAGCTGGGTCACTCAAGGTAGAGTAGGCGGCCTGTAACTGTGCGTGCAATATCGTGTGAGGCCGCGATACAGAGCGTAGGGTAGCTCGGTGAGAACTCACCAACTGAAACTGGGCCGTTGCTTCGGGATTGTTAAGGTCCTTGTCAGGATGTTTGAGCTTGGCAAGGCGTTTGTAGCTCGACCTGATCAGCGTCTCGTCTGCACTCTGTGTCACGCCAAGGATTACATAGTAATCATGGGTGATCCTTGCGGGAGCCATCTGCTATTTCCTTGTGTAGAGCTAGAAGATCTGTTAGGTAAGGTAGGTTAGCGTAGCAGATTAGAGAGATTCCGAACTTGAATAGCTGACAACTTCACGGGAGCAGTAGTTGATGAGGATCTTTTGGTGCGTGACACAATGCATGTACGACCCCCTTTTGCGCATGTCACGGTAGGCCTCATGAGGGGAACACACCAGTAGAATCATTCTGATAAGGGCTGCAGTACCTTCCGACGACCAGTAGCAATTTATATCGCGTCTAACGTTTCGTAATAGAGCATTGCTGCAAGACTACCTGGTAAGCATGGAGAATGCCGTTCTGTCCGGTGTCAGGAGGTGCACTCATCCAACTCCTGAGGAGTGAGGACTCTTAAGACCTGCTCAGTCTTGGTCAGAACTGCAGCCTTAGTGGTCTCAGGACTCGGCATCAGGGACTGGTACATTCGTGCGGCATTGGAATTGGCAGTGCAAGTTGCCGAACAGTGAAGCCATTGCAGGAACACAAGGTAGACTCCAGAGCTACAACTCAGCGTCCGCAGCTCAACACATCAAGAGGAGTCGGCTTACCTTGCCTCATCATTCCTTATAGATCAGCACTTTGGACCGTCTGTCACTGTGACAATGAGGTTACAACCATCCATATCAATATCATGAATGTTAAATAGCCCTCTTAGGTGACTCGAGTTCATCCCTATTTGCCTAGTCTCTTTCTGACTCGGCTCAGCCTAGCGTGACCACCTCCGTCTTTGGCGGTGTTTGTGCCCACGCATCAACGTGTGCCCTGCCGATGCCGATGCGGTATGCCACGTCGTCCACCATCTCGACGACCAGGAATTCGCAGAGGCAGAATGGTCGGGACGCGTCGTACCACTGGCGGTCAAAGGGCAAGGGGTACTTCCAGCCACCTGGGCTAATGCGCTCGTCCGGATACAATAACATTGTAGTGTGCCTGACCAAAATCAAGTCTGGGTCGCCATCGAGGTCCTCAAAGACGATATCATGGTCCTCGGCGTAGCTGCCTCTCGTATCCGGTTCCGGATCCTCCTTCCTGGATCCGATCTCTCCTGAGTGATGGCTGTTACCCACACGAGCTACGCGTACAAACTTGTATTTCTTCGTGCTGCTTATTTCCCTCGCGATCTTGACCGGCATAGAGAAGAAGCCGACAGCATCTTGGTGCTCGTCGATGAGCTGGAACTCCATAACCTGAAGGGTCTCGTGGACCACGCCTTGAGGTATCCATGCCTCGGACATGGGGAAGTCTATAATCTCAGTTTCGAACTGCAGGTGTTGGGTGCCGGGTACGCAGTTGGGCCCCTGAAGCCGCGCCAGCTCCGGTGCGGTTGGGCTCCGAAACCAAGCGGCCTGGTCGGACGAATGGTAAAAGTAACGGAACCCTGATCTGGCCCGCTGGTCTGTCCACTCCTGTCGCCAGGCCAAGCGGCCATCCGTTTCCGAGCCGTTCCCAGGGCTCGGCGAGCGGTAGTCGTCCGAGGTGAGTCTCTCACCGGTTTCGTGATGCACCCACCTCACGCGCGACAGGCGGTTTTTCCACCGGTAGTGGACAGGACCAAGCCACCCGGCCCATGACCAGCTGGGGAATTTGGCTCCTCTGGCACAGATGCGTCGTTTAATGGCGCCTGCAGGCTCCCAACATAGACAGTAGTCGAGTTCGGACTGAGTAAGGCCGTAGAGGAAGCCGCTCCGAAACACAACCCTCATGTTCTGGGCGATGCCGGTAAAGGCGTTGAGGATATCATCCGGGTAGGTGAGGTTGCGCTTGGTGAAGTTCTCGACCGTTTTGATATACGTGAGCACGTTGATGCTGCCGTGATGGGGAATAAAATCACTGCCCGTATCGTTCATGGGCCATGTAACAAGTCTCCGGGCTTCGGCCGGCATAAGCAGATCCTCGGATAGATACGACGGACTGTGACGGCACTTGAAGAACATTTGCTGAGGTGTGAGGAACAGCGTCCTCTTGGAAAGAACTCTTTCCTGGAAAGTCCATGCTCGGGTATTCCACCTGGCGCCATCGACTGACCTCGCGAAGTTCCACGGCCGATTGGCCAACCGCAGACCCTGGACTGTCTCGATCGCCTGCACAATGGTGCGCGTACCTCCTCTAGCCCCAGAGATGCTAGCCTCAGCGTTATCACCGCAGGTGGACGCTAGCGTCAACTTTGACGCACTGTAGATGTTGTCCATGGCCCGGATCTGGTTGTCTCTGTCATTGTCGTCGTCTTGGATAATGCAGAGCGCATCGACCCAAAGATAGCGCTCCGCGACCTCCTTACAAATCTCCATGGCGTCTTTGATTGTCTGGGGAATCTGGGAGGCGAAGGGCAGTAGCGGGTCTACCAGGGATCCGTCTCGTTCGATGAGCTCGTCCTTGTTGCTGGTCAGGAGCTTCAGGATTCGCTTGCCGGGGGGCGGCCAGACGTAACTCAGCGTTACGTATTCGTGAAGCGACTCGGCAGCCACAATACAGCCCCTGGTGACGTCGATGAGGCGGAATCCGCGCGGAGGCTGGCCGTGCGGCCGTTCCGATTCATCATCTTTGTGCAATCCCAAGCCCATTTGGCACGTTCTAATCCATAAGAGGGCCAGGTAGAAGTCGATCCTGCCTGGATTTACAATCCGGCCGACGCCATCATGGATTAGGCTTGGCTTCTCCCGGACAAATTGAATCTGGCAGTTCCGCGGTGACTGTTTCCAGTTGAAGGGGCTGGGCGTGGTATATAGATTGAGCTGTCTGGGCTTGGTGGGATCTAGGGTCTCCCCAAGAGGCCTAAGATACAGCAGTATCGGCTCTCCATTGTGCTCAGTTGGCTCAACGCCGCAATCCGTGACTCTCGTGGTGTCGATGGCCGCCTGTACAAGACGGCAAAAAGCACAAAATTTGTTCTCGAGAGCCCTCTTCAAGGTGCCAAGAGGTATGTCGGGACATGATAGGAATGGAGCATCGAAGAGCAGATATTTGAAGTTGATGTGCCTGCAAACTTCGCAGAGGAACGATGGGTCGGTTTCTGGGAGGATCTCGCAATTCTCGAGCCTCCAGGCTGGCAGTTGCGGATTGTTCATTGGGGTTAGTTGACTTGCCATTGTGAGTGTAGTAACGCTCCATAAAATCGCATGGGTTTATCGCGGTTTCCTCCCTTTGATGAGATAAGATGAGCAAGCCTGGGCGTACCTTCCTCTCCGAGTTCAAGAACTTCGCGGTGACTATACGAATCCCGCGCACATTTCATTTTTGAGTCTAGGTTCTTTCCTTCTATCCAATTGAATTGGAGGCGCCGGGGCAGATCACATTATCACATTTCTAGCCCTTTCAGCTCTAGCTACCTATACAACCGGTTAGCAGGCAGTTAAGAAAGACTAACGTTATTGAAGCCTAGGCTCATTTTAGTAACGGAGGCCGCAGTTAACAGGATCGAGGGGCGCCTTAATAAGTCGCACTGTTGCAGGTCTTTCATTACAGTATGGTCTCCCTCAAGGAGCAAGTAGACGCTAAAAAGTCACTGTAGCATATGATGAAAAAGCACGGGATGGAGCCGGGAGTACTGAAAACTTCTCCTTGGAGTCGGTTTGCATTATGATCATTGCTCATGGGCGGTGAAAGTGATATCATGAAACTCGGAGTCGTGCTATATCATGATCTCACATTTACCGAGTACTTCAAATCGTGGGGGAAAAGGAAGAATAAACCGTTTCGAGGGAAAGAGCGTTACTATTTTCTGGACTTACCTGGGTAATGAGTAGGTATCGTATCTCAGTCTGTACCGACGCTGGCGCTGCGAGAAATCTCGGTCATCCTCTCGAAGAAGTTGACCGAGAGAAGCTCGTGTCTTCGACTCGGAAGTCGAGTCGGAGCCGCTGGCGGTTGTGGGCTCAGGGGTAGCAGCCGGCTTTGGGCTGCGCAGCCGCTTGTCAATGGTCATGACAGCGACGGCTGGCCGCTCGGGGAAACGAGGGTTTTTGCGATCAAACTCGAAGCGGGAGTTTGCCTTCTTGGGCCTGGGTTGAGGCTCAGGCTTCTCGGGCTTCGGGCGAGCGAGCCCGAAAACACCCAGCCATCCTGCGGTGTACGCATCGCGCATCTTGCGAGAAACCTGGGGAAACCAGGCATCATCGGGCATTGCAGCGCGCAAATGCGCCATTTCGCCTAGCCAGATGGCACAGTCCGGGTTGGTGAACCACGGAGCCTCCTCGCTGGCATTGGCATTGGCATTGACATCTGTTGAGTTCTGGGCACTGTTTGTGGGGCTCTCTTAACCCCTGTTAGAGATCCCTGACAGCCCCTGAGTCTGTGGCAAGCTCTCTTTTGTATATATATAGTATCTTAAAGCTCCCATCTTCCTTTTGTTACCTCGAGGCACAATTTACCTACTTTCTTCCTACCTGCTCATGCTCCCGCCTTCTCCAGGGAGCTTAACTTACTACATCCACCATTCTCATCTTCTCCGTGTGTCGCAATAACATCCTCACCCTTCAGCGCAGCAGCAGCAGCAGCAGCCTGAGCCGCAAGACGACGGAGCAGGGCCCGAATCCAGCCCTATTCGCCGTAAGCCGTCTCGGGCTCATTGACCAGACTCCATTTTACCGAGCGGAGTGCTGCGGCAATAGCTTCAACATTGAGGGACCGCTTTGGCCCAAGCTGGGCGATGTTCTTCGCCGTTGGGACGAAGTCATCCCCCATGGCCTCAATGTGAGGCAGGTGAGATTTGAGAATGGCCAAAGCCTGAGGAGGCAGGGTGTTGACATACCTCTTAAGACAGGACGTGACCTCAGGGTTGTTGAGCCGAGCTCGCCACAAGATGTTGGCCAGCAGCACAAACTGCTTGACTTCTTCGTTCTTATGGACCTCGCCAACCGCCTCCGTCCCCTCGGCCTTCACCCTCGGACGGGTGGAGTGTTTGGTGTTGTAACCAATACGAGTCATTGTCGCAAAGGCGTGGTATGTACCTTGGGTACTGACCTGTGGTGGTTGGTGTGAGTAAGACGGTCAAGAGTGGATGTAGTGGATGGTGTAGTGAGTTAGGCTGAAGTAGTCAGTCTGAGAAAGCAATGATGAGTCGATGACAGGCTACACTAGACCATGCCAATGCTACGTTTAAATACACTTCCGGTCCGTCGAGGACACACCATATAGCATTGAAGAATTAACACACAGCAAAGAGCTTGGAACACTCGATATGCAACAAGATCGTAACCCGCGGACAATGCCATTCACACATTACACTGTGACATTAACAAGACGTGAAAGAAGCTTGAGTGTGAACTCCTAAGTTAGGTACTTGTGTCCTTTGATCGGCCAAGACTTGATAAAGCAGGCTGTGATGCTGTGTCAAAGCGGTATCTCCTGAATTAGGACCTACTTAGGTAGGTACTTAGCACTACTAGTAGTCAATCCAGTCCACAAAGAAACAACTGGAATGCAATCGTTTCATTGACACTAAGCACCGAACAACGCACAGCAAATGCTTGAAACGGGCTGTCATGTGGTCTTCGAGTTACCTTGCCTACTAGTAGGTACTTAGATCCTTACATATCTTTGGATTTAGCGTTGCATTCCAATGCAATTGTGTACCTAGCTTAGATAGGTTGCCTTGAGTGAGACCTAGGATATGTCAGCTGTTGATGTATCTACATGTAGCATTTCAAACTGGAGCGGGTAAGCTGGTTGCAGCAATTCCAGTCTCCAAGATGACCCAGGTTGTACTCGGCTAGGTAATCTCCGTGGGCGATGCTTCACGTCTGGTATAGTACTGCCTCGGGAATTTGACACACCCCATGGAATTGAGCGTCCACCCGTACAAGGTACACACCTTCGCCCCCGGCCGCCACAGCTGCATCCTCAACTGTCTTGGTGTCGCTGCCCAAGCCATGTGTACTACCACAGCGTCGAGACTGCCTACTTACTGACTCCAGCGTGCCTAGTCATGCCCACTTCCAACTTTGTCCATCCGGGACTGACCAGCTCTATACTCTCAAGCTCGGAACCAGACCATGAACTGCTCCAAACTATCTTCAAGATGAAAACTCCTGACGTATACCCGCAAGCCAAGAAACAGCCAGGGAATGATCTGCTGTTAATGACGCATACTTGAATTGCCCGGCCTAGAGAGCCAGCTATGAAAGAAAACGAGCCAATCAACCGCTGAACCATGTGATCAAAGATCATGACATTCTCTTCTCCTGCAACGACGAAAAGACTCTGGTTGAGGGGGGCGTCATCACGGGCGGAGACGAAGGCGAGTAGTCTTCTGTCCCAACGCCCGTCTTGATGAAGGGTTTCGTGAGTGCGGTCTGGTCGCTGTATGATCACCTCCGTCCTGTAACTATTTGTTGCCACTAGACGGTGATCCAGGGAGGAAACCGCACAGGACATGATTCTGCGTCTAGGGCCATGGTAGCTGAGAGGAATTGTTCGTCTTTCCACTCCGTGTGCATCGTATAGGGTAACGGCTTCGCCATCCTCCCCCAGAAGGGATAGACACTTATCACCTAGGTAGGTAGTGCATGTAGGTGAGTTGTAGTTTAGCGCAGAGACACGACGCCCGAGGTCCCGATTGATGTTGGTTGTAACTTCCAAGGTCATCTCTGACACCTTACCCTTAACTAGGCGAAAGGAGAGTTGTGTAGGTGGGTAACAATCCCACACTTGCAAATCTATTTGGTGAGTGCCGACCCAGCCGACATGTACCGGCAGCCCATCCATAGGCAACATTTGCCGATTGGGATCTCTCTGAGCAGTGCGAACAGAAATTCGACGACTCTTTGGGTTTAGAGACCACACAATATAGTGGCTCCCGGACCCAGGAACCACAACACCAATCAGTCTAGCTCGGTTTCTCGGCTTCATTCTACCGATTCCAGGTGAAAAGTACAATGAGATTTTGACGAAAGATAACCACCCCTTTGAGGGTTTGGAGGGATGGTGAAGCATTTCGCGGCAATCCTTCGGCCATTCGATGTACGAATGCTGGGATTTCGGCCACAAGATGCCGACGCCTCCTTTGCCGCACCATGCCAGTGATTGTCCGTATGGTGTCGCCGCTATGTGATACAGGTCAGCGCTGGACACAAGACTCTCTGTCTCGCTGGGCTGGTCGGCTTCGGCTAGATTCCTGTCATCGACTGGGAGGGAAGGGGTACTATCGGACTTAGAGGCATCGAAGGGTGGAGTGTCACTGGATACGAACTTGGGTTAACCATTCTTCCTAGTAGCAACAGGGCTGACGCGAACATACCTGCATTCACCACTGTCCGGAGTAGTTGGTGCGTCACCATCCGCGTGTGGCTCTTCCGTTATGGTTTCAGCAGGTGACGGAGAAGAATGGCCAGGCTCAAAACTGTATTCCGGTGACGCATAATTCGTTAGCGAATCCAGGTAGCGCTCGAGCACAAAGTTCGTCTGTGTTGGGGTTGCTGATGATCCGTTGGCATCTCGAGGAGCTTGCTGGTCACTCCCGTGCGTGGCGACCAGCAGTTTGCGAAGTCTCTCGATCTCGGTGAGAATTTGACGTGTGTCATGCTGTGTAGCGGATGCGCCAGGCGATTTCCATCGTTTCCCTCCTGCACATCAGCTCTGGTATCTCTCAACATAGAGATGGCCGCCACCTCTAGCGCGAGGTTCAACGCACTGCGATGCGCCTCAAGCGTAGACCGCAGCTTGTTCACCTCGCCGCGTCCGTTCAGCGCCCAGCGAGCTGCGCGGTCCGCACGGGATACGCCACTATGCTTCTTAAGCAGCTTGACGATGTCTGAGACGATGACATTGCAGTCTTTGAGAATGGAATGGATGCTTGACTCCAGTGTAGCTGGCAGCTTTTCGTCTCTGAGAACATCAAGGACAGTGCTGAGAACGTGTAGCTCGCCCGACACAGCCTGAACTTCACCTCGCGCCTCACGGCATTCTCGGATGAATGTGACAGTGGCAGAAGAGGCGCTCAGGACGGTATCTAGCAGGGATACGCAGGCCGCCGTGATAGAAAATGGATCCATAACGAGCAAATTGATGGAGAAGAGAAGTCAGCCTCCAGGTGAAAGCCTCGCCCTCTCTACCTCTCAAAAGGGTCTGCATTCTGCAAGCCACTGCAAGCTGAATGTAGGTGACATAAGCAGCCGCCATGTGTACCGGTGTCCAACTGGCCACCCTCCTCTTACAGAGGAGCGATTTTGGCAATGGCTCTAGTCCGCCAGCAAGCCACTGCAAGTTGTGTATTTATGGGCGCAATTTCTGCGTGGTTGTTGACTTTGAGAAAGGTACAAGTAGAGAGATAGTGCCTCAAGAAAATAAAGTTTTGCCAGATGGATATAGGTACAGTTCAACCCTTGTTTGTGTGTTAGCGTGGAACTTGCCCCAACTTTTCCACCCAACCACAGCCCAAAGGTACCTAGTTACAATAACTTTGGCCAATCGAACCACGCGCATCTGGCCCACAAACCCTTTTCGGGCTTACATAACCTTCGACTTTTCCGCCCTGAATCTTCAACCTGGACCTCACTTTTCCCTTTGTCCAGATCCACCGCATGTACCACGCTAACGAACAAACAAGGGGGGGACTGTAGGAAAGTGCCTAGCACGCAGCTGTCTAGCGCGGTCTACGTTAAGCTAGGCTTAATTCAGTAAGGAGGCCCTGGCCCCTGAACCTACGTCCTTGGGCAGGAGCAGGGTCGCGGTCCGCGGGCGACGGGAAGCAATTTTTTTATTTGGGTAGACCTTTTTTCGTATCTGGGTAGACCTTTCCCGCCCACATGTGTGCAACCAATGGGCGCGCTCCTCTGCCCACCCATTTTTGCAGGGCAGAAGAGCAAGCCACAGGCCAGGCGCATTCGAGGTACATACTGCCAGGTGCCCACGCCATCTTTGACTCTCTGGCTCTCTGGCTCTCTGGCTCTCTGGCTCTCTGGCCCTCTGGAGCGCTGAAAAGCTCAAATCTGCATCAAAATCAAGCGTGTGCGATTTCAGCAAAGCTGACATAAGCAGCCCCTTTTCGCCTAGCTCCCGAACTCGCTCACCCCCTCTTACCTTTGCCAACCATATAGACTTCGTGCAGCTGATTTGACTGCAGGTACCGTGGCCACAGAGCTAGCGCGTTACAGCCGCGTAGTGATAACTTGAATGACAATTGTAGGTAGTCACCAACGCTGGGCTTACACTGGGTGGTACAGATATGTCCGCCTGAAAATGTTAGGCAGTGAGGTCCGGCCTGTGGCTTGCTCTTCTGCCCTGCCAAAATGGGTGGGGAGAGGAGCATGCCATTGGTTGCAGACATGTGGGTGGGAAAGGTCTACCCAAATACGAAAAAGGTCTACCCAAATAAAAAAAGTGACAGGAAGGGTCGATGGCTCGGGGGAATATGGGAACCTGGAAAAAGCTTCAAGTTACAGCCCGGCCCCTCCTTTCCATACAGTACACCCTGCTTCTGCATGTCGGTACCTATTGCAAACTCCTGCCATGATACTCTAAATCCTGGTAGCCCGAATCAACACCGACGCCAACAAAGCCACCGCTGCCACGCGATTAAGCGGCGCTGCCAAGCAGCCAAGCCATGTTTGCCAACGACCGCCAAAGGATGCTGGACCAAATCGCTTGGGGCATTGGGACGTCAGACACAGAGTTCATCGAGACTTGGAAATACTCACCGGTATGTACATACAGTACAAGTACACACCCAACTTGCACACCAACTTCGAAGAGCAGCCACCAACTGACGCGGTCTCAGAACTCCTCTCCCCCGTATCGCGTCCGCTTCGGAAAGCTAACCGATGCCAATGTTGATGATTGGCTTCGGCAGCGAGCAGAATATGCCCCGCCTTCGCCACCAACAGACGCAAAGGTGATCGGCGGACTTCGCCTTATACTATCCGAGAGAGGTTTCTATCGACCTCTGAGCTTCTCCCTCAGCAAGGAGTCCTACCTCCGGATTGAGGACGAGTTTCATCTACCTGAAGCGACCCTTCCCGGACTGGCAGATGAGGGGGGCTCCTGTTCTCGCTATGATGACTATGCCGAGGATGGAGACGCCAAACCCAGCAGGATAGGTAGGTAAGAAGCTACAGGTACTCAAGTGTAGCTACACGTACAATGTCAAGATGAAGTAAGTCGACTGACTGGGCTCACATGCCAGCATTCGTCATACGAGCATTTCAGAAATATCAGGTTGCCAACTACGGCCTTGCCGTATCCTTCGATTTCAAAACCGGTTTCTCTACCGGAATATTACATGGCACGGGCGTTGTCAACAGCGAGTTGGATTTCTTGCTATGGCCCAAAACCCCCTCGGCAGAGCTTTTTGATGCAATCGAGGCCAGCGCCGTCATGTCGGCCGAACCACTGTACCTGCCAGTCATTCTCCTTCAGCATCACCTGTACCGTACCAAGGTGTTCTGCACTGTACACATGGAAAACGACTATAACAGAATTCAAGCGCAACTGGGCACGACCCGTGCGGGCCGACTTCATACCATGGGAGAATACCAGGATCCGGTGGGCAACAAGACCATAAACGAGGCGAGAGTCGGCCTGAGGAATCTGACAGGCGAGCTCAGCACCTTCATGACCGAAAGCATCTGGTTCTGCCGGATTTCCGATTGGCACGTCGAGTACATCAACTTCCTTTCCGACGCATTTGAGCACGTATCCAAAAAGGCCGGACGGCCGCAAGAGGATGAGCAGCGGAAGATACGAGATGCGATCGAGTACTTGCGGACAAGCGTCCAAGGGCTGAAACGCTGCACAGGTGGCGCAAAGGAGCGTGCAGCCGTCGATTTTACTGTTGTATGTCTTGCACATGTCTCTTAGTATCCGTCCCGCTTTTATTTCATCCTTCCTAAAGCACTGACGACGGAACTCCAGCTATACAACCTCACCGCGCAGTTAGACAACCGTCTCAACGCCAAAATCAGCGCATCGGCCAGCCGAGACAGCATGGCCATGAAGGTTCTAGCCTTCATCACCACATTTTTCCTCCCTGGTACCTTTGTCGCGGTAGGGCAAACCCGCCCACTATCCTAAATCAACAATTCATACCCCAAGACTAACAGTTAGTTTCAGACGCTCTTCAGTATGGACATGTTCAACTGGCAGGGCTCAGCATCAGCTGAACCTTCCAGCGGGGCCGTTGTATCCCCCTATCTTTGGATATACTGGGCCGTTACAGTACCTCTCACAATAATCGTTGCGTTCTCGTGGAGGATGTGGTGGACATGGGAAAAGGGAAACTTTGATCGAGATGTCCGGATGGAGATTGAGAATATCGAGGCACCGTCGACGTGGGATCTGCGAAAAGGAGGCGGACAAAGAGCAACCCAACGATAATGGATATTTACGAGCCGAGCCGCGCCCACTATGCTGGCTCTTCGTCTCTGGCGAGGGAGATGTGACGCTCTTCCAAGCTGGATATCTCCGTCGTCTGGGCTTAGTTTTGGGTCCAGAAATGGGACAGACACAATAACCCACACATGATGTACAGTACAAAATGCCCTTGGCTCAAATGCACCCTGGTCGAACTGTTCGATCGAGGTACAACGAAGAGCCAGGCAAACACTCGGATGCAGTGGTTGTTCTCCGGGCATTTCAATCTCAAGGGTTAAGTAAGATAGGTAAGTAGTTCCCCTGCCCCAATCCCTTCGAGGCCTAGTCTGATCAACTTAGCAAATCAGGATGAGTACCATCCCGTTAGAGTGTATCTTGGGCATATTCGGGTGGTTGGCCAAGTTGGAGTCAAGACGACTCATGACCTTGTCTACCTAAGGTTGCCCTGTTGGCAGTGGCGGTGTAGTAGTGTACTGCACTCCCTGGAAGTTTGGAGTCGTTTGCCCAGTTCAAGGTCATACCCCGCTGGTGTACCAGGTGAGACCCCGAGGTGTCCGCTGAGGTAGGATCGCGGGGGTTACACTGCAGCCCTAGCTGATTGTAGCGCCATCTCTTCCTGATTTTTAGGGAGCTTTACCGTTCCACACGTGCTGCAACCCGGTGGCTCACTCTTGCCGACTGCAGTGTGCATCTACAATTACCTCCATTGCAACCTACTACAACCTGTCGTCGGCCTCGATCGGAATTGCCTGGGAAAGGCTTTACATCGGGGACGTTTTAGTGCCACGAGCCCTCAGGGATCTGACTACTACTACTACGACTGAATAAGGTAGGAATACCTCGGTTCTTGATAGAAGCCCTGCCACTGTACGAGTTTTACTTGGACAAAGTGTAACGATGCCTGTTCCTGCTTCTTGCACCGTCCTGGTCATTGGCGGCGGGCCCGGAGGCACATACGCAGCCTCGACGCTGGCGCGGGAAGGCGTCGATACGGTGTTGCTTGAGGCGGATGTTTTCCCAAGGTGCGTCGTCTAGCCATCCTGAGGTCTACCTATGCGTGTCTGGCCCATCCTCCCCCCAGCATCACCCTACCCCTCGGCACCAGGTTGGTGCTGTTAGGACTTACCAGATGTGGCTTTTGTCTAGATATCACATTGGCGAGTCGATGCTCGCATCGATCCGATACTTTCTTCGCTTCATTGACCTCGAGTCCAAGTTTGACAAGCATGGCTTTGTTAAGAAAGTATGATGATCATAGTCTCAAGATACAGCACAGCTATCTGACAATGTGCGGTATAGCTGGGAGCATCGTTCAAGCTGAACGACATGCCGGAAGCTTGTAAGTGGCGACTCGTCTGTTATCTTGGAGCAGTTTTGGTTCGCTGACCTGAGTCCAAAGACACAAACTTCATCGCCGTCAACGGCCCCAACGGTTACGCCTGGAACGTGATTCGTTCCGAAGCAGACCTGCTGATGTTTCAACATGCTTCGGAATGCGGCGCCCGTACCTTTGACGGGACCAAGGTTGAGTCAATCGAGTTTGACCCTGCGAGTACCACCACCGGACAACAGCGGCCCATCGCCGCCAAGTGGGCTCGCAAGGACGGATCGTCTGGGACGATCAGATTTGACTACCTCGTCGATGCGAGCGGGCGTGCTGGAATCATGTCGACCAAGTACCTGAAGAACCGCAAGTTCAACGAGGGGCTGAAGAACGTCGCCAGTTGGGGCTACTGGAAAGGGGCCAAGACGTATGCTCCTGGAACGGAACGGGAAGGGCAGCCTTTCTTCGAGGCGTTAGGCGGTAAGAATTCAGGGAGCCGACCGTTCTCGAAGGCGGTTTTCACACACAAACCTCAAACTAACAGTCATTAAGACCAGAGCGGGTGGTGCTGGGCTATTCCGTTGCATGATGGCAGCGTATCCGTCGGCATCGTCATGCGACAAGACGAGTCGGCCAAGCGCAAGAAGGCATCCGGATCGCAGGGTTCGGTCGAGTTCTACAAGGAATGCCTCGGCCTATCCCCCATCATCTCAGACCTGCTCGCCCCTGCAGAGCTCGTGTCGCCCGTCAGATCGGCGTCGGACTGGTCGTACAGCGCGTCATGCTATGCGGGCCCAAACTTCCGCATCGTGGGCGATGCCGGGTGCTTCATCGACCCCTTTTTCAGCTCGGGCTTGCACCTCGCCATTGCCGCTGGCCTGTCGGCTGCCATGACCATCCAGGCTGCTAGACGGGGTGATTGGTATGTAAGACCCTACTATTCATGTTGCTTTGCGGTGTTGCGGAGGGCAGGGGAAGAATCAACAAAGCCTCTGCCGGCTCGGGGACAAAGATTTTGGCCAACCCCTGAACCGAACATGGATTGGCTAACGGTGCCGTTAGTGACGAAACAGCTGCAGCCAAATGGCATTCAAACAAGGTCACTGAAGGCTACACGCGGTTCCTGCTGGTTGTCATGATGGCGCTGAAGCAGATTCGCAGGGGACTGGAGCCCGTGCTGAACGACTTTGACCAGGAGGGCTTTGACCGGGCGTTCGGCTTCTTTACACCTGGTATGCCAGCCTCCCAAATTCACCAGGCCAAAAGTACTACTATTACATGAGCTCTAACTGTTAGATACTAGTCATCCAAGGCCTAGCTGACGCCGACGTAGGCGGCAAGCTGACGCAGGAGCGGGTCTCGGAGACGGTGGCGTTCTGCCTGAACGCGTACAACCAGATCACGCCGCAGGCCCGCAACGCCGTGCTCGACAAGCTGGAGCGCGTCAGAGCGGACCCGTCGAGGGAGACGAAGGAGGACCTGGAGAAGCTTACCGAGGAGGAGCTGAAGATCCTCAAGACGATCCGTGCCCGCCAGATGATCCGCACCGAGGACACGCTGAACATTGATCACTTTGCCGAGGATGCGATTGATGGGTATGCGCCTAGGTTGAAGCGTGGTGAATTGGGGCTGGCAAAGGTTGAGCAGCAAAGCGCGATCCCGAAGTATACAGAGAGTTTGCTGGATGTGCTCAAGGGGGCTGAGGGTGAAGTGGAAAGGGTTGGTCACCGGCCTGAGGCTGTCTAGCTGACACAGAATTGGTAGCTGGCTTTAGTGGCTTATGCGGGACTGCTTGACTACTAGCAGTGCCGTGGTGCTACATTGTGGAATGGATTATCGAAGCCCTCGATGGATTCGAGTATTATCCAGGTTCTTTCCAGGATAGAATCTCTACCTTAGACCAACACATGCAGTCGATACGCCACCGGTAGTACTACACACAGCACTACTAGTATATGCCGATTTGAGTCCCCAGTCATTTTGGCCCAGGGGCAGCGACATAGCAGGACACAGCTTCCAGCGAGCAGTAGTGCCTGAATTCTAGAGTTGGCAACTAGTAGCTGGTCGTGATAGAAGACTTGGTACAGTACAGGTTACGAATAGGAGTCGAAATCCGAGGAGGTGCTGCCTGCAGGTGGTCAGGGTGGAGCGGAGCATATTGGATACCTAGGTATGTACGTGTGCTCAGGGGCACCGCTGCACTGGCTAATTAGCGCTTACAGAGCATTAGTGTTCTTTAAAAGGCCACCGTTAGTGGGAGATTTCCTCCGGCATTCAGGCGACGCGAATCTGTTCAATTACCGTGGGTTAGCGTAGCCCCCTCTTGGCTGGCCCGCTGGCTACCGTCCCCTCCCGCGTGAAATCCCAGCCTCCGATCTCTCCGTCCTCGGCGCCCCTACATCACCTACATTACTGTTAGGTATTGCCTGCATACAAAGTCAATACAATGGGCAAACTAATTGACGTCCACCACCACATCCTCGACGAGGACTATGTCAACGGTATGTCAACCCCTGCCCACATTACTACCTATAGTAGATTTAGTAAACCAATGACTTACATGCGCCCCCTATCCCGCTCCCCTCCATAGCATGGAAAGCCTCAGGCACCATCCCGCCCGGCCTGACCCCTCCAGCATGGACGCCACAGCTCGACCTAGAATTCATGGACCGGCACGGCATCGACGCAGCCATCCTGTCCCTTTCCGCGCCGGGGCTGGCCTTTGTAGCCGACTGGAACCAGGCCGCGCTGGCGCGCAAGATCAATGAGACGTGTGCCGCCGTGCGGGATCAAAAGCCGTCGCGGTTCGGGTTCTTTGCGACCCTGCCTGTTGACAACCTCGTCAATGTCAATGGCCCGGGTGGTGGTGGTAATGGTGGCAGTGTTGAGGGGGTTGAGGAGGGGGTCATGGCCGAGCTGGCGCACGCTTTCGACAACCTCCGCGCTGACGGGGTGACCCTTCTGACGAGCTACTCTGGCGGGCAGGGGCAGCCGCCGGTCTATCTGGGTGATGCGCGGTTTCGGGGGTTGTGGGCTGAGCTTGACCGCCGGGAAGCCGTCGTGTTTGTGCATCCCACTTCCCCGCAAGCTGCTCCCCCTCCTTCTTCTCAGGGCAACCCTCCTTCTATTTCAGGAGGCAGTACTAGTGGCAGTGGTGTTGGGAGGGGAGGAGGACCGGGCGTGCCGCCGCCCATCATCGACTTCCCGCACGAAACGACGCGGTGCGCTGTCAACCTGATCATCTCGAACGTGGTGCGCGACTTCCCCCGCGTCAAGATCATCCTATCGCACGGAGGCGGGACGCTGCCCTTTGTGGCGCGGCGCGTGGCCGATCTGATGGCTGATTCCGGCTTGCTGGGTAAGCTTGGCAAGACGGTGGAGAGGTTCCTGGACGAGGCGAGGAGCTTTTACTTTGATCTTGCCCTGACGGGCTACGAGGAGTCCATGGCGCTGGTGTTGAGCTTTGCGAAGGAGGGGCAAGTGCTTTATGGGAGTGACTTCCCCTTTGCGCGGGACCGTGCGGTGGCGGGACAGTTGAGCACGGTCAAGGGATGGAGGGATGAGAAGGTGAGGGAGAGTGTGGAGAGGGGGGCTGCTGAGAGGTTGTTTCCCAGGCTGGTTCAGCAATGAAACTTGAGGTTGAGGTTGGGCGGAGCACGTCAAAGAGGATCAATCTCATGGACGAAAATGCGTATCGAGTCATGATTCAGTTCATACAAGTCGTCCATCAAGCAACCTACTTGATCTGCCGCATACAGTCGTCGTGCTCATCAAGATATTTTACAAGCTCCTTGCACCGGGTTCGAATCGGAAAGGAGTATGTACATCATGTGGTGCGAGAACAACGGTTAAAGATACCGGTGGAAGCGAAATGACAATGAAATTCATCCAGCAGAGATCATCAGACTATGTGATTCTCCCGTCTGGTACTCTGTGACCCGTCCCGACTTAAACTTTCGGCCATGGGCACCACCACCACACCGCCCCGGCTCTGGCGTTGCCAGTCGTCGCTATCCTTGAGAGGGTCGCCTTCGCTACCAAGTGCCGTAGTTGTGTCGGACATGGAAGCAAACGTGACGAGCGGCCATGTCCGGGGGTTCTTGGACGCGTTGCTGAGATCCGAGAAGCCGGCAACGTTGGGGCTATTGCCTGTGCCACGCAGCCTGGGCTTTGTCCCACGCTCTCGCGAGGTGAAAAGAGATGCCAGGCTGCCGTAGTTGAAAGCGCGAGCTGAGAGCTGGTGGATGGCGGGGCCGCACAGAGCCAGGATGGCGATGGGACCTTCGAGCATCGACAGGTACAGCAGAGGCACGAGGTCCCCTTGGAAGTGTCAATACTCTGTTCCGGACTCGAGGCCAGGGGAAATAACTGAAGACACTTACATGAAGGATCGGCCGGCGGATTGACGCTAAGGATATCTGGGTGAACCACGATGACGATGAATCGAGCAAAGGACAGGAAGGCGGAGCTGGTAAAAGAGGAGGAAAGTCAGTGACTGCGCGTCAAACAGGCCAAGTTCGAGGTACTCACGCGTAACCGAGCAGGAAGACAAAGGTGACGGCAATCTTCTTGCGGCGGGTCATGCGCAGTCTCCAGACGACAGGCACGGGCAATGCCAGCACAAGCAGGTCGAAGAAGGCGTTGATGAAGGCGGATGCATAGTACCACGGAATATTCTCCCAGCACGTGCCCTCCATGAAGGGGTCGACGTTCTTGGCCACGGGGGAGCAGAAGAACCAGGGGTAGATGGCCGTAATGAGCCACCAGACGGTGATGGCAGCACCCGAGATGCGCAGCAAAAGCACGAAGCGAGGCGACGTGTGAAAGAGGCGGCCGTACATGAGCAGGGCCGTGATCTTGATGCCCCAGATGGTGGCCGTGTAAAAGACAAGGGCGATGCGCTGGGCGGTCAGGCTGGGCTTGAGGTACTCGAGAGGGACGGCCCAGGCGTGCTTGCCCAGGCCGACGGTGGTCATGTAGATGGCGAAGGCGCAGAAGGTGTGCGAAAAGGCCAGCGTCAGTAGCATGGCCCAGTCGTCCAAGCCGTGCACAAGCGTTGACGCCACGGCGCGCGACCAGAAACGCATCACGACGGCCAGCGTCGACACTGCCATGCCTATCACGGCGACGGCGATGAGGGCCGGCCCTCGGTCCTCGCCCGCCCTGGCCGGGTCGACGTCCCCGAAGCCGGGCACAAACATGTCGGACGGCTTTCCGATGATTCCGGTGGCTTCAGCTTCCAAGCTCTCTCTCAGTACCAGTACTGATCACACTGCGCTGGAGGTGATTGCGGATGGCAGAGGCAACTGCGAATCCAAGGTGATGGTGCTTTGATCGTGGCCGTTACCGATCCAGGGCAGCAGCTTCAAGGTTCAAGGTTCAGACTGGCTTGTGGCGGCACTGGCGGACGCGGGGCGTCCTGGCTGGAAGCCACTGGGTCAGGGCAGACTCGGGTATATACCTCAGTAATACACTACCGGGGCCAGGTAGTAGTAGGGTATGGTGTGCTTCCGGTACCGTAGCAGGATCGATCATCAAAGTTACCGGTATCTGTACTCTTATTTTGACCATTGGAATGCCAATCGCATATCACATTGACCACACGCATTGCCGAAACCACCACGCCACCCGCCGGATCGAGGATGGCTGGAGGCGGGGAGGGGAAATGGTCCGAATGGAAAGGGACGGGACTCACGGGAGGGTGGGATGTGCGGGGATTGGGGGGCCACACAAAGAGACACAGCAAAGAATAGACGGCACAGGGGCTTCAAGAATCTGATTGCCTGGTCAAAGAGGCGCAGCTGATTGTGCGAGAAGTCTGAGGTGGCATCAAGCCATCAATGGGCCTCCCTCTCCAGACTCCAGCAAATTCCGGGTAATCAGCCAGAACTGCGCCGCACGGGTGCGTGGGTGTGCAGAGGAAAAGGCGGCAAGTCTCGTAGGCGATACATCAATGGCATTGTAATGTAGCAGCCAGATGCCATTTCCAGCGAGAAGCCCGATGTCGCACTGCACAAGAATCGAAAATAACGGAGCCCTGATTTGATGAGGGTGCAAACCAGGAAAGCGCGCAGTCACACAGTGCCTACCTAATTAGACTGGTTAGAGTACAGTATTGCCAATAACTACCAGGTACAGCAGTGGAAGGTGCTGTGGTGTGGTGTCGTAGCATCCAGTGATTCCAGTCTGGAGCAAGTTCCGTACGAAAGTCTGGTACCACCAACACTATTGGTTGCGCTGCTACCATCCGTCTGGCTCGCATCGTCCGTCGGCTGCATCCATTACCGATCAAATCATCAGCCCTCGTATGCTCGTACTAATCAATTAAGGTACGCACATCTGCAGGCTATTTAGAGAAGCGGTGAGAACCAGCAATCTTTGGCCGATGCTTATGATTTATATTGAGCCCCTGACTGCATCCCGGTGACTGGCACTGACTGCTAACCGTTAGCATGACAGATTGGACTTTCGGAAACGAGACTGGCAGAAAGCTGTTATCGCGCTGCTTACACACGTGGAATTTGCTCACCCGCGGCAGCCAATGCTCTGGGGAATTGCACACCATGTGAAACTATAGGCTTCCTTCTCTTACCTACCACTAGGTAGCATTCGGCAGGTGCGCTCCCAGTCTCCACCCTGACACTCGAATCGTCCGAGATGCTCCTCCGAGATAGTGGACCCATAACGGCCGAATCTCTTGGCTACCGTCTTCGCCGCCTCCGGGCCTTTTAGCTTATGTACCCCCGTACGGAGCTCTGAAAACGCGACTGGAAACAAACCACCTACCTTGGTGAGCTTGGGTAGGGCAAGATATGCTGTCACAAAATCCCTACGACTACACCGAACGTCTGTTCTTTCCAACGCCCGCAGGGTGCCCTGTGTATGTACATGTAGTTGATGCTGCTGCGATCCCTGAGCTGTACGTGCAATCAAAGCTCGCCGGGAATCCTAAGTCCTAGACATCCTTCTACCAATCCCCGGCACGGCCCGGGAATGCAAGTGACCAGCCAGCCAATACCCAGTTATTACCCACGCCGTTGGGTCGTTGGATTTTAGGGCCGTGATCTAGACCCGGCAGCGGCAACGGGCAACGGGCAACGGGCAGCCAGGATAGCGTCGCAGTCTGTTATGAGGTGTCCTAGACCGTACTACAGATTTACAGAACAGGACTATCATCATTGAAATCGACAGCATAGAAGCTGCTGCTAGCACCTAGCACTACTATCGTTCGCTGGCGGCATGACCAGTTGCAGCTGAGCGGCATCGAGAGAACCCTGATTATCTGATATCACCGCCGCCTACAGCGATAGCTACCTACCTAAGGTACCTTATGTGCTACGTCCTGATTAAACCGGATCCTATGTTTGTTACTATCGACCTAGACAACAACTCCTGCACACTTTCGTCGTGGAACTGAGTTCCCGGCTACTGGCAATAGGCGGTTGGCCCACAATGGGCGTTGGGTCCTCATCATACGGTACTCTCTCTCTACATAGCTAAGTAAGTAGTTTCTACTGACGGGACATACTCACTCTACACAACTAACACAAAGCCCAGAATATATGAATAAGTATATACCCTACCTTGTCGGCAGAGACACTTGGAGGATCCCCTGACTCCTGGCCCTTCAAGTTCTCCTCGATATAGTTTCACCGTCACCCTTTACCATTTCTTAGTACTAATGTTGATTGTCAAGACAGTACCTTGGGTTTGATTTCAGACTCGGGATGTTTTCAGATGTTCTACGGAGTAAATTCCCAATGTGACCTACTAGTACTCTCCAATCAGTTCCGCATATGGTACCTAACCTGCCAGACACACTCAAGCCTCCTTAACACACTCAATAACCGACACGCCAATCCCCGGCGCGGGCACCACTCTGTTAATCCTCAGCCCTGCCTCGGCGGCGATGGCCCTCCAATCCTCCAGCGTCCGCTCCTTTCCAGCAATGCCCATCATGGCCATATCCATCGCATAACAGAACGGCGGGGACTCGGGCAACAAAACCATCTCCATGACAAGCAGGGTGCTGTCGCTGGCCATGGCCTCTCTGATCTGCCGCAGGATCCCCACACTCTCTCCATCGCTGTAGTTGTGCAGACACCGCCGGATCAGGTATGCTTTTGCGCCTGTGACAAAGAAGCTAGTTAGCACATGTTCTTGATTAAACCGCGGTAGGTATTTGATGAAACTTACCCTTGACAGGCTGCTCAGCATGGAAATCCACCTCCATCATTCTCACCCCGCGCAACAACGCCGCCGGTCCCTCAGCCTCAGCCACCTGCCGCTTGGCCCGCTCAATAACCTCTCTCGTATCCTGCAGCACGCACCGCTCAGCCGCCAACTCGGGCGTGCGCTGAAGGATCTCACGGATCGTGTGCCCCGCCCCGCCGCCCACATCAACCAGCAGCGTTCTCCCCTCATCTCCACCATCACCATCATCACCATCACCAGCTTTCTCACTACTAGTGCTAGTGGGAGACACAAGCCAGGAGAAGTCGTACCCCGGGCTGGCCAAAAAGTCCTGCGTGCGCACCATGGCCTCCATGATGATCTTGAGCAAGGCAGGGTCCTCGTTAATAAGATCAAACGCGGACCGCCGCCCGGGCTGCTCGCCACGCCGGAAGTGGAAGGCCGTGTCGGTACGGTCTGTCGGCTCACGCCGGCCGCGGGAGGCAAAGTACTCTGGCGTGCCGGCTGCTTGGGGGAAATCTTCGTATAATCTTGTTTTTCATCGTCAACAAGTGGTGTTATGGTGCAGGTCGGTTGGGTTTCATGGTTACCAGCATGGTAACGTGGAGGCACTTGGAGGGGGTGAAGTACTTACATGAGTTTGGCGGTGGAGCGGAAGAGAGGGTCTTCAGCTATCATCCTGGACCGGTGCGTGTGCGCGACACGGTCCGGGCCTGGAGAGGAGAGCATGCCGGAGGCGATGAGCATCCTTGACAGGCGGGCTGTGGTGAAGATGTTAGTATGTCTGTACCAGAAACGGAGGGGGCGAGGAGGCAGGGGCAGCTGAACCTACCGACGAGACCAACCTCGGCGTCTATCTTAGCCGCGAGGTCTGTGAAGGATATGGAACCCTGCGGGGGGATCTCCTGGAAGACTTCCCACTTGAGGAACAGGCGCATGACAATGATCTCGCACTTGTTGACGACGAAGTGGACGTACAGATCCTGGGGGCCCTGGGCGGCGTGGATGATGGCCTGGGCCGCGCTGATAACCGACGCACGGCTGCCATGGTTTGAAGAAAGAGCTGAGACTGCGTTGGTGAGGTTGTCGCAGAGGGGTGCGAGATCCTTGCTCAGTTGTTCCATATCGTTGTTTTGGATCATTTTCAGAAGCGGACTCAACGCCAATGGTACATACGGCACTCGTCCTTGGGCGGGATGTCTTGCTGACCGAGTCCAGTACTCTTATTTCCGGGAAGGGGTCGGTAATAAGCCCCCCGAACTCCGTTTGCAGTACCCTGAGATGCCTTGCAGATCTCGGCGCTGTGCGGGGTAATCAGGGTTTGCTTAGCGCTGTATGATGCTTGAAGCCACCCACTTAGGGTGGACATCTTCGCCATGCGTCCCGAAGCCTGGGACCCTCGGCCAGGGGTAGTTTGTATAAACTCATCACGGATCTCAAGTTCCATGACATCCATGATACAGATATTGTATAGTTAATGATCAAACATATTCTGAACTTGGCTTCAGTTCCTCTAGGCTGTCTGGCGGTGTTTCATAACAACAATCATTAGTACATTACCTAAGTCCAAGTCCCGTATGAGCTTGGATCTCAAGCCCAAACATTAGAAACATCACTCCTATTTCTTCTCGGCCAAAACCTTCTGCCCAATCCTCGACAGATCCTCACTCATCAACGTGTCCTTCTCAAACCCGTTCACAACCTGGCTTAGTAACGCAGCCGAGATCTCGCTGACGTGGATCTTGGGCACACCAATAAGCGAAAAGAAGGCGCGTTTGAACAGGGTCGACTCCTTCCCGGGGCCGTTGATAACGCCAGGCTTGGCAATGCACGCCTCGACGGTGCCGTTGGATTTGCTTGCGTATTCGAGAATACGCGCTTCGGCTTCGCCCTGTTTTTGCGCGCAGGGCAGGACGCGAAAGGGGTCAGTGCCTTACTCAGACTCGAGGGTGAGGGGAAGGGGGTTCATGTTAAGCTATGAGAAAGAAACGAAACCTTCCACATACACGCATGAGACAGTAGTCGCCCAGTATCATGGGCTTCTTATTGGGATCGCGCTCGGCATTGTTCCCGCTGACGTAGACGAAGCGGAAGGGTTTTCCCTGGCCATCACGGGGCAGTTGGGAGATGGTTTCGACGCCTCTGAGGGCATAATCGCGGCACACTTTGACCACTTGCTCCCAGGGAAATGACCGGTACTGCGATGGCGTGATGGCGATGGTCCTTGTGCAAACCAAGTAAGCGGAGGCTAGGGAAGGCACGTTGGGGAAAAATGGAGGTGGGAGACAAATACCAGATGCAAGCATCAGCACCTGACAGCTCCTTCTTCACGCTCTCCGAGTACTCAGTGTCGAAATTCTCCAGGATGACCGACTTGAGCTTGGATGCGTCGGCACTCGGGCCGGCATTTTGCGGCTCGGGCGCCGGGCGGCGACCAAGGGCGACGACGGAGGTGATGGTGGGGTTCGAGAGCGCCTGGCGAATGATCTCGCCCGCCAGAAAGCCCGTGGACCCCGCGACAACCAGCTTCATGGCAGGCACTTCTGTGGTTGTCAAGGTGACGACGACACGAGACGTGGGATCTGTGAACGGTTATCAAGGTGGGCGTGCGGTTGGATTTCGAGGGACGATTTGTTGGTCTCGATGTCCTGCAGTGGGGGCACTGGGCAGCCTAAATACCGTTACTCTAGGCACTGTAAGTGCAGTGCGTAGGCCCCTGTTTGTGTCACGGCAGTGGGTGTCACAGCGTTGTTCTCGGCTCGGCTCTAGGCGCTCTAGTCACCGTTAATCCCGTCGGGTTTGTGATTTGGAAGCCCGTTGGGTGGTTCGACCGGAATGGTTGCACTGCACTGCCAGCTTATGCACGAATTTGGCCTCACAAGGACGTGATTGGAAAAAGCATGCTCATGATTCAAGCTTGGTATCTTCAGGTTTTGACATGACACTCGTCAATTGGGGTATTAGCAACTACACAACTTGAGGTTCAGCACCTGGCCGCCCGTTATCGTAGGCCCTGCAAAGTTGCCGCCCGTCGAGATGTAGATTGACTTCCCATCAAGTGCCAACTTGACCGCGGTTGGGGATTCCAATGTCGGACCCGTGCCATTGCCAGCGACAACAGTCTGCACGCCGTTCGGGGCGATCTTGACGACCTTGTCCGGATGCAAGGCAGCATAGGCGTTGCCGCAGCGATCGAGATCAAAGTCATCGTACGCATTCGCCATGGTGGCCGGGGTTGGGAGGGTTGTAATGACCTGGACGCTCCCGACCTTGTTGCCCTCGGCATCGATGCGGACGCGCGCAAGGGTGCCCTGCCCCGAGTTGGTGAAGTAGAGCCAGTCGCCAACGATCTTGAGACCGTTGACGCCCAGAGGAATGTCGGGGTTCCCGCCGGACCCGAGGGCTGCATCCGTCCACGCAACGTCGACCTGGCGCGTGATGGTGTTGATCCGCAGCAGCCGCCCGGCGATGGAGTCGGCACTCAGGACCGTATACGGCCGGCGCGGCAACGCGGCCAGCCCGTTCATCATCATGGTGCCGGGGACCGGAATCGAGGTGACGACGCTCCCCCTCGGCGGCGCCCCAGTTATCGACACGACATAAAGCGCCATGGTGTTGTTAACGAAACCAAATGGCGTATGCTCGCCGGCAGCGACGGCATAGAGGTTGTTGGGAAGGGCCGCAACTGCTGTGTGCCCTGTCGTGTTGCCCAGGGCGACCACATTTCGCACTGTTGGACTCGCAACGCGGGGGTCAAGGGCCACCAGGTTCGCCGTGTCAAAGGTGCTGAGAAGAAGGTATCCAGAAGGCAGGACGAAGATGTTCTCGATGAAGGTGGCATTTGCATACTGATAAATCGATGTCGCGCTCGGCGGAGGGTTCCCGCAGGCGGCCACCTCAGCGAGGCCCGCCAGCGACAGGAGCACCAAGACGCGAACCAACAGCAAATGCATTATGGATATGGGAATCGGGTTGCACCAGAACGGGGGGAACCTGATCCTGAGATCTAAGCTTCTAGAAGCCTTCTAGAGTGAGATCTGCGCAACCATTAAGTACTACCATGTGGCGACGGGGGCAACAAAATCACGTTCGCCCTACCCTCCCTTGCTCCAACCGCTTCCATCCTCCATGGCTAGCTGCGCAAGAATTCCACAGGCCCAAGTGTAGAAACAAGCCCCGCAAGGGCCGAGCGAGGAATGGCCCGCGCGCTCACTATTGAGACGGTATTCCTTCTCGGGGGGACAGTCATGGGCCCATGATCGATAATGCTTGGGGTCAGCACAAGAGTATTGGGCTCGGCGAGCAAACTAGACACAAACTGAGGCAAGCGAGTGGGAGGAAGTCAGGAACCTAACCACAGATGGTTATGAGGCGGCCAATGACCCGATAGTCTGGGAAGAGGCGCCTGCAGGAGAGCATGTTTGAGGCATGGAAGGCTTCTGGAAAAGTCCAACAGGATCACTGGCAAAGCAATAATTCCAGCGAGGGCTGGCTGGCTGGCTTGTGCTAATGCATGAAGTTGATTTGGGCACTTAAACTTTTTAGGCTTTTGTATCCGACATTGGATTCTGAGCCGGCTTGAGCTGTCGGGTCTTCCCTCAACGCTCGACATTTCTGCTGTGAGGTGAGCCTGTGACTGTCAGCGACACCTCTTGCCATTGTGCCAAGGGGGCGGGAGGGGGAGCTTTCACTTCAGGCACGATGACACCTGAGGTGAGCATGTCTTGGAGTTGGACGCTCAGTTTGATGAACCCAGCGTTATCGAGATTTGCAAGTACACGTGTATGTATTAAGGCGGTATGCAATAAGGGTTTTTCCAAGGTTATCTCGAACAAAAACGTGATTGTCATTACCGTATCCTCTCCTATGTATGTACATGCAACACGTGCTTGGCGCGATGATAACTGTGAATGGAAACGAGAACTTTGAAGAAGCAGGGGTCGCTGAGGGGTCGTCGTCGCGATGGCTGGGCAGGCTTGCCTTGCCTTGGCCTTGCGGTTGAATAGGTAAGTTACATCCTGCGGCACAGCTGCACTAGCTACATAATCGTGCATTATCGCAGGCTTCGCAGCGGCAAGACTGGGCAACTCGACGGACGTGGCATCGCTCCTGCCCTAGACTCGCCAACGGGCTGGACACTAATCCCAAAGTCCCATCATTCCTGCAAACCCCTCTTCTTCGCCTCTTTCCTGCATTCTCCGATCTCACCTTGCCTCGAGCTTACACATCATCCGGCTGAGCTTGCGTGGCGCTGTTGACCGCAGAATGTCACCTAAGACGATGTCTGTACCCTTCACTGGATATCGGATGACTACGTTTTCTAGTCTCTCACTTCAACCTCCCCCTTTCTCTTTGCCGATGCGGCTCCATAAGTGGGTTTCAGACAAGTTGTCCATAAAACCATGTCACCTCCTCATTCAAGCGACCGCAACGTTTGGTGATATCGCGCCTTCGTTCACCACGCTAACAGGAATGTCCAGAAATTACCAGCACTACACTACACGTGTATTGTAAAGTGCACGGGTTGGTGGAACCATGGTAGCACCGCTGAAACTTGTGCGTTACCGATCCTCGGGTCCGAACATGCGAAGTGAACCAGTCATGGACGATCGGCCGGTAATTTGGGCATTCCTAATTTCGTCGGGCTGCCTGATGGCTTAGCCAGCGCTCAGCCAGGATATCCCTTATGACTGGATGAATATTACGGCGAGATTACAGGCAACAGTTGTCTCGCTCGCCGGAGAAGAGAAAACAAAAACTAGGTGAGCCCCTCCAGACAGGTAAGTAGGGTGCTTTAAGGTACTGTAGGATGCTGGTGTTTAGGAGACATCGATCGCATACGACATATCCTTCGATTTGCGACCTGTAGAAAAGAAGAAATGGCGAGTTTCTGGTCCTTACTAACGCTGTACGCCGGACTTGTGTTCCTGCAGCTCGCACAAGCGCAAGCAACTTGCAACCTGAGTCCTCGCATCGCCGAGCAGCTGCGGTCGCTGCTGTCGCCCAGGTCTGAAGTTGTCTTGACGTCAAATGCCTCGTTTGCGACCGACTTTGTACAACGCTTTTCGGTCAACAGGGCGCCGTCCTTTGTGGTCGCCGTGAAGCCCGCCTCGGCAGCAGACGTGGGCCGGGTGGTGCGATACGCGTCACAGAATAATGTACCCTTTCTCGCTACTGGTGGTGGCCACGGCTACACGTGGTCCCTGAGCCGGCTGCAGTGCGGCATCGACCTGGACCTGAGCAGCTTCGACTCCATCGCGATTGACAATGCCGCCAACACCATGACGATTGGCGGCTCGGCTCTCAGCGATAATGTCACGAGGGCTTTGTATGCCGCTGGCAAGGAGTTGCGTATGTGCTTCCCCAAATTCCCCTCCATCCGAGTCCCCCAAATCATAAATGTCATCACCCTTGGATGATACATTGCCCAGAACTTGGCAGCTGACGCGTGCGTGATTGGTGGTCCGTTTCGCTCGTGCATAGCAGTGGGAATGTGCACCTGCGTTGGCTTTACAGGCTTCACTCTTGGTGGGGGCATCGGCCCCTATTCCGGGCTCTACGGAGCTGCATCAGACTCCTTGATCTCAGCCGAGCTGGTAACAGGCACCGGGCAGCTACTCACTGTGTCCAAGACGCAGCACCCGGATCTATTCTGGGGGCTCAAGGGTGCCGGGTTTAACTATGGCGTCGCAACGGCTCTCACCTTTCGCGTCTACCCGGCAACCAACGGCGGCCAGGCCGTCGTGACCAACATGATCTTCCCTGGCGCTCTCAACGGTACCGTGTGGCAGGTCCTGAGCGCCTTCTTTGGCAACCAGCCCAAGGAGCTCGGCCTTGCCCTGTCGGTTGGATACCAGGAGCAGCGCGGCGGCATGGTGATTATCGTTGGTTTTGTCTATGCCGGGCCCGAGGCCGAGTCAACGGCGCTGCTTAAGCCGTTCCTCGACCTGAATCCCCTGAATCTGCAGATACTAAACACTCCCTGGGAGGATGTCCCTGAAGTGATTGTGTACGGCGCCACGCGGGCGGGCTGTCAGAAGGGCGCCCAGTTTGTCCCGTACTCGGTCAATCTGTACAAGGTTGACGTGCCGAACCTCATCAATGTTGTGGGCTACATGCAAACCACTCTGGCCGCCAACGCGACGTTGCGGAGTGCGATTGTGACATGGGCGCAATATGCGCCGTATGGGTTTCAGCGATACGCTGATGATTCATCGGCATTTCCCTACCGCGCCGCGACGGCCTTTGTGTAAGTGTTATTCAAGACATTTTGAAAATGGATGTCGTTGTTTACACAATGATGCAGACAAATCAATGCCTTCTCACCCAGCGCAGAGCAGGTGCCCGCACTTGATGGCTTCGCCAGGGAGCTGCGCGATCGGTTCCAGCGAGGCAGCGGAAGCAGGTCGCTGGAGACGTACGTTCATTTCGGCCACGGAGACGAGACGCCCGCCGCGTGGTACTCGGCGCGCAAGCTGCCCCGGTTGCAAGAGCTGAAGCGTGTCTATGATCCGAAATCGCTGTTTTCGTGGTATAATGCGGTGCCGGTGAGGCGTGACTACTGGTAATGTGTATGATATTTAGCCTCTGAGAGGTTTGAGTTAATGATAGAGATGTATATTTATGATTCATTTGAATTTCTACTGTCAAGAAGCCACCATCTCTCTGCTTTCCAGGTTGCACTGAGATCAGTTACCCCTCTGCCTAGGATTATAACGGGGACGGAGGTGGAAATATAGGGGTTTGGGCTCAAACACCAAATACGCCTTCTGGTCCAGCCATCGATCCTGCCCTTCTGCCAGGGTCAGATCAAACGCGTAGACGATTCTGGCTAGAATCACGCGCGCTTGGGCAAGGAACACCCTGTGTAGGCGACATTAGCCGTTGAAACCATTTCAGCTAGTATATGATTAGGAGACTGGCATTCGTACTTTGAACCTATACAGTTACGCGGCCCCGTGGAAAAGGGCATAAAGGCCTCCTTGACGTCCTTGTCGAATTGACTATCGTAGTACGGATGTCCCGAGTCTAAGAAGCGCTCGGGATGGAATCCGTCCGGGTCGGACCACAGCGTCGGGCTGTTTTGGATGTTTTGCAGGTTGATGCCGATGACCGTCTAGCACGCTCCCTTGTAAGTAACGCGTATTTGATAGAGAAAAAGCCGGCCGTATTTCAGGTTGGCACTTACATTTCCCGGTATGAACTGCCCATCAATCGTCCTCCCCTCACGCGGAACCACTCTCGGTAGGCTGATAGGCGTCGGATGCCGGATACGCATCGTCTCGTTGACGACGGCCTCCAGGTAAGGCAAACCCTGGGTCGACTGAACCGTAATCTCGTCCTGGCTCGCAAATCGGACTCTTATCTCATCCACAAGACGCTTCCACTTTTCCCGCTCCCGATGAAGCAAAAAAGCACTTGTCGACAGCGCCACAGTCGTCAACTGACAATCCGCAATGACAAACGCCAACCCGTTCGTAACCAGCTCCTTGGTGGTAACCCCCTTCTTCCCACTCTCATCAATTCGCCCAACCACAGGCGAGACAAAATCCGACCTGACACCCGTCATGTCCCCCTTGGCAAGCCGCCGCTGGATCTTGTCGGTCGCGATGCGCCAGTTGCGCAGGCGGTTTTTCCGCGTGGCGCCCAAAAGGAACAAACCCAGGAAAATGTCCAGGGGCGCAAATCGCGTCAGGCAGTTGCGGATGGTGCTGTACTTGGCGTGGAAAAAGAAGGCCTTTGTCATGGAGTTTTCGTTGTCGTCCTTCAGTCCGTCAAAGGACTCGCCAAAGCTCAGGTCCGTTACCGTGTCGAAGGTCGCGTAGCCCAGGAAGCGCTGCAGGTCGACTACCCCATCACCTGATTTGGTAATCTCACGGCGCAACCGTGCAATCAGCTCTCCCGCGTGCCGCTCGATGATGGGCGACTGGTCGCGCAGCGCCTTGTCGGAGAAGGCGTTGACCATGGCGCCGCGGATGCGCTTGTGGGTTTCATCGGCGGCGGTGAAGAGGGAGTGCGCGCCGTTCAGGGGCGGGGTTTGGCTGTACGGGTCTTTGGGGAGTAAGGGTTTGGAGACATAAATGTCCTTCCATGCAGCCGGGGAAATGGTGGTGATCTCGTCGGGCGCGATGCGCACCACGGGGCCGTACTGCTCATGCAGCCGGTCCAAGACCTGCCACAGGTCCCCCTGGATGACATGCCGCGCCCAGGGTATGCGCGAGACGGCCCACCATTTTGGGCCGGGGAACTTGGACAGTGGGTGGAAGTGAATGAGATAGATGGCGGAGAGGAGGCAGTACTGCTATTTGGTTAGTTTACTGTCCTAAGAAGGGGGGTGGTGATGCTCGGGCTGGGGTCTTGGGTGCTCACCAGGATGTAAGCCCCCACGCAGAAGCCGGCAAACCCGGGGCTTGGAAACAGAGGCAATGTGAATGACATGGCTGATTTCCCAGTGGTGTTTGCAGAAGCGGATAGCTGTCCCGACCCTGTAGGTGTCCCCAGCACAGATCTAAGGTGTGAAGGGCAACTTGAAGATAACCCTCACTCAGTGCATGCCTAGATGCGTATGTAGAATCCCTTTATCCGTATCGCACCAACTGATGGCTTGGCTCTGGAACTTGGACATGCGATTGTATGGATACCGGCCGTTACACGCATTAGTCTGACACCCCTGGTGCAACGTCGTGAACCAGCCAATCCCTGCAGTCCCAGCGACCGGACACTTATCACAGATGACTTTAGGCAACATAACGGTATCCAGGATTCCTTCCTGCGCAACTAACCAAAGCGCTGGGGCGGAGTACTGAGGACCGCATGCCCCGTGGGAAACGCAGACGAGTGGACTGTGGTCTGTGGAAATGGGCTAAGCGGATGAGTTCAAGGGCGGTTTGCGATTGGACGTCAAGTCCAATCTCCAATCGCAGCGTAACATCCACTGCCGCCCCCCTGCCGGACGGACTCGGGCCCGGAAAGGATGTCTGCCTTCGGTGTCTTTTTGCCAGTTTGGAACCCAGGAGAGGTACTGTACTCGACGCGAGTGCGGCCACATTAACCGTTCTGGATGATTACATACTGTGCACTTAGAGCAATGATATGTAAGCGGTACACCGCAAACCAGGTAGCCGGAACCCTCCCCTGGACGTGTAGACTGTAGACTGCTGCTCATGCAGCAATAGTGCTGTACAGTACCTCATGATGGCGCCCGAGCTTGACCACCAGAAGACGGGGACGAGGCCGTCTTCATCCCCAATATCTGCCGCCTTTTTCTGTCCGCAGAGCCGCGCGCCAAGCCCAGAGTACCTCGACGGCTTGCACGCCTTCCTGGCCCGCCACCACCACGGTCAAGCCCTCCTTGGAGAAGTTGCTAGCTTAGGGACCGATGGGACGTGGGCGTTATTCTCCGCCGCGAGCGGCGGCGTGCGGTCTCTCGCCGAAGGGCCTCGGTATCTCGGCCTGTTCAAAGACTGGGCTGTTCACGGGGTGTCGGCGCCCCTTGCCGTGGTGCGTTCCGGGATTGTAGCGCTCCCGCTGCTGGCCATTGTCCAGATCGGCCAGTATCTGCGCTACCTGGAAGCCCACGGTCTCTCACATCAACAGTTTCTGGCCCATGTGGGACGTTTCGGCGGGGGGCTGCAGGGCTACTGCGGCGGGCTGCCGGCAGCCGTCGCCATTGCCTGTGCGAAGGACGAAGCCGAGGTCGTCAGGCATATGGCGGCCATTCTGCGCATTCTCGTCGGAGTAGGGGCCTATGCCGAGGCGGCAGACGACACGCGGGACGAGGACGGGTCCACAACGCTGGCGCTCCGCCTCAAGTACGAAGGCCAGGGCGAGGATTTGACTAGCCGCTTCCCCGGAACCCACGTCTCTGCCATCACAGAGCCGAGGTCCATCAGCATTGTCGGGTCGGCGGGCACGCTGGACCGGCTGTATCGCTTCGCCCGGGACCAGGGACTGCAGGTGCAGAAGATGGAGGTTCGTGGCAAAGTGCACAATCCTGATAACGCACAACTTGCCGCCGATCTATGTCGGATTTGCCACGAGACGCCCTCCCTGCAACTTCCCGAGGCTGCCATGCTGCAGGTCCCCGTGAGGTCGAACAGGACAGCTTTGACGCTCCAGCATGGCTCGATGACCGAGGAGATCGTCACCACCATTTTGGCATCTCGATGCGAGTGGTTTAACCTCCTCAGCGAGGTAGCTCAGGATCTAAAGCGGTCAGCGCAGACTGAGCATTCAGTCGTCGTTTTTGGTCTGACGGACTGCGTGCCCCTGAGTCCGTTCCACAAAGAAAGCCTCCGGATCAACAAGATGGAAGCGCACAGCCTGATACATGTACAGCGAGATGGAGACATCGTAAACAAGAGGCGCTCTGCCATACAACCGCCTCCAGAACTACCAGAAGATGCAATTGCCATAATCGGGGCGTCCTGCCGTCTTCCGGGGGCCAACGACCTGGACGAACTGTGGGACCTTATCTCTCAGGGGCTGGACTGCCACCGCGAGGTGCCCACCGACCGCTTCGACCTGCCGGGCAGCTTCCGCGCATCACAAACCCCCAACTTTGCACACAGCCGCAAGTTCTACGGTAACTTCCTCGACGACATCAAGCGCTTCGACAACGCCTTCTTCAAAATATCCGCCCGCGAGGCGGCCAGCATGGACCCGCAGCAGCGCATGCTGCTTGAACTCTCCCACGAAGCCCTTGAATCCGCCGGCTACCTTTCCACACACTTCCGCGAGCAAGGTGACAACGTGGGCTGCTTCATCGGCGCAAGTTTCGTCGAGTACCTCGACAACACCAGCGCGCACGCACCAACGGCCTTCACCTCGACGGGCACCATCCGGGCTTTCCTCTGCGGCCGCATCAGCTATCAGTATGGTTGGTCTGGCCCGGCCGAGGTGCTCGACACAGCGTGCTCGTCATCTCTAGTAGCAATCCACCGCGCGTGCAGGGCCGTTCAGGGAAGGGAATGCCGCATGGCGCTGGCTGGGGGGATCAACCTCATCACGGGGGTGCACAACTACCTGGACCTGGCCAAGGCCGGGTTTTTGTCGCCCACAGGGCAGTGCAAGCCGTTTGATGCCGCTGCGGATGGGTACTGTCGGTCTGACGGCGCCGGGCTGGTGGTGCTGAAGGGGCTCAGGGACGCCATAGCCGACGGGGATCAAGTGATGGGTGTGATTGCTGGCGCCGCAACTAACCAGGGCGGCCGGTCGTGTTCTATTACGGTGCCCCAGCCGAGCGCGCAGCAGGCGCTGTACCGGACGGTGCTGGAGCGGGCAGGTGTCAGGCCCGAACATGTTACGTATGTCGAGGCGCACGGCACGGGCACTCAGGCGGGCGATCCGCTTGAGATGGAGAGCATCCGCGCCGTTCTGGCTGGCAGGGACAGTAGTGATACCCGGGGGGCTCTGATCCGCAAAGATACACTGACTGTTGGCTCGATCAAGGGAAACATTGGCCACTGCGAGACGGCGGCAGGCGTTGCGGGTCTGCTCAAGGTGCTAGCCATGCTCAAGCACGGCAAGATCCCGCCGCAGGCCAGTCACAGCCGGCTCAACCCCAAGATCCTGCCCCTGGAGCCCGACGGGATCACCATTGCGCGGAGTCTGCAGGGCTGGGATGTTCCCTTCCGCGCGGCGCTTGTCAGCAGCTACGGCGCGGCCGGGTCGAATTGTGCCGTGCTCTGCTGCGGTATGGTGCCAGCCCAGGGCCAAGATGTGGTGGAGTGGGGTGGTATGAAGGAGAAGAAATCGAGGTACCCCGGGGTGGGTTATGCCCAGCCATATTCGACGACAACTTATCCAAGTGATTCCCTGTGCTTCCCCCTTCATGTGAGCGCCGCTTCGGAACAAAGCTTGCAGGAGAATGCCCGCAAACTGGCGGCGTATTTGCGTCGCACGGCGGGTCAGGTTTCGTTGCTGAATATCGCGTACACCCTGAACGAGAAGAGGCAGCGGTTCAAGTACTTGGTCAGCATCACAGCCAGCACGGTGCAGGAGGCTGCCGCTCAACTCGATAACATCGCCAAATCTCCAGGTCCTGACACACCATCAGCTTTCCAGCTCCCAGCAACCACCAAACCCTCCGTTCTCGTCTTCAGCGGCCAAAGTGACCGTGCTGTCGGTCTCGACCGGTCGTATTACTTCTCATACCCCATCTTCCGAGCATACATCGACGCCTGCGATCACGAGCTCACGGAACTAGGCTACAAGCCCATCATCCCTTCCATCTTCCAGACCAAGGAAGAACCCATCAACGACATCTCCACACTACAATGTGGCGTCTTTGCCGTGCAGTACGCGTGCGCCCGCAGCTGGATGGATGCGGGCCTCAGACCAAAAGCCCTGGTCGGGCACAGTCTAGGCGAGCTGACGGCGCTTGCTGTATCGGGGGTACTCTCGTTGCGCGACGCCCTGAAGCTGGTTGCCGAGCGCGGGCGGCTGGTCGAGACAAAGTGGGGTGCGGAAAAGGGGGCGATGCTTGCTTTGCAGGGCTGTGACGTTGAGGGATTTTACAAGATATCCCGGCTGGTACTGGAAAGGGGTCACAAACTGGAAATTGCCTGCTACAACGGCCCAACCTCGCTCGTTGCCGTGGGCACCTCCGCCGCCGTGGCCGCAGCTGAAGAGACACTTCGCAGGGAGCCGGGCCTTTCTGGGATCCGATTCCAGCGGCTCGCCACCAGTCACGGCTTCCACTCGGTGCTGGTCGACCCGATCCTGCCTGACCTGGCGGCCGTTGGCGCCTCCCTGACGTGGCACGAGCCGGCTATCCCGCTCTACACCTGCACCGCGGAGCCGCTGGGATCTGTAAAGGAGGGGTATGACGTTTGCCGACACGCGCGCGCGCCCGTCTTTTTCTCTGAAGCGGTCCAGAGAGTTGAGGACGCACTCGGCCCCTGTGCCTGGCTCGAAGCGGGCATCGATTCGCCCGTGATTAACATGGCCCGGCGAGCTGCCAAGGAGCCGGATGCCCACACATTCCAAGCCATGAAGACACCAACAAAGGGATCTTCCGTCCCTGCCAACGCCGTTGGAGAGGTTGTCGCATCCCTCTGGAGAAGCGGCGTGTTCCTGTCGCACTGGAGATTCCTTCCCGTGCCCAACGATGATAACCTCCCCGGGGCCAGGGAGTGCAAGCAGATCTGGCTACCGCCGTACCAGTTCCAGCGCACGCCGCATTGGCTGGACAACATTGACCGCGCAGCCGAGGCGTTCAAAACCGCCGCCGTTGCCTCAGTCCCTGAAACAAAACCACCACCGCCACCACCACTCGTCTCAAGAAAACCAAGCCTAAGCAATTCCCAACAAGGAGTCGCCGAGTTCACCATTAACACGCAGAGCCCACGCTTCCAGGAGCTCGTGGCCGGCCACGCGGTGCGCTCCCGCCCGCTCTGTCCGGCATCCGTCTACGCCGAGTGCGCGACCATGGCGGCGCAGCAGCTCCTCTCTGCACCAGGGAGTCAAGGGACTCAAGAGGGAATGGGGCTTGTCCTGGAACAGGTCCGCTTTCTTTCTCCCCTGGGCGCGTCACCACAAGGTGGAGGGGAGGTCACGCTGCGGTTGGAACAGACCAACAGCCTTGAGAGTGGTGATGGGAGTTCAAGGGCATGGACCTTCTCCATTAGCACCCACCAACAACAACAACCCAAAAGCAAACCTATCGTCCACGCCACAGGCCGCATCTCCCTCCCTTCATCCCCCACAAGTAGTACCAGTGAGCTAACAACCCTCGCCCGGCTGCTCACCACCTCCCTTTCCAACCTATCCACCTCTCCCGACGCAGACCGTTTGCAATCCACCCGAGCCTACACACTCTTTTCCCGCGTAGTCACATACGCGCCCTTTTTCCGCGGCATGTGCTGCGTAACCCTGCTCGATAAGACCGGCGAGGCCGCTGCGACAGTCGCCCTACCTCCCGGTGTACCCCAGCCTGGGAGAGAGGACGGTTCCCCTCAGGCTGCCTGGCGGACGTGTGATGCTGTGTTGGTGGATGCGTGGATTCAAGTTGCTGGGCTGCTGGTTAACAGTAATGATGATAATGAGGGGGAGGTGGCGGTCATGACTGGCCTGGATAGGGCTGTTATTTCCCCCGATGCATGCAGTTCTTCCAATGGTGATGAAGGGAAGGGGGAGAGGGAGATGAAAGTTTATGTCAAGGTGGATGGTGATGGTAGCAATGGAGATGGGGCTGGGAGGGGAGAAATTGTTGGGGATGTGGTTGTTTTTGACTCGAAATCGGAAGGGCGGCAGGGATCAAGAGTGGTGGCTGCGCTATGCGGGTGTCGGTTTGCACGGGTGCCTGTGGCCAAGCTCGAAATGATGCTGGATTTGGCTGGTTCCGGGTCCGGGGGAAGTATGATGAACTCGCGGGTGAAGGATGCTGCTGCTGCTGCTGCTGATGGCACCAGCTCGAGTACGCCCACCGAGGCGTCGGCCTCGTCGTTCAACCCGACTCCTGCGAGTACTCTGACTCCGGCCGAGTCCGGCAGCGCTGAGCATAGCTATGCGACGCTGAGAGAGATGATAGCCGGGTACACTGGGCTGGACAGCTCGGCGGTTCCCGCCAGCACAGCGCTCTCAGATCTCGGCCTGGATTCGCTGGCTTCGGTCGAGTTGGCCGAGCAACTCTCCTCCGTGTTTGGTGTTTCCGTTGACAGCAGCGATTTGCCTGCAAGCACCTTGGACGATCTCGCCCGGCATCTCGGTCACTCTCCGTCGGCAGGCGGTCAGCAGCATGCCATGTCACGAGAGTCGTCACCCTTTCCGCCAGCGTTAAGAAAAAATACGGCACCATCCCTTGACCTCGCTGGTGACCGTGCAAAGCTGCTGGGAATCTTGTCCGAGCTATCAGGGGCTAAGACCGAGGACATCACGCCCCAGCACGCGCTCGTCGACCTGGGCATTGACTCGCTCTCTCTGGTAGAGCTGCAAGAGGAGCTGAGAAGCAGTTTCTCGGCCAACCTTGGCGGTGTCGATGCGAGCTGCACGGTTCAGGACCTCATGACCCAGCTGGGCATTGCTGGGCCACCGACAAGCCAACGCAGCACTGAACCAGACGCGAGCAAGTTTTCCCCTGACGCCTCGACCGTCTCTGAGAATGACACGGCATGTCATCAAGAGGGAGAAATCACCCTGAGCAACCCCTTTGTCGCGCTGGAGTCGTCAGACGGCTGCTTCAACTCCTCGGCTACCATACGGGGGTTCAAGAATTACTGGCGAGATGTTGCGCCACTTCAAGACGAGCTGACGGTTGCCTACATAATCGAGGCCTTTTCTGCCCTTGGTGTCAGTTTCAGACACATCCCTCCCGGCGCCAGACTCCCATCTCTTTCAAATTCTGTGCTGGCGGACAAGTATGGCAAATTACTCGCAAGACTTTGGGAAATCCTGCAGCAGCGCGATATCGTCTCAGTGGACTCCGAAGGGCATCGGATCCGCGGGCCAGCCTACATCGATGACTGTATTCGCCGTATTGACGACCTCCGGGTCAGCTTGGTGAATCCATATTATGAATACATCCCAGAAGCCAACCTAATAAACCTCACCGGGCCGCGACTCGCCGACTGCCTAACCGGAAACACGGATCCCGTCCAGATCATGTTTGGCAGCGCCACCTCGCTGCAAATCATGGAAACCTACTACAGTCAGTCGCCCATGCTGTCGACAGCAACGCAACAGCTCGCCATCTTTCTCACAACGTATCTGAAGGACGCAGACACTCGGGGCCGACCCATCCGCATCCTAGAAGTCGGCGCCGGCACGGGTGGAACGACCAGGTGGCTCACAGAGGCTCTGCAAATTGCCAACATCCCGGTGCAGTACACCTTCACCGACATCTCCCCGAGCCTTGTGTCCAAAGCAAAAGCCAAATTCGCGCAGCAGCATCCCTGGATCGACTTCGCAGTGCTCGATCTGGAAAAGCCCATCCCAGCCCAGTTCAAGCACCGGTTCGACGTCGTGATCGGGACCAACTGCGTCCACGCGACCACCGACCGGGCAGCGACGTGCCAGCGTCTCCGGGACACCCTTGTGGTGAGTGGTGGCGTCCTGGTCCTGTCTGAGGTCACCCGCGTCGTGGACTGGTACGACATTGCCTTTGGCCTCTTGGACGGCTGGTGGGTGGCTGATCAGGGCAGGCGCTACCCCCTGCAGCCGGCAGAGTACTGGATGGACGCGTTCCGCAAGGCCGGGTTTGCGTCGGCGAGTTACTCGCGCGGTGACACGCCCGAGGCCAACACGCAGCGCCTGCTGGTGGCTTGTACCAAGGGCTGGCCTTGCTCTTATGCGGGGACGTACGATACTGAAATCGCCCGGCCGCTGGCAGTGGCAGGGAAGACGAACAAGATGGCATACCGTCTGCTGACCATGGTGTACAAAGAGGTGAATGGCGTCAAGATTCATGCCGATGTCTATTTCCCTTCCGAGCCGACAGGGAAGGCCATGCCAATAGGTAATGTCCCTTGACAGCAAATAAATCGCGTTGCTAACATAATGTCAGCACTGATGATCCACGGCGGGGGTTACATGACGCTCTCCCGCAAAGCAATCCCGCCGGCCGAGGTCCGCCAGCTGCTTGCGCACGGCTTCCTGCCCGTGAGCGTCGACTACCGGCTGTGCCCGGAGGTGGACATGGTCGAGGGCCCCATCGCCGACGTGTGCAGCGCCTACCGCTGGGCCAAGACCGACCTCCCTGAAGAGGCGGCCTTGTTCGGCCACGACGTGGACCCGACCCGCGTGGTGGCCGTCGGGTGGTCGACGGGCGGTCATCTGGCTGTCTCGCTGGGCTGGACCGCGAGGGAAGCCGGGTTGGAGCCTCCGAAGGCGGTGCTCAGCTTTTGTGCGCCTTATGATTTTGAGTCAGGCGGTAAGATTTTTCATCCGTAGGCAAATCTGCTGTGCTGATTCGAAGCTGACGGCATTGTTTGCCAGAGCTCGAATCGTCGCGTCCGAGTCTGACCTCCCTCCCGGATCGGAAACTGAAGCTGGAGAGCATCTTAGAGAGATTACAGTCCTCCCAACAAGTAAGCCCTCTCCAGCAGACCAGCCTTCAAACGGGTTGTCAAGAGTTCTGGAGTTCCTAACCAACCCCTTACTTACCTTGTACCTGCCAGATCACCGAACACCACCCTCCACAACCAACCACCACCCATGTCCCAAGCGACAACAACAACCTCACTTTCCTCCGCGCAGGCGACCCCCGCTCGGAACTAGTCCTATCCCTCTTTCAACAGGGCCAAGGGGGGATCGGCCTGTCCTTACTCCTCCACGGTCTCCACTCCACCGCCATCACTTCCAACCCTTCTTCAGTCAGAAGCACCGGCGGCAGCAGCAAACAGAGCATCATCGACGCCCTTCGCCACGCAGTCCCGTCTTCACAGCTAATCGCGCGAGTGAGCCCGCTAGCCCGGGTGCGTGCGGGTGCGTACCGTGTCCCCACCCACGTGGTGCACGGTACGGCCGACGCCGTCGCGCCCTGTGCTGCTGCCGAAAGGTTTGTCGGTGTGCTGAGGGAGAGCGGGGTGCGGTGTGGGTTTAGTAGAATTGTTGGAGGTGGGCATATGCATCTTTGCACCACTAGAAGTGCGGGTGGTGGTGGTGGTGATGATAATGAACAGGAGGACGAGGGGAGTCAGGCGAGTAGCAAAGAGTGGACAGAGGCGGTGGAGGGAGGGGTGAGGTTTTTGATGGAGGAGGTTCAGCTTGCTGGTTCATGTTGACTCTCGAGGACGACACGATATTGACCAGGGCAGGTATTGTTATGGAGTTCTTGATGTACCGGATGGATGAGTGGCAGGATTGTTAGGCAGTTATGTTTCCGGTTATGTTTCTCTTGAGATTTTTGGATTTCAATACTGATGTCGGGTTTCTTGACTTGTGTCGTCTTACCGTTTCCATAGGAAAGAGCTGTCCTGGTGTGCAAGGCTGCAAGCAACCATCCTCGAACCATTTGTCACCCGTGGCGCTAGCATGTGGCGCTGTGGCGCTACTTCGCCATTGTTGGCCCACAGCCGTCCGGGCACTGAATCACCGATCCGTTGATCGTTCCAGCCTTGGGCTTTGCCGCTCCACACCGCCAGCAGTCCAACACCAGTCCGGGGGCGGCGACACCCGCCGAGTCAATGCCATTGTGCTCGAAGCACACTTAGTGCACGATACCACGCACGATGGGGCGAATATGGCTCTTGCTTTTCCTAGTCGCGCTCCTGGCATCTTCTGCCAGTGCAGGTTAGTTTCCTTCCCAATCGGCATACTCCCCTTGCCTGCAGAAGTTGCTCTCAATCGAGAGACTGACACGCAGCCCAGCGGTCCCGACATTCTGCAAATGCACCTGCTTCAAAAACAGCACCATCATCCCTCTCGGCCCGCAGCACGACAACAATAACAACCCGGCGCCGCCGCCTCCCGCCTCATCATCAACCCCCTCCGATCCAAGTAGCACCACTCTCGAACCCGACACGGCTACCCCCGCTGCTGGCCGCTCCTCCTTCCCCTTCCTCGCCGCCCGCGAGGCTTCTACATCATGCAAACAATGCAACCGCGCCTTCTGCCTCAAGTACAACCTGCCCTTCTGCAAGGACGCCGAGGAAAAGGACATTGTCACGAGCTGTTTCCAGCGCGACAGCGCCAAGGACCAGATCATCGTCTGGGGGTTCATTCTCGGCACGGCGGGACTGCTCGGCTGGGCTGGGCTGAAGCGCGTCGTGGAGAAACAGCGTCAGCGGCAACAGCAGCCGCCTCGCGGGCTTGGTGGGGGAGGTAGGGAGGAGGTTATTGGTGGCCGCGGTGGTAATGGGAACGGTGATCATGATGGTCGAGGGGGTACACGGTTGTGGAGGCGGGGAGGAGGGCTGGCTGGTGGGAGGGGGGAGTATTTTCCCCTTGGGAGGGAGACGGATGGTGGGGATATTGCTGCCGCTTCTCGCGGGGCTGGATAGAAGGCATATACATAGGCATTTATGTGATGGGGTTTTGTCTTTCTGGCCGCGTTGGGTAGGTATGATTGTGTTCTGAGCTGTCTCGGCAAAGCCACGTGCGCTGAAGCAGTTGTATCGACAACACATGGACTCGGCGTGAACTTACTATTACCTGACCGTGGTGTGGTGTTGGCACCCTGCGTATGCGCCGAGCGGAGTTGAGGAAACAAAGTTCGGAATTAGGAAACTGCTTTTGTCTAGTCGAGCCAACTTTTATATGCCGTTCCTCATTGAGGATGCTCGCTCGGTATCACCCACCCAACTTTTGAGAACCTGCCCGTGAATTAACCTTTGAATAGCAACTTTGCCGCCAAACCCTCCTCACGTATCGTTTTTCTTGGCGGCCTTTCGTTGTCAATGAAACCCCTGATCCATCCAAAGAGGTGCACTACTCCTCCTCCAGGGGGGTCGTCTTGGGCTCGGCACCATTCGCCGTCCGTACATTAAGCTTCCTCCTCTCCCGGACCGCAGCTGCAAGGTCCTCGAGCACTTCGACAGTTGTCTCCCAGTCAATACAGGCGTCAGTGATGCTCACCCCCTTCTTGAGTGCCGCGGGACCCTCCGGGGGCACCTTCTGATTGCCTTCGTTGATGTTGGACTCGATCATCACACCAATGATGGCTGTCTCGCCTTCTCGGAGCTGGTCCGCCACGGCCTTTGCGACCTTGGGCTGGTTCCGGTGGTCCTTGTTCGAGTTGCCTGATCCAGTCAGTGACTCATCCCGAACGACATGTGCTTCGTGTAAACCCACCATGAGAGCAGTCAACCATAATTGCCAGCTTCTGGCCTTTCTTGATCAACGTCTCCTTCGCAGCCTGGATGCTCGCCTTGTCGTAGTTGGGCCCCTTTGTCCCGCCCCTCAGGATGACGAATCCATGCTCGTTGCCAGACGTCCGCGTGATGGCTGCCAGCCCCTGCTTCGTGACGCCCATGAAGTGGTGCTTGGCAGCCGCAGCGCCGATGGCGTCGATGGCAACGCCAAGGTTGCCGTCCGTCCCGTTCTTGAAGCCAACAGGGAAAGACAGGCCAGAGGCGAGTTCACGGTGGAGCTGGCTCTCGGTCGTCCTCGCTCCGATGGCGCCAACCGAAATGAAGTCGGCCAGGAACTGCGGCGAGATGGTGTCAAGCATCTCGCTAGCAATAGGCATGCCCGTTGACGTCAGGTCGCGGAAAAGCTGTCTTGATACGCGGAGGCCCTTGTTAATCTTGAAGGTTTGATCGATATCCGGGTCGTTGATGAGGCCCTTCCATCCCACCGTCGTCCGGGGCTTCTCGAGATAGGCACGCATCACGATGACCAGGTCGTCTGAAAGCTTGTCCGAGACAGCCTTTAGCCTGTGCGCGTACTCAATGGCCGTGGCAGGATCGTGGATAGAGCACGGCCCAACGATGACCAAAAGGCGGTCGTTCCGGCCCATGACCACGCCTACGGCCTCCCGTCTCCCCTTGACGACCGTCTGGAGGGACTCATCCGTCATGGGGATTTCTGAGATGAGCAGGGCTGGTGGAATGAGGGGATCCTGGCCCAACACTTTACGTGGGGTTAAAGAGAATTAGCAATAGCCATGAAAGGAAGTGATTCCATGGAAGGCGTGAATAAGAGGAACAAGGTGTGAACAGTTTTCACTGAAAGGCAACTGCAGTATCCAGGAGTGTCTTGATAAGCTACGAAAAATTCAGAGAATCGGCATACCTCTCATATCATCGGCCCGAAGGGGCGCCATCTCGGCTCCAGGCATTCTCGATAGGTTTCGAAAGGGTGAGAGAGGATAAAGGTTTATAGGTGAGCAGGGAGGTCGCGGGCGCCCTGCGTATATGGTTCGTGAGGCTTGTGCGAAAACACAGACGAATTTGTTTGTTGCAGGACTTTGAACTCGGCGGAGTGTGGAAAGCAGCGCCAGGTTGAAGCGGTATCGGCTAGGCACGTCGGTGGGGAGAGGATCAGTTTGCGCGGCCGAGGACAACAAAGGAACCCAATCTACGTCCAATTCAACAAGAAAAATGCACACTCAAAGTAAATGCAAGTAAAATAGGGGTTGAATGAAAAGTCAAGGTGGGGTGTTTGACGGGCGAGATGAAGTGGAATGGTTAATGACTCAGATGAGTTCCATATCCAGTTTACGGGGAGGGTTGGTCCGGCAGGGCGACCTGAGATCTCTGAAGGACCTGAATGTCTACGCTACCGTTCGACAAGAAAAGCAGCATTTGAGCAGATCTGCACAGCAAGCAGGAACATCAATCAATACCCTACTGACAGCAGGAAAAAGCAGGGAAAATGGTCGACCAAGATTTAGCGAATTGCACGCCTGGTGGTAAGCATTCGCTCTTTCTTGACTAATAACTTGGCCCTTTCACCCCTCCAACTTCATACCTTATTACACTCAATTCAACCATTCTTCAGCTGCGTTCTTCAGACATCAGTTGATATGGACGGCAGCAGAACAATCTTCGACCAAAACTGTCGTGGCACCGAATCACACGGCTGGTGTTGGTAAGCCCTCCGATCTTTTGAACTTTTCTGGCCGACTGCAGACAATCAGCAACCCCGGCTTGGCGGTTCCCCCAGGTGCATGTGGCCAAGTCTGGGAAGGGGATTCGACGAGATGCTCGGATGTGATTTTTTGGCTCAATACAGCTGGGGAACAAATAACCCTGAAGCTGTTCACTTACGGATAGGTATGGACATGAATAATTCTGCCTCTGTCATTTGTGGTTTTCTTTTTGAGATTCATGTCCATCTTGCCTCGTGTCATTGTTCCCTCTTTTAGACTCTAAGAGTTTGTGTCCTTCTTGGTGAATACAGGCTATCTCACCCTTTTGTGATTATTTGGTATCTTACTTATCTTAGATAGCTTTAGTGTTCACAGAGACGGGAATCCATGGTGTCTCGCCATCGTGTTGCCCGCAAACCTCTGAGATGCTTCAGGTTAACCTCCCAGGTCCACCTTAGCTGGCCACCCAGCGGCTGTTTCCTTGCCTGCCGGGATTACTACTCCCAATTATTGATGATTGACCGTATGCAAATGTGTGCTCAAGACTTGGAGTGCTGACGGCCAGTACGGCCTTTGAAGCAATTCTGAAACCGACCCTCCATCTTGTGGTCTTTCACCTGGCGAGCAGGTCTCCAATCTTGTTGGTGCACCGACCGATTCTCGGCCCAGGGAGCAGGAAGTCTCCACACTTCTCCCCCAAGAGCCCTGAACACACTGTTAGGGCCTCACGGGCCACTGGAGTAACTTACACCATTTCCGTAACCTTAGACGAAATACCTTACCGGACGAACATGAACTCAAACCTAGTAGTTAGTGCCTCTTCGTGATGATGGCATACCCGACGTAGCCTGCTGTAATTGTCTTGAATTCTTGCGTTGCTGGCCGAAGATGCTTCGAACGTTAAGGCTTCATACATACCAGGTACGGAGGATGGGGCCAAAAGTGTTCGTCGCCTTCCTCTAGCCAAGACTGCCAAGATCACAATACAGTGAGGTTCGCACAGTCCTGTCAGCCACCCACTGAAAGCCACCCTAATCAGCCGATTGACAGGTCAATCACTGGGTCAATCACAGGGCCACCTCAGTGCCCACTTCAGTAAAATTTGCAAGGAAGAACGCTACGTCCATAAAAATACAGTGCGTCCCTCTTCTCTCTGGCTTCTCATACGTTGACAGGCTTGGCACCAGCAGGAGGGTGACGAACACTTTTGGCCCCATCCTCCGTACTTTCTCTTTCTTGAGGTGGTTAACGTTGACTTAGCTCGGTCGCGTTGCCCTTGTCCAATTAGCTCTCGGCACCCATTAAGCCCCCACACTCCGAACCCCTGCCGCATCTGACGTCGCTGCCTGCCAATCGTTGATCGCCTTTCCAGCAGAAAGCGGTCTCTTTGGTGCAAACCCCACCGGCGGGCCCTAGCACCCGCGATTTGTCGGGTCTAACGGGCGTTCCCTTCTGTCACTTCACTGATGTATGTACCTTCGTATGCATAAGAGGTATAATGTTCCCGCACCCAATAGGCGGCCATCTCTCCATTTTCCAAGCGACTCTTCATGTGTATACACGATAGTCTTTGGAAACAGTGTCACCAGTGCTTTATCGTCTGGCGATTGGACAGGTTGCACAGCGCACGGCTACAGATGCCAAAGCCCTAGCTCCTTGGGATCGGGAAAGAGCCGACGGAGCTGTGACAGGGAGCTGACGGCCGACAGGCCAGCCTAGGCCAGCCCAGGTCTCCCCTCAGCCTCCGCTTCGTCGACCTTCCCTTCAACCGCAATAATCTTCTGAGCCGAACGTGCAGATCGATTGGAAGCGCCCAGAGGCCGATTGATCGAATTATCTCTGGCGAGCCTTGCCTCAACAAAGCGTCACCCCATCTCTTTTCTTTATTGCGAACAATCCGATTTCCGAAATACTTCCTCAGCACTCTGGCGCGGGCTACCATACAGTTCGAGGCGGCGGGATTCCCAGGTTTCTTAGTCCTCGCAAACCGGCAAGATGCTGTTCCACGAGGAATCTCCCGAGCAGCAGCGGAAGAGATGCAGGGAAGAAGATTACGCCGATATATCGGTTGGAGGCACTCTGGGGTTTACAGAACACAGAAGCGTAAGCATCCTGCCTATACTATCCAAGTGCGGCTGTTTGCGACTGCGCTCCGGATCTCAGGACGACCGGGGTTTCGGGTTCAGAAATGGCTGGACTGCCGGGGGCGTCAACTCGATCTGACTTGAGGCATAGAAACGACTACAATCATTACCCTTGAGGGGATCTCAGGCCTCGAAGCAATGGGCCAACCCGCCACCACTCCCTCCTTCTAACCCTACCTTTGCCATCCATGAACAGCCCCGGACGATTACACCGGTATCGTCGGAAACGGAAGAGCCGCCAGTGGAGCAGCATCTCTGGGCAGATGAACCCGAGCTTGTACCCGGGAGAGCAGCTGCTGCCGTGGCCTCCGAGGGCCTTGACACTGATATGGACATGATGGATACATCAGACGCAGTCTTGGATCGAGGCCAGGGCAAGGACGGGTCCGATGCCTTTCAGGCAAAGCTGAACGTGCCTAGTGTAACGGGCCGCATCCCTACACCGATCCACTGCAGCTTTGCTGCGCAAATACGAGGTAATAGCTGGAACGACCCTCACGGGGCAATGAGGCAGGGCGGCCCACTTGCAACGACACCTGAGGAACCCAATGCAATGGCGTTTAGCAGCAATGGACTGGTGGACATTACTGGCCAGTTTCCCCATGCGACGGGCAACGAGAGTGGACCAAGATTTTTGGAAGGTCAGGCAGCTGCCGCAGATGTCATGTCTGATTGGAACATGGTGCAACACAGGCGACTTCCCTCGCCCATCAGCGAGTGTGGCGGTGAGGATAGCCTGGAAAGCCCGAGGATGGTGCTAGATTCATCGCCTCAGCGCGGAGGGCACCTGAGTAGAGTCACCCACGAACACCCCCTGCTCGCCGGGCTCCCGCCGCGTGCCAGCTCAGCAGTAGAGGGAGGATATTCCCCGATCGGAGACAGCCCAACAGTTGAGAACCAGCTCGGCAACGCCATGGATGTTGAGGGTATTTCGACGCCTTCGCCGAAGAAGGGACACACTCGATCGAGACACACATTAAACTCGTGGACAGCGCTACAGCCAGGCATGACCCGGTCGTTCAGTATAGGATACCGAGCCGACTGTGAGAAATGCCGGATGAAAGTGCCCGGTCACTTTAATCACATCATCATCTCATAGGAGGGTGAACATTTCGGCGATTGAGAATCGTTGAACGCCGCAACCAACAGTGCAGCAACACTCGGGGAGCTACTCGCGCCTGCCATGAGCTATACCTCTGGAGGGGGGTGGGTCAGGAAACTGGTGTCTCTGGCTGGTAACCCATCTTGAGGGTTTCCTTGGGAATCATCATGCCCAAACCGCTCGTTTATCTGTGATGCGCAACTCGCTTCAGGAGTAGCGTGTCTGGGTGAGACTCTTTTGCTAGCCTTGAAGATTTGGAGTTAGGGGGCGATCCACGGTCTGAACAGACTCGGGCACATTGCTCATGAGTATTTGCCTGGTAATGGAATCGTTTTTTGGGAGTGCGTATAGGATAGGTATTCGGTGGCATTTACAGAAAGCACCCAGAAACACGGCAACACACAAGTTGCACGTTACAGCAAACCCAAGCTCAGAACATGGACCTGGCGGTACTGAAGAGCAATGCAATTGGTATACAACTACCTGGCGCATACCATTTCATTCATTGAGATACCTGCGTTAGCTGTTCGGCGGCACTATGATACCAAAAGACCAATCTCGGCTCGTCACCTCTTCGTTGCTCTGGACTGCGTACAGCTGTATACAGCCCATACCGAGACCAAAGCCCAAGCTAAAGCTCCACGGACTTGCTGGATGTTAAGGCACCTAGCTGGCAGAGCTCTTGTCTAGATATGTACAGATTCCGCGCCGAGTAATGCACCCTCCGATCTACACTAATATACAGTCTCCATGCCCATGTTGCTTCTCGCACCGTGGTGCTGGCCCGGCGCCCCGGCTACTCACTAAGGTGGATTTCAGGAGGCGAATATGCAGGAACCATCATAGCCTTCGGCTGATAGTACTCCAATCGTTGCACAGCAACACCAACTAACTGAGCCTCAATGTACCCACCCACTGCCAGGCACCTTGCAAGGTACAGGACATTCAGGTCGCCATTACCACCACCCCTTCTTAGGCGGCTCTTCCTGCCCTGTAGTGGTAGGGGCAGCAGCGGGCTTGTCCTGCTGCTGCTCGATCCCAACCCGATCCAGCGGCCCGCCCTGTCGTTGGTTCTGCTTCTCCTTCTCAAACGCCGCGTGCGCCTTCTGCTCGACGGCGCGCACAATGTCGCTGTTGCGGACGCCCGCGGCATCGTCCTCCTCGCTCAGGCTGCTGCTCTCCTCCTGCTTCTTGAGATTGGACGTCAGCCAGGCCCATAGGCCTGTCTTATGTGGCTGCTGCTGCGGCTGCTGTGAATCAGCGGTCTCCTGGCTGGGTTGTTGTTGTTGTCTCTCGCTTGTTGGCCACGAGACGGTTTCTGTTATCGACCGCCCCGACCCTGACGCTGCTGGTGAGCCCGCCGTCGCTGTCGCGGGGTTGGATGTGGATTTTGTGGCGGGTTCGGGCGTGCTGAGCACGCTGATGTTGGAGAAGAAGGATGTCTTGCGCCCGGATTCACGCTCCCGTTCGATCTGCTCCTCAACCAGGGCGATCTGCTCCTCGGTGGCCTTGCCCGTCATGTAGGCTATGCGGGCAGCCTCAAGACTGTCGGCCTCAAACTTCTTTTGCGCCTCGATCCATTCCCTAGTACGCTTCTTGTTGTACCGTATCATATCGTAGGCTGTGTAGACCGTTGCTACGGCGGCGACGCCTACCAGGATTCGTTAGCCTGATAAGGTACATTTTCCCCATTCAGTTGCCCCTATTGAAGACAGGAGGCTCAGTCGCAGACTGATGTCGTACTCACCCGTGAATATGACAAGGCCGAAGACTGTGATCCTGTGCGCCGAGTCGAACACCCGTCTGCCCACATCAACGATCTTGTCGAACTTTGAGATCTGAGCTTCCTTAGCCCTCCGGTGTGCAGCTCGTAACCGGGCTACCCTCTGCTCGGGGGTCTCTACGATCCCGGGGTCACCATCGCCGCCGCTGCCTGGAACTCCTCCGGGTTTGGACCGAGGGGACGCGAACCGGGGTATGGCCGTCTTGGAGCTCGCATGCGGCGTCGCTGCGGTAAATCGCGTCGCGTCCGAGACGCTGCGCGGAGCAGCAGTCACTGGCATAATTGGTCCGTCGAGATGTCCTGCGTTTGTGCCCTGTGTAATCGTCCGGGTCGGCAGGGTACCCTGATATTGGGGCTGGAATGAAAGCTGCCGAGACTTTTTCCTAGCCGAGCTCGAGCACACTGGAATCTCAGACCATCCAATCCAAGCGCCAAGCTATGGGAAGGTTTTTTGGAATTGAGCGACCCACGGAGCTTCCCGGCCTGCTGGCTACGTACTGCAGACAAGCCACAGCACCCCACTGTGCCAAGCACGTGGCTAGCCAATGCCTGCCGTGTCAGGCCCACTTAATTTCGCAGATGGAAATTTTGGCTGGAGCTGGTCCGTCCCGTCACCCGACGTGTCTTCGGGGAACGAAGAGGAAAGACATCAACCATACTCCCAATTGACCGCGAACAAAGATGCGGCGCTTATCCAGGTTGCGAGGGCAGGCTTCGGCAGGCTTTGCCAGCCAGCCCTCTATGCTCTCCAACGCTCTTCGGGCCCCGGCAGCGGCCATCATTTCAACCGCCAGCGGCAGCCGACACGACCTCGAACCTTCCCCCGTTCGAACACAAACCCGACATCTCTCCAACACCCCAGTCTCTCGCAGCACTAGCACCTCAATCGAACCGCAACCCGCCACTCTTCAAGACCAGCCACCCGTCACGTTAGTCTACCCGCAGGGCATCAGCGTGGCGCCGCCTCCGTCCGAGGTCACAGACCCGAGCTACAAGCCGGCCGACTCGGCCGAGGGGTTGGAGGAGGTGGGCGGGCTGGCCGACTGGTGGGATCAGCCGGGGCACTGGAGCTCTGCGTTCGCGCCGCGGGCGTTTGGCTGCGAAAACGACAACAACAAGGTGACGGACCCGTTTGTGCTCGAGGTGTTTACGCGGCGGGCGGTGGTCGAAGCGCTCGTGCTGGCCAACTACGCGGGCGCTGACGGCAAGCGGGTTGACCGCATCTTTTCGAGCGTCGGCGGCGCCGAGAGGCTGCGCAAGATTGTCGAGGTGGAGTTGGCCGCTTCTGAGGACGAAGGGAAACGCGGGGAAGTGACGCTCAAGAACTCGAAGGATTGGGTTAGGGTGTGGACGGTTCTGCGCTCGGTGGAGGAGATTGATAGGAAGGAACGGCAGAGGGCCGCGACCAAGGCGTGGCTGGAGCAACAGAAGAGGGAGAAATTGGCTAAGGAGGCCGAGGAGAAGGGAGAGGCGGTCGAAGCCACCCCCGAGCCGGCCACCCAGGCTCAGGCCGAGGCCCCGAAGGAGTCTAAGAACCACAGTGTCTCGCCAGATGCGGCGCAAGAGCTGGTCCGGTCTTGGGACAAGGGGTGGCGGAAGGCTGAGTTGAGAGATCCCGTGGTCAAGTACTTCGTAAGTTTGGAGAAGGATATGTGATTGATCTGCTAAGGAGGAATGCTGACACCAGAATCTACAGTTTGCCAAGCGGATCCAGCAACTAACGGGGCACCGCATCCCTGACGGAAAGCTGCACGGCATCAAGACAATCGACGGCCTCTTGAAGCAGCTCGTCGAACCGCCCAAGCCCAAGAAGCTCGCAGAACTGGTTGAGGCAAAGGATATGTTCAAGGACCTCCCCAACGTCAGGGTGTTCCCCAGGAGGGTCACGCCCATTGACAAGGAGAAGATGGTTGGCCGCTGGAAGATTATCGTCCGCGAGCTGGAGAAGCGCGAGTTGCCCGTCATTGGCACGGGCGACTACGGCGAGCCCATCGAGAAGAAGTGGATCGAGGGCAGAGTATGACCGGCCAGCAGGCTTCTGTGGGCTGTCTGGTACGATTGGACGGGGGCTCCCCCTGTGTATTATGTATTGTAGACAGTATTACTGTGTATACGGACTTTTGTTCCCAATGAAGTCGCCATGTCCTCCTTGATTGCTGGCGGACACATGAGACGCCATTCCAGCACGCTCTGGCCGCTTGCATGTCCATTGTTCTCGGGCGTTCCTAGTAGGGTCCCTACAGAGCGCGCTTTCTCGAGATACAGCATCATGCTGTGCACCCTTCTCGAGTTGTGTTCAGGGTTGCTACGGGATGTTTGGGGTTGAAGGTTATCGGGATGCAATTGGAGGCAGCAATCTAGGAAGGTAGCAGTCAGTTCTATTTACTCTCACTAAGTGAGTAACCTAGAGCACTTGACGTCCTGAGCTTGAGGTGTGTAAGCCCTCATCGCATGTGTATGTATGTACTGTACATACATGCCATACATGCCTGCTGTTAGTGCGGCCAAAATTTTTGCTGTGAAATTTGCCCTCTCGACTACCCCTCTTAACAGAGTATGTCAACTCTGTACCTTATGTACTTGTACGGTACAATACTTCGCCGATGACAGGCAGTGCTTGCCCGTCGGGAGTTGCAGAAGGTGCGCGGCAGCCAGCTTGAACTTGGGTTTGGGACGAGATCCTGGACCGTAAGGAGAAAAGACTGTTTGCGCGGGGAGGTCTCTAACGCGGACTGGAAGCTAGCCTAATAAAACTCCGGTTTGTCTACAGCGCCCCGATTTGAGGTCTGCATGATTCCATTTTCATTGCCAACTCTTGTTAATCAGTTTACTCACAGATTGCTGGGCAAATTATTGCAACTAGAACACTGCAACTGGCCCTTCACAACAAAACGGTCACAACCAAACGGGACTTTGAACTGCGGGGAGAGAGGAAGAGTACCCAGATAAAGCTCGGTCTGCCCATGGAAGCCATGAACCGGACAGCGCCCAAAATAGCGGCACTCCTCTCCAGCCGAGGCAGCGCCGCTAATGGGCAAGATGAGACGGCCTGGCGTACTACTCAGCTAGAAGAAGCGCTCACTGACGTTCGGGACGAGAGCGTCGATGGTTTGGCTGAAGTGGTCCAGCAGCTTGCTGATGGGGCAAGGGATCGTCAGTTTGGCCCTTCAAACTTGTCCATGTTGATTAAGCCTTTATGTTGAGTTGAGTTGAGTTTCTAATCCGTTCTAGAGACCTGGAGGCTGCCAATTGGAGATTCAGGACTTTTACGGTTTATCCTGTCTGTTGGCGCTGCTGGGCAACAGGACCCTCGGCACCCCCTGATAAAGCAAACCCTGCGCTTCATCGCCAATGCTTGCGCTGACTGCGGTATGCAATGATGATAGCCCATACTATCAATCTCCCACTAAGTGCTTTGCAGATGAGAACCGGGCAAAAGTGGTTGAGTCCGGCTGTATTCACGGCTTCCTCATCGACTGCCTGAAGCATGATGCAGTCCTGCCCTTTGCCATAGCCGCCATATTGAACGTCTGTGTTGATTATGGTAAGGTAGTTAACGTTCCTTGACTGGGAACTGACGTTAACAAACCTTTATCAGACAAGGCTCAACTACAAGCCTCCGAGGCGGGGCTGAGCAAGATACTCGTCGATATCGTGTCTGGGGAACGGCTGTCATCATGCCAGGCGTCGCTCAGTCACATCATGACCATCTTAGAGTTGCTCTGTAACCAAGGTATGCATGTCTGGCTTAGTCTTGTTGGGATATTGCCTGGCTCACGAGAAGGGCCAGACACTGAACCGAAGCTCGCCAACCCCAACACGCCTGCCCTCCTTCTTGGTCTTGCCACCAGCGACAGATACCATGCCGACTTGAATGCATTCTTGGAAATCTGCACACCTGCGCTCGCCTACCTTACTTTCCAGGACTTTCAGCCGGTGCTCTTGGAGACAGGAAACTTTGAACTGCTGCAATTAGCATTTGATCAACTGTACCGGCGATTCGGTATCACAGAAGTGGACACAGACACCGTCAACCAGCTCAAGCAAGTCGGCAACACGTTTGTCGCCATCTTTGCGGACATCTCGGCGCTGCCTAGCTTCTCCAGTGTTTGCTCTCTCAACAGTAAAGCAACTAGAACCCTCATCGAGTGGCTGAGGCAAGCCCCAGACTTCCCTCAGCTCCAGACGGCAGCGTGTTTGTCACTGGGGAACCTCAGTCGCTCAGACGAGTCGAGCACAGCACTCTTGGAGCACGTCAAAGACTCCCTTTGCTCCATCCTTTACCGAGCTATCCCACCGCTCCCCTCCGCGCCCTCTCCCTCCCCTAACATCGCCCCCCCTCTCCAACTCACCCACGCCTCTCTAAGCTTCCTCAAGAACCTAGCCATTCCCACCGCCAACAAGGACCTGCTCGGTGCCGCCCTCCTCGACCCGTTCAACCCTCTCCTCCCTCGACTCTGGGGATCAACACGCACCCAACCACAGCTCCAGTTCGCCGCCACATCCCTGGCCCGACTCCTCCTCGTCAACTGCCCTTCCAACATCCGCCGCATATGCACGCCTCTCGGAGGAGAGGGCCAAAGCAGCAGCAGCCTTGCCCTGCTGACATCAACCGCCTTCTCAGCCGACGAAGAGCCCATCAAAATGGAAGCCGCCCGCGCCGTCAGCCTAGTCTGCCGCGCGCTGCACTCTTCAGAACCGGCCTCCTCCGAGATCCTCGATCCGTCATGGACGTGGGCATTACCCTCAACAAGCTCCGAATCGACCGCCACGCCCGCTCTCACTTCCTCCCCTTCCCAGTCATCGCCATCAAACCCACAGTCGAAACCGCAAACAAGAGCAGATGCCCGTGCGCGCTTCTATGCCGCCCACTCCGAGATGATCACCACCGCCCTGACCCTGCTGCTGACCCAGACGCGGTTTCCACCGGTGCGGTCCGGGGCCGTCTTTGTGCTGGCGCTCATGAGCCATACTTCGGCAGCCGGCGGTGGCCACGGCGCGCACATGGCGCTGCGGGTCCTGCAGTCCGGCGGAGGAGACAGGGCGTGGCGCGCGCTGGCAGAGATGATCACGGGTTCCGCGGAATTGCCAGACGAGGGGGCAGCAGCGGAGACAGGGAGGGAGCAGAATGACGATGACGGTGTAGCGACGCTGGTGACGGGCGCCGAGGAGCTGTCGCTCATGCCGCCGCAGCAGCAGCAGCAGCAGCAGCCAACGGGGAAACCGGCCGAGATGGACCGGGAGAATGCAATGGTGCTGATTGCCGAACTTTTGCGTAACTTCCCGGACGAGTTGGGCGGGATGAAGACGAGATTAGAGGCGGTGCTGGCCATAGGGGGCAAATTGGTTGCGCAGGCTAGAAACGGGGATCAAGAGCAGAAGACAGCTGCTTAGTGACAGAACGAACCAACTCCTGTCTCGAGCGGCCGCATTTGATCATTGTGAGCATAAAACCTCAATTAGCCCTAACACCATGGAACTCGCTTTTGGTCACCAGTTGTGCGTTTTCCTGTCCATGCATTTGCGAATGCTCTAGCAACTCCCTATGCTGCGTGTAATCGTTCTGAACCCTGCCCTGAATGAAGTCCCGAAACTACACGGCCATAGGAAAAAACCCACGTCCTCGACCAGGGCACCAGGGAAAGCGGAAAGCGAGACCAGACCAGCCAAACAAACACCGCCAGGAATCCCTTCCTACCCGACACCGCCAGAACCAAGACCCCTCGCCTATTTCTTGGCGGTCTCGGCCTCCGCCTTGTCCTTCGCACGCTTCTCCCGGACGCCCACCAGGCGGGCGTCTGACCTCGCCTTCCGGAGCGCCTTGTAGGCACCACCCTCGACGCCCTTGGGCATGTCGCTCTTGGAGATCTCGCTGAAACCGGGGGCAACCGGCTGCTCGACGCCGAACGTGGCACGGATGCTCTGTGTTGTCTCGGCGGTCTGCTGGTCCTTGGGGGTATCGCCCTTCTTGGGCTTGTTGGACTTGCGCGGGAAAACAATCAGGCGCGCCTTGTACTCCTTGAGGCGCTGGACGTTGATGGCGAGGGACTCCTCGGAAAGGTTCTGCCGGCGGGGGTCGACCGCAATGCCGATGGTGGGAGCGAGGAGCTTGGGGATGCCGGCAGCCTAGGTAGTACGCGTCAGAATAACACTGCCCTTTTTCCAAATCGAATCCTCCACTCAATTCCCCTCCCCGACCCGCTGGTTCGTACCTTGAGCTCAGCCAGCGAGAAGCCGCGGCCGAGACGTGTCCGGCGGTTGTACTTGATGGTGCTGCAAAATGCCGTTAGACTTTTCCTCCGCTGAATAGCACATATTCGGTGGTTACTAACGGGCATCGGACAATCGGCCGGAGCTTGTCGACGGGGCGGGGAGCGACGGCGGCAGCCTTCGCACGGCGGGCCAGACGGCGGGTGACCTTCTTGCCGGGCTATTTTTCCATCCACATGTCAGAACCAGGCCCTATCAACTCCCGTGCACTCCCATCGCGAAATGACGAACCTGGTCGAAGTGGCACCGCACACGCCGCTGCCAATCCTTGCGGAAGTCTGCAATTTCGAGTCAGCGCCTGTCTTCTTCGTAGTTGGCGGCCAGTGGCCCCTCGCGTCGCTATCGGGCGTTGCTCACGGTTGTTGGGAATCTGCTGGTTGTGCTTGATCGCCTACATGTGAAGATGCGTCAGTAAAAAGCTGTAGCAATCGAAAAGCAATCGCATCGCGCAATCGCTGCATTGACATGATACTCACCATTGTGCCGGTTGTGGATCAAGCCCCTCTGGTCCCTCTGATTGTCGAGAAGATTCACCGGTCGTGGAAGCAAATACAATTTGGAGGTCGCTCGGGCGCTTGGAGGAGCTCGGAAATTTTGGCAGGGCTTGGAAACCCTATGAAGGCGGTGGGGAATCTGATTCGCTCGCAGGAGCTGATGTGGGGCACGCCCATTTTGGTATGTTAGGAGTTCGGCTCGCTGCCAGCTGGCAAGGAGTTGATGCTCCAGCTTCAAAGAGCCCAACGCAGGTTCTCAAATTGACACCTTCAATGATGCGATTCTCCATGAGACTGTCAACTTCTGAAGCTGGCAGGCGACCGACATTACCCCCTCGCCCTCAGTTGAACAGGGCTTACAAGCTAGGTAAAACAGCAGACAATAGCTAACCCCATTGACTCCTGTCCAATTTCTGAACTTGATTGTGGCGAATGGTAACATCTCTTCTCGGCTGCCATTGTATTAGCGGATGTTGGTCCCGGCGAAACGGTCACTTATCAGCGAATATCTATCTGTGCCTTGACCTTGCCTTCAAATTGGAGATTCGGACCCGACCGAACAGTGTGCCCATTAGGAGGTGATATCGCTGCACTACTTTTGCATCAGCATCATTTATGGGAGCGTGGCTGCCGATGGGCCGTGGTCCTTGCGCAGCTCTCCTGAAGGGGGTTCCAGACCTTTGATGCCCCGTCCTGAGGTGACCAGTGTTTCTATAACCACATCTGCATTCATGGACATTTGGCTCTCCCAATCCGCTTGGGTTCCACACTAAGCAGCGGAATGCCTCTATAACGGAGCATCGAGTACATGTACGCAGTCCTTCTACGTTGTCCGCTACCGTCATGCACAGGCGTGACTCTCGAGGATTGAGCTCGGGAATCCGAAAACTCATAGAGGAATGGAACAGTGGCACAATGACGCGCCACTCCAGTCTAATGTCGAGACCACCCCCTTCTCCTTCGAGCAGTAAGTACGAATCCGTGATATGTTCCATGGGCGGTTTGACCAAGTGCGTGGCGCTTCTCCCAGCTGCTCAAAGACCAAACGAACGGCCCTCTAAATCATAACATCCAATGGCAAGATGGCCGAGCGGTCCAAGGCGCCAGGTTCAGGCCCACCTGAATTCCAAAATTCCTGGTCAGAGAAATCTGGCGCGAGTTCGAATCTCGCTCTTGTCAATCATTTTTTTTTCTTTTTCTTTTCTCACCCTCATCATGACTCCTTTCTCGAAGTGTTCGACGCATTCTATTACCCTGCCGGGAAGTGGGAGCTCACGCATTTGTATCCGACTGGAGAGTATGAGCAGGACAAACTGCTTCATCTCTGCTGCTCTCTCGAGAAGACGCTTACTGATATACCGTATTTATGGGCTTGAGCCTCGAAGTCTGGATAACTATTGACATCAATCAGTGCAATGACCGTAAAGTAATATCTGACGACCTGCTCAGTTCTCTCAATGCTCTATATGACAACTACATAATTGGTCGAGTTTAATGGAGTATGGGAGATGGCGTCCATAACTCATATCTGGCACGAGCTCAAAGGAGACTACCCTCCAAGTTCCTGATGATCGTTTCTTGGATCACAAAGGCGGCAGTGTTTCACCGCACCGCCTCGCTTCACTGGAAAGACTCGCCAAAAGCGTTCAACTACATACTGGTTCACAGCCGCTTCTTGTGCTAGTTCACAAGCCGAACACCAGGCATTCGAAACCCATTGATGAGCCCGCTCTCATGATCCCTCGTCACCCCGCCTCCCAGCACGCGCCCGCCACTCCGTTTAGGCAGTCTGCCCAACATCCTGGCAACCAAATCATAATTCCCAAAGAACCGGTGCACTCTCACATCCTCTCCCTCACCGCCGTCAACCAACCCGTGTCCAAGTGTCACCGCCCACATGCCATCAACCAAGATCGCATGCGCCTCGGCGTCGTCATCCCTTTCCAACAAGACCGAGTACACGCTCCCCGTATACCTCGCCGACCTCTTGGCCACGTCGGCCGGAAACCTCCACGCTCCGTCGATGAAAACCGGATGCCACGGCGTGACCCACAGTCCGGCGTTCACACCCCCTTTTGCTGACGACCCAGCACCAGAGCCACCAACAAGACATATGCCTGCCCTGCGAACCGCCGTCCTGAGCACAGTAACAACCCTCCTCGGGCCCCTGGGCGTCAGGACCGACATGCCCCGCCTGAGCCGGCCAACCCTAACCAACGACCCCTTTTCCTTGCCATTCATGATGCCCCCCGCAAGCGCGACCATGGCACACCCGGCAAAACAGGCGCCATTGGGATCATTATAGTACTTCATTGACAACTGCCTGCCAATACTGCTATGACCAATACCCACGAGGCCGATGACACCACCAGGCCGCCTGTGCCTGCAGGCATCCCGCAACACAAAATCATCATGGGCACCTTGAGCACCGGGCAGAAGGCTGGGCGTGGGCGCGGGAAGCGCGTCAAAGGCCCGGTCCAGGCGGTCGCGGCACGCGATAAACAGCGGGCTGTCGGCGCCGTAGATGCGGGGGCCGGCATCCTTGAAGGAGTTGCACACCTGCCGCGCGTGCGCGCCCGCCAGACTGGGAAGGTAATGACGCCCCCAGCGGGTGTAATAGGTCCCGTTGGTGAGGCCCAGCGCGATCTGGCCGGTCCATTCCTCGGGATTGGGGGTGGCGGTGGTGACGGCGGTAAAGGGAATGGTGGAGCCGCACAGGTCATAAAACAGCGAGCGGCAGCCCTCGTGGCAAGACAGGAACTTTGCGTTGAAGGCTGGGAGGCTGCGGGCGAGGGACTTGAGCTGTACCCTGATCAGGAGGTCGGGTGGTAGGGGATGGAACGTGTCATGCTCGCCGTTTGGTTTCAATGGGAAGAGGGAGGAGAGGAAGGAGATGAGGGCCGAGCGGGAAACGTGGTAGGCTATTTCGGCCGGGTCAAGGGGAGGGTGGGAACCAAGGATGTTTTGGTGGGTGACGGCTGAGTGTATGGTTGGAGTGAAGTGCTGGTATTCAAGGATAGCGGTCACGATGGGTTCGGGCCGAGCACCAGCTTCCAATTTGAGGGAGGCCTTGCCGGTGCCCCCGTAGCGGAGGTAGATGTCCCGAGACTGTCCGTACTGTAAGTTGCCGAGCAGGATGGTAAGCTGGCTGAGGGTCTGCGGCACGTCTCCGCCTAGCTTTACAGGCGCTTGCTTTTCGACACTATCGCCCGTAGTCTCTTCGAGATCCAGGAAGCTTGGGTACGTCAGCCGTAAGGTGGCTTTGTTTGCAAAGGTAGATTGGAGGTTGGCTACGGCGTGAATGAATGCCGTGCCCTGCCGGGTGTCAGAATTAAATATCTTGGCAGTCAAGAATGGTAGTGGTTGCCTGGACGTACAATCATGCCGGCATCAGGAATGAACGAATAGTTACCCCCGCTAACAGCGGCAATCGACTTTAACAAGCCTGATCGCAAGCTGTAGCCGAATCCAAATGTATGGATGGTAGCTGGCAGTGACTCCATGGTCCGGAGCATGGGGATGTATCCTTGATGAGGGCAACTGAGAGTAGCCAATGTTTAGTTAACATCCCGTACAAAAGTGTAGCAGCTGACCACCCACCAAAAGTTTGGCGCACCGTCGGTCAGAACGAGTAGGGCTGGCACCCTCCCATCAGAACCTGCCTCGGCCTCACCAAACAGGCCGAGGCCGTCGCGGATGCCGTGCCACAGATTTGTTGCTGTGAGCGGGCGCATTTCGTCTATCCTCATAAGTGTCATCGCCTTGTTGAAGGTAGTCATTGGTATGAGTGGTTGGAGAACCTATTGATCGGTATCCAAGTCAGTCCCGTTCTAATCTCCCTGCTTCCACATTTTCTGGTGTACAATGACAGTAATCAGGGAAATGGATACCAACCTTGCTGCCGCTGGCAAATGTCACAATTCCCAGGCGGTCCCTCGAATCCAACGTCTCCACAATGGTCCGAGCCGCATGCTTCACAAGATCGAGGACTGACAGGCCAAAGTCCTCCTGTGCTTCGCCCGCCAACTCAGGCACAGGTGCAGAAGCTCCCATGCTGCCCGAAACGTCGATGCATAGAACAATGTCGCAAGGAACATGGCCCAGCTGGTGATCTTTCGGTTCTTTAGGAGGCTGAATCTTGATGAGGAGCCCATCTTCGGATGGGAGCGGGTGTAGCTGAATCAGGGGTGTTAGCAGAGCTTTATTTTGTTTCTTGCTCGAGACATCGCCGCCGTCATCCGAGCCGACATCGCTGGAAAACTTCAAGAGAACCATAGTCGAGTGTGTGCTGAGCAGCTCAGTCTCTGGGAAGAAGGACGAACATACGGTACGTTAGGGCATAAATAGTCCTTCGTGGGCCTCCCTTTCTGGAGGCCCGACTATTCCAGGCATAATATCTTGCTTGTGCATCTCCATCGAAGGAACTTTCGTATGAGGCGCTGTGCACCAACGAGGTAACCGACTTGACCGTTGACCCCAGTTCCATCAAGCATTAGCCCTGCGATCGAGATCGAAGAAGAGAAAAGGAGTATAAGGGAGCCTGTCATCCTCGTATTTGTTGCCATGTTGGGCAGGCTACCGCAAGAGTCAGCCCGTAGGCGTCTGTACGAGGCTGATTTTGAGGTTCGATGCGCTTGCGGTACCCAGTTGTTTCTCGCTCCGACGTCGCTAGTGGGAGCACTGAACGCCAGGCACCCCACAACTCTCCACTTCAGCGGCGGTTCAGTGGGTCCCGAATTCAGCCTTGCAGGCGCCTTGTGAAACCCCTGAAGCGCCCCCACAGGCCGGAAACCCCCGCAGGCAGGTGCATCTGATGTCATGCGGGGCTAGAGCCGGAGAATACCGCGAGCCTTCCCCGGAATATAAGTTATCAAATGCCTAAACCTCATGGATTTATCTCATTGGAGAGGGACAGATGCCTCATCTAATCGGACTGCGATGATAGGCTACGTGCAATCTTCGATCGCCCCCAAGCTAATGCATGTAGGGCAGACCTGAGCCACGAACGGTCGGTTGTTCTCACGATTTTCAGCACATCCCACCTACAGACTAAGCCAAAGGGTTCGTGCATGCAAGCTAAGATGAGCCGGACGGACTGGGATGAGACGACGGCCTCACCTGTCATTCGTTATCCAAAACCTGGCGGCCGAAATGTCTCGTGCACTTGAAGCGAACCATAACTTCGCCACGAAAAGGCAACAAGCTCCCGTTGACCACCTCCAAGTAGCGTAGCTATATCTTACGACACCTCCCCCGCCGTACCCTCTTTATTCGTCCTTCCCACTCAAACCGCCATCGCTGCCATCCAGCGTAACTTCTACCACACCATCAGGCCCTGCAGACCATCCACTTCCGTCACTTGTGGACATCAACGAGCTCATAACACGTCGATCCAGCTGCAAAATGCCTGCCTACCAGCCTCGCTGCTGCCAGTGCGGAGCTATTCTCGTCATCAGCAACTCGTGCTCCCACTGCCGTCACAGCCAATGCACCGAGTGCATGTAAGCTCGGGTGCTTCCTCAACGACTCATCTTCAAAATATATTCTTCACTGGCCGACTTCTGCTTCTCGAATCACCAACTTCAAGTGCTGCCCGGCCATCTCGATGGCATAGAGCGTCCCGTCCGTCCGTAACAAGCCCAACGACATCGCTTCAGTTCCACCATTCGCCGTCGAGGCTGGTCTTGCCATCTCATAACGATCCATCTTGATTTCGTCTTCGGAAACACGAATCTCGACAAAGGGACAAAAGATTGTTACTTGACTGTTTGTCTTGAACTTGGGTTCCATCATCTTGAAGAGAACTGATCCGGCTCTCTTGATCGAGACTGAGCGGTTAGATCTGAGGGTTCAGTGTGGGTCGGGCAAATCTGCGGAAGCTTTGTCTTGAGTATGTACATTTACCAGCACGGCACAATCAGATGCTGCTGTGCTTGTTCGCTTACTGTTTCAACCTGCCCTGAAGAGGGCACTTTGTATCAGAATTGTCGGCGACATTGATGTATGACATGGGCAACCAGAGTATTTGACGGTGGATCTTCAACGGTTGAGCGAATGGTAAGGGTCAAGGGCTCATCGGTTTGTCAATTACTTTGAGTTCCTTGACCGAGTGCAATGAAGAGTTTATTGTTTCAGTCCGAGTTGGGTTTGGATGAAAGTTGGCAGCCGTCTGAATATCCGAGGTATCAACCAGCAACACTAGGTACTGGGGACCAGCAACACTAGGTACTGGGGCTTGCTTTCCTAATCACCTAAGGCGAGAGATACCTCGAGAGGCATGTTCATCGAAAGTAAAGGGTTGCCTCCGCTAAAATCGATACCAATACAACCAAGAGGCCATCGTCGCCTTGCTATAAAGTCACGTCTCTCGTCGTCTGCGTTCCATTCCTAGCTACGCTCATCGAAGAGGACATCCAAGGCACCTCCTACCCCCCTGAAGACTCTGGGTCGTCTTTGGCTGGGCCCTACCGCCCTGATCTTGCAATTCGAGGTTGCAACCTTCTTCGCAGATTTCCTTCATAATCTTTTAAGGTATTGCTGGACCTTAATCTTTCAGGAAGGCAGGAACCGGTTGCAGCAGTCAAAATAAAATCACCCTTTTCTACCTCACCGAGCCAACCATTCTTTCAACAACCACATCCTCGCCGTCAGAGGCTCCTAAAAAATTGCCTTCTTGGTTCCTCTCAAAACTCATCAGCAATCAATACGCCGACGCAAAGCCATGGCTCGAAAACAGAGCGCGAATTCTGGCAACAAGCGTTCGGGTTCCCAGCCTGACATTCAGTTTTTCTGGCACTCGCCCGTTGATGACCCGACGGTACGCATCAACCTGCTCGAGGAAGCGCTGGAAAAAGCTGTTCAACACTCTCCTGAGGTAGCGAATCTCGTTAGAGATTTCGTTAACAACACCGGGGAAACTACTGTCGACGGTGATAAATCTACCACGGGCATCGACGACCTTCGCAAGTGGCTTGATGAAATCGGTGAGTAGCTAACAAATTCTGAGCACCTTCATAATGCCTATCACTGTCTAATACTTCATAGAAACCCTTAAGACTGAGAGACTGGACTTTGAGGTCCATGTCGGCATCCAGGGAGCGACCGGGGCGGGCAAAAGCTCTCTGCTGAGCACACTCCTTGGCCACAGGGACCTCCTGCCTTCTAACAATGCAGAGGCGGCGACAGCGAGCATTTGCCGGGTCTCATATAATCATAGTGATGATCCAGCAAAGGCTTTTCACGCCCAAATTGCCTTCCGCTCTCGTCGAAACCTCAGAAAGGAACTCGATGACTTTTTTGAGAGCGTGAAGGAGCGCGACCGGCCCTTGCATCTTGACAGCACCAACGATGACGATGAGTATGCAGAAGAGGAGCAGCGAGCAAAAGCAATTGAGGAACTTAACGATCACATTAAAGATGTGGCAGACAAGATCAAGGCGGTCTGGGGTCACACAATTGACCAATTAACCAAGATGTCGACGGAGGAGCTCCTGGCTCCAGACGACCCCAGCACGAAGTTGCTGGGCACAACCAAGTCAATATATGCGTCCGACAACGGGACTTTTGCCAAGGAGATAAAACCCTTCCTTGACTCAACGGTCCATGAAGTCAAAGGAAAGTCGGGAGCCATGACACGGGCCATGGCAGTTTGGCCTCTGATTGATCACGTAAACATCTACGTCAAAGCCGACATACTCAAGGGCGGCCTTGTCCTTGTAGATCTTCCCGGTTTGTCCGATATTGTGGAGAGCCGCGCAGCCGTTGCGAGGAAATATTCCCAGAACCTCGCTGTCACCGCCATTGTGACTCCCTGCGTTCGGGCGGCTGACGAAAGGACTGCCGTCAGTCTGATGACGGAAAATCAGGAACTTTCTATGCGGATGGATGGGAAATTTGACGGCCGCAGCTTCTGCGTCGTCCTTTCCAAAGCAGACGACATCGACCCTGTTATTATTGCGAAAAACATGGGATGGGACGAGCGGCTCCAGGCAATCAAACAGCTCGATCATGAATTGAACAAGAGTTCAAAACTCAAGGAGGATTGGAAGAAGCAAGAGAAACAGCTCCAGAAAGCTACGAAACAGGCGAAGGACAAAGCTGAGAGAGGTGAACTACAGAAAAAGCTAAAACACCTCCGCAAGTTGGTGCGAAAGGACAAGAAAACAGCAGGTCGAAAGGAAAAAGCAGTACCACGTTCAGTGCGGCAGCCTATCTCACGACGCCATACAGACTCGCAACAGAATCCTCAAGGAGCGTATTCTTGATCATCTTCAGCAGCGCCATAACTCTTTTCTCACCAAGTCACCGGACGCCCCATCCGATTTCATTGCTGCCAAAATTTTCCCCGTAAGCACCAAGGCCTACTGGAGCTTGTGTGGAGGTGAAGGGGGTGCAAAGCCCGTTGACGGCTTTCCAACCACTCTTTACACTGGCATCCCGGCCCTCGCTAGCTGGCTTCGCAATGCGACAATCCCACACCGGGAGCGCAACGTTCTCTCCCTCCTGCATCGGTACCGTATCCTCCTTGACAATGTTCAAACTTGGTCCGACAAGGAGTGCGAGGCGGTCAAGGTTCAATACAGCCTGGAGGAAATCAAGAATGAGGTCCTCGAGCCTACCTCTCATGAACTTCTTCAGGTACGTCAAGTCTCGAGTCATTTGATTCCTATGTTTCACCCGTCTCAGAATGCTAACTTTCCTCCCTCAGGCTCTCGATAAATACGGTAAAACGCTGAACAAGAAGGTCATCGAGTGCGATCCGCTCAAGCACAAGCGAAAGGCCTTGAATCAATGCATGGAGCACTGTAAAGCCAGAGTCGAAGGCTGGGCACTCAAGAACCCAGGCAATGAGAAATCGATCGTCAAAATGCACAGCTTGACATTTGCCGCTATTCTGAGACGCAAAGGCGGCAAGTTCCTGAGCCGTACTGGCGGCGGCAAGATTGAATACCAATGGATGGAAGATATGCAAGTGTCTCCCGCTATGAATTACTTGTGCAGCTAGGGTGCTAACATATGTTATTGTTCATTCAGGGCTACGGCATTCAAGAGCCAAATTGCTGGTACCTGGATCAAGGAACTTCATGGGAGAATACCAGAGCTAAAGGAGCCTGCTCGAAACCAGATCGACAAGATTTGGGACAAACATATGAAGACATTGACAGCACGCTTGACGGAATTGCTTCCAGAAGCGGAGGCTTATTTTCCTGGAGCGTTCTGGAAGCCTTGTGTCGATCAAGGAGGAGATTATGGACTTGGTTGGAGATGCTCTGACCAACATCTCGCGGGTTTCCGCTGAAGTCCATCCCGCTCTAAGAGAGCGGATGGCCCAGAAATGGGAGCCTGGCTTCAAGGGTGCGCTTAAGGTACCAGGTGAGTATCTCGACAGCATTCATGCACTGCAGAACAACGAAGACATCTATATATGTCGCTAACAGTCATTGCAGGAGGGCGAGGAGCAACCAAGAGGCGCCATGAATTCCTAGTGAAATTCTCAGATAAGGCCAAAGGCAAAATCTACGGCGAGTCAGTTCGCGAAATGGAGGAGGAACTTAAAGCCCAGTTCGAAAAGTTTCCCCCTGCGCTTAAGCTGCATGGAACCGGGGTCTCGACAGACTGCGGACCCAATTCGGCCACCTGGTCAGCAAAGTCTTCAAGGCCACAAACCAGCACTCAGATGGCTCTTATGACGCAGACGCCATCATATCTAACAGGGCCGCCCTTCAAAGCCAGGTTCGGAGAGCTCTGGCAAAATGGATAGCCGCCTGGGTTGCGACGGACCAAGAAATGGATATGGCCCCGAGCACCGATATCCCACTGGAGTACCAGGGCCCTGAAAAGGATTCAAGCTGGTCGGACTCGGACAGTAGCAGTGTTGAGTCTGGGTCGGAGTCTGACAGCGACCCATGATTGATATCGAGTCTGAGGTTGAATTCAAAGTTTGGGATCTTGCGAACTGCGGTTGTCATCTTGATTAGAAACTAGCTACAGACGGATCTAAGGTGGTCACGGTTGAGTGGGGGCACTGGGGGATGGTTGAACATTACTGCGAGACTTTCCATGGACATGATTCTTCCCGGTAACACGACACAGGAGGCATGGGACCTGATCATTACATACACACTTATTGGTCCTGATTTCTCATCTACATGAACACACTACTTGCACAAGTCCCAGTGGCTGCTTTGTCAAGAATGCGTGACTGATGTCGAACCGTGACAGCATCGGACCTTACAGAGTTCTCGTTGTAGAACACAGACGGTGGAACGGTGTGTAGGTATGACTTTGACACTTACTAGTAGTTACAAGTCTCACTGTTATAATTGGTCAACAGGGGGCGGAACGGCATGGACTAGGATAGAGAGCGGGTGTGCATCAACGCATGGGTATAGCCTGGCTCTCAGAGAGACAATGTAGGTCACTTCTGTTTGCTGATACTAGTACTGTTCAAGTGAGTTCCTGGAGGCCTTATCTACAGGTAGGCACATGGCTTGGAGACAGGGTTGATTGTGCATGTTTGAGGGTCCAATGCACATGTAGGCAGGGCGAGGCTCGGAGCTGCTGCGATTGATGGTTGATGAATGGTACCTGATGCTGGTGTGATGTAAGCCAAACGTCCGGAGAGATGTTGACTGCCAGTGACTATTCCTAATCGCCAAGCTCAAAGAGATATAATGCCGGGCGAATAGCCGAGAGGTCGAAAATGGTCGACCTCTTGCTCCCAATCCCATTGTCTTGCGCGTATCTCACATTGGTTTCATTGAAGGCCTCGACGGGGAAAAGCCACATGCCGATAGCCGTCCTAGGCACAGTGTCCAGGGTCCCGGAGTTGGTTGCATCGCCCATGGTGCCGCTGCGCCCCGGACTAATGAAGGGCCCTGGATTGTCGGAAGCCTCTCCAATATGGGGGTATTGTTCGGCCCAAACTTTAGCCTCCCAGCCCAGGTGTCGCAGCAGCGCCGCCCGCGACCACTTACACAACTTCAGAGTCCTGAATAGCACTCGATTTTCAGGTTCCTCATCCTCAAGTTCCCATCGAAGGGTCGGGCTTATGTAGAGATGGAACCCATCGTCGTTTGCGCGCTCCCGGATTCCGAATTGCTCCTCTAGTTTCTTCCAACTCGAGGCGATCAGGTAGGGGTTCTCTGTGAAGTTGACCATGAAGTTGTCCATCTCGACACCCGGTCTCGGGTCCGTCTCAAACCAGTCGAACGCACCTACGGGGATGCCCCGCCTCCTGAGTGGATGGGTCCATGCAAAATGAGGGTGTATAGCTAGGTCCCCTGGAGGGCTAAACGTAAAATCCCTCGTACCCTCTGGTGACCTGAACGGGATGTTGCAGACGACGGAGCGAAGACCACTACGTAGGATGGCGGAAAAGGATGTGACTGCGACGGGGTGAATTAAGTCCAGAGTGAAGGGCTCTATTCTTGGGCGATCTCTGATTTCATAGTTGAAGCACCAATAGTCCTCATGGTCGAAAAGCGAATGCGTAGACGAACCAGGCAGGATGAGATTGGCGAGCCTTGTTGTAGTTCAGACTTAAGTACTCGACAGACTCAAAGACGGAAAGGAAAGGAAAGGAAAGGAGAAAGTCACACACCCTTTGTGCCTAGGGTCGTAAGCTCTGATGTCGCATAGGAAGTCGATGGTTATAGCCCCAGCTCGGGACGTGTATCTATTGCCCCGCAGCACAAACACCTCTTGGACAGAGACGACATCGAACTCGGGGTTCAAATAGAGCAACTGCTTTCCATCGAGGCCGGGAAAGGGCAGATGAATACGGTAGAAATCCAGCGCGGTCTGCCTCGACTCTGCATTGACCCAGAGGAGCGGGTTCAAAGAGGCGGCGAAGCCATTATCGTCAATGAGAATCTTGTAGCGGCGCCCGCTGACAAGGTTGCCCAGAGAGTTACGCTCTCTGTAGTATCGGGATTTGATGAGGTCTGCGAGGCGGCCGGGGTCATCGGGGTACGTGGAGGCGTCGTCGTCGTCGGGCGGATACAGCGAAACCTCAATCATGCGGTGCCGGCGAAGGAAATGCATCCAAATCTTCAAGCGAAGTTCGGCGGGGAGTCGAGGAAACGGGGCCCATACATCGCAGCTGGGTACGAGCCTCGCGGCGCGGCCAAAGTGTACGTCGTTGAAGAGTCTTGTGTCTATTTCGAGACCCTGAAAGTCAGCAAGAACCACCTGCTCCGATGTATCTGTGCTCCCGGTATGACTTGTTGCGTCAGCTTGGTCCATGGCAATGATAGACAGAGTCCAAGACTCTAGGGCAATGCGGTGGTAGGCAGTTGACTGAAGGGGTTAGGCTTGAAGCAGGAAGCAAGACTGAGGGACACGTTTTCACTATGGGATACTCGGTACATCAGAACGTAACAACCGTAAGTTGGTGGATTCCTTTTATAAGATTGTACGCCGTAGGATTCATGTACATACAGCACCTGCATCTCAAGCAATGCCCTGTTGTACTCGCTGAATCCTACGTTCGTAGATAACTAAAAACGGATGGAGCGTTAACTAGTAATACCTAGGTGATTACGGAGTAGATGCGAGGTCATCAAAGAGACTGTGTGACCGCTGTAAAAAGACTGTGTCTTCGCTCCACTGCAATATTCCGCTGGCACCAACAGACCAACTCTGTCCGTTGGAACTCGGCACGAGCTTCAGACATGTTCACTCAAAGGCCAGTATCTAGCCGCAAATTTGCACTGGGAAGACTGCGTGACGCTTGAATTGAACTCAATTATGCAACCTGCTGGCCTTGGGATGAATTGCTACGAAAACGCAGGTTTACCGACATGAAGAATATTGCCGCCTCAGACCGCCCGCCCTCGCCCTCGCTCCCCGCCCCCACCCTTCCTCGCTGTTGCCTATTATACGCGGCACTCTAACCATTTACAACACAATCGCGCCACGACAGTGACTTGCTCGTTTTATATGATTTGTTGAAATGATGTCTACTCCGGCAGGACTCGATGCATCCAAGCGGCCGCTAAATAAGAGACGGGAGAACGGAAGGACTAGCCAACAGGCATCTTGACAGTGACCGCCGGGCGACGAAGGCACGGTAGGATCAACAAACGGATACAACGGATATGCGCTGTGTAACCCTGTTGGTGCGGATGTCCTCTTCGACTCCTGGGTCTTGAGTGTTCAAAATCATGATAAAAAGACTACTTTCCAGGGCGAAGACGAGCTTCTGGTTTTGGTTGATCTCAGCTGTTTCCTGCCCGAGGTGCTCGTACTTCAGCCTATATATAGTATTCAGTCTGTTGTTGTTCAGTTTCCCGCCCCAGCAGCCACTCAGCACAGCATTCTCATCATGGGAATCTACAACAAACTTCCCGATGATCTCCACGAAGTGGATGTCGTTATTGCAGGCGGTAAGTACTACTAATGTACATGATCCCCATCCATCACTGTATATTATGCCAAGGTGATGGACAATGTCTAATTCTCGACTTACTGACTGCCTCCTCTCTTGTATCGTTAAGGCGGCACGACTGCCTGCGTCGTCGCCTCACGGCTGGCGGCTGCATACCCTGACCTGTCCATCCTCATGGTTGAGGGCGGCCAGAACAATGCCGACAACCCACTGATCGCGCATCCTGCCTATTTCCTGGCGCACCTTGCACCCGGCAGCACGACCAATCTCTTCTACAAGACCAACAAGTCTGCCGCCGTGGCAGACCGCGAGCTCATCCTGCCGTCGGGCGGCGTCCTCGGGGGCGGCTCGTCGACGAATTTCATGATGTACAGCCGGGCGCAGAAGTCCGACTTTGATGCTTGGGGCGTTCCGGGATGGTCGGGCAAGGAAATGTTGTCGTATATGAAGAAGGTAGTTCCTTCCCATCGCTGTCCTCCCCACGAGTCTTTCAAACGGGGTAGTGACTAATTGTGAAACAGGCCGAGACCTACCACGGCAAGGACGAGAAGGGGATCCATGGTCATGATGGCCCCATTCACGTCTCCCGCGGCACTTACCATTCCAAGAGGGTCGAAGACGAATTTATCGCTTCGGCGGCTAAGGTAGGCTGGCATGAAGTTAAGGACGTGCAGGACATGGAGACCGTGAACGCCGTTGGACGTGCGTACCGCTACATCTCCCCAGATGGCAAGCGGCAGGACGCGGCGTCATGCTATCTCCACCCACTCTTGAACGACGGCAAGCACCCCAACTTGCATGTTCTGGTTGAGACCCAGGCGAAGCGGATCCTGTTCGAGAGCAATAGGGCCGTCGGCGTTGAGGTCAGGCCCAATCCTGCCTTCGGCGGCGATGCCAGTGCCGTCAAGGCGGTCAGGGCCCGCAGACTCGTGGTTGCGTCGTGCGGCGCCTGCGGCACCCCTGCTCTCCTGGAAAGGTCCGGCGTGGGCGATCCCAAGGTTCTGCAGCGGGCCGGTATCCCCCTCGTGGCGTCAGCTCCCGGCGTGGGGAACGGGTACGAGGACCATCACATGCTTCTGTACCCATACCACAACTCCCTGGAAGCAACTGACACGCTCGACGCCCTCGTGTACGGCCGCATGGGAAGTCCGCAGGACCTAATCTCCCAAGGCCACCCCATGCTGGGCTGGAACGGGCAAGAGGTGCAGGGCAAAGCCCGGCCGACCGACGCCGAAGCCGCCGCGCTCGGGCCCGAGTTCAAGGCGGCCTGGGACCGCGAGTTCAGAGACCACCCGGAGAAGCCCATGGTCATCTTCACCGCGCTCGGCGGGTTCCCTGGCGACCCTAGCCTCGCGCCTGGCGGGCCTGGCAGCCCCGGGCTGGCCGTGTCAACCTTCACCGTCTACCCTTTCTCGCGCGGCCACGTGCACATCACAGGGCCGGGGCTGGAGGACCCCCTCGATTTCGATACCGGCTTCTTTGCCGATGACGGCGGGCTCGATGTCAAGAAGCACATCTGGACGTACAAGAAGCAGCGCGAGATCATGCGCCGCATGCCCTCGTACCGGGGCGAAGTGGCCGCCTGCCACCCGCCCTTTGCGCCAGATTCCAAGGCTGCGCTCACAAAGCTCGATGGCCCGCTCCCGTCTGATGTGCCCGATATCGAGTACACGCCCGAGGACGACGCGGTGCTTGAGAAGTGGCTGCGAGCCAACGTCAGCACCACGTGGCATTCGCTCGGTACCTGCAAGATGGCGCCGCGCGAGAAGAATGGCGTCGTGGATGCCAACCTATGTGTTTACGGCGTTGAGGGGCTCAAGATTGCCGACTTGAGCGTCGTGCCGAAGAACGTGGCAGCGAATACCAACAATACCGCCTTGGCCATTGGTGAAAAAGCCGCTGATATCTTCATTAAGGAGCTCGGTCAGGCCTTGGCCGCCTAGGCTGGCTGGAAGTTATGCTGGTACCAGGAGACATTCCCATAGTAGCGTCAATGGTCGAAATCGTTCCTGTCTGAACATGAATGCAGCTGCATGGATGTACTGTACTGTGAAAGAGTAGACCACGTCCTAGACGCTAAACACCAGCCCGCCAACGCCACGGCGAAGCTTGCCCGAGGTTTTGAATCGCAGGCAAACTTGATCTTGAATGCGGCAATGTACAGGACAATTGTTTTGGTGACCTTGAATCAAATTGATCAGAGCTGATGTGAGAGAGTGACACTTCTTAATTCTTTTGTTGCTGGCCTCGTCCGGGCTCGGTACCCCTAGCGCTCAAGGTACGGTACCCCAGAGTGGGACCCAGTGGGGACGCACACGCTGCCGACTGTCACTGCCGCCAAACATCGGTCCTCCGGGTTTGCATTTCCCCGCCTACTGCCGGAAGCAACCCCATCTCCATATTTTGGCCACGAGAAATCCCGACGGGGGCGGAGGGGTGCTGCCGAGGACGGTCTCCATTGAACATTTCCAATATTTCTTAATTAGTCAACCTCTTCATGTTCTCCTCGTCTGTTGGTGCTTAATTCTCTTCTGTTCTTTTATACGTCCAATTGAAGATACCCCGGCGTTGAGTAGTATTGCCATCAATGCAGTGAATTGGCCTTTTCGTGGCTGTCCCTTGAACACAGTTTAACTGCCGAAGAACCTTCTTACCGAACGAGACTGGACTGAGAACCTCGAATACAACTGCCAGCCAAACCGAGTCTCAATCCGCTCAGCCATGGCCGCCGTTCCAAAAGGCATCAAGGCCGTCTTGGCCAAGGCGCCGAGCGACGTGGTCATCGTCTCGTCGCTCCGCACACCCATCTGCCGCGCATACAAGGGCCAGCTGAAGGACGCCTACCCGGAGGAGCTGTTGTCGGTGGTGTTGCGCGCCACGCTCGACCGGACCCCGCAGCTCGACCCGGCGGCCGTCGATGACGTGGCCGTGGGCGTCGTGCTCAGCGAGCTGGGCGGGTCCAAGGCGGCGCGCATGGCCATGAACCACGTTGGCTTCCCCTCGACCACGTCGCTGTACACGGCCAACCGGGCGTGCGCGTCATCGCTGCAGAGCATCGCCCTCGTGGCCAGCCAGATCCGCACCGAAATGATCGACGTCGGCATCGGCGCGGGCATGGAGAGCATGACGCGCAACTACGGCACGCGCGCCATCCCCGTCGACGTCTGGCCCGCCCTTAAGGACTCGCCCGTCAAGGACGCCCGCGACTGCCTCATGCCCATGGGCCTGACCAGCGAGAACGTGGCGAGCCGGTACGGCGTGTCGCGCGCCGACCAGGACGCCTTTGCCGTGCAGTCGCACCTGCGGGCGGCGCACGCGAGGGACGCGGGGCACTTTGACGCCGAGACGGTCCCCGTCACAACCCGTTTCCAGGAGGTGGATAAGCAAGGGAACCCCGTCGGGGCCGAGCAGACCGTCACCGTCACGCGCGACGACGGCATCCGCGCCAACGCCTCGCTCGAGGGCCTCGCCAAGCTCAAGCCCGCGTTTACCCCCGAGGGGGCCAGCACGGCGGGCAACTCGAGCCAGGTCAGCGACGGCGCGGCGGCGACTTTGCTCATGCGCCGCAGCACGGCGATGCGGCTCGGGCTGACGGAGAGCATCATGGGCAAGTTTGTCGGCGCGAGCGTCGCGGGCTGCGCGCCGGACGAGATGGGCATCGGCCCCGCGCTGGCCATTCCCAAGCTTCTTGATCAGCTTGGTCTGGTCAACGAGGACGTCCACCGGTGGGAGATCAACGAGGCGTTTGCGAGCCAGGCCATCCACTGCCTCCGCGAGCTCGGGCTTGAAAAGGCTTGGCAGGACGGCAAGGTCAATCCCGACGGCGGCGCCATCGCCCTCGGACACCCGCTCGGCGCGACCGGGGCACGCATGGTCAGCACTCTGATGCACGGGCTGCCGAGGAGCGGGGGCGAAGTGGGCGTGGTGAGTATGTGCATTGGTACGGGCATGGGTATGGCCGGTGTGTTTGTGCGGGAGTAGTCCGTACGGGGTCTTGAGGGGTTGTGCCGGGTGGAGTGTCTTCAAGGGGAAGACACCGCCTTGCTGGTCGATGTACTACTCTTTGTATATGCCCAAATGTATCAATGCCCGTTTGAAAAGCTCTATGAACCTGTATATCACTCCATGTATCAAAGCGCAAATCCACGTATCGAAGCGCAAGTCGGGCCTTTCCCAGAGAACTCTTAAATTCCTACGACGTTGAAGACAGGGCTGGATTCGGATTCAGACTAACCATAAGTAATGCCTCCACGGGCAGTTATACCAGCGCTTTTAAAAGTTCAGAGAAGCCAAGCGTGCCTCGTGGCTAGTCCGAGAGGCATTCCCATGCGCCTTGCAGGATTGCAACCCAGAGAAAGCTTGAGCCAAACTTCCGACCCTTTCCAGCATCATAACCAGTATTGTACACGCGCAATACATACCAACGGCCGTTCCAGAGCCGAGCAATCTCCCAGATATCATGAGCCATTGTCATGAACCATTGAATGAACGATTGAACCTCATCCATCCCGCAACCGAGTAACAAAGATGAAAACCAACAAGACAAGCACTCCAATAGACTACAGAGCCGTGAGCGCAGCCAGCCAGCCAGCATAAAAGCCCGCATGGCTCCTACAGCTCACGGCCGTACTGTATGCCCAAGCCGATACGACCGCCGTCTCTCAGCCCGCCGGCCTCGCGGAGCTTCTTGGTGGGGCTCATGACGCCGCGATCATGCACCGCGAACCCGTCGGCCACTTCCCCCCCGTGCGGGCCGCTGAACTTGCGCTTCCCATTAGAAAGGCCGCTCTTATTCAGCCCTCCAAACAGCTTGGCCTGAAGCTTGGCGCTTCTGTCCGCCGCGGCCGGCGTGCCGTCCCTCGAGTTGCCGACGGAGCTGGCTACCTCGAAGCTTTCGCGGGCGTCTCGGCGCAGCATCTCTGAAGCGGCCTGGCTGGCCTGGCTCTCAAAGACCTCCTCTTCCTCCCCGCCCGACTGCCGCCGACGCGACGAGTGCTGTGATCCCCGCGACACAAAAGACTGCAGCGCCTGGCGTGCTAGTTCCTGGTTGTCCTCAGCCGATATTGTGCTCTCGCGGCTCTTGCGGCGTTCTTGGCTCCTAGACAGGTTCGGCTTTTCGGCTACGAACCGCGTGTTCCGGTAGGGAGGCTCGGTTTGGGGTACCAGATCGACAGATGGTAGCAGCCCATGCCCCCTGTTGTCGCCTCGGTTACGGGGAAGCGGCGTACTCGGAAGGGAGGACATTGACTGGACATTGCGGGTATGTTTGGAAGGGTTGCGGGGTGCCGGACGGTGGCCGCTGATGGGTGTCGATGGAGCGCTATTGTTGTCTTGGCTGAGAGCCTGGAGCAGGACGGCAAAACCCTCCTGGTCCCGATGGCTATCCCGATGCGCCGATCTCGGCGTTTGTCGCGGTGTCCCCCTGTGCTGCTGAGGGCTTCCAGTCTGGGCCTTCGGCGTCAGGGCGCCATGGAACATGCCCCCAGGGCTGCAAAGCAGGTGGAAGTGCTCGCGGTTTTCCCGAATGCGGTTCAGCAACATGTCCCTTTCGTCCGTCAAAACGGCAATCTCGTCCTCCTTTTGCTGTATTACCTTCCTCGCGGCCTTGATCTTTTTGTGCAAGGCGTCATTCTCCTCGAGGGCCTGTTCGTGCAACACCTTCAATCGCAAGTACTTCGCTTGTGTCGACTCAGATGCTGTGATGAGGTCGTGGCGAGCTTGCCGCGCGCACTCGGCCTTCTGTAGGGCTTGGACTTCCTTCCTCGTCATCTCGTGTTCGACAGCTGCACGTTTCGTGTCTTCTTCGGCACGGATGCTGAGCATGCTGTACTGCAACTTGTGGTGGGCCGCTTCCATCTTCAGTCTTGCCTGATCGGCCATGCAGGCCTGAAGCATGCTGCGGAGTTCCTCAATTGAGGCATCGGCGATCTGATCTTGGGTTGGGGGGATAAATTCAGCACCAACACTTTCTCTCTTGATGCCGTTCATAACTGTAGCTGGCGGCGAAAAGATGGCGGATCGCTGCGAGCCGAGATAGCCAAGCGGGTTGGCAGGCCCGGCTCCTGTGGGATTAGGAGCCTGCGAGGACGGAGGCGGGGTGAGGGATGACGGAATGACAGTTGGCGGGTCTTCGTCATGGCCGTCCTCGAATCTCGGGGACAAAGTAGGCGGTATTGGGGAATTTGGTGCATCGGTCGGAGGTATACTCTGTTGCGACGAGGTTACAATCGACTCGTCGTCTCCCGAAGTGGAAACGTCGTCGACAAGGCCAGGTCGATCGTGCTCGGGAATGCCATCGACGATCTGGGCGGAATGCTCAGAGTCCGACGACATTTTTGAAAAAACGAACTGAGCGGCACTGTGCGTTGACTGTCGCTATTGGGCTTCAAAATGACCAAGTCGGTAGCAAATATGCGATGTTTATGTCAAGCTCAGGCCGGGAAATGAGCCGGTGTTGTCTGTGTCTGCGCCGCGTGGTGCTGAATTTGGCTGGAACACGTCACTCGGATTGTCGAGGCGATGGCAGCGAGGCCAGGTTCGGCCCTTGGGAAGCAACCAGCAGCGAGACAGAGAGGAGGATGCAGCTTTCAAGAAGCTCCGCGGGCGGAATCTGTCAAGAAATTGATGGGCGCATCCGGCGGGCTGTTTGGGTGGAATTGCGGTGGAGTTGAAGCTTGTCAATTGTCAGTTTGGCAGCCGTTGCCCAGTGAATCGAGGGGGTTGGCCTGCCTTGGCTCGAGCCCAAAACGTGATTTTCCTTGTCAAATACTGCCACTTCTCACCGACTTGGCCCCTTAACCCAGTTCAGCCTGAAGACAGAATGGGCAAACACCCACCTCTGCAGACTGTTACCAACTTACCAGTATCATCCAACACCTGCACTCGCGCTACGACTCGGCGGTGGTGATGATCGCACGCGATATCAGGATGTTGCAGACTGGAACCTTGATGGTGTGGATTCTGAACAATGCCAAGTGGCAGGAACACGACGAAGGACCCATGACGAAGAGAAAGAGTCGAGATGTGAGCCAAGGGGACTCGAGAGCGATGAATATGAAACAGGCAGTACTCGGAGTACGTCAAGTGAATGTCTTCTAACACTGCTTGACAGGCACAAGCCTGAACTCAACTACATGTACAGGCCAAACGCCTGATGAAACGCCTCGGCCAACAACAATAAGAATGTACCCAAACCCTGTGATCGACAAACTGCTGACATCGATCTATGTACTCCGTACTTCCATCCCACCGGCACTCTGCGTCAACGCATACCGTCACGAGTCGCGGGTACGGTCTCCAGTCGCACCGTAGCCGGCCGAGCGGCACTTATTGCCTTCATCAAAGTACTCGTAGACACGAGGAGGGTGCGTAGCGTTGCCGTACACACTGCCTCCGTATGTAAAATACTCCTTGCTCAAGTTCGGCGGAATCTTGATGATATCATCCGCGTCGCCAACCACCCAAACAGTCTGCATGCCTACACAATTAGCGCTGTCAGTAACACAGCCATGAAACCGGTCATCTCGGTGTGGACTTACCCATCATCATGTGTGCAAGTACATGGCAATGTATCATCCACACGCCCGGCGCCGTCATGCGCATCCTCCAGCCTCGCCAACCCGTCACCTCCCCGGGAGTCACGCGGTTCCGATACTGGAACAGCATGGTGGTATCCCTCAAAGTGGACTTCCAACCCAGCCGGGCAATCTTTGCGTTGTTGGCATCCGCATCGTATCTGCCCGGCCCGCTGCCAATATCCCAATAGTGCTTGCCGTGCGCATGAAACGGATGCGACTCGACCAAGCCCCTCACCGGCAAGTGCTGAGAACCTGTGTTCTGGAAGATGATCTCAATCACCTCGCCAACCTTGGCAGGGAACAGTCTTGTTGCGGGGTCCCAGCCATAGTTCTTGAGCGCAGCCTCATAGTTGGGAATTGCGGCCGCACCGCGTTGGTAAATGTCGATCAACACCGGTGTATGCTTGGACGTGTCTTTGTAAGAAAGATGAGCGAGTTCCCAGACGAGCTGGCCAGTAGTGTTGTCCAGCTTCTGCACGCTGTCGATGATGAGGCGCCGGTTGACTTCTTCTGCAGACGGCCATTGGCTCTTCTCTGGGTGAAGCGGCCGGAACGTGTACTCTAGCCAATCTATGGCTTGGGTGGGAAGGCTGAGGACCGGCCTCGACGGCGCTGCAGGGACCGGGGAATTGGGATTGTAACGCAGAACACCATATCCACGGTATGTTTCCGGCCGATCGCGGGTCTCGAACTGCAGGAAGAACGTGGATTTGTTGCCCATTCTCTTCAGCTCCTCAGCCGTCTTTGCTTGGAAGAGAACATCGAACCGCTGGCCACCGCCGAGCTGGAGATGGTTGGTCGTCACAGGGATGTTGTATTCGGTACCGTCGACTTGGATGATTGTCAGATTCCTGTGGTCCTCGAACCCCAGTGCCATAAATGAAAGGCCAGTGCCACCGATAAAGCGGAACCGATAAGTCTTTCCGGGTTCAACATCAATGACGGGAAGAGTGCAGTCGCTCCTGATGTCGAGATAATTCCCCCGTCGCACTGGCACCGGCCCCTGGGATTTCGAGGTGCCATCGAGACCCGAAGAGGCCGCCTCATAAGGGCCGGCAACATCATCGCCGTCACCCTCGCCGCGGGGTCCCACCTTGCTGCAACAATCATCAGGTTGACCGTCGACGCACCCCGGGTCAGAACCTGGCGGGCGGCGACCTTCAAGGCTTCCGAAATAACCGTTTATCCCGCCACGCGGCCCAGCAACGGCCGACCGGCCCTTCGCAACACCTTTGCCGTTCAGCATGACGGCGTGGGTCTCGCCAGGCCAGACGAAAGGCACGGCATTCAGGCCCTTCATCATCTCATGGTCAGACTTCTCGAAGTAGTCTTGAAAATGCAAGATTCGCTCGTCATGGTAATGGTATGGCGGTTTTCCACAATCTTCCACGATCAGCGGCCCAGTAGCGCTCAGCGCCTGCATGTCGACGTGTGAGTGGTAGAAGTAGGTGCCAGCATCACCGATTTCGGGGGCGAGCTCGTAGTCGAAGAAGTGTCCGGGGGGAATTGGCCATTGTGTAGCCTGAGGGGTTCCGTCTGCAAAGGGCGCCAATCTTTGGGTCACGCCGTGCCAGTGCTGCACAATCCGTCAGTTCGTTCCTAACAAACCGGAGGTGTGGCTGAATTACCATCGTCAGGTTCTTGTCTTTCATGTCATTGTAGACCCTGATCCAGGTTCTGGCGCCTTCGGGTATGCGTAACACCGGGCCGGGGGACACGCCGTTGACGACGACGTCCTCTCTGCTCTCGCAAGCAAGTGGCACATGGCGAAGAGAGACTCTGAGGATATGGTCGGGCTTGAACGTGTGATCATGTACGGCAAGGTTGGCTAGGATGGGGACGGTAAGCCAACACCCGAATAGCAAGTGCAATGCCGTGCGGACATGCATGCTGAATGCTGTCCTGAGTGCTAATTCGACTTCTCTCGTTGTCTAATGCTAGTAGATGTTGGTGGACGATGTTGAACTGCACGATATGAGATGTTGAGGTCACTGGTGATGGACCATAATCAATGAAGACAGCTTCCGTGGGACTGAACTAAATACGGAGGTGGGAAGACAAGTAGCACTGGTCGTCGTTGCCCCCGTCGTATTCCATTGACAACGGTTAGCACGCTCGCAGCAGGAAAGCTCGAGCGTCCCCAGGACATAGCTAGCGCAAGTACGACCGACAGGCGCGATAGCCTCCCCAAGAGGCATCCATGGACGGCCGAGGATGCTATGCAGGCGGGTGTTCCAACCTCGCCGTACCTGCCCTCGTCCTAAGCCAAAGATAGACATGAGGAGGCGTCCATAGATAGGTAACTGGAACTGCCACATAGCAAAGGCGCTTTCCCCAGTCATGGATTGCCTCCTTCTCCATCGCTGGTGGCTGTCTCTGCAAGCGCCTATCAAGACGCTGGTGAGGGAGGCTATTACCCCACAATATCAGGACACTTCGGGAAGCACTTGATGCTAGGGCTCAGCCCGCAGCGGCGGTGAGGGGGAGGCCCGTCTGATATGGTAGATGGCGTACATCTTGCGCGTCCCTGATTGCCAAGATGGGCCTTAACAACCGACGGCGGTAATTAGGGTTGGTGCCGGCGTCGCAGAACCGTTGCTGCCATGACGCGGTGCCGCTTGCTACTGCATGCACACACTTTCCGCGATTAATGGGAAGCGCGTTCATTGCATGTGGCCATGGAGACGGTGGAGAGGGCGGGCGTCGGCTGCTTCCAGGTAGGTGAGGAGGAGCATCTACTCCAGAGGACAGTATCAATGGCAGTTTCGTGTTTTGTACTTGCCAATGCTCTGTTAGGACTTTGAGAGTGAGTTGGTGGAAAGCACGAAGAACTGGGGAGGTTCCGAGGTTGAGGTAAGCGTCAAAAACCCAAGTAGGGTTAGGGTTTATAGTTATCATCTCGCCACTACAATTTGCCTGTTTGAGGATTGTCCAGGGTGTCATCACTGTCATCACTGTCATGTGTCACCAACTCAACCATTGAACAGCCCGCGAGGCCATGAAACTGCGATTTCACTCAAAGATTGGATTGCAAAGAGCAACTGATCGAAACGTCTTTATCCGCCTCGGTTTCTCGACACAGTTCCGCATTTCGTCACGGATTACGCCGCAATCCTGGGTAAACGGCCTCGCGGAGTCGCGGCGCAGCTGCCAACCGGTGGTTCTTGGCCGCTCACTGATTGTGGCCGTTGATCATTTCGCCAGCGACCCCCTCCCCCTAGGCTCTGACGTCAAGGTTCTAGTTTAATGCCCGATGCGGCGCCAAGTCAAACGGACGCTCCATATTCACAACGGACGTTGCTCCGTAGCATTACCGGAATTCTGATCCTGGGATTCGGGTACCTGCCTACCTGGACAGCTACCCTTCCGCTTCGACTTCCGAGGTCGACCTCAGTCCGGCCACTAGCTACTGCATTTCTGTCTACAGTGAAATAGCGCCATGGAAACGCAGCGGGTCAACAGCCCGGAACCGAGAGGTCCCGCCGCAGAGACGGATTCTGTCCCTGAGGTCCTGACCTCGTCTCAACTGCACGCCCTCTTTGACATTCTCACCCACCATGAGACGTATGCAGAGGTGGAAAGCTTTAAGGACCCCGCTACTATATCAGAATACGGGTATCCCTTTGCTCGACGTGACAGGAAATCAGCTGGTGCATCGTATGCTGCCAACTCATCCACACCACTCCTGGCCGGCGTGCTCAGGAGCATTGTGCTGCCTTGCCCAGGAGTCCGAGATCTACCAGCCGAGTTCTGGCATGTACGATTTCAGGGGATTCTAGAGAAGCTGGCTGAGGTGGGGCTTTCGGAGAGTTATGACAAAGGAGTCTTGGGCACCAGGAAGACTTTGGCCACGGCTGCGTCGGCCATTCATGAGATGGTGACACGAGGCATCATTGGGAGAATCGCGAAGGGCGAGACAAGAAATCTCCACAATGAGTATGACCGGTCCAACTCGAAAGAGCTGGCCAGGGCTTGGGACGATGTCGTGCATGAGCTTTTGTATGGAAGTCTGCTTGACGAACTCTTCTCCTGCGCGGCAGACCGCCAGAGTCTCGAGGAGCACTCTCCCGCGGTTCAGGCCGCTGCCGACTGCATAATAATCCAGTGGGTTAGCCGAACATTCTCATGGACTTGGTGTTGACATAGCTCTAGTCTGGCAACATTGTTGCACCGCGTCTTCGTCCTCTCCGCAGAAGGGCCCTATCTTCTGAAGCTACTAGAAAATGTGCATAAACTTCTCCCATACTCGATGATCAAGCAGACTCTCCGCATTGGAAATGCAGCTACCATGCTCAGCGGCATGATGCGCCTGCTGCTAGCGAAAATGGGGGTTGGCGCCCTGTCAAACTGGTTTGGGCTAACGCACAACGCCGACGATGGTATGAACCTCCTTCAAAGGCAAGTGAGGTTCCAATCCATAGCCTTCAGAGCCAAGCTGACATCTGTAGGATCATATGGCTCGTACTATCGTGGGACAGCCTCGAATTCCGCAAATCTGCCGAGGGCATCGAAAAGGCAAAAGGTCGCCCTGGCCCCTCCAAAGAGCAGCTTGCTCTAATCAAAGACTACGTCGACAAGCCTAAAAACAAACATGTAGACACTCGCCATGATAGTATTCAAGAGCACAAGTCCATGATTGTGACAATCCTGGAACGCTCAAATCCAGACGTTTTAGGCACGGTCTCGGACTCACAGCATGCGCAATGTCTCGAGTATCTCTCGGCTTTACTTTCAGCACGAGACCGCGATGAAATCACCAACACACTCTGCCGCCAGAATCCTGATTTATTCACTCAAGCTGTCAAAGACGCTGTAGCCAGCTTTGAGTCCATGATTCGGGCGATCCATCAGCATGTGGACCTCCGCGAACACGTGTCAGCGGCCGAGGGTTTTCTGAGCGAAGTCATCAGCATTAGCAAGCCTAAGAAGGGATCATCGGGGCTTCTAGACGCAACAGGAAACGGCGCTACACGCGGTGATTCAGAAGAAGGACAAGCTCCCTCTGTGGAGGACTATGTCGTCCTGCTCAGGAGGAACCGCCAGCTACTCTATAACTGGCTCCATCAGGTCGCAAGCCAATGCCCAGACCTCAGGGACGATTTCCTGGCCTGGGCCAAGGAGACTAGCAGAGTCTTCAGACAGGATGAACCGGCATCCCCTGAGTTTCAGCTCCGCCCAGGACTCAGCGTCTCAGAAGAAGCAAGACCGGCCGATAACACTACAACTTGCAGCGGAGGTGCCGGCGCAATGAGCAGTAGTCTTCAACAACTTTTTGCGTCCCAACCGGCAGAGACAAGATCACTCCTCCTGCCGGCCCTCGACGCGCACGCGGCCTACCTCTCAGCTCTCCAGGACCTATCCCTGGCCCGGATGCAGCGCATCCTAGACAATATGAACCACCATCTCAGCTCACATTCGGCACCTCCCACCCCGACGCGGCAACCTAGCCCCTCGTATTTCTCGCCGGGCTACTGGTCCGGCAGGTCCAGCCCGGCGCCGCCACCTGTCCATCCGCCACGGTCCAAAACCCCTACGGCATGCTCCTTCTCCGGACCGGGCATGTACCTCTCACGCTGGCAGCACCTTTTGGATGAGACGCTCATCGGGCCTGCTACGCGCGAGCCCGGCGCGCCTCTGCGTAGGGGGAGGGATGTCAAGAGTGTTTTGGCCAGGGGTAAGACGACCAGTAGCAGCAAGGATAGAGACGGCAGCGGTAGTAACGGATGGGATCCGGCTGCGCTGGCGAGGATGGCTGAGGCGGAGGAACCGCGGGCGCCGGATGTAGGGGTTGTGGTTCAGGCGCTCGGGGAAGGGTTCAAGACGCTTGTCGGGGGGTTGATTGATGGCGCCGGGAAGGAAAGGTGAGGTAGCGGAATCGGGAGGTTTGAATAACATGAGTTAGGATGTGTACGGTCTCTGGCCCGGAAATTGTATAGAGAGCACAGGGGTAGATAGATGGCATTGTACCATGCGTTATATGAGGTTTCGATGGTACGAATAGAATAGAATTTTACTTTTGATATTGGCTCGTTTTCGGATGCACTTCTCTATTGATTTCGCTATCTAATTGGGCAGCTACACATCTCTCTTGTACGGGGCTGGGACAAGGACTTCTCAGACTTGACCGATTGTAATATGACCGGAGGCCTGACGCCGACGCTGACGGAGTGCCTCTGAAGGTCGGCACATAGCGTTACACACATCACCAATAGACTCCCAGGCTATGGTTTTCAGCGATGACTTGAGAGCCAGTGACGCTTCGGCAAGGCAACACACACGAAAGGACCCAACGAAGTACGGGAACTCGCATAAGGAACGAAATTGATATTGCTTTGTGTTATCGTAGCCACAACTGCGCGTTGCAGTGAGGCAAGCTAAGGTGAGACCATAACGTCATGATCCCATGCCAAACCGACCCGTTTAAGGAAAGAACCTTCGTCTCCGAACCCGTAACTATCATGATTGTTGACGCCGAGCCACCCAGTGTTCAATCTAAGCCATCCTCATTGTGTTGCCGGAAGGAGCGCAGGTGAAGAGCGTGCGAAGAGCGTGCAAAGCCCAAACTTCCCGAGAGAGAAAGACAGCCATGACGTGTGGGGGTTCTCGACAAAATGACAAGTCTTAGTTGCAGCCGGAGCAAGAGCCTGATGTGGTTGTGTCAGCATGGCTTAACAATCGGACCGGATGGAGGGTGGGAACGAACAGCTAGAGCCGCAGTTGCAGGCCGAGGCAGAGCCGCCGCAGTTGCATTCGCCGGACATTTTGAGGGTTGTGTTTGGGTTGATGTTGATGTGTGCGTGTGGTTTGTGTGTTCTTGATTGAAAGTTTGCGGATTGCTGATCTTTGATGCTTTTGTGTGGTTTGAGGATGAAGAATTGAGAGTAGTTACTGGGAGCTGTGGGTTCCTACTTATACTCAGAGACTTGTCATCCACAGGCAGGCTGGAGAAGGCACTGGCAGTTGCCGCCTGCACTGCCTGCTGAGTTTGCGTGGTTTGTGCGGTTTGGCCCTGGTGCTTCCATTCCTGGGCCGGACCTGCTCCGCGGATAACCCGCCTCCACTCAGGGACCATGCCAGTGGCAACTGTGGCATTCCGTCTCAAGTCATACCACCAGCACATCCAGCAGCGTCAGGTACGATGCACGTGGTGACAAAGAGATCTTACGTCTTACCCCGCGAACCAGACCTAGGTGACCAATATCTTATCAGGGCTCAGCCGCGGGGCGTGCAAGTGGGTCAGCAGTGACGTGGGACCACAAAATCCGTCTAACCAATGATGTAGCTCCCAGTTTCGGTTGCAGCCTCTGCGAGAATTGTGCGTGAAGCTCGCCCAGTCATCCAAACCGCCACGGGATCACCGAGGAAGGCGCTAGTTATGATGACCTCAGTCAGTGACTCCAAAGGGAAAGAGCTGGACGGCAACCTGCAGAAGCCTTTGGAAACATGGTTGCTTTTGAAATCACTTACGAAACAGCTACAGCCGCCCCCAACAATAGACTTACTTCCATCTCGAGTAGGTGCAGCCGGCAAGTTTCGGTGCAAATGCCGAAGTCGGCTGTTCCCGATCCTGTCAACCATCGAGACCCAATCCACTATTTGCCGCCAGTGCCCGCCACCGATGGGCCGACCCGCGAACGGAGCCGGCTCCGGAGAAGATCAGATCAAAGCCCCCCGATTGCAGCCAAAATGGCGGACAACTAGGGCTTAGGAGGGACCCTAGCCGCCTTCCCCGGCGTCCCGTCAGACTCGCCGCTCATCCTGGGAGGTCAGTTGGTCACCCATGTTTTGGAGAGCCTTGGCAAACAGCAAGTCGGAGTTCATGCGGGCATTCTACAGTTCTACAGCAGACGAATCGATTGAACTGAGATCAGTCAATGCGGAGCAATGGTACGGACACCCAGTTAATGCGCGGTTTGAAACGTCCTACGTAGCAGAGAGCACGCGCTCAGCCTGTGGACTTTGAGATTGGCGACTGCAAACACCGGCAATCCATACATCATCCAAGCCAACAAGAACGTGAGGTGTATGTCAACTCTTAACAGACCTGGGCCCTGGTTGGGCGAGGGAACCCTCCTTGAACAACGGGTACGGCAGGGTACGGCAGAGCGCAAGGTGAGGCTTTGGCGGTGAGTCCATTTGCGTGTACCTGTACCAATTCCGCCAGGATATTGAAAGTTTGAAACGAACCTGAATCTTGTTTGACTCCCCCTCGAACGATGGGTGCAGTTTGCGGTCCGGCTGTCGAACGATGGCTTTTTTCTCATGTTGATGGCCACCATGTTTACCTACTTCTATTTAAAGCTTTTCCTATCGACTGTAGAAAAGCAAGTCCCCTCTACACATCCAACCCGACCACCTAAAAATCATACCAGAAGAACACATACTAGCAATAAGCTACCATGTCGTCTTTTGCCGCTCGACCCAACTCGACAAACCCGCGCCCAGGCAGTACTAGCTTCCTAAGGGCACCCAGAGGGAGCAATCCCCTTCCGCCACTGAGGTCAGCCACCACAGGCGGCCATGCACGTACTCCGAGTGGCTACAGCCCACGCCCCCGGGCGTCGTCATCATCCTCGTCTGGCGTCAACGGTGCCACGAAGACACAGGTCAACCAGACTTTCGCGATCAACATGATGGCCAGCCCGGTCAACCCCCTGCCCTTTCCACTGCCCATACCCATCGGCATCGCCATGCTCCTCAGTCCCTCAGGCAACAATACCTCGAATCATTCACCTCCGAGGCGGTAGTCAACCGAACGACGGGATATGTGAACCTCATGCTTTTCCTCCGCGTCCCTCAGCTACCGTTATGAACACCTAGGGATCGTGCTTGACGCGTCTGGAACGTGAACACAGCCATTCCCCCCTCCGGTTACGGATTATCGCCCATAGTCAAGGCCTTGCAATACATGCCGTCTCCATATTAGCCATCTTGGGTCATTCTACATATGGCCTAACAGTCGACAGGGACTTCGGACAGATAGGGACCGATACATCCGCATATCACCTAGTTTGGTTCTGAATAAGGAGGCTATGTGCTAGCTCCCTGTGCTTCTCGACATTCCCGTCGCTTTTGCAGGGGCAGAATTACATGGGCGGCTTTATCTGACTGCAATCTATGATGTCCCTGACTCTTTTTGAGGCTTGCGCACAAATCCATGAAATTTCTCTTATTTCTGCTGTGTTGGGGCGGGGGGAAGCAGGGAAGCACAATGACGAGAGTGGTCATTTTATCTGTGGTTTTGCTCTTTGGATTTATTTCGTGAGGATTTACTCTCATGATGTGAATGCCTGATGGTGGCTGCCATGCACTCTCGAATTCAAGGCCCCACGACAACCCCTTCCCGGCGTTGTGGGTAGAACCATCCGCTTCCAGGTCTTGCTTTAGACGGTAGCATAGACGTTGGGAGAGTTAAATTCCAGGCAGTACATAATGCAGCTCTACAGCATCAGAAACCTCGCACCCTCTTCAACCTCCAAGACGGACGATCCCGAAGAAGCGCACAAGTCCACCGCAAACCTCAGCCCTGACGCCTCAACCACATTCCCAGCCAAATCTTCCACCGGCGGCCCACCCTTGAACGCAGACCACCTGCCCAGTGTGGGACCTATCTCCATCTCAGCCTCCGGTACTTGGGACTGCGAACGACTGCTCGCCGGAGTCTTGTTCAACTTCCCCTCTCGTCGGTTCACTTCGTCCGCGGCCCAAAGGCTGGCGGTCGGAGTCTTATTCTTTCCCTCTCGCCGGTTGACTTCGTCCGGCGCCCAGAAGCCGACAGTCAGACACGGGCTGCCCCCGTCCTTACCGGGTGTCGATCCCCGAATACCGCTCACACCACCCCAAACCCGGTATTCTGTCTCAGTATCAAAGTCAGGAGGCCTCCAGTCCTCGCCAGACGAGAGCGCCGCAGCCGGTGTGAACGGCGCCAGTGACTGCAGGTTTAACCACGTCTTCAACCCGGGCGCTCCTCCACCTGCATCCAGCCCGCAGCGAAGCGTGAGCTTGCCAATATCTCTTGAGCACGATTGCCTCTCCCCTTCCCACTCTGCATCCATACCAGCTCCGTGTCCTGTGTCCACTCGTACGACCTCACCATCCACGTCCGCGTTGCTTTGCTGCGCAGGCTGCTGTGATGGTCGCAGCAGAAGCTCGCCGATCTTGGCCCGCACCGCCCTCTCCAGCCGCATGGCGAAATACGCCACATCCAGTCCCTGAAGTTGAACGTACGACCATTGCGACGGCCGGTGCTCCCCCTGCTTGTGGTTGAGAAACTGCTGCCAGTCGTGCTCGGCGAGGGTGTAGTCGCCAATGGTCTCGGTGGGAACCGGGCAGGGCTGGGGCTGGGGCTGGACTTGAAGTTGGACTAGGGCTTCTTGGGCCTTGTTGGGTTTCTTCATTTGTTGGGAGGTTTGCGGCGGGTCCGCTGCTGCTTTGCGTTTGGCTGCGCGGGCTGGCTGGATACGCGTTGGTGTCAGTGCTGTACACGCGCGCCGCCTCGAGCGAGAAGGGGCAGGACTGGGAGCGTCCGATGGTGCCAGCGTGGATTCTTGGGTGTTGCTAGGTTCGATCATGCTTGGCTCGTTGGTAGGTGCTGTACCCCGTGCCTCGCTGCTGGATTCCTTGGTAGCCTGTGAAAGACCGGAGCGTTAGTAGGCGGACTGTGATGACCGAGGACGGAAGGCTCACCATCTTCACCTTTTCGAGGTGAAGGAGCCGGTCAATCTCGGCCTTATACCAGGCCTTTGCTCGCCGGTAAAAGTCGTCCCGCTCATAGACTTCACCCCTCTTAAGTGCTGCGAGGTCGTGCTTGAGGGCATCCTCAGAGAAATAGTACTTCCCAATTGGTTTCACCGAATGCTTCTCTCCTTTCCTGGAAACAGAGACACAATGATATCCATCCTTACATGGCGGCAGTAGGCCACATGAGGAGCGTGGAGCATCAGCCCCTGACTTGAGATCTGGATTCATCGCAGTGGCGACTGATTAACTTCTAGGGCCCGACAAGAGGAATATATGGAAACTTGGCAACGGGACTGTACTTCGAATTGGACTACTGGTGTTGATATTGCAGAAAGCTATAATCTGCGGGCCTACCTAATAGGATGAGAAGCTCTGAGCCCCAAGCCAATTCAATATCATAATTGTATATTCCTTGGTTTTTGTCTGTCCTCGTAGGCTCTGGTGTTCTTTGTTTACGCTCCCCTGCTCTTTGTCCAAAGCCATGACGCCGGATGTGTGATGAGGCCAGCATACCAAGGATCATCAAGTCATCGGCCCATCGGGGTCAGTCTGCGAGGCTTCCACTAGGCCTACACTAGGAAGGAATGAGACCGCTCCTTTCTTCCATCTTCTGCCTTGCTCATCTATTTAGCTCAAATTTTTTTCCTTTCCTATGCCGTTAGAATAATACGGATTAGGCAAGTTGACTTGGTAGGTGATCTGGGCTTCGCAGTGCACCTCCACCGTACTACTTGTGAATAAAGACGTGAAAACTACTAGCGCTATTACTTGGCAAGAGTAGAGGTAAGCAGTTCCAACTTCTTCATCGACGGAGCGTATCTGAGTCACAATGGAAGAGACCTGCGTTCACTCATGTTGGATGGGGCCAGGCTTGTGGAACTAGCTTAATTGCTACTGCTCTGGTGAGGAAGATCTGAGGAAGGGAGAGATGGCCAGTTGTGGGAGGCAAGCCTATATACCCAGGCTTGCCAGGCTGGTGATGGCCTGATGGGGGTGTTTGCCTTGTCAAAGAGGACAAAGGAGTTCTAAGGAGCTCCGAGTCCACCACTGCAACAAGGCTGGATCTCATCCATGATAGGTCGGGGCACATAGCGTCGTACTCGCGGTCCTAACTTGCTGCATGCGTAGTAGCCTGGTAACTGGAAGCTAATATATAGAGATCCGTCACACCATAGATGGTATCCATTGATGGTACTAGTAGCTCGGGCCTGGGCACTTGCCACCCCCGGGCTGCACGTGCTCCAAACGAGGTATGAACACGGTAAGCATTACGATACTAGCTGTCGTCATACTAGTTGATTAAGTTTCCGGCTGTTCCGTGTTGGCAAACAGGTGCGCAAGAATTCGAGGCATGCAATTCAGCTCAAGAGTGACGCCGTGACGCCGGAAACTTGCCTGTTCCAGCGTACCTTATGCTATTGTATCCGCTGCGTCTACCGTGACATTGATATAGACGGGATAGTGGTGAGGAAACAGGCCAAGCGATGCCAGTCCTGTTGGTTCCAGTCACCAGAAGATGTGCCATTCAGGGGTAATGATAAGGTACTAGGTGGGCACACCAGTCAGAGTGTTGGTGCGACAGAACCTCTAGCCAAGCATTGCAGAGGCACCTCTTGGTACTTGATGTCGAGCAGTCGGTTTGGGTTGCCTGTGGTGGCAGATAAAGTACGATTCATGTAGTAGTAACCAAACCCCCTTTGGATTCCGGAAGTCTATGGCGAATGCCCGGGGGGAACTTTCAACTTTCCAGCTTGAATAAGTTGAATGCACCAACAAGAAGTCTGTCTCTTTGGGTAGATATTAGCGCTAAAGTTGCAGTGCAGAGCCGGCATACCGGTAGATGTTGGGCGCATAACCACTACCTTACCTCCCTACCTCACTGAGCCTGACATCATGTTCCGGGAATATGGACCAACTAACGTATCAACTGATAAGCGCCACACTGTAGGGTGACAATCTTCAGGCGGTTTGTTGGTTGATACTGTCGGTCCTTCATCAGGTTGTTGGAGGAAGGTCCTTACTTAAGGTAACTTTGTAGGTAGGTAGGCCGCCCGAGGTAGGGTAGCATTACGCCAAGCACCTTAGGGGGTTGGCGATGATAAATATGATTTGACTGATGAGTTCGGCGGCAAGTCGGCGCTAATAATCTAGCCAGATAAATACCGGTACAAGTACGAATACATTCAACGTTTAGGGACTCCGTATAACACATTCCACTATATCTACCTCTACGGGTTTGGCCAGAGCGAAAGTGGAAGCCAAAGCATCGCATCTAAAGAGTGTATACCACAGTATGTGCATGTCCTCTTGGTGCATAGGGGTACTAAGTACATGGCGAGATGCGACCATCCTCGGCAAACTTTGTACTGGGACAAGTGTCCTGCATTTTGGAAGCTGACTGCAACTTGGCCAAGACTTTACCTATTCCCCTGTAAGGCCATGTTGGCGTGTACCGTGACTCTATTCGTACTCCATATTGGTTGGGACCAATCTCGCGCAGTGGAACGTCATGGTACCCTATACGAAGTACGTTGGCACTTATCAAACCACCGGAGGGTTTCCCCGCTACATGTGAGGTCCCCTACCCTTGAATCGAACAGAGGGACTGGAAGCTCCAGAGAACGAGAGAACGTAAGCCCAGGTCCTTTTATGCAATTGTCAACTCTTTGTGTTACGCACCTGGTCCAGGACTGACCGAATGAGTCTAATGAGCGACCTAGCGGCTAGCAAGACTGCATGCTGCATGGTGCAACGGTAGGTAAGGTAGTGACGGTACTCACTACTTACAAGCTGAGATATCAACATGAACCGTACCTATAATCTCGCCGGGTCGCATTATAGCAGGTTGACATTTCGCGGAAATAACATGAGGCTAACGGGAAAGAGACGGAGACAAGGTGTATCGACAGTGCTTAGTACCATTGAGGTACAATACATTGTGAAACTAACATAACACGGGGATGAAAATGAAACGCCGATGACGAAGAGCGAGGAGGGGATTGGCAATGAAGATCAACAGCTTTGTCTCGGAGATGGCTGGAAGCTGCGGGCCTTGGAGTTGGAGAGGAAATGAGGAAGGTATGAATGCACTTTTGCACTTCGCAACTTCCCCGCACCATGTATCAGGCAATCTTTAATTTAAAACTGCAGAATGAGTGAATATGAAAGGGAGCAAGGCAACCTTGCGCGCACGTAGTACGCTCCCTAACTGTTGCTTGTTGACGTTGTACGGCGGATGGACTTTTGAACATATGACGCCTTGGCCTTGCTCTACATAGACTACAATCAATCGCTGTTGGTCGCCGGCCCGGATCCTGGTTGGTGCATGGCAGCTGAGATTGATAATAAAGGTAAGGTAGTCTAAGTCTTTAAGGTGGGTTGGCAACCCAATAAGCTGAGCATATAATTCTGGATTGTTAAGGCATCTGAACTTCAATCTGAAGTATGGAGTAGACGGCACCGCGCTTGCCCCCTATTGATAATCAGGTGCTGTTGGACTCGGAATGATTATGTGATGCCTCGGAGTATCCACGTCGACGAGGTCTCGTGCAGGAATTGGCAGGAATTGGCAGGAATTTGTTCTGGGCCGCTATTATGCTGCGGATGTATGAATTATAATCAGCGAACATCTGATTAAAGTTATCCGACTCGGGCTTCAAGTTGTGTACCCCCCGCGACGCCGGCAAAGGACTGCTCGGCGGGGCGTAAAAAGGCAGCGCAGCCAACCTAGGTGTAAAGTTCTGCTACTTCTGTATGGTCACCGGTTGGGCTTGTCAAATATGATCACAATTCACAACCAGTACCACATGCATGCTCCGGGTCTGATTGAGCTAGCACCGGTTTCACACAAACCAACCGATTCACCGACGCATATCTGGCGTACTTATCTGCGCGTCTATACACCAACCGCTGTGACGGTATTTGCTTGCTTCTTGCCGGATACAGTACTACATGGTCAGATGTTCGCTAGTCGCTAGGGGAGCCTTGGCAATCGATACAGCTCTGTAAAGTTCTCACTGGAGCTTAACGTTAACGCCAATCTTATACCAAGCCCAACATCCCTGTCACTTGTAGATTGGGTGATTCGTGGCCGAAGGTCAAGCTCTCGGCGACTCCTTCGCTACTCCTGTGCAGGATGAAAGAAATTCAGGATCGAGTGGAAGTTGCATGTTCCAGGCTCGTAGTGTATGTCAAGCGATTCGGCGTCAAGTTCGAAGGGTGTAGTGCATCTACGGAGTATGCATGTATGTACAGTACTCGTACATATTGTACAGTGCTGTGCACACGGCGCTGATGGCGTAAGTAGACGGCGACTAGCAGTTAGTACGGCGTGCTATCGAACCCTAGAACCGCAATCAAGTTATCGTAAAATTGGCGCAACGCTGCCCGAAACAAAATCTAATAATAAGCAAGACCGAATTCTCTACTCTGTACCCTCCTTCCATATAGTTTACACCTGTTCCCTGACCCGGTAGTTCTGCTTCCTTCCACCCTAACTTGCTCTTTCCTCTCCCTCATTTCACAACAATCCCATCGATCCTACTCCGTACCTTTTGATCTTTCCTACACTGCGAAGTCAGTGAGGACAAAAGTTATACCTAACAACCTAATCATATCGGATTGGGCTCCAATTACATAGGTGGCCAAGCTATCTATCTGCTGTCTCTACCGAACATCCCGCCTTAGTAAGTTTATTGATCAGCCCCGATAACTATTCCATTTTCCCATAAGACCTTGGTCGCGCCAAGTGACCCGTGGTTCGATAGTTTCAGAACCACGGACTTTCTATCGCTCGGTGGCAGGATTATTGGAGGTGCTTGAATGTACTATATCGTACAAACCTGCTGTCGGCTGGCAGCGCATTGCTGGCCTTTTTTCTGGATGGGGTTTCCCTATCATTCTTTCCGCGTCACTCCTACAGGCCTTATACCTGAAGGCACCCGCTCCAACATCAAATATTATATGATGCAGGTGCAGGTGCGCCAGATGTTTGCAGCCAGCGTTACGTCCGATTGTATCCCACCATTTCCTGCATCACTTTTTCTACTACAAACCTCGCGGTGCCGCAAGCAGACATGTCAGCCTAACAGCTAACTTTACAGATACTTCTGCTTCTGGTCGGCGCCATAGAGTTTCGCGCACGTCGGCAATAGTTTTCTGTCTTACATAGGTACAGTACTTTTCTATCAATGTGTAACCCGACATAGTCCTTTACAGGTCTGGTTTCATTTCGGGCTCTCGCAGTCCCTGGCCGGTTCTCCATTTTTGATTTTCTTCCCTACTCTTCCTTCACCAACCAAACTACTCGCTAATATGGAGCACAGATGCCGCCGCGATACGCGTCAAGTTATTCGATTTTGATCCTTTCCGCGAACCTTCTTTCTTACATTTGAGAAGCCCTGTGCAACACTGGCCCGTCGCTCTGCGGGTTTTTGTGGGCCGTGACGGAGGCACGCCGACTGGTGTCGGCTACACGATATGACGGCCATATCACGACATTGCGTATTGCCCGAGACGGCTTGGCTCGGGGCAATCGTCGCGCACACCGAGTTCACGAAGAAGCTCGACGAGCTCAAGAACCAGTACGAGCAGGACACACAGCACGAAGTCGCAGTTTTTGAGACCAAGAAAAATGCTATCCTCTCACAGTTCGAGTCACACCTGGCCGACTTAGAACGTTTAGACTCGGCGCTGGGCAGCACATTCTTTAAGATTCTTGTCGAATGGAGAGACTTGCACATTTTCGAACTAGAACGGACATACAAACAGCAGCAGGATGAACGGACGAGGCATTACGAGCATGAGCGAAAAAGGTACATTGAGGAGAATTTCGCCGCTATGAACAATGTCATGAGCGTTGAAGTGGTTAGTGCTGCCTAAAAGTTCCCTATTCAAATTTGTCGGTACCCACTAACAGGCGGACAGACAGGGTTGAGCATCGAACAAGACGATTCACAAGCAGGAGCTGTGGGTCCAAACGAGGCGGCAGCTCCGTCGCAGATTGACCATGTTGCTGGTCAGATCGGAAGTGTTGGAACTGCCAGCGCAGCGCCTACACTTGAAGTGGCTGAGCCTTCATCACAACCGCCGAGGGATTCTCCGCCAGAGCGACCAGACCCGGAGACATCTGGATCGAAGGCTGAGAGTACGCCAGGCTCACCCAAAATCGGCCCTTCCGAAGAACCAAGCGCCCGTTCGCCGGGTGGCATTGCGGCCCATGGCCAAGCCTCGGACGCAGATGAGCTTGATTGTTCAGTGCAGCCTCCACCACAGTCGTCCGCTGGCCTCAACCACGCGTCGAGTTCGGAGACGTTGAGACCAGTAACTCCCCCTTCTGCTGGTAACCATGAGCAGCCTCTTGCTGATGCAGAGACGCTCACGCGCGGTAATGACGGTTTTCATCCTGCTCCGCCAGTTGAAAATGTAAGGAGAATTCCCTGCCCGCTGAAGCACATGAGACTGACGGAATTCATCCCTTAGCCTCTTAAACGCAAAGCTGATGACGAGCCTTCTTCTGCCCCGAGCCATAAGAAGCGGCCCAAGCCGGAACATGCCGGCGACACCAAAATCGCCGACGTTGCACCATCCGGGGTTGAAATCCGTCCGCAGGTAGCTGCTAAGCGGACGATATCCTTCGCCGATGTGTATCAAGATCCCCAGTATCATCACATCATTGTCCAGTATCCTACTGGCAGTGGAGATTTCTACATTCTAAGATGCGATGAACACGGGGTGCACTTTGGTGAGCATCCGCTTCGCGGAGCAGCCAAACACCTTGCCGGGGCGCAACACGACCACATGACAAAGGCACACGCGGTTGCCATAGAGATGCTTGGCCATCTGGTTGTGGATTGCACCCAAGAACTGGCAGACAGAAACAACGCAAAGGTCATTGAAGCCTTTAGACGAGGTTACAAGGTGTTCAACGCCAATAGCCTTAGTCAGACGAAACGAGCCGAAATGGGTTATCCTCCTCTGGAGACTCCCAGTACCCAGAAGACTTCCTCGCAGCGGCTCGGCAAACAGACGGCTTCTCCCGGCCGGTCCAAGAAGCAGTTCACCGGAGTCATCAACCCAGTGCAATGCAAGTTCTACTTGAGCTATGTTCAGCAGGAAGAGGTCCAATGCCCCGTCTTAATCCTGCCATGGGGCAACTTAGCGCCAGCCGGGTTGCAAGGCACCCTAGCCGATACCGGCCTCTTCAGTGAGCAAGCCGACGCCCCGGAACCCCCCAAATGCTACGTATATGACCGTGTCGATGGCCGTATCACGGGAATCCGGGGCTGGGCGAGCGGATACGAGGATGGGGGCCCGTTGGTGAGAAACCGGGAGTTTCCAGTTTTGTGTGTCGACAACCCGGACTTGTAAGTCGGCCCTCTCAACTAGCTTTGGAGCGGGAATCTAACTGGTGCAGCCGCTCCTGGTCTGTGGGTTGGGTAAATGCTGCGGGCCTCTCCCGGCTCAGCTTCAAAGACTCCGACTCACAAAGCGTACCCTTCTTCCACGCAGCGCACAGCTACTATGTTGAACGTGTCCTGCGCCACCGGAAGGCCGCCGAGGCGAAGGAAGTGCTAGTTGACCAGGATCAGCCTCGGCAGGCCCCGTCATCAGTCACTGTTGAAGAAGTTGAAATGAGGGATGCTGGCCCAACCCAGGCCGATTATCCGGAACGCGATTCTGACCAAGACTCCAGTAACAAAGCCATGACAGATTCCGACAACGAATTGGGAAAGCTCGATGAAGAGAGCCGGCGGACAAGTATTTCCAACCAAGACGAGCATGGAGGAGAGATCACTTCCATGAAACCCACGGCAACGGTTGATGTTTCGCTTGTCAACAATGCCCAATTGATCGCGACTAAAGCCCTCGGGCTGCAGCCCCCATCACGAAGCGGCTTCAAGCCCATCAATGCTGGTTCTGAAGCCCCCGTCACTCGGAGTGCCTCAGCAAGTCTGGAGCCATTATCGAGAGCCGGTTCAATGCCAGGCAGCGATCGCGCCGAGATTCTGCATCCCCGAAACAGCAGGACAAGCCCCAGTCAACCAGTGTCTTCGATAGATGAGCAAGGGGATGGAAACCCGCAACACGACCACCCGATGAGCCGATCCCGGACCACTATGCTCAAGCCCAACCCAGCCAGTCTTCAGAGTATTCTTCAAGATGTTCTCAACCATACCATGCGGGAACCCACCCCGTCTACCCGAGAGAATATGAAAGGGACCTTAGACCTCCGATCCCAGAATGGATCTATAAGCCGGCCAGTCATCGAATTCGCAGAAATGCAGGCGCCCACCCTTCCGGCGCCCGCATTGTCCACTACTGACTCACTGCCCTTGGTCGATAACCGGGCGCAGTCAGTGCCGGTACAGCAGACGAGGCCGCTTGAGGAAGAGAAGCGGCGTGCAGACAGTGCATCGGCGGCACCTTGCCCTTCCCTTGGATCCACGCCTTGCACGATGGTTTCAAAACCAATTCCAGGACGCGAACAATCATCGATGCCGATCGGATATCACCCCCAGCCGAAAGAATGGCCGCAACTCCTTCGAAGTGGCGTCGCCACACCCGTCTCAACATTGAGGACGAGCGCGTTCAATACACAGGACAACACACCTATGCAGGCCAAGCGGAGCACTCCTACCCCGGTCTCCCGCATGGCCAGGACTGGCGCGTTAAGCCAGTCGGCCCTGGGCACGATTCCCAGCACAACAGCAGCTGTCTTTGACCTCGCCGGCTTTAAGGAAGGCGACGCGGAACTCTTTAGTGCGAGGGTAGCCGGTCGCTTTCTGCGGCTGGTGGAGGATCCTGCCAGCGGGGTTTTCCGAACCGGGCCTGACGCGCCTGTTTCGCTTACAATTGACCCGAAGGGCATCAAATCAGTGGCGAGATCGAAGTCGGAGGCCGGGGCGGTGTGCATTGCCAGGCTCATATACGAGGGGGGCCGCACGCAGACGCTGGTATTTGAAACCAGCGGAATGCAGAGCGGCAAGGTGCATGCCAGGAAATTTTGCGCGCGGCTGCAGTGGTGGAACCCAGACATCACTGTCGAGATGCCGAGCAGCGGGTGAGTTTGACCTTTGCTGCGCCTGCACCTGGCTTCAAGGGGTTGAAGAAGTGGCATGGCTAATGAATTGGTGCTGTAGATCCGACCTGTTGGACCGACGACGCAGTGCAAGCCAGACACCCTCCTTGACGGAGAACTCCTTCCGTCTGATGGCCTGATCGGATGCTTAGCAGCGCTGGGCCGTTTGGGGGAAAGTATTGGAGGGAACGGAAAGGGGAAGGGCTTGGGATAGGGCGGGAATCCCGATGCAGCATGTCACCATGCTTTGGGTTCTTGTTGCCATGAGAGAGGGGCGTCATCTACATAGGTATGATATCCGAAGCATGGTTCCTTGGCGACGTGAGCCTGGAGCTTTCAGTCCTCGAGGTGCATGTGCGTTCATTTGCGTTATTCTGCGGCAAGAGATAGGCCCCGGGATCAGTATATGGCAATGCATTCTTCGCGGTAGATAACCTTCTGCCTCGCTGGCATGGTAATCAACATGGTCGTTGCACTCTTGGCGGTGTATGGCTCGGCGACGGGAAGCCAGCCAACACTGCAGTTTTCTGGCATGTGATTGTCGCATGTGCTGTCAGCAGTGGACCCTGCTGCATCCTAGGCTCAAAAGTGCCACTAACCCCCCCTGAGCCCCCAGCTCTGCTCTGGGAATGGAACCTTTGATCCCACTACTTCGATACCTACATAGCACGTGTCCTCTTGCTTCATTCCTTCTTTGTGAATCTATGCCCCTCTGCCCTTGGTTGCAGTTCCCTAACAATCATTTTTGCTCCATACGCAATGCTATGGGAACTTGCATTTTGGCGCTGTTCCCGTCCTGAGTTTGCGCAAGGGACCCGTCGGCTGTGGCGTCGCATGCGTCTCGGTACGTAGCCTATGACGTGAACAGGCTACGACAGAACAGCGAACAGACGTCCAGAGGCCCAGCACAGCTACACACACTAACTTGCTTTTCATGGCTGCATTTGTGAGTACCTAACTACAGTATTTTCTCCTCTTCACTCCAAAGATCTCGCATACTTCCTTCGCGATCACACCACTTGTTTTATCGTTGGGCCCGCGATTTCGGAGTCGCTGAGATTCGGAATTGCCATCAGACCCTGGACCGTCAATTTCTTGGCGTTTGCCGTTGGGGGGGTTAGGGCCTGCTGATGAGTGGAAGGCTGCAACGGTCAGCAGCCCTACAGCATCAAAGCTTCGCGAACACTTCTCGGGAGGGAAGACGGGAAATGCGCGGTGGTAGCATAGGATGTGCAACGACTTGGGCTAGACACTAGGCTGACAGCGCACCTCTACCGGTCAAAAACAGGAACCCCCTTGGCTTCTTTCAACTTCGCACATGTCGACCCCTCGCACTCAGCGCGGTGACCCGCTCAACAGCTCGTCCTCCACCCTTGCCCGGCCGGCCACTCCCTCGCGCAACAGCTCCAATGACGCCGCCAGCGCCTCGATCCTCCCGGGCGCCCCGAACCCAACCTATGCCTCATTCTCCCCCGCGACGCTGAGCTCGACCGCTCCCAGCTCCACCTCGGCTGCCAAGCGGAGGAGCACCATCCTCGTACATCAGAAATCGCCTCTGCTGCTTTCAACGCCGCCACAAATCACACGTGCGCTGGCTTACAGCCATCCGTTCTTGCTGCCGCTGAACAAACTTGTCGGGCTCCTGACGTGGACGACGGGCGATCAGTGGGAGAGCTTCCTGCTGCTGGCCGCGTTTTGGGCCGTGGTGCTTTACGGGGACATTGTGGTGCGCGTGGGAGGACCTGTGGCGCTGGTACTCCTCCTGATCGTTGGCATGTACGGCCGCCGCTTCAGCCCGCTGAGCAGCAGTGGATGGAGCGAGCCAGGGCTTGGCGCCGGCGACGGGACAGCCGTCGTGAACGAGGTGAAGGGTGCCAAGGCCGGCCGGCGGGGAAAGAACTTGTCGGTTGACGGGACTTCAGACAAGAATACCAAGGTGGGCAACGGCGGGTCGGGAACAGCGGCGCCTGGCGGCCACATAAGGAACCAGGGATCCATATCTGAGGTCACAAACACACGACATCAAAAGACGCTTGACGAGATTGTCGAGACGCTCAAGGAGTTCACGGCGAGGTGTAACATACTGTTGGAGCCCTTGCTTGAACTGACTGACTTCCTCAGCACTCAACGCACCCCTACCTCAGCGACTACTCGCCCGGCACTCACCACGCTTTTCGTGCGGATCCTCCTCTGCACCCCTTTCTGGTTCCTTCTTACACTTCCCCCTCTTCGTCTGATCACCACACGCCGCGTCATCCTCATCTTCGGCACCATCGTCTTGACATGGCACTCCCGCGTTATTCGGGTGACCCGCGCGATCCTCTGGCGGAGCGCCACCATCCGCCGGCTGCTTGCTCTTGTGACAGGGCTGCAATTCGAGGGGCTCACGAAGCCCGCACAAGCTTCATCTACTACAGCAACCGGATCCGACGCCACGTCGATCAAGTCCAAAAGCTCCTCAACTACTGTCAGGACCCCGCGCGAGTCCGAGCTCACCAAAGCACTCCACCGAGGCCGAGGTGGTCGCGGTACGGGGGTCCGTTTCACCTTCATCATTTACGAGAACCAGCGGCGGTGGGTGGGGCTGGGATGGACGACCAGCCTGTTTGCCTACGAGCGGCCTGCTTGGACCGACGAACACAACAATGCCGTGCCTCCGCGCGACGAGTTTGAGCTGCCCGAGGTTGAGAACGGGAGCAATATGCGGTGGCAGTGGGCCGAGGGATCCAGGTGGCGGGTGGATGGCGTGCCGGACGAGGCCGTTATGACGGGCGATGGGACTGGGGAGTGGGACTACGACGGGCCGGGGGGCAGGATGGGGTGGGTCTACTACGACAATAAGGTGTGTCACTTGTTTCAGTGATATTGTCCAGGTTGAGGATGCTGACTGGGATGTGAAGTGGCAAAACGGCCGCCGAGGCCAGGACGGCTGGGGCCGCTGGACGCGCAGGAGGAAATGGTACCGCGATGCTGAGCTGGTCGAAGCAGACGACGCCACCATCTCGGAGGAGGATCAAGAAACCGCAGCCGCCGCCCCCAACGGCTCAGCGAACCACGACGTCCTCGGCGACCAAACTAAAACCCCTACCGCTTCCCCCGCCCCGGACCGCCCACCGTCAGATCAGACTTCCTCCTCCCTATCGCCCTCCATCCCTCGCTCACTCGACCACAGTTCCCCGGAGGTATCCCTGACCCCGCCGACCCCGCGACAACCCCAACACCAACACGACGAACAACAACAACAGCAACACGACAAAGAAGCCAACAAGGACAAGGACAACGACTCAGCCAGCATCCTGTCAACCTCGAGCAAATCGATGCGCTTCTTCAAGGGCGCGCCGGCGACCCTGAGGCGCCGCGCCACGGGCGAGTCGACCGTGTCCGCCGACACAACGTCGTCCTACTCGCAGCAGCAGCAGCGGGGGCCGCCAGGCAGCAACAACAACAGGAGTAGTAGGAGCAGGCGGACGTCGCGAGCCTCGGCCGCCTCGTCGATGGGCAGCGCAGGCGATGGCGAGGACGATGACGCGGCTGTCCTAGACACCCAGGCCCGCATGGTTGTGATGCAGGATACGGGGACCGAGGTGGGCAGTTGGGGGGTTGGGGAGGATGTTAGGATGGGGTTGGAATAATCCTTCTTCTCCAGTCTCTGGAGGTGTGAGGCAGGAGGTGGGGTTTGTGCTTTGTATGGTTTTGTCTTCTGTTTTGCGGATTCGGTATGGGATGGGCATCGGATTGGGTGGGTTGGTTGGTTGGTTTGTGCAAAGCATTAGTTCATGGCTGGGTGCCCGGGTAGGTGGGTAGGTAGGGGTGGCGTGGGTTGGCTTTTCGTTGGTCTTTGCCGGTTGCATCACGAGGGATTGTATTCCAGGTGGCGCAAGGTCATCATGATGGGGTTGGTTTGCCTCGAAAGGAAATGGCAATGGGCAATACAACTGGCAATACAATGGGCAACAAGGAAGAGAAATAGGGGGGTACTGATATACCACTCAGATAAGATGCGACGTTAGGTTTACCTAGTCTTCGCAGCACTGCATCCACCCCGCGGAATGGCTTGAGGGTGGCTTGATGGTGCTGGACAGTACCGAACTTCCGGTGTAGTCCGCGTGATGGTAAGGAAAATACCTCCACTCCTTGCCGGATGGACGAGAGATCCAGTATGCCACTCGTCCCTCGATCCACTTATCACCTCAGCTCCCAACTACATGCCCCTTGAGCCGTTGCCTGGTCGCCCGTGATTCAAGTTGCGGCCCAGCGTCTACGGTGGTTGATCCTAACCAGCAACCTACCCTAGGCAGGTTATGAATATGAAGGCAAAAACGCTGGCATACATACTACAGTAGTCCGTTACTTAAGCTTACATATTATTTTCCCTGTCCCTTCACGTGGTACTATGGTAGGTAGCTCATGGCTTACTAGATCCCTTTCCTTTCCTTCGTCTACCATGAGGCGTCCTGTAAGTGCCCCTGACCCTGGTCCTGCCCCGGCCTGGCGAGTGAAGCTTGCGTGCCATGGCACGGAACAGATCCTTGACTGACCTGCTTATTGCCTTGCTTCGTTGCTTTAGACACTGTAGTAGTGGTGGTAGCAACCGGCCACCCTTTGCATTTGCCTCAGGCTGCTGCTGTTCAGAGGCCGTCGTTCCAGTTCCACTAGTCTCTGCTGCTTGGTCTATGCTTTTGCTCTGCTGTTGCTGTTGCTGTCCAACTTGTTTGCTGCTGCTCGCCTGTTCTTCTCCTTGCTTCTCTGTTATGTGTTGCTGTTCTTGCTCTTCTGGTTGTTGTTGTTTTTGTTTCGGTTCCTGTTGCTCAGGCCTTTGTGGTTGAGGTTGCTGCCGTCTATACGGCTTGGGGAATAAGTATAGAGGTGTAGGTATGGAACGAGCGGTTGTTCGACGTGCAGAATTACTATGGTTTCCGGCTGTCTTGATATGACTGCTTTTGCGCAACTTGTGTCTGATTTTCGTCGGTTGCTGAGTCCCGTGCGTGATGGGCTTCGGGGGGGAAGGGAAACGAGAGAGGATGCCGCCACCCATGCTGCTGCTGCGGCTGCGGTTGCGGTCGGGGCTGGGACTCCGGCTGGTATCTCTTAGTGTTGCTCGTTTTCGCTGGGCTGACCTCGGGGTCGGCTTCTGGGTTTTGGAGCTTGTGCTCTGCGCGGCCCCGAGGGGTGTGGGTGGGCTTGGGCCTGGGGTACCGCCTTGGTTTCGACATTTGCCGCTTACTGTGACGGGATTTGGATTTGGAATTAAGCTTGAATCTTGCTCTCTGATTGAAAGTCGGCTTTGATTTGCGCTCTGGCTTCTAGCAGCACTACCCCTGGCTGTTGATGGGCTCCGAATCAGGCTTGGGTTTGGCTTTGGCGACGGGCTTCTGCTCTGGATTCTGCTTCTGGCTGTGACTGGGGTGATACTTCCGCTTTGGCGGGGACTCTGGCTTGAGGTTCGGTATGTGCTGTTTACTCGTTTGGAGTCTGGAGCTGGGTCTGGGGCTGTTTCGGGTTCCGGCCGTCTACTCTGACTTCTGCTCCGACTTCTGCTCCTTGCTGTGACCGGACTCGGGGTCGTGCTTAAGCTCTCTGTCGCGACCCTTGGGCTTGGGATTTGACTCGCGTTTCCGGCCACCCTTCGATTGGGGGGTAGATCCGGACCAGGGAGCCACCGAAGAGATTCGCTTGGGCTCTGGCTTCGTGGACCATCTCGGATGCTGATGTATAGGCTGGGTCTGGCAGCTCCCGAGTCAGAATACCAGCTGTACCTGATATATAGACGCATGCTCTGATGTCGTTGCTCCTTTTCACGGGGGAAAAGCGACAAGTTGGTATGGATGTTGTACTGTCCCTGGGTCAGTCGCCAGCAATCTGCATTCTCTGGTGCCCTAAGGTCTCGATTTGCAGTGTTGAGCAGACGTTTTTCTGAGCACTAGCTATTTCGAGCTTTACAACGATATATCAATGTATGATTTTCTTGCAGTACGTGGCTTCCTTATATGCGCTAGACCTTTCGCACTCTTCGTCCTGTGACGTTGCCAGGGTGAATGCTACGTGTTTGTTCAAGTTGCTCCTTGGGGAACCTACTATATCGTCGCTTGAATGCCTCAACTGCCTTCACCGGATTGTATCCTGTATCTTGCTATTAGGTACCACAACCACATCAGTCCATGATTCATCAGTCCAGTGTGTTCTTGTCTTCGTTACAAACCGGTCTAGTACTACTACCCAACCCATCTATAAGGTTATGTGAATGCCAGATCCCATGAATTCCAATATACCTGCCTCGTTAATCCCGCAGGGCAAAGGATTCATAAAGCCGGGCGGGAACTGCAACCAATATCCAAAGGTCCAGGTGTTTCCCCCTGGCCGCCAGACAAGATACAGGATGCCAACCAACACATCATACAGGAGCCACCACTCAAGAGAGAGCAGCGTCGCTCAAGTGCAGCAAAGATAATGCAAAACGCCGCCAAACACAAAATGCTGTCATCGTCATTATTTTCGTCCTGTCGTATTCCGTCCCCTGTGCGTATAAGGCGAACCCGCTCCCAGCATACCAGAGACAAAAAAAAGGCCATCAGATGAAAGCTCCTCCTTTTCCATGCGGTGGGGGTGGCGGTGGCCTGTCGTCACCGTCGCTGCTGCCGCTGCGTCTCCGTTCTTTGAATCGTTTCTGGTGCTGCCGATACGCAGTTAGTTCGTCCTCTTCTTCCAACTCCTTTTCACTGCTCTCATTCCGTCTTGGAGGGCTATGCCTGTAGCCTTTGGTGATGCTGTGGCCGTACTGCAACTGCTTGTCATCAACATCCTGGGCGTCATCCTCCTCCTCGCCGCTGTCCTCAAAGCGAGGTAGGGTGGGCATCGACTGTGCGTGATTGGAATCGCCTTTTACCAGCCCGAGCATCTCTTCCTCGGTCGCGCCTTTCAACTGCGGGCTGGAGTAGCCGCGGGACGAGCCGCGCGATGACAATTTGGGTCGGCTGTCCAAAGCATGGTCCCTATCATCGGCGTGCGACTGATGGCGCTTGAATATGTTTTGGAACGAGAACTGCCGCAGGACCGAGTGAGGCGGTGGTGTCGGTGGCGCAAGCGTATTTCTAGGTTCGCTGTCGTCAGACACCTTGCGAACCTCGCCGGCAAACTGTATGCGCCTGTTAGAGTTTTCAGCGTTGTCCCAGTTGTGTGAGTCGAAATCGCGGCCGGGGACGTATTCCTCTGCAGATTTCGACCCCGGCACCGCTATCGACGTCAGTTGAACTGGGTGCATCGGGCTCTGCACCTTGGGCTGGTTGGGGTTCCCGCGAAAATCGGGATGGCCTGGAAGTAGTACACTGCGAGCTCGGTTGCGTATAGTACCAACAAGACTAGAGAGGGCTGGTGATACCGGCCTATTGGCTGCAGCGAGTTCCTCCTCGGTTGGGATATGGGACCAACCCAGGGGGGGGTGGGCTGTCGGAGTCCGGGGCGGATGGAAGGCGTTACTAGGCGTTGTAGAAGTCATCGACCTCGCCCCATGAGTGCTGAATGTCCCTGTCCTCCGTCGCCTTATGCCGTCCCATTCGAATTGAGGCACTGCGTTCTCGCCTACCGGCTCAAGGCTCTCCTGGAGCTTCTCCTCATGCAGCCGCTTGAGTTCTTCAATCTCCATCTTCTGCCTCGCGGCAGACAGTCTCCTAACAATAGCCGCGGTGCCTCGGATGGCATCTGCCTTTGGTTCCGTCTCGGGCTGTGGTTGCTCCGCAATGGTTTGGATCTGGTCTAAATCGCCAGAGAAAACAGCAGCGTCGGGTACGTCCTTGGCTGACTTTGACAGTTGTAGCAGGACGACGCCGGAGCAAATCGTCAGAAAGCCCATGACGACAGTGATGATGGAGGTCGGTGTCCCCTTGAAACCCCGGAACAAGATTGCGGAACTGATAATCGTGGTGCTGGTAAAGTATACATAATATGTCGGGGTTACCAGTGCGGCGTTGAAAATGTTGAGAGCTTTCTGCAACTGACTGTTAGCAGGTGGCTGAGTTGATGCGCTATTCAGGCCTGACTCACGTTTAGGAAGATGATTTCCGTCACAAGTGTTCCAATGACAAAGGCCAGGAGGACGTATAGGAACCACTGGTTGAACTGGGGCGTTCCCCCGGCTTGTGCAATTATAGCAGCACCCAGACCCTGAGTGGCGACGACACTAAGGCCGCCCACCCAGCTGCAAATGGAGATGTAGACCATCATGTTCTTGTTGCCATACTTGGGTCCCAGCCAAAAAGCCACGATGATGGACCCTACTATGACGACCCCGGCATAGGTTAGAAAGCCAGGGTGGATCACATACTCCTGCATCTGCTGGATGTTGGCGACCGATGACGACTGGGGCGCGTTCATGACGATGACGACGGTACCGACGATGCACAGGAAGCATGCGACTTTTCCAACCATGCTCAACCGTTCCTTCAAGAATATGGCCGACAAAATGGTTGTGATGACGACCGATAATGCCCCTAAAGGGGTAACCAGAATAGCATCCGTGAAGGCGTAGGCGGCGAAATTGAGCCCTTCGCCTAGGATCATCAGAGTCATTCCAGCCCACCAATAAAAGTTTTTCAGGTAGCCGTATCCTTCGCCCGCTACTTCGTTGTACTTCTCGTTTGCCCTGAGCAGACCGACTTTCTTCAACACGAACGAGGTTCCGATGAATGCGCCGGAGCCGATAGCCAGTCCTATACCGATTGCTTTGAAGGCGGGCGGCCGATCAGCGGCGCCCGGCGCAGCGCCGCCCACGCGGGCATATAGCTGGTGCCCATGGTCGAGGAGTTGAGCGGCGTTGTCCATGGCAGAGCCAGGGAGTAGGCGGACGACCTAGGTCGTCGCCAATTCCAACTTGTCTTTTGCAATGAGGCCGTTTGGAAACAGTGACACCACCTGGTTATATCGCTTGCGCGGTGTAGAGCTCACGCGAATGTCGTTTGACGCTGCGGATGGAACCGGGGGGCGGCATGAACTGCGTTTATGATGCTGAATGCGCCGGAGACGTTCGACCGGCAGAAAGTGATCGAGATCGAAACTTGGCGCACTATAACAGGTCTAAAGATGCAAATGTCCTACAGGAGCCGAAGAAGGCGAAGGAGGACAAGTTGGATAGCCGGAGCGCGGGCTGGACACAGGAAGCTCAAGACCAGGATCCTCTGGCGTGTTGACTTGTATCCCGATTCGTATTGTTTCGCCGGAGAACTCGTTTAAGCGGTTCTCGCTACGTACTGCCAAGGGTGCAATTGGAGCGAACAACGGTATTACAACGTAGATCGGGAAGAAAAATGATCTGAGGTGTCTGCAAGGAGATCAGTCTGTGGGAACACGTTGAGACGAGAATTGTGCGAGAGCATCCCAGCCGTGGCCAGCGTACGGAGTAGCGAGGGTCTAGAAACTCACTCAGTCCCTGACTCCCTGTCAGTGGTTGCTGCGCAATGGCGATTGTGCAAGGGTCTGGACGGTTCCCCACCAAAACAAAGGATCTGGGGAATGGATGGTGAGAGAGGACCAATTTGCTTCACAGAATGGTAAAATGAGAAAATCGGTAAGAAGCTGCTACAACAGCAAGGAGAAACAAGTGTATAAAGAGAACATGCAGGGTCGTTAAAGGAGTTATCCAGACCTGGACAACCTGCAATGTGATGTGGTGCAGAAGACTGGAACAACCCCCGCCCTGCTCCAACCCACGACGTCCTTGATTGGCGTCACAAGCCTTTTGTCTGAGTACCCAAGTACCTGAGCGGCCAGTGGGTCACACCCTGGCTTCTGGCGCCGCGCTGAAACGCCACGGGGGCGTCATCACTTGCGAACTAACAGTATTGGCGGCTACCGCAGCGGGAAAGTGTTAAGATGGATGTTGAGAGATCCCAGGTTCTTGGTCTTGATACGGTACAGTACATACACTATTACATACACTACATTGCTACGCTAAGGGGCACACTACGTCAGAAGTCGGTGCAAGATGGCACCCAGATCAATCGATCTCTGGAGTCCTGACCAGACCCCGCGATTGCTGACTCTGTCCTGATGTCTCACACACGACACTTTGGACCTGCAGGGGCTGGAGGTTGAGCTTCGAGAGCTGTAGTTAGGGAACTTCAGCACCTTCATCAGCAACCATCACGTACTTTTACCAGGGTATGTACATACGGTGTAACCTTTCGGCTGCGCGTTTGCAAGTATTTGCGCAGGAGAGTTTACACGACAATTGCCAATGCCAGCAAGCAGACAGCGACCACATTCACTACGACCTAAAAAGTTGAGAGCCACCACTGCAATACTTTTTGGGTATAGGTACCAGGCCGGGCAGGCCTATGATGTCGACTTCACACGTGAAAAGGGCAGATCAGGGCGTTTTGATAGGCTAACGGTTGATTTTCCTGAAACGGCGGGTGGCTGGACAGGGGAGCGAGCGGGAAAACCGGGGATCACGAGTGACAGGAACAGGAACGTCGTTCATTTTCTTCTGACAGGTAGGTAACCGACAGTGCAAGTTGGGTGAAGGGTCATTGACGAAGCTCCGAATGGCTTCGAAATATATTACCGGTATAAGTTTAGAAGGCGAGAGGCTACTAGCTGTGGCAAGCTGGAGTTCGAGTAGCTACCTACACAGTATGTACTGTACATGTACTGTAGCTTCGCGTCACCCGCTCGCAAATCTCTCTGCTATTGATAAAGCCCGGTATCGTTTTCCACTATCCTTGATCTTTCATGGAACCAGTATGAGAGAGCTGAAGATGTCAAGATTTTCAGAACCACTTGCTTCCCTCTCGGTAGTGATTGAGACGTTGTCAGTGACAGCTGCCGCTGGGCCTGAGTGACAGCCCTATTCGAAACACCCGGTTGAACTGCTTGTTCCCGGTTAAAGTGACTGACAGCCCCAATGTCACAATACCCGTCACAGGGCTCCAGTGCCAATTGCTCGATTCCTATTACGGCGGTTCCTGCGTCAGCTGTTGTGTCGACCCCCTTGACGTGGGTTTCAGGGGAAGCTTAGATGCAGCAGTAACAGATCGCTCAGTACATACCGCCTCCAGCTGTTAGTGCTCTAATATAACACCGGCAGAGCACTGATTACAAGTTACCGCTGCTGCATAGAACCTTAGCCGGAACCGAATCATTTTCGATTATCGTCCGATGCATGGCTGTTCACCTACTCATCCCATGCATCCTCCCAGGCAAGTTGTGTGCGGCTCTGGAGAAGCCCGAATCAACTGAGTCAACGGACGGCCGATGTGGTGGAGGAGAACACAATTGGAATCTTCGCCATCTTGAAAACCTTATACTGGGATTCTGTACCTTCGCCAATGTCCTTTTCAACAGAGGAGCCATTGTACGATACGTATTTGCAAATCAAGCTGCCCCTGCCGTTGCCTTCCCCTGAACGGTCACAGCGCAGTTTACTTTGCAGAGGATTGGAGTCAAGACAACCGCCGTCGAGTACATGACGCACAATGACCATCCCAATCTTCGTGATATCGCGGGCATTTGTTAAGACGAGGACGAGGGTGCAGAGTTGGAGCCAAGGACTTGACCTGTGATGCTGACGGACTGGGCTGTATTCAAGGGTGACCGCGTATCATGACAATGGAGGGAAAGCGGATTCGGTACCACCTATTTGATAGCTAACTTAGGTTTTCACGATGCTATCTAATCACATCACCCATATAGGCAGACGAGACTAAACACCCGGCAACGGTTCAAGAACCGTCAAGCTATATATAACCCAGACCTCATCCTCGGCGTGCTGGCAGGTTGTTCCACCTTACCAAGGCAGCTGCATTCCGTTGTACGTCAGGAACTGACCCGACTTCTCAGTGGTCAAGTTATCGATCTGTACAGCCGTTAGCTATTCCATACCTACTCATGGTGAAAAGGCAATGGAGAAGAAGTTTACCTGCTCGAGCACCCCTTTGGCACTCTCGTCTTCAGTGATCGCTGCCTCCTTGAGGCCAAGAGCATCGGCCAGCGCCTGGCCCATAGCCGTCTTGACCCATCTATGTAGCGGAGGCAACATCCAAGTCAGCGCACCACCCCTTCCCAAAAGCCTATTAAACTATAAAGAAGATGAGGAACGGGGGCCTTTGTACTTACCCAGGATGCAAAACCCCAACCAACAAACCCTTATCCTTAAACTCCAAACTAATCCTCTTAGCCCACCAGTTGGCCGCGGCCTTGCTCATGCCGTAGCCCACTCCAGGAAGCAGCATCTTCTCCAAGTCCATGATGCCAATACTGCCAATCGAGCTGGTTATCAAGACAAACTTCTTTTCCTTCTTCGCACCCTCTTCTTGCAGCTGCATCAACCCAGCCACGGCACGAAACAGCCTCACGGGACCCAGGGTATTGACCTCGAAATCGCGCAGCATCTCGTCGGGCTCCGTGTGCAGGACATCCTTGAAGCCCGTCGAGCTGCCCGCGTTGGCAACGACCACGTCGACCCCGCGGCCGGCAATGTCCGGGTGTGCGGCCTCCAAGCGGCTCGGGAGGGAGGCGTGATTGGCCGCGGGGTCGACCTCGTCGAGGTGGAAGGGAATGAGCTTGCTCGTGGGATGCACGGTGGCGTCGGCCGCAAGGGGTGGAAAGGTGGGAGAGCGCGAAGTGGCGATGACGATGGTGTGCGGACGCGCGAGGAGCAGGGTGACTAGTTTGAAGCCGATGCCTAGGGGGGAAATAAAAAGTCGGTTATTGAACTCTTGCGCTCAGGGCTGGTGATTAAGCAAGAAGGGAATCTTGAAGAGAGGGTGATGGCAACGGGGTGAAAAAGGGGGAAAGGGAATTGATCGCGGAGAGCGCGCTTTTTCAAGTACAAGACGCGAGGGAGCATGGATGAGAAGGCTGCGGCTTACCCCTATTCGCGCCCGTGATGAGGTAAACGGTGTTGTCAGACATTTTGGCGGAGAATGTCAGATGGGGAGGGGGCAGTGAAGAAAATGGGACTAAGGGGTTAGCTCGAAGGAGATGAGAATGCGAAAAGTCCTTGAAAAACGAACGCAAAGACGGTGCTGGAGGGAGAAAAGGGAGAAAAAAGAGAGAAGGGGGAAGACAAAACCCCTGGAGCCCTTAAATACTTGCTCGGGATGGATCAAGGGCCCGACTGGCAGTGCGCATGACAATGAGCACCAGCCCAAGAGACCTCTCCGAAGACGTGTTGGCAGCCACCGCGGAAGCGGAAGGGAGGGGAAAAGGGGGCGGGCGGCATCCTTCTGTGGGCGAGTCCTGTTGTCATTCGTTGACCCCTGATCAGTAAACATGGTCGGGTACTGCATTAATAACCAGCCTGCGCTGACTCAGGGACGACGCGTGCGATAATAGCAAGCTATTGCCTCTTCCTGTTCATAATCCGTAAAGGGCTGCTCCTATTCCATGTTGGTATCTGTCCATGGTGCCAAACGCCTATGGAATTTCCCCGAATAACGCCCCCACCATTCCGCTGCCTGAGCCATGCCGCGAAACGCCTCGCTGTAACCGAATCCAAAATCAAGCCTTGACCACCCAGCCAGCATTAACCATAAAGTCAAAAATCCGCCCTCCTTTTTGCGAGTCCAGACGGCAAATCTCCTTGGCCTGCTTCTTCTTAAGACTGCCGTTGCCCTTCACAGCCTCTTTGAGGATCTGCTCCTTGATCATCAAGTAAGGCTTCGGCTGCAGGCGAAGCGCTTCACAAAGTTTGATCTCCTCAGGCGTGAGAAGATGGAGATCTGGTGCATTATCCTGGGTGAGGTAAAGAGGTTGCACGCCGGGAATCGGCGGCGGAATGTACTTCTGCCTTGCAGGCGTCGTGCCATTCGCGACTACGACGCTGCCGCCGTTAATGTGATTTCCGTTGGTTTCCGACTTGACGCCGTTCGGCCCTTGGCCGTTTAGAAATCCATTCGATGCCACTGACCGAATCGGTAGCTCAGGCGCAACCAACAGCGAAGCACCGCTTGGCGGCTCGGGTGGCGGTGGCTGCTTGTTGCGCTGCGTTGTCGCTAACCTTTCGCGATCCATGGAGCCGAGCGGTATTGACTTCTGTATCCGTAGTGCTTTCTCCTGCTCGTACTTCTCCCCGCTTCGCAGGTCTCCGATGCGGAGGCTGCGCCATTCTTGCAGCTGCGCAATTGCCTGTCGGAGATTGAGTTCGTCGATGAGACCCTGGCAGAACTGTTCGAAGTCGTCCCGATTCATCATCCGTGCAAAAGGCTTCGCCTTGTTGAGAAGGTCGCGTTCCTCCTTTGACCGTTTCTTCTCCGCTTTACTGTTCTCCCTATAATCCAACAGGTTGTGCTCAAAGATGACCTTTTTCCGCTCGACTCGCTGCGTCAATCTGCAATTGTAGATTTCCATCACCGTAAGCTTGAGTTCCATCTCAGGTTCCAGCTCGCCAGTCCTCGGGTTGATGCCGTCTCCCGGATCAAACTGCATCAGCTGGACCGCCTCTTCCGCCTCGTTGGCGTACTCTGTCTCGAACTCCAATCGACCGGGCATGTAACCTTGGATTTCGTGACAAGCTGGCACGCTGGCGGTAGGTTTCGTCTTTGGCTGTAGGGCGGGTGCGTTTTTGGCCGCTTCTCTCCGCTCCTCAATCCTGCGCTTCTTGCGGGCCTGAAACTCCTCTCTTGATGTTTCATTTGCCAGTTCCATATCGTGAGGGCTACATCTTTTAGGGAGTGGGAAGTTGGGCGATTCAATATAAACCTTGTAATAATGATCCCGGACTTCATCCTTGTGCCGATAACCGCCGATATGGTCCGCAATATCCGCCCAGGACCCGAGGCCGTAAATCTCGGCGCCTTCCAGGAGAAGGAGTTCTTCGTCGGCGCCCCATTCTGGGTCGAATATTGGGAACGAGTTTTGCTCAATGACTCGGTAAGGATGGGAGGCTGGTTGATGCGCATTGCTCGAAGAGCCATTGGCGAAGCATTGCACGCAGAGATCGTACTCGTTGCAGGCGCTGTGGGCGCATCGTATCCGGACCTGTTGGAGACGCGTTAGCTTGTGTTTGCGACATCGGGAACTTGGTACTCCACAATGTCCCAGCATGACCATGCGGCTCCGGAATGGGCCGAGGGCCCTCCTTGTACAAGCGCGGCAAAGCAGAGAGTGAGGTTTAGACAAGACAAACTTACAGTTGAGGTAATGTCTGCTGAACAAACATCGCAGACATATTTGACACCGCCCTCGCCGCCTCTTGCGGCAATCTTCTTGCGAATGACACCCATGTCAGGGAATTCACGTGGGTACGAGACAGCAGTGGCAACAAGGCTGCTCAGGGGTGAAGAGGTACAGAATTCTCAACAACGGTGTCGAAAAGCCCCATGAAGGGCGCTCTGCGACTGCTCACAGGGCCTGAGGGTCGGTGCGACGCGTATTCTGATGTTTTTTGATGATAAATGCTGGAAATTTGATGGAATCTTGATGATCTGATGGCGCGTGGATGGTTGCGGTTGAGGGTCGATCCTGGCCTGACACCACAGGTCCCACGCCTTGGATGGTGGCTTCACTGACTTGAGCCATGCGGGGGCGGCTGGGTTTCCGGAGTTCTGCCGGGACTCGGGAAATACAATGACAACCCTAACCCTTGTCGACATGGAGAGAAAGCCCTGGTCTCGACTCCCGTTGTCGTTGGAAGACTTGAGCTGGAAAGGAAACTGGTTGGAACTGGCGTGACCGGCAAAGGGAGATGGCGGATGCATTGTATACAGCCATGATGTGTATTCTGTTTTCCCGTCAGAGATACCTGGTGCTTGTATGATCTCTTCTTCAAGCCGTGGACCTTTCTGGAGAAAGATCAGTCATTGGTGGGTCCTCCTTTACTTTATGAAGAGGGGTAATTGAATGCTCTTCACATGCTGTGATGGGCATGACCCGGAAGCTGGCAAGCTCAGTTGACACGAGTATCTAAGATTTCAAGGTCACTCATCTACTGTTTCCACCGAGCGCGGTTTAATGAACTGTCCTACGATGTAGGAGGTACCTTACTTTAAGTGTGGCCGGGGCAGGGCCGAGGTGCTGCTAAAGTTGCTACTCTATAACCCCGCCATTATTCCCTGGAAGTTGTCAACAAACTTGGAAAACTCACAAGGCCGCGGTTAAGTCAATCGGATTGTACAAATCAGGTCGATGGTCTAGATATTACTTTGCAAGATCTTCTCTTGCTGTCTTTCGTTGAAAGCTTGCACATTCGACAATTGCTCCGATCGAGATGCCCGATCAAGTTCTCGACGACATTTCACATCGTCGCTACAACCCGTTGACCGGGTCTTGGCTCCTTGTCTCACCCCACCGTACCAAGCGGCCCTGGCAGTGAGTTTGCGAAGTTCTCTCTCGCGCTCATATCGAAGCTAACCTTTTATTAGAGGTCAGCAAGAGGCTCCCTCCAAGAATGAGCTTCCGGAGTACGACCCAAAGGTTCGTGAATTCCCGTCGTCCCAGACTAAGACTACACAAGGCATGTCAATAACTAACACACTGCAGTGCTATCTTTGCCCGGGCAACAAGCGAGCCCAAGGAGACAGCAACCCGGAATATCAGAACACCTTTGCCTTTGTCAACGACTACAGCGCTGTCAAAGAAGAGCAGCAGGAATACCGTCCAGATGCCAGCAAAGAAGACATCGCTGCCTTTCTTCTACAAGCGCAGCCCGTCACGGGACGTTGCTATGTACTCACGTTTTCGGCGAAGCACCATGTCACACTCGCCGACATGACCGCACAAGAGATATTGCCCGTGATTCAGACCTGGACTCGGATCTACGCCAGCCATATGTCTTCTTCACACCCGCTCAAAGCGCAAGCCGAAGAGGCACTGTCGCGTATCCCACCCAACCCGGATGGCGAGGTAAGCCGGCCCGAGCATCAGCTGCGGTTCATGCAAATCTTTGAGAACAAGGGGGCTGCGATGGGTTGCTCGAACCCGCATCCCCATTGCCAGATCTGGACGACCAGCACGATGCCCGAGGAGCCAGGCAAAGAGCTGGCGCACATGACCAAGTATAGGGAGGAGCGTGGTCGGCATCTGCTCGAGGACTATGCCAAGCTCGAGATGGAAAAGGCAGAGCGCGTGGTGTGGCAGAACGATAGCTTCCTCGTCGTCTGTCCCTGGTGGGCGGTGTGGCCGTTTGAGGTACTTGTCATTGCGAAACGCCATGTTCGCGCGCTTGTCGACCTCTCGGACGAGGAGCGGCTTCAGTTTGCCGAGGCGGTCCAAGAGGTCACACGACGGTACGACAATTTGTTCGAGACGAGCTTCCCATACAGTGAGTAAACCGACTTTGTCGCCGCAAGGCATCCCATACTGATGATGGCTCCAGGTTCCGGCATTCACCAAGCTCCACTGGACTGTACCGAGGAAGAGGCTGAGACGAGCTGGTTCCACATGCATTTTTACCCGCCTCTGCTCCGGTCCGCGACCGTCCGAAAGTTCTTGGTCGGATTCGAGCTGCTGGCCGAGCCTCAGCGGGATATCACTCCGGAGCAGGCGGCTGCCCGGCTCAGGAATTGTGGTGGGCAACTGTATCGCAAGTTGTTGAACTGAGATAACAAACAGATGTGTAGCGTTTTGCCACGGGGCATAGGTATACACTAGACAATACTCAGATCCCAGGCTTAGCACCTTTACCAGCATCATAAACATCATTTCCCTCCTCGCCCGTCTCCACTGCGAAGATTCACTGCACGTAGTGCTTATACTGCAAAAGCATCCAGATGGTGCCGCCGTAGGCCGCCGCAAAAGGGAATGCCTGTGGCCCGCTGAACCTGACCGTCTTAAAAACCAGCATCTCGCTAGTGAAGTGGATCGCGGCAATGACGTGAGTCCAAATGGCGAGTTGATACATGGCAGGGTTCTCGAGTTGGTAGCAGGCGTAAAAGCGGATGAGGCCAGCCACGAACGTGTAAGTGCCGAAGAGGCGGGCAGCGAGGGGCGACACTTGGTCCTTGGCCTTCTCCGAGTCCTTCCCAGTCGGCGAGGCGGGCTTGACCACAGCTGTGCTGTCCTCCGGGTTGTAGTGCTCGCTGGCGGGAGGGAGAGAGTGGTTTGGAACAAAACGCCCGTTGTAGATTCGACGAGTGTAATGCAATGTTGCGTAGTTTTGAAGCGCATTCCCCATGGACACGATGGAGATCTGAACCAGGAAGGATACGTCAATTGGGGCCAGGCGTGCGGTTCCGGTTCCGGTTCAACATACCACAAACAAGTAATAGGGCAAGTAGCCCTTCTCAGCCGAAGGCAGGAAAGACTGGAGTTTATCCATTCTCGTACTCGGTAAGGTACTTAGCCTGATCGTGGCCTTAGATGACAGTGAGTCTCAGTTTGGGCAAAGCAAAGGGAGTCAGAGGGAGCTGATTCCTCTTGGACTCTTACTACGTTTTCTGTTGTTGGTTTGTCTCGCGATCTTTCAGCCCCATCAATTTATCTCACCAATTGACAGGGGTCTGAGCATTCAGCTCGAGAAGGTGGTCAGAGCTTCGACAGGCAAGGGCTGGCCGCCTTGGCCCGCCCAAGTCCAGTGCTCCACAGTGCGAGCCCCGCTGTAAAGTCAACCAAAATCTCTGGGCAAGCTCGAATATGTCCCAACAGTTTCGGAGAAGCTCGTCAGTCGGCCACCAGCAAGATAACACCAGAGACTTTGACTCTACCAAACACATCCAGGTTCACTATTTCCATTTCGACTCAAGTCATGACGCTCAATTCAACCTTGACAGCCCAAGCTGTCTTGGACAAAGCCCTCACTTATTGGAGCTTGGTTCCCCAGCCGGCACAATGGGCGTTCACTGGTATCGGAGCCATCTACGTTGCAGGACACGTGCTCTCATTTTTCCAACTCCTCCTGAATTGCTTCGTCCTTAGCGGCACCAATGTAGGTCGGTCTTTTGACGTAATTTTCACCCTGATACTGACTACAGTTCCGTTATCAGCTTCGCAAGTATGGCAAGAAAGGTACCTGGGCAGTTGTTACAGGGGCGTCGGACGGACTCGGCAAGGAATTCGCTTCCCAGCTAGCCGCCAAAGGTTTCAACTTGGTTCTCGTCTCTCGCACGCAGTCAAAGCTGGATGTTCTCTCTCGCGAATTGCAGCTCAGGTGGTCTGGTCTGCAGACGAAGACGCTCGCCATGGACTACACCCAGGACAGTGATGCCGACTACGAGCGTCTGGCAGCGTTGGTCGTGGGCCTGGATGTGGGCATCTTGATCAACAACGTCGGGCAATCGCACAGCATCCCAGTGCCATTCCTGGAGACAGAGCGTAATGAGCTCCAGAACATCATCACCGTCAATTGCCTGGGCACTCTCAAGACTACGCAGATCGTTGCGCCCATTCTGCAGAAGCGCAGGAAGGGACTCATCCTTACGATAGGCTCCTTTGCCGGTGTCATGCCCACTCCGTATCTGGCCACTTACAGTGGTAGCAAAGCTTTCCTGCAGCACTGGAGCAACTCGCTGGCTTCCGAGCTTCAGCCATACAACGTTGACGTACAGTTCGTGGTCGCCTACTTGATCACTTCGGCCATGAGCAAGGTGCGACGCACCAGTCTGCTCATCCCCAATCCGAAGCAGTTTGTCCGTGCCACGCTAGGCAAGATTGGCCTCGACAGCACCGAGCGTTTCCCCAATACCTGCACGCCGTACTGGAGCCATGCCGCGTTCAAGTGGGTGATTGAGAAGACCGTTGGCTCCACGAGCGCCTTCACTATCTGGTTTAACAGAAGGATGCATATCGACATCCGGAACCGGGCGCTACGGAAAGCGGCGCGAGAGGCGAAGAAGCAGTGAAAGGCTACCTGGCTACTCTGTATGTTAGGGTGTTGTCTTCCTTAAGCATGTATTAGCGAGGCCTAGGCGGCCCAAGGAGACTTGCCGGGTGGAAGACAACTTATATGTATGAAGTGGCAGCGGTCAGGTACCTTCGTTTCAGTCTTAGGTGCTATGCTCGGGGCAGGCAGCAAGCCCTAATTGCTCAATAGACGTCTGCATGTGCGCAATTAATAGTCCTAGCATTGAATAAAAAGGTAACTGAGCGATTGGGTTTCCTTCATCGTTTAGAACGCTCATGATGTAGGAGTGAGAATGTGAACCAAGGCGCAAGGTGTACGGTAGGTAAGTTTGAACTTTGAAGGTTGTGAACGGTGACGCTAGCAATAATCCCAATGCAGATTAGCGCCAATTCTTCCTAGCGCGTTCACGTGTCAATTGCTTGGCGGTTCTGTCGCTTCTCCCCATTGATGATCCTTGTTTCCAAAAATTGTTTACGACCAGCCTCTCTTTATTAGTTTCCTTATTCTGCATACGAAGGTAGCGACTCCCGCATTGCCGACAGCAGGTTGACTTGGTCTCACTGCAGTTCTGGCCTGTAGCTCCACGACGGTCCGGCACAATTGCTTTGATGGTGCAATTGCCTTAGCGATCGAGCTGCGACGAGTCAGCTCTGGACGAAAACACCTGTGGAGGAGACAAGCGTCTACGGGACCAGGGCACGAGAGCTACCGAAGCTATTCCCTTGGTCGCCATGGAACCCGTAACACCAATGCGCCCGATGATGCCCGGCGCCTACATGAACACCCCAGGAGGACCGGGCACGGCAAATCCAACGCGGCGACGACTCGATTTCTCCCAAGCCGTCGGTGGCGGCCCCAAGAGCGCAACAGCGACCACACCAGCAGCCGGAACGACAACATCGGGCAACGGCCCTCCCGAAATCGCGAGCGGAATGCTGCCAGCGACCCAAGTGCGCGATGATGTGCCTCTTATTGTCAAGGCTGCCCGGGTCATCAACCAGACTCTGCAGACCGATGAGAGCTACCCCGATCTTGATTCTTACTGCAGGCGTAAGTGCCCCACGTCCCGCTTTCTTTGGACTGAATGTCTCGCATGAGGACTAATCATGGAACCTTGGGCAGCCGGTGCTTCGTCTGACTACGATCTCCACAATGAAAACGAGCCATGGGCGCCCTTCAACAAGCCCTCGATGTATAACATCCCCGACAGCATCTTCAACCATCTAAACAGCGCCGCGGTGGTGACAAAACTGGGACTATTTGCCGGCATCAACTACGCCTGGGCGTCGATTGACAGCTCCCTATTTCTTTGGGACTATACACACCCAAACCCGGAACTCATTGGCTACGAGGATGCCGCGCACACCATTACGGCTGTGGCTCTTGTGCCTCCCAAACCCGGGGTTTTCATCAAGGACATCACGCACATCCTGGTCGTGGCCACCACCACCGAAATACACCTGCTCGGCGTTGCGGCGGCTCCGACGCCTTCCGGATCAAGATCGGTTACTCTTTACGAGACAAATATGTCAGTCCATCGAGGAGGCAGCGACGTTAGCTACATCGTAGGCACCAAGGATGGTCGCATTTTCCTCGGCGGCGACACAGACACTGATATTCACGAGCTGTTCTACCAGCAAGAGGAGAGGTGGTTTTCGAGCAGATGCGGCAAGATTAACCATTCACACCCCGGTTGGTCGTCAGTGGTCCCCAGTCTACCGCTCCCTGGTCTGTCCTTTGGCCAGCGAAATCAGGAAGGGTTGATTGGGCTCGTGGTTGACGATAGCCGGAATCTCCTATACTCGCTCTCTAATCTGTCAACTATTCGGACTTACCACATGGAAAGCCCCGAAAAACTTACCCCGGTGATTGAAAAGGACAAGGTGAGCTGTCTGCGCGACTTTGCCCACATTTTGAACAGCTCTCCGCTCTTTACGAACAAGACCAACATCGTGTCGCTTTCTCCCATCCCCGCGGCCGAGGCCTCGAAACTTCATCTTATGGCCCTTACCGATACCGGTTGTCGTCTCTTCTTCAGCGCTACTAGCTCTGCGTCGTACACAATCGGGGGGTCAACAAGTCTGGCCCCGCAAAGCATGCAGCTTCAATTCGTCAAGTTCCCGCCCAGCAGTCAGTTGGCTGACGCATCCGGAGCTGCAGCCGCCCAGGCTGCTGAGGCGGGGTTAGACGGAAGTTCACGAACACTCAAGCCCACCGCGTCCGGTATCCGGTTCGAGCCAGGTTATTTCTTTGACGTCGTCAGGCGGCAGGGCGGTAATGACGAGCTCTTCGTCTCCGGCCCCGACACGGGGCGGATCAAGGGCACCACACCTGCATCAGCGCTGAGGTATTTTGAACAGGGAACGTGGATCGACTTGGGACATGGGAGCCGAGTCCTCGAGGTCGGCCTGACGACTGAGCCTTTCTCTGCTGCAAAGCAGCCCCTGGGCTTTGGCAACGAGCTTGCTGTCCAGTTTGATCACGCCCCAGCAGAATTCGCGGTGCTCACTAACACTGGCGTCCATGTAGTACGGAGGAGAAGGTTGGTTGACATTTTTGCCAGCGCTATTGGGAACTGCCACAACGCCGGCGATGAGTTTGAGAAGGAGGTTAGGAGGTTTCTCAACCAGTATGGCCGGGTGGAAACCGTCTCAGCTGCTTTGGCGGTCGCATGCGGACAGGGAAGCGATGTGCGGCTCGGCACCAGCAGAGCCCCGGATCACCGGATCGAGAATCTCGCCCGCGCCGCTTTCGTCGAATACGGAGGCCAACCAAGGCTCGCTGAATCGGACGGGAGGCAGCCAGAAACGGAATTCGTGAAGTTGTCCTCGCGACACGACGCCTTGGCTCTGTATCTCGCCCGCCTCGTCCGGGTGTTGTGGAAATCCAAGGTTATCACCACCAAGACTGATGCAACGAAAGGAACCCCCGTCGTATCTTCAACTATCAAAATCCCGGATCTGGTTCTCGTTCAAGAAAACGTCGAGCGGCTGCGGCATTTTCTCGAGGCAAATAAGAGCTCAATTCAGGGTCTAGCTGGGCCGTCCGACAGGATTTCCAGCAGACAAGATGAGATCGCTCTGCAGAAAGAGCATCAAGCGCTGCATGGGTTGCGGAAACTGATGGAGAGTATATCGGAAGGCATTTCGTTCGTGCTCATGCTGTTCGACGAGCGGGTCGTGGACATCTATACCCGTCTCGACGCTGGGTCGCAGCAGCAACTTCAAGACTTGACCTACGAGGCGCTGTTTTCTCAGGCGCCCGGGAAAGAGCTCGCCAAGGTGCTAGTCAAAGCGATTGTTAACCGCAATATTGCAAGCGGCGCCAACGTCGAGACCGTTGCCGATGCGCTGAGAAGAAGATGCGGAAGTTTCTGTTCACCCGACGATGTCGTCACCTTCAAGGCTCAAGAGCAGCTGCAGCGTGCTTCCGAGCAAGCTCACAATCCCAATGTCCTCCGCACAGTACTCGGCGAAAGTTTGCGTTTGTTTGAGCAGGTCGCAGGCAGTCTCACTCCGGCTAATCTCCGGAGCGCTGTTGAGCAGTACACGCAGCTCAAGTATTATGCTGGAGCCATCCAATTGTGCCTCACAGTGGCGCGTGAAAAGGACCGGGGGAATAAGGCGTTATCATGGGTTAATGATGGAAAACCGCCCAACGATGTCCGGAAGAGAGCGTTCGACGACCGCAAGGCTTGCTACAATCTAATCCACGAGGTCCTGGACAACCTCGAGGTGGCGTTCACTGGCGAACCAGAAATGTTTGACGGCCGTCCGACCCTCGCGGCAACGAAAAGGATGGAAGCGTACGCGGTTGTGAATGACTCCGCAGACGAGGTCTTCCACTTTGATCTTTACGAATGGTACATTAGCAAGAACTGGATCGACCGGCTCCTGTCTATCGATTCTCCCCACGTCGTCACATACCTCCGGCGGCTGGCGGAAACCGACTACCAGCATGCCGAGCTTCTCTGCCGGTTTTACACACAGCGCAGTCGCTTTTTTGAGGCTGCCCAGGTACAGGCGGCTTTGGCGAAATCCGATCTAAAAATTGGCATCAAGGACCGAATCACTCTCCTCAGTCTGGCAAAGGCCAACGCAAGCGTTAATACCGTCGGCGTCAGCCGCCAGCAACAGCAATTACTCAACCATGAGGTTGCAGAGCTCCTCGAGATTGCCCATATCCAGGACGATCTGCTCGAGCGGTTAAGGGCAGATCCTCGGCTCCCTCAAGAGAAGCAGGGCGACATCAGCGAAGCCCTGGATGGCCCCGTCCGAAGCGTCAACGATGTGAGTATTCCTGTAAGCTCGTGCCCAAACCTTCTGCATTGTACTGACCCACCCCACCAATCAGCTCTACAACGACTACGCCGACCAAGCGGGCTACTTCGACCTGTGCCTCCTTATCTACCACGCCGCCGACTATCACAACCCCCGCGTCATCACCGAAACCTGGGAGAACCTCATCAACCAAATCCACTACGAGACGGAACAGCGTCAGGAACACTGGCAGGCTGTGCAGTCAGGCCAGCCCCTGCCAGAGGGTGTCACGGCCCCCGCACACGAGCCGTCCTTGCCGTACGAATCCGTCTCGCAGCAGATCGGCATCATTGCGCACCGCACGTCTCTCGACAGCCTCGTCTTCCCCGTTGACGCGCTCCTCCCCCTCGTCTGCGCGTACGCCGTCAGCAACGGCCAGGACGCATCCATCGGCGCCGACCCCTCGTGGCCGGTGCTGCTGTTCCTGAACCTGGGCGTGCCGCACGCCCTGGTCGCGCAGGTGCTGGAAAACATGTTTGACGCCCAGGAGGCGCCGTTCACGGGCCGCCGGAGAAGGGCCGTGGTGCAGTGGATCGTTACGGTAGTGGACGCATGGGTCAGGGACGTGGAGCGGCGCGGCGCCGTGGGCAAGGGCGGCACCGACGCCGCCATGGGCGCTTGGGTTGCTGAGTTGCTGGCCAGGGCGGACGAGTCTCTGGTGGTGGCGCAGAACGGGGCCGGGGCCGAGGTGGTGGACTTGAAGAGGGCGGTTCAGGCGCTCAAGAAGAGCGTAGATGCGATCGTGGGAGCGGATCCGGGGATGGGGAGTTTCATCTTTCGGTGAGGGGCTAGGACACTAGGTGGTGTGCTGCCGGTAAGACTGGTAGCGAGTGGGAAGATGTGGTGATGGAGGTGGTTACGAGTCAAGAAGTCAAGAACTTTGAAGGCTTGTTTAAGAGGTGTCGCCTGGCTCCGACCGGGAGCGGATGTGATCGAGATACAGGGGCATGCTCTATACCTACCTACCGCAAGGCTGGGTAAGCCTGGTGAGGTATAATTTTGCTGTATGTACATGGTTATGGATGGAGGTCAGGATTTGCCAGCCTGGAAAATGGCGCTTCGCGCGACAATGATATAGAGTCAAGTTCATGACGAGCCTTATGCTGGGTCGTGGCCTCGGGCGCCAGGCAATGGCCGATGCAGTACTTGCCTTGGGCGGTACGTCGATTGGCACTTATCATCCACTGATTTCTCGTTTACGCATCCTTCAGCGATTCCTTGCGAGAACTGCCTGATCTCAAGATCGATTTATGCAAAGCCGCAATATGAATTCTCGATTGCATGCGGGTACAATACTGGATTATGTGTGCCTCAATCACTGCGAGATACCAGGTGTCACGGTACACGGCGCCGACACTGCAGAACAATATGTATCGGCTATGACCGCCCGCCGGGCTTCCAGGTTTTTCGAGCAGTATAAATAGAAGCAGGAATGCCACTTTCGCTCCTTCTGGTTCCAGAAGCCGGCATGCAATGCTTTAACTTTCAAGTTCTGTGCCTGGGCCAGTTAATATGTGCCTCGGCCTCGTCTGCGGGTGAAATATGGATAAATTAACGGCACTATCGAAATGGCGCGGCGATTGGGGGACACCACGGGAGACAACAGACAGCCCAACGTGGGCTTCCGGGACTGGGACGCTGTTTGATTCGTGATAAAGCTCAGCTTCATGCGGTAGCTGGCGGCCCAGGTGCTGAAGGTGTGCACACACCCGAAAGCCGAAGCCGTGTGCTTGCTCACAGATGTCTCAGTGATACCGACTTTGATGCTCAGAAAAGACGATTTTGTCCCGTCGATCGCTCTTTCTGTGCCATTGGATTTGGAGATTTGGGCTGGTAAGTTACGACGCTGCAACCAGACAATCACCACAGGCACATGTGCATTCATTGGCTGAATCGGCTCAAATGCTCACTTATACAGCTCCATTTGGAAGGTCGTCAGCCAAGGGCCCGAAAGTGCCCATGCTATAATGAATCGGGAACGGAGCTTGAAATGCTCAGCCCATCTATTGAAGAATGAGGAGTTATCTACACTTGTTACCCCTGGAGTTCTGAACCACCTAGTAACACTGAAATGGCAAACACACATGCACGCCCTACGTAGTTGAGGTGATTGCCTCGAACAACGTTTATTAGTCGAACCGAAATCCTCTTTACCCATTCCCGGGCTCCGGGTTAGCCACTGGACACGCAAGACTTCCCCGCCGGACTCAATATATCTTGTTGCGTTCCACCACAGTAGCGGCACTCCGTTTGTCCCAGGAGCTGGGTTCGCAGTACCATTAACATATTTTAGATCCCAGAAGGACGCCGGCCCCTCTTCCTGGTGTCCAGGTCTAGACCTTGCCAAGCAAAGCCTCCGAGAACTTGGTTCCGTCATTTCATCTCTCTCTTCTGTTTCCAGTATACGCAAGTTCACGAGCATCTGGCCTCCTTTCTCTCCGCAAGAGGCCCCTTCTCCTCAAGCGAATAGCGGACCGTTGGCGACTAGAGAGGCCACCAAATGCTACTGCTCCTTAAACTATATCTATAACACGCTCACGTATCATCAAACCGGGCCCCATATCGCCTTCTCCTTACAAATTCAACCCTGCTACGCCCAAGGTTATCTCCTACTCGCACTTAGATAGTCGAAGATCACCTGTCGATCAAGCTCCTATCATTATCATACATCTGCCATAACCCAGTTCTGGTCGAGGTCACGAGATCGATACCTTAGTTTACTAGCCACCATGAAGGTAGGTCCTGGTGTTCTTGATCTAATCAGATTTGGAAATATCATCTAATCTCCCGCTACCCCCCTGGAATAGACGGTCCTCAGCATCTTCGCCGCAGCAATGCTGCTTCTCATGCCGCAAACCATCCTCGCTGCGCCTGTGGAAGCCAGCATCGAGAGCAGCACATCTGCCGCCGACGCTGCTACCCCTGAAGCGGCAGCGGTTGGCCAACCCAAGTGCAAGACGGCAGCACACTACAACTTGTGTGTCATGTCTGACAACACACACGCCTATTGCAATGACCAAGGGAAATTCATCAATGACTTTATGTTGATGTGCCAGGATGTCTGTTGGTGTGCCTGATGGACGGGGTTGTGGTGGTGAAACCAGGGGCAATGTATAACGGCCTTGAAAAGGGTAGACAGCACAGGAAAAAGGGGCGTGGTTCAGATGACTGGTTGTTGTTTTACGATACCCTACTGTCTAGGGGATCTCAACCCTCCATGAAGCGGAACAGAGAGAGCTCCGCTTCCTAATCTTGGCTAGATAACAATCGTGATGCTTTTGTTTGGTGAGGCCATAGAATACGGGTAGACTGATAACCCGACACGTTTTGCTGCCGATCTCTGTTCCTGTAGTAGGTACTAAGGTAGTAGCTAAACATTTCGTCTCACACGATCTGAGAGGAGGGCTTGCGCAGCTACTGAAATGGAGACGAGATTTGAGCTCGGTAAGTTGAACTTGCCTGCGTCCATGGGGACTGTGGGATGGTGTAGCACATACTAGTACAATCCCACTATGTAGTACTTTCCACAACAGCGGACACGAAAGGAGGGTACGACCGTACGAGTAGAGGTCGTTAGGGAATAGGGATGTACTCCGTAGGTCCCGCGTAAACCGACAATTCATACCTGAGTAGTTAAAGATATGGTCAACATATGTGAGCGGGATTGAATTAAGCATATAGAAGGTCCGAAGGAGAAACGGTCCCTTCTAGCATCGAATAACGTTGACTAGCACGACTTGGTACCTTGGTGTTATGCTCAAATTACTCGTCAGGGCTTCATAATCGCCATCTGCCCCACTACTCCGTAGAGGGTCAGGTCCTCTGATTCCATAAAATACGTACCTACATTCCCTGCCATACAAATTTGTTAGCAAACCAATGTCACACCGTCTTCTTGCACATATCGCTTGCATACATACCCATCCCTTCTGAACCTCGCTGGAGCTACGCAAAATAGAGCTTGTATTCAATTGCTAGACATGTATAATTGACGCTATTCAATGTAGAGCTATATATACAATATTTGACTGTATTTGTCGCCTGCACTTGGGGATGCAAGCGATTCAAGCGAAATGTTAAGCGTGGTGGATGCAACTGTTGTGGATTGCTGTTGCGGATAAATCACTATGGTATGAACATTGACGGTATGATGTACAAAAAACGGAGTACCTGAATTTGTATGGGATTCGCTGGTAAATGGAAGTAGCGAAATTTATAGAATCAAAAGTTTTTATGGAATCAGAGGACCTGACCCTCTACGGAGTAGTGGGGCAGATGGCGATTATGAAGCCCTGACGAGTAGTGTATGCGCTCAGAGCTGTCGGCTGTCACACGATTAAGCTGCCCCACCACTCCCGCTGTATGGGCCCAATCAGTGCAATGCACCGCGGCAGGCATCAACAAGGTGGGTCCATTGCTAACGTTATCTTATCCTCCAAGTCGTTCCCTCAACCGTCTCCCGCATTATCACAACATCAACTCCCAACGTTCACCGATTTTCTGGCGGCATCCAATAGAGAGGAAACAGGAAAATTCTACTATTACTTCTGCGTATCGTTACCTTAACTCATGCATCTGCATATCAGTCCATACACCGTCGTCGAACGCTCTACCTCCCGCCTCGTCAACCTCGTGACCAGACGCTCATGCACAAAAGCATAGCATGGCCGAACACGGCGACACGGTCAACGGCGCGAATTCATCAGCCGTTCGAGGAATTGAGCCTCAGCAACCACATCCCCGACACTATCCGCTCGACATTCCCATTCCCCCATTCCACCGCTATGAACATCGCCGCCTTACAGCGCGCGACATTCTCGTCCACCGTCTCGTGGGCGAGTTAATGCGCCCCGCCTCGGATACCGATCTCTTAATGACTCTTCCTGCTAAGGCTGAAACCATCCCCGACCGTCTTAGGTTTGTCTTGGCGGATTCTTTCATCCTCAATAGCACCCTTCGAACAGCCGTGGACTGGGCTGTTTCCCGAGACTGCTCTCCTCAATGTGCGATTGTACAGGGACTTAGTCCAGTCAAGCGACTCTCCACGGACGAGTTTTTGCTTGATGTGGCCATGCGATACTACTTAGAGGTTGATGATCCCGTAACGAGGTTCTGGTTATCGCGCTCCTCAGTTCCTCATATGCCTCCAGAGCTATTGGCCGTTTGGTCCAGAAATACGAATTCCCCTGTCTTGACTTCCTTCGACGCTTGGATCAAGGAGGTTCGAGGGAATAGGCGGGGTAAAGAATTAAGCATATTGAGTCGGTATGAATTGGCCCGTTTCCGAAGATTGCAGTCAAAGCCGAGGTTGCAAGAAACACCAGGCCTCTACGATGGAGGCGCTTCTCTACCGGCACTGCGCCAGATGATGGACAGAGAGGCGATTGGGCCTCAAGGCTCCAGACGCGATACCGTTTGGCTCAATTGGACCTTCAACTACACCGGCCCATTCCTTCGCCCTTATACACCTGACTGGGTAGCAAGCGGCTTTCCGAGGCATTTTATATTGCTACCATCCTGGCCGAGCTTGCGGAGCGGCATGGTGGACAATGGGTGGGTTTACCGCGAACTCGCCACGAACTCGAACTTCGCCGGTGCTCATGAAGCCAGACGCGGGCGCTTGCGAAAGAGATCCGCCAGTGAGCCACCACCACACAGCTTTTGGAGTACCGTCATCCCAGGATCCAGGAGTCTACTGTATGACATAACTATGGATGTCATGTTTCCACGAATGACAATGATTCAACTCGATCATAGATCAAGAAGGCGAAGCCTCAGCCGGACGCACATTGAGTACATGTTTGACTGGAGCGACGACATGCGCGACACGGTCGACCCCCGATCGGCGTCAGTCCGTGACAAGCCCTTGCAACACCGAAGGCGCAAGAGACAGTTCGCAATACCCTGCGCCAACTGCGCCGAGGCGAGCCATAGGACAGCGGACTGTATAGCCCCCTGTGGTCATTGCGGGGCCCCGAATCCTCATAGGGGTCTTAAGAGGGCTCGAGCCGACTGGGCTGAAGCCATTCCATCATACAAGCTCCGCGTGCACCAGAACCCGCACATCGCTTCCCAGTGCCCCGTCGCGCCACGAAACCGATGCAAGTGCGTGCCCTTCCCGACCTTCCACACGGCCGCGCGGTGCGGCATCCCCTGTCGTCGTGACTGTGGCGGTCAAATTTTTAACAAGCAGCACCCCAACGCCATGAACTGCCGCTCGCGCTGCTGCATGTGCGGCTTGCGCGGCCACAGCGGGCGCGAGTGCCGCCTGCGTAGGTGCCGCTGCGGCGGCGCCCACCTCGGCCAGGACTGCTCCTGGAATCCCACCTGCCGAGTGCCCGGCTGCGATCGCTTCCACTGCGGGATCCACTGCCGCGAGTGCGGCAGCACCGAGAAGCCTTTCATCGGCTTTCGATGTACAAAGTGTCTCGGGTTTGAGGAGTCGCCGCGCGAATTGTCGGAGCAGGGGAAGGGTAGGAGAAGGCGGGCGCGGAAGCGGGCAAACAACAGAGAGCCGGAAGGGGAAGAAGAGGAGAAGAGAGGTTGCAATGATGAGAACGGGCCGCCTATTAAGGATGAGACGGCATCTCCGACCGCGACAACAGCGTTCACGCCGTCATCTCCTATTGTCCTTCCGCCGACGGGCAACGAGAAGCAGGTTAAGAGCATCTTTAGCGATCCGCGGCAAGCGAAGGACCCAGGGCGCGTCAACCGATGAGACACACATGCATAGCGGCAGAGGTAGGGAGTGCGTTGCACACGGACGGTGGAACTGAGCTGTCCAAATGGGAGGTTATGAATGATACCCAACTCGAATAACATTAGATACCGAAAAGGAATACTGGAAGGGTGGGTATACGGGTCATGTTGCACTGTTCTGCATTCTGGTATTGCTAAGCTATGAATCATCAGCGAGTCATAACGAACAAATAGATCCTATCAACACATCCGTAGTCCATACACGCGACCTGACCCAAATGAATCCATCATGATGGTGCCAAGCCAACCTAAACGCCACCCCCTAATGACCGGGAAATCCATAACATGTACCCAACAGGGGAACACATCAAAGGAAGAGCATGAGCAACAACCGTTAGCGTACATGGAAGCCAGTACCGGTATCCGATCCTCTCGATGCATTCTACCCCGCCCTGCCCCGCCATCCATATAGTAAAACGCCCCAGCTCCTCAAGAAACAGAAAAGCAGGCCAAAGACTGGCAAGATAGACAGGCGCCGGTAATATGGAATTTCAATCGTCATCCTCCCAACCCCCTAATCCTCCTCCTCTACCACCACCAACACCACCAACCCCGCCAAAAGCATCCAACTCGCCCTCCGCCTCAATCATCTCCACCTCGACCTTGGTCCCCAGCGCCTCGCGGCCCTGGCGGATCATGCTCAGCAGACGGGCGTTGAAGGCGTCGACCCTGGCATCGGCGTCGCGCTCGGCCGCCAGTTTCTGCTGCGCGAGCTGCCGCGCCTCGGCGTCGAGCCGCGGAGAGCCGGCCTCGGCGAGGAGTCCGCTCTTGCGGCGGGCGGCGGCCACAGATGCAGCGCCGCCGCCGCCGCTGCTCTGGTTCCGCCGGTGGTAGCCGCCCAGTTTCGTGGGGGAACTGGGTCGGCCGGAGGAGACGCCTCCGCCGAGGCCGAGGCCGAGGCGTGTGCTCTGGCGGCTGGAGGGCCGGGAAGCGGAGGATTTGAAGGGTGATTTTGTTGCTGCGGCTGTTGAGGTTGCGGCGGCGGCGACGCTGCTTGGAAAGGTGAAAGGGGGGTTGGTGGTTCCGGCTGGTGATTGGATCGGGACAGGGATGCGACTTGGGGTCGAGCGGGAAATGGGAGACGACCGCGGCGAGGCGAAGCTTGCCGGCTCGCGAGCGCTCAGGTTGGGCGAACCAGCGTGGGAAATGCGTAGGGAAGGGCGGGAGGCGGGTCGCGAGACTGTCGGCGATGTGACGCCCGTGAATCTGGCCGAGGGTGCCGTGATGCGCCGGTGCGCGCTGACCGATGTTTGACTGTAATACCCAGACCTGGGTCGAGCCAAGCCGCTTGGTCTGGCTGCCGCCGCCTTGACATCCGCGCTGAATCGTCTTGGCACTTGGCTGCTTGGTTCGTCTACCATGACCCAGTTTCTTAGCTCGTCGTTGTTAGCGCTGACCTGCCTGCGCTTGGCCGCGGGCTGTGGCGTGGATTCGGGTGTGCTAAAGTCATGATACACAGGGGAGTACGGGGACGCAGCCGGGGGTTGAGGAATATGTTCCGGGACTGCTTGGTTGATCGGAAACCCGTTAGTTGGCTGCGTTGGGGCCTCTCGCTCGGCGGCCTGTGGTTCCTCTGGTGTTGCGGTCACTGTTGAACCGTCCACTGTGTACCCCCGGCCACCTCCTGCATGGAAGCCTCGGAAGGCGCCTTTTGTACAGAATTCCCAGACCTTGCCCATCATATCTCCTATTGTGTGAAAGGTGAATAAGCTCCATCCTCTCGAACTGGATGCACCAGGTGTTTCCTTTGGGGGTGACTGTGCCATTGGTGATTCGGCTTCGGGAACTGTTTTCGGGCCAAGGCCTCTTCTGTAGTCCACGTCCGAGTAAACGCTATCCTCTAACAGTCCGTTATTTGTGCCGGCTGCACCTACTCCAGGTGTTGTGCTGATCTGTCCTGCTAGTGTGTATTTGAACTCCCGACTCTGGTCCTCATCCCGTGCATCGTTTGCGCCTTCCATGTTCATGTGCCAGCCCAGCGGCGTCGACTCCCTCGTGTGCGACCGTTTCCTCTTAGTCGTCGCAGTAGCTGGAGCTGTCGACATGGATATATCGGAGGAGAGACTGCCTGTGGATTTGGCCAGGTTGTAGCTCGATGTTGAGGGCGATTCGGGGGGTCGGAAAATATCAGCATGCAGCGGCTGGCTGGATCTTGTTGAGTTATCAAAGGGGAATCCGCCAGGGGCCTGGAACCGCGTCCCGAACGACATGGCGGGCAGAGCCCCGGTCGGTCTGGGGAAGCTTTATCCCGACCCAAAATCGACACTCGGTGCCCGATGGGCTGGTCCAACACAGCTCGCCAGCTCAAGGCCGTATGTACGTCAGGTCAGGTTGTGCCTGCGTGGCTATCGTGTGCAGCTCGCGAAGCCTTCAAAAAGCTGCGGGATTGGACTTGGATGCCCAGTGGCGCGTGACGGCAAGGTGAGGGCCCGGAGTCGAGGTAACTGCAGCTGAGCTCCGGGAGCGCCAACCAGCGTTGGCCTTGGGACGTGTGAGACCAGACCGATGACAGCTTGACTGCTTCAGATGCCGTTGGCCGCACTTTAGGTCGCTCAAATTGCTAGACCAGGACACGGCTTGACTTGTCCACCCAGTTTCTGCCCGATTCGGCGCAAGGCAAGACCAAGCTCGATTCTTGGGGAACTCGGGTTCCCAATCCTGCGGTGAAAGGGATTGTGTTGCGAATCAAGGACTCGTGACCGACCGACCACACACCGCCCGATTGCTGATTGAGGGATCGAGTTCCGGATTCGTGTTTCGGAAATCCTCTATAAGCCAGCGCGCCGTCTCATCCAGATTCCAAAATCGAAAATATTTACACATAAAATCACGGCTGCGATGTGATATCAGGCTTACGGTATTCCACGTGGTTGCCGTAGCAAAGGGTTGAAGTTGAAAGGGATATGCAGTTAACGTTAGTGGCATTTTTACGCCAACGTCAACAACTAAAATTCCCGATGCGGGGCACATCATTCCACGTTCAGGACCTTGAAATAACGTACAGTACATACTGTACGGTAATATTACCCCTAAGCCTTTGACCCAGCCGGACGGAAGTATGATTTGCGACACGTACAGTATGATACTGAATTCAGAATGAATTCTCAGTGTTCGCTATGGAGCTCTTGTGGGTATTGAGGAGATCTACAGTACTCTGCAATGTCTCTAAAACCTTGCGGTGCAGTTCTGTATCATGCGCAGCGCCAAACCCGTGCCTATTCGTAAAGCCGTCACATATATCAACCGGGCCATTTGGCCATAAACCCCAGCAAAATGCACATGAAGATGCGATGTGCCTATTCCTTGCTGTAATAAGCCTCCTGCATCGCTGTAGTCTCAGGAGAAAGGCCACCGTCGACACCGGCCTCGCCATGGATGTGTGACTGCCCCGCCCAAAATTCCTCCCTCTCCTTCATGACGTCCTCGGCCCATGCTTTCACCTCGTCCAGCACGATCTTGGTCTTGACGTAGGCAAACTCGCCCAGGTCCAATCTTCCCTTGCCGCGCTTCTCGTACTCGACCATCTGGGTGAGGAGCTCCATCTTGTCGATATCATGGACATAGATGCTCTCGAGTGTCTTGGAATCTTCGTATTCTTGCCAGATTGCCCGAATCTCCTCGCCAGCCTTTCCGCCATCGACCTTGCCAAGCAGACGCTCGGTTATGTAATCCATGGTCGAAGCTTCTCGCCTGCTCTTTTCTGGCTTCGCAACGCCGTCGACAGGCGTAATGTCGCCGACAAGGGATTCTGCCATATCATGAATCAAGCACATCTTGGTGCACTTGTGAACATCCAGCTTGGCTGCGAGCGCCGGCGGCGTAAGCATGCTGATCATGGCCATCCGATACATGTGATCTGAAATTGACTCCCCACTAGTACCATGGCAACGTTAGCTGTCTTCCTCACGCTGAGACCGCCGGGCAACCTACCGATCAATGCCGAATCGACGCCAACCCTCCCGCTTCGTCGTCTTTAAGCGCTCCAGAATGTGGAAGTACGGTACCGGAGAGCTCGTCCCTTCCGCAGGCTTCCCGCCGGGAATCGTATCCAGCACCTTGTCCACGGTCCAGGGGCCAGTAATTGTCGGGTTTGGGTTGGGCACCGTCCCAACGTCTGATAACACCAGTCAGCGCAAGCTCACCTGCATCAAAACCTCCAACGTACCATGCTGGGCATCGACATTCTTGACGGCCCCTTCAGCAAACATGCCATTCTCCACGCTCGGCGACATGATTGCCGACGTATTGGTTTCGATATTCTCTGACTCCAGGCACCAGACGAGCTTCCTGAGGGGGGGATCCCAAAATAACTGTGCGTGCGATGGGCTTGTAGAGGTACTTCGGTATACTTATACACCGAGAGGGAAGGACAATAATAGGAAAGCGACTTCCGGTGTGGTTATAACTTATAAGAGACAAAACAAAGGCGCCAAATTGCGAAGACGTGGGGTTCAGCAGAAATCACACCGAATTCATGTGGGGTTCGCTTGCAATTCCCCACCTAAAGGTTCTGGAAGACAGCAGCTTCACCCCACAGTCAGGCGGCTTCCAGCTGCGTTTAGGCCCAACGGCACACCGAGATTCCCCTAATGCTAACGCTAAGATAGTGAACAGCCGTGGGCCCGGAAGCAATTCCAGGTTGGAGTGATGTCACTGTGCAGCGGGTGTCCTACCTTACCTAACAACGCCGTACCTCTGGTATTGTACCTTGCGTAGCTTGATCGAGACTACACGCGGCTGATCAAGTAAGAGAAGGATTGCTCTGTTACTATACTGGAGCTCCATGAAGCTACCTTAATGATTATTGTACCTAGGGCTACATATGTCTATCCAAAGATCCAGACCCCACGATCGACAAGAGTGCACAGACAGACTTATCGGGCCCGATGGAGACTCGGAAATTGCGCGAACCAATCGTTACTAGCACAGCTTGGCTAATCCCGTTCCTATCTCAACGTCAAGTCTCCAGGAAACATTGCGATCAAGACGCCGTCCGGGCCTCTGCGATGGCTTCTAGCAAAGCTTGCCATCGACAAGCCGCCGCTTTTCATGCGGCACGATTCATCAACCCATGAAGCCAAAGCCAGCAGCGCGCCGCTCGCGGATTTTGCGCACGCTGCTCTCCCGCTCACCTCTCCAGAAAATCGCACTGCTGGTCCTTATCTGGACCATTATCGAAGCCCACATAATCTACTACCGTGTCGCGCGCACCGAGCGCGAATCCCGAGCCCGAGCCGTACTTCATGAGCCTGTGCGGGTGTACATCGCGAGCCTGCACTGGAACAACGAGGAGATCCTGCGATCCGACTGGAATAAAGGCGTGGTCGAGCTGGTCAGGGCTCTGGGGCCTGATAATGTCTTCGTCAGCGTCTACGAAAGCGGCAGCTGGGATAATTCGAAGGGCGCCCTACGCGAGCTGGATCGTGAGCTAGAGAAGACGGGCGTCAGAAAGAAAATCGTCCTCGACGAAACGACGCACGCAGAGCTCGTGGCCAGCCCGCCGGGCGAAGAGGGATGGATTACCGTTCCCAACGGAAAGAAAGCGCTTCGGAGAATACCATATCTCTCCCGGCTACGCAACCTCTCGCTGCAGCCGCTGCTAGACTTGGCCGAGAACGGCACGACATTCGACCACGTCCTCTTCCTCGGCGACGTTGTCTTCACCGTATGTCGCGCCCTCTCTCCCGAGTCAATTGACCGTCGTATCCCCTCAACCGGACTCACTCACTAACCCAGCCAATATCAGACCCCTGACATCATCACGCTGCTCAAAACCAACAACGGCCACTACGCGGCAGCCTGCTCCCTGGACTTTAGCAAACCGCCGCTATTCTACGACACCTTCGCGCTGCGGGACGCAGGGGGCCACGAGCACGCCACGCAGACGTGGCCGTACTTTCGCTCGGCCAAGTCCAGGCGGGCCATAACCCGGGGCGAGCCAGTCCCCGTATCCAGCTGCTGGAATGGCATAGGTCCGTCCCCTTCCTCTCCTCCCCACACCCCCTTTTTACCCTCCCGGTCAGGTCCCAATTCCCAGAACAAAAACAACAAAAGACTAAACCAGCAACACACCTCAGTTGCCATGCCCGCCTCAGCCTTCACCGGCATCCAGCGCCTCAAGTTCAGGGGCATCCGCGACAGCCTCGCGGCGTCCCACCTCGAAGGGTCCGAGTGCTGCCTTATCCACGCCGACAATCCGGCATCGCGCACACGCGGTGTCTTCCTCAACCCGGCCGTGCGCGTGGGCTACAAGCGCGGGGCGTACGACGCGGTGCACCCTCCCGATGGCAAGAGTTGGCTGTCCCTGTCTCGGATTTGGCTCGGCATGTGGAAAAACCGGCTGGCACGGTGGTCTACGACGCCCTGGTTCAAGGAGCGCCAGGTCCGTGGGCTCGTGCGCAGGTGGGAGCACGAGGAAGAGGGGCGGGAGGAGAAGGGAGGGTTTTGTCTGATTAACGAGATGCAGGTTGTTGTCCATAACGGCTGGGCTCATTTATAACTCGATTCTATTGCTAAACTGTAGGATACTTATCAAGAAGAATATTCGCTGGGGCCCGGATAAGGCCTGGGTACTGCACGTATACAATCGCTGCACGCTAGAGATGTCAATACACCTAAACCGCCTTGACCACGCCATAGAGGTCATCGAACAGCTTATCGAAGCGATCGGAGAGGATGAGGAGGCGGTCCGAGATCGGGGTTGCGTCCTGTTCTTCCTCCTCTATCCGCATCTTCAATTTTTGCTCCACTTCTAACTCCTTCTGCCTCCTCTCCTCGGCTCTCTTTCCCAATTCTTCCACCATCATCTCCCTTATCCTCGCGTTCCTCTCTGCGCTCGCCAGATCAGCATTTTCCGTTTCCAGCTTAATGACCATGTTCTGTATCTCCTCCAACTCTTCAGGTTCCATGTCAAGCAGCTGACCCATCAGCATCTCATCCTCCTCCAGTTTGCTTAACGTTGTCCTGAACTTTTTCAGCTGCCGCCGGCCGAGCCGTACTTTAGTCCTCTTCTTCGGCATGGGTTTTCGCCGGAGCGCCTCAAACTCCCTGATGATCTGATCTACTTCGGCCGCAGCAGAGTCCTCGTCCTTTTTCTCAACCAATGAAGTCTTGGCATACGGCTTCAACGTCGGGTTCTGGTTCAGGGCATACTCTGGAGCGGTACACGGGCACAAGCCGGCCAAGTAGGCCGACTCAATGAGCCGATTGGGCGCGTCCTTGCTCGAGAGGGCTTTTAGTCTTCCTAAATCGACACCTTCGAGCAACGGGTCGCGCACCGGCGAGCGACCATTTGTCCAATTGGAGTGGTCCATCCACATTTGACTGGGAGTATACTGCGTCTTGACGAACTCGTGTGTCAGAGGGAGCGAGGTCATGTCGACGAGGTCCCAGTTCTCGACAGCGAGGGCGACCCAGTCAATGTGAGTGTAGAAGGGCGGGAGACCGGCTCGGTTAGTGATCAGGTAAGTAATGAGGGCAGGGGCCGTGACTGATTTCATCATCGGGCTACGTAAGGTTAGATTAGGTTCTTAAGGGGCGGTGGAGGAAGGGGATGCACCAATTGTCAGCATAGTGGTCGTACTGATTGCAAAAGAAGCAGCCGCGCATCCAGCCCTGCCCGGCATGTACCGGACCCGGGCAAACAGCGATGGTATGCCCCGGCTGTCTGCAAAGTGGGTTTGCGCAAACCGGCCCCTTGGTCAAGTTGTCGGACAGCTGGAATGGCGGGCATGACTCCTCTCCCATTGCTCTGAAAGAAGGCAGATTCATCACGTCCCGAACCACCCGAGGATCTTTGCGTGCGCTTGCCAGCATGTTTCTGAAGGAAGGGATACTCATCATGTCGTTGAGCATGTCCGGACGGTACTTGATGGCCTGCGACATCATCTCCCAGCCTCGCTCAGGCTCAGGGTTAGCTTTGATACGCTTTCTCCGCGCTCTCAGGGACGCCATCAGGTTAGATGCAGCAGACGCCGCGGTACCATTCTTAGGGGCGTTGGGCATTATCGAAAGCTGTCCAGTGTCCCGAGCTAACCGGCCAAACCTCGCGGTGGGCTTCTCTGCTGACTCGGCCTTCGACTTCTGGATTACCAGGACTAGCATGTCGGCATCGTCTGTTTCATATTCGGGGACAATCCCTTTGGGATCGCGCTCGCTTTCACCAGGCTTGGTTGCCTCCCGCTTGCTTGTTGACTCTGTTGGGTCTTCCCTCCCCTCCCTAAAGCAGTCCTCTGCAACCGGCGTGATGATTGCATTGCCGACATCAGGCCGGTGGCTTGGACTCGTTGGATCTTGATCATAAGCTGGTTCGTCGCGTCCCGTATTCTGGTCAGGATTAGTGTCATTGGGTCTTGGTGTATCTTTGGGTCCAGCGGCATTGCGGAGGATGGATGGGAACTGGTCTTGGGACATGCGAGACTTGGTGTAGATAGTTCGGGGTGTAGACAGTTCGAAAGTTGATCTCCGACCCGGTCCGGTATCGAAGCTGAGTTGATATATCAATGGAACGTAAGGTAATGGAGGAGAGTCCCCGGCGTTTCTGGGGTGAAAGGACTGCGGTTCTAGGATAAATCGATGACTCGAACCTATTGATGTAATTTCCAAGCCCTCCGTCAAGCTGCTGTTGTTCACAGCAACTGCAGCTTCTGATAACCAAGCACATGGGTCACACTTGCCTCCATTTGCTGCGACATTAGGTGAGCTTCATTCTTGCCGTGTCAGTTGGTACTTGGTAGTGCCTGCCACTACCATACAACAGTATTCACCCATGATGTGGGCGGCGGTTATTTGACAATTCCCTGCCCACTGGACCATCACATCATCGTGGCTCTTGTGAAGTCTTTCATGAGCCCGGCGTGACAGCACGAATATGAGCTGTCCTACAACAAGTACATAGCGCCGACAGGCAGAGGACAGGCTTGGACAATCAGAGACTAATGAATTGGTAGTAGGGACTTCGCACTTCATTATCAAATGAAGCTAACAAACCATTCACCTTGCCACTCATCCGTGTACGTAACATCCATGTTAGTAAGAGTCAAGTGAAAGTCGGTAGCTTGCGGATTAAAGAGCACGACACGGGACTGATCGAGCTTCTGCATAAGCGTCGTTCATGATACTAAGTAATTCCTGATGACCGCTTACGACACAGAATAGACGTAGCCCAATTATAGGCAATGGCCGTTTACACACTCCAACAGTCTACCTCCGTTCTTTACCATCATGTTGGGTTGGGAACAGTCCTCGTTTCACAGCTCATCCACGCGTTGCACACCAGTCGCCGGGCGGCCGGGGACAGATGAAGAACACTTTCCGGGAAACAAAGGGTCTGATAGGGAGCACAAAATCATCTCGCTCGGATCTATCCGTACAGTTGTAACAAGAATCTCACAATGGTCTTTATATCTGGTGTTCACCTAATGTACCTCTTTTGAAGCAGTTGCACCACTTCGGAGCCTCGGAGGAATCTGAGCCGACTTGCAAGTTGTACGGACCCCGAACCTGCCTCGCCTGCCTGACTTCAAGCTGCCATCGATCATTGTGACGCCACATGCATGTACAGTACAGTAGCCTCGAGATCGCTGACTGGGACAAAGATCAACACTTTATAGAGAGAAATGAGACTGATATTCCATGTAACAGTCCAGGGGCGAATGCTGCAGCAATTTAGTCGCGCGTTTCCATCTCCCTATTTGGCATGGACATCGACCGGCAGTCTTTTTCATACAGTAATTAGCTGCCGCGCAGATGGCGTTGCAAAGTTGGTTCAAAGACGTACCTGAGACTTAAGAAGCGGTATACAAGAGATATAGATCTAGGACCAAATAAATTACACTACACGTAGAATTCAGGTCGCACTCTGCAAGAACTTGCAGGCGTCTTTCTTATTTGGCTTTCACATGCTACCTTGAATCACGGCTCCGAAGCGTTGAACATGATGCGTTATGAGGGGTTGGCGCTACCTGGAAAAGGGAGAAGATCTGTCGTTGTGGCAGAGGGTGGCATAGAGAACGGTTTCAACGTGTAATGTAATTACGAAGTACCGATCTGGTTGAAAGAGATCTGTTTGACATCGTAGGTTACCCGCATGCCGACATCGTGAGCATAGCACACAAACATGGAGTGCATTGATGCCGCGTCCATGCCAATCTGAATGTGGCATGCTGTGTACTGTCAGTCTCGAGGTGTTTCTGTGAGCTACTCAGCGCTGCTTTGGATTTCCACAATACCCGCTTGGTGTACTGTACACAGACCATTGAGTAACATACAATACACTACGGAGTACAAGAGCCTTGGAGGGCCTGCAGGGCAAGGGTGCATGACGAGCGCCGATCAGAACGGAGTTTTTGCCGTATCAGCCTTAGCTCCGAAAGGGGCTGCAGTGACCGGGGTGTATGCACGATTGTGGAACGAAACACCTTAGCCTCGGCTTGTGTCCAACTCCAACGCGGATCGCATGTCATCAAAGTGTGAACATGGACATGCTCTTCAGTATTCTGTCTAAGAATTTGCGGGGAGATGGTATCCGAGGGAAACACCGAAAGTTCCAGAGGCTCAAAAACCTGGGGAGAGTTGCAATTTGGACCGAGGCCCACATGCAGTCAATTGCGGTACCTACCCTGTAGGGGAGGTTAGGTGACTCGAAAGGTCGATTGTGGAAAATCTGTTGCTCTTTTTTTTTCCAGCAATGCGCTGGACAAATCTCATCTGCATATGCCGAGATTCCCCAGTATGCCCTTAAGCTCTTTGCTTGAGAGTCAGCAAGAGATTCCAATCCAGAGTCCGATCGAACCACCAGAGCCATTCCCCTCTACAGAGCAAGCATGTATGTACAGTACAATGCAACTATCGAATGCTACACATGGTACAGTAGCCAGCCAAACTCCATAACCAAGAACAGCCAAGAGATACAAAGCAACGCCAGCACCTGCATCAAGCAGGGAGACGTGGACTCATCATCATTATGGACACGCTCATACCAGAACTACTGTACACACACACCTGTCGTGATGTACACTACAATCTGTACTGTACGCTCTTTCCCCTATGCTACTCTCATCAGCGGCGCGAGCTCAACAGGCTTCGACTCCTGCGCCCCACCGCCCAGCATCCTCCTGTACAACCACGCCGCGAACTTGACGGCCGGCTCGTCAACCGCTCGCGTGACAAGGTCGGCCACCCACAGTGTGAGCGGCAGCAGGAGGAGATTCGGGACAAGAAAGGCGATTTCGAGGCCCATCGGTCCCGTCTTGGGCAGCGGGAAGATGTTTTGCCAGCCGGCTAACGGACCGAGCCTGTCGTCCGCAGCCCGCGTCCAGCCGACAGCTAGGTAGACACGGTCGCCAATCGAGTTCAGGATCGGTCCGTGGACGAGATACAGCGCAAACGAGATGCGGCCAAGGAACTGGCAGAAGCGCGATTCGAAGAACCTCTTCAGCCACCCGATGCGCGGGATGCAGGCCACAATCATGTTACCGGCCCAGAAGAGGTAGAACCACTTAATGTTGAAGACGGCCTGAGGCTTGAGGTACGACAGCCAGTACCACCCTGGGTTCTGCCGAAAGTCTTCCATATCGTTCTTAAACGCTGGCACGCCAGCAAGGTACATGGCGATGAAGAAGAGGTGGTAGTAGATGAATGTTTTGTATGGCTCCAGTCGGCGCAGGAACCGTGGGAAATAGGCGCCGTCCGTCCTCGCGAGCAGGTCCAGGTCGCACTGCAACATGCCAGAGACGAACAAGGCCCCGTAATAGCCGTCGACGATGTAGAGGAAATAGAAGATGAGTGCCAATTGACACAACAAGCGAGCCTTGTTTGTCGCCCGCGCCAGCGCCATGCACGCCGTGTAAACGATGATGGACCCACGCATTTCCAGCGGGATGGACCACAGATGCGGGTTATACGAGACCCATAAGTTGGACTCCTTGAAGACGAAGCTGAAACCCTTGAACTCGACATACCAATTCCACAATTCCTCGCCGAGCGTGGATTTGGGTTCGCATGCCGCATTCCAGTACCCAAAGACGTGCCACGAAGTGACGTAGACAAGCGTCGTCACGATAAGGGGTATGAACAGTCGGAACCATCTACGGAAGAGGGCCGACGCCAAGTTGTCAAAGAGGTGGAGGTACTCGCCGGCCTGGACAAGCGACAACGGCTTCATCGACAGCACGTAACCCGAGATGACGAAGAATACGGCCACGGCCATGTGGCCGCCGACGAAGAAATTCCGGATGCCGTGAAAGGTAGCAAAATGGAATTCGCCCTGGTTGCCCCAAGCCGACTCGAAGATGGCAGATTGGTGCAGGGTGTGCGCCCATAGCTCGTGGTGGTGAATGTACACCAAGAACGCCGCGAATCCCCTTAAGCCATCGAGGTAGGCCGTCGGCCTCAGCTGTCGAGGACCATCCGAGCTGCTGCTCTTTGGCCAGAGCAGGTGTCGCAGCCCGCGCAAAGTTCCGGATTTCATGGGCAACGATGATGCTCGCTTAATGATGCTGCTCCATCCAAGACTATCCCAATCGTCAGTTTTCCAGTGCCGTCCAGAACGTCTCCACATCCATGGGGTAATGTATGTATGTACATTGGCAGAGAGACGGCAATAAGCACTTCGAGCCTTAAAATGGACGGGGGCTACCTTGGCGGGACGCAGTGTTGAGTGGAGCGCGAGGCTCTATGAGATGCAGTGTATTATTTTTCACTCGTGGCTGCAAGTTGGGCGCCTAACAAGGGGAGGCTCATGGCCCCCGAGAAGGGGGGACCAAATGAATGAAGGAACAGAACGTACTGCGAGGCCGGTGCGATGGCTTATAACCACGGACAAACTCACCGCCAGCCGGATTCAGAATGGGAGATATTTCAGGGTTTCTGATATGTGGGGGGGGACGAATTCCGCCGATTGCGACCGAATACCACGTTTCCGATCGTATGAGACTCACGGACACGATCGCCGAGACGGATGCTTTCCGGATGAGCGAACGAAGGATGCCCGGATATGCCCCAGTTGTGCAGTGTGTGTTTTGTCGTTTATTACACTGCACATACGGAGTAGGTATCCCTTAGAAAAAAGTCGACCAGGAATTTTTGCTCCAGGCCATGGAAGTCGGAACCGATGCGACCCAGCATGGGAGGAGGCAAGTTTGCAATTCTGGGCACTCCTGACACTGCATTGCAAGGTCATGCATGGATTGGTAGGCATCTCCGCTCACACGATCACTGGATGGCAACACACCAGCATCCGAACTGCGTTGAAACGAGCTTGCAGCCTGTCAATTTGGCAGACAGACCGCTCGCACATTAACCTCTTAGAAGCAAATAACGTACTGTATGCTCCTGTAGGAGTAATGGAACGTATAGGAAGGTGGTGTTCCCCTATTTCGCTCAACGCCGCTCTCTGGTCGTTGGTCCGTCACTTTTTTTCTTGGGCCCAATGGGAATCGCACTTGTAAAATTGCGGCTGGTCTCGCATCACTGTTGCCACATGAAGCAATGTCCCCGCGCCAGGTCAATCTACACCCCTGTGACGGTGAATTTTTTCGGTCGCCTGATTGGCCTGATTGGTTGAAGGCCGGCAATCTTGGCCAAGACAGGGACGCAAGGAAACGGCAATGGCTGCCATCCATGAATTTCCAGGGCAATTGAGAAAGGATAAGGTGTGGAGGGGCCCAGGATCTGGGGAACGGTTCTTGATGCTCACATTATCTCTGCACACCCCCTTTTCACTCCAGCGCAAGGCGTGGCTTTCTTTCCTTCAACACTTCGTTTGTTTTTATTTTGCGCATGACTTGATCGCGTTCCTCCATCCATTGGATGCCACTCGCTTTTTCCTGGGGTAGCACGCACCTGTCCGAGTCGAGTCGAGTCTCGTGCTCGCGTCTTTCCCCGTCGTTCCCACCTCAATGATTGCTAAACTCGGCTCTCCGCTGGGCTCACCGTCGCTGGCGGCCACGACGGCGCAGTTCAGAAACCGTATCCCGATGCAGTTCCGACGCGTGCTACCCGTTTATATCGCTGCCGTTTGCTTGATCATCTTTGTCTTTAATCTCAATCTCTTCCACTCCGGCATCCACCAGACACCTTTCCGGTCTCCGGTATCGCCCCCGTCGGCGCCACCGGCCCGAACCCAGTTTCCGCGGAAGATCTGGCAGACGTGGAAAGTTAACCCGCTCAAGTTCGAAGAGAGGGATCACAAGACTGCGGAAACATGGCTAGCGAAGAACCCCGACTACCGATACGAGGTGCTGACCGACGATAATGATATGCGCTATGTCGAATGGCATTTTGGCCCCGAGGGTTTCAACCGACCGGACATTGTCAACTTCTACCGCGATGTCAAGGCGGCGATTGTCAAGGCCGATCTCTTGCGGTACCTGATAATGTACGCAGAAGGCGGCCTGTACGCCGATATCGATGTCGAGGATTTGAAGCCGCTTTCCAAGTTTATCCCTGACCGCTACGACGAGAAGGACATTGACATGGTTATCGGGGTTGAGATCGACGAGCCCGATTGGGCACATCACCGCATCCTCGGGCCCAAGTCGCGTTCTTTCTGCCAGTGGACCTTCATGTGCAAGCCGCAGCTTCCAGTCATGATGAGACTGATTGAGCAGATCATGACCTGGCTCAACGGGGTCGCCAAGGAGCAAAACGTTCCGTTAGCCGACGTCAAGCTCGATTTCGACCAGATCATCAGCGGCACCGGACCCTCAGCCTTTACCGAAGCCATCCTCGCCGAGATGAACCTGAATAAGGAGGATCCCCGCCAGAAGATTGACTGGGACTTGTTTCACGACATGAGCGAGTCCAAGCTTGTAAGCCGCGTGCTCGTTCTGACCGTCGAGGCATTTGCTGCTGGCCAGGGCCACTCCGACTCGGGCAACCATGAGGCTAGAGCTGCCCTGGTTCGGCACCACTACCATGCTTCCAATTGGCCCAGCAGGCACCCGCGGTACAGTCATCCGGCATATGGTGAGGTTGAGAAGTGCAATTGGAACGACGAGTGTGTGAAGAAGTGGGATAAGGATGTCGAGGAATTTGAAAAGCTGAGCGAGGCCGAACAGCAGAAAATAATCGAGGAGAAGCAGCGTGAAAAGCAAGAAGCCGAAGAGAAGCGCAAGGCCGAGGAAGAGCAAAAGAAACAGGAAGAAGAAAAGAGGAGGAAGGAAAAGGAAGAGGAAGAAAAGAGGAAGAAGGAGGAGGAGGAAGCGAACCGGCGGAAGAAGGAAGAGGAGGAGGCAGCAGCGCAGAAGAAAAAAGAACAAGAAGCCGAAGAAAGAGATAAAAAGGGTCAGGGACCTGAGCAGCGAAAAGAAAAACCCGACGACGAGGGGGACAAACAAAAGAAGTCAGGGTGGCTCCATTTCTCATGAGGTCCATTTTGTTGTATGCGCATTTTTGGAGCTGGCAGGTGTTTTGCTTAGGAGTTCGGGAAGGGGTTGCACAAACGGGAGGCGACGTTCTTGTGTAGCCGCTCCAGCAGATGACGCGCGAGATGAGCCAACGACGACGATAATGGCGGCGACGACTCGAGAATCAACACACACGCCATGCCATGCCCCTCTCCGATCGCGGGGTAATTGGGTCTGATCGAATCGGGCATGCCACAAGGCAGAGAAACGTCGCGAATAGGGGGGTTCCGGCATTTGGCTGCATTACTTACTTGCATGTACAGTACCATGTATCGCTCTAGACCGAGTCTGGGCAGTTTTTTCCCTTTACCCAGCTCGTTTGGTGGATGGAGTTTTGGCGGGACACACATTGTAAAGTTTGCTCTTAGCATGCTAGAGCGGCGTAGGATAGGTACTTTTTGTTAATAACAATACCCAATTGATGAAGGCCGGTCCGAAGGATGTGTGGATTATTGATCGAGACACCTCGGATGCCGTCGCCGTCGAAGGTTCATGTCCAGAGGCAGCGCTTGAGCGTTGGGAATTCGTCTCAAAAGTGTCGAGATCTTCCGCCAGAAGCAATCAGTCTAGGAGAATCGAAAACTGCCGTCTGAGAGCTGGCTGTCGGGAAGGGACAGGGAGGGACAAGCACTCCAGAGCTTCCATAGATGGAGCGGTTTGGAAGGCAAAGTCCATACAGGACTTGGTGGCTCCTACCTCGGGGGACCCCCAAGTTTCTCTGGTTAGGGCTCAAAGAAGGTGTTGTTTTATTTTAACCTTAAGGTCCGTTTTACCATACCTACCTAAAGTATCTAACTTTCGTCTTGTGCCAGGTGCTACCGAGTAGGTGCGCTTTTTGTCTCTCGCACAGGGCAGTACCTTACTAACTGTACTAGTTCAGGATGCTCCCCCACTTCCGATATTGCCCCCACCTCACTCTGTCATCTCTTCAACAAGGAAATCCAAGCACGATTGAATACCGACAGCCATCCTTGTGCGAATAGAGGCATGACCACAGGACGGATGCTGCCCCTTGCGCAATGTCCGTGTGGTTTGAGATCGGTGTTGCAGATTCGCGGTCGACCCGGATAAACTCTGCTCTGGCACGTCATCACAGAGGCCAAGCTCGAGCCAAGATGGAGATGGCCCCTTTAGTCTGATGTCGTGGACACAGAGCGGCAACTACCGAGCATTCAGCAGTTCAGCACCATGCGCCTAGGCATTGCCGTCGGCAGCGGATGCGCAAATGTCAAACTTGCATTGCCGAGTGCGGTATCCCGTCAATTCTGTCACATGCGTCTGTATGATCGCCAGACGGGGTTCAGACGGTCACACTCAGCCGGCAGGCTCCGGACATCATGGTTGCCTCCAACATTTCTGTTGCTATAAAGTCCTCGAGCTGGTACTCATCTTCCTTCTTCTGCCCCAAAGGCTTTCACTCCTTAGCTCTGACCGACCGGCTCGATCGACCCTCTTTTGCAGCTTTCTATACGGCTTGCCGTTGATATTGTTTTTAATCCACTACAGCCGCCCGGACGGTATTCGCTTCAACCGCTATACTCATCATGCAAGCCAAGGCAGTCATCCTCGTTGCCCTTGCGACCCTGGGCCAGGCCCGCTTCGGCCAAGAGGGCGCCGTCCAGAACATCATCCAGGCATTGGGCGCCTTTGGACCTCCGGGCGCGGCCGGCACCTTGGCCGGTCAAACACCTAGCGTGCTTCTTGCCGGCGCGAGCGCCTGCGCAAAGGTAACAACACCTCCCACATGTTCGAGGAACTGGTTGCGGGGGCAATGGCTAAAAGGACGGACGCGATTAGCTCGAGCTCGCCGATGAGATTGTTGCCACTTTGGGCGACGATCCGGAGGTTATTGCCGGCGCCGCGGCTCTCGTCGCCGCCGAGAAGAACTTCAACCCCTTCGCCCAGTCCATCCCCACCATCTGCAGCAACCCGGCCCTTCCCGCCACGGCTGCGCTCCGCGGCATCATTCCTCTTGTTGACCCTGCCGTGGTCGGTGCCGATGTTCAGAATGCCAACTCGGCCGCGTCTCTGCAGGCCCCCTTTGCCGACGCAGGCCTTAGTGTTGCCGACATCTCGAGGGCCCAGGGATTCGAGAACTTCACTGAGCAGGCCTAATTGCCATGGCCCTAGTTAGGAGATTGAGCCTTTGGGATCTTTCGGTCGGGACGACGTCTCAGTGTATGAGGAAAGCTGTACCTTGGAATGAACCAGAACAAACGAGTAATGTAAATGACGAACTGGACTCTTAGGCACTGCTCGGCGCTCTTTCTAGCTCATAGATCATCCAATGGTTGAGGATGCTTAGGGTGTCGAATATTGCTTCCTGCTCGCACGGAGTCCATCCCTTACGCTTTCTGTACATACAAAACCCTGTTCTGTTTGCCTTTACGCTTGAGGTTGCAGTCTTCCGAATGCTGAGACACTGAAGGGCAATACTGAATCATGTTGTATACTCGAGGCTCGGTCCCCCGCCTTCATGTTCTGGTAGGACCCAGGGGATGATTGCTGAGAACATAAACCGTCATCTCATTACAACCCAACCGCTTTGAGAATCCCGGTACACACTAGAATTACATTTAGTGAGGCAGACAGCCCTTGAGCGCTAACAAACGCGAACATCTAGCAGTATCATACAATACATTGGTACATTATTCATGACCTCGTGTGTTCCGTTTGACCACTTGATGCCCCGTCAGATCCATCGCCGCTCCAACCTCCATGCCGGCGTTCTGCTCCACCTGTATTAGATTAGGATCCAGCACTCGCTTTCCAGATTGTCCGCTTAGTATACAACATATATATATGACACCATTTTCCCGCCTTGTTTATAACTGTATCAGTTGCCACTGCTAGTAACCTTCCTGCGGCCCATGGCCCCCTCCACCGTACATGTTATCATTACTCCCCGGGCCAAGTAATCCCCCTCCAGAAACAGCAGAGTGAAATCCCCACTCTACCTCGGAAAAACTGTGAACGTCCCCAGCTCCTGGGGGACCGGAGAAGGGTGTCGTCACTCCTGGCGCGTCAAAGACACGGTGTTCGTGAGGCCCGGTGACCGGGGGGATGCCGGTTGGCGACAGCGTGGTCATGTCGTCGGGAAGCGTCTTGCTGCAGCTTGGGCAGTACATATCCCGGCATCGGCCGGGCGGATGCGCTTCGACGAGGGTCTGGCTCGAGTCCCGGTTCTCGTCCCGGATCCAGGTGAGGCTAGCGAGCGAGGACCGCGGGGTTGAGGACATCAGCCGATTTGCATGGATGGTGGACGTGGATTGCCGGCGGAGATCCATGTCGTGCTGGAGCGACTCGGTCGTTACCGGATCTGTGGACTGATCGGGGCTGAGGTATTGTTGGACATCGAGTTGGCCGGGATGGACGGGCGCATAGTGGGTCGGCGTAAGAGCTGCGTGCTGGAAAACATCGCCCGGGCCGCTGTAGGAAACCCCATATGCGTGGGTAATTGGCACCCCCGAGTTCTCCCAATTTGTTTGGTACGGTGTACCCGGATCAAGGCTTGGTGCGGTCGATGTTGGGACAGGAATTGCTTGGCTGATCGGAATAGGCTGGCTCGGGAGAATTGGCTGAGGTGGCCGGAAATCACTGCCGACCGCCCTTGCTTGTGATTGAGGTGTTCGTGCTCGTTGTATGGGGACTGGTATCTGTGTTGCAGGCTGGATTTTCGGGAGAATTTCCGCTCGCTTGACCCTTTTCGGTGCTGGAATGGGGCGTCTTCTAGCAGCTGTAGCCCCAGCTGAACCGGGACTTTCGACTCCGGGCAAGGCGTTCATCGTGTTCGAGCTCCCAGGGGCAACTGTGGGGGTAGGGGCCGGCGAGGGAGGGAGAAGACTCGGGGTAGAGGCCCAACTACTAGCATCATTCAAGACGGGCTGACTAATGCCGGAGCTTGTAAAGAACGAGACTGTGCCGGATAGCCTCTGCTCCCAGTCCTGCACCACCGTCTCGATCCAAGTGTAGATGGACAACGTGCTCCGTTCAAGCCCCTGACGAATCTTGAGATCGACGTCTAGGATCTGGTTCGCTCCTTCAAGGACATGGCGGTATTGGATCTCAAGAAGGTCCTTGAGCGTGGTAAGAAATTTCCGGGACTCTGAAATGAAGTCGAACACTTCCATTACCGGTACGAACACTTCTGGCAGATTAGCATACCACTCCCAAACTCAAAGGAGCAAGGGTAAGAGTGAAGACCCACCCGGATCGGGGATGATGTCGTCTGCAGGAAACAGGAGTTTCCACAGCGAGACCCAGTTGTCGATCTTGGCCTTGAGACTCCTGGCCTCAAGAGAGGAGATGATCTTCTGCGTAATGCCGTCTTCGGGATCGGCGCCGCCGCTGTCGTATGATAGGCGGCAAACATCTAGCCGGCGCAGGTGAGCGTCCAGTTCATTTTTGGAGACGAAGCCTTGACAGCATCTGGGACACAGAAATGGACCTGCGTTCCGCTGCACCGGAGGATGGTGAGCACGGATATGCTTCCTGACGTGTTGTTAGCATTTTCCCTGCGGAACCCAGGGCAGGAGACATACTTGAGCTGTGACATGTCAGCAAATGAGTGGGTGGCGCAGACATAATAATCACGGACGTTGAATCGGAGGGGATTGCGTTTCCGGTAAGGGCAGCTAAAGTTAGAGATGGTGGATTTGCTGCTGGGTGCTTGCGAACCCGGCGAGATGTCCCGGTCCCCGTCTCCGGGGTTGTCCTGACCTCCTAGCCCGCTGCCATCTTCGCTACCGCCTTCAGCCTTGCGCTTCCCCTTTCCAAACTGCCCCGCGGGTTGTTGGTCGTTGCTGCTAGGGCCTGGCGTGCCGCCGCCGTGGGATGACGGAGTCCCATGACCAGAAAGTGTCTCAACAAGTCCTAATTTGCCCTCGTGAACCGCGCTCGAAAGTTCCTGGAGGTAGCGGTATGTGCAGTCCCATATCAACAGCGGCGCCGCACAGTCATCCACGTCCTTGCCAAACGTGTTCCTCAGAACCCAGGAAGAGATCTCGTCAACAAGGCGTGCCTCTTCATCCCAACCCTGCTCATCGCTGCTAAGACTTGGTTCACTTTCCGTCGACTTGGAATGAACAGGGCTTGGTGCGGCAAGCAGAACCCTACGTCTAGTGTGAGCCTTCTGAGAACCGTGGTAGATGGTTAGGTCTTTCAGGGAGACCCACTTGCTGGTCTGCTCATGAGCTGAGTGGTAAGAAACAAGAGGGGGAGTGCCGTCCGTATCCTCCACCTCGATTCGAATCTCATGAGACAAGCGGGACTCTGGGCGGCTGCACTCGGACTGGGTGTTGACGCAGGTCGTTGAGGAGAGGAACGAGTCGATGGAGCCAATGCCTCGGTGATGCTTCCGGAAGGATGCTTCAGTGCTTTCCTTAGCACTCGCCTTCCTTTGCGAGTCGACAAGGACAAGGTAGGGACGATTGATGCTGGGCTTTTCGGGGGTTACGGCCTTTGAACCGCCGGGAAAACTGGACATGGTGGGGCTGCTCGGCGGGGTGCTGCCCGAGAGGGAGAGGGCATCGGCCGGGGCCAAGGCCTCAGACTCGTGGTTCTGTGTCGCCGTGGTGTCCAGCCGGGATGCTGCGCTATTCCGCAGGCAAGCTGCATCGTTCCGCAGGCGATAGGGGATGCAAACGACGGTGTCGCCGGGCAGCTTCTTCTGTGCGACGCGCGCGGACACAGGGGACCTGCCCCTGGTCCCGGATTCCATGCTCGGGAGTTGGAGTCGAAGGCAAGATAGGGGATACAGGAAGCGCTCCACCAGAGTCGCGGGTCCCGAGACGTCTCGACCCGGGATCCCCCTCGGCGACGATGCCCTGGTGACGGGCTCAGAGGCCTCTTGCAATGGCCAATGCAACCGCTGCGGAGGCGCTGTAATTAACGAGGGACGTGGTCGGGCGGGCCGTCGAACTGTTCATGCGATAAAACCGATAATAGCGATAATAAGAAGATCGTGTAATGAGCGACTGTAATGAGCGAAGCGTCACTTGCATGACAAAGGGAAAGTGAGTTCGGCCTCGTCTGGTCAATCCCCGACCACCATTTGCCGGCGCCTGTCAGCGTTCTTCGTTCTTCATCAGACTCAGAGCCAGGTTGGCGAGGACGCAAGGTCACGGTTGCCAGAGCCTCGCGCGCGCCTGTTCCTTCCCCTGAACCTTTGGGCGTGTTTTAATTTCGATCATCCCAATCGAGTAGTTGCAGCTGTGGCTGTTGGGCCAATTAAATGTAGCGCCAACAATACGGCTTCCATTGGCTCAGGCTGGCGCTCCTGAGCCTAGCCAGCTTGGCCCGTCTGCGCTGTAGAGGCACCGACCAGAGGGTCACATCGCGAATCTCGGATTGATGTTTTGGCAACCTTATCTGATGTTTCAGACGGAATTGTGTCTTTTGGCTTTTCATCCGAGGACCCTAAAGGGACGCAGCAACCACTCATTCTTCTGCAGTAGCAGAGCCACGGTCATCTCTCTCCTGCTGAGTGTGGTACAGCTAGAGAAGCTGTCGAGACTCGGAGTTGAGCACGCGAGTTGCAAGAGCGCGGAATATGTGGAACGGATGCCAGTGTCTCAGATGCATTCCTCCTTCCCCGCCAAATTCTTACCTTGTGGATACGCCGATACGGGCTCGTTCCACTCCAGTGCTGCACCCATCCAACCACAAAAGGCGGAGCAAAGCCCGAACACGCGCGGCACTCGCTGCAAGTCAAGTCGGAAACGTACGTTTGCCGGCCTCTGGAAGAAACATGATCACCGGCAAGGGCAAAAAGGCGTCTTGCCAAACGAGGCAAAAGATTTGACAAGAGTGAGATTCGAACTCACGCCAGATTACTCTGACCAGGAGGGATTCAATTCAGGTGTTCCTGAACCTGGCGCCTTGGACCGCTCGGCCATCTTGCCGTTGATTGGTGATGCTGTTGTGGGATTAAAGAACATACAAGCAAACATCTCAGCGGAGTCAGCAACCAAACCTCCCTGCTCGAACAGCCTCTCCTAAGTTCATAGGTAAACCCGACTCCTACCCTCGACCAGCTGAAAGATAGTATGCACTACGCCGCAAGTCCGCAAGACGAATCAAGCACCAACATTTCTACATATTGGATTCTCGGACTGTCCTTCCAAGTGAAAGGGGTCCCAGGGCCCCGGAGCTGAAAACTCGCGCCCCTTTTCTACACCGTGGACTATAGTCACTTGCCCACTGCCGTGCCATGCTCAGTCGAGGACATAGGTGGCCGATCCCTCACTGAGGTGTCCGCCGCTCACCCAACCCTACGCTCACCATCTATGATCTGGGAACATCTGCTCAATCCGTTCGCTGCTCATGCACCAGTGCCACTGGGGCCTGGACCTGGCAATCTTTGCCTGCACGCGGGTTGCCGTCCTTGCAGATGCTGTACTCGCCTCACCCGGACCGCCACTCCTCCGCTTTCCCCACCGGCTACCAACTGTTCTGGTTCTGCTGCCCAAGATGGGCAGGAAACGACAGCAGAGCAGAAAGGAAGATATGTCGAGGAGAGTGGCCTCAATGACGATGATCGGATTTGACAATATTTCTATCCACGGGATGTCCTAGATTACACCAAGGGGCGGTACGACGTGCAGATGAGCTGTGGCTTGAGCAGGTTGCCTTTCCAGCCGTTCGGTCCTAGTTGGCACTCACACACCTCTATTTACAAAGCAATAAACTACCAGTAGTAAGAAAAGCGTCAGAATCTTCTCAATCAAAGCGACCTATCTATGCCACAGGCCAAGATTCTCCTACATCGTAAGTCACCTCTTCACCTGTCCGATCAGGCTGCTCTCGAAGTTCTCTAGTTTCAAGGGGACATACCCAGCCTAGTCCCATCGGTGAAGCGGCCTCTATGACAACCGCGGCATCTCAACGAGGAGACGATGAGAATCATAATTTTGATAATGAGGGTACCGGTACGTGATAGAAGCTGTCAAAGATCTAAATCTCCTTTCAATACCCCGGCTCTCCGTCAAAGTACTACCAGATCATATCTGCTACCCTAACTCTACACCTATGTACGTGCGGTCCCAAATTCCCCAAGTCTCTCACTAACGCAAGTTAGTTCGGGGTAAGCTTCAACAGCCGACCGTTGGCACCGTCCTCAATCACCCAGATAGCGCCGTCCTTATCCTCCCGGATCCCGCGCATGCGCCTGCCCATCGAGATGCGCTGGGCCTCCCTCGCCGTGTCACCCGTGATGGTCACGCGCACAATTGACTGCGAGCTGAGGCCCGTGATGATGGCATTGCCCTTCCAACTGGAAAACAGGTCGCCCTTGTAGATGATCAATCCCGCCGGCGAGATGACGGGGACCCAGAAGGCCTTGGGCGGCGCAAAGTCAGGCCGCGTGCTGTGCGCGGGGATGGTCCGGCCGTCGTAGTGCCGGCCCTGCGACACGAGCGGCCAGCCGTAGTTGGCGCCCTTCTCGATCAGGTTGAGCTCGTCGCCACCCATGGGGCCCATCTCAACCTCCCATAGACGCCCCTGCGCGTCCCAGTCGATGCCCAGCGGGTTGCGGTGACCCAGCGACCAGATCTGCGCCTGCACGGCGCCCTGGCTGGCGAACGGGTTGCCTGCGTAGGCGGTGCCGTTGTCGTACAGCCGGATCATCTTGCCGAGGTTGCTGGTCATGGACTGGGCCGGGGTCATCTGGTTGATCTCGCCCGACGAGATCCATAGCGCGCCCTCCTTGTCAAAGAGCAGGCGGCAGGCGAACTGGAGTCCGCCCGAGGCCTTTTGCGAGTGGCGCCAGATGACCTCGAGGCCGGAGAGCGAGCCGCCGCCGTTGGCGTTGAGCGTCAGCTTGGCCCGCGCGACTGCGCCGCCCGCCCCGCCGGAGCCGCTCTCGGCGTAGCTGAGATATATGATGCTGTTCTCGGCGTAGTTAGGGTGCAAGGCGACGTCATGGAGGCCGCCCTGACCGCCGTAGGCGACAGCAGGCACGCCCGTGATAGTACTCGTGGCCTTGGTGGTCGGGTCGACGAGACGTAGGTTGCCTCGTCTCTCGGTGACGAGGATACGGTTGTCGGGCAGGAAGGCGAACGCCCATGGCTCGGCGTGGGTGGTTATGGCTGTTGACCTGAACGGCTGCTGGCGAGGGCCCAGCTGTTGTGGCGGGACGGCCAAAGCACCCGTCACCAACGCCAGAGCATACGTGATAGAAAGTCCGAGATTCTTCATTTTTGTGACGGCCTTTGCTCCTCCCCAGTGTATTGGGTTCCTATGACGATCGAGGGTTGGATGGCACACATCGTATAGAAACTCTTGGGCTGACCGCTCCCCACGGTGGATAGGTATATAAGAAACGCAAGGGCTCGAGCAACCTCTTATCCAATTTCAGGCTATTCCCAACCTTTAATGACTTGATATACATATAAGGCTAATCAGAGTAGAGTATCCATACTTTTACAACCCCTGTACCGGTAGAAACAAGTTTCCCTCTTGTCCCTCTATCCTTCAACAACCTCCATAGGTCGACTGGTTTAGCAAAAGTCCGGCATAGCATTCCCACCCCAATCCGGCACGATCCTCGCGCTGTTGCGATGGCTGCCGACGCCAAGACAGTGTTGTGTGCTGTAATTTTCCGGAGATCAATATACTTGAACCTACCAAACTCGTCATCATCCTCTTCTCCTTGGACCATGCGGGGGTGCTCGATCCGTCCCCGCTCTTAAGATGCGTGATATCCTTGTCGAGCATAACATTGCCAAGTACTTACTATACCCTGCTATCCTCTCGATTTCGCCGCCCGGAACATCCTCGATATGGCTTGCGATCGACCTCGCCCTTGCCATTACCGACCCTCTAATGAAGGGGTAACCTCGTTGTCCCCATCTTCCGAATACCACTGTAGAGTCCGGGTGCTAGTTACTAGTACCCAACTAGCATTGTCAAGGACTTCTAGACAATCCGAACAAACGACCGTTCGTCGCTCTGCTGGATTGGCCCCTGCGAATGCTTGCTCGACTGCATTATAGGGGCATCAGGTCCCTTGGCCAGCGAGTTTTTCTGGCTCTGCGTCCGGATGAACGTGGCAAGGCCGATACGTTGGAACTCGCCGTTCTGGGCACTGGAGGCTTTCAACACTAGCGCGCACGCCGAGTCGATGAAGGCCGCAAAGCACGGAAAGAACTCTTGGACGTCGAACGTTGCGAACCCAGGGGCTATTTCGCCGTCTTTAAAGATCTGAACCGGAGTCTCAAAGGGGTGGCGGCTGTCGTAGCTGGTACGAATCCATTCAGTACTGGCTTTGAGGTCTCGACGGGTCATGGGAACCAAAGGTGCATGGAGGACGATAAATCCTGACGAGACACGGCCGTGTTTGTCCTTCCCAAGGGGTTGAATCTCGTGACTGACAAGCCGGGCCACGATAAAGTTGCCCTGGATCTGTTCGAACTGCACGGGAGCGTCCATCGAGGCCCAAGACCACGAAGGTGCGCGCCCCGGAACCCTCTGCACCTCGAGTGGTTTTGAGGCATCCCGGAACACTACCTGGCTGCTGGCGAGATTCGGCTTGTTGAGATCCTCGCTCGGCTCGAGGCGCATGTCCCACACACGCATGCTCATCTCAGTCTCCTGGGATCGATCCACCTTCCAGCAGAGATCGTGGCATATGTGGCGCTTCCACAGGCCACACATGTACGTGTCCCCCGTCCTGGCCGCGATGATGGACGCCAGGCCGGATAAGGCAGGCAGCTTGTCGTCGGGAACTGTAAGCCGGCGCCTGCTAAAATCCGTCACCACCCATGGCCAGCCGCCTTTGAAACGACCCTCCTCCCAAGAGTTTTCTACCTTGGCCTCGGCGGTGAATGCAAGGTACTGAGCTTTGCTTTCCTCAGTAGGGTCAAGGGTTTGGGTCTGTATCACCTGCTCGAGGGAAAATGTTGTCGGATCGAAGCGAGATCCATCTTCTGCCATGAAGCAGCGCTGGCACTCCCAATACATCTGGTCCCTTCCAAAGTGAAGTATGCGTGGCGATAGGAGGCGTTCCTGGAGCGTCCACGCCCGCGAGCTCAGCATTTCTAGGGAAATAGGGTCGCATTTGTCGCCGAAATTGCCGTTTCGATAGACGGTTGGGCTTTTGATTGAGGACGGGGGCATCCAGCCCTTGTGGAAATACAGCTTTGCGCGCCGTCGGAAGGATGTCGACGCATCGACCGGGACAAAATCGAGGTGGTCCCATTCGCCAGAGATGCCTGTCGACAAGTTGTCCATCGGGGTGTACTTGAACATCCGAAAGCGCGGGAAACAGCCCTCGAGCGCGTTGAGGGCGTGTGAGGCCGACACGGTGAGGTACGCGTTATGGTAGACGTTGGACATCTTGGGGGCTTCGCGCTCCCAGTCCTCCTTGTCACCCTGGATGATGCAGAGGGAGTCGATCCAGACGTAGCGAATGCCCAAGCCATAAGCAATCCGAACGGTGTCGTAGAAAGTCTGCGGGAGATATTCTAGCGGTATGGCGGACTTATGGGCTCGTAGGTTGTGCGCCTTGGTGGTGAGAATATCGGCGCCGCCCCAGGAATGGCTGAGAGCGATGTAGTGGCCTTTGGCGCCGTTGGTTTCCCACAGGCGAACCGACTCGATGGTCGGCGGTGAACCGACGTCCAAAACCCTTGTGGGCAGGACAGGTGGCTCTTTCTGCTGGCAGTTGTGCCCGGCATTGCATTTCCGAACCCAAAAGCGGATGAGGTCGCGGGATTTTAGACTGCCGCTGAACAACTCCCGAATTCTGCCCGGGATGTACTGAGCTGTAGGGTCACCTGGGGGTGGGCGAAGATGTAAGCCACTACTTATTGTAGTACCCAAGCATACCTAGTAAGTGGTATCCGTAGCGGTCACATGAAATCGACATACCGAGCTCAGTAAAAATCCTGATACTGCTCCCTCGACGGTGGACCACCTGGCGGTCGTACATCTTGCAGGCATGCGGTGTCGGCAACTCTGTCAGACGCACCCCAATACCAAGAAGTTGGGGACGGTAGTAGTCTTCCGTTTGAGCTGGCCTGCTTGACTCGTCGGGCTGGTCCAGTAGCCACCAGTTTCCATAGATCCACGGTCGTGGAGTTGATCGACTCAATGTACCAACTCCAGGGGGCTGTGGAGGCTGAACCGAGGGTCCCCCAAGGACCACACCGTATTTGGCAAGATTCACATTCTCAAAGGTAGCAGACTGGCGCCGTCCAAGATCCAAAACCTCGAGTGATTTCCTGTCGGGCAAAAGCCGAACATCCTGATGCCGCTTGACTGACTCGACATAGCTGATCACGGGATTTGAGTATCCCTGGGCCTGGAGGCTGGCCGCGAAATCCCCAATCAGGGCGCCACTGCGGTGTTTCTCTGATTTTAGGAGCAGTTCCTGCTCGTTAATGGACTGGATAAGCAGCGCGCAGAGAGCGCACTTGCTCGATGAGGATCGAAGGTCGTCAAGCGTGGCATGGTGCGGGTATGCGGCCTCCTCTTCGGAGGGGAGCCTATCGAAAGGGATGGAGGCACAAATGCGACAGATGATTCTGTGAAGGTGATTCCTTCCTAGGGTAGCGAAAGCCGGCTCGGAGCTCATCGTAAGTTGAAATTGAAATGGCAAGCTTCTTTGCTGTCTTCCAAAGATACACACAGTACCCCCTAACCTCCTAACTCCCGGCCTAAGTGCCTACAACCAAGGAGCTAAATTGCCAGGATCCGCACCGGCCGGCAGATGAATAAGGCGAAACTGTGACTTTGGTTAGATTTCTCTAGGTTGGTTCAAAGATATAGATAAGTGGCCGCTATTCTTCGTCCCAAATTACCAATGACACTTCGACGTAAGAGGTGCCATCTCTCGGGATAATTCAAGGCCGCACCATGCTTATACGATCACTATATAACGGTAATAATCAGTAATCAGCCTCGAATCAATTCTTGAGGTTCGTCGCAAGGAGCCAAAACCCCGTGCAGACGACTGGCCAGAAACGAGGCTTAGACCCGGCCCCCCGGGTTTGGAGGCTATGCCGACCGACCACATCGGGATCGGATCAACGCGGAACGGCGGAAATTGGGTTAGGCCGCAACCTGCACAGCCGCTCTCATATCTGCGGAGTTGACTAGCAGCTGTCACGGTACTCTTCAACGGCATCAGCCGGTATACCGACGTGAGCGAGGACTTGCGCAGGCCCCTGCCTGAATCAAATTCCCAACTTCTCCTCATCAGACACCCACACCATTCCCAGCATAGTAGCGACCGCATTCGCAACTGCTCCGCTCAACCCAGCGATTCGCCTCGGAACGACCAGAATCCACTTCTTGTCGAGAAGCACATTATGGGGCACTGCCCGATTGTTGCCCCCGCCCCCGGCCGGCCACACGCATCGAGGACGTCCTCCGTCTGGCGAAGAAGCCGTTGATAAATGACTAAAATGGCGTCGGCCGGGGGAAACCCGTGCTTAAACCTGTGTAGAAAGCACTTGAAGGCACCGGCGCAGACCCGGACCGAGCGATAGGCTGAGGGTCGTGGACCACGTCCGGCCACAGGACGAACTGCTCGGCGTCGGGAGCCGGCAAGATCTGCATGTGCTTGTGCAGTCGGCTGCATCCGCTGTCGACGTCGCAGTTGAAGATGGCCAGGTAGGACCTGCCACAGTGCCCCGATGTCGTCGCCGTCGCGCGCCTCGTACTGTCCCCGGAAACCGTCCTGCGCGAGAGGAAGCAGATGCGGCCTCGCAGGAGCGAACTTGTTGAGGGCGAGAAGGTGAGTTGGGCCGACGTCTCCAAACTCGTACCCACTGACATCAATGTCGCTGCACGGTCGGTATCCTAAGCCGGAGGTTGCCCGTGGAGACGGCGACACCTCGTGTTCCGGGTCGTTGGAGACGGGACTTCTGGCTTGGAGAGAAGCCGGAATTCGAACTGCCCAACCGTCACTTTATTTAATTTCCGAGGTTGGCTTGAAACATCCGGGCCAAACACGGTGAATCTGACATTGAAGCCATTATCTGAGAACGTAATGGTGCGGAAGTTCTTATTGAAGACGACAATGCCTCCTTCGGTGCGGCGGTCGAAAACACTAGAACTGTGGGTTTCATTCAGCTCCATGATCTTCAGATACCTCAGCTCCTCGTTTTGATATGTCCTTGTTTGTTTCTCTTTGTCTTTATCGTGAAACTGGGAAATGACTCGGAAAGAAAAAAACGCTCGACAGCAACTGCTGCCTACATCAATGCCCACAGTCAAGAGCCGCTTAGGGAATCAAGTCCTTGGCTCTAAGGTGTTGTTGACTCGAAGGTGGAACATATAACGGAAGGAGCGATTGGGCACCGGCCTACTAGGTACATAAGGGCTAGTCGATGGAGACAAGCGCATCCGATAACGGAGTCTAGATGGCGTGAGATGGAAAGAATCACTTGCCCGCTCTCTAAGATTCCTCAGACGTTGACCAACCTGCTGGCCTCTCTGCAGTTCGGAGGCAGAATCCGCTTCTTGCATCTTTCGAACGCAATCTTCTAAGCTTGCAGTGGTAACGATCACCGAATATCAAACCATAATAAGTACTACCTAAGTTACTACTTAGCCCACTACCTTATGCCCACTACCCCTGAGAAGCCATGGATGCTTTGAGTCTGAGTCTCTGTTTGGAACTCTCCGCGATTTGGGTTGTGTTCTTCCTATTCTCGTCGAGCCGAACCGCCGGTGGTTTACTACCAACAGACGACTTCCCTGCCAACGCCCAAGTCCTGCACTTGAATTGCTCTCTAATAATCTGGCTCGCTGAATCAGCTTTCTGTTGACTTCGAATTGGACTCGATAGAGAAGGCGACGGCGCGAAGACTCCATCACCGACAGCAGAGGGCTGAAGCCAGGAAGTGAAGGTTTCGCAGCTCGCCTCCTTTATCGATGTCTGGGGCAGACACCACGGATTGTTGTACTGAAAAGAAGGCCAGCTGCACCAGAACGTCGAAAACATTGACTTCTCATTCGATATCGTCTCGTCAGGAAACGGTAAAGATTGCGCTTCCTGGGCTTGTATAACCGTCGAACTGTCTGTAATAGGACTTGACCTGCCAGACAATACATGTCAGATGAGACAGGGAGCTCAACCTGAACGGCAAAGGGGTCAAGTTGAGCATACTCCGAAGCAGTCCAAGTTTCGCCGTATATGGAGTCTTGGACAGATTCAGTAGCCGGGACCGAAGTTCCTGTACTGGGACTTCCAGGTTCTGGGCTGTCCCTCCATTGAAGGCTTTCGGTACATTCTAACGACAATTCCCCGGCCGACTGCGACCCATGGAGCCGCGAGACTTCGTACGTGAGGCGATCCAGTCGAGCTTCTATACGAATCTGGCTGTCCAAAATCATGTCTGTATCCATCTTGATGTCTCTGGCTACAACCCTGTCGATTGTGAATCAGCCCTGCGAGGAGACGACATGCTGGCTGTGACTCACGAGACGTCAAGGTTGAGGGCCAACGTTAATTGCTTTATGTGATCCTTCAAGAGTTTTTCGATCCTCTGTGCTTCTGCCTTTCGTTTCACTGCCCACTTGATCCGAGAATCACGGCAGCGGTCAAGCAGACTGCCTAATTCCTCCAGGACTTCCAAACAGCAGTTGATCTCGTCCTTGATATGGTTGTCCTTTTCGTTTGCTTCATAGTAGTCATAGCTTAGAGTGGCATTAGGTTCGAGCCGGCAGCTGCTGCCTCGCCAGGGCTCTAGTATCCTCGTTAATTGTTTCAAGTGCCCACTAATAACGGTCATTTCTGAGGGGGCATCAAGAAAAGACTTCGTGAGATTTTTGATTTGGACGATGGCGTGAGACGCTGCATCGAGTAGGGAGATGCAGCCGACGGTGATGGAAAATGGATCCATGGTAACATAACAGCAGTACTATTAGTAAGAGGAGATTAGTTGAACGACATAAGAAAGACAGGTTACAGCTCTGACACTGTTCAAGGCCTGCTTGCCAGTGAAATATCCCGAGAGATGAAACTCGCAATCACTCCGCCTCCCCCAACAACCTGATTCCCATTCTGCCCTTCAATGTCACAAAACGGCCGCGGGATGCTTTCTGGTCCATCGCGTACGGACAGAACATTCCAGCAAAGAGTCTGCATAATGGTGCAGAAGTCGGCAGAGGGGGCAGAGCTATAGATGTGACTATAATGGCCACTCAACATGAGCCCAAGCGTAACTCGTTGGCGGGCACCGCCTCCAGCTGCGCGCGGTGCTTTCTCCCATCCAATTACATCCCTAGCCTTCACCCGAACAATGTTTGGCCGAGTTGCCTTCAACTCTCAGGCAACAGCAGCATTTATCGAATCACAGCTGTCACGCCTTTCGCGCGGCCCACGACGGACATCCACAGAGCCACAATATCTCCATTGGCAAGGACTTCAGAGTCATTCAATTCCACATGAGAATCCCACTGGAGAGGTTACCAGGAAAAGAGACCACTGACGGATATACATCTAGACCTATGCATGTACTTGGTACTTCAGGACGTTATTACATAAAGCCAACTCGTGGAAGAGGATCCCTCGATCCAACAACTGCATTACCATGACCTCGTAGCTCTTGCTCGACCATTATACACCACGCATGGCGATACCCGCCAAGAGATAACCGAAAAGCCTCGTTCTCCTAACGCCGTATGTATGACGCGGAACCAGCCATATGATGTTTCTTCTCTGGGAATGGCAATGTCAAGACACAACCCTTCGCTATGCTATATATTTCGATACACAACGGCTCGGTATATGCTCCGAAGGAATGACGCAATGTGCAGGGATGAAAGCAAAAACACAAGGGGGAAAGAAGGGAAAGGTTCCACCCTACCCTTCCTAGTTGTGAATCAGGAAGCAACCGAAACATCCGTTAACCCGCGACTCTGCTGTGCTTGTAACGAGAGGACAAGGTCAGTCAAGCGATCAATCTTTGCCGCCAGGTCCGCAATCCGGACCTCGACATCAGTCGATTGATCGCCAAAAGCCTGCTCCTCCGCCGCCTCGTCGGCCGCCTGCCGCTGCTCCCTCGTGAGGCGCGGCGGCGGCGGGAGCGTCCCGCCAGCGCCAGAAGCGTCCAATAACGAGGCGGAGGCTGCCGGCGGGGGGCGTAACGTGTGAAACGACGGGTCGGCGCGCAGCGACGAGGCCGACTGCCTGTGGGTGGCCGGCCTCCAGTTTTTGGGAGGGCGGGGGCTGCCGAGGGCCGCCGATGACCTCCCGGGGCCGCGGAAGGCGCTGTACTGCGTGCCCCTACCCGACGGGGCCCCGCGGAGCCACTCGTACAACTCGATGGCGGCGACGATGGGGAGGTGGGTGGCCTTGAGCAAGAGGATGCGCGCTTGGCGGAACTTGCTGTCCGAAGGCAGGAAGAGGCGCAACGGGCGGAAAATGACCAGCGCAAGGAGGTTGAAGGGCGGGTAGAAATGGGTCAGACGGTTGCTGGTTGAGGCCTCGAGCACGTAGACGCTGTAGACGTAGAGGTACTCCTCACGGGCGTGCGTGATGACGCGCGAGAAGCTGTTGGACAGCATACCCGTCAGGGAGCCCGTGAGAAGGATGGAGCTGAGCGTGATGAAGACGATCATAAGAGGTGGGCCAAAGACCGGGTCGATGTCGTACATGATGTCGAAGCCGACATAGCTGGAACCGAAGAAAATTTTTGTGAGGAACAGGGTCATGTGTCGTAGTGAATAAGCTTCCCGGCCAACGAGAGAAAATGTGGTTAGAAAACCTAGGTAGACGATGACAACGAGAACCATGAACTTTAGGAAGTCCTTTCCCATCTCCTTAAGGCAGGGGATGAGGGTCTAGTTTGCCAGGTTAGCGCAATCCTCTCTGGTGCAGTGACGGATGGGAATGGACATACACCCCAGTATGGACTCAAACTGAGGATGGAGAAGACACGTGGAACCATGAATAGCGCTTCCAGCGATAGGATGTCAAAGGCCAAATCGACCAGGCGAGGGTTGTCAGTTGCTAGTCCGACAATCCCTACACAAGGTCAGCACGAGAAACGGACAGAGAGTTCGGGTAGCATACTCATGACTCCATAGGCAACGCCGATACCAATCATGGCCATATCAAAAATATTCTAGGACGGTCAGTGATTCTGAGAATCCTGTGGACTCGGTTAGCGGCGACGACACATACCCAAACGTCTGTAGCGTAGAAGATGGACCCAGCGTCGATCCACTCGCTGAGCTCGTCATACGCAAACGCCACGAACCACATGTACAAAAAGACCTCAAGCGTAGTAATGCGCATTGGGTCACGTTCCACGAGGACGGCATAGTAGAGGAAGAGAAAGCTGGCGAAAAACAAGACCTCGAATGACTTGAGGTACTTGGGCACACGAAGACGCGAAAAGGGGTCTGCAGTGTTGGGGTTATAGAAGCGGGGCTTCTTGACCGAGTGGACAGCAAGCGTGTCCCAGAAGATAATGTCGCCTTGCCATATCCCAGTAATGATCTTCTGAACAACAGCCTGACTGAGGAAGCGCTTCGCGTCGGCAATGGCGGCTATCTCCAAGGCGTTGAGATTGGTGAAATGCGCGGTGGGGTCTTCGTCCTCGTCCTCCTCGTCGTCATCATCCTCGGCTGTCATGCTCATGGTGAGGCGAGATAGTGACTGCAACAACAAATTCCGTTTGCTGCTCACCGTCTCCCTGCGGGCGCGGCGTGCTGAGCTCACGGCGGTCTCGACAACCTGCTCCAGAAGAGGGCTGTGCTCATCGGCGGCAGCCTCCTCCTCGTCACTGCCACTCCTGGTCCCTGAACACTTGGGGTCGGGAATCTCATAGAGGCAATAGTCAACAGCCTCCCGCTCGGACAGGTGGGTGAGAAAACGCCAGGCCACGATTTCACAGGCACTAGCCCTGGCCTCATTCAGGCCCTTGTCTTCTGTGATGGCGCCGTAATGCCACTTCAAGGCGCTGCACAATGTCACTCAGAAACTGGAAACAGGTCTTGGGGTGGAGAATGCTCACAGCAATGCGTTCACGATGGCAGGGTGTGTGCAAGTGCGGCCCAGATGGTCAACGAGCAGCCGTAGGCTGTCGCCGGCTCCAGTTGTCCGCAGCTGCTCGAATGTGCTGGGCAGCAGAATGGTGCCGGCAATGAATCTTGGCGGTATGTATGTCAGCAACAGCTCGAATGTGAGAACCAGTGGCAGATAAAAGGATAAAAAATATATTTAAAAAAAAAAAAAAAAAAAAAGGAAATGGCTTTTAGGACACCTACACTGAGAGCTTCTTGACAACTAGCCGGAAGCTGTCGTCCTCCGAAATGTCCGGGAGCTCGGGGCCGAAGCGGGCTTGACGGGCGAAAGGGGACGGGGTCCGTAAGGAACCATCGCCCGCCAACGGACGGGACCTGACGCGGATCGGCATGGCAGTCCCTTCCAAGGTCGCTATGTTATGGATTGCCGAGAAGTTGACCGGCTGAGCCGCTGCAAGAGCAGAAGAGAGGGAGATGCACGCCCTTGGAATCTTTGATCATTTGCGGGGAATGTGTTGGAGGTGCACCTGTCGTTGTGATGTTTCGGCTCCATTTTGAACTGAAACAAAGCCTAACCTGTCTGGGATCCTTGCTGCAAGGGCCGCCCCAGCCGTACCTCGCCGCCGTAGTGTGGGGCCAGGCAGGCTTGCAGGGTGCCACGCTTGAACCGCACTATGTAAACGCCACTTCAACGTCGACTTCTCCTTTATCACGCGCAAAAGGTTGCGCGTCGCATAACCCGCGGCCGCTCATCCTGCGAGCATTGTAATCAGGCGCGCCCGATCTTGATCAATGCTAGCCACTATTCGGCTTGACTATCTCCCATAACTTATTCGTTCTGCCCTCAAGAAAATCCGCGGGACGTCATCAACCAGGCAGCGCATTTGGCCGCCGCCGAGGAGCTCTGCAGGGTTCTCTGGGACAGCAGAGGGACGATCGAATCTCCTGTCAGGCGTCATCTATGGCTTGGGAATAACGATTCTTGCACGGTTGCACCACGCGACCAATGAATCCGAGCGGGCTTTCAACGATCTGTGCCGGTCGAGACGTGGTCGCGAGGCGTCCACAGCGTTCCAACGAGGTTCATCTTGCGCTGCCCCATGCCGCACAAGCTCGCAAAGGCCAGATGCCCGGGCACAGTGGGATGAGACGCGAGCCAAGGTAACCATGCACGCGTGGATCCAGGACTGGCGGTGCCCCGACGTCCGCATGCCCGCACCCGTACGGCTTTGGCTTCTCGGCATGTAGGCCCGTCCTAGACTCTGCGGTGCCGATGTCGTTCCTTCCGCTTTGACCGTCTTCTGGTAGTTCACAAATGAACGACAGATACCGTTTTACGTCCGCGTTTGGGGTACAATACAATCCGATGCCTCCTCCGCCGCATCATCGGGTACCAGGACCTCTCACGCTACGTTGCCAACCCCTTCAGCCTTCATCCCCCCGCCGCATTTTACTCTTCGAGTACGTTGGCCTGGACAAGGGAGTTGCTTTCTGACACATGGAAGGAGCACCGGGGCGAGCAGGGCGAGCGGCGGACGCTGTTACGAGGTTTGGCCCGCGTCTCCGCAGCTTCGAGCCCTACCGATGCGAGGGTTCATACTTTGGGTCTAAGTGAGCATAACTCCCGAGCCCTGTTCAAGATTTCTTTACGACAGTCGGCAAATTGGGGGACTCGCTCTGACCAGAACAAGTTTACGAAATAAGCCCCTGCTGCCACGAAGATGATCATAACTGTAAGTCACGGCCCCGACCTGCGTGTCACAATACCATACACTGCTACTGCACGATTTAAAGAGGGCCTCTCAACGTAGTACATACTAGTAGCTATGTTGGGTGAGCACCGGTCCCCTGTCATGATATTGTCACAACCCACTGGGCCACGGTTGCGACTGCTGCCATTGCGTCCACCTGGATCATGTTATCAACTCGAAAACGTGAAGTTGGAGGTGTTCGCTGAGCATGGCATGGAGCCCGGTCAGACTTGACTGGTTCGTCCTTGTTGGAGTGCCATGTGCGAAATAGGCTTCGAGCCCGGATGATCCCTACATACGGTACCTTTGCTCCGGAAGATGTCCCACTTGGAAGCAGACTTATGATACGTCTGGACGGACTGTCTTGACATCCATCAAATAGGCTTGGTGGAATATAGTGACGGTTTTGCGGGCTTCATCCTCAACAACATCCATGTGAAGTATCCCAGCGAGTTCAAGGCTGGGAACTTTCAAACTACCTCTAGGTACCTTACCTAAGAATTCATGATTTATCCAGGGTTCCCGAAGAATCCACAGTTCTCAAGGCCGCACTGCAGAACTATGACACAATGGTGACAGGTTTCCAAAGAAAGAACCGGGCGCCGCCCTTCCGCCCTCGACGCCCGGCTAAAGTATTAGAGGTGGGATTTTCAGGTGGCCATGGAGTTTCGAGCAGGCCACCATGGAATCCACATGTATGTCGGGCCAGCTTGGGGCAGACTGCCGACATTATGCCTCGAACGTTAGGTATTTATTTGGGCTGCTGGGAGCATCGGGAGCATTGGAACGTTTCCGTGCACATCGCCAACTCCATACTCCCTTCACGGACTGAAGACGAGCTCTGACGAATCTGTCCAGCATGGTCAGAAACATCGTGGCCATTGGGCTCAGCCTGCTCTCGACGGCTGGAGTTTTTCTTGGAGGAGCAGCAGCACAAATGCCCACTGCCAACGGGACACGCTTCACCATTGACGGCAAGACGGGCTACTTTGCGGGCACAAACTCGTACTGGATCAGCTTCCTCACCAACAACAGGGACGTTGATCTCGTCTTGGACCACATCTCGTCCTCCGGCCTCAGGATCCTCCGAGTGTGGGGATTCAACGACGTCAACCGCCGCCCCTCTTCGGGCACCGTGTGGTTTCAACTACTCTCGTCGTCCGGTTCGCAGATCAACACCGGCGCTGACGGTCTGCAGAGACTCGACTATGTCGTCCAGTCGGCCGAGAAGCGCGGGGTCAAGCTGATTATCAACTTTGTCAACAACTGGAACGACTACGGCGGCATGCAAGCCTACGTTTCGGCGTTTGGCGGCTCCAAGGAAAGCTGGTACACCAACACGCGGGCCCAGGACCAATACAAGAAGTACATTGCAGCCGTCGTCAGCCGCTATGTCAACTCGCCCGCCGTCTTTGCCTGGGAACTGGCCAACGAGCCCCGCTGCAAAGGGTGCAATACCGATGTCATTTTCAAGTGGGCAACCGACATCTCGGCTTACATCCGCAGTCTGGATCCCAAACATATGATCACGCTGGGTGACGAGGGATTCGGCCTCCCAGGACAAACCACTTACCCTTACCAATACGGCGAGGGTACCGACTTCGTCAAGAACCTGCGTATCAAAAATCTGGATTTCGGCACTTTCCACATGTATCCTAGTAGCTGTACGTACACACTTCTCATCCGTCCTGCCAAGTATCTGTCCATGTATCTGACTTTATGTTGAACAGGGGGCGTGCCGAACAGCTTTGGTCCTGGTTGGATCCGCGATCACGCCGCAGCCTGCAAAGCCGCAGGCAAGCCTTGTCTTCTGGAGGAGTGTACGTCAAACTTTGTTCCCTACCCACTTCCCCATGGCAGGTAGCACTTGCTGACTGAGGGATACCTTAGATGGCGTCACATCCGACCAGTGCAATGTGGAGCGGACGTGGCAGGCAGCTTCACGAGAACAGGCTGCCAACGGCATGGGAGGCGACCTGTTTTGGCAGTGGGGAGACCAGCTGAGCACTGGGCAGACACACAACGACGGCAACACCATCTACTATGGATCTAGCACCGCCACGTGTTTGGTGACTGATCACGTCAGGGCTATTAACGCCATGTAAGCCTGAAGGTAAATCATGAGCAGTCAAGTGTGGTACTAGTAGGAGAATTGGTAGTGTATGAGGTGCTCAATTTAACCGGGACCGCGGAGGCTCCTCGCCCGCACAATTTGTGCTTTGTGCACCATCCTACTAGAGAATCTATGATTACCTGTGGAGTTGGCCAATTCCGACATTGACTTTGTGTTCCTAGCAACATCGTTGCAATGAGAGCCAAAAAATACCAGAGACTCTTTGAGGCTGTCGATGAGTCTCGTTCAGGCTAATGGGGGTGAGTTGCATCGCAACGAAGATGGTGAGTAGACGGGAGTTGTGCAAGATGGCGGGAGAAAAGTGAGACGGAGAAGAGACCGAGAAGGAGGGAGGGGGGGGGCGTGGTCTATAGTAATGCAAAGGAGGAAGGTCCAATCACCATGTGTTGCCCTCGTACTGATTGGAGGCTGATACATCCGTTTTCGCTCCAATAAGCCTTCTACGTAAGGACTTTGAAACCCATTCCAGAGACTGAGCAACACTTCCCATTTGAGAGTTAGGTCTCACTACGCGACACTTGATCCAATCAAAACCCTGCAACACCTACAGGTACATGACCGTTGGTGTTTTCGCAGATATGTGCGGTCGTATGCGAAGTCCTGTGACTCCGGTCTGCATTTAGGTACCGGTACTCCGTATACGTTTTTGCCATGTGCTTTGTGGTGGAGGACAGTGGTGCCTATCGGAAAGAAGTTTAGTGGGTCTAACCGCTAAATGATTAGCGTCCCTGACCCAGCCACCCGGTAGTTAGCATACCCGAAGCCGGGGTAGGCACGTCATCTCGCACGGCATCTGAGGCTGTGTGAGGATTGGACGAGTTGGTAAGGTGGCTTGTCTCGAACAGACCGAACTCGAAGTGCCCTCGGCATCCGGCCTTAAATACCTAGGTGCTGCTCCAATATCTCACCACGCTCGACATACCTATCAGTCTCGGGACTTAGCGAACGTTTATGAAGGGGAATAACGACATTGGGCGACTAAAGCTCACTCGACAGCCCAGACCATTGCCAACTCTATCCGTGCTCTAGAGGCATGGGTGGCATCTAGGTCTAACCTTAAACTTGAAATGCTTTGCCAAAGACAGGAACTTCTTATCCTGAATGCCGCATCTTTGATTGGCTTCCTGGCAGATTTCATTGCGATCTCCGAAGGTTTGTGAGGGCGTAAATCTGCGGTTGAAGTTCACCACCTCCTTCACCTTGAGGCATGGCACCAATGGGGAGGAGGGCCTCAGCACCGCCACAGCGAGCTACAGTAACAACCGAAGCTGGAGATGTAGAGAACGTCGGGGCTAAAAAAGGAGCTTCGACAACGACATGAATCTAGGAAAAGCGGCTCTCTGATTTGCGTTGAGCTGGACCTATGGGCTAAACTATCCCAACTTCCTCACTCTCACTGGTCTCAAATAGTGATTTGTTCAGTATACACCTCAGAGATACAAGGGAATCGCATGCATATCGACGCTTGCTGGCGATCACCGTCGTCCCACCCACGCGGCAGATCAGAGTGGCATGTCCAATTCCGAACCGAACCCGTGTTTCAAGGCGACTCATGGTCCAAGCCTCGGAATTGCAAGTTGAAGCGTAGGGTGCAAGCAGCACACCGATCCAGCTGCACACTGGACCGCACTTTGTGCAGCCACGGATTACTTATTTTCGTGGTGCAGATGGCTCGGGGAACTCAAACCGGTCTGCAATTCTGCATCGCGGCAGATTAACGAAGGCGGATTGGTTGCCGCCAGGCCCGTCCAGCCCGGCCCTTGGATGCGCAAATGTCGGACGCCTACCCACAATAGCTGGGGTTTGTGCCCCTGAAGGGATGAAAAAGCCTCTTCAGCATTTTGATTGATCAAGAATCCAGGAGTGGAAGGAATATTTTTAAACGTTGTTTCCCGCCCTCGCTCCTGTCACAGCCCAGAGCTCAAGCTCAGGTACAGTACGGTACTGTACCCCATGCCAAGGCGTCAGCACATTCGCTCCATTCCTTGGAAAGGAGGCTTGGGCTTCGGCAGCCCACATGGATTTAATCATCGTAGGTGGGTACCTAACCAACCCTTGCATGCGCCTGCAGCCACCATCGAATCAGGGAGCCAAGGTAAATACCCCGGCAACCCGTTTCTCTTTCCTCCCCCTCATTATCGTCTCATGTTTCACTCGCCTGCGTGTCCTTCGTTATGTTATCGCCATTGGGCTTTCCATGTCTTGTTGCGACGCTCTTCTGATCTTGAATTCCTAACGTCGGTTCAACATCGATACTGGCATTGACTCGGTTAGCCGCCGTATTCTGTCCTCTGTACCAATTTCAGCGCATGTCTCGAAGGCAACACTCGGCACTCAGCGCGCAACCGCGACAATGAGGGCCGACCTCTTCGATTGTCTCCCGGCACCGACCGCGCTTCTTCTATTGTCGAGCATCCTCGAACTCACAAGCGCTCATGTATTACAACCACTGCCGCGGCAGACGCAAGTAGCCACGGTGACGGTCCCATATCACACGCTCAACGTTATCTCATGGCCGCTTCGCCCAACCCCAGCGCCTCACAACCTGTTCGCTCTCCGTCGTCGCCAGCAAAGTACCATCTGCGGCTACATCGGCGGCGATCCAGCCCTCCCCGCGACATGTAGCGCTGGGTCGCATTGCGCGCTGGACACGGAGAACAATGTCGTGGGTTGCTGTCCGGACGGAGACACGGCTTGCACGGCTGGCGTCTTCACGGGTTGCGTGGATGCGAACAGCGGGCCCCAAACCGAAGTGAATCCGTATGTTTTCAGCTGTACCGGAGGCGACGTTTGCTACCAGAACGTATTCGAGGGCGGGTTTTCCCAGTTCGGGTGCGGAACAGCGAGCGATCTAGCTACCGTTGTGGCGGCGACTGCGAGTGGCATCACTTCTGCACTGGCCCGCCCCACCGTTACCGTCTCCTACAGTCAGGGCATCAGCACCCTCAGCGAGCCGACAACGCTCGGCACCATTCCCAGCACGAGCACTACGACCTCGGGCACAACATCATCATCACCCTCCTCCTCTTCCTCCTCATCATCATCGTCACCATCAGGCACCGCCGATCCAGCCTCGACACCTTCCGCATCAGCTGCCCCGTCGACGACCTCCCGCACAGGGGCCATAGTAGGCGGCACGATTGGTGGTCTAGCCGTGCTGATCGCCCTGATCGCGCTGGCCTTCTTCTTCCTCCGGCGGCGCAACGCCAACACGCGGCAGGGCCCTGGGGTAGGCGGCATCCGCTCCAAGAGCATCAGCCCGCCCGAGGGCGGAACCGGGACCGGATTTGTGGCGCTCGCCCAAGACGCCGAGGCGTTTGAGACGGGCCCGGGCCCTCTGACTGCTACCACCTTGCACCCAAACCCCATGACCATGGCCAACAACACCACCGGCATCACGACCGGCAGCCTGCCACCGATGCCCTTTCAAAACGACCTCAGCCCTGGCGAAGATCCCACCTCCCCCTTCGCCGCATATGCCGGTGCGGGCACGGCGGCCTCGGGGGTGACCTCGACCTCGTACAGCTCGCACTACCCGCCCAACAGCGCCTCAAGCGACGGCGCTGGGGCTGGGTATCAGTACCCCACGTACCAGTACCCGGCGGCGTACGGCGGCGGGACCGGGGTGGCACCTTCTCCAGTGGTCATGACTGTGCGGGGTCACGAGCGGCAGCTGGAGCCGGACCGGGTGCCGCTCACGCGCGAGATTGACGACTTTTCGCACGGGTTCTCGGCTGCGCTGGGAAGGATCGGGGAGGAAGGCGAGGAGGAGGTTGGGGAACTTGGGGCGGATGCGGGCGGCATAGCTGGTGGTGGTGAGGCGGGTGCATCAGCAGCGGCGGCAGGATTGAGGTCGCCTCCTCGGAGTGCTGGTAGTTCGCCTACTAGGCCGCTTTGGCAGCAGAATCGGAGGCAGAGTCGGAATCTGATGTGGATGTGATGTGATGATGTTTCATGGGCTATGGGTAATGGGTAATGCTTGTTTTGGTTTGGGGGATTACTGGGAAGCGCGGACTTGGGATGATATCCATCGATGGCGTTGATCTGGGCCGGCGTTGATGGTGGCGCGGCGTTCATGGCAGGTTGGGACACATACATGAAGATCTAAGAGCATGGGGACACGAAGGAGGATTACCTTGTGTTGTTGAGATGAACGCGGTGTTCTGGGTATTGGAGGATTGGACCCGAGGCCCTTTTCACGTTTGTCTGTCGGTATGATATACCATGTTTTGGGTCGAATACCAGTCTTGGGATACCATGCACTGTATATAGCATGTCACGGTCCCATTCTCATGGACTGTATAGACATATGGAGACTGGAGATACCTGCACCTACTGACCTACCCGGCCTGTCGCAATACGACCTATCTAATCTGCGGATGACAAGAACGAAGTCAAAATATCAACAACACAGCAAACATTCGCCGGGTTGCCTTGAGCTTGTTGTCTTGTTCAAGCGGTTAAGCCTACACCCACAATACGGACAAGGAAGAGGTGGCTGGGCGGGTCGGCAGCCATGCCCTCTTCGGTTGTAGCCGCCGGGCGATACTGCAACCCTCCTCTTGAAAATGCTCCGTGCTGACGGTGTCACTGCCCATTTCCCGCAGGAGCTGATCAGCCTACCGGATGCAATGTAACTGCCATGTCGTTATCGACCGGGCGAGTCCAATCTCCCCAACTCCACTGCGCATCGGTCCAGGGGCACGCTCGTTTTTATCCGGCTTTCGATTCAAGCACTGCCATTACTATTGACGAGATGGTGGCCAAGCTAGAGCTTAGACGAGAATTGCGGCTCTGAGGCTGGCGAAGCACTTGGGGGCGTAACACATTGGAGAACCGATTTTCGGGCCGTCCATGTTGCAAGTTGATGACACACGACGTTCAAGTTGAGAACCGGGACGGAATAACGCGGTGAGTACTGAGATGGAGACTAGCCACGCGGTCACTGATGTCAAGTCATACATGAAGGCGTCTTGACTACGCCCCATCACGTTTTGGCGGCGACAAGCTGTATTGCACATCCCAACCATTCTTGATGATAATTCCCTCCTGTCTCTGAGGAACCTGTCTATCATCCATCTCTGACAGCGGGATAGCCTCAGCCGTTCCCATGGTCTTCTGTGAGCCGGGCACTAATCTATCGCCGAGGTCATCGTGAGAAACGCTTTGAACTCCACGCTCGGCGAATGGTTGAGAATCAGAGTCGTTATCGACGACGGTGGCATTGGCGGCTGACTTGAGAATCAGGGTGGCCCATGAAGCCGGAGTACGCTTTTGTGATGAGCCTCCGATGGTGGGTGGCTGCTTGGGGGCGTTTGAGGGCTCGACACGGTGGCGTGCTCCGCGGATAGCCAGCCAAACGGGACGCAGCGTCGGGAGACATGCTAGAGACATGAATCATGAGCTTCTGGTACTGCACAAGGTCATCTTGCCTAGGTAGATAGGTCTAAGGGGGTCCACCATTGAGGCAACCTAAGGTAGACTTACCCGAGATGATTGCAAAGTTGGCTTCAACCACGGCCCATATGGCTTGGTTGATCAGGTTCCAGGTCACATCGGCATCTGTCTTCTCCGTCACAACGGCAACTAGTCTCATGATGGAGGCAATACAGACACTGTCGAGATGGTCAGCGATGGATGTTCACCACCCAGTTCCAATAATGTATAAGCCCGCCGGTCAGGAAGCTGAGGCTTACAATCCACCCAGGAAGAAGATTGAAAGGATAGCCCTCTTTTGGCCACTCCGGAGATTGAGCTTCAACACGTATGGAGTAGGCATGGCCAGAAGGATGACATCGATGAGAATGTTTGGGATTGAAATGGCGAAGAGGAACTTCTGGCTGTCGACGTTGCAGGAAGATTCGATCGTCTTGTCCCAGAAGCCTCTGGTCGGGATGCATTGGAGCACGGTGAGGAGGAACTACCCGCGTGAGAAAATAAGAGTCAATATCAATGTTTACTCTGAATAGGGGCAACGTACCACGGCCACACCCCACATGAATGCTGCGGATGCCATGACGGCGATGGGAAGTTTGATGCTGGTGCTTTCCGCAAAGATGCGCCAGTAAAAGGCCAGGATGGAGAACTTTACAAAGACGATGACGCCCGTGTAAGTCAGTTCGGCGGTAAAGAGGCCGATGCTAAAGTATTCGACCACATTGGGCCCAAACGTCTGGACGTGTCTCCCAAGTCCACGAGGTATCCCTGGTTTCAGGTATGAGCCAACAGCCTGAGGTCATAAGTGACGGACAGATCCATGGGCTGGGATACTAACACCATAGCATGTTGGCTGTTAACCCGGCAGAGCACACCTAGAAAGCTCCTTAACAAGTAGGCTCATGGGCAAGGGGACTCGGAGGAAAAGGTAAGTTCAAGTTGGATAGGTAGGTACTAATACTCACGCACGCAACGAGAACCAGCCAGTCGTCATACCAAAGGCGTGTCCGTTTGACCCAGCGACACCAGAATCTAAGCACCACGCAGATGGTGGCTAACGAAAAAGGGATGGTCGAGGAGGCATAGAGGTTTGGTTGGCGGTTCTCGGAGAGGTCCACTGGAGGCAAAGAACTCAAAGAAGATTCCATTGTTTTGTGGTCTTAGAAGCGGCAAGATTTAGACATTGAGAACTGGACCATAGATGGTGAATCTTTTCGCTTTGAAGCTTTGAAGGAGACAAAGTGGGCCCTTGGACTCATGGTAGACATTAAAAAGCGACCGGGTCGCTGATATGTGGCTGGACCAGGAGTCGCTCCAGAGTGAACCTTCAATAGTAACTCATGGGCCTACGAATAACTGTAGAGTGTGTCACCTACCTAGCAAGGAAACATGAAAAGGGGGGAGTGGCCTCCATACGCGGTCTTCAACATGATTTGCCACTGCCGGTGAGACTTGAGTAGCACGGGAGATATGTCTCTCGATAGGTTGGAATGCACACGGTACGCTGGGTTTTGTTAAGATGGTGTGTAGCATCCGGCTCCTTGAGCCCATCCAATGCAGTAAGAGCCGGCGCTAATCCATAACAAATCTTGGGATGTAAAACGACACAAGATCCCGTTTTCCATGCCAGGAACCTGTGTCAACGGGCTGGTCCGGACCGCCATTTTGTTGATATGGGTAGGTACTGACTACTGACCCAAATCTGCATTTATACACTACTACCTTAGCTAACATATCGCTGCATATGCACGCCGCTGGCGGGAAAACCGTACAAATCTTACCACGGAGTGGCATTAGATATGGTACCACGCATTGACAACAACTGAGAAATCCGGTTTCATGCCAGCATCTGGGTGGGTTTAGAGTTCGGTGGGACTGTACCTACGTTGGTTGCTAGCAAGCTTGGCTTCTTCGCGACAGATCAATCGAACTGACTTACAGTCTCGAAGCTTCAAGTTGAGCTAAGAACTACCTTAGTATAGTAGTAGTCCATGAATGCTACATGCAACTTGGCAAGTCACAGATATCAAACCCAGTCCCACTTGAGAAAGACAGTCTGAAAAAAGGCCCTATAAGTATATCAGGTAGGTTCCTTATAAAGTACTACCTACATGTATGTGTAGTACTCTTCACACCAGTGAGTCGTGCACTTGTTGTTACCATCACACCCTTTGCGGTAGTTTGCTTGGCTGTCTCAACAGTATCGGGCGCAGCTGTCCTTCGTAAAGCCCAAATTTGGGTTCATCTTCGCGGTTCTGGCGTACTAGCTAGTACCTGACCTTTTACCGTGTGTATTGGCATCGCCGGCTGTCATTGACGACTTCATCAGACCAAAGAGATCGACGGGTAGGTAATATATGTAATACAACCTGGCAGCTCCGGTCCGATCTCCTCCTGCTACGATATCCCCAAACCTCCCTTACTGGAAGATTCGACTTGCGGCACGGGCGGCGGCCACAGCGGGTTTACGTGTCAGTTTAGTCGTACAAGTATACTAGTACCTATCATTAAGATCCGAGTAAGCAAGGGGGTATGAATCTACCCCAAGTAGTACCGTAGTATGTATATATGGTTTGCTTCATGCTACCATATGGACTTGGCTCGTATTTGTCCTACACTTGATGCTCGCCTGTAGGAAAAAGGGGCAGAGTGAATTACCGGAGTGCCTCGTTCACGGTACTGTACTCGTATCTCCGTTCCAAGCTGACTTGTAACACCATAGGCCTGCTAACAGAATGGGGGCCTCCTGAATACCTTCCAGTTGCTGGCACATCAGCCGGCGTTCCCCAATTCCTACTTCATGTCACCTACCTATATGAAGCAGCTAGGTTGACCCTTTCCACCCTGTTGACTCCGTTCCGTCGAGTTATCTGCGGGAATGTATTCTTCCAACTCCTCCCTCCTTGATAAGTAAGGTACTCTTTCAAGCACGATGAACGGTCACGCTGTTACAAACGGTGAACCGGTCAACGGAACGAGTGATCACACAATCAAGAACAGACAGATTAAGAATGGCACGGCCTTACCAAACGGATGGAATGGAACATTTGTGAATGAGAAGGATCCTTACGCCTTGATGAGGGATTGCAACGCCAACGCTCGGTGAGCTCCCGCCTCTTTCGTCTGTTCGTGTTGACTACGAGTGGCAGTTCCTAACTTGACGTGCAGTCTCACAGCCCAGCATTACCTCTGGAGGGATCTTCTTGGATTCCTTGTGCATCCCAGTATACCCACGGCGGCAGTTGACCTGAAGGTGGCCGATGTCGCCACAGGAAATGGGTATGTCGAGCCGGCTTCTCCTCTCGTCCGTCCCGTACCAAAACTAAGTTGCTCCGCTTAGCATTTGGCTTCACGATTTGGCCCGCGATATGCCCGCCTCTGTAGAGTTCCATGGTTTCGATATCAGTCTCGACCAGGTTGTTGCCAAACCCTGGTTGCCCGCCAACATACACATGCACACTTGGGACCTGTTCGAGCAGCCGCCCCCAGAGTTTGTGGGATATTTTGACGTGGTGCACGTTAGGCTCATCACGGTCGTGGTCAAGCACAACGACCCGCGTCCCGTGCTGGCGAACTTGACCAGGATCCTCAGTAGGTGGCTGTTGAGTTTGCGTTCATTGTACCGAGTCAGGTCGGGTGTCTTCGATATCTAACATCATGCTTCTCTTCCAGAACCTGGCGGCTATCTTCAATGGGACGAAGTCGATACCATCGGTTGCTCGGTCCAGAGTGTCCCAGGTGTGACGGCAGAGAATCTTGAGAGGCTGATCGCCCAGCTCTGTGGCCGTGATACGTGAGTAGCACCTTGCGCGACTGCCGGGCCGAGTTCCACCCTGTGCGCATATTTTGCTAACCGTTGGATGCTGACTGCATGTGTGCAGGTGGAAATCTTACCTCACGCAGATCTTGGGCGAAAACGGCTATGCCGATGCGGTGCGACACAGCTATGCCTACGGCCTGCATATGTCGCGTTTCTGGAGCGATGTGTAAGTCAGAACCAAAGCCGTTGCAATCCAGAGCGCGGTCAGGCCGAGAGTAACATACTTACCAATTTACCTTAGCTACATGGCCACTTGGAAAGAGTTTGCACTCAAGGCGCTCAAGACGCCCGAAGAATCCGGTCGGCTAGAGAGAAGGGCCATGGAAGAGTCGGTGAACGGAGCTGCAATCATGATTCCAAAGCTTGTGTGGGTTGCAAGAAAACTCTAGAGAAAGTCTAGTAAACTGGCCTGGCTCAATTTTGTTACTAGACTGTTGGGAAGGAACAAAGATATGGGTGGTGTCTCTGTAAGAACCAGGTAGACGCAGATAAATTGAAGAAATTCAACTTATGGTAGCTACGTGTAACACCCGTGGACACAGGGGAATCTGGGTCACTCTTCAACCATCCTGCAAGCTCATTACCGAACTGAACCCCGTTACTTAAGTTAACCACCTGCGGTGTGCTTCTGAAGGCCTCCAGAAACAATGTGTGCGTATTAAGTAGTTGTGTATGTATTGTACTGTACCAGGAATATATGCCGTGAGACGTCCAACGAATGTGTAGAGGTACTCACTTGTTAAGGTTGCAGTGGTTGGCCCCCGGCGGACTCGGCTTCCTTAGGTGCATTTGTACCACAATGCGCTGCAGAACCGGGCAGTTTCTAGGTGCCTGATCCTGCGGCACGGGCTCCGCTTCGTAGCAGATGTGATGGAAGAATAGAAATTGGAGACGAGGGGTGAATGTACAATTAAAGCAGCACACCTCCAAAAGGGGGAGGTGCGACCTGATATCCGAGCGGGCACATGCCTTGATGCTTCCAACACGAACTTTGATAACCGCCATCCCTTTCCAATCCAAGCTCACATCACTGTTGCTTCCTTGACCTTGGCAGGACCACTTCAAATCGTCAATAACACAACGTCAACTAAGTCTGGTTGAGCTCTCTTTTGCAAACCTATCCGTCACTCGGATCTTGAGCATGGCATCTTCAACTTCCAGCCCCATTGTCGTTATTGTTCCCGGCGCCTTCGGCACGCCCGATGGCTTCCACAAGGTGGTACCGTTCCTGAACCAAGCCGGTATCGAAACCCATCCCGGACCGTACCCAAGCTGCAACCCCTCGGATCCGGCGGAGGCCACTTGCGCGAATGATATTGCCTCGCTCCGTAACAATGTCCTTTTCCCCCTTCTGGACCAGCAGCAGAGGGACATTGTTATCCTGGCTCATTCATATGGCGGAGTCGTGGGCGGCGCTGCAGCAAAGGGACTGGATATACCGACCCGGAAAGCCCAAGGCAAGACCACCGCCGTCGTTGGGCTGATCTATGTGGCGGGCAATATTACGCTCGAAAATGAGCCTCTTCTTGAGGCAGTTGGTGGCGCTTACCCTCCATTCATCAAGGTCGATCAGGTACGATGAAATCTCGCGGCGAACCACATGATGCGACTGTATTAGGATGTCTAACTTACATGATGTGTTTTCTACCTAGCCCTCTAAGGGTCTTGCCCTCATCGCGCCGGCAATGGAAGTTCTGTACAACGACTGCGAGGCCTCGCTTGCCCCGGAGCTCGACAAGGCCATGAAGCCCCATGCACTCCTGGCTTTCGAGTCCAAGCCCTCAGCGCCGGCATGGGCGGACCCGGGTTTTGACGGGAGACGAGCATACGTGCGCACGCTAGAGGACTGCTGCAACCCCTCATCGCTGCAGGACATGTGGTTGGAGAAATCAAAGGTCAAGTGGGATGTAGTCGACTTCAAGACGGGGCATATGCCTTTTGTGAGCCAGCCCGAAGCGTTGGCTGCGCAGGTTGTCGAGTTCATCAACGGGTTCATGGCGCTGTGAGCCTGTGACTCTGAGCACGCTCCCCGTAGAATCACGCCAAGATATTAGCAATGAGTGGACGCTTAAACAACCAAAACAGAAAACAAAGCTTTGTAAGATGTGCACAGGAAATATCAGTCAAGGACTTTTAGCTTGTCATCCCAAGGACAGCGTATGACTGGGCCCAAGGAGTTGATCGTCGAGTCCGAGAAAAGGCACTCTTCATCAGAGGACTCAGGGAGTCAGGGGTAATGAAACAATATTCATCAGTCTCCACCCAATGTGCATCAAAATCCCTCTAGCTTCCACACTTTTTAACTCAACAACTACAAATCGATTTCAATGGGTAGCGTACCCACTAATTCGAACGTGTTGTAAAGAAAGCATCATAGGGTAGGGTCGGATTGAAACAATGATGCAATGGTGGGGTGGGGTGCCATCGAACTCGTTCCATGCGTGTCGATATAAAGAAGCCGCGATCATCATACTAGTTTGATCCATGCCAGTTCATCTTAAAGTGCTTCATCGTCCATTCGGCAGTGACTTCTCACCGATATATAACTCAACCTTGAAACTCAACTTTGAACACTCCGATCTTATAATAGCAGTTGAAATTTGAAATATAAAAAAACAGAAATGGCCGCCAAGATCCTCATTGTCCTTACATCTCATGACAAGCTCGGCGACACCGGCAAGCCAACAGGCTGGTATCTGGTACGGATTCATCACCTCACCCGCCTCAGCCATTGAACCTCTCTACCTACCTACCTATACACCCCTTAATTAGTAACCCCCAACTAACCTGGTATCTAGTCCGAACTCGCCCATCCCTACGCCGTCTTCAAAGAGCACAACATCGACATGGTGCTCGCCTCACCCAACGGTGGGGCAGCACCGCTGGACCCGTCCTCGGTCGACGCAGCCGCCAAGGACTCTGTGTCAACCTCATTCCTGAACGAGCAGAAACAGCTTTGGCAAACGACGCAGCCAGTCGAGCACTTCCTAGGCCGCGCGGACGAGTTTGCCGCCATTTTCTTCCCCGGCGGCCACGGCCCCATGTTCGATCTGGCCACGCATGGGCCCACGCAGGCGCTGATCCGCGAGTTTGCCTCTCGCGACAAGATCATTGCCGCCGTCTGCCACGGCCCGGCTGCCCTGGTCAATGTAACGGCTGCTGCGGATTCCAAGGAGCTGTTGTTGGCCGGGAAGAAGGTGACAGGGTTTTCAAATGCGGAGGAGGCTGAGGTTGGCTTGGACAAGGCCATGCCGTTCCTGTTGGAGGATAAGTTGGTTGAAGCTGTGGGGAAGAGTGGGAAGTATGAGAAGAGCGCGGATAAGTGGGGGGAGAAGGTGGTTGTGGATGGAAAGTTGATTACAGGGCAGAATCCGGCTAGTGCGAAGGGATTGGGAGAGGCGGTTGTGAAGGCTGTTTTGGGGAAGTGAGGGTGTTTCCTGACTTCTAAGTTTCTATCGCTCGTGTTTTAGCAAGCTCTTGCTGTTGGGCTATCTGCTTATCTGCTTACTTTCTGAGTCTATCTTTCCCGGCTCCCCTGAATATCAAGAAAGAGCAAAAATAAGATGGAAGCAACATATCATTTTCAATGCCCATTGCCCAGTCATTCTCATTGTTCATTGTCACTATGTACCTGAACCTCTTGGCACACCCAACAATACCCGGCTCTTCACATGGTAGCAAGAAGATACTTCATCCCCTCCCACTGCTCCACAGCCGAAGGCAAGATCTGGGCGGGCGGCAGCACAAAGCCGCCTCCGCCCGAGCCCGTGGGTCGCAGCTCAATGGTCCAGGCATAAGTTGCGTTGGCAACGTCGGTCATGTAGTCGACGGAGCTGCCCGTGGTGGCGTACAGGGTGGAGCACGAGGGCCCGTAGGTGAAGCGGGTGCCGTAGGGCTGGGCGATGCGGGCGGCGACGGCCGAGGCCAGCGTCGTCTGGCGGGCGTGGTTGGCCGCGCGCGCCTGGCAGTTGTAGCCGTAGGGCAGCAGGATGTACTGGCCGTAGCTGTGCCAGTCAATGTACAGCCTGATGCCGTTGCCCTGATTCCGCAGCTTCTGGGAAAAGGCCACGAGCGCCTGGTTCTCGGGCGTGTCGCCCGCCGCCTGGCCCTTGTACGTCTCGGCGCACGGGTTGGTCGAGGCCCCGCCCGAGACGTTCCACATGTAGGGCCAGTTGCGGTTGTTGTCAGTGCCTACGCAGGAGCTGCCCGAGCGCGGCTGGCGGTTCTTGCGCCAGAGCCGGTCGTTGGTCTGCGTGTAGACGAAGCCTAGGAAGCCGTGGTAAGAATAGTGTTCCGGACCTCCATTTTCTTTACGGGCTTGGAGTCTCGGACTTACCGTCCGGGTTGACAACTGGAAGGATGTAAAAGTCGTAGCTATCACGGACAGCCCTGACTGTTGTATCATTATCGTACTGCGTGAGGAGGTTGTAGGTGATGTATTCCACGACCTGGAATATCACTCCGTTCCGTATTAGTGAACCGACACTCTGATGTTTATGGATCGAACAAACCTTTGCGGTGATCCATTCACGGGCATGGACAGTCCCATGGAAATACACCGCCGGCTTGGATCCCTTGCCACCGCTACCCCAGATGTGGATGCCAAAGATACTGCGGCCTTGGTATGAGTTGCCAATGGTGAATATTTCAGAATTCTGAGGGAAGGCGGCCTGCAGGTCGTTAAAGTACTGGACGTGGTCGTTGTAACTGTGATACGAGTCGAACCACGTTAGGCTTGGAACCGCCTGGGCCTCGACTCCTACACTACCGTCAATACCACTCTTGATCGAGCTATCACTTGTTGAGACTGGGAGGCAGCTTTCGTTTCAGTACCTCGGTATGCCGCAAAGCTGCCTTCTTCGGCGATATCAGCGCCCAAGTCCTCATGCATGACCTCCGTCTCTAGTCCGAGAGATTCAAAGGCGGAAATCTGCCCAGGCGGTATGGCCACGTCCAGATGCTCGTCCGTATCGAGGTTGAAGGGCACGGTTGCGAAGCCCTTGAGCTGGGCTTTGACCGAGGCAGCATTGTGGTGCGTCGCGATGCGGTAGACCCTGTATCCATCGTATGAAACTCTGTGTTCCAACTGCGGCACCGCCGTGGCTAGAGCCAGAGGCCCAAGAAGGACGGCGACTGCGGCCAGGAGTTTCATGACGACTGACGAGTTGGGGCTGGCAGAACCAATACAGCGTTCAGCCTATCCAGGATGAACCTGGAGAAGGAGGACTCGGGATGTCGCCAAAGCCGATCTTTGCGATCATCGTGTGCTCTTTTAAATCGCTCTCTTAGCCAAATACTTACATATCCCACCATTCAAGTTCTTGATGTGGCTGGGTCCAGATGCCCAATCCGTTAGTCGTTATGCGTCAGCGGCGTCCTCCCACGCACCCGTCCCCTCGTGCATGGCCTTAGCTGCGTCCAAAGCCGGCGACGACAACGGATACGGGAGGTGTTATCCGCTAGAATGACACGATATTGCGGGATTGCTGGCGGATAAGACGCCAAATAGTGGTTCGCGTGGCGCAGGTGGCCAGTCATGGCCCCCCGAGGGAGGGATAGCTGCCGCATCGTGACATCGAGATGCTGCCAAGTGCCAAGGCGATGGTCAACTGCCGAACCCGGAAAGACCTATCTCTCCGTCATTCATGCTCTGACCTGGGCATCTTCTTGACTGCCGATCTTGGAACACCTTCCTGATGCAGACTTATTCCTCCGATCTGGGGAAGCAGTTTTCCTGGATAGGATGTTTCCTGTGCTATGTAAGGTGAGGTCTGCTCTACCGGTCAGTCCTAAATGAAGGGGAGGCCACACATAATCATCTACATCCTCATAGTGATCAACTTCAGCAGACCCATAGTAGCCTGACTCTGAGCACTCCGAACTGTCGCTCAAGGACCAGTCATCATCGTCTTCATATTTCTTCATCCAACTGCCCTGATGCGCTTTGATCTCCTTCCAAGACATGCCCGGGAAAAGACCTCCAATGTCCGAGGGTCCGGTTGAATCATTAGGCGCCGTTTTCTCTTCGTAATCGACGCCTCTTCCTCGCTTCACAACAACCAATACTTCTTTCCGACGTTCATCGGGGGACATTAGATGTGAATCCTCCATTCGTCCATACATTGCGGCATCTACGCCTGGAGGTAGAGACTGCTTGAACTCAGTCCCGGTGGCGGTGTGCATTACCGAGCAAGGCCGGTCTGGATCGGTCGATCGGTAGATTTTGACGGAGGCGCCAGAGTCTGCACCATCGCGCGCTTCCAAAATTCTTTGCCAGTCTGCAGGCTGTGGCCTGCGGAGGTAGTCATCGAAGTCCAGACCGCGTGAAGTGCTATAAGCGAGCGGCATTGAGGTGTGCGAGATGTAGTAGAGCTCTTTCCACCCATCGCTGTGCTTGATAAGCCAGTCAAGAGTTTGATAGGATATTTTATCCCCACGCGTACCGAGAACAGTCAATCTGTCGAGTTTCAAGCCTGGAAGGAGCTTTAGGGTTGCCGAGAGCCGGTAGGAGACATCGTCCTCGTCCCGGCATAGCATCACAGGGTCGCCGACAACCCGCATGTAGCGGATACTGGAGAGCGTTTCACGGTCTAGATTGGCAAGCTTGTCGAGCATCCATACAGGCTTCTCGAAATGGAACAAAACTTGCCCCAGCCAATTCCTGCCAATCTCTGAGTAGACCCGACGACAGGTGCGGAGTAACGCAAGGCCATTAGGCGCTGGGAGAATGCGCTGACTGGTTATGCTGGTGATGTTTCTTTGGCCTGACGCAAAGCGGGTTGAAAAGAAGACGATGGAGTAGATCTGATCGCGCAATTCTTGCGGTAGTTGCATAAGCCGGCTTGTCTCCTGCGCATCGGCTGGCCTCGATTCAATTTTGAAAACAGAGCCACTCTTGGTGATGGATTTGCTGTTGTTTTTGCTCTTTTCTTTTCCCTTTCCCTTTCCCCTCCCTTGCCCCTGTTCTTTCCGGAGATTTTCTTCTCCGCCATTGTTGGCTCGTCGATGGGAAGTTGCGAGCGATGGCGAATACACTGAATGACGTGAGTTTAGACTTTATTAGAGTGTGGAGGTTGGGCTGCAAACAGTTGAACTTCAAGTTGGCAGGACTGGTTACAGTGCGGTTTAACCTTAGAAGACACTGTAATTGTACTGTACGTATTATAAGTACAGTGAAAAATCACACTACAACTACGAAGTACTGTGACGAATCTCGGTCCCCTACCACTGAAAGGGACTCCTCAGACTGAAGGTTGACTTGAACGGGGTGAGGTTCAGCAGAGCCAAAGGGTCTACAACAAGTGCACAAGCAAGTGTTCACACAGTAGTAAAGACAACTGCTTGCATTGCTTACTGAGGAAGCTATCGTGATGCCCGTAGGCCGTAGAGATCGTGAACTATATACAGCTTCCTCCTTCTGGTTATTCTTTGGACGCTCGTGCTCGCTGGCGTCCATGGGCGACCATGGTCGCTCGCGCTCGCTGGCGTCCCCTGGCGTCCATGCGTCTTTTGGCACTTGTTCCTGATTGGTACTCCGGTTTACTGCATAGCCCCACCAGTCCAAGTTGTATGGTTGGTTCGTGACAGGTACGTAAGACGAAGACCGTTTACTGTAGTCGGATCGGAGCTCTTAACGCAATCTCTATGCCAGGTTCTTACCTGCTTCTGCCGTGGGTGGGGCGCAATGTTTATCGTTACTTTACCTTCCTTTTGAAAAAGGCCGTGTATGTAATCGAGGAATTCTGGAATCTATGTTAGTAGAGAAACCATAGGTGCCCAAACGGAACTGTCTCCCCAACAGTGAGCGGGGGATCCTCGGTCAAAGGATGATGATACCTGCTCAATCACCCATACCATTCAACCGCGTGGTACTAGCATCGTGAGGTGTGAAAGGAAACCCGAGACACGCTTTACAAGAGCATGGTAGTCTCGAGACCCGGATGTCTCTAGTGGACTCGGACTTTGAGTTCTCTCACATGCGCACAAGAACACCGACCAGGCCATCATGCAGCTCCGAGTCAACATACAAGATCATAGCCCAGCGAGGCAAAAAGCCCTGGCCGGTGGTCAACCGCGTTCAGGGGCTTCAGTCGACCCCGTATCTATCATCATGCCGACCTTTGCTCAGGAGGACACTTGTCCAGCCCTGGCCAAACCACGACCAAGTTGAGGCAACGGTAAATGAACAGAACCACTTAGCAAAACCTCAGGTCATACATATGATGAGTTGTGTGCAGTGGCTTGTCATTTGTACAATCGGCAATTGGCCAAAGAGCAAGTCTAACGGAAACAAGAAAGGAAATAAGATGCCCAAACTCTAGCAGCAGTCAGGCTTGCTCCGCGGTTTATGCTCTATCAAGGGCGCGCTGAACCGGAACCCGGCGACCTTCCTTTCTTCCTTTTCGTTCACCACAACACCCCCTTATACTAGTACATCCCGCTCGTTCCCCATGCTAAACCCAAGAGCTTCGTTTAACCCACAACTAGCTTGCCCTCCTCGGGGAAGTCGTACTCGGGAATCTCGAGGTTAAGAGGGGCGGGTCCTTTCCTGATGCGGCCGGAGATGTCGTAGTGAGAACCGTGGCATGGGCAGAACCAGCCGCCATAGTCGCCCGCCTCGCCGATGGGCACGCAGCCCAAGTGTGTGCAGACGCCTGCATCATTTCCCTGTCAGTTGCCTCTGCTCTATTGTGGGTCCCAGGAAGCGGGAAACTGTCGACGTACCAAGCATGACGAGCCATTCCGGCTTCTTGACGCGGTCCTCGTCGGCTTGGGGATCTCTTAATGAGGCGACGTTGACGCTGTTGGCCTCCTCGATCTCGGCCTGCGTCCGGTGGCGGATGAAGACGGGCTTGCCTCTCCACTTGATGATGACCTGTAGCATCCCCTTCTGTGAGCACGTCACATCTCTCTTAACATGCCGGGGTTGTGCAGATCCTTACGTTCTTGCCCTCGGGGATGGCATTGAGGTCGACCTCGACCTTGGCCATGGCCAAGACATCAGCCGAAGCGGACATGTTGACGAGAAACTCTGCCACCCGCGTCAGCTTCCCTTCCTTCATCCCATTGCGAGCATCCTTTTGTTCCCCCCTCGGCTCCGCAACCAAGTGACCAGTCGAGGATACACCCAGTCCCATACCCAACCCTTCCCCACAGAGCAGGATCTACTCACCCTGGATAGTCGACTTCGCCCCCGCCGCGGAGATGGCACCGAGGGTGCCCACCATAAAGTACGAAAACAGCGCATTGGAGCTGGTGGAACCCTTGGAGAGGTACTTTGAGAAGTTGGGGACTTTGGTGCTCTTGCTCTCACCCTTGAACGGGCTCTCAAAGGTTGACGAGGAAGCAGCGGCGTCGCGGAGGGCAGGTGATGAGCTCATGGTGCGGAGTGCCGTTGTTGTGGTGCCCGTCGTCGCGGCCGGGAGCTGCCGCAGAGAAGACCGCGCGAGGGCGCGGGACACGGTCGAGAGGGGCGCCATTGTGAAACTGTTTCGTGAGCCGGTAATGTGCGGTTATCGCGGCGAAGAAGACCGGCGCGAGGGTGTCCGTGGGCGGGTTGAGGGGAGAGGGCGGGCCGGAATGGTGCGATGTGGTGATGCCTCTTGACACCGGGCGAAGGCGCACTGGTGAGGTTTTTGCTGGAATCTGGGCCGAGAACTGGTGTTTCCACCTTTCCCGGCTTTGCAGCTGGCCCGAGAGAAGCTGCTGTGGCCTAAGGCAGGCGCCGGGTGCAATTAGCTGGGTGCTGATTGGTCAATGGCACTCCGGCTTTTCCCGCGGCTGCTCGCCAGCTGCCGACATGACAGCCACTGTTTCAATGACAGGATGGGGTTGCCACCACCAGGATCTGACACTTCAGCGACGTTCAGACGGACAAGACAGCGATTGCGCAGGAGCCAGTTGGCGAAGTTTGGAACTGCCTGTACAACTAGCTTTACATATTCTTTTCATTTCCGAGTCAGCTCCAGCCTGAAGCACCCGACTTTACCGATCAATGCATGCGCCGAAGCTCCTCCACCATATTCCTCATATCCTCAACACTCGGACCCAGACCCTGGCAGATGGTCTCCTGAGTCGCTTCATCTACATCTAAAAACCTCTCTAGCAATTCCCCGTCCAAGAACCGGAACGGCCCATCTCCCTCGCGTTCCGCGTTCCTGAACGCCCGATAACTCCTGAATTCGATACCTCCCGCCGTCTGGATGACGTCTGCTAGCTTTGACTGGAATCGTAACAGTAGGTCTTGAGCATGCGGTGCAACGGTTCCGAACATATATATGCCGCCTTCGACCTGTAAGGCGACAGATAGTCAGCAAGAATTCCCAATCCGAGACAAACCTCATTTCGGTTTAGACTGTGTACTCACCGTTCCCAAAAATGCCTTTGGGATGATAATTGCCCCTGGCGATGTCTCAACCGTAAGCCCAGATATCCTATTCACCATCTCCCCTAGGTTCATCTCGCTAGTGACCTCCATCCTCTTCTTATCCTCGGCCGTAACGCCCTCCAAATTGCGTCTCAGCACCATGAGGTTTCCTTGAGCGTCTGCTTCGAGCCATGAGTCGCCCTCCACATGACACACCGCTGTCGCCCAGGCCGATTGGTAATGCCTTGCCCGCTCGACGAGCTTCGGGGTTGAGCTTCTGTTCTCATCTCCGCCCCCGGAAACGTACTCCACCAGCGATATTGACTTCATCAAGTCCGCCACGGCAATCATGTTGCCTTGCACCGCGAGATCAACGGGATGTGTCGAGGGCCGGTACGAAGCGAGGCGTGTGAGCTGGCCCGTCGTAGTAGAGGTTTCCTCATACTGGAAGACGACGACTGTCTTGGTCAGCGCTGCCACGATTTTGCCATCCATGATGGCTAGGCGGCGACAAGCGCCCTTGAGTCCGTGGCTGAGGATCTGGTAGGGGTTCCTGTCACTGTCGATGCCGAACAAGAGGATGCGACCACGGGAGTCGGTGCCGGCTGCGAATTCCGGATCGGGCAGGAAGCCCGTACCGACGACGAACCGTTCCGCGGGATTGCCGTACGAGTCGACCAGCTCGGCGCGAATGACTGTCTCGACCAACTCCGTGTAGGAAGGTGAGCCCAGTTGGAACTCCTTGCCGACCCTGTCAAATATGACCTCATCAACTAGTTTGAACGAGCTCTGGACCACTTCTTGGCCGCCGGCAAGCTCTCTCCTTATGCATCCGAGGCCAAACACTTTTTCCTTTGGCGAGTAGGCGATGCGACGAACCATCTCCCCCATCTCCAACGTGTTGACGTGCGTCCGTCTCTCGCGGTCAATCTGGGAAACCTTAATTTGCAAGTCTGTAGCCAGGATTATACAATCGGGGAACGCTTCGGCGTCGAAGGGGCACACGTAGGTGGCCTGGTCGGCTGTCACAGCCGAGTAGACTATCCTCCCTTCAGAGCCATATATCAAGCTAGGATGTTCCGTTGTTGCAAAGATGCTGAAAACGCCGTCCGGTTGTGGTAGGAGATGTAATCTAGCTTGCCGCATTCCGAGTACGACTCGTTTTCTACCCGAGAGAGCCAGATCCGGCAAGATGTTAAAAGTGACGACGTTGCCGTCTTGCATCGCAACGAATAGGGTAGGCCCGGCTGTCTGGGGTGGTAGTATCTGGACGAGCGCCAGATCGCGAGGTATTGAAGCATCATTTTTGGACGTGCGAAGTGATTCTCCATGTACTGGCTCCAAGGAATTTAGGTTGATGATGGACACGGTCCCTGACGTCCAAAAGCCCACCACGGCGACATCACGTAACTGAGGGGCCACGTGGAGACACGCAACATGGTCCTGGTTGCTGATGTCCTTTTCGCGCACCACCTTCAGATCATTAGGTATACTCATGGAGACAAGCGCGGTGCCATCAACGGACAAAAGGAGCCAGTGGGCGTTGGCTGATGCGTGTAAAATACTCCTCTCTCCGTCCGGTGCCCACGACGCTATCGTGAGACCGCTCTCGGCATCGAGAAGGGTGGCAGCCGCTGTTGTGACCTGTAGGAGCTGTCCACCCGGCAGATCCATAGCCAATAGCGTCTGCTGGTTGAACACCATACCAGAGAACGATTCTACCTCCTCAATTTCGCCTTGTGGATCAAACTTAAACACCCGCGTCTCAGTCAGAAGCGAGACTGCCAAGGCGTCCGTCTTCTGGGAACCGTGAGATCTAAGGGGGAAAAGCCCGCGACAGTGCTCCAGGTCAGCAAGAATGCCGATATCCTCCAGACCGACACCGCTCCGCACACTCCGAAGCGTCCCGTCCTTGTGCACGCCACTGCCGGTAACAATACGGGCCTGACCGGATGAGTACTCATTGCCCAATTGGCCATCATCACCCCTGTTTCCCATGTCCATTATAGCAAAGTCTAGAATTGGGCCGATGTTCGGGAGGGTCTGGACGAGGTGCAGGTACTGGCCATCGCTACTAAGGAGATCTAGCCGAAACAGCTGGCTATTTCCGTGGTGGGATCCGACAAATAAGAGGTTGTTTCCGAGATAGACCAGGTTGCTGGCGCGAGACGTCCTGCCAATCTTGAACACATCCATCCCGGTTACGACGACGCCGTCGGTGTTGATGGAGAGCAGATGCAGGCTCCCATAATCGTCGGCTAAGAGGTAGTGCAACACGTCATACTCGGCCCATGCCACGAAAATGCAAGCCTCCTCCAGGCCTGATTCGACCGTAGTTTTAGTGACTTCGTCGATGTAGAGCAACCTTATCTCGCCCACCACTATTAGGCCGCCGACATGTGCTTTAGCCGACTCGACGTTCCGTACATTGTGACGTTTAACTTCCTCTTCCACCTTCCGAACGGGTATTAACATGGATGCGCCCGCGTCTTGAATCTCCATGGAAATCTCCCGGTCGCGGGTAGCGTCGAACCGGGAAGCGACGGTGTCCCGGTCGTCCGATGTAAGCCGATAGACAGCCAGTTGGGAGTCCTCCGAGTCGGAGCGGTCCTGGTAGAGGAAGGCGATTTTGGGATGTCCCGTTTCGGTGTAGAGGAAGGTGCTCGCCTTGATGAAAAGCTCATGTAATCGCACCTGGTCCATCCACTCCAGTGTCATGGCCGTGTTCTTCCTGTTCCCCAATCGCAATATTGTCAACACCCCTTCCCACAGGTGCATCGCCAGATATCTCCCCGACGGATCGACCAGACATTTATCTTGGCTCTGTGAATCGCGCATATGACGCTCGCCTGGGTCCTTGAATGGATCTATAGTGTCAAGTTGCGATGTCTGAGCGTTCCATGCCAGCGTAAAGTATTCAAACCGCTCTGTGCCAATGAATAGAAGATCGGTGTGGGAGTATATTGGTCGGAGCTTCTGGAGGATAGAGATGGTGCCGTTGACAACTTTCGAATGGGCCAGAACGAGCATGCCCTCAGAAAGCCGCCATATCTCTAGTCGATTGGCCTTTCTTGCCTTGCTATTAGCAATTGCCAGCTGAGAAAGAAGGCGAAATGGGAGGTCCTTACGCAACCACCAGGCTCTCCTCATGAGCCGACAGAAGGCGGGTGAGCAGCGCATGCCGCACGCTGCTGGGCCGGTGGATTGGAGCGATGTAGGCCATCTCGATAGAATATGGCGACCGCGGCTTGTAGCTAGGTGAAGGCGGTCATCACATCGGCAAAGCTGCGTGAGCATAGGAGACGACGGTTCGTTCGGTGATGCAATGGCCGGAGATAAGATTGCAGCTCCAAGCCATTGCCCGCAAATCCGATGCCCCGCGCTGTCATTGGAGATGCAAGGACATTGGCCAATCGGGTTCACGAATAATGGAAAGTGGGTGGGTCCAGCTGACTTAAACGTTGTGTATCCTGAGATCCTCCCTCGCCTCCTAGGCGTGGAAATCCACGACATCTTAAAGTTGTCAATCTTCAACGCCTCGGCCCACAATCTGAGCACATTGAAAACAGGTAACCCCCGATTCCATTTGTGGATGAGAGTCTATTGATGTCACATACGGAGCTCAACTATGTAAGTATGTATACATATATCATGTACGAACTCTGGTGGACGTTAACCACTTTAATGGTCCAGCCAGGCAGCGAATGCTGAAAGGCTAACAAGCCGGAAGCACTTTGAAATGGCATGATGGTTTCTTCCTGGCTCCCTGAGCAGACCTCCAGAGTCGCAGAGAGATTTGGTTCATTGCCAGGAGCCAGTTTGATGATACCATGGACTCTGTAGCAGTCAGTAGTCAGCATGGGCGAGCCAGGGGAACGCAGCCCAAGAATGAAAACTCGATATCCGTATAACGACGACTCTACGCCATCGAATTTTAAGCTATGCTCTTTACCCACGCTTCAAAAGACGCTTGTCGCAGCTCATGACCGGTGCTCGAACTTTCGTTCCGTGCCAATGGAGCAAATGAGCAATGTCGAAGGTGCTCATTTTCGTATACTTTTGCAACGCATTGACCAAATCGCGGCCCCTGGTCCGTGCTCCCCTGGCCACCAAGAGACCAAGACCAGCAAGTGAGACTGTGAAACAGGTAGTGTGCCATGTTCCGTCTGATCAGATCTTAACCGCCATAGCGACATCGTCTGAAAAAAGGAGGGTTCCGAATCAAACAAGGTTCGCGCCTGCCAAACGCGTTGCTTAGCGACGGTTTGGGGGGATTCTGTCCCTTCCCCACAGATGAGATGGCGGAACTGCCTGACCGGTACCTACACGAGAGCAACGTCCGTCCTGCTCTTTCCTATCTGCTTTCTGGGAGGGGCCTCTCTCCGGGTCACCTTCCTCGTCTTCTTTGGAGTCTTTCATAATGCCTTCTTTCGTTTTGGCACACGTCCATTTTCATCAGGCATCACGTTCCGCCTATCATCGCGTTTCCACGCCTTTTCGAGTAGAGTGACGTCTGCCAACAAGATGCGCAACACCTCGCTAAGACTCTCCGACAAGGACCTGCCGCACCCACAAGGCGTCGACAGGGTTCCCCCATACATACCATTGGGTAGCACGAGCATGTTGGGACGACCCTTGATGAACGGTTCCCGTTCCGGAGTTCAGTACAGCCGACCTTGCTTCCCAGGGCAGCGGCTCGCGCTCGTTGAGTCCGGCACAATCCTGCCCCTGTCACGGTGTCATAGTCTTCCCGCCTCTTCTGATCGCTGGTACGTGTCGAGCTGCTTCACAGGTTCGCAACCGAGATCCACATGATCCATACTCATCATGAGGTGACACATCCTGCCCCGTCACTCTGGACGCTCGCGTATCCTCGTGGCTGGTTGCTTTATGCTTAGTACCTCCCGTACCTGGTACTGCGTCGTATAAAAGATCATCGCAACTCATCCCACGAGGCCTTGATCTGTTTCTCTTTCCTCACGCTCCTTCAAGTTTCGATTCCCTCTTTTGAGTTCTGTGAACTTTGCTTTTCCATACACTCTTTTAGCTTTATCATTCTCTTCTTCAACAGGCCGGGCCTCTTTGTGGTTTATTCAAATTATCTGCACTACGTCTATCCTTACGAAGGTACATATCGCTAAGTACACGAATCATGAAGTACGGAGCTACTCTTGTTGCCCTCGCGGGCATTGCCTCGGCTCGCGAGATCCCCATCTATTCGGGCGAGGTCGCCAAGCGCGAGGTGCCACAGGAGCACTCGCATGAAGCTATTCTCCGCGCCACCAACATTGCGCTGAAACTGAACAACCCTCTCAACATCCTCGACGCCGTTTTTGCGCTCCTGGGCAACGCGGCCGCCGCTACCGGTGCCCCGGAGGTTGAGAATCTGGACTGCCTGCAGCAGATCGTTGCAGACCAAGCCTTCACGAATGCCAAGGAGGCCGGTGATCTCGATCTCCAGGTCAACGCCATCCTCTTCCGCGCCCTGGAGCGGAACACGCTTCAGGTTGGCTTGGCTAGCGTCCTTTGTAACGAGACGGCCGTCAACCCTGAGATTGCCAATATCCAGCAACACCAGGATCCTGCTTCGCCAGAGGCCGTTAACAATGCTGCTATCGAGCTGGAAGTCGCAAAGTCTCTGGCTTCAATTGGGGCGGATCCCCTTCTCGCCCTTCAGAGTGCCACTTTTCCCCCTGGCGAGGTGAGCTATCCTATGTCAATGGGTAAGCAAGCAGCTGAAGCTAACACGGTACAGATCGGAGACCCAACGGCCGCAGGCAACACCTGCAATGATGAGAACGACGCTGTCGGCTGCATCATTAGCCTTGGTCTCCTTACCCCAGCGGTGAGCGAGGAGGAAATTCAAGCCGCCGTGGCTGGCGTCGAGGCTGGCGCTGGCGCTGATGCCGGTGCAGATGAGGATGCTGGTAAGCCACATGTCACGCAATTTTCCTCGCACTAGAGTTGGCGCTCACTACTGGCAATAAAGCTTGCGAGGAGGAAGACGCCAATGAAGACGTGAACCAAGATGCCGACGACAACGCCAACGAGGATGCCAACGAGGAGGCTACCGGCACCGTTAATGTCCAGGCCTTCACTGGCACCCTCGGCGGCGCCGCACCGCCTGTTGTCAGCAGCGCCGGCGCCGACCGTCCCTTTTCGGTTAACGGCGCTACCTTCCTGAACGCTGGGGCTGCGATCCAACGCTCGTGCGCTGTGCAAAAGAATGCTTGTGCCAACGCCGCCAATGCCGGGCAGCTCGAAGGGGGTACCCAGCAGTGCGACGCCCAGGAGGATGAGTGCCGCGCCGCCAACAACCTGAGAAGGGTGCGCCGTGGCTCCGCTCGTCGTCAAGCTGGGGCTCTCGATTTCGGCAGCTGTGGCAGCCCGGCGATTCAGTTCGCCGTGGGTCTGGATGGACGCAGGGAGGCGAGCTTCCAGAACGTAAACACGGCTGATTTCAACCACGGGTCGGCACAGAACATCCGCATCATTGCCGATTTCACGTGCGACCGCCTTTCGAGCTCATGCGGGGCAGACGAGGCGACGGTGCAGGCTTGCGAGGCTGCCTCACAAGCCGCCCAGGGAGCGAGTGGTCAGGCCGCGGCCGACGCGTTCAACTCGGCCCTTGGTGTCTCTGCTTAGGCATGAACTTTGTTGTGGTGAGGATTATAGGGGCCTTTTTGTAAGAATTGATATGACTACGAATGGAATGTAAATTTTCTCTTCTCTTACTCTTGAAACCCGTTGCATTGCTAAGGAATGGCTATGGTAATGACATGCCTTTGGAATAGCTATTGTAGCTTCTCGCTCCAAGACATTTTATATTACAGTACGAAAAGATGTTCTCTTTTATATATGAGACGGTACCTTAACGTTGCTTGCTGAAGCTGGGAATGTGAATGCATGACTGAATGGCCCGAAGCTACGTCTCTTCAACCCCCAGTTCGACAAGCAGAGCTCAATTCACTGGACCTGCGAGTGGCAAGCCGAAAAGAGAGCGGCACACAAAAATGCCAGCCTCAGACAGCACAGATTAATGCTCAGGCAGGATAAGAATAGAGATGGCAGGTTGCAACATCATGGTGATGTGCGTCGCTTGGTCCGCCTGGCGAGTGCTTGGGGATCATGTCGATCAGGAGCGACGTGTAAGCAAGGAGTTCCCCTGAACGTCTTCTGAAGTTGCGCGGTTAAATACCAACATCCAGTTCAGTGTAGTGCAGGTATACTAGGACAGGACGATGCAAACTCAGGAATCGATATACCAGACATGGCATTTGCACGCTCGATGCGTAGGTTGATCATTAGGTCGCGATACAAGTAGATATATATGTGTGTATCTTCTAACCAAGGATGAATGTATAGGTACAGTACAAGCTCCAATCTAGGCATACGTGATTGCGATGCAAGCACTTTTCCGTTTTCCAAGTGCAGTGTGTTACGCGGATACCAGGTGCCGGTGCCACCCACCCCTTCAGAACATCTCCCATAACGGGGGCGGCAGGACAAGCCGACTTGGCAGGTTTTGCTCCATCTGCTTCTGCTTCTGCTTCGACTTCTGCATCTGCGCTTGCTTGACCCGCACATAGACGACCCGCCGCGCCGGGTTGCCAACCGTAACCGACTTGGAGTCGAGGCCGTAGTAGTCCGAGATGGAGTGGGTAAGCCAGCGCCTGTGGCGAGATGTGCAGGCACGAGCCAGTGGTAAGTAAATGGCAGTAACAAGAGAGAACGAATGAAATGCAAAAGGAAGAGGCAAGGGGAAGGGGAAGGGGAAGGGGAGGAAGGGCCAACGCACTTGAACGCTCCACCGGCATCATCCCCAAGTGTATCCAAAATCAGACCCTTTTCCTCCTCCTGGACCAAGCCCTTCAAATTGGTCTTCTTCTTCTCCTCCTCCTCCATCCTCCGCACAGCGGCAAGGGGTCTCTTCCCCGCTACGGAGGACGACGAGGAGGACGACACCGGCTTACCGTCCCTTGTGCGCAGCCCGTTGCGCCCTACAAAGACAATCTCCTCGTCATCAGGATCCGTCTCGTCACTCCGGTCCCCATCCTCAACCTCCCTCACCGCGTCACCCACAACAGCTGCAGCTACACGCCGCTGCTCAAGCACAAACTGCCTCACGGGCTCCTCAAGTACCCGCAACCACGACTTGACGGCAGGGGTGCGCTTGGCTGTGGCGCGCAGGTCCCGCGGAACGTGGCCCGCCACCGCCTCCACCTCCGGCCCCGGCAGAGCGCCCTCTGCTGACTCTGCTGCCGCCGCCGGGTAACCGCGGCGTCGGGCGGTCGCAGCAATGGCGGCCTTGGCCTTGCGCTCCTCGGCGCGCTCCCGCAGCCCCTTGTCCCAGTACTGCGCCAACTGGTACGGGATGGTCCCGTGCACCGGGTAGGTGGGGTGGACCTGCCAGTCTGACGGGAGAGGCGGTTGCACGTTGGGGACGTGCAGCAGGCGGTCTGCAAAACAAGGGGTGGAAGTCAATTAATTGGGTGACTGATTACGGTACCTTGTAGAGGCGGGACTCGGGCAGATAGGGAGGGAAAGAAAATGGAGTTTGGTCTGGGCATTGAATAGAATGGGAAAGAAAAGGAATGGGACGAGACGGGATGGGATGGAGGGAGGAAGAAAACCGACCGTTCTCCCATCGCCTCCGCTGCCGGCTACCCTCCTTGCCCTTTAGCAGCGCCTCACGCCTGCGCATGCTGTCGCGGCGAGAAGGCAGCCGGCGCGGCGGCGTGATGCCCGCGCCGTACCCGGCGTCGTCGCCGTCAGTCGTCTCGCCAAAAGCGACCCCACGCAGCCTCATCCGGGAGGTCACGTCGTCGCCAGCATGGTCATCGTTCTCGGCCGGCTTGCCTTGGTTGCGGTGGCTGCCGTCGAGCGGGATGGACAGGGTATTGCCCGTGCCCCGAGCAATTGGTGCAATGCTCAGCGATTCCAGCGCCGCAACGGTCCAGGCCTCGATGTCGACGGTCGCGGTCGAGGCATTGGAGACGGTGTGCTGATGGAGGGGCTGAGGTGGATGCGTGGGCTGCGGATGATGAAGCGGTTGACTCGGCTGCCCATGGTCCACGTCCTCGCCGGGGGACAATGGGTTGCGTGTTATAGCCATTGGATAGAAATTTGCTCCTCTTCTGTCGTCAAATGCAAACCTTGTGTGTTAGGAAATCGGGACACGAGATCGACACGCTGAAGAGCCCACAAGGTCCTGAGCGCGTAAAGTGGCGAACCAGATTCCCAATGCCGAGGTGGATTCCAGGCTTATCACTGGTCCCAAATGAGGTGATAGAAGGCGTCTGTCTAAAGTGTAGTTGGGCAGTGAGGAAGAGTCTTGAAAAATAAAAACCACAGACAAAGAAGAGAAACTCCCGAATCCTCCTCTGATCCCGCTGCAGCAGCAAAATCTTCCCAAAGAGGGAGTTTTGAAGTGTGGCAGGAAGAAGAAGGAAGAGGTCCGAAGTCATTCATCGCCGACATGACACATTGATCGCAGCCCGTGCTATCAGTGGGGAGTCAGAACCGACCAATCGGATGCTCAGCGCAAGCAACGGGCCCCAAAGCTGATTGCGCACCCGCTATCCCCCCCGAAAGCATGATCGATGAGTGGGACTTGGCGCAGGGGGGCCTGTGACTCCAAAGTGAACATCAACGCCAGCCAGAGACCGCATAACACTCGAGGAAGGAATTGTCTGCGATATTTCAAGCCAAAACTGGCGAAAATATCCAATGACCAAATCAATGTGGTATCCGCGGGCTGTCTCTCAAACTCCATGGTGGAAATCCGGCCTCCTCGTGTATAACACCTTCCATTACGGCACCCTGCTCGTATTAGCCAAAGATAACTCCCAACCCTCCCGCAACAGCTAGGACCATCTATTCTGCCCCAGCCCATTGAGGCTGCTCCTCAACTCCACTCTCCCCTTTTTGACCTCATAAACGGGAGTTTCCTTCTTTTCCCTGGATCGCCCTGCTTCTTCACTACTATCAGCCTCTTCGACATCCTCCAGCCTCTCCATGCCTGCCGGTCGCCCAGTCAAGAAGCCTGCAACGCTGTTCCTGACACTAGTCTGGACCTCTGCGCTCTGCTGCCCGGCATTGACCTCGGAGAAATTCCCGATCCCGACCATCCTCCTGCCGCTCGCCGTGCTGCGGCCCCTTGAGCGACTCAATGACGACGAGCCAGGTAACCAGGCAGTCAGAAAGCTTGGCAGACGCCAAGAGCCAGCACTATTTGGCCGTCCACCCTTCCGGCCACCCCGTAGCCGTCGCCTGAGCATGACAAAGGTGACGGCGATCAGCGCGATCGCAGAGATGCTGCCCACCACCGGGGCAGCAACCCACGCGTTGCTTGAGCTCGTGTTGCCCGCGTCTTGACCAGCCGTCCCGGGAATGACAGTTGAGGATGTCGGGGGGCTTCCGACGCCAGGAAAAATGAATGGTGGTGTTCCAGGGGACGGGGAGGATGATGGTGGCGCGCCTGTTACTAAAGGAGCTGATGGCGTAGCCAGGAGGGTTGTGGTTGCTGCGGCCGAGGATTCAGGCGCCGCGACGGCGGCCGACGAATCCGGAGGGGCTCCTCCTCCTCCAGGCGGTGTGAAAAAGACGATGTCGTTGACTGACCCAGCTGGGGCGCCGGATGGAGAAGGGAGGGGAACAGTTGACACGCCAGGGTCTGTGTCTTCGGAAGGAACCTGAGCACCGTTCACTACCATGGCGGTATCGGTACGTCGGTCTGCTACGATGGCGCTGGGGGCGATCCCGTCTGTTTTGAGGTAACAGTTCTTGAATCCCTGATCCTGGCTTGGGTCAAACGTCACGGCTGCACATCCAGTCGTTGACGCGCATTGGCCCATGCAGTCCTGGAAGGTAGGCGCGAAGTTCTGGCTGATGTCGTTTCCAGCGATGACAAAGCCGCACATGACTGTGAACGCAGTGCCGAGCGCCTGCTGTTCTCCCTGTAGCGTCGGGCAATTCGAGGTTGCACCTGGGAAAAAGCCAATGGCAGATTCCATCCTTCTTGAGCGACGCTGCTCAGGCCGTGCCGGTGCCCTTAAGGTACAGCGCGAGCCGTCAAACGAAGCGCCCTCACATTTGGGGTGGTGCGAGGAGCAAAGGTCAACGCACGCCGTGAAGTCGAAGGCGTCTAGGATGGTGAGTACATTGCCCTCGAGATCTGTGTTGCAAAACACCGTGAAGTTTTGGAAGGTGCCAATGGTCGTTCCATCTCCTCCCGGGCAAGGTGCTATGTTCTGTCTCCGGTTCACCCTCGCCCTCTCAGCAGCAAGCAGTCCGCGAGGTAACATTGTTGGCCCAGACCCGTTGGCGACGACGTAGATGATGCGTATATGGGCTAATCAATAACGGTTGCGATATATCTCTAGTACACTAGACGGCAAACATTATGAGTAATCGACGGTCGGATATCGAAGCGTAGGTTTTGCAGAACAAAGAAACGGAGAGGAGAAAAAAAGGCAAAGCGGACGGCTAACAGGCATGCTCGGCCCCCTTATACAGAAATGGGAGCACGGCATCACGAACCATAGGCCTTCAGCCGAAAGGGTGTGGGAAGGAGGAAGCAACGACGCATATCGCCCAGAGCGGTGCTCGCTGACGGTAGACATGATCGACTTTGTGCCAGCGGCGAGCCGGCTGATGCTGTTTGAAATGCACCCATAAGAATCGGCGTGGCTATTCAGCGCGCCGCCGTGAGAGGGCATGCAGACGTAAGTAGGGTCGCGGGTAAAATGCAACATGAGACATGGCAGGAGACGAGGCTCCGACCGACATGTTCCAGGAACGGAGATCCTTGCAGCAACCCGCGTCCATTCCGTGATTCAAGTAGGCGCTTCCCAAATGGAAGCAATCCCAAGCCGGAACATTTAGAAAACAAAAGTCTGACGACCAAGCCGCTGCTAGCGTTCGGAAAATATTTTGATGTTGAGGGGTGTTGGCGAAGACGACCCAGCCGGATATTTTTCATGGGGGATCGAGTAACCGATTTGGAGGGACAAAGCCGCAGCGTATCGCCAGGAACTCGATGGGAGAAGGTAAACGCAAAGACGTTGACTTCATCCCGCATCGCCCCGCAGGGTCTGTGGCACCTGCAGGAACCGATCGGGCCCGTCTGCAAGGAGACACTCTCCAAAGATGCGGAGGAAGCACAGCCGCACCCTCGCAAATGGAAATTGAACGCATGGCCGTTCTCAACAAGCTTCCCCAGAAAGATCAGCTGTGAGAGCCTAGGGGTTCCTGTCACTCGACCAAGAATGCAAGGGTAGTTTGCAGTCCGCTTTTCCAAGCGCAACCTTGACCAGAGGCGCGATGTGAAAAACATGCGGGCTGGTTAGTTGAAGAGATGGTTGAGTCTCACCCAGGAGAGGGACTGTAAAACACAAATGCCCAATCACATGGGGACTGCGGGTTCAGCGTGCCCTTGGTGTTTATAAGGCGCACTCTCTATTCGGCGTTGGAGCGAGACTGTATGCCCGCCCAGAGTACCCCTAACGCTTACACGAAAAGTGGCCGTCAGATCTCGGAGCAATCATGAGGCTGAAACTCAGGATACTCACATTACATTGGGTCATGACTCCACTGTTGGTCCAACATCTATCCATTACGTTGAAAACCCCAAGTCGCAATACCCCAGACCATCCTGTTAGCGCTACCGCTCAGGCAGAGCGCAAGGATGTTCTAAGTTGAACAAGTATGCCTCTGGTTTTCCTATGTTTCTGAGAAGCGAGATGCAGGTGGAAGCCGCAGCGTCAGTACGGAATGTCCTTTCGGTTCTCCTAGTCCCGGTTGGTATCGTAGTTTCGGTGGGGATCACCAATGCCGCCAGGCTTCAGCAGGGGAGTCGTTTCAGCAGCTGCGTCGCTATCCTGACGGTCCATGACCCTAAGCAACTGTTCTGGCGTCGTGGCGTAGTGCTCAGGGTGCGCCGTGTATCGACCAGGAGTGTCGTCATCGAAGCCGTTAGCATGCAGATGCGATAGGTTTTGCCTTGGGGAGGCAGTGGCCGACTTGACCGCACCATGGCTGCGTGCCTGAATCTCGTAGTAAATGGCCAGGTACAAGAGGATGCCCTGCATGGTAGCCGTCAGGAGAAAGATACCCCAAGAGCTCCATCCGGCCCAGCCAAGCCGGGCAAACAGGCTTGCTGCGAAGACAAAGCCGCCAGGGGTCTGAATGCACATCATTGGGATGCTCAAGCTGCCGACATGCTTGATGTGGTACGTTGTCCAGATCTGTGGAATATACTGTACGCCCGCAAGCAGAGCGGCCATGACGCCGAGAACATTGGCCCAGATAGAGAGGTGTTCCCGCGCCACTGTAGACAAGATCCCCGTGATTATGATGACGGCAAGGCCGTGTAGGAGGGTCAGAGATGCTACCAGCAACGCCGTCTGCCACCCCGGCTGATGCTCGTCCAACTCTTCATTCTCTAAGTCCTCGGTCGGGCGGTAGCGGAAGAAGACGAGGAAGAGGACAAAGCTAGAGATGTCCGGTTAGTCGTTGTCGGCAGCAGTCAGTCATCAGAGAACCCACATGAAAGTGAAGCAGATCCACTGAACTCCCATCTGCGCAATACCCAGCAGACCCGCGACGCAATGGAATGTCTCGAGCTCTTTGCAGCAGGCCACATCCTGGCGGGACTTTGGAAGAAGGAGGATGTTCGCAAAGGCTGATGTTGCAGAGGTGGTGCCGAGAAGGACAAAGTAGGGAGAGATACCCTCGGATGTGCGCCGCTGGATGATGCGGACATGCTGAGGGAGGTAGCTAATCAGCATGCCAATGACGATGACGCTGTGGAACAGTCAGCAGCAAACAGGGTTGCGGGACGAATCGGCCGTACATCGAAACAATGAGATTAACAATGCTAAGATCGCGGAGCTCTTCGCAGCGATCGTCTCCAAGGAAGGAAACCATCTTGACGGGACGGCACCTCGGCGACGCGACGTGCTGGACGATGTGGGCGAGTCGCTTGCTTCTCAGGAAGCCCGCGAGAGCTGAAACCTTGAGGTGATCCAGCTACTGGAAAACACCAGGCGCGCTATCAATATTCTCGCCTGATGGAGGGCTCGTCTCGAAACAGCGGAGATGGAATGAAGATTTGCAGGAAGTCGGGCTGTCGGGTGAAGGAAGGTACGGAGGAAAGAGCGAGGTCCGAAGTAGCTCTGCTGGACCTGCAAGGTTTCGTGGAGCTCCTGGCATGGGTGGTTCTCGGGCTGCCTGCCGGTTGGTTTGTTCTGCAAAGCTGCAACTTGACGAATGGGTGGAGCTGCAGTGCAGGGCTGGTGACTGCCGAGAGTGGGGGTGGTCCACTGTAGCGCAGTGTCCGTATTGGTTTCCAGTGATCTGCAAGCCCCTGTAAAGTTAATATTATCTGCACTTCTGGAACTTCGTTGTCATTGTCAACATTCTGTTAGATGCATCATCAAACACATCAATCTCCTTTTTGCCAGTTGGGGTAGATGCAGTTTCTTTGAGTTCTAGGGATAGTACACAAAATTTCATGATACAGATCTGGCTGAGGCCAAAAGATGGGCCAACCTTCACTCAACCCCGTAGCTTCCTGCTACAACCCAAACGGATGGCAGCCACCGCGAGGAAGGCGTGAGACTCAGGGGTGCGATCCCTTCTTCAAAAGTGCACAATGGTATGTTATTTTCTCTTACTTAGCATAAACTCCTTCCATTGCTAACAACTTCCCAGGTCAGCGGACGGCACAACCCTCTTCACATCATCGTCTTCAAACCGCATATGCACCTTTGTCCTGCCCGAGAATCTCCTCGAGCCGCGACAAGGTCCGATCACCCTTGACGTACACGGTACCCTCGTGCTCCCTGAGCCGACCAGTGCTATAGCCCCATGTCCCTACTTTGCCCTCGAACACCCCTCCACCCAAGTTCTCCTGACGGCCAGCACCGACCACCCCATCCATCTCCACCATGCCTTTCCCCCTAGGCCAGCATCAGCTTCATCGTCACTATCCTCTCCACCGTCTCCCTTTGCAACCACAACACCCGATGAAGACGACAACGACGGCCAAGAAGATGCCCCGACCGAACACCAACCCAAACTGCTCGCCTCCTTCCACCTCATCAAACAAGAAACCGAAGCCTACCTGCCCGTGACTTCCCTGATCTGGCCGCGCCCGGGCACGCACTTTATCGCCGGCACCGCCAACCTGCTGGCCGTGTACGATGTCTCGCGGCCCGCCTCGACGCCCCTGCTCTCTGTCCCGACCATCCCCTCCACGCGCCACCTCGCCAAGGGCGGTGGGGTCGGCATGCGCGGGACTGTCGCTGCGCTCGCCGCCGCCTCCCAGCCGGACGGATTGGGATGGGGCGTCGTCGCCGCGGGCACGTGGACAAGGAACCTGGGCCTGTACGACCTCGCCCGTGCCGGGAGCGGCGCTTGTATCGCCACCTGGAGCGTTGCCCCCGCCGCGAAAGAGGCCGGCGTGGGGGGCAGGGGCGTGGTTCAGACGGTGTGGTCGCCCTGTGGGAGATACTTGCTCATCAATGAGCGCGGAGCCAACGGGTTGTTGGTGTACGACGTGAGGGGAAGACATCGATTGCTGGCTTGTTTGGAGGGGAGAAGCGGGGAGACAAATCAGCGATTGAGTTGTGACGTGTTCCGTGGGAGTGAAGAGACCGGTGGGTTTGAGGTGTGGGCAGGGACCAAGGATGGAGGAGTTGTCTTGTGGGAGGGGGTTGGGAATTGTGACGGCGGTGTCGCTCCGTCCTGGGAGTGGAAGGTGCATGGCTCGGCCGTGGGGAGCACGGCAATGCATATGAGTGGATCGGTGGTAGCGACGTGCTCTGGGTCGTGGAAAATCGCAGATGAGGACTATTACAGCTCCGACATCTCGGGCAGTTCCGACAGCTCGGATGAGTCTGACTCTGATGAGGCCAGTGGGTTGCGGAGCAAGCCAAAGCCCCGGATTGTCGTTCAGGAGACAAGCCTCAAGGTTTGGAGCATAGGACCAAGCGATTCACCTCAGGTTGAAAGACGAGCCCCGGACGAACAGGAATCTGAGCCTTGACGACAACCTCCAAGACCGTTGGCGGTTTATCACCTATTGCCACCCTGACACCTCACCAGACGCTGAATGTGCAATTGAAGCGACATAGCAGAGATTCCTCCACATCCGGATAACAACAGCGAAGATACACGTATAGCAAAGTCCTATCCCGGGGGGAGCAAGGTTTTCCAAGACACGCCAGCAATCGCAGCAAACACAATCCAGAAGCTCCCCACCATCACGCCCACGTATCGCGTAAGTCTTGGAAGCCAGAATCAACCCCCAAATGTAGATATTGAGCGTCAATGGTTTTCTGGCTCCAAGCCTGATCGAGCACCTCGCTCACTCTGCTCAAAACCCTTCCGCCCTGCAACACCTCCTCAAACAGTGCGGCCCTCCGCTCCCGCGACATCATCACAAACAAGGGCAGGCCACTCACCTGTCCGCCCCCTTCGCCGTCGCCAATTGCCTTCCGCCCGTCAGGCACTTTCAGCATCCCGAGTACAATCTGCGCGGCGAACACGTTCATCCCCGCCCGCCACAGGAACACCTCCCAGTACGTCTCGACCTCGAGCAGCAAATGCCCCAGTTCCCCTGCCTCCCAAGAATAGGTACAGACGATCGCGGCAAGCCACTTTGCCAGCGTCTCAACCCCGCCGCCGACATACACAACCTGCATCTCGGCCACCCCCAAACCGGCCGCAAAGCCCTGGAACTCGGCAAGCGCCTGGGCGTCGGACTGCGACAGCGGGCTGGCTGTCTCGCTGTGCTTGTTCCCCTCTGACACGAGCACGACGAGGCGCTCGTAGCGGGTAGCCACGTTCTGGGCCACCTGCCGGAGGTTTGTCGCTGTTTCTGGCGCTGTCTGGCCGGGGAGAGGTTTCTGCCGGAGCCTGACCATTGTTGTGAGCAGGATGCCGGTTGCCGGGGAGACCACGACGTCCGCCTCGTCCATGTAAGGGGGTCCAATGCCTGGCGACCACCCTGGTGGTCGACGCTTGTCGTAGTCGCGCGAGATGAGCTCAATACCCGGGAGAAGCTTTTCCAGCTGGTTGGTTATGAGCTTGGAGGTGTCGGAGGATACGACAATTCTTGGCGGAGGATTGGGGGGCTTGAAGTCAGGGGCGAGGGCTGGGATAGGTTTGGGCGGCGGCGGCATCAGCTTTGCCGCCTCATCGTTTGCTTTTGACTCTGTCTTTGCTGCGGCTGACGTTGCTTTGCTGGACTGCTCGAAGAAAGAGCTGTGGGTCAATTTAGGCTTTTTCGCGAAGTTCATCTCGACAAAATTGTCTACCAGCGGCGCGAAATCGGTGTACTCGCTCACAAACCCTCTTAGGACGTTTGTCGAAGGGATCAGGGCTTCATCGATGATATCGATGGCCGTCATGCCATGGGGTATATCGAATTCCCTGTTTTGCCTCCCAGGTGAATGCCTTTTCTGGAGAGTCTCTTCGATGAGACGCTTTTTTCCGCTGAGAAGAGTTGCCAAAGAAGCTGGAGGCGATACTATCTTGGCGCTTATGAGCGATTTGTCGTTGCCACTCGCATCTATGCCGGCTACTGAATGTGCCGGTATGCTTCTCTGCATGCTCGCGTGCTGGGAACTGCATGTGGGCTGTTCAAACGATTCAAGAGGTGCGATATAATCGTCCTCATCGTCTTCGTCATCGGCTGCCCGAAGAACTGCCAACCCTGGCGGTTTATAGACGTAATCGGCACTGGTTAGAACGTCACAGTCCCGGCATACCGTTGAGAAGGAATCCATGACGCCCTGATCTACCTCGATCGACTCAGAAACCAGCTTCTTTTCCTTCATATGAGCTAATGGCACCCAAACCATTCTCTGCTCGGCCGCTCGATTGTGCGTCCATTTGGGTCCTTGCGAGTCGACGGCGGTATTCCCCCAGATCCACAGAAACATTGCTTTGGCATCCCAAAGACATTCTTCCCACTCAAGCCTTGGAAGGGAAAAGTCCATGATTGGAACGGGTACTCTGGCTGTAGCATCAAGCGGTTGGAGTTTCTCCTGCTCCACGGATCGCATCACAGTAATCGCTTTCTCTCGGAAAAAGCTGACAAGCTGGCCACCTCCATCCGAACTCGAAGGCGCATCACTGCTTGCTACCAAGAGCTTGGCCTTTGCCAGTTCTTCCGGGGCAAGGACCCGCGTCGGCTTCTCAGCGCTATTGTCGGTATCTTCGCATGTGATGAGCGGAACGTCGAGTTTTAGGTCTCGAGAAACAGGCTGTGGAGTCGACGCCAGGTGCCTTGGTTGAAACTCGCCGTTTCTGATGATCTCTGGCACATCAATATCCTCGTATCGCTCGGGCGAGGCATTACGCTCAAGCGCCTGTGCCCAGAATATGTCGTCTGCTTCCAATATCCTGCGGTCTGCGTTGTGTATGTCTTCGCTTAGCCGTGAGCTGCCATTAGATGGATCTGGTATATTGCAGGCTTCTTCGTCGGGGACGAAGTATTCCGGAAGTGTCTCCTTCAGGGGACTTAATGGGGGCGTCAAGGGTTCCCTGCTTCCAACCTGAACCTTGTGTCAGCATAGCGCTCTCTGGTGAGAACTGTATACGTTCGTACCCCGGAGTAGGTTGAGCTCTGTCCAACAAACTCCCGATGCTCTTCTTCTGTCCAGCTTGCGTCCAAGCCCCGGAGCAAGTACGCGAGTGTTGCCTTATTTACTTCCAGTTTTTCGGTCTCAATGGCTCTCATCATATCTGCATCCGTTGCCTTCGCAGTTGGGGGAAACTCAAGCGCTTCACCCTTGTTTATATCAGCCGGATCGAGCGGAAGCCTATGATCTGGTAATGACGGCTTCAAAAAACCTTTCAGCCGTCGGTCTAGCCGGCGGCAGTCGGTCCCATGGTCACTGCGCAGTGCAGGAGCTTCCAACTTGAGGTTTCTCCATTCCGCAGACTCCGAAGAGCATGCTTGCGAAGTGAGTGTTTGAATATCTGCTTCACTAGCCCGGGTGACAACCTGCTGAAGCAGATGCAGCGACTTGGCGGGCACCTGCCAGTGCTCCGGTGTAGGAATGATGGAACGAAAGAGGAGCTCCTGAAGCTGGGAATTCTCGATGAGCTGTCCCGGCGGAAGGTTCGAAATTGTCAAGGCAATGAGACGGTCATTCTCAAACTGGCTGGGCCATATGGGACGGTGACTGTCGATCGTCAAGCCGTGAGCCCTCGCATAGTGGTCTGCTTGGTGATGGTCTACGACTGAAGGTAGCGACTGGATTGTGGCAGAAGACTGACTGTCAAGGGACTCCCTAGGCATGATGAGATCGGCTCCTGATTTCAGTTCCGTCATTGATTCAAGCCCTGTAGCAAGGCCTTCGGCATTTTCAACGGAACTCTAATGACGGCGAGCCTGAAATTTGGCCATGTGGCAGCCTCATAGGGCACCTCAACAGTTTGTGCCTTGCCAGGCCTAGGTGCCTTTGAGGTGATTCTCACAAATTGCGACCGAGTCGATTCTGGTTCTGTTGAAGAAGGTGCGACCCAGTGTTCGAGCTCCTCCCCTGTTCTCGACGGGAGTGTTGAGTCACCTAGGCATTCAAAGCGTAAGGTACCTGTAGTCATGTGTGAACTGGAAGGTGCCAGCGGCAGCTACTAGTAACCTCCCCAGGGAAAACCTGGCAGTATCCACGAAACAAACATTCAGATAGTTCCGAGCATAACTGGGAGGGAGCATGTGAGGTATGGCAGAAATGCTGAGAACACTGCATACAGCTCTTAGCTACTTCGTATTGCGCATGCCTCGTCAGTCTGACAGTCATGGCCGGCATACTAGGTAAAGGCTTTATGGAAGTCAACAACCTCAAGTTCTGCCATGAACGTCGATTACCCTGAAACTAGGTATCCGTGTGTCCGCATGGTTTTTTTTTCCTTCAATGCCTAGTATTCTTACTCTTTGTTTTGGGTAGATGAGCTGAAACTCCTGATAGGACTAGTCCTAGTAGTGCTAGTCAGCGCATCGCATACTACTATCTAGGTATCTTATAAGCCAGCTGGCAGTCCCTCCTAGGAAGATGACTGCACAGAAGCACCATACTCTGAGCCAGACACAAGAGATCAACGTCCCTACTTCCTGCTCTGATCCTTCAGATGCCATGACAGGAGCATGAAATACCCGGGCTTGATTATGGCCAGAGTAAAGACCACGTGTAAGGGGTTTATCCTGGTACATACACCACAGCATTGCTATTTTGGCAACCACCAAAAGCAGTTAATCTCGAACATCCTCTCTTCGGCAAAACGTCCTAAAGCTAACCTCAAAGCGGGTAAAAAGTACAGCCCTACCTGCTGCCGTGCAACCTCACCCACATGCCTTATCGCCATCGGAACGCGTTCCCCGCACTCTATGCCGCACAGCATCAGGGGTAGCTTATCACCTGCTTATGCTTATCAACCGTCTTGAGGTAACCCGGTGGAAGATGGTTGGAGATCCCCAGCTTTCGTACTACTTGGAGAGCCGACATTACCTTCCACACTGGCCCCGGTAGATCCGCGGAACCGAATATATATGGCTGGTAGGTAAATGACAAAAAGAGACATAATCCAAAGGTGCGGCCCCGCTACTTCCAAGGTCAGGCTCTCCTGGTGCAACATATAGCGAACCTCACCTCCTCCAGCTCCATCAACAACCTCATTTCCTCGAGGAGCAACAGATCCCAGACATGCCGCGTTTTGTATTTGCCGTGTGAATCACGATTCCACCAAAACCCGACACGAAAAGAAGAAAAAAATGCCTTACACCTCAGTCCAGGAGGCCTGGGAAGCCTGCGACAAGATAGACACTCTCTTCATCCTCGTCTGCACCGTGTTCTGCTGGACCATCGTGCCAACCGTAAGTGGCCGCCTACCCACTGCACCCCTCAAACTAACCGTCGACGGGGGAACAAACAGGTCGGAATCGCCTACAGCGGCTACGCATGGAAGCGCAACAGCCTGGCGGCCGCCATGCCGGCCGTGCTGACCATCGCCACCTGCTCGATCCAGTGGTTCGTCGTCGGGTACACGCTGGCCTACGGCGAAGGCGGCGGCCGCTTCTTTGGCAGCTTCAAGCACTTGTTCCACATGGGCGTGCTCGCCGAGCCTGTGGGCACCATCCCCGCCATCCTGTTCAGCGAGTTCCAGCTTGTCTTTGAGGCCACCGTTTGCGCCATTGCCGTTGGGGGTATCTGCGAGAGGGGACGGTTATGGCCGATTGTTGCGTTCATTGCTGTGAGTTTGCTTGGAGCTGGGAGGGACGCGCCGCGCCCATGTTCACGGTGCGGGTGATGCTGACGAGCTTTGCTAGCTTTGGTCGACTTTCATCTACTGTCCGCTGGCGCACATGGTATGGGGCGGTGGGTTTCTCGGAGAAGACCTTGGCGTGTTGGATTTTGCGGGAGGTGAGAATGCAGGTAAACTGGTCTGGTGACGCTACGGAACGCTGATATACCGCGCCCATCCCTCCAGGAACACCTGTCCACGTCTGCTCCGGAGCGACGGCTACGGCCCTGAGCATCTACTTGTCGTATCCCATCTTCCGCTCGCGCAAATCCCAGGTTCGAACTCCAACGCACATCCGACTGCACCGGCCGGGCAACTCTTTCTACCAACTGCTCTCCATGATCATCATTTGGGGATCATGGCTGGCATTCGATGCGGGGACCACTCTCTCGCTGAGCTTCCAGTCGGTCATGGCGCTCTGCGTGACCAATCTGTGTGCCTCGGCTGGCGCGCTGACATGGGCCTGTATGACCTACTTCGAGACGGGCAAGTGGTCGATCGACTCGACGTTTATGGGTGCCATATCCGGCCTCGTCATGATCACGCCGGCGGCAGGTTTCATCGATATGCCGACAGCATTCTGTTTCGGCATCTTCGGGGCGCTCCTTTGCCGTCAGGCTCTCCGGATCAAGTTCACCAAGTTTTCCCACCATTGGCGCTGGGTCGACAACGGGGACACATTCGCGACGCACTGCGTGGGTGGAGTTGCAGCCACCATTTTCACCGGCTTGTTCGCTCAAAAGAAGGTAGCTGCATACGGCGGCCTTGACATTCCCGGTGGGGTGTTCTTTGATGGAAACATCCGCCAGCTCTGGGTTCAGATAGTCGAGGTGATCATCGGCTTCGTTTGGTCGTTCTTCGGGTCGTACATGATCATCGCCTTGATCGACTGCGTGCCTGGCCTCGAGGTCCTGGCAATAGACAAGTCCGTCCTGAAAAATCATCCTCAGCGAACGAATGCTAATATGCAACTAGGCATATCCACGAGGGTCTCGACCTCAATGAGACCGAGGAATCTTTGGCCGGCCTCGAGTACCCCGACGAGGTTGACTATACGCCAACAGACAAGGGCACGATTGCCCTGGACTAGGCTGGGCTGCACTGCCTAAACGATGCAGGCAGAGCCGGGCATCAATAATGTAAACCGTGTACGAATATTGTACGTTGCTCTTGTTGCTTCTGCGCTGGTCAGCGCCAGCGACGTTCTCGGCCCTATCTAAGACGTTTATAAAGCCCCTATTTATCGGCTCTTGCGGCCGTCAACCGAAGAGACTATGAAGGCCAGTGGCGCTCATCACGTCAAGCCAGTGTGTCCGACGAGTGAGTTCAATTTCCTCGTCATAAGTGCTCCACACGGCGTGAAGAAGCTGTTTTGCGACACCGATGGGCTTGGGCGGCAAGCTGAGCTCAAGCTGATCCAACCGACCCATGATGACTTGCCGTGCCCGTGATATTTTGATCGCGTGCTCGGATACACCTTGACTGAGGGTAGGACGCTCGGCGTCGGTGGGCACGGGCGTTGATGGGACTGGCGTATCAGGTTCGGAATCCAGGAGATAGCTGCGATGTCCGCGGCCCAGAGTAACCTTAGTGTTGTATCTGAGGCCACTGCCGGCGCACAGGCAGATAAGCGGTTGAATACATCGCAAGCTTCCGGCAGGGATGTTTTCGAGTACAGTAGTGAGATGCAGTGCCAGAGGAGACACGCATGTGTTCCAGATGGTCGACTCCGGTGCATCCTTCAAGCTGGGGATCCTCCTAACGCTCAAATCTGGAAAAGTCTCGTAGAGCTGTAGTAAAGAAGAGATACGGTAAGCTTCCGTGGTGTAGTGTAGGTCCCGAGCCCGGTCCACGGAGTTGAGGGGTGCTGCATGCTGGGGAAGCCGCGGTACGGCAAATGACAAAAGAGCTGCCTCGACTCTTGTGGCTTCCTCGATATCCCTCAATGCCCCCTGAAGGATGCGGTAGCTTGTTCCGCCATGGTGCCTCCACCGAGTGCGAGATCTTCGGCAGAGGGCAATTGCCTTGCCAAAGAGCCTCAGGACGTCAGCAGAAACACCCGTCCAGGCATGTGGAACTGCGGGCACAAGCGGACCCTGCGAAACGGGCTCCGGCCAGCTGAGCATGTGTTCAAAGTCAATCTCGTCCTCGCTGACGACGCTACGAAGCATTTCTTCGTAGATTAGACATCCATTGAAGAACTCGAGCATCTCCTGTGTTTCGCTATCCATTGGCCATCCTTCAAGAGACTTGAGGACGGCTCGTGCCTGCCTTACGTAGCTCTGGCCCAGCTGACGGGACTCCATCCAACACAGCGAAGAGCTCATGCAGAACAAAGACAAGAGTAGTTCGCAGGGGAATTTGGAGCGGTATCCCTGAGAGAAGGCGACCAGCTCCGATTGAATCGCTTCATGAGCTCTGCGCGGTGCAGAGCGGGCGGTATCCTTCATGACAGCTGGGAGCCGCTCAACGAGAGAGGCTGCTGAGATGGCTTGCAGTGCATAGAAGACGGGTGTCGAAGTGTTCCAGAGGCTTGCCGTCATCCGACGAAACGGGTTTACCTGGGAATCGAGTGCGGACCACGAGACGCAGACCGACTTAAACCCTGACCAAAGAAAAATGTCAGTTATAGCATTCCTTGCTAGAATGCGTCTGAAAGGGCCTCCGAGCAAAAGGGGTTTTATCAAAAGAGTGCCCCGTCCCAACGAAATTCGGAGTGGATGAAGGGTTTGGAGCGATGATACTTACAGTGCTCGATCAGGAACCTCGGAATATCTACCACTGGTTGGTACATGGGCAACTCGGACGCCGAACCGTCTTCCTGAGGGCGTGCTGGGACTGGGTTCTGCCGCACAGTGACCAGTGCCGTCTTGGTTTCGCCGTTTGCAGGAGAATCCTGGTCCTGGGGCGGTAGTGATGAAGCCGGTGACCAAGGCAAGGGAGACGGCGATGCGGACGCCGAAGCGGAAGCGGAAGCGGAAGCGGAAGCGGAAGCAGATAAGGATGCGGGAGTTGAAGATGTGCGGCCAGCCAATGCCGGCGGTGGGACAGCAGCAACCGGGGTCTGGGAGCCATTTCGGACTGTGTTTGCGGCAGCCTTTTCTGCCTGCGTGATGGACTTGGAAGCAGCGGTGACAAGCTGCGTGAAGTTTTCTGGACCGCTTACACTCGTCGAGACTGGCCTCTCGTGTTTGGTCGACCACTGCAGACGCTGCTGATAGCCCGGACACTCAAGTCCCTTAACAGTACAGTTCCGGCATGCCGGCTTCGTCTCATCGCACCTCAGCTATCGAGGGGCCGTCAGTCCAGATCAGTTATGTTATCGCGTCTACGCCGGGCACGGCAGGGGTTCGCGTGTTGCAGAATACCTACACGCCTGATCTTGCACGTCCTACAACCGCTTCTCGACTTTTGTCGGTTCTTCATCTTGAGTTCATCCCGTCATCATCCGGCACTTCTCTGTCAATCGACCTTTTGTCGCACGAGTTTCGGGAAAATGGGAAATTTCGCATTGATGAGGCTGACGAGGGTATTCAAGGCCCGCGACTGAATGACGGGCATTGTCGGGGGCGCCGACTTTTGTGCTCTGTTCCGACGCCATGGCACTGCTGACGATCGGTTGATAAGCTTGTTGCTGCAGCCAATCGAGGTGATCCCGACAGCAATTCAAGGCCTGCACAGGCCTGTACGAGGCCTGGTTTGGCAGGCGGGGTTGGTCCACCAGCGGCTCGGGGCCAACCGATTGCGCTACAAACTAGCGCCACCACTTCGTGATGACACACCCCGATCTGTGCAACGATAGTGCAGGTAGTGTAGGCAATCTATACTCTGATCAATCAGCAGTTGGCCGTCTCTCCTGAGGGGATCGGGCCGAGAAGAAAAACTCATTCTCGGTCAGAATGCGCTGCCAGAGCTAGAATTTCACCGACACTCGCCGTCAGTAGCCCAGGTAACCCTACGTAGTGTGCGCCACCAACCGCATTTACCACACCGCCCTGCTTCCCAGCGGCACAGGTCCAGTTTTCTCGAGTTATCAAGTGAAACGCATCGGATGTGAGGATGCATAGCGCATTGCACTTCTCAAACGATATGGATCCATGTGTACATCATTACATGGAAAGCTAGGCCAAGTCCATACTAGAAGCTGGACTAGCTCGAGACTAGCAAATCCCCAGAATAGCGGGTTCCACTAATTAACGGAGCTACGTCCGATCTCCAAACTTTATTGATTCTGGGGGCTGGCCTGGTGTCAAGCGGGCGGTCTACGAGGCTTGGGCCCTGTAAGCACAACCTTACATCATACCGGTAAACAGCCATTGAGTTTTGAATTGGCTGTTCAATTGTAAAATCGAAGATGGTTAATGCGGGAACCTTTTCAGATGATGCGGAACAGGAAAGGGGTAGGGCAAGAAAGAGCAGGCTGTTACAGTGGTTGAGAGTGAGAACCTAGAATTTAAGGCACGAATCGTAAACCCACTCCCGCACTCCGAGAGTCGGCAGACGGTACTTGGATATCGTAGCCTTACAAAATTTTTCTGGACGACTCACACCTCCTCTGGGCCCAACTCGCAGCTTTCATTCGCGGTTTTTGGTCACCCCAAAAGTCGAATAAAAAATCTCACACTCAAAATGGCAGGCGGCGAACCTGGAGAGGCTGTTGCCCACAAGGCATTCGACACTATTCTGGTGCTCGATTTCGGGTGAGAGCCTTGGTCACAATTCTTACTCCGAATTGGGAAACTGACTTTGAATTCCTGGGGCACAGATCACAGTATACCCACCTGTATGTTATTCCTCAAGAACCTAATTGATATCGCTTCATTCTTTTCAACAATTCTCGGCTCTAGCTGCCGTTTCTCATTTACTCGGGCTATGACCCAAGATTTGACAGACTGACCATGAATGTAAAAGGATCACTCGACGTCTCCGCGAGCTCAATGTCTTCTCCGAGATGCTCCCTTGCACTCAGAAGCTCTCTGAGCTCAAGTTTACGCCCAAGGGAATTATCCTTTCTGGAGGGCCATACTCGGTTTATGAGGAAGGCAGCCCCCATGTCGACCCTGCAGTGTTCGACTTGAGTAAATACAATGCCTCCTGATCCTGCCCATCTTCGCCGAGCTGACAGTTTGATTTCCTAGACGTGCCCATCCTGGGCATCTGCTGTACGTAGACTGCCTGTCGTCTTATGCGGCGTTGTCTCTCTAGAACACAACTGATTCGAGCGGCCAACAGATGGGATGCAGGAACTCGCCTACCGCATCAGCCCGGACAACGTCATTGCGGGCAAGCACCGCGAGTACGGCCATGCCATGCTCAAGGCTCAGTCAGTGGGTGGCCACGTGGATCGTCTTTTTGACGGAATCGAGGAGTCGATGCGGGTATGGATGAGCCACGGCGACAAGCTGGCCAAGCTGCCGCAGGACTTCCACACAGTTGCAACTTCGGATAATTCTGAGTACGCCGCCATTGCCCATGGCAGCAAGCCCATCTACGGCCTCCAGTTCCACCCCGAGGTCACCCACACCCAGAACGGCACAACGCTGCTCAAGAACTTTGCCGTAGGGATTTGCGGCTGCAAGCAGGACTGGACCATGGAGAAGTTCCTGGAGGAGCAGATCGCCCAGATTCGCCGGACGGTCGGTGAGAAGGGCCAGGTGCTCGCTGCTGTTAGCGGTGGTGTCGATTCCACTGTTGCTGCCAAGCTCATGGTACGTCATTTCAAACGGATTTGCTGCATTCGGGACTGACATCACCCCTAGAAAGAGGCTATCGGGGACAGATTCTGGGCTGTGCTCGTCAATAGTAAGTATTGTCCTTATCTGTATCAATTGTTGCAAGAGCAAGGAAAGGGGAATGGAAGGTTAACAAACCTGGTAGACGGCGTTATGAGACTCAATGAGTGCGAGCAGGTCCAAAAAGACCTGTCCGAGGCGCTTGGCATCAACCTGACAGTCGTCGATGCCTCAAAGGAGTTTCTTGACGGCCTCAAGGGCGTTGAAGATCCTGAGGTAGGCGCTCGTTTCTCAAGGATGCCCTTGCAGTATCACTGACTGCAATACAGAAAAAGCGAAAGTTCATTGGTATGTATCCGCGTCTGAATTCTACCTCGTGGCTATTGTCCAATGCAGCAAAACTAATCCACACAAGGCGGCAAGTTTATCGACATTTTCGAAGCAGAGGCTATCAAAGTATGTACATCATTTTCAGTTTGCACATATCTATTGCCCCTGAGTAGCTGACAAGCGACAGATTGAGGAGGCTGCCGCCAATGACCCGACCAAGGCTGGCAGAATCGAGTTCTTCATGCAGTAAGTGCCTTGGCCTAAGCTGCTGTATATCATTTGAGCAAGGGACTGAGCACCTGATAGGGGCACACTCTACCCTGACGTGATTGAGTCACTCTCATTCAAGGGCCCTTCAGCAACGATCAAGGTGTGTCTTTCTAGCTCGCTCGAATTGCTATAATATGCTAACTAGCTGCTAGACACATCACAACGTGTATGCCACCTACCTTATCATTACCCCGGTCCGATCATGCAGACTAATTCGAGGATAAAGCGGTGGCCTTCCGGCGCGGATGGCTAACGGGCAAGGCTTGAAATTAATCGAGCCCCTGAGATCGTTGTACAAGGTTCGTGCCTCAAATTCTTTACTCCAGTGACACTTGACACTAATTGTTTTATAGGATGAAGTTCGCGGTATGCCGGCCGATCTGCAAAGTTTGAACACGTCGGAGAGGGTTACTGACACCTCGCCTAGCACTTGGACGCGCTCTTGGCATTCGGGAAGAACTTGTGATGAGGGTATGTCGACACATGTAGCCGTGTGCTGTTGTCTATCGCTGACTTGAATTCAAAAGCATCCTTTCCCTGGACGTATGGCAACCCCGTCACATCGTCATAATGTAGTTCTGCCAATACTGACTCCAACCAGCGGGCATTGCTGTCAGAATCCTAGGCGAGGTGACGCCCGAGAAGGTGGAAATGTGCCGTCAGGCCGATCACGTACGCTGTTTCTCCCTAAAGGGGTTACATATGGGACAACCTGTGCTGACAGTTGGTGCAAGATTTTCATCAGCGAGATCCGCAAGGCAGGTCTCTACAACCAGATCTCCCAAGCCTATGCAGCCCTCGACCCAAGCCGGGCCGTGGGCGTAATGGGTGACAACCGAGTCTATGGTTATGTATGCAACCGAGGTTTTACCTGAATTACTACTGTAGAAGCTGCTGACTCCTGCCAGATCATCGTTTTGCGCGCAGTGACCACTACAGATTTCATGACAGCCGAAGCCTTCAATTTCCCCTGGGATTTCCTCCAGCGGGTCATGAACAGGATCGTCAACGAGGTCCACGGGTATGTGGATTAGATTCTTGTACCACAAGCAATGCTAACAATATTGTCAGTGTGTGCCGCGTCGTATACGACATTACTTCGAAGCCGCCTGGAACAATTGAGCTTGAGTAGCCGCAAAGACCATGGGGTGCTGGGTATGGTTCCAATCCGGCCGATCTTCTCCCTTCCGGGCCCTGCCGTTCTCGGCTCTATCCCGGACACTGCGCCAATGGTTGCGTGCGGTTTGGATGGTATTCATTCAGCGGAAGCCATTTCGCGCTGCTATAGATTTGGGGTCCTGCGGAAAACTAGATTGCGGTAGACTCAGAAGATCCTCGCTCGAGCAGTCGCTATAGATCTCGACCCGAGGCATATATAGAAGGGAGCATTCATCGGATAAACTTCTCTAATCGTCAGTGTCTAGACTTGGAGAAGCTATCGACAAGACGGCAACTATATTTCTCCCCTCGTGCATGTCCTCCAACCCGCTGGTCCACTCAACCGTCATCATCCCATACCCACTCACGGTTCTTTCATGCACGGAAACTCCAACGCCTTTGATTGACAGCACAAGTTAGCATCGACTCAAATCCAAACACGTTAGCATAAGTAGCCAAAACTCACCTCCCAAGCCTTCACTCTCTCCCCACTCTCATACCTGACTAACCCAGCCACCAAATCCCTCCACTCAGCCTTTACCCCAGGCAACACCACCTCCCAACCGCCCTTGCCCTCAAAGACACGGTACATGTCAAAAGGTGGCGTGCGAAACCCCTTCGCCTCAGGCCAGGTATCGGGCGTCGGCGATCCAATGGTCTGGAAGATGCTCAGGATCAGCCCCAGCTGGTTGCCGTCCTCGTGCGCCGGGGGCGAGTCAAAGAGCGGTTTGGGCCGCGGGCGCGCCACGCACTCGGCCAGCACGCACCCCGCGGCCCACAGGTCGACCGCGTAAGTGTAGGCCCGGTTGCCAAACAGGCATTCGGGTGCCCGGTAGGGACCCGTGCCTACGTCTAGGACTTTGTGTGAGTCGGTTTCGTCGCCTGACGTGGGGGTCAGGGTTGGATGATAGGCCGTGCCAAAGTCGGAGAGGTAGAGCTGCAGGTTTTCCGAGACGGGCGTGTTGGCGGTGGTGTTAAGGGTTGCTGCGCTGGTTGAGGAGAGAAGGATCGCGGAGGGCTTGACGTCGCGGTGAATGATGCCCTGGGTGTGCAGATGAGCGAGAGCGCGGAAGAGGGAGGCGAAGATCTGCCGCGTCAACGGGTATGGCAGCGGTGACTGGGCCTGGTCGAGCACCTGGGCGAGGGTGAGGGGCATGTAGGGGAAGACAAGGACGAAGCGCTGGTCGTGGTCCCGGAAGGTTTCGAGGAGGGGGATGATGTTGGGGGCATTTTCATCGCGGAGGGCAGCAAGGAGCTTGGCCTCGCGTTGGGGGTTGTGCGGCTCGATGCTGTGACTCTCGACGATGACCTTGAGCGCGCGGGCTTGCGAGCGGTAGACCTCGGCGGTTACGCCGCTGGCGATGTAGTGACAGTTTTGGTAGTGGCCAATGCTGATGCCAGGCCCAGACCCTTCGTCGTCTGTGGTCGAGGTTTGGGCTAGTTGCGGAGAGGCATCGGGTTCAACAGCTGCTTCCGCGGCTGGGGGGTTGCAGGCTGAGTCGTACTCCTCCTTTTTGACAGTCAGACAGTGTTTGGGCAGAGTAAGGAGGTAAGAAGGACATGATACCTACCCTGGTATTTGCATTCTTGTACGCCTCGTTCTCGACCGCGAAGGCACTTTGACTTATGCCAGCAGCCGCTACTAATCTAGACCTTTTGTTGGTGTAGACAAGTCAGATCCACTTTCCTGTCTCCTGATCACGGATTCTTAGTTCTTACAGTCGCTGAACATTATCATAACGCTCCGAAGCGCTGAGTGAGCTTCTCCAGTCGCTCGCCTCGGCCATTATGTCTATTGAGCTCGGGTCATATTACGCAGGTCTGAGAATTTTAGAACTGGAAACTTCCAAATTGAACTCCTGAATCTTTGAGCCTTGACACCGAAGAGATGCAGTGCAATACGTTGCTAGGGGAACGGCCCTCGACTCAAGATGAACAAGCCCGAAGATGCAAGTCCCTTTCACATTTCCCAGCAGGTGAACCAGCCATTGCAAGAGGAATTGATGCCGGCCATTGGATACCAATGATGGTTTGAACTCTGTGAAGCTCGAGAATTGCAGGGGAAAGCAAGCGGCATACACGAATGGCGTTAATTGATTAATTACCTAGATATGCAGGTTTCGAAGTTGCATCCTTCCATACATGCATAGAAAATCCGAACAGCTGCGAACCACCTGAAACTGCCCCTGTCATCGTGGGCTTCCCGGCTGGCAGAACCCCTTGCATCGCCGTTCATTGGCCCACTGTCGTCGGCAGCTCGGCGAAAGGCTGAAAGTGAAAAACTCCACCTGAACTGCCCGAACTGCGAGCTTCCATCCCGTGACATAATGCGAGCCGCCTTGGCCGAGTTCCTGAGCGCCGCGACTTTACCCCCGGCTCTCCACCGGCGTCCCTGTGGTTGTCTCGCTGCCTGTATTCGTATCTTTTCCCTCTTCCTTCGCCGCGCCGGCAGCGCTGCTGCATATGTTAGTTCTGTTATGCCTTGATCACCACACGTCCCCTCGTTTCCCGCTCAATTGCGCCGCAGAGTCCGCCAACCATGGCTGCCGTCGAAGACCTCTCCCGGTCCGAGTACCCGGCAATGCTGGTATGCTCTCCTCCACTCACTCCAACCAATGCTGCGCGCTCTAGAACTACGTGATCCCAGCTGCTGACGGCTTGTGCGCGTCTCAGGCCAATCTCCAGCCAAGTCAAGCTGTGCAAGTACTCTCGGACCGGGTCAAGCGCATTACGAAGGCCAACCAGGATATCGCAGACTGGCTTCAGGTACGGCACGTTACGCAGTTCCGGTCAAAACTCTGGCAACACAAGGCCACAGGCTGAATAAGGCTCGCAGGAACGGAGGAGAGTCGAGGAGCAGTATGTTGTCGCACTGCGCAAGCTACTGGTCTTCAAGGTGCCCAACGCCGCTACCGAACTTGGGTTTGTGCTTACCCTCCCCGGCCTGTACTCGCCTAGCCACCCAGCATGCCACGGCTAACCCCTCTACTTGCAGCGTCTTCCAGGCGCCATGGGACAAGATTCTCCAGTCCACCGACGGCATTGCCGCCTCACACCAGCTGTTCGCCCAGCGCATCGAGAAAGATGTCGAGCAACCCCTTCGCAACTTCCAGAACAGGAAAGAGATGCAAAATATCCAGACAATCAGCTCAAATCTGCACTCGATGGCCAAGGAACTCGACGACGCGACAGAAAGGTCAGAGAAGCTTAATAAGAAGGGCAGCAAGGCGAACGCCCTCAAGGTGGACCAGGCTGCGGCAAGACTCGAGTCTGCCACCCAGCAGTGGGACTCTCAGGCACCTTTCATCTTTGAGACACTGCAGGCTCTCGACGAGCAACGGATCAATCACTTGCGGGATGTCTTGACGCAGTTCGAGACCCATGAGGTCGACCAGGCTACTCGGACCCAGGCGGCAGCTGAAGAAGTGCTCAACATGATGCTCGAGGTCAATACGGCTCAGGAGATTCGGAACTTTGCCCAACGGACAGTCGCCGGGAAGCCCAAGTTGGAAAGGAAGTCCTCATCGAGGCAATCCAGCGCACTAGCGCCAAGCCCTATTCCTCCAGCCGCTAGCCATGAGGACAATACCAGCGAGCACAGCCAGCCAGGTGCGAAGAACACTCCTACATGGTTTATTCATTGATAACGCTAACGTATTCTGTTGTTCAGAGCAGCCAAAACTACGAAGCCGTATCGGCACCATGCTCGGCCGGCGACGACAGAGCATTCACGGCGGCTTCGGGCAGCTATCTCCTGGGAAGGGACTGGGCCCATTCTCTCGCAACCTCGGGAGTAGCCATGGCCAGACGCTATCCCCAAGGACCTCATCCCACAACTTAAACGACTCTCAACAGAGGTTGCCATCTGTTCTTGAGAGCCCAACGGCAGGGCGTACTTCCACGGCAGAAAAGGAGACTGCCAAGACTTCTCATGAGGGAACAAACGGTGCGGCTAGCGGGGAACAGTCCAACGGTGCTTCCCAGCCTGCAGGATCGTCCAGTCTTTTGAACGGGACGGCCGAGGATATCTTTGACGCACCGCCAGTCCCCCCTTTGCCCCAGCAGAACAAGGAGGAGCCGGCCAAGGACGCTGAGGGCTTCACGATACCTACGTCAACGAACGATCCTATTTCCCAGGCGCAAAAGGAGGCTGCAGCCGAGGAGGCTGACCCACTATTCAAGCTGAACATTAAGAATGAGCCCATCGCAGAAGAAGACCAGGAGGCAAAGCAAGCCGCTCTGTCTAATGTCGCGAATGCCCTCACCCACATGGGAATGCCTTCTCGGAAGACAGGCACCGTGCGAGGCAGGAGAGACGTCAGAAATACCGTTTACATGCCGTCATTGCCAATTGCCGACAGCTCATCGGAGAATCCTTTCCCATCCTTCTCACCGCCTACTGCCATGAAGCCCACCAGCGCAACGGCGTTGACTTCGGAAACAAGTCATGCGTCCCACGCGTCTGATACCCAATCGATCCGATCCGGTACATCGTTCGGGGGTGCCTCGTCATACAGCAGCGTGGTGCGCATCAAGCATCCCGATATGCACGGACCGGAGTATGGCCCTGGTCTTCACTCGTCCATCATTGAAACCGTGTCTGCCGTTTTCGAGAATGCTGAGCCCAAGTCTGTCAAAGTCACAGGCGAGATTGCTTTCTCCTACGTCCCTGACCCAGATTCTCCCTCACCAGGTATGTTTATGCTTTTCCCCTAACCCAGTCCATCCCATCCTGTACCCTAACACTCTATCATAGTAGATCACGAAATCATCCGCCTGGACAAATTCTCCGTCCTTGAGTCTATCGGCTCCAACCGTGTCTTCGTAACCAACACAGCCTCCCCAGACGAGTTCTCCATCAACGTCTCCCACCTCTCCAACACCACCTCTCCGGCCTTCACCTACCGGGTGCACGCCGACTCCGACACTGCCCTGGCCCCTCACTGCCCCATCGCCGTCCATCCCGTGTGGAAGCCTCAGGCCGACAAGCTTGGCCTGCTGCTGCAGTACCGCCTCAACCCGGTCGCCGCGGCCGCCTTTGCCGAGGCTGGCAGCCCCGTCACGCTATCCAACGTGGTTTTCATCATGACCTACGAGGGCGCCCGCGCCAGCGGCGTCCAGACAAAGCCCACCGGCACCCATCTCAAGGATAAGCACGTCGTGTACTGGCGCCTCGGGGACGTCACCCTCACCGACGCCTGGGAGAAGATTATCTGCCGTGTTATTGGGGAGCAGAATGCCGAGCCGAAACCGGGGCATGTCGAGGTGAGGTGGGAGTATCCAAGCGGGAGAGGGGGCAGTGGAATCTCGGTTTCGAGGCTGGTGGAAGATAAAGGGAAGGGGAAGGAACCGGCGGCGGCGGCGACGGAAGAGGAGGATCCGTTTGCGGATGTCGAGGCACCGTCACCCCCACCCGACGGGCCCGTCAAGAACTGGGTTGATGTGCCCCTTGTGCGGAGGCTGGTTAGTGGCAAGTATGAGGCTAAATAGGTTGGTAAGGGGATTGAGGTGAGTTAGTACGGGTATTGTTTGTGGCTCAGCACTGGCGGGTGAAGCAACGCGCTTTGGGGTGAGGTATAGCGGAGAATCAGGTGGTTGCACTTTTGTCTCACTACGTCTCTTTGCTGGGTACTCATCCCCCTGATGACGATGTTGTTGTTGTCTTGGTATATTGTCTAGGAAGCAGCGATGGATAGATGGAATCGTCAGTCGGGTTTTGTTTAGTTTTTTTTCCCCGTGTGGTGGTGGCTCTACTTTACCTGACTGATGATACCGGAGGCATATAGGTATAGGTAGTATTTCTTGTAACACTTGCTAGTATCTACAGTATTGAGTCTCTTGAGCAAACGGCTGTCTGCTGGATAAGTGACTTGGATAAAATGGAATGGGTGCACTCTGTATCCACCTGTTGTTGGCACCATGGTTACCGCAAGGGAACTAGGTATGGATCATGATCCTGAGCATTCTATGGAGTTTCTAGCCAGCAAGCAGATCTGCCGGGCGCTCCCAACAAGGCGGTTTAGATGAACGGGACACCTTGATGAATAGCAGGGGATGAGCAGTTTGAAGGTCTATTATGAGTATGTATGCAAATCCCTCATTGTTCATGTGCCGTATGCAGACCTCTAAGCACATCGTATCAAAAATATACCCCATTCCATTTCAAGAAACAGATGATGCTACCGGCTCCCGAATCCCAGACTCCTTTGCACACATCGATTTCCCTAGACGGCAAACCTATGCCTGACCTGACCACGCAAGTCCTGAACAACCGGGAAAACGCCATCACCCCGGCCGGATGGTCCTCGTATGCTCCTCATAAAACTCCAACGTCAACGCCGCCAAAAAGCACGGCACACAACCCTTCTCCCTCACCCAAAACTTTATGTTATCCGCAATCCTGTTGGCAAACGCGCTCCTGGGACCCCCGCCAACCTTCATGGTGCCCCGTTCGCCGTCAAAGACGATGCTGTTCTCGTGCTCGTCCGTCTGGGACGGGTAGTAGACGCTCTCGACGCGCATCTTGCCCCCAGGGATGAAGGTGACGGTCCAACCCAGCGTGCTGAAGACGGCCTCCTTGAACTCGGCCGACTTGGCCGCCCACACCTCCTTGAGCCGCCGCGCCGACTTTTGCGCCGACGCCGTCTCGGCCTTGGCGTCGGCGATCTCGCGCTGGGCGGCCGCCAGCTGCGAGGCGGGCACCGTGGCGAACAGGGTCGGCTGCCGCTGAATGTGCGCGAGGAGCTCGGCGTTTTCGAGCTTGAGCGCCGCGAGCGTGGCAGCCTTGGTCGCTTCGTGGTTTGAGGTCGGGTTGGACCGCAGGGAGAGGATGCGCGTCTTGAGCTGTTCCTTGGCGGCTGCTAGCTGTTCCGAGGCTACTTCGTGCTCCTTCTGAAGGAGTCGATGTGCAGTTTGTAGTTCCGAGAGATCCGATTGCAGTTTTCGATTCTTCCGGGCTAGCTGGCCAAGCTGCTCGTGCTCGGCTTCATCGTCCTCGCGAGCCCGTTTACTGCCCACAACAGGTTGGACTGGGCTGGTTGATGCCGACTCAAGGGATGTGAGGTCTGCGTGCAATGCGCTCACCTCAGTCTTGTACTTGTCGACCAGGTCTTCGAGCTCCTGTATGCGCTTGATCTTTTGCTGGTCGACAGTCTCGGGCTGCACCGTCATATCCTCCATATCGAATGTTTTGAGCTGGGCTCGGAGATATTCAACTTCCTTTACAGCGAGAGCACGCTGTCTGTCAAGACGCGCACGAGCCTTGTCATTCCCTGTAACGGAGCCCCCTGACGTCCTCAACTTGTCGATCTGGTTGAGCAGATTGGCCTTCTCGCTCTCCAGCGTCCTGATGATGTTGTCGCGATCCACGATCTCGGGCTGCAGAGCTCCCAGTTGCTCGACGAGAGAGGCCGAGTTCAACCGCTCCGCTATCAAAGCCCTGGCCATATCTTCCGGCGAGTCAAACTCGACATCACCGGCTGTGCCCCCTTCGTTCTGTAAGTAGGCCGTCCAGGCCCGTTTCTCATCTTCTAACCTTTGTCGCTGCCTTCTCTCCTCGGCGAGTTCATTCTGCATGGCTTCGGCAGCCTCCAGTTTCCGTTGGAGTGAGCGTTTCTCTTCCTCAACCACTTGTGTAGCCTTGTGGACCTGCCGCAAGTGTTTTAGCTCGATAAACTGCTCCCTGTTCTTGGCTTCCAAGGTACGGATGTGAGTAACTTGGTCGGACAGCTCCCTCCGGATAACAGCAACCGTCTCTGCGTCGCCAGTTTGGGCCTTCAGGCGCAGCACCTCCGACTCTAGGCTTCCGATTGTTTCGTCTCGTTCTGATAGCAAGGCCTGGGTGTTCTGCAGGACTTCTTCCCTTGTCCTGCTTTCTTCCTCTAACTCTTGGCAACTCCGCTGCGAGACAGCAAGCTTTGTTTTCAGATCTAGAATCTCGCGATCGGCCATACGTGCAGCTTCATCCTTCGCCGCGCTCAGCTCCTCGAGCTGCTCCTGGAGTAGCCTGGCTTCCTCTAGTGCATCTCTCGCCCTTGCTTCGAGCTCTCGTTTCTGAGTCTCTTTCTCGGCTCGCAGCTCTTCCAATTCCCTCTGCAGCGTCTCGCACTGCCGCACGACCCGCGCTCTTTCAGCCTCTGCTGCCTGTTTCGCTTTGAAATCGTCCTCGGCGCGCCTTTTGGCGTCGCGCAACTCGTTTTCCATCTGCAAACGAGCCAGTTCCTTCTCCTGTTCATGGCTGTTGATTTGGTAGCGCAGCGTGCCAACCTCGGCCTTGAGCTCCTCAATGCGCTTTCGCTGCGTCTCATACTCTTCGGCGTCCGGGGGTGCGCGGTTTTCCTTGCTGCTTTCGCGGCTAAAGTTACTGGCGACGGTGGCGGCGCGGCCACGAGGCGGGGAAGGGCCGGCTAGAAGGCCCTGTCGCGAGGCAGGGCGCGCCATGGTAGCCCGTGAAGCTGTTGAGTTGGATTCACCTGTGAGAATGTTGTAGGAAGGTTGTGTAGTTGTGCTGCTGCGAAAACTAGCTATCTGCACAAGGTCAGCAAGGTTTAGGAGGATTCAGCGCTGTGACGCGTCGACACGAGATAATTGCATACCCTGGATCCGCGAAGGGATGTGTTCGGAACTGGGATTCCACTGTTGGCAGTTGTTGCGAGTTGCGAGCCGCTGCTGACCGAGGGCCGTCGCGTAGACCGTGGAGGATCTCCTTGCGGTGTGAAGGACCGCATCTTGGATTGCGGTTTGGGTTGTCCCGGGGTTCGCGGCATCGCAAACCGAGTGCCTGGAAAGACTGGAAAACAAGCTCAGAACAACTGCGCTGATTGGCTGATGTTCAGGTTAGTTAACCGTCAAGCTGGTTACAGGGGCTGCAATCCAGAGCTTTCCCCTTCTTCGTCTTGCAAAATTGGCTTAACGATATCCGTATCCTGCAATCCGACGTCTAAGTCGGGATTTGACAGCATTGAATGCTGGGTTGCAGAGTTGCGGTTTCCCTTGCCTTTTTTGAACTTTACCTCCGTACACATATGTACAGTACATGTACCTTACTGCAAAGTACAATACAATACCTGCGCATTTTCGGCATTTCCAGTAAGTTTCTTTGTCGCATACCGGCAGGTTCCGCTTGATGGCCCGGGAGCTTCATCGCAATTATCTGACTTATTTTATGTTCATTCCCTCCAGAATGAATGATGAATTCGCTACTTCTGGAGGTATCTTCTCGATGTTGGCAAACTCAACAGGACCCAGTCAACTGTCCAAGATGTACAAGAGTCCCGTCGTTTTCATCTTTAACACTGCAGTGACGTTAAGGAGTGGAACTACCTGAGGTACGGAGCTTGCGAACTGCAGGTCGGTGCTAAGCCAAGCCACGCAGCCCATGGATTGTGGGGTAACAAAGGGACAGGGCTAATTAAGGTCCCTGCTGATGATGCAAACCAACCAAGGAAGCAACGGCACCCTAGCGCTTTTATAGCGGGCACAGCTCCTGCGTGAAGCTGCTGCTAGCTTGGCCATTCTTGTTGATCCAGGTTCGCACATGGATTCTGACCAGAGGTGACATCTGCAGCTCCCGCTGCCACACATTTCAAGACTTGATTCAGGAAGGCATTCAATTCGACATTCTCTGCCGTAGAGCCATCGCAATGGCTCGCGGTAGAATCCCGCCCGGGTTACGGGTAGGCCCAGTCCTTCTCCCCGTTTTCGTCCTGGACATCATAGCTGATCTCAAGCTCTGCAGGGCCGTGTCGCGCGCCGCACCACGCCTCTAGCTCAATTCCTCCTCCTACAGACCTTCACCGTTCCGGAATGCCGGACTCCCAGCCCCTTCTATCATGCGCGCCGATACGGGACAATTGGCCGAAGCGGGGACACCGGTGCGAATGCAAAGGAAGCACTGGAAAGTGCAGAACATGATGCGGCCACAGATTCAGCGACGGATACGGCAGCGAGGGACACACAGTCTAGCCGGGCTGTCGCTAGAGAAGCCGCAAGCTCGTCAAGTTCCGGATCGTCAATCGTCAGCGACGTAAAAGACTGGGAATACAACCCGAACATGAAGATCGAGTCATTCAAGGATTTACCGCATGCCAATTTCGGCGTGAACCAACACATTCCCTTCGATGCCGAGTTCAAGGAGGTTCTGAAGGCGATACCTTGGCAGTTCCGCGCACCGATTCGGTACGCATTTGCCTACGGCTCCGGTGTCTTCCCGCAATCAAAATCCAGCGGGCGGGTACCAACGGCGGATGAGATTCGTTCTGTTCATCCCAAGGCGCCGCCTGCTGTGCAGAGGGCCCAGGATGGCACTCCCAAGATGATAGACTTTATATTCGGCGTTTCGCACACCCAGCACTGGCATTCTCTAAACATGAAGCAGCACCGCGACCACTACTCTTCGCTTGCTCGCCTTGGGTCCGGTGCTGTTTCCTATGTTCAGGACAAGTTGGGAGCTGGCGTCTACTTTCACCCCTATATTGTCGTCAACGGAATTCTGATCAAGTACGGTGTTGTGCAATTGGGCACGTTAGAAAGGGACCTGAGCCAGTGGGAAACGCTGTATCTTGCCGGGCGCCTGCACAAGCCAGTCAAGATACTGCGCGACGATCCAATGATACGGATGGCTAACCAAATGAATCTCCTTTCGGCTCTACGGACGGCACTCCTGTTGCTGCCGCCGAAATTCACGGAGGAGGAGCTTTACGGCACCATTGCGGGCATCAGCTACCTCGGCGATCCGCGCATGACTCTCCCGACCGAGAACCCGAGCAAAGTGAAGAACATTGTCGGCAGCAACATGGCCAACTTCCGGCGTCTCTACCTCCCTCTCATCGAGACCCTCCCCAACGTCCAATTCAATGACCCCGCTTGCAGCTCAAGAGATTGGATCTGGGACAACACCAACCTGAAGCTGGTCCAGGACATGGACCCCGTCAAGCGCGGCAACATGGTGCGCCGGCTACCCAGGGCGTTCCGATCTCGCCTGTACTTCCAGTACCAGAAGAAGTTTGCCATCCCGCAGGCCGAGTTCGACAAGATGATGGACGAGAGCAAGAACGAGGACTCGGTCGCCTTCAAGCGCCGCGAGGGCGGCGGTTTTGAGCAGCGCATCGCCCAGGACGACCCCGCCGAGCTCCGCGACTACATCCGCACCGTCATCAAGCGTACCATCAGCTGGCCGGCCACCACACAGTCCCTCAAGGGGCCCCTAACCAGTGGGTTTAGGAAAACGGTCCGGTATATGATGGAGAAGGTGGACAAATACCGCCAGGGCCGGGCTGCGGGGAAAGCCCAGGCTGCTGCTGAGCGGGATGACACCCCAAGCGGCAACCAGGAGGCTGAACAGAAGCGGAAGAGTTGAACCAACTTTTGCTCTCCGCGGTAAGCCTATGTATTGTTCGTGATTTACGTGACTGGCCGTCTGCTCACGAAGCGTGTTTTCTTTGTACATATTTATGCATGGCATGACAGGGCAATCTGGGAAGAGGCATTAGACAGTGACTGGCGTTTTGTCCTTGATAATGCAATAGTGTCATTAGAGGCACGGCTGGAATAAAATGAGCTTTCCCTGCAGTAAGTTTGATAAGGTGCCAATATGGAAGGAGCTTGCGTATTGATGACCTGTCTCAGACGTTGAGTCCCTCACACGGGCGCAGCTCAGTCATAGCGATCATTAGCTGACATCTCCAGGACGGCCAGTCCTCGCTAAGAAGCTGGCCAGTACGGATTTCCTTACAGCCCTGACCGTCTGGCTAGCGGCTTCTCTAATGAAGCGTTGAGGAATTCTGAGTAGGACAAAGACACGCAAATTCTTGCACTACTTGAGTATTGGTCGGCACAGCACAACAATGGAGAGTATAGTAGAAAGATGCCCGAATTCCGGACTAGGAAAGGGCGAGTTGAACAAAGGATGGACTCTAACACGCCTTCAGTGTCGGTTCGGAGCTTCCCCATGGAAGTTCGTGCGATCTCAACTGTTGTCGTTGATTGTTCCTTGCAATCTTAACTGACCATCGGCCGACGTCGATTGATATCCAACACGTCGATTTACCCCTGAATACAAGAGCCGTAGGAAAGCAATATCTATCCCTACTGCTTTGACAATGCCCCGTCTCACGACTACCAAACCCTCCTATGTCCTCCAAAAGCCCCTTGGCAACGGCGTGTTCCTCGTCCGCCGCGCCCCAGACGGCGAGCTTTTTCTCGCCCAACCTCTCGACGGCGACGACGGCGACAACAACAGCAACGCCAACAACAATGAACCTGCCATCCAGGAACCCACGAGTAACATTCCCCAGGCAACCTTCCGCGAACTCCTTCGCCGCGGCGCCGGCCACGCAGCCGCCAACGTGCTCAATCACGAGAACCTAGTCTCGGTGCGCGACGAGCTGGTCGACTTCCCCTTCCCGCTTCCGCCCCCACATGTCCCTCCCCAAACAACGCTGTTGCACAAGGACGTGGACATGGACGTGGACGGCCGCCAGCCCCATGCTGCAGGAAACAACAACGGGGAACAAGAAGAAGATGACAACGCCCGCCCTGAGCACCAGGCGCCGCCACCGCCGCCACGGCGCATGCTCCTGTGGGATTACTGCGACGCGGGCACGCTGCAGGACGTCATGGATTGCGCGTTACCCCCCCTTGCTGCTTACGACGATCCCCTGGGCCAGGATTTCCTCCCCGAAGGGTTCGTATGGCACGTCATGCTGGGCCTGCTGCGGGCGCTGCAGTTTCTGCATCAGGGTATTCGGGAGGGGTATGAGATTGAGGAAGTCCCCGCGGGAGATGGTGGTGGTGGAAGGAGGTGGAAAAGGGCCAGGGGCGCGCAGACAAAAGAAGAGGATTGGATGCCCATTCTACACCGGGATTTGCAGCCCCGCAATGTGTTCCTGCAGCGGCCCAGGGGGATCGAGACGTACGGCGCCGTGAAGCTGGGCGGGTTTGGGAACTGCTTTGTTTCCGGGACGGTGGCCGGTACGGCGGGGACGCCGCTCGTGGCGATCAAGGAGAGGGATGGGTCGCTCGCGGAACTGCGGGAGAAACTGGGTCGGTTCAGGAGGGATGAGAAACAGATGCCCCTGGTGAGAGGAAGCAGGAAATTCTAGAACCGTTCTGAGCTTGATGGACTAACTTGCAACAGGAAGAACGCCCGTATACGAACGGAAGCGAGCTCGCCGCTCTGGGATTAATGATCTACCAGATGATACACAGGCGTTTGATGCTGTTGCCGCCAGGAGCACGCGGGAACATTTTCGACCCCTGCTCCGACGACGTAGATCCTCAGAAAATTTTCAACCCGGATTCCCGCTACACGCACGAACTAAAGGAACTGGTCACAGACCTCCTTCTCTCGAACCAAAATGAATCGTTTCCTGCCGGTAAGGTACTGAATCGCGCGTGGGCAGGATTCGAGAAGTGGGTTGCGAGTACGGATGATGGACGGTTACATAGAGACTTATTCGACGACATTGCGTTTCGGAGACGGAACCAGGAAAGGATTGAGAAGGCGCAAGCAAAGGAGGGCTATGTTGGAGGCGAGGATGTGTTCGTTGTTTGACTCGACTGGTTTTGTTTATTCATTTTGTGGTAATCTGTGGGCTTCACAAGCAGTTCACCAGATTCCGTCAGTTTCCACGCTTAAACATGGAAGTGTATGTAGGGCAATGGAGTATATCCTATCGTATAAGAAGCAATCAACCGTCGGTCTTTCCCTTTACAAAGAGCGCGCTGTTGTCACTTTAAAATGAGTTCCAGATGTCAGTGCAGGTGCCACAACAGTCGACTGGAGTGGGTTTAGAGGTTTGCCCCACGCTTCCTTTCATCTGTGGGTAAGTTTATCGATGACTACCCGCATCCCCACCACCCCAGCTTCACCCCACAATTCCGGATTCACGGCTCAGCTCGTCCAAGTTGTCCAACGGCCAACCTCAGACCTCAAGCCTCCAGCTGGCTGGCTCTTCTGATCTTTTCTGACGATCTATGTACTGTACTCAATTGCAACCGCCGTCGCATTCGCCAAAATGTCCCGCACCATGGCGATGCCGCCGCCGCCTCCGCTTCTCCTGACGAAGCGCGTGACGTCTTTTCTCCGCGCCAATCTCTCCCCGCACATCCACTCGGCCATGCTGACCACACCCGCCGGGAACCTCCTCGCCCACGCCAGCAACCTGCCCGCGAGCGCTCTCCGCCGTCAGTGTGCCGTAGCTGCGTCGCTATGGGCGCTCCAGGGACCAGCCCCAAACAGCGATTCGAGAGCAGCAGAAGACGCAGGGCCCTCCTCTCCAGAAGCAGCAGCAGCGACCATACCGCCGGGGAGCACCATTACCACCAAGAAGAAGAGCAAACACTCTGCGCCGACTGTCACGGTGCAGCTCGACAGCGGCGCCATATTCGTGATCCGCCGCCTGCGGTGCGGCATGCTGTTCGTTTGCATGGGCGGCACCGAAGAAGGGAACGGTTCAGCAGGATCCAGAACCCCAACAACACAAACCCAAACCCAAACCCACCATCACCATCTCCAACCTTTGACCACCAACCCGTCTGTCGGAGCCGGGACCGGGACCGGAAGCGGAAGTGGGAGCGCAAGCGGCACAGCAACCCCGACGCGCAGACCCACCACCCCATCGAAGCAGAATGAGCCCACCACCACCCCAATCATCAACAACTCCAACACGACCGATAACCCGACAACAGACCCCAACTTACCCGTCAACCCCCCACCAGCGGTGTTAGCACCAACACCAACAATAATCTCAACAACCCCCGCACCGGCGCAAGCGCAGGCAGAGACACAGGCACGACCAACAACGCCAACGCTGCGGCTCCAACCGCAGCCGACCCCACCGTTGGGCTCTCCATCACCCTCCGAGTCAGCAGTCAGCATCCTGACAACACACACGGCGCACACGACGGGCGGCGCGTCGTCCGCCGCAAGCATGGCCACCACCACCACCACCTCGGGAAGCAGCGTGCTGGCCATGCGGCGGCAGGTGGAGGAGCTTGCGCGGTGGCTGGACGACCGGTTGGGAGGGCTATGCGTGCCCGAGGAAGGGATCGGGGTTGGCGGGATCGGTGGGGACGGGGACCGGGAACGTGGCAGGAATGGGAATGGGAATGGGAATGGGATGCGGTTGGAGGTTCGGTGATATTACTTAGGTACCTACCTACCTACCTGCCTGCGTGAGAGATGGGTGGGAGATGGTCCAGGTTTTGGATAGGCCGAGAGCACGGGTTATTGTTTACTATGGATCGGAGCGGTGTAGAGTCAAAAGACAACGGGCTGGAGTACCGTTAGAGCGATAGACAAATACCAATGTGGTCTCTTAGAAAGACAGTATGAAGAAATAAGCGGTTAGCATTATATTCGTATGTTTGCTTCGTAGCTTGGCATCGCTGCGCTGTTCGTAGCCCAAGTCCCACCCCTAACGCCGGTTCTGGACCTAGAATTCATCCATTGATATGGGTACGCCGCTGAATCGTTTCTATGACCCTGTTTCAGACCAGAATTCACCGAAAGCGCCGTTTACCTGCCTTGTAAAAACCCCTTTGCGCCTTCCCCGTTCCTGTTTCCGGGGTCCTGTCCTTGTACCGCTCAATCCTAACCCAGCGATGCCCAGTCCGTTTCTCATACAACCGGCCAACAGAGGGCCATAAGGGGAGAAGATGCAAAAGAAGATCTTGTGCAGGAAAAGAACCCATCACCATGCAAGCCAACCGGGCAGCCAATAATCAAGGTGTTATCCAGCCTCTCCATTAGCAAGCCCAACCGACGTTTCCCAATGCCAACTATTAGCCAAGTCAGTCAGTCAATAGTCAACTTCGTAATCCCATCATTGGTATCCACCATGCCCTGGAACCCAACCCTCCCCTTCCCGCCACTAGCAAGATGTCTGGTGCCGTTATTACCACCACCACCACCACCAACTCCTCCACTACCATTCTCACCCGGCGCACCACTCCCACTTCCAGGCTTTCCAGCAACCCCGACCCCGTCCCCGCCCACACTGCCAGGCCTCGACGCGCCGCATGCCGCGCTCGCGCCCCAGGGCATCGTGTCGCGCTGCAGCGGAGACTGCATGATGGGGGAGTTGTGGACGCTCATGCCCGGGCTGACGGCGCGGCGCTTGATGCTGACGGGGTCGAGGTCGTCGTCGCGGCGGCGCTTGCTGTTGATGCGCCGCGTGATCTCGGCCGCGCTGGGCGGGTGGCCCGGCATAAAGGAATCGCTGCCGGCTCCGGTGGTGCTGGCGACTGCCGCCGTGCTGCTCCCGTTGCTGCTGGCGTTGCCCTGGTTCGCGAACGGGAGTGGCGTGCCGTTGCCTGAACTGCTTGATGTCGTGGTCGCCGGTACAATAAATGGGTTTTGGCCCTGACTTTGGCCGTTGGAGCTGGTCGAGGGTGAGTCCATGCTTATGTCCTCGAGGCTGAGGCCTGAAGATGATGCGCGCGCGAGGCCGAATGAGGGTGGCGGGGGTGTGACGCGCGTGGCGGCGCCTGAGCTGCTGCTCTCCGAGAAAGTGTCCCAAAAGCCTCTGCCTTTGGAGTTTTTGAGCGCATGCTGTTTGAAAGTCCCCGTGAGGCCAAGGGCGTTGCCGCTGGGGTCCATCATCATCATGTCCTCGGACATTTCGTCGAGGCTGTCGTGTGTGGCGAGGCTGGGGCTCGATAGTGCTGTTGTTGGTGCCGAGTAGGGCGGGAGCGGGAGTTGTCGAGGTTCCAGATCCATGTCGCTCTCGCGGACTTGGCGAACCACTTCAGCTTCCCGCCGAAACTCGGCCTCAATGGGCGCACTCTCCTCAGCGAGAGCAGCGCGAATACGCGCGAAGCCCTTTGTTTTCGGCTACGGGCGGCCGGTTGTCAGAATCCGTGCCTGGCTAGGAATCGGCGCACTTACCAGCAAATTCCCGCGGCGCGTGACGGCACGTCTTACCACGGCTGGGCGTGAGGGGCTGTCGACACCATCCAGCTGTCTGTTAATGCTGTCATCGCTTTCATTGCCCGAAATATGCAATTGGTTAGCAGCCCAGCTGATGCTCTCGCGCCGCGCGTGGTGCAGGGATAGGTCTTTCGGTCCCATGATATTGTTTGGTGGGGATCTCGATATGACCCCTGGCGCAGCGGGCGAGTGGAATCCAAACCCGAGTGGCCTGCGCGCCTTATGTCTAGACTGTTTCCGTTGGCGTTGGCGTTGCTGAAAGCTCAACAGGCTATTGACCGTGGGCGAGCCGGGAATCCATGGTGTGCCGGCCGAAGCGGGATTGCTGAGAATGCCGGGTTTCGGGGCCTGCGGGGTGGTGACATAGGCCTCGTCCAAGTCCTCGTCCATAAAGTCGTCGTCGTCTGAGCTAGACGATAGGTCGGAGAGCGCATAAGTGGTGCTTCCCAGCGAACTCGATATGTGCATGCGCTCCTCTCTGCCCATCATGGACCACAGCGAAGTGGAGGTCTGCTCGGCGGTGCCGTACTCTGAGCCCCGATGCCCCGGGATGTTCATGGCCCGGGAGCCGATTGTGGGCGACGAATCCGGCGAGGCTGGATCGGCCAGGGTGGAGTGATGCAAACTCGTGGCAGCGCGGGAAAAATCCAAGCCGCGCGATCGGCGCGGCAGAATGTTTGTGGGTGAAGCGTAGATGTGCGAATGGTCCAGTTTTGGCGAGAGCGGGGCGGTCCTGACGTCGGCGCCCTGTTGGGTGGGCGACGCCGCGTCGCGCTGGGGCATCTGCAACGAAAGACCTCGGATTGGGAAGCCGACTCGAATAGGTGTTGAAGGGAGCGGTGAGCAATTTCCATGCTGCTTGTCACGGATGGCAATGTCGTCCTTTGAGTGCTGGCGTGAAGAAGCCTTAACGAGGTGCGGAGAAGGCGAGAGTCTTCCTGGCGTGCCTCCGCCGTCTGAGAGAGACCGTGTCCTAGGAGATCGAATATCTTTGCTCCTTTCGTTGCCGCCTATACTGCCGCCAGCATCAGCTACGGCCATGTCAATTTCTTGCCCCTCATCTGACATTCTCGACGCATCGTTCATGTTGATTGATGGTGGCGTCTCGGTTGGCATGAGCAGCTCTTTCGATCGCGCGTCTCGGGTGCCAAGCTGATAACGCGTCGATCATGACAGCATGGGCATCAATCTGCAGACGCCGCGGAATTGTAAAGAGTCAGCCCATCGGCACGCTTCGAGCGGCCTGTAAGGGAGAGGAGGCGTTTGGAATCGAAAGATGCGAATCATCTACACTCTGTTAAGAAATGCAGCGGATGACCAGCCTATATGCAAACAGCACGGTGGGTGAGGTCCTGCGGGTCGTCGTATTGAAATTACCTGAATTAATCATTAAATTAGCGCCCAGACCACGCGAAGTCTAGCGTCTAAGGCCGCGGTTTAACCCGGTCGAAGCGCCAGACACCCTGAAGGTTACATCCATCACACCTGTTACACATAGACTTGGCGGTAACTAAGGTACACAGCCTTATGTTAGCAGCATTGAAGCATCCGGAGAAATGACCTAGGTGTACGACTTCCATTCAATGGAAAAGCATACGGGCTACAAGTGTTATGGGCAATTTTGGGTGGTGACTACCAACTGAACTCTGGAACTTTGCACGCACAGAGAAGGTTGAAGGGAGGCACAACCACAGGGGGTGATTCGCTACGCGCTCTGGGCTGGGCTGAAGCTCCAGCAAAAGCGGAAAATTACGCAGTTGTTTACCCCGCTCGCCCCGCTACCCACAAGAATCGGTAATTACATACATATGGAGGAGTTTCAACATTACGGTGGGGGCCCTTGTATGTACATACAGTACAGTACATACAGTCCAGTACCTGCAGATCCAGTGGCCGCCCACATCTCTTTCCCCTTGTGATATCTCGAGACCCAAAGACGGTAAACAGCATTGGAGCGAGGACGGACATCTTCAGACCAGCTGATCAGACGCTCTGCAGTTCAGTTGACCCGGATTCGCTCTCGAAGCAGCCGACCGCCAAAATAGAGGGATGAGATACCAGTACAAGTACCAGTAGCTGAGTACAAGGTACTTCGTAGGCACCGGCATGTTAAATTTTGATCATGGACTTGATAGTCACACCACTGACACCTCTCGATCATGGACTTCCCGGCTCAGACTAGGATAGCCGGGTCCAGAGGATTAGCACATAACGAAGGAAGGCCCTCAACGCATGAGAAGCGTCTGTTCAAAGTTGTCTCTAACCTGTGTTTGCTGAGGCGAGATTGGTACCCGACGGAGTTGTGAAGAAGGCTTTTGTCTCACTGAAACAATGCCATTCAAACTAGACCGAAACACCAAGCCTTGCCAGACTTGCCCTTCTGTGCAACAGCAACTACATTGAGTCGATATGTCCTCTTTCTCGTCTGAACCTTATATTTAAGACGACATGGCTGTGTGAAGACCCTTACCCGTTTCAATTCTCATACCCGACCCAATTCGGCCGACCTGAACCCTGTATATACTACTCCACCCGTCCTGAATATCGCCGACCTTGTTCCAAAATGTCCGACTTGATGGACATTGGCCCTTGTCCTTTTAGGGAGCGAGCACCGACTCCAATGGAAGGAGTCGAGTTCCATCCAGCGGTACAGGTAAGTGACCACGATCTCGGTGACCCGATGGACGTTGAGTATCCCGAGGGCAATGATCTGATGGACGTTGAATTCACGGATCTCGAGATCAATGACCCCATGGACGTCGATTCCGTTAACTGGGGCCTGCAAACACAGGACGGAATTCACCGGGCTCCCCCGGCCTCTGACCCGGACGACGTGGAGATGGCCTGTTATGATCAAGTCAACCTCCAGGATCTCGTCCTCTAAGACCTTGCTAACCCGTCGGACCTCGTTAAGGCCTAGGATCTCGTTAACCTAGCTCTCTGGCCAGAGGAAACCGGCGCTCAACTCCTTCGCAGTGGTTAACCACACGACAGCAGCCCATTAATAGCATAGTAGGAAAGGAGTTGTCGGGGATGACGTTTCGCAGTGCTATCACTGCTGCTGTGCGTGGCTCGAGGCGGAACGTAGAGGTGCCCATCGAGGACTCGAAGCTTGACAGGTAAGTCAATCAATGTAAGTTTGTGCCACGATGTCAAACCTTCCGTGGGATCCTGCTCTGCGGATCACTGGAAGCTGTCCTGATGCCGCGAGGCAGGTTGTACAGGTAAGGTTTGTCAGTCCTTCATGAGTCCATGGTCAGTTTGGGCCAGGAGGCAGTCGAGTCAGTTCCTGATTTGGTGCTCTTCCGTACAGTATGTAGGCATAATAGATCTACATTCACTCGTAACAGTTAGTAAGCGTTGTCAGATACATCGTGGACCAGCTGCTATATACTTATATGCATATTTGCTCATGAAAATTGACACTTACCACATCCCTCCCCTTTCTTAAGCACTGAGCGAAGCCCTCTTCCCCTTGGAGCCCTATTAAGCAACGTGCCAATAAGCCTATAACTTCCCCTTCTCTCCAACTTTACCATCCCTCACCCGCTGGGCACTCCTAAGCAACGCATAAAGGGTCTGCATCCTCGGCAACTCCACGCCCCCCCGCCTCGCAATCCTGACCGGGTTGCCCAAGATAACCTCGATCTCCATAGGCCGGCCCGCTTCCCAGTCAAGCAGCATACTGGGCTTACTGCCGACGTTGCGCTCGGTGCTGCGGAGGATCCTCTCGGGCCCTGCCAGAGACGGGGGGAACCCGCGGCCCAGGACGCGGGGGGCTGCCTCCCAGATCTCGCGCATCACTCCCGCCAGGTGGGCGCGCAGCTCCGGATCGCCCACCATGGACGCGTTGCCGCGCCCCCCGCTCAGCACCGCCGACGGGTTAAACGCCGCGTTGATGCACAGCTTGTGCCACCGCACCGTCTGCAGCCCCACCTCATCCACCACCTCCACGTCCCGGATGCCCCCCAGCCGCGACCACCAGTCGGCGAGCTGCGCAGCGCGTTCTCCGCCCGACCGTTGCAGTGCCTCCATGTCGTCGCTGGTGCTGTTGCCGTTACCGGGGACCGCTGCGGTTGTCGCTGGTGATGGTGCTCCTCCGGTGGGGGTCAGCGCCCCCGTGGTGCCGTCGCCTGGGGAACTGTCCGAGGTGGATGAGGCCGAGTTTGAGTAGGGGCCCAGGTGGATGCGGGTCCATCGGTTCTGGCGGATGGTGCCCGGGGCCGTTTGCTCGGCCGAAATGACGGTGACGGCGCTGACGATGGGCGTGGTGGGGAAGCGGGCGCGATAGGGCTCCTCGACGCCGACGCCGTTCTGGATGAGGACGATGGCCGACCTGGGCCCGACCAGCGGCGCGATGAGCGCGCTGTCGTCCGAGAGGTCCGGCAGCGCCTTGGTCGTGACCACGATAAAGTCCCAGTCTCGCGGGCCCGGGTTGGAGGGTCCCGGGTTGGCGGCTGCGGCGGCTACGGAGGGAAAGACGGCGTGAGGGCGGAAGGTGTAGTCACCAAAGCTGTGAGTTTGGAGCTTGACACCGGATTCGGCGAGAGCCTGGTAATTGGAGCGGGCGATGAGTGAGACGTGGATGTTGTTGTTTGGCTACGGGGCGTCAGTGACATGGTGATTGGCATGAGTGAAATTCATAGCGGTGAAGATCTGGACTACTTGCATGATGTAGTCTTGAGGCGTAGAAGCACCCCACGGCGCCGGCGCCGACAAAGACGATATGGACGGGCCTGTTTTCTTCTTGTCAGCTTTCCCGCGTCTATCCGCCCACCCCTCGGTGGCACTACCTGTCCGGATCAGTGCCGGGCTTGGGGATCTCGTGTGAACCCATGGCTGTATGGTCAGTATGTCTCGATGGTGGTTGCAAAACTCCTGGTTGGCACAGTTGCGGGGAGTCGAGAGCGCAGGTCAACGGATTAAACCGGCTTTCTCTCAAGTAGAGGTTGCGATGTTGGTTGTATCGTCATTGGCCACGACAACATAAACTACCCCATAGCCTGGGGATGGTGTGCTGCAGCCTATGCAAGCAGGGGATTATACTTCTGCAAAGCAAAACTCTTGAGCAGCACCCCACGAACAACTAGCAAATAATCGGCCTCACGTCATGCAACCGCGATGGAAATAAGGGAAATAGAAGATACCACGTGCCAATCCTTTTCCAGATCGCTTGGCGATGACTGGAGGGGGAACTTGGTATATTCACTCTAGCGTGGTGTGGTGTAGTGTAAGGTACATGATACATACTTCACAGTAGTTCCTGCCCCACCATCTCGAGTGCCCGGCTTTCTTCGAGTGCGGGGGAAAGCACAACTGCATCGATAGATCCCGTCTTTTCCCATTGTCGGGCCGGGGAAATGTCGCACCAACGGCTCATCCAGGCTGATACCCCAGGCCAGACCCTGACCTCGACCCCAGACGAGGGGGATTCCAGATCTGCCTTGAGGCCCTACGCCCAGTAAAAGTATCGACGAGTTAGGCGAGTACAAAAAGGTACCTGGACCGAATGAATCGAGGACCTGAAGACCTCTAAGCCAATTTACCGCGCTGCAGCACCCGGAAAACGCCGGACCTTGGATGACAAGGGACAATCGTCAGGAGGAACGATATATTTGATACCAGATGTGATCGCCTGGAGGGTTCACCGCAGCTGAGCAACGTTACGACTCACCGTGAAAAGACCCGAAGCTGAAGCATCATGGCCTGATCTTGAGGTCGAGTAGCACTTCAGATAGTAGGTAGCAGTGAGAAGCTGTGCTCCCCAACATCAGACCATACTGTATTTCATTTCCTGGCTCTATCATCTGATCGGTGGAGGATCAGTGGAAAAGCTCAGTGGGACACTGGGACTCCCCAATATCCTATCCTAGCCTTGCTGTGTGCGACGGGCAGTCGAGCATACCCCTTTCTCAGGTTATTATTACAGCTTTGCAGTGAGGTTCGAGGAAGACTGAACTTTTCACCGACGGCGGAATTGCCTACGTATTAACAACACTGATCACCACCTGATAAGTGCTGCTGCTTGTTTATGCTTAACTTGAATTCGGCGGAATCATCCAATGCTGGATCGCTTCTAGTGTATATCCCCAGTCTGCGGCCCGATCCGATCACCGACGCGAAGGCGGATGCCGCACGTCCAACCGGTACCGGTGAGGCCGTGGTTTTTCTTACTCGACAGCCTGTCGGCTTCCCCTCAAGCCCGAACTCTGGGCGTGCGTGAGCGCCTGGCGGGGTGGCGACTCATCATCAAGTGCTTGCTCATTCCACCCGCCGTTGTGGTCGGCCTGAAAAGGTGCTTATGGGTTTCCAAAGTCAGCTCGCCGCTCGCGCCGTGGCCAATCACACACTGATACACGGGGCTTGTAACCTCTACTGATTCCCGGGTCTCCTAGAGGATCAAGACGATTTCTTGACACGGCGCCCAGCAACGGGTCAGAGTTTGATTTATGCCAATAGCAATCCATCCGAGTCAACAATGATAACCGATCCCGGATGTAGGTAACACTCGAAAAGATCGAGTACCCGCCCTGGCAGCACGAGACATCGCGTGTCCCGATGAATGTCGACTTCCGCAATTGACCCTTGCGGCGCCTCATTGTGCAGATCTTCAAACCCAGCCATCCACAGGGTGCAGACGGTGCAAGCTGAGACAAGAAAAGCTGGGTGCCAAGTCGGCTTCGTGCAGCAAATTCCGGACCCAGGTAGGGCAGGCCTCGGACAAGACGGCTACCAGAGATGGTCCTTGTTGATCTGGCCTTGACAAGCCGGTGAATGGTTCGCAGACCGAGCTGTGTCTCACCCGAGTAAAGGTGGCCCGGGGGTGGCCCGGGGGTGGCCACCGTGGTGCGCAACGTGCCTACCTCGACGATGCACGGTTCTCAATGACGTGATGTACAATACAAGCATGGGGGTCTGCCCCCTTGAACACAAAACGTGGGAGGACACTGCCGTGGGGGTTGAGAAGATGATTGTCTAAAATCCTGAGTGAACCTGATGTTGGCCACCATTTCGACATGATAGGCACTCACCCATCGAAAGGATAATCACCCCCGAGTCACCCCACAATGGCGATAGCTAGGAGTGGGGAGAGGCAGTTGGAAATGCAGTCGGAGACCTGGACCTTTTGCGAGTTCCAGCAACCCGCCGCCACGGCAGTGACAGCTCCGATGGCCGGCGACCCCTCTCCAACTGCTGGTAGGTAATGGACTACCTTAGAACTGGTGAAGATGCAGGTGTGAATACCTAATTGAATGGTGCTGCTGGTAGCTAGCGCCAACGACATCCACAGGTCGCCGTGTCAGAAAAGGCGGCTAGTATTGTCCAAGGCACTTCCCGGCTTGTGAGAGAACCTTGTCGGTGAGGCATGCACTTGGCTGCGCAAAAATACCCCGGCCGGATGGTTTCTCGCGGTTTACCGGGCTCCTCTGAACACGCCCCCGTGAAATCCACGGAAGGGTTCTAGAATCTTGGGCAGAGGGCTAGCCATATTATTCCACAATCCGCCAGCGTTTCGGCCGTGGAGAGGACAGAACCGCCAGGGGACAGCCCACTCGGGCTGTCGAACCAGAGGCGCCCAGATTCGACAACACTGCGTTTGGCGCTCCGCCAGTCCGAGTCCGGCGGTATATCTCCAAAGACACTGGTAAATCTCCATGAGATGCTGTTGGTCTTTTTTCTCAGACACTTGCATGCAACAGCAAGGAGATTGTTCCGAACTCTCGGCACTTACACTTCTCCGGTTGCACAGTACCTTGGCAGGCACATTCCATCTCCCTGTGGGAGAGAAGAAAAACCAGATGCCCTAGTGGGCTGGCTAAAGCGCCATCGGGGTGATTGCTGCCGACATGATGGTGTCGCTCAGACGTGGATTGCTGAAGATTCCGAGGCGACGAATACCTGGCATTATCACATCTTCTACCCAATCCCTTTGGGTCGTGTGACAGAACTTGATTTGTTGGAGGGCAGAGAAACCAAATCTTGCGGCCAGAATCCCTTCTATGGCAGGCATTGCATGCGACTTTGGGAAACTCCCCGAAGAACCATAGCTTGCAGATCGTGGTTGCCAGAGCGACACGGCCGTTTCTGTTCCTCAGGGTTTGAGGACACTGTTCGTGTAACTGAGACAACGTGGTCAGGCGCAAGCAACCGAGATCCGTATCTCCTCTCTCTCTCTCCGAGAGGTCTGGCACTAAACTTCGATGGTCCGCCGATGGCAGCAGAAACTCGGACAACGCCTCATGCGTCTTCCCTTCCTCCTTGTCCAGCCTCATTTCCGCGCTCGCGGAAATGAGTTGACGGCCCACATCCGCCCAAGATCGGAGAAATGAATGTCATGGCCTGAGAACCAATCTCCTGCGCAAGCTAAGCCTGGTGGATCTTAGAGGGTAGTGTATGGCGATGATCGATCATTCAAATCGTTCTGACGGTAGTGGTGAAGGCCGATATCAACTCTTGCACACGACATACACTATGTAACCAGTTCAAGGCTGACCGGAAGTGCGACTGTTTGATGAGACTACCTTGGGTCTAGTGTAGGTGCCGAGAGTCGTGGCAATTCGTGCGCTAAGCTGCTGAGTGGTAGCTTGCACTGCTGTCGAACCAGAGAACTCGAGCCATTGCTTTCGCTGCCAAGCCACATGAGGTATAGGTGTCAATGCCACTTTTGTCGAGGGGAATGAGATGGATGCATGCGTAGTGGTTGGGATGGCGGCGTAGCGCCCAGTCTCTTGTAAGTGGAAGCTGCCGAAGCTGCAGTGGGAGAAACGTGAGTGGGCTGGATGGAAGAAAAATTTGCACTGCATGTGTGCTCCACAGGCTGTCACTGCTGCTGTGGGCACTGGCGGGGGCCGGGCATCGGCGCGACGGGAAATCACCATGGATGGATCTTCCATAGAGGGCCGATTTCCAGACCGCCCGGAGCTCTGACCCCACTACTGCCCGCACTCCCGCTGTGCTAGCACAGACTCCGCTAGACCTACCTAGCCATGCCACTCATAACTTCAGGAGATCGTCCACTTGATGCATACTGAATGTGTGACGTTAACGAGCAATAGCTACTATGGACAATGGAACCGATTGCCCGCCTGAGAAACCGAGCCCTTGGCAGTCTCACAGTCGACGGTGATCTCCAGCCAAGGAAGAAATACGGCCGAGAAGCCGGCAGCGACAGTGCTCGGGACTGCCGTTCGCACCAGAGGAAGAAACGAGCCGATCGGCGCGGTTCGCGAAGCAATATGGGCCATTCTGCCTCTAATTGACTGCTAAGTCCAGCTGCAGGCGACAGCGGAAGCTTCAATAACTTTCCCAGCCGGGCCAGCACACGCCAAGAAGGCCTGCAATGGCCCGACGGCTGTCGAGCACTCGAGCACGCGTGGCAGGTTATTTACCCCGTCATGGCGGATGCACACAACCGGCTGGCGAGGCTGCGGCATTGCATTTTGTGTGACAACGTGAAGTGAACGAGTGAACCCATGGTCAAGCCACGAAATCGATGGCGAGTTGGGATCCAAGGGGCCATTGGCTTATTGACTTGTCACCGCGGGAGGCTTGATTTTGGCTTGCTCGCGCGGGATGTCAACGCCCAATGGCCAACAGCAGCCCAGTGGGCGTTTGCGCCAACGATTCAGCACCCTTACAAGGAAACAGAAAGGCAGCCTGGAAGAAGGGCTGGCCATGGCTTGCAGCAACAACCCCCCGTGGTCCTAGATGGACAGAGGCAGGTGATAAGTCAGAGGGCTGCTTCATACAGCTCGATCGACGACATCATGATATAAACGATGAAAATTTCTCGAGCCAGACGCTGTAAAGCGACATCGCCGCGGAAGGACTCGAGCAGAGCGAGCATCTAGGATCGCAAAAAGGAGCCTTGTGGTGTGAGTGCGGGTTTCTGCCCGGTGTGTTGGCCTGCAGCGTGCGAAACAACAGAAGGTTACATTCAGAACTGGATCGGGTTATGTATCTCAGAGTAGGCAGGTGTGTAAATGTATATGTCTATAGTATATCTACATTTCCACTTATGCCAGGTATCAGTCTAGTTTCTCGTGTGGGTGATTCAGGCAGTGTAACAAATGCCAGGCAGTGATGAAAGGTACCTGGTAAGCGGCACGAGCCAGCCACCTGTTCGTCTGTCACTACTTGAAGGAGTCGCGGGCCTGAGTGGCCTTGAACTCCGGACACTTGTAGGTCGGGTGCGTGTGGATGTATGTCCTGGACCTAACATACCTTACGTATGTACATACAGTACATACGTACTGCACCTAGGTAGGGGAGCTCCGCGAGAGAGTCCTCTGGCATCTCCCACAGCAGTCCTCCCACAGCAGTCCTCCCACAGCAGTCCTCCCACAGCAGTCCTCCCACAGCAGTCCTCCCACAGCAGTCCTCCCACAGCAGTCCTCTCACAGGGCAGTACATACACCAAGTATTTTCTGCTTCAACACGACCTGAATAAGCCGGCTGACAGCCGATATTGATTACACTAAAATTCTCCGAGAAGAGAGTGGCTACAGACTCAGTGGGTGGTACACGCATCCAACCTATGAACGATACGTCAAACATCAAAATCCCTAGGTAATTACTCTATAACCACGTAACCGGTCGAGATTGTTCGGGCCTGTTCCTGTTTTCCCTTTGATTGGGGCTTTTACCCAGACCCTGAACAGCCCTGGGCGCAGTGGGCGTGGGAGACATGCGACCCCTAAACCCCACTAGATAAACAGCCCAAGAGCTTCTGACAGACTGTTACAAACCTGCCCAGGACGCCGAGCCTTCGTTTGCGATGTGCGGCGGCCATAGTAATAATTTTGGCAGGAATTCGGTCACTTAGATCCGGTCCGCTCAGGTTGCGGAACGCGACCAAATAGAGACGACGGAAGCACCCCTTGAGGCAGTCGGCACAACGCGGTAGTTTCGCCGCGATCTGGCCGGCCCAACCTTCGGGAGGTACTGTACATACTTCGTACCTGGCGCGGCGCCGCAGAGAGATGCCGGAAGTCTCCGATGATGTAAACGCTGATGTTAAAACAGTGAGAACGCGAGGGATACCCAAGGTAGGAGGGGTACCGTGTCTCGACGATCATGCTGTTACACGCATCAGATAATTACCGGTTATGGAGCCTACATCGATAGTACAAACATACCGGTACCTAGTTATGTAGTTGGTTAGTTGACATCAGTTGTCCGGTGCGAAACGGCGTCAGACCAGAAACGCATACCGAATGTGAAGAAAATGAGGGAGGTGGGAAAAGACGCTCGGGGCAACGTCGATTGGGCTAGCCACTTGCACACCCTCAAACCGAGAAGACTCCTCCAATTGAGGCGGTTCCCCGTAAGTTCCCTCCGTCCACGGGCACCCACGCTGGCACTCTTTCGCTACGCCGACCTCCCGCTCTTGCGAGCCCGGGGTCCCTGTCAGGCCCCTCGCTGTTCGACAATCCCGTCAAGGAATCCCGCGGCCCGTCATTCGCCTAACGAAAGCTGCGACCAACCAGTCTTGCCGTCATTTGTGAGCGACATGAGCCCGTGCCTGGCTGCTAGCTAAATTCTGTCATTAGCAACGGCGCAATCAGTCATCGAGTTACATACCGCCGCCAAGATAAAGCTGTGGGAGCCGACCTGGCCTAGGTTTCGTCAAGCACGAGCCGGTGCCTCTTTGGCCGGGCAGACGCAAGAAGCCCCAGTTGTCCATCCATAACGTAGGTACAGTACCGTATCCTCTCGTAGTCGCCGGTTTCGTGAGCATCCACATGTGGATTGTGGAATCCCACGCCCGGCCCGACATTAAAGGAGCCCACCTCTCCCTCGCGAGTTCGCCGGTGCTTCGTGACTCGGCACACAAGCTGCCAGCCTTGTACTTCCCCTTTCGCTGCTGATCCCGGCTTTCCCTCCTCTCATTGCGGTCTGCCCGCCACGAAGCGCCCGTTAGTCAAGCTGTGATGCATCATCGAGCCAGAGCTCTCTGACCACGGTAGCCGCCGACAACAGCCAACAGCCCGACAACAAACTCTGAACGGAGCGAACGGATCGTTTACATCACACTGCAGCCCTCTCGCCGTGCGTTGGCAGCTTACGCCGCCATAAGATATCGACCGGCTTCGTGTTTCGGTTACTCGGTGTTTTTTTTTCCACGGCCAAACGGTCTGCTGCTGAGCTAAGGAATCATCAAAAATTCGGCTCACACACAGCTGAGTCCCAGCCGGCTCGCAAGGCGAGCTCTTCCGATACAGGCCTTCCCGTCTTCCGGCTTGCCCTGAAAACCCCACCTCTGCCCTGCCCAACCATTGGAAAAAGAGAGGGAACAAAAAAGACCCTAACCTGGAAATACGGCACCGGCGACCGCGCCTTCCTGACTTACAGACGCAAAAAGTACCGTACGCGGCAGCTACCCACTCCACTGGGCAGCCATCAGCGAGACAGCGACGTGCTCACACAAGCTCCACTCAACCCACATTATTTTTATTTCATTTCCTGGCCCTCTAGGAGTTTCGATCAAGACGTTTCGGTTTCTAGTTTCTATTCGGAGCCTTCGGGATGGTTTTAACCCAGCGATACCCCGAGCGATGACTCTATAGACGGCCTTCCTCCGATCCCCTCTGTCTCAAGCCCGTCTTCGCTCGGGCGACTGCCAAAGAATAATTCCCTGCTTCCACTCCCGTCCCCCTGCAGAGGCCCTGCAGCGCCGAAAGCCAGCCTTGCCAACAGGCCAGCGCATTGCATTCCTCGCCCTTCGCTTCCAGCGCCCTGCACAAATCCAAGCGCACTGCAGGAGATACTTCGGGATTGGTCGTTTCGTTGGTGACGGATCACGGACCGTCAATCGCCCTATTTACGCAGGTGGCCTCGCTAGACCGGGCCGCGACCGAGCGCTATCCGCCATGCTCATCGACGGAGAGAAGTGGGCTTGTGAGGCCTGTGTAAGAGGTCATCGCGTCAGCAACTGCCAACATCATGGTAAGTTCGCTGGTTTTGCCGTGCTCCGGCCGACTGCAACCGAGGGAGGGCACCGGAATATTTCGCAGAAAAACTTGTCGTTTTTCTTTTCCTGATGGGGGAAAGATGGAATGGGAGAGAGAGGGGTGAATTGGATTGGCCGAAGCTATGCCCTTGGTTCTCATTTGCTCTGCCCCTCATGTCTCAATTCTGCGTGCTTTGCCGTCACCAATTTCAAACCCCTTGCGGGACATCTTGAGGTACCTCAAGCGCCTAGGCTAACAACACGCGGCTGCAATTTTACAGACCGGCCACTCCAACACATCAACAAGAAGGGACGGCCGGTATCGCAATGCCAGCACTGCCGCGCCATGCGCAAATCCCGGGCAGCGCACGTAAAGTGCGACTGCGGCGAGAAGACTCACAAGTGTATTCACTTGAGGCCGGTGGTCGAGGGTCACAAGGGTGAGCATTGTCATGTCTCACTGATCGAAGGCCATGCTCCTCTGACTCGTGTTTCGTCTACCTGCAGAAAGCTGCTGCTGTAATCACGGCGGCCGCTGCACCTGCTCGCACAAGCGGGAGCCGCAGCTCGATCCTGTCCCCGAGTCCGACTCGGACGGCGCTGCCGCCTCGCAGTCAAAAAGCTCAAAGTCCAGCTCGCGCCACAGGCGCCGAGCCAACACGACCAATTCTGATGCCGTGCTGTCGTTTGACGCACAGGGCCACCACAAGCCCACGTATAAGCACGTCAAGCCGTCGCAGAAATGCGGGCCGTATCAACTATCTCGCGTCAACTCTATGCACAGCACGAGCAGTCGGGAGAACCGCTCGATGGACGACCTTTTGGGAGCCGGCGCCGCTGGGGATTCCGAGGCCGGCAGTGCCATCGGCGAGGGAGCCCCTCGTGGACAGCGGCGAGTGAAGTCCGAGGCTGCATCCCCTTCAATGACGTCTTCATCGTTCGCCCAGCTCAACGGACAACTGCCACCGCTCGACCTCTCGGGTATCAAGTATACCCCTTACGTTCCCAACAGCGCCGACTTCTTCGGCGCCCTGTCGGACCATGAGCAGCCTATGTTCAGCGCCGGCCTGAGTGCCGGTTCGGTCGACTGGAGTAATTTTGACGGCTTGGGTCTCGCCAGCAAGACGGACGATTTTGCGCCTTCCAGCTACAGCCAGCCTCAGAGCTATGGCGGCCTCGATTTCGCAGGGTCGGAGGTACTACCAACAATGACAACCACCACTTCCATATCGGGCGAGGTCTCGGAGGTGGAAGATTTCCTGTCCAACACGCTTGAAGAATTTGACACGTTCCAGAACAATGTCTCCACAAACGGCTTCGCCCTCGAACACACGAACGCAGGTTTGGTTGGGAGCACGGATTTTACGAGCCTGGATTTCGAGTATAGCCTGATGAAGAAGGCCGGCAGCAAATTTCTGCCGACACCGTCATCCTTGGCTGGCGACGACCCGACTCTGCTCGCCAGCAGCGCCCCCGGCTACAGCAGCTTCACGGCTTTGGAAGAGGAGCCCGGGCTCTGGATGAGCGACTTCCAAGGTCTGCCAAACCTGACAGACTCAGCAACCGAAAGTAGCATGCCATCATTCTGGGACGGTCAATAATACACATAGACGAAGATAGTCAGACAGGCATCTGGGGGTTTCAGATACCCCCTCCCCGGACCCCTTTTCCAAGCCTAACTCACATGTTAGACCGCGGACCTGGCTCAAGCTTCTTGCGTCACGTACATAGTTCTCATTCACCAAGAGTATCTTTTACAGGCATGTTCTCGAAACACGCAAATATGGGGAGGTGCGGGACTGGCCGAGGTGGATCGTTTTTGTTTTTGCTTTTCCACGGGGCGCTGGAGGAGACAACGTTATATCATCTGCTTATTTCCGGACACGGGGGCTCAACGTCGATATGATTACGTTTCATCCGGTCACGATTCACCGGCATAACGCCCATTTGTTTTCTTTCTGGATTCATTCAGCCGCATTTTCAAAAGGAGGTTTTCTACTGGGGCGGTTTCGTTGGCATTAAAATGAGTTTGCAAGAAAAAAAAAGCTCGGTGCTGGGCGTGTTGGCGGATGTTGTCTTTAATTCATCATGGCCTTGTTGGAGAGCGGTCGAGGTAAGGTCTGGTCACTGTTCAGATGGCGCAAATACGTTAAGAGTGTGTGGCTGTTTGGAATTCTCGAAGCAAGTAGATTCTCTGTCACCTACAAAACTGATATCACCTGCTTTCCTAGGATCACAAATATATACAATGAATATACCGTAAAAACTCGCCAAATCCGTCCTCTTCTACTGCGCGTACCCAAGCCAACCGACCAATCCCAGACAGCCGGCTTGCAACTGGCCTACAGTGGTTCAAACCTTACAGTCAGGATGCCAAAGAGGACTGAGCCATGAGATACATCGCCTGGCTTTGGTACGCGCAGTAGAAGAGGACGGATTGGCGAGTTTTTACGGTACCACAGCCTTCTTGGATATCCACCCGTGCCGTGCCTTGTCTGTGAAACGGCAGATTAAACGGAGAGCGAGGGTAGTCTACGTCTGGCTTTTCCCAAACAGGGTCTCTTGAGAAAGGTGGGGGACGGTGAAGCCCTGAGAACCAGACACACAGAACAGACAGACAGACATGTGCATGCATGTGCATGTGGGCAGGCTCCGAGCACCTGGTCTGGAGGTCAGAACGCTACACAGTATATGGGAAACACATTCATAAGATAATCAACATGCAACCTTGTGGGTGCAACTGTCTGGATGTGGGGATGTAAGGGACGGTGCAGGATGACGGTTAGGCATGAAGTATTCGGACCTTCGTGCTTCGTGTTTCGTGCTTCCGGAAATAAACCTTGCATGTGTTCCTCACTCAGTTTGCCGCTCGTATAAAGTATCTTACAGTTGCCTGTCACCTCCCATGCGGAGGAAGCCGGCCAGCGGTGTGCTTGTAACCAAGTTCAATGCACCATGTATGTTCACTATCCAGATCTCCTACCTCGGTTACAAGTCAAACAGGTTTACCTTGGGCGAGGTAAAATACGTATAGTGTAGTGGTGTGTGTCAGCATGCTGCATGTCGCGTGGTCAACAGAAAAGGGGCCTGTCAGGCTTCAGGGTCTTTTTTCCATCCTTCTGGTAGCTTCTGTATGCTGTATGTACGGTTACATCATTTCTACCACCTTGACTACACTTGTACCTTAGTGTGAGTGTCAAGGGCGCTGACGGCAGGCTGCCCGCAGCGAAGGATGGTCGGGTTCGAACGGAGTTCCCGGGGCGCGGTAGAGTACACGTGTAGTTGTACATACTACCCGGTACAGAGTAGCACCTCGGCCTTTTGTCCAACGACAGAAACGGAAGGCGACTCGCAAGCACCATTGTAGCTAGGTTTCCCGATTTTTTCCTGTCTTGCAAGCAAAAAACTTCCAGTCTTTTCTCTTCCCCTGTTGGACCTGCCCCTTGATCGCCGTGCGACATCCTAATCATACTAAGGTAGTCAATCAGCTTCAATTGGTATGTATGTACACGTAGTGATATGGAGACAGGATCGGCAGCGGTTCCGGACCACTTGCTCTCGGCAGGGCGGCGCGGTTCTGGTTTCGGCGATTCGGTGTGCTGTTAAGGAATGAAGGTCCACCAAAGCCATTTCCATTCTGTAACTAGTGCACCCTCGCTCTGTGGGGGTCAATTGTGGTAGTGTAATACTCCAATGTCATAGTAGCAGTCCGTTTGATATTCGAATACACACATGCCCAACATGAAATGCATCATGAATTCCGCTTGTCAGGGTATATACAACGTATTACTACTGCTACATGCATACATATACAAACAGCCCATCCTCGATCATGACGCTTGATCGATACGAAAGCTCCACCATGATTAGTTAACCAAGAACAGTGATTATCCCCGTCGCCCTTGTCTTGTTGAAAGCAAACCCCAACACAAGCCATGCCACAAAAGGCCACGCTCAGATATACGGCCCGTCCTTCGCAGCAATAGCGGGACCAGGCTCCTCAAAACAGCTAAGATAACCTTCCCTCAGAATTTTTCGGACGTCCAGCACCACCTGGGCATCGCCGACAGTCACACAATGATTATCGCCCACTCCCCTGACAGCCTCCGCATTTTCACCCACGGCCCCAGCTCCATCCTCAGGCCCAGTACCAAGCCCAGGTCCAGGGGCAGCCATAGGCTCGCCATCCACCGCGGCAGCCAGATCCGCAAGCTGGTGTAAGTTCTGGCTCGAAGCCTCTCCATTGCCACTATCAGCAGCAGGAGCATTAGCAGAAGCAAAAGTATTCGAACTTGCGGCTTGTGGGCCAGGGCGCGGTGATTGGCCCTGACCCTGGCCGAAAATGGAGCCCAGGCATTCCGCAAGCTTCGCACGGACAGCAGCATTCCATGGCGACGGCGACAGACTGTACTCAAGAACAGTTTGAGCCAGCTTGGCGGCCTCGTCACGGGTTTCGTTGCCGTGCTCATCGCTGTGGCCGCCACCATCTTGTGGAACTGCGTCGGCGCTGTGAGTGGCGGCGGCCAAGAGGTCCATCAGTGCCACCGAGGCAAGGACCACAAAGTGGTGTGTCAAGGGGCTGAGGAGGTCGTGGTTGCCTGCGAGGAGGCCGACGAGTTTCCTGCTGCAGTGAAGGATATTGTTGGGGTGGCGCCGCCGCGTCCCTCGCGGGCTGGTGCTGGTGTGAACGAGAAGTTCAGACAAGAGGCGGATGTGCCAGTACGAGAGGTGGAGGATGGGTTCGGTGCGGTCGTCAGGGAAGGTCCATCGCAGAAGCTCGGTGGCCAAGGTCGTCATTGAGCTGAGAGTTGGTCCATTGTGAGGGAGAGGGTCGATTGGGGGGTTGATGGCGAGAGGGTTCAAGAACCCGAGGGCGTAAGATAAGCCTGTTTTGCCAGTCAGCGGTAATCGTTGTCTATGCCGTTGCTATTGCGGAGGACAACAATGCACACGGTGCGATCATCTTCCGTCCCAAACGGCAACCGCAGAATAACAGCAATGTCAAGGTGACTTACGGATCAAGGCAAACACAACATCGCCGACAATATGCCTGAGACCGGGCAAAACCACCACGCTGTCGTTGTTGATCAGCGTCGGCGTAGCGGTACCGACCGCATTCCACCGGTCTAGCATGACAAGAACCCACCACGCCCGTAGAGCTACGTTATCATCCGAGTTCGGGTCCAGCTCCGGGCTCGCAGCCGACTCGACTTCCCTGAGGTACAGCCTCATTGAATATCCGAGCCCGACCGCTCGGCCTAGAATCTCAGCTTTCGACGGACCATCCAGATGGCCCTTTACTGCGGCGACACCCTGACAGTCTGCAGCAATGGCCAACATCACGAGAGTTTGAAGGCGAACTAAGTCGGTGGCGCTGGACCGCGGCCGGCCCTCGGCTTCCCATTCGCTGAGCAAGCGGCCAGCGGTGAGAGGGTCGCCGCTGATCTGGTCCGTGGAAGCGGGGAGGAAGGGTATGAGCATAGAGAAGAAGGCGTTGTAAAAAGCGCTCTGAAGAGCCAAAGGGGACTGCCAGATCAGTGATTGTACCCTGGCCTTGCTGCTGGCCAGGACTGGCAAAGTTGGATGGATGACTTCCATGTACCTATTGGGTCCGTCAGCTAGCGTTCGGACACTGGCACCATAAGATATTGATTACCGGTTGAACACTGCATCTTCAATCTCAGGCAACTGATCCGCTTGGTGCGACTGGCCTTGAGGCAGCCCGTTCTGGGAGAGCCCGTCCATGAGCGGCTCAGACTGGGGTGGCAAACCAACGTCATGCGCGAACGGCGCGGGGTCGGCGGGCTTCATTGCGAGCTCATTTGGGTTGCCCAAGTTTGGCGGACGGAAATCCGGGTGCAGATATGGCAGGATCGGGCGGTGGTCGGCAGTATACGGGGCTGAGATCCTCACTGGGGACGGCGTGTGGAAGCCGTCGCCTGATATACTAGAGAAGGGCCGCTTCCTGCTCTCATCGCCCGCCCCTGGCGATGCGAACGCATCACTGGACGCTCTCCTCGCCACGCTGTCGAGGACTTCGGCATTGCTGGTGTTGAGCTTGCCCTCTATCGTATTGATGCGGTCGGCTAGCTCCTTGATATACCTGCCTCAGATCAGCTTGGTGCACGTACCGGAGCAGCAGCCAGCATACCCTTTGCTGGGCCCACGTTTCTGGGGTACACGACTGAAGAGACACTGGGTATTGGATCGGCGGCAGTTTGAACAGGGCAGGTCGGTTGCTTCAGATTGGGCATCACACTTGATCTTCTTGCGTCGACATTCGTCGCAGGCGCGCGACACTTTGGACCGTTTGCGAGGAGGCGTGGCATCGGACAGTTGGTACTGGGCATGGCTAGGGGGCAGGTGGTCCATGGGAATATGGGGAGGGAAGTGAGGCGGAGGGGCGGCTGGGTCCTGCTGGTAGTGATGGGGCTGCGGTTGCCCATCATGTGGAAGCACATCGTGGAGCTCGGGATGCTCAAGACCATGATTGTGATTCTGATTGTGATTTTGCAGGTCATGATTTTGCCCTTGGAGCTCGCGATCATGATTCTGCAACGAAGCTTCAAGCTGCTCCTGGAGATTTGGTTCAGGCTGATGCGGCGCATTGTGCTCGTGTTGAGGCGGCACATCCGGCTCCTGGTGGGCTGGCACATCGTGCTGCTGTTGCTGCTGGTGTTGCTGTAGCAGGTGCTCACTCGGCGCCTGGTCCTGGTCTTGCACTGGCTCCATCTGTGCCGCAGCCACCATAGGAGCGAGGCCCTGTGTAGCAAGGCCCTGTGTTAGCTGGGCGGCCAGCTGCAGCTCATCGACGCTGACCGACGCGCGGGAATCGTGATGCTGTGGCGTCGGCGGTTCCTGCAATGCGTGGAGCTCGTGATGCTCGTGGTGCTCGTGGTGCTCGTGGTGCTCGTGGTGCTCAGCCATGTTGGGGAGCCCATGGACGCCGTGCTGCTCCGGGTTCTCGGGCAATGCGGGGAGCCCATGATGATGCTCAGTTTCGACGGACTCATGATGGCCCATCTGCTGTTGGTAGTACTGTGCATCTGCACCATCGACGGTGGGAGATGGGTAGCTCTGCTGCATCACGGCATCTTCTGCCTCCGGGTCGGGCTTCTTGTCATTCATCACGAGACGAGAGTGGCCTCGCGCCCGAGCGAACGCTATGCAGCTTACAGGGCGAGCTGGTCACTCTGGATCCCATCATCAGCAATCAAGCAGTATTAGCATGTGCAAGCTGAGACATCTCGAGTAATGGCTTCAATTGACGCTGCTATTCGGCGTGATTACAAAATCGCTACTGAGGAAAACTGCCAGAAATGAGACAGGCCATCATCATATTGTGAATGCAATGCAGCCCCTGGTCTGCAGATAGCAGATGTAGCTGCGTCGTAAAGGAGAAAGAATGGAAAGGTGAAGCAAAGGTGACAGGTCCTGACCGGAGACGCACCTAGATGTATTGAGAGATCAACTATTCCCAGTCGGAAGTGGGATTATGATCGCTGCGGAAGAACTGACAGCTCCGAGAGTAGGGAATGGAACGGAAGGAGTTTTCACCGCGTTGGCGTGGACGGAATAATTTGTGCTGGTTGCGGAAAAAGTTGCATTGTGTGCGGATGATCCCTATGAGGCGCATGCTGTGGCTGGCTTGGTGTGGCTAAAGCTCAATAACATCAGTGGACAGAGCAGCGTTGCTGTTGCACGCCAGATCATCCCAAGGAAAGGGTAGTACGACTTCGAAGTACAAGCCCTGACCCGTGGTTAGGTTAAAGACGGTAGTCGAGAGGATGACTTTTACATACGAAAACCAAGGCTACACTAACAGATCTCCGCCCCTCTTCAAGTACCGAACCGCAACGTCCTGCCCGTATCTTGCAATGCAGCAATCGACGTGAAAGGCCGCAAGGCAGGTGCAGTGCACCTTCGCATACAGCAACGCTGGCCTAGCTCAACGCAGAACCACACTTCTCCTTGCCTTGTTGAACAAATCACACAACGGATGATCAACCGACTGCACAAGGGCAATTCCAGCAAATATGTGTATTCTCTTCACCCCTTCCTCTCAAGCCCCTACATACACGCACAATCCATATAACCAAACATACACGGCGAACAAGCAATCTGGCCTGAAATGGACCATCCCAGCTCCTCTATACTAGCTACCTTCGATTTCAAGCTACCCACAGGCGGGATTAAGCAGCGATGGGGTATAAACAGATGGCAGCCAAGGCTAGCTAGATAGTATGAAAATATGTCAAAGAACAACAGAGGCTTGAAGAAACCCTTCCTCAGGACCTCACGAATATTGATTAAAATAGCCTGGCGTGCCCCAAAACCATGAACATAGGCCGACCGCTAACTGAAAGCTGGGAACCGCGAAAAGGACGATAAAAACAGGGTGGAACACTAGCCGAGGTCTCACGCCCATTCAGTGAACGCCTGGATTGGCGAATCAAGGCGCAATTGGCTTCATATCCGTGATGGACTGGAGGATACGACGGTTGTTTTTCTTCATGTCGTTGTCCAACTCCATGAGCTGGTCGATGGTCATCTGGGCCTTAGAAAGCTGGAAATGCACACTTCGCGTTAGCATGTGCCCGTACAACGGGTAGGACGTGAGAGAAAGAAGGTTATATAAAAATGCTTCTGTAAGCTAGGGTTGCTCGCACCGAAGCTAATGCCGCTGAAGAATTATCCGGCTCAGTAGTCTCAGTAGTCTCACCTTCCGCCGCGGCTTCGTCCACAGCCTTCTCCGCCGTGGCGCTGTCGTTGTCTTCGCCGTCGGCCGAGTTGGCAAACCGGCTCGCGGCCAGGCCCTTTGGCGCCTCAGCCTTGGTCTGTAGAATTACTGTGAGTGACCATCTCACCGTTAAGAAATGGGGCAAGATCCAAAACCTACCTTGGACTCGGCGAGCTCCGCTTCCTTGACTTTGAGCTGGGCTGTGAGCTGCGCAATCTTCTGGTCTGCCTCGGCAAGCCGTTGCTCTGCCTCCGCTGCCTTCTTCTCGTTCTCTGCCGTCTTTTGTTGTGCCTCCTCGACAAGCTGCGTCATGCTATCGTGCATGTCCTTGTAGTCGGCCTCTGAGGTCTTCTGCTTAGCCTCTGCTTCCAGTTTGAGAGCCTCCAGCTCCTTCTGGGTCATTGCCAGCTCTTCCTTGATAGTTGACAGCTCCGCAGCGGCGGCAGATGCCTCCTCTCTGCTGGCCTTCAGATTAGCCTCGTCCTTCTCACGGGCCTCAGTGAGCATGGAAAGCTTCTCCTTGAGCGCGTCCAACTCGCTAGTGTCAGGTTTAGCGTTCTTGGCGGCATCCAGCTCGGCCTGGGCGGTAAACTTCTCCATCTTCTCGTGTGCGAGCTGCTGACCGAGGTTGTCGCACTCTTCTTGCAATTTAGCGTGCTCGGCCTTCAGAGCCTCGAGCGCAGTATCGGTTTGGCTCTTGGCCGCTTCCATCTCGGCGTGCTCAGCCTTGAGCGCCGCCAACGCTGCGTCGACCTCCTCCTTGGCTGCCATTACCTTGGCGTGTTCAGCTCTGAGAGCGTTGAGGGCGGCGTCGAGCTCGGCCTTTGCTGCTTCCACCTTCGCAACATCATCTGAGGTAGACTTGATGTTCGACTCATACTTGGCCGTCAGCTCCTCGAGAATGCTAGCATGCTCCGCCCGCAATGCCTCGAGTTGAGCCTTGGTGTTTGCAGCGCTCTCCTCCTTCATGGCGCCCTGGGCCTCGTTGTGCATGGCGATGAGTTTCTCGACTTCGGCGGAGTGAGTGGCCTCCAGGTCCTTCTTGAGAGACTCAACCGCGGTTGCATGCGCGGTCTCCGCGTCGACAAGCTTCGCTTGAGCTGCCTCCAGCTCCTTTTTGAGGTGGTTGGCCGCCTCAAGTTCCGCAGCCAGCTTAGCTACTTCCTCAGCATGCTTGGATCCAAGATCCTGCTTGACCTGTTCCAGGAGCGCCGTCTGTGCGTCGCTGCCGGCCGACCTGGCCGCAGCAAGTTCTTCGGCATGCTTGGCCAAGAGTTGCTCCTTCTCGGCACTGGCATCCTGCGTCAATTTATCCAGAAGCTCGCTGTGGGCAGCTTTCAAGGCATTGAGCTCCTGGGCTAGATTAGCCTCGCTCTCGCCCTTTAGAACTTCAATCTGACTGGCGTGACTGTCCTTGAGAGATCGGATCTCCTCGGCGCTTAACTCCTGTGCCTGCCTCGCCGCACTCTTCGCCCCCTCCAGCTCCTCGGCATGGCTGGCCCTCAATGCATCCAGGGCCTGTTGATGTTCCGCCTCCTTTGCCTCCAACGCCTTGACAGCAGAATCGTATTCAGCCTTGGCAGCTTGCAATGCCTTAGCATGACTCTCGGCAGCCTCCTCATGGGCCTTTGTGAGTTCGTTGTGCTTGGCCTCTAGTTCCTCGAACTTCCGTTTGAAGAAAGCATCGCCCCGCAGACTCTCAATCTCGTTCTCATAGTCCTGGCTAACCTGTTGGAGCTGCCTTTGGTGATGTGCGGCCGCGGTTTCATTCTCCTCCTTCAGCTTCTCAATGATGGCGTCCTTTGCCTTTTGCTCTTCGGTGAGACTATCGATGAGTTTCTGAAGTTCGGCTTGGGTACTGGTGGCCTTGGCAGCCTCCTCCTTGGCTGCAGACAGTTCCGCTTCCACCTCGGCAATCCTAGCCTCTAGGTTCGCTACGGTGGCGGCCTTCGCCTCAAGTTCGGACTGTGCGGTCTCTAATCCCCGCTCGGCCGCTTCCAGCTTGGTCTTGAGCTCAGAGATCTCCGCTTCTAGGGTGCTGAGTTTCGTTTCGGAGGCGACGAGGTCACCAATTTTCTTCTGCAGTTCGGCAATGGCGCTCTCATGCTTAGCATTGAGTTCTCGAATATTTTGTTCGTGTCTAGCCGCAAGCTCAGTGTTGCCGCCTTGCAGTTCCTCGGCGTGCTTCGACTCTAATGCTTGGATGGCCGCGTGGTGTTGCTGTGTCAGGTTGGTTTGGAGGGCTTCGAGCTTAGCAGCATGCTCCTCGGTAGCTTTAGCTAGGAGCGTCTCGGCCTCAGTTAGCTTGGCTCCGTGTTCAGCCTGCAGGTTCTCCAGGGAGGCCTTGAGACTGCCAACCTCAGCCTCTGCAGCGTCCTTTGCACCGATGGCTTCATCCAGCTGCTTCTTCTGGGCGGCAACATCAGCCTCGGCAGCGTCCAGCTTCTCTTGAAGTTCGGCGGCCCGCTTATTGAGCCCCTCAATCTCGGCAGCATGCTCCGTCTTCAAGCTCTCTAGGGCCTCCTTGTTGATAGCCTGATCGGAAGCCGGCTGCTCGCTTGCAACGGCATTGGCTTTCTCGGTGAGCTCTGCGATCTTCTCCTGGGATGACGCAATTTGGAACTTTAGATCGGCAATTTCTGCTTCACTTGACACAACCTTAGCCTTGAGCTCCTCAACCTCTTTGGTCGACTCAGCGGCGACGGTCGTAGCGGCAGAAGATGCGCTCGACGCCAGCGACGGCCGAGGCGTATGACGCGTGGCGTTTGTCGCAGTGCTCACTCCTACTGAGGAGAGTCGCTTCTTCGCCTCCGCCACGGCACCCGTCGCAGGCGGTCGAGTAGCAACTCGGGTGGATGCAGCCCCTGAAGGGGCACTTGCCGATGATTTCGGAGCGCTCGTGGCCGTCTTCGACGGAGTAGTGCTGGGGGCTGTAGCGGGCTTTCTGGCCGCAGCCGTGGTGGCAGCGGTCGTGCTGCTCTTGGGTTTAGTAGGCGAGCTAACAGCGCCAACGGTGGACGTGCGTCGTGCAGCACCTGCGGCCGAGGAGCTGGGTGCCCGCTTCTTCTCATCTTCAGACACGGATGGCTGAGACCGGTGCGAGACAACGGAAGTGGCAGTCGATGGACGTTTGGTAGCAGTGGCTCCACCAGTGGCTCCACCAGTGGGGCGAGTTGGGGCTTTGCTCAAGCCGCCGGTCGTGGTTGTTCGTGCCGACGAGCCCGTGGTCGGCTTGGCAGGAGCAGTTGCAGTCGCCGTCGGTCGCTTTGCGACGGAGGTAGTTGTAACTGCCGGCTTCTTGGGCGCTGCAGTCCCGGCAGCTGCTTTCTTCTCGGCGGTACCATTGGGCGAGGCGGAAGTGACCGTTGCGGGCGGCTCGGCTGCGGGCGCGGGCGGTGCCGGAGAAGCGTCCGTGTGCTGGACGACCTCGAAACCTTCGGCATCAGCCATAATGACTCCGGCGAGATACTGACGATGCGATAGGATTGAATCCGGGGATCGAGCCCGAGGATCATGCACAGACCGGAGATCTAGGTCAAGCAGCGTTGCAGCGGAGATGGTCAGTACAGACCAGACAGCTAAGAGCTAAGAAGCGGCTCGAAAGAGCAATCGAGAAAGCATATGAAGACGAATTGGCCTTTCCAGCTACCCCACGACAGTGTATCCGGCAAAAGGGTGCATAAATAATAGCTTGGAAAGGCATTCGAAGGCAAGATGAAACTCACCTGCACGTTGAGCTAGCTACTCCTTTTTCCCTGGTAGAGCTGATAGCCGAACAATCGCTATTGTCAAAGCCGACCGGTTGCACAAAGCAAGAAGCTTCGCAAAAGGACACTAAAACCGCCGGAAGATGCTTGGGAATTGCTCTGCAAATTGTTCGCAACGTCAAGCACAAAGGCCACTCTACAGCATACCGGCCCCGGTGCTGATGAGAAAAAAGGGAGGGAGGTTCAGCTGCGCCGAAGAATGAAGAAAAGAGGAGCTCGGGGCACCGAGATAGGACAAGGCGCGGGCCTAGCGCGTGGACCTGGACGACTTTCCATGAGCGAAAAGGAAAGGCCTAGTCGGGGGTTCTGCAGGAAACGCCTGGTGGGGCGTGCAACAGGGGATTGCCAATGTTCACACTTCACAGCGCCAACAGTGTCGCTGTAACACTGCACTGCAAGCCTGCCACGTCGTGTAGTCCAATGCATTTGCCTCTTCTCGTCATGTTGCATCCAGCATCCAGTGACATTGTCTGCTTCATCGCCCTGCATCCCAACGCCGGGAATTGCTAAGGCGGTTCGTGTCGATTCGCCAGCGGCGTTTCAACGACCGCCAATGCTCGGCCATCCCAGAAGCCGTTTTATGCTTTCTATTCGCTAGCACCCGCTGTCAGATCCTTAAAACGTTACACACCTGCTTGATTATGCATGGAGGAGCTGCCCTTGTTGGCGATGTTTGACTCTGAGCGAACATCAAGGTATCCGTACCTGTGTATGTATTGTACTGTACATGACTCGGCAGGCCCAGCTGGACGGATGTGTCTGGGCTTATCCGTATTCCTTACGCAGATAACTTGTAGTTTGGTTTCACAGATATATGGGATGAATCCGATCATGGCAACCAGATATTCTCGGAAGCCCATCTCACCTTGCGTCGGTCTAGAACCATAGGGTAGTTGGAACACTCGACAACCTGGAAAGAGGGAGAGCAATATGCATTGTGGCGCCTCATATAAGCAGCGAGAATTAGACTTCCCATCTTAGATCTTGCCTTGCCTCCAGCGCCTCTAATGAATGAATGCACGAAAGGCGGGTGCATGATGCAAGGGGCAGAACGGCCTCAAGCAAGGTACCATCTACCTCTGCGTGGTAATGTGTCGCTTTCCCGTTGGCAGGTGATTGACCATCTCCCAAAAAGCAATCAGAAGCATGCCGTTCTCGGGTAATAAGAACACTATCGTTTCAATCAGCTCAGCAACTTGCATTCGAATTTAGCAACTCGCTAGGGAAGAACTAGGGGTATCTCTGTCGCTGTAACCGGTGAAAGAAAGCTAATCGATGACAACAACGTAGCGGGTGCCTTTGCCAAACCAGAATCCGTCCCCGGTCTCCGGCATCCAAAAGTAACATGGATTCAGTGCAACGAAGGCCGGTATCGTCCCGTCCTCTTCAGCCATTCTTCCATTCTGAGCAACTCGTCCCGTGTACGATCAAGAGTTTCGGTGCATTCCGAGAGATAGTATGGATTCCTGTCCGGGCGCTGCAACTCCTTGAGGAACCAGTCTATCTCGTCTTCGGTCCACGGTAGACTGCCGAGTTCCGGGGAAGGTGGTGCACGCTGGCGCTGGAGAGGAGCTGGGGGCTGTATGCTCAATGAGCTTGATGATCGAGGTAAAGTCGCAGAGCGACGATCCAAGCCCTGGGTACCAGCCCTTGCTCGTCCACCGTTACTTGTGATGCGGCTGTTGTGGACCTGGCTTGCTGGCAGAGTGAGACGCTCAGGGTTTTGCGTGTCCTTGTACCACATCTCTGCGAGCGGGCCAGGTTGGCTTAGGACCCGCTGGACTGACAGTACACAAAGCTGAAACTGTCTGTCGGATTGTTCGCGTTCTCTCATCTCCAACTCTTGTTTCGCCTTTTTTATAGCTTCGTCTTTTTCCTTCTTCATTTTCCGATCGCGGTTCCTGTCGACCTGCTCGTTGAAGTCGTCCACCACTGAGCGAAGGTGCTCCCGCCACTTCCCGAGCATTGTCTTAAACTTGTCGTGAGACCTCGACAAGGTCGGGCCGCCTTGACCAGTCGCCTGCTGGGCGGGGGGAGGTTGTAGCTTGCCCTGAAGGCTATAAAGACGGGCCATCCACCCTGTTATCCACAATAGGTATTGGACTGTGGACCAGGTGAAGACGCCGATTGCCGGCAGTCGAAGACTATCCTCATCATGATCTTCAGTGCTCCCAATGACAAACGAGCTGCGAAGAACCAGAACAACCATCGGCAGGATGCAAGACGATAGGTCCTCGCTAAGTGCCGTGCGGAAAGATTCGTCACGCGTTACCTGGGCGGTATCACAAATACTTGTAACCATTTCTTCAACGCTGGTCAGGGCCTCGTTCAAGACGTCCGCGCGTTCGTCAAGGAATCTGCTTTGCGTAGAGAGATCGACGGCCATAGGTACTTCATCCAGCCTATCTTTGAGGTGACCTAGCAACTCGAGGCACATTTTACCAACGTCTGTTCGAGCCGGCCCTATTGTACCAGAAGCGGGGGCAGTTGATTCCTGCATGTTTCTGACATGATGGCTATCCACCTTCAAGGTGCGGAGAGGGCTGACACTGTGTATCTGAATTTTGACAACTTTCTGGTTTTCTGATGGTGTACGGTCTTGCTCGCCAAGAGACAATGGGGCATCATGACGATCGAGAGCAGCAGTTTCCTCTTGAATCGAAGAAACCCTAGTGACATTCTTTGAGGACGGGACCTTGCCGGCAGGGTTTTCAACCTTATTGGTCCGGCTTCGCAACGCCGGGGCATTTCGCGTCGACTTATGGCGGGCGAGGACAGGGGAATGCGGCATTGGGTCGTCGGGTATCTCGTAAACGTCGGAGTCCGGCTGCGATGAAGGGAATTCCGTTGCTGAAGACCCTAATACTGGACTTCCCAAGCGTACAGTTGGATTGTCAAACTCGCGGTGAAGCTCCTCGTTGTCCTCCTCGGTTGCCCAAACTCTATCATCAGCTAGTCCGAAGACTTCCCTGGAGTTAACGTGACGATTCAAAGGCTTAGTGCGGAGATGGCGCTGGGTCTTCGCCCCGGTCGAAGTTTTGGAACGCACTACCGGCTTCGCGCCGGACGTGCCAAGAACGACTGCAATGTCCCTCCCTCTTCTCGTACGTGGCACGTTACCACTAAATGCAGCATCCATCACGTCAATGACAGCGTCGACATCATGCGCCTCGTCCACATCCTCGCCGCCGAGCTCGATTGAGTCTTTGATCGATTCCGTAGGTCCGTCGAAGAACTCGCGTAGCCCCTTCATTGTCCGTGCATCCGAGGTGCCGCTACCATCCCTCTTCCTCTTTGCGGCAATACGGCCAGTCCCTGTAGGTTCTCTGGTTTGGCGATGCGTAGCAGGAGATCTGGAGGTAGATTTCCCACGGTGAACGGGCCTTGAAGGGATGTCGCTCTCGGCCCATCTACTGTCGTCATCTTCTCGGCTAAGCGCATGGGATGCGCTCCTAGTAATGACCATAGCTAACGGTGAAGTCGAGGGTAGGCAAGCCAAGGCAGCTTCTTTCGATAACAAAGTTTGAGAAACCTTGGCCTAGATGCAAGGTATGTAGACATGGAGAGAAACAGGGAAGAACTACTTCGTATCGCGGAGATACAAAGGTCGTTTGTCTTTTCGGCGCCCAACTTCCAGAGCGCGCCGATACCTGAACGTGTCTTGGTCGTGACGTGAAGCGAGTGGGTTGAGTGCACTCGGTAGGTATTCGGTACATGTAACCAGGGTAACATACGGTAAGCTGCTTGGTGGAACCTGCCCGGTGTCGCGAGTCTCGCGACACAGTCTCCAGTTATCGGGCGGTACGGTCGCAGTGGGTGGGTCTCGTTGTGCCGCAGCAGCGGGAAGCCGCCTCTTGGCCAACGCCGATGCATCGGCCGTGTGCACTGTGTAACTTGACGTGGCGTTCGCGAATCTCCATGGCCTGGGAGAGATCGTCATAGGTGTTGGCACTTGGCACATGGGCAGTCGTACGAAAATACGGTCCCCACCACACAGTCAAGATAATTCTCGATTTCTTCGACGTTGAATTAAGGTGTCCAGAGGCGCTCACTCCTCAGGTCACTGATGCACCTCCTCAGCCCTGCCTCCTTATATCCAGTCAATGTTACAATGAACTAGCGACAAGTTCGAGCGGACCCGCAGATCCGGTTGACGCTTCTAACCAAGAACTTCAGTGGCGCGCTGCCTACGTAACCGACAACAATGAAGGCCAGTCCGGTGCTTACCACCCGCAGCACACTGACACATTCCAATGGTGTCCATGCCGTGCGCTCCGTCATTCTTGGGCTCGCGCGGGCCTTTTCCCTAACCTTTTCGACGGCCGATGCAGCGCCGCTGAGCGCTTGGGAACTGTATCGCCATGACGAGCCCGAGGCCGAAGGTGCGAGTCTCTGGGTTCTCTACGCGACCGCCGCGCTCCTCGTTCTTCTAGGCGGCGCGTTTGCTGGTCTGACCATTGCGTGAGGAATGCCAACGTCGTGGCCTGCTGCATTGCGGCTAACCCTCGTGTTAGGTTGATGGGCCAGGATGGAATCTATCTTCAAGTTATGGCAGGAGACCCTAGTGAGCCGCAACAAAAGAATGCCAAAAGAGTCCATGAACTGCTTAAAAAGGGCAAGCACTGGGTGTTGGTCACGTTGCTACTGGCCAATGTAATCGTCAACGAAACCCTCCCCGTCGTCCTCGACCGAACTCTTGGCGGCGGTGTTGCTGCCGTAGTGGGCTCGACTTTTCTGATCGGTGGGTATCGCCTCCCAATTGCTCCCCTGTAATAGAAACACCTGACGTCTTTGGGGCCAGTGATATTCGGCGAGGTCCTCCCTCAATCCATCTGTGTGCGGTACGGTCTCCCAATCGGCGGCTACATGTCCAAACCGGTCCTCGTCCTCATGTATCTGTTGGCACCTATTGCCTGGCCGACAGCGAAGCTGCTCGACAAGCTCCTTGGAGAAGATCATGGCACGGTCTACAAAAAGAGTGGACTAAAGACTCTCGTCACCCTGCACAAGAGCCTCGGAGAGGTGTCTCAGCGGCTGAACCAGGACGAGGTCACAATCATCAGCGCGGTCCTGGACTTGAAGGAAAAGCCGGTCGCGAATGTGATGACTCCAATGGCCGACGTTTTCGTCATGTCCGAGGACACTGTTCTGGACGAAGAGACAATGGACATGATTCTGACTGCAGGCTACTCGAGAATCCCGATTCACGAAACCGGCAACCCGACCAACTTTGTTGGCATGCTACTGGTCAAAATCTTGATCACTTACGATCCCGAGGACTGCAAACTTGTCCGGGATTTCCCACTGGCCACGCTTCCAGAAACCCGCCCGGAGACCAGTTGCTTGGACATTGTGAACTTCTTCCAGGAGGGCAAATCCCACATGGTGCTCGTTTCAGAATACCCGGGGGAGGACCATGGAGCCCTTGGTGTCGTCACTCTTGAGGATGTTATTGAAGAGCTCATTGGAGAGTATGTTCCCTGATGTGTTCAAGGACAATCGCCGGTGCTGACTTGGCGTTAGGGAAATCATCGACGAGTCGGACGTCTATATCGATGTCCATAAGGCTATCCGCCGCCTCACGCCGGCCCCAAAGGTAAGGGTCCAACGCAAACAGTCAGAAGACCCAGCCGGCAGGGCTGGTGATTATGGACCGGATCCAGACGTTGTCGACGCCTCAAGTAACCATACGCGCCGAGCGAATGAAACCCCTGGCACGCCAAGCCACGACGCATCTATTCTCTCCAGCAGCCCGAAGACGGCAACACTCATAATGCGGAGAAGCTCGGCCGGTGTGGACGGCCAGTTCTTCAGGACGACCGTTCCCGTACGGGGCAACTTTGAAGACATCAGGGAGCACCTCAAACATCTGGGTCCTTCTAACCGGGCAAATAATCCTAAAAAGACACAGTCAACTACCATCAAAGTCAAGCCTGGGACCGGCACACATCAGGCGCCACCACGCGCTGCCTCCGCATCTGAACCAATAATTCAGGAGTCACAGTTGGCGGAGCATGAGGAGGAAGAGGGGGATGAGACCACAAGGCTGCTTAGGCCGGAAGCCACCAGTAAAGACGGATTACAGGTGCCAGGGAAGAGTTACGGGTCTGTCAGCCCAGTCCTGACGGTGCAGATGGCATCACAAGGCAATGGGGTGTTCCCACTGGCGCTAAACAAGCCCGATCAAGCGGAACAGGCGGTGCAGGTTTTGGCCAAAACTAACCAGATGGAACCAAGCGATGTCGCAGCAGCGTCTGCTGCCGGTCATCAACGCGGTAGCTCAAGCGGCGAGAGCGGACACAGTCTTTGGGCAGAACAAAACAATCATGGCGGCACCCACAACAACGGCCGCGGCTTGCAGCGGCCGAATGTGCGCAGCGGGAGCATCACGGAGAATGTTATCGAGTCCCGCGGGCTGCGTAAGGTGGTGCTCGAGACCACCAGCTCCAACGATGACGACGACTTTGCGGTTGGCCCGGCCTCGCCCGAGCAGCAGCCCAAGCCGTTAGGCAAGTCCTTTACTGGATTTTTCGCCAGGGATGAGGCTTCAAAAGATCGGGCTGGGGAGTCTGAGGATGAGGAAGCGCTGGGCTCTGGCCGGGATGAAGGCGACAGTTCTAAGGAGGCTGCCGCCCCCGCGGTGAGCGGCACCGGAGGCGGCGGCGGGGGCAAGAAGAAGAACAGGCGCAGAAAACGCAAGGGAGGCAAATAAGTTGCTTCTTTCCAGAGGTTGTCTTGGACTAATTTTGTAAAAGTATGACATGGGCCTGGTGAACTGGGCTGGTAGACGTGATTCTGGTTATGTCCTTGTACCCGGGCAGCAGGGATTTGGGATGGTATTAGGGGGCATTACAGGCTGGGGATTGGTGTGGTTAATAGGAGCATGCAGTTTTGCGATGAATTGGAAGAGGCTCTTGAGGGGCTGAAGGTGGCATGTATTATACATTTTCATGCTTTAATGGTGTTCTGGTTATGGACGGAATTTAATTATCATACCTTATGTGGTTCTCCGATATCAGTGATAGCAAATGCCTTGGTGATGGACGTACTGATAATGGATCCGTATACCAGCTCTCTGAGGTAGTGTCCAGTACCTTAGGTGTAGAGCAAGAGCTGCCCCTGAGGTGGAGATTGACGTCACGGCTCACGATGGGTGGGGGGATGCCAGTGAGGCCCAAGCTCCTAGCTACCCCTCTGCTGTAACGACGGGATACGAAGATGATGATTATCAGGGAGGTACTGTTACCAATGGGAAAGACCCGCCCAGGGAAGGAATTCCAAATCATTCTAGAGGCAGTGTAGATATCTGAATGCAGCGCTCGGTAATCCTCGACTGCCGTCTCCACCAGATGAAATAGCTTCAATCAACCCCACTCGCCTCATCAACCAGCAGTAAAACGGTTTCCGACAGCCCCCGACTTGACGCACCTGAGATCAAATTCTCATCTCACACATGAGCTACTCCGTCCGCGCCTCGCAGAGACTGAGACTGCTCTTGCCATCTTTGCAGAAGAAGCCAACGTTTGATCTTCGTTTAGGTATGTTGGATCAATCATCATCACTAATCTACTGGGAAAGACAAGGAGCGGGGAAAAGACGGGAAAAGAAAGCAAAAACAAGGGGAAAGGGGGAAAGGAGAATCATCAATCTCACCAGGCATCTGCTGACTGTTGAAGTGCCTACACGACTGTTTGCGACTATGGCGTCGACGACGGATACCAAGAACTACAAGTTCAACCACTCCATGTAAGTTGGACGAACCTTGGATTGTCATCGGTTCCAACGGTTGACTGATGTTTCTTGGCGGCAGGAGTAAGTAATGCAGGGGATGTCTTTACTCTTGACTTCCCAGGATAGTATCATGGTTGACAATGTATACAAAGTCCGCGTCAAGGATCCCAAGGAGTCAGGTCGGTGTCCGGAAAATCACTTCACCTCCACTCGCATACTCACATCACTCAGTCAAGTTCTACTCGTTCCTGGGCATGTCGGTCATCAAAAAGCTGGAGTTCCCAGAGGCCAAGTTCGATCTCTACTTTCTCGGCTACGACTCGCCCAAGGCCGTGTCGGGCGGCAATAACGTGTGGGACCGCGAGGGCCTCATTGAGCTGACGCACAACTACGGCACCGAGAACGACCCAAATTACAAGATCAACAATGGCAACGTCGAGCCCTACCGCGGATTTGGGCACACGTGTATCAGCGTCGACAACATCCAGGCCGCCTGCCGGCGCCTAGAGGAAGCTGGCTACAAGTTTCAGAAGAAATTGACAGACGGCCGCATGCGCCATATTGCCTTTGCCCTGGACCCGGACGGGTACTGGGTCGAGATCATCGGGCAGAAGCCGGTCGAGGAGACGGAGAGCATCAAGGAGACGGATGTGCAGACGTATCGGATGGTAAGCTACCCTTTTGTCTCACATCATTCGCAGAACCTGGCCTGCGATACTGACAATGGCGGCAGAACCACACCATGATCCGCGTCAAGGACGCGGAGAAGTCGCTCAAGTTCTACCAGGAGGTTCTGGGCATGTCGCTGTTCCGGAAGCACGAGAACGAGGCGGCCGGCTTCAACCTCTACTTCCTGGGCTATCCCGGAGAGAAAGGAGTCCCGGCCGAGGGCCAGGGCACCGCTGACCGCGAGGGTCTGCTCGAATTGACGTGGAACTACGGCACCGAGAAGGACGAAAACTTTAGCTATCACGATGGAAACAAGGGCCCCCAGGGCTTTGGACATATCTGTGAGTGTTTGGTGTGGAAATACGTACCCAGAGATTGCTGATATCTTTTTCAGGCATCTCGGTCGACAACCTTGAGGCGGCCTGCGCCCGTCTTGAGTCGCTCAACGTCAACTGGAAGAAAAGGCTGACGGATGGGCGGATGAAGAATGTTGCGTTTGTTTTGGACCCTGACGGATACTGGGTCGAGATCGTACAAAACGAGCGGTTCACAGGCCAGGCCAACTTTTAGTCGCCCGGATTTCCCGTGTCCGGTGTACTGTACGTGTACGCACTTCTTTCGGGGATACTATGAGTACGTGGCGTCCAATGTCAACATCCTTAATGCGGATCGCCAGTCAGGAGTCTCTACCATAAGCATCGGGACAGCAGGAGACGAGTGCGTGATGTGGACGATGCGAGGCTTACCGTGTAAGCTCCTCTGGTGGCCAACCAAGCAATGCATCCAATGCATCGGCTGGCAAGCTGGAGCATCCGATTGAAGCAGCATCAATTGCTCGCATTAGTCAAACGTGGGGGAATGAGGGGTTGGAGTCGGGAGGCGCATGCTTCATGCAGGACAAAGGCTCAATAAAGCAAACGTATGGGTTCTTATTGGGACGTGATCGCTCCTTGGTCAGTCACCCGTGAGAAGCTATGACAAGTCTTGGTGTATAATCGAGTTGTATGCCGATGGCCGGAAAGGGACGAGAATGGATGGCAATAGGTCACGATCACGGGCCAATGCCCAGAAGGTATGTCATCCTGTCGTCTCACATCGGATGAAGGCAGCAACGCCAATTACCCCCGCCCTTTCTCCAAGTGCCCCTCTCCGGGGAGATGTCTACTATGCTTGGCGTGAGCCTGCAGTTTGCACATTGACAGCATGACAGCTTGTCATCCCGCAGCCGTCGTGGTCCAAGAGGGCGGACGGGCTCGAGACGGATCCTCTACCGGTTGCTTCAGGAAGAGGGAGCTTTGACGGGTCCCGGCTACGCACGTACGCACCGTAGCACTAGCTTATAACACCGGGCTTTCTCCTTCACCCTAGCCCTTCCCCTTTAGTCCCCTTTCAGCGAGTCCTCGATCTTGCCCGTCCCATTCAAGCCCTTTGAAGTTTGAACCATCCGTTCAAACCACCCATCCACTTACCTCAAAGCCCCAGCAAAACACATCACTACCTCCCACCCACTAACCCAGCCCTGAGACAAGAGAAGAAGAACCAAAATGTCGCCCTCAGCTACCTCCCCCTCCCCCTCCCCAGCATCACCATCCACCCCACGCATCCTCGTGCCTGAGAAGCTCTCCCCCGAAGGCCTGTCCCTGCTCCGCGGGGCGGGATTCTCAGTCGACAACCTAACCTCACCTCTCTCCAACGAGGACCTGATCCGCTCCATCGCCGAGTATGACGCGTTGATCGTGCGGTCCGAGACCAAAGTCACTGCTTCCGTGCTGGCGGCCGCTTCTCAGTTGCGTGTAGTTGCGCGTGCCGGGGTGGGGGTTGACAACATTGACGTCGACGCCGCCACGCGCCAGGGCATTGTGGTCGTCAACTCGCCCAGCGGTAACATCCTTGCTGCCGCGGAGCATACAATTGCGTTGTTGTTGGCTGTTGCTAGGAATGTGGGGCGCGCGGATGCGGGTATGAAGGCGGGCAAGTGGGAAAGGGGGAAGTTGGTGGGTGTGGAGGTTGGGAGGAAGGTATTGGGGGTTGTGGGGTTTGGGAAGGTCGGGATGAAGGTTGCGCGCATGGCGGTGGGGTTGGGGATGAGGGTTGTTGTGTTTGACCCGTATGCCAGCGAAGAGGTTGCGCAGAGGGAAGGGGTTGAGTTGAGGGACGGGTTGCCGGCGTTGTTGCCTGAGGTGGATTTCTTGACGGTGCATACCCCCCTGCTGGCGAGCACGCTCAATCTGCTTGGGGAGAAGGAGCTGAGGAGCATGAAGAAGACGGCGAGGGTGCTGAACGTGGCGAGGGGTGGTGTGTATAATGAGGAGGCGTTATTGAAGGCTTTGGATGAGGGTTGGATTGCTGGGGCTGGGTTGGATGTGTTCACCTCGGAGCCGCCGGCGGAAGGGTCCGTGGCGGCGAGGTTGGCGGCGCATCCAAAGGTGGTGAGCACGCCGCATCTCGGAGCGAGCACGGTCGAAGCGCAGGAGAATGTGTCGATGGACGTGTGCACACAGGTGGTGGAGATATTGAGAGGCGGACTCCCGACGGCGGCAGTCAATGCGCCGCTGATCCTGCCTGAGGAGTATAAAAGGTTACAGCCGTTTGTCCGTCTGTATGTGGTTCTCTTGGGCCTTCTATCTGTTGTTTTCAGCTTACTGACCGTGACTTACTTCCGCTTTCTCACCGCAGCATCGAGCGCATGGGCAGCCTCTACACACAGCACTTTGCGGGGGGACATGGGCGGGGCGGTATGCTCGGGGGGCGGCGGTTCGAGCTCGTCTACCACGGCGAGCTGGCGGGCATCAGCAACACGCGGCCGCTGTACGCAGCGCTGGTCAAGGGGCTGGTCAGCTCCATCAGCGAGGGTGGCGGGCGCGACGTCAACATTGTCAACGCCACTCTCATCGCCAAGGAGCGAGGCCTTGCCATTGACGAGAAGCATGTCCGCAACGGCGGCGCTGTGCCCACGTACGCGAGCGCCGTGACGTTGCGCAGCTTGCGCACCGACGAGGCGGTCCAGGCGGGAGAGCAGGTCATTGAGGGCTATGTGAGCGGCCGGGCCATCTTCATCTCCAAGCTGGATCGCTTCACGGCCAACTTCCACCCCGAAGGCACGCTGCTAATCCTGCACAACTACGACGAGCCGGGCAAGATTGGCAACGTCGGCATGGTGCTGGGCAAGCACGGCATCAACATCACGTTTATGCAGGTTGCTTCGCTGGAGAACGGGCTGACGGCGACGGCGACGGCGACCACTCAGGCTGCAGGAACCGGGAATGGCCATGCTGAGAAAGAAGCCTTGATGATTCTGGGCGTCGCCGGGGAGGTGACGGACGACGTGCTGGGGGAGCTGGGCCAGTCGGAGGGCATTTTGGATGTCAGTTTGCTAAGGCTGTAGGTCCAGGTGACTCTTGTGCGAGTCTTTTGATGCGTTCCATGTGTGAACTTCACGTTACTATACTCATTCTTAGCCCGGCTATGAATTGGTCTCTACCAACTTCAAGTTATGGTGCTTCGATAAGGTATACCTTAGCGTCGCCGACGTCTTCAACGAGCTGCTCCTGTCTTTGTGGGATACCTACCGGTGGTTATCGACATAAACTCCTGGAGATCCAGTGACTGGGCCCAACTACACAACTACAATGCCGGGGATCCCTTCGTCAAGGTCGAATCCGAACTTTGGAAGAATCCTCTTAAAGAAAGGTGATGGAACCAGGCCCCTCGTTTTGATCAAGGATCTCCACCTCGTAACCTTCCAGGCCATGATTCGTATTAGGGACGCGAGATGAGGGAAATACTGTATGGATCTGTACATCGGGGATGGTGGCAACCGTGGCATTGATCTCGAGTCGGAGGAGATACTTTGTAAGTTGCCTACATACCGTACCCTAGGGTAGCTTAGGGTAGTCATCCCGTAATTACGGAGGTAGATCAAGGCAGTTGAGATCAGCCGCCACGGGATAATTACACACAATGCTATGATCTGATATCTTCAGTTTGGTTCTGTGGGGCGCACTTGTCTTTACTTGGATCAGGAGTAAGATAAGTTACCATAGTTACATACTAGTCTGGTGGTTCTCAGCTTCTTAAGTTTGGCCTCTAGCTGACCTAAAATTAGATACTTCCTCGGCTACACTGTCAAATGTACCAGATTGCCCAAGATGAGTCCCAACAGTACTCCAAGCGGTTGGCACAACAGACAGAAGAAAGCTCGGACAACGAAAGATGAAAACTTAGCCGCCTCCAGTTGTGTTTAGACGATCCTGGTTGCGAGATGCTAGATGCAGAAGAGAATTAACCAACGTTAGTTAAGCGCAGCCTCACGGCGCATACGCACAGTGGAGACAGAGTAATAATGCATACACATACGGAGTACTCCGTACTCCGTACTCCGTACACACTGGTAATTACTTCGGAACCCTTCAAGTCCATAGAGTTCTCAAACTTCAAGTTCTCCTACTGCAAAACAACGAATACAGTCATTCTCAGCCATGGGTCCCATACTACCCAACATGACCGTGACGAAGCATGCCCGAGTCTGCTTTGCTTCCCTGCGTTCTGCACTTTGGAGATGCTGATCTTTGTCCTTATTAACCAAAGTTACCGTGGCATTCATCGTCTGTACGCGTACTGTACTGTACGAAGTCTCCCTCTGAACCCAAGAACACTGAGAACAGTAGGTAGGACACAGGGGCCAGGGGGTCGACAGACCAACCAGGGGTCCAGGGGTCGACGCCGAGAGTGCTGGGGGTTCGGACCCGCGTGTCACAATGTGACCACTTCGATTAATTCTGTTGGGAGTGTCGCAGAAAGTCTTCTTCTTCTTCTTTCCTTTGCTTTGCACTTGGTGTTTCATCCTCATTGCCATCACCAATAGACAACAGACAGAATCCAGTTTGGTGGAAGCGTCCTGCTCGAGCACTCGTCTCTCTTCCCTTCCAACGCCTCGCTGAGCAATTTGACCAATCTGTCCATTACTCCATACCGCAAAGATGCCTGGCATTCGTAAGTTTTGCCCTCGCGATCGCTGTCTTTGTTTTGTGGGAAAGCGCGAAACCAGAAGGACCTCACCGCCAATTGGGCGGCAATTGTCGACGGTGATCTTGCGCGTCAAATATTGGCGGGACTAACGCGACTCTATTCAGCGTTTGGCGCGCTCGACAACCTGAAGGGCAAGCTCAAGGCTGCCTTCAAGAAGCGAAACGAGAAGAAGGTTGCCGGCAAGACGGAGCCCGCAAAGACCGAACAAACTACCGCGACCACGACTGCCCCCGCCACTGAGGCTACCAAGACTGAGACGGCTGCTGCCCCTGCTGCTGTCGCTGCGCCTGCCCCAGCTGGTGAGTATCGTCACAACCACATGCTACCATCGGAGGCTTGGAACTGACGCGTTGTGCCATTCTAGCTGCTGCTGCTGCGACCGTGACCGCTGCTACTGCTGCCGCCCCGGCCGAGGCCCCTGCTGCCGAGCAGAAGAAGGAGGAGACCACTGCTGCTGCTCCTGGTTCGTGCTGAAATCTGCAATGACGCTTCATCTCATGCTAACTCCTTGGAAAGCTGCTGCGACCACTGAGACTCCCGTTGCGGCTCCTGCTGTGGCTCCTGCAGAGGCTGCTACCGCTGCCCCTGCTGCTACCCCTGCTCCCGCCGCTGAGGCCGCTGAGAAGACCGCAGCTCCCGCGGAGGCCCCTGCTGCAGAGGAGAAGAAGGAGGAGACGGCCGCTGCTCCCGCTCCTGCTGCCGCTGCCGCCGCCCCGGCTGCCGCGACGGCTTAAGTACTTGGCGACTCTATGATGTGGCAGCACTACGTCACAACCAGCCGACGGCTCACAGGGGAGGAAATGTCCAAGGGAGCTGGCGGCATGCTCTTTATTTTTTCACCGGGCGGTTTGCTCGCTGCGGATATGGGAATGATTCCGGAAGATACCAATTGTTGATTTGTTTTTTTTTTTTTTTTTTAAGGGGCGTGGCTGGCTTGCAGATGGTCCATACTCGATACCCATGCACTAATAATAAATAAAACGGTTCTCCAGCAGGAGCCTGCGTTACCAGTAGATTGATCGCCTTAGTGTACATGTACAACCTGCTGTAGTCGGGTATCCAAACAAATGTTGCAAAAAGCAGCATGTGCGACTCAAAGCCTCAAGCTATTACCCTAGGAGCCCCCAAAAAACCTTCACTCATCATCAGACTCATCATCATCCCCCGGGTCAGGCATCACTATCCTGTTGAGGTGCGTTACCTGTATTTTGTTAACACTCCCGTCAGCAAAATGGTATCGATAAGGCAAGAGGAAGCGAAAACCACTCACAAATCCAACCATGGCCCTCACAATCCTCATCACCTCCTCCTGACCCCCCTCCAGGGAAGTAAACACCTCATCATCAACCTTCTTCCCAATGGTAAAATTCCTCAACTTCAACAGCTCCATATCCTTATGCTCAGGCGCGAAACCCTTGGGGCGAGTCTTGAGCGCGCCCTCCTGGTTGGCCGCGGCGAACGCCTTGAGCACCGCCTCCTCCTCTACTTGGTCCTCCTCCTCGCCCTTCGTAGTCTTACCCTTACCCTTAGCTTTAGTCTTGGCCTTCGATTTGGCAGGGAGGTGTTCGGAAAGAAACATGTCGCGAAACGCGGGCTCACACAACACGCGCCGCCACCAGCGCGGCCGCTCGTCGATGCTGGCCCGCAGCTTGCCCAGCGCTTCCGCCGACGGGTGCCAAATCCCCCCGCCCACGAAGCTCTTCCCTGGCTCTACGTGGACGTAGTAGCATGCGTAGGGCCCCTTGCGGCCTGTGCGGGAGAAGGCGGCGGAGAAGTGCGGCTGTTTTGTGGTTTTTTTGGTGGCTGGTTAGTCATGAGTTCGCGGGATGCGAGGAGGATGGCCATGACTGGTAGGGGCTGGATAGGAGAGTAAAATACCTTGTAAGGCGTGGGGTCGTTGCTGAAGCGGATGTCACGGTAGATGCGGAAGTTAACGTCTTTGAAGGGGAGCTCAGGGATGGTCGGGTCCGCTTCAATGATCTTTTCTGTGAGGGTCATCACGTATGACTCCCAGTCCTTGAGTGCGCGCCGGTACTCGGCGTCGTGGGCTTTCGGAGTGGCAGAGAGGTTAGCTTTGGTGGGTGAAGTAGGGAGAGTGGGAGCATACCCTTCAGCCACGACCGCTTGTTGTTCGCCTTGAGGTCTGAGAGGAAGGCGAGTGTGTTTTTGTGCAGCCGGTCATCGGCGTAGTCAATGCCGCCCGTGTCGCGCATTTTGGGTAAGGGGATGAAGGTTACTCGGGGTGGTGCATCCTCATCGAACTCTTCTTCGCTGTCGGCCTTGTTGCCTGGTTTTTCAACCTCATCGGTGTAATCTTGTTCATCATCTTGGTCGACCTTGGCCTTCTTTGAAGGTCTCGCCTTGCTACGAGGAGTTCTAGACGAGCTCTTGGTTGCCGGAGCGTCAGAGTCAGAGTTTGGCTCAAAGTACTTGCTCTTCTGGGTTGATGAACTGAGCCGCCCCGATCGGCGGCGAGATGCAGGAAGATCGGCAGTTGCTGGTGCCTCTTGTGCAGTAGCAGCAGATTTACGCTTGCGGCCGGCCATAATGACGGATGGTTGAATGCAACTCTATTTGGATCGGTAGTGAACAATGGGCTGCAATTCCACGTCTGCTAACCTGGATGTTGAGCACTTGAGATCACTAGTTCACCCATGACGCGATTATGTATCCGGATTTGGCGTTTCCAGCGGCACGAAAGCACGTGATGCATTAAGTGGGCATCATGAATTCATTATGTCATCTTCTTACGGACTCCGAAGACACGGAATCCGAGCGGATACCTATTCCTTCTTGCATCTCAATCATATAGAAGTTGATTCCTTAAGGGCTCTTCAACTGTTGGCCGTGCTGGTCCAAAGCGCCGTTAAGAATTCGGCGATGATCTGCTCGGATCCAATTCATTTGTTTTTCACTGACGTTACACCAGATTTCGCCCTGGGTATTGTCCCGGTTGACCCATGATGGAAAGAAACGTCTACACGTGTAAATGTCGTGAAGGCGAGGTGGTCGGCTTTGCAAGTCCACAAATGCAGCCAGCCAGCGACCTATGAAACATCCTCGGCAGTCGCACCTGGTTCGAAACAGGGCCATAAGATATACACTACGCAGGCATCCCCGAGGAGGACAGCGTCATATTCCAGTTCCACCCTCATCGCAAGGCAACGTTGTATCCGATGAAGAGGCTGTACGTAAGTACACCAGTCTCACCAGTGTACCGAAACGCATGTTGTGAGTTGTCCACCCACCTATGTACCCCAGAAACGACTCGCTTCCCCGCAGGTTCGGGTGCGTCTCCGCCTCTCCGCATACCTAGCACAAGCTCCTTCTCCATCGTGTAACTTGTACCCCGCAGTGCCATTCATCAAGTGCCTGTGGTCTCCAACTTCTCCTTCCTCCAATCCTCCAACTCCCCAAACATTTCATCCCAGTCACATCGGAATCACATTCAAAAGTCCAATCCTCCCGACAATGTCCAAGCTTGCAAACCTTCGCCGCGACGGCTACGTCATAATCCCCAATCTACTCTCCCCCTCCGAACTTGCCCCTTTGCGCGATGCCGCCGCCCGGCTAACAGCCGTGGCACGCAGCGGGGGGTGGCCGCACGTGCGCACCGTGGGGAAGCAGTTCCCTCCCTGGGACGGCTCGCGGGTGGCCCAGGGCCAGTGGCCGGGGATATGGGGCGTGCAGCACCTGCTGCACCCGGACCTGCCCGTGTCGGAGGCTGACCGGGACCTGTTTGTGCGGGCGTATTTTTCCAGGGGGATCTTGGCTGTTGCGAGAGAGCTGCTTTTGGAGGTGGGGGATCATGCCGATGAGAAGTCGGATGGCGTAGAGGAGAGAGGGAAAGACACTGGTCGGGAGGATGATGATGGCCTAGTCATGGAGCTATGGAACATGCTTGTCCGCCCGGACCGCGAGGACTTTGCGCTGCGCTGGCATCGCGACGACATACCCCCCGAGGTGACGCCCGAGGAGGAGGTTGCCAGGCTGGTGGGCGGCAGGAGAAAAAGGCTGACGCACACGCAGTGGAATCTCCCGCTGTTTGATGACGACAGCCTGATTGTTGTGCCGGGCAGCCACGCGCGCGCGAGGACCGAGGTCGAGCGCGCGGCCGACCCGTACGCCGAGTCGCTGCCGGGGATGATCAGAGTCGAACTGCGCGCCGGGGACGTGGTGTTTTACGACAATAATATCCTGCACCGCGGGGTCTATGAGACGAGCAAGGAGAGAATGACGCTGCACGGCTCGGTCGGCCACGTCAGTGGTAGTCGGGAGCGGGCGAGGAACGTCCTGCAGCATGGAGTAGGGGAGTGGGTGGATAAATGTGATTTTTCGGGGTTAGGGGACGGGGAGGAGAGGGAGCGGGCTGAGCGGATGCGGAGGAGGTTGGTGGAGATGGGAAGAGAGAATCAGGGTAGAGATATCGGATATTCCTTGCAAGGCTAAACCTAGCTATGTACGTGGACATTCTACCCCTGGATCTTGTCTATTTACAATCCGTCGCTGACTTCTCAGTTGCTCTTGTACACGGCAACGTTCGACGCGAATGTGTTCACGTTGTCGGCAAACCACGCCACCTGCGCTCCGTTCCGATTGAGCATCTCCCTCGTGCCGATCGTGTTGAGGTTGTAGATATTCACGTTGGTCGCAGAGCCCTCGATCGAAGTGATCCGCTGCTGGCACGTCTGCCCAGCGCTAAACGTCGAGCATGCCGTGCTGTAGTTGTCAAAGAACGAATAGAGCCCGGCGCCGTAAACAAGAATGTCGCGCGAGTTGATAACGCGGAGACCCCACGCAGCTGCGCAGTTGCCCTGCACGCCAGCACACGAAGCCGTGAAGTCGGGGTCGTTGATGGAGGCAACTGGGCGGAAGGGGACCAGGGCGTTGGGTGTGGGCTGGAAATAGGGCGTCTCGGTCTGGATCTGGCCCATGAAGATGTTCTTCGTGTTGGCCAGCTGGTATTGGTAGAGTACATGGTGTTCCGAGCCGGTGCCCCAGAGCCAGAATGGGCCGTTTTCTGACTCGATATCTGTTGTCAAAGGTAAGCATCGGCCTGTGCAAGCCAAGCCTTTGTCACTTACAAATCCCCCGACCGGTGTAGATGGTGATCTGCGTGTTCGCTGCGTCGTCGATATCATGGTCGGCAGTCCTGTTACCCTCTTGTCAGTGCAGTTCCGTCGTTCCACCCTTTCCAGGGAGCAACATACCACAGCCACACGTTCTCCATGTACAAGTTGCTCGCTTGGCGAGTAACATGCATCGCCATATAAGCAACGATGCAGTTCGGATTGACCGTCGGGTTGCCCGGCGTCTTGAGACACTGCGCCACCTGCTGCTGGGTGCCTGTGAAACCGCCAATGCGAACATGAACATCCCTAACACCACTGTCAGCCATTCAGTTCATCTTTTCCTTTTGGTTAGACATACCACATCCCGCTGGGAGTGCCGCTGGTGGCCAGATTCCACTGTATGCAGATGGCACCGGCTTGGGGACCTTGGGTAGACACGATGAAATCGCTCAGCTCGACCTGGCCGGCTTGGCCTGAGGTAGTTCCAACCTGAACGACGGGCTTGGGGTTGTTCATGTCGTTGAAGAAGGCGCCGGAGGAGAGGATGACGGGGAACGACTCGCCCACAATCTTGGCGCCCGGCGGGATCCGGATCGTGTTGGTCACGCGGTACAGCCCGTAGTCAAGGAACAGAACCTTGCCCTGCGCAACGGCGGTGTCAATGGCGCGTTGCAGCGCAGCCGTGTCGTCGGTGGCGGCGTCGCCCTTGGCTCCCGCCTCGCGGACCGAGAGGAAGGAGGATGCAGGAAGGTTCTCGTATTGAGGCTTGGAGCGCGTGTAATACCGGCCGTTCGAGAGCAGAGTCGCCGGGCGAGGGTTGGGCGTGATGGGGCCGCTGAACTCGCGGGCGCTGTTGGGAGCATAGTTGTGGCCGTTGGCCCACGCCGCAATGGTCATCGACCCGGCCGAGCCAGCAAGTAGTGTGCTGCTGCCGGGCCCTTGCACTGCCACGGGGACATTGCTGAGCGCAATGTTCTCCATCACCAGGCTGCCGGCGGTGTCCGGGTTGGTATTCGGGGTCCAAGCAGTGAGGATGCCAACTGGCACATTGGTGAAAGAGCTGTCAAAGACGGTGATGGAACCAACGTCGAGTTTGTTGTTTGAGCCCCCGGCAGAGATATCAATACCAACTCGGCAGTTGTTGATAGACAGCCCATGGTAGGTCCAACCCCAATTCCAGATTTGAATGATGGCTTTCGCTGTCAGCACACACAGTCTTCAGGCAGAGCGCCAATCTCTCAACTCACCAGTCTTGCAGTTGTTGAACTTCAGGTTTCGTGCGGTAAATTGCTGGTTACCCATGCTAGCGCCTGTGGCACCGCCATTGAATGTAAGGTCGACGAGGAGCCCACCGCTACCTTCCTCGATGAAAAGCCCAACATGCACGACGTCGGCTGTAGCAGGCATGTTGAACACGATGTTCTGGAGACTGGTGGCCTGGGCAGTGGGCCAATGGATTCCCGTTGCGGCGGTCGCCGGGGGGATGGCCGTGGTGTCGAGGACAAAATTGCGAATCGAGCGGAAGAAGACGTTGACAGATTTCCAGTTGAGCACCGGAGTATAGTAGGGATTTCCGTCAATGAGGCCAAAGCCGGCAAAGTTTGCTGTTGCCTTGAGTGTTGGCGGCGACGAAGCGTCGCCGACCAACTGGGTGAAGTAGGCCGGTAGGATGGACGAGGAGATCAGATATGTGCCAGCAGGGAAATAGACAACCGCGGGAGTCATAGTCGTCGATGTCTTCAATACCATTAGCACTCAGCTAGGTCACGCAGTGCCTTGTTAAAGGGTGTTGACTTACGCAGCCCCTATTGCAGGGGTTACCAGCGTTGATAGCCGCGTTAATGGCCGCGGTATCGTCCGTAACGCCATCACCTATTGCAATATCAGCCATATTGTTCCTTTTGTCATGACAGCCAGGCCGCGTCTGCCAGCCCATACAGAGATCACGCACCCCTTGCGCCGTAGTCCTTGACATTGCGGAAGACGGGATAGTTCGCTTGGCCAGCGAAGGGCGCAAACCCCCGATCTACCAGCACATTAGCACGTTTCTCGCACGACAACATGATGACCACACCGAACATACGAGGAATATTTCCAAGCCAATGCCCCTGGACGGTGGAGACGAGGCTGGCGGCAGCCAACAACACCGTTGAGAGACGCATAGCAGCGATTTTGATCCTGTGCTGCACGGCCGACTCGAGAGATATCGGAACCAAGTCGTTGAGCCTATCCCGGTTGAAGGAGAGGGGGGCACGAGGTTGCCCACCACATGATGCAGGATCCCTCGCGGGGTTAATATAGTCAACAGAGCGCCATGCACATACAACAGAAGACCGTCGAGTTACGCATGAGACATGTCCACACGTGCGAGATTTTTTTCCTGGGGAAATTCGAGGGGCGACCATCAGGGCCTTGATGGGAGATGTTACCTTACCCAGAATGCGCGCGATGGCACCGGCGACTCCACGGGGCCGGCGCAACAGGAGTGATCCGGTGGTGACCTATGTAACCATGAGAGCGTAGATGGCACCTTCGCAGTGAGCAGGTCGTTGTGTTCTCCGATCAGTGCCACCAAAGGGCCGATTGCCCGAGCCCCCATCACGGCGCTTGTCTCCGAAACCATGCAACATGGCCGTGGTTCTGGGTTGTTTGCCGCTTGGCTGGGGTGCCTGGTTGGCTGGAGGGGAATATAAGAGCATGAACCACCATGTCCATGGAGATGTTTCGCAAGAAACAGAATGTCACTGCCTAAAAGTTCCAAGATGAACAAGTGCCAAGGGAGATTTTGGGGCATGTTTCTTGTGAGGAATGAACACCGACTGCTCACTTGACATGTCTCACTCTCACTCCCACATCGAGACTGGGCTTTGGTGTGCCACAAACGAACAGTTTGACTTTGAGAGCAGAAGCATCACCTTGTGACTGTGATCGATTTTGTTAGGTCAAGCCCCTTTTTTCTTACAACATGAAGACGGGATCACGCGGGAACAGGCGAGTTAGTAAAGGGGGCGTGACGGGAGGATTTCACCTCCAGTAGATGAAGTAGGGGGCCCAGTTAAGCTTCTGGACTCCACCTGCAGCGTCTGATTCGCCAGTCACAGCGAGTTGTCCAATGGAGGGGGGGAACTGGAATGTAAGAAAAAGAGACCGAATGCTACCCGCCCTTTAGCCAACCACGAATCGTCAACTGGAGCACCCGCTTGTAGACGGGCCATCGGTGTTGTACTGGAGTGACGTTCGATGTCTTTAGTCAGGTGGGGAACACAACAGAGGCTGGTTGACGTTTCGACAGAATGACCAGCACGTCAAGGCCTAGCAGGTAGTTCACGCCAGAGTAGTGCCTAGGGCCCTAGAGCCCTGTGCGGGCCGTCACCTCCGGACGCTAGGATGGTGAATCCGGCAGGTCCCGTACTCTTCCCCGCGCGCGGTACGGAGTTGGGTCCGCTGCATCTGATGAAGCGCGAGCCGAGGAGGCGAGATAGCCGGGGCTCTCAGTGTCTAGATTAGGGTTTAGCGCATCCATGGGTCTAGTTATTGTTGCCGCTTGGTATAAGACTCTTTGCACCAGCTTCCTACCATGTCGTTCCTTCTCCATGTGCTAGGGCTGTAGGGTCTGGGGGGTCGCAACTCGAAAGTTCTGTTGCGGGCGCAGACGTCGGTGTGTGGGACGACGAAGCGTGTGCCGGGTCCCCGAGCTCTGTTGCTTCTGAGTTGAGACCCGGAGCGATATGCGAGCCTTGACTGCGAGGCCTAATGGGAGATGATCGCGCGAAACTCCATCAACGCTTCATAACAGCGTCCAGCAACCCTTCGCGTGGGAAAGGTTGCCATAGGAGGACTGCATGGCTGTTGACGAACGGCTGTTTGCACAAGCCATGGAACTGACCCAAGTCCTGAAAGCCCATCATGTTCTTCCGCCAGACAGGAGGAGAAGGCCTCGAGAAAACGATGGAGGCACACGGATAGCCGCGCAGTGTCGACCCCCAAGCCAAGCGAATTTTGCCTATTTGGACCAAGTTAGAGGACATATTGAGCGCGGCAGGATGTCGGTAGGCTCAATGGTTGCTTGCCGACAAGATGTGTCGACCTTGAGAGATGTTGACATCGGGCTCATTTTGCTCCACAAGGTCCTAGACTTTTCTTGGCGGCGAGCCGCTGCGTCCTTGCCGCCATGCTGCCAATCCACCTATCCGTCGAAATCTAGAACAGCACTGCATCGAGCGAGCCCGTCCGCAGCCGACACTGTCGCTTCCAGTCTTAAGCAGTGCCCGCGATGGCGTCCCGCGTTGTCGGCAGCTTGGCGAACATAGGTTCCCGGGGCCCTGGAAAAGAGTTCTGGTCTGCCGTCGAGGCTAGAGATGTTCGCGTCGAGTATGCAAGGGTGTGCAAGCAATAATCTGGGAACGAAGTCGAGTAGTGACGGTAGCGCACACTCCGCTTGTCTTGCATGCAGTACGCAAAAATTCAGTTGTGGCCTTTCCCAGATTGAGCCATGCAGCTCACGGGCAGCCCCCCGCTCCCCGCATTTTCTCCCCGGACTGACAGGGGCTCAGTTGCTGCTCCCCAGATCTCCAATCCTGGACCTCCACACCCGCACCTCCACTGCTGGGCGAGTCTGAATGTATGTAACTTACTGTAACCTACTGTACTGAAGGTATTGTACATACAGTACTGTACAGTACATACCTACCTAGGTAGCGACCAGAAGGGGGGCCGAGTGCGTACGATATGTGCATTGTTGTCTTAGGTAATTATCACCTCTCTTCCCACAAAAACTATTCTGATATGATATGGATGTTCGTAACATTTCGTTTTCCTGTATCAGTTTTTCCCCTTTCTCAAAGTCAGCGATTCTCCAATTGTTTACATGGTGCAGGAGCTGCTCCCGCGTTTGGGAGCTTTGGGCCCGCAAGTTCCTCGGTTCGTCACACGTCAATTCCAAGGTCCACCCCGCTCCTCGGTGTAACATCTGAGCTCGGCTCTTCTGCTCGAGGATGGGACGTCATTTCGAGGAAGAAATCGGTACATACTTCGTAGTGTTGGGCGGTCAATTTCTGTGCCGAGACTTTGCTCTCTGCAAGACACTGATGCATCGTTAATCAGGTACTTCGTACGAAGTAGGTGCAGACCAAACCGACCTGTCCAGCATTCAGGTTCAGCGAAGCGGAGATCTGAGCCAACCTGGAAGTTTATCTAGAACGGCGCAAGGGCCTCCTTCCAAGTCGGTCTTGTGGAACCAGTAAATTAATTCATCTGCACGGTATCAGGTATTGTACCCGTACGTGATGTGATGTAAGGAGGACGGTACGGAAGTTGCATTGTATTATTACATCGTACGTTTTTGCGTACTGTTTGCTGTGGTGGTTAGGCGGGAAGAGGAAGTTTGGTTCGCCCCTTCTCTCTCCCCGCCCTTTCTCCTCTTTTGCACCCCCTCGTTGTTTCCGACTACCGACAGTCCCCTTTAAGTTCCCCGCCTCCGCGTTTCTGCAATCGTCAAATGCCTGCCCAGCTCCCGAGGTCGCTTGGATGCTCATTTGCTTAGGTCTTGAATTGTTCCACTCCTTCCGCCTCTCATCCGGATATGCTGTGGCTCTTCACAATATTGCGGCACCCCGCCTGGTTTTCCTCACTTCCTCGTCACACCAACCCAAGTGCCTGAAAGACTTGTTGATGTGCACAATTTGGACAGCGGGCGGGCTAATACCTACACCACACTTGGATGCCAATGCCAAGCAAGGGCTACACACGCAACCCACAACCCTTTTCTGCCCACTTTTTGGGCTCTCCCCCACACACCCGCTCCCATGCGTCTTGCGCATCCTCAATAGGTTGGCGTTTGTGTCATGATACACCGACTCTCCTACAATACTATCATTGAGCGCCCCGTTCACATCCTCGCCTGATTCGAGCCTGCAGCGGTCGAGACACAATCGACACTGCCCTCTCCAAGCCCACCTTCTGTTATTCGAGCATTGACGCTTGGGAGCCTCTGGACCCAAGGGGCTTGGAACGAGAACAGGACAATACCAAGAGTTTCCTGGTTGCTTGCTGTATGGGTGTGGGCGTGCCCGGCCTATGTAAGCGGGGAGCAAGCAGGGGGGCATACCCGGGCATCCGGTCAGTCGGACGAGGTTAACCCCAGGCCTGAATATATCAAGACAGGCCGTGTTTATTGCTGCTCGATTCGGCCATCTGCTCCCGCCGGCACGGCACGCACAACATACCGGCACACTCCTATCTCAACATCTTTCTCCATCTACACAGTATTTTGGTCTGTCTGCTCTCACCCTTCCTCCGTCCACCGGACCATCCCCCAATTCCCTTTCTTTCCCTTCCCCTCCCTCCCCCCCACACTATAGTGTGCGTGGCTTTCTCCCCTTCAACTGTACACAACATTGCCCGCTCCAATACCCCAAAAATCTCCTCTTCAAGCCCTCTTTTCTGGGCCATGCTCCCCATCCAGTCAATCGAGGGCCCCGCCCCGTCCAGCACTGCCGACGAGAATGGGGAAACCCGGCAGCAAAAGCCCAAAGCCCTGCCGTGCAAGTATTGCAGCAAGCGCTTCAGGTCAGTCGATCCATCACCTCATTCCTCTGCATATTGGCTTACATTGCACCTTGATATTAGGCGTGTGGAGCATGTCCAGCGGCACGAGAGAACCCATACTAAGGAAAAGCCCTTTGCGTGTGCCTGGCCTCGTTGTGGAAAGACATTTGGACGACGGTGAGCTAAACCCACTTGACCTGCTTCCCGTCGCAGCCCCGTCTGCATTGTCCTACCTCCAACTGGTTTAGGCCGTGATCGCCTGCCAACCCGCCTCCTCGCTTCCTGCCACTTGGTGCCCGGCGGCCTTAAGACTACTGTCAAGGTTCCAAACTCCAAAACTCCTCCCCCTCCTCCACCTACGCCACACATCCAGTTCCGTCATTTCATAAGCCTCCCCTCGTAACACTACGAAATACTCATCCTGATCCCTTCTATCTGGTGCCTCCCTGAAGGGCAGCAACCGGACACGAATCATCTAATCGAATCCCGGCTGCTATGAACGTATGCTTATATGGACATTAGAGATCTGCTCGTCCGTCACGAGAAGCTTGTCCACCTTAACGAAGGCAGCGGCAACAAGGATGGAAGTCGACAGCGCAAACCCTCCTCCGGGGGAGTTCCCACCGTCCCTGGCGAGAACCAGGTTGACACCGAGATGCTTGGTTTGCAGCAACAGCAGCAGCGCCAACAGCGGCAGCAACGTCCGACAGCGCAGCCGCACTACGCATCGGATGCCCTACAATCAGCTGTAGCTTCGTCGCTGCCGCCAGATTCTCGCCTTGCAGCACGAGCCCCCGCGTGCAATCTGGATCTGCTTTCCGATGCCGCGACCCATCTTGCTTCGGGTGGCGAGGTCAGCAGCATGCAACCAGCAATGATGCAGGGGCTCGCCCAGGCACCAGCAGATCTAACACACGTCAAGACCTACCATGACGGCATGTCGTATGGAGATCGGGTTCGGGATCAAGATCCCTCTGTTATGTCCGCCGGCTATCCTGCCCAGCCGCCGCCCTCCGCATTTGATGACTACAACCTCTTTCTTGACGATTTCGCAACTTCCTCACACTTTTTGCCGCCGTCTCTCGAGAGTGAGCAAGTGTTTGGTATGTGGTCTCGACCAGGCGGTGCAGATCTGGCTCGGGGCCCGTCAAAACCCCCTTCGGCCTTCCCATCTAGGTTTCCCTCATTACAGCCAGATCTGCGCGATCCGTCAGACGGAGGGGCTAGAATGCACGAAGATGGAGTTCGAGCTCCAAACTGGAGGATATCGGCCATGGACCACACGGTCATCAAAAACCGGCTGGACGAGTTCTCGTCGGTTCTTCCGAACGACTTTATCTTTCCCTCACGGCACACCCTGAATAGGTTTTTGGAGGGTTATGTTAGCGGTTTCCACGAACACCTGCCTTTCCTTCATTTGCCCACTCTGGCGCCGACTGAGCTTTCGCCCGAGTTACTGCTGGCAATACTGGCAGTCGGGGCGCATTATCGATTCGAAACAAACCGAGGCCATGCGCTGTGGTATGCTACCAAAGCCGTTGCGCTTGAGCAAATACGGCGGCGACATAGCCACGAGGTACATGGCCTGCTCCCTACACCAGCCGCTTACAGTCCGCATTCCACTCGCCCTTCTCCGAGTTCTGGGTTTCGCCACTCCTTCCCGTCGGTCCATCAAGACCGGCCGATGACTCAAGATACACACCGAGAGCCATAGTAAGGCCCTTCCTCCGCATTGCAAGCGACATCATGGTTTGGCCCTGGTACTAATGTTGATAGCTCCCCAAATACACCACAGTCACGCCTCGAGACGATCCAGGCCCTCCTCCTACTCTTTGCCGTTGGGCTCTGGGGCGCGAAAGCGATACTCCACGAAGCACTCTCATTACAGAGCTTGCTTGCTCTGCTGCTTCGAGAAGAGGGTCTCGCAGCTGAGCCCAATCAGCAAACAACAGACTGGGAGGCCTGGATCCGACTGGAGGCAGCCACACGAACCAAGCTGGTTGCGTACTGCTTCTTTAACCTATGCAGCATTGCGTACAACAGTCCTCCGCTACTTCTGACATCTGAAGTACACCTGTACCTACCCAACCCGTCGCGGCTATGGAGGGCCGAGAACGCCTGGCAGTGGCAGGAGGTTAGGCAATCATATCCCAACATCGAGATCTCCTTGCAGGAAGCCTTTGCGAGGCTATTAAACCGCCCTTCACAAGCGCCGCCATCCCCTCTCACCTCTCTGGGCAGCTACGTCCTCATTCATGCGCTGATTCAGCACATCTTTTTACTCAAGCAGACATCCTTCTCTAGCCTTTCCCCGTTCGAGATCCACAGGAGCCTGAAGCTCGAGGACGTGGAAGATATCAGCCAGGCCCTTCGCGCCTGGAGCCTGTGCTTCGAGCAACACCGCCAGATGCGGGCCAACGAGCTTGCAGCGCAAGGCATGACGGGGGAGGCCTTCTCCGAAGGCCCTGTAGCCTTTAACTCCACAGCGCTGTTGAGACTCGCGTACATCAGGCTACATACCGACTTGAGTCCGAGCCGCAGTCTGGAGACTCGCGACCACGTCCTGATAGCATCCGCATTCAGTGACGCCCCGCTGCTTGTAAGGAGTCCGCGGCTCTGCCGTGCCGTGGTGCAGGCCATTCATGCCTTGTCGATGCTCGTCAAGATGGGTGTGAATTACGTGGCCAAGACAAAGTCGCTGGAGTGGAGCATGCAGCATTCTTGTAAGTCTTGTTTACGTCCCTTGACTCGTTCCCACACCTCCCGCAATCTAACCTTCATAATCCGGCAGTGTGCAATCTAGAATGCGCCGTCCTCCTCTCCAAGTGGCTGCTCACCTTGGCGGCGATTGGCCCGGCCGAGCCGCCACCATCAGTCGAAGAGAAAAACCTCCTCGAGATGGTCCGCCGCATGCTAGACGAGACAGAGTTCGCCGTTCCGATCGACCCGTCGCTGGCGGGCTCAAGCCACGGTCACCCTCACCATCAATCTTCACGATCAATGGATATGTCCGCTACGACCGACTGCACCAAGCTGAGGCAGCTAGCGTGCGCCGTCGTCCGGCTGTGGGCCGAAACCTTCAAAGGGGCCCACATCTTCGACATTATGCGCATCATGGCGGCCGGGTTGGAGGGATATGCGGATTTGATGGAGAAACCTAGGGATCGGACGCCGCTGGGAAGGATTGTGCCGAATCAGGGGCTGGGCTGATTTGTGTCCGGCAATGGAACCCTCGATGTTGCAATTCAAAGAAAGGGAAGCACAGGCCGGCTGCCACCTCAATGTGTAGGCAGACTCGGGGTGCCGCTGGACGGATCGTATATGCTATCTGATCCAAGTGAGCAGACATCAGGGTCGCACGGCCAAGGTACTTCCGGCAGGGATTGCTTCTCGGTGGATTTCCGCCCAGTCGCTCAGGAAACAGCCCCTGGGATGAAACGGGGGCAAGAACTCGGCCACCCGAGAGAGAATAAGGCCGTGATATCCCTTTGTACGAGTGACTAGGATGTTAATGCAGATGCTATGTACTACTGAGTAGCCGCCACATCGAATCACACCTTCGCCCGGTGCTTCTAATGTAATAAAAACCTAGCACATGCATGGTGATGTTGTTCCCACTGCAGACTTCCTGTTGGAAGGTCGTGTGCAGGGACACATGCTAAATGTTTCAGTCTGGGTCCCCTCATTGGAGTCACCATTCCCACCCGAGACTTGCATTCTCGACTAGGCTTTGTATGACTGATGATCACGCCACAGGGAGAACTCGCAATGTCCACTACGCATACAGCAAGAGGGGAGTGCCAATCTACACGGCTACAGGCTCGGAAAGATAGCATCAGGGTCCATGTGAATATATGATGTGGTTCGCTATGGCAAGGCTTGCCTGCAATGTTCTGGACTGCAATCAATACCTTCACAGGCCAGAAACCGGTACAGTAGAGCCTATAAAAGTATTGGACCAAATCACTTGACTCCTTACCCCTACCAGAAACCAGAGGAGAGACGGGTAAAGCAAAATCCGAAAGGCATGTGTGTCGAGCTACTCCGTACAAGTTTGCCTCATGAAATACTACGTCCGCACACAAAACCTACGAACCAGCTATCACCATCGTTGGATAAGGGGAAGAGATATGTACATAAGATGAATCGTGTAGGTGATCCACCCGGTCCACCCCGGGTGTGGTCTATCCTACCTACCCTGGCGAGCCTGGCCTAATCCATCCTACTTGCCCCTTTGTCTCTCCCTCCCTCTTCGCAGGACATTTGAGGACCATGTCGGGTAAAAAGTCAACGATCGCAGAACTAAACGAATCCTCGAAACCTCAGCCCACCTCGCGAAAACTGTGATCAGAAAGTCAAATCAACCGCCCTTCGCAGAACCGTAAAGCCTACAGTCCCTATAACCCCATATTAAAACAACGGAGGGCAGGCAGACGGGCAGGGGGTTAGCAAGCCCATCCTAATAAGCAGCAGCGCGATAATACCCCTCAGCAGCCGTGGGTGCCGCAGGCGGGGCGTTCGGCGGCGCCTGGCCATGGCCATGGTCTCCTCCTCTCCCATACCCAGCACCACTAGGCCCAGGCACAGGCCCAGGCGGCACATAAGCCTTATACTGTGGCTCGCCTGCGCGACTGGGAAGCGACTGGCGCGCGTCATAGGCGGGTCCGCTGGGCTGCAGCGGGGGCGGGGAGAGCGGGCCGGTCGGGGGTCTGGACAGGGACGGCGATGACGAGGGCGGCGGGGCGGGACCGTCGGCGGCGGCTGCTGCTGGGCCGGTATTCTCATACCCTGGGTACGCACCACTCTGCTGTTGGGGAACCCCGGCGGCGGCGTGGTAGGCTGAATACTGGCCGTGTCCATGCCCCTGTCCTCCGGGCTGCTGCTGCTGCTGCTGTTGCCTGTTGTGGTGGTCTAATACGGGACCTGGACCTGGGAACATCGAGGTAGGGTGTGGCGGAGGAGGTGCGGAACCTATCGGGGCTGTGGCGCTGGTTTTTGGGCTGGCGGCGGTGTAGGGGTCTTCGGCAGCGGTATTGTAAATGGAGGAAGAGTACGGGCCGGCCGGATTGGCGTTTCCGGGCGCGATGGGCGAATCGTAGACTGATGTCGAGAGTTCTTGGGGACCGCTGCCGTATGTGCTTTGCGGACGGGCCGATCCTTGGGCGGGCTGGTAGGATGCGTACTGGTTTGTAGGAGGCGGCGACGCGGATGTCTGGAGTGGAGTTGGCTGCTTCCCACCCGAAGGGTGCCGCTGCTCTTGAGGACGCTGAGCGTATTGCTGTTGCTGAGGCTGCTGCTGTGACGTTTGAGCTACAGGCTGGCTGGGTTGCGATGGAATCTCGGCACCGGCAAAGTAAACGGGAGCAGACGGGGCAGCCGGAGGGCCAGGACGCTGGAAATTAGGGGGTGGGGAGGAAGGTGGATATTGTGATGCTTCTACCATAATCTACAATCAGCGATGCTCTGTCGCCCTTCTACTCACCAAACTCGGCCAATGGCGTACCTTGAGCGGGCGCTGGCGTGTAGAACCTCTGCGGATCTTGGGGCTGCGGCGGCGCACCATAACCTTGGCCTGGGGGTGGGTACCCCTGAGGCACCTGCGGCCGCATGGCGTATTGATGATAGGTTGGCGCAGGCGGATGCGACATGGACGACTCTAACAGCGCCTCATAGTCTCTCCTGGCCTTGATGAACTTTTCGTTCAGCTGAGTGAAATCGTCTGCAGGGAGTGTCAGCACAAATCTGACATCTGGTCTCGCAATCTTGATACATACCCTTCTTCTGCGAGTATTTCTCAATCAACTTGATCAGCTTCGGCCGAATTGCCAATGTCTGGTGGTAGAGTTTCTGGCAAAAAGTCAGCAACCAATACAGCAGGACATGGGAGACGGAAACGCGGGGCGTACCGAGATCTCCTCATTGTCCTCCTCCCTCGGCGCAGTGTTGCTCGTACTGAGTAGCGTCAACAGCTTCTCGACGTTCTTGATCTCGGCAAACACTTCGGCCTCCATATGAGCTTCTCGTTGTAGCTCTTCGGGGGTAGGATCGGTCAATTTCTCGACATAGTTAAGCGGAAATATTCCGGTCTTGCCCTTGAGCGACCCCCGCCACCAGTCCTTGTAGACACTCTCCAGGACCGCAATGACATCGCCCTTCTTGAACTCGAGCTCGCCCGGCTCCGACGGGACGAAGTCGTACAAGGCCCTGACGCGCGAAACAGTGGCGGCGGTAGTACCGGATGGCACGGGCAGGATGGGCGTTGCCTGCTGCTGGCCTTGAGTTCCAGCACCTGCGGGTCCGCCGGACTGTGACGGCCCCGCTGCCATTTCGACAGGCTTCCTCTTCCGCTCCTCCTCCTGCAAGCTCAGCTTAAGCGCCATCTGTAGTTCCTCCTCCTCCTTCTGGCGATCTAGCTCGGTGAGCCTGTTCTTTTGCGGTGCGCTGGGCGGTTCCAGGGTTGGGTTGCTCTGCTTGAGGCGATAGTAAGCGTCATACATGATGCCGAGATCCGGATCCGATTTGAACATGTCGGACCACTCCTTCATTCGCTCTAGAATCTTGGCCTTGACTTGAGTGTGCGTATTGCGGTCGTTGGCGAGCTTGAGTAAGGCATCGGTGAAGGCGCGGCTAGACAGCTCGCGGTGCATTGACTTGCCGCAGTTCTGGGAGAGCGCATTTGCAACCTAGGGAGAGTGTTGGTAAGACAGGCTTGTGATCTGACCTACGGCGCGGACAGCAGCTTACCTCGAGCGTATAGAGCTGGACGTTGGCGTTGCGGTGCGCCAAGCGCTTGATCAAGCTCTGGACGGCATCCTTGGCCCCGTTCGGGTCGCCGGCTACCCGGTCGCAGACCTCCATGATGGCGGCCCAGTCCTCCGACGTGAGGTTTTCGTCGGTGGCCTTATCTAGAGCGTGGTGATACTGATGTCAGCTGCTTTGTTGCAACCTGTGCGACATGTCGCTTTGATGAACGTACTGATAGCCTCATCGTAGGGCCCGGCCGCGGCCGCTCGAAACATGGTGACAGCTGAAGTATATGCTGGTTCTGTCAAAGACAAGTAGCTCAGCAGTGGCAGAAGAAACCTTGTGCCGTTTGTGGTACTTTCGTGACGCAGTGTATTTCTCGGTATCCAACGGCGCCGTCGTCCCTGTCTCGGTCTTGCTCGCTTTCACAGCTTAGTTAGTGTGCCGATTTCGAAAGGCCAAGCGCAAAGATCGCAAAGACTGATGCAGCCCGTTGGGTGATAGAAGCGGAAGTTTCAGTGAATGATGCTGCGCACGCAGCAAGGCAGGCGGCTGGAGTGTTAACGGAGTAGGTTCGAGAAAGAAGATGGCAAGCGGGCGGTGCCACGCGGTTGGTTGCATCTCACGTTAACGTTAACGAGGTTCCTATGACGGTGCTCGGGCGGGGCAGGCAGCTTCCAAGCCGATTCGCCCCACATCCATGCGAAGGCAGGCCAAACTTTTGAGCTCATCCCCTGTCCTTGCCCCTTCTCCCTTGTCAAAAACCCTGCAGTTGCAGCCACAGTCGCCAACAAAACCCTCGTGAACCGCGATTCCACTCTGGAAAAAGAAGCTTGGCATTCAGACAACACTGGCCTCAATTGCGTACGCGATTGCGCAGCCACACCAGGCATTTTGACAATTTAACCTACCCTTCGCGTGTAGTGTTCTGTGTACACTGATGATGCGTAAGCGACTGAGCCGTTTAGAAAAACTCGTGTTTGAAGCCCAAGGCACAGTCTGGGCGGACTTTTGCTCTTGAGTCCCGTCCAACTCCTCAATTACACGGCCACATCGACTCCCCTATCTGCAGATAGCATGCAAACACCATGGTGATTCGCCTGATATGCTCACCTCAAGCTCGCTACTCCATAGACAGCTCACTGCTTATGGGAAACCCCAAGCTGGATGGAATATTTCATTTAACTTAGTGAAATTAAGATCATAATGCTATCTCGCCCAGAAGTTACAACAATAACGCCACTATCCGTGTACATACTATTGCCTGTTCCATATACTCTCATATAGCAGGCGCTCATCTCCCCTTGACCTTCTAGATGCAGTACATACATCAGCTAAGCTCAACCACAGCTCTCGGAGCTGCGCTTATCTCATTCTGATTTGCTCTTCGCGCCCTCCACCACTCAGCATATACGGACCCGACAACCGTAGGTCTGTTTGTAAGTACGGATAGGTACTAACGCATTCGATCTTGTCCGAACCCGGAGACCGTCCCAATGCTACACCTAGGCAAGCAACCCTTCAGTTCCCAGTTCCCAACAGCCTCTCTCCGTCTCTCCGGACCAGGCTATACTGGGCCACCTCGAACAATGCGGCTAGCCATAGCCAAACGCGAAAAGGAAAGGGAAAGACGGAACCAGGACGAACCCGCAACCCCAACCTAGCCAAGCCAAACACCTCCCCAATCCAAAACCAGCCTTTATATTCAGGAAACCCCATGTAAAATTGCAACGCCGGAGCCAAGCCAGAGGAAGAGAAATCAACTATGCCGAAACGAACACAAGCCCATCACCATCCCTTCCTCAGCACGCCCCTCGGCTCAAACTTGTCTCCCTGCTCTCCCTGCCCCTGGTTCTGCCTGGATCCTTCCTCCAAGCTCCTCCTGGAATCCCGCTCCAACTCGCTCATAGCGAAAAGGAGCGGCTCCTCATCTGCGCCTTCCACGCTCCCTCCATAAACGCCCGTTCGTCCTGCATGGGACCCAAACGAACCCGGCCGGCGGAACGAGCTGCGTACCGAAGGGTATCTCCGGCCCACCATGCCCCTACTGCTCGTGCTTGCACCCGTATCCCCGGTGTTCCTCTGCTGCTCCCCTGCTCCAGTCAACCCAGACCCGATCCTGGCACCGCTCCCAGCACCGCCACCGCCAGAAGTATTCCCGCCATCGTTATCACCATCATCATCGCCATCGCCATTACCGCCAGGAGCATCCGGGCGGGCAGAACTGCGACCACCTCTCCCTTGCAGGTCCAGATCTAAATCCGCATCCCGCTTGTGCTGGTGCTGATACGCCAGAAGGGCGCTCAAAGTAGGAACCTCACGGTCACCGGCAGAGGCAGCCTCCACACTGGCACTGCGCTGCGGCTGGCTGGCATACGAATCATCAACCTCCCCCGCCAGCGAACGATGTACCGAGCTAGCTCTTCTGTTGGTGGTCATGCCGGCGCCGGCATGAAGTAAGCGTGGCGATAAAGGTAGCGGTATATCAATGGCCGTCGTCCCTCCCGTGGCGCCGCCCTGCTGAGTCGTCATGGGAGTCTCATCGTCATCTTCCGCTTCTTCCTCTGTGGCTACAATCTCAGGGTTGTTGCTCTGATGGTGGTGGGGATGCTGCTGATGACCGCCTGGGGCCTGGTAGTCGATGATAGAATTTTCGCTCAGCCGGGACGGGATGGCGGGGGTGTGCGGTGTGTGGGGTGATAAGGGTTTGCCTGGTGAGGAAGCGACCGACACGGATGCGGGGTTTACCATGCTCGGAACGTTGGTCAATTGCCGGCTTGACGAGCTTGACGAGCGTTGGAGCTGCATGGACGAGGTCATGGAGTCGGTGAGGGCGTTGTTAGACTCGCGCATGAGCTGAAATCTGGATAGCTGTGCGGCTGTTCTCTTAGAGGCCGAAGTCTCCCCCTTCTTGTTCGGCTCAAAGCTTTTGAGCGTTTTCCGGCTGTCAAGAGCCTTGAGGAATTCTGAGATATTGTCGTCGTCTGTTACAAAGGATCCAGAGCTTGCCACTCCTCCAGCTTCAGCCAGTAACCCGGAGCCTGGCTGAGCTGAAGAGGACAGGCTCTGCTTGCCGCTGCTCGCCTGGTCGTCGTCGCCTTTACTCTGGCCCCCGAACGACGGCCGCCCTCTGCGATGCGTAAAGCTGCTGCTGTAACGGCCAGTTGGCTTTGGCGACCCTGTAACGGTTGGTATATCCTGGGGCGCAGTTGCCGTGCCGGGGCCGCGCAAGGATGCCGCCATCCCTGCTGTGAGTGAGGAGCGATTTCCGGGGCGGGAGAGCGCGCTTAGCGCCGAGGGCCGGGTAAGTGATTGAGGGGATGCGGGCGCCTCCAAGTCCGGAATCCTTGGGGATCCGGAGAGCGAGCCCGCCTTGAAGGGCTGGAATGAAACCGATGGACGCCTGTTGGCGGTCTCGTAGGTTCGTAATGTGGGTCGAGCTGGCGGCCGGATTGGCAACGAATGCGGCGGTTCGGGCTGCTCCATGCTTGTCGACGTTGAAGCTGAGGGCGAGCTCGTGTCTGAACCAATAGGGCGAACTGCTCTCAAAGCAGTGATGGGGCTGGTACCCAGTGCACCGGGCCCGTGAAACGTGGATAAACTACCGTACGTCTGCTGAGGTTCCTGAGCCCCTCGGTTCTGGCGGTGTGACGGCAATGAGCCCGGTTCTGCGTACGAGTCTGACCGACCGTGGCCGTGTTCCCTCCTCGGCGGTATTGACGGTTTGAAAAAGTTCTCGTCGACCCCCATGAAGCGCGAACTAAGCAGCGACTCTGAGTCATCGACCCGGAAATTGCAGTCGTTGCGGTACATTACCGAGGCGTAGAAGCGGCCGACGGGCACCTCCAAATCTGTGAAGACATATTCGGTAACCGCATCTCTTCCGTCATGCAGGGGCTGCCGCAAGGGGTCATAAGTAGTGTATTCCAATTCAGAGCTTAGCACGCGGCATTTGACTTCCAATGCTGGATGGACACCCTTTGCCAATGCCTGCTGCGAATACTTCCAGCATGGCATGATGCGTGTCGTTACAAAGAGCGACCGGAAGAAGACAATGCTCCTCTTATAGATGGTGGGAAGCGAAGGACCGAATTCGTCCCGGCCAAGGTTCGGAAGACACTTGAGTTCGACCCTCCATCGCTCCAGAATGATCTCGGTGTTGCGTTTCTGGGACTGCCGTCTCCTGGGACTGTCGTCACTCGACTCGGACGAGTTCAGGGCTTCTAGCACATCCCACCGCTTACCATTTTCATCGAGTATCACGAGAGTCTGACTAGTGGAAAGGGCCGAAGCATCAATATAAGTCTCAATGATCATGGGCGGGGGGCGGTTCTCGAAACTGCCAGACGTCTTGTAGACTCGGAGTTCGTCCCGGAAGTCATCAATGTCGTCAGTGTCGATAGAAAACTGCAAGACGGCGTTAGAGTTGCGCCTCTGTAGCACCATACCTTACACGACATTTGCTTACCCATTTGTTTGTTTTCTTCCCATCCCCCCTCTTCCCGCCAGCGGGGGGTAGGTTAAGGCGTGATTGTAGGATAAGTACTGCAGCTTTGTAATAAAAATTCTGGAAGACAACCATTAGCCCAAGTGCCTTGGGGAGTATGAATCAAGAGAGCCTGGCGCACCTGGATAATCTGGTCCAACTTCTTGATGGATTCACGACTCGGACCGGTGCCAGCAGCGTCATAGCCGTCCGATCCGCCGGGCGCCCCATCTTCAGCCGCTGTTTCTAGTCCGGCGCGGCCTCGGTCTCTCTGATTGTTCGTTCGTGCGGGGTTGGTCTGGGGAGAGGATGCGGGGGAGGAGACCCGGGGCGGGTGACGGGATTGTTGATGCATCGCTGCGGCTCGGGATGGGGAATTGGGGTGAGGCGATACAGGATCACATCGGTACTGGCCGGCGCAACAAGGGGAATGCCAACGACTTGCTAGACTTGATGTGTGAGTCTCTCAAGATGGAGACGCCAAGGCCAACGGTGGATGGTTTGACGCACGTCTGGTAGATGACGGCGCCGCACAGAGCAGTTCAGATGCTTCGCTCAGGCGGGAGGGTTCTGTCGAGCAGCGTGGATCTCCGGGGCCATAATTATCGCTCGGAATGGCAGCCGTCTGATAAATGGAGGAGGTGAAAGAATAGGGGGAGGGGATGAAAATGTGGGCGGACCGGCACCACAGGCAGCCTCTATGGGATCAGAATGGATAAGAAGTTGCAGAAAGGGAAGCGTCAAGCTCTGTGAAGTTAGTTGGCGGTGACAAGGCAGACGACGAACGTCGGTTCCGGGGAACCTAGGAAGGCTCGCAGCTACCTTGCCGACGCGCTGGGGTAATGACGGGCCCTCACTGGTCGGTAGCTCGCCTCCCGTCCAGGGGCCTCCACGAGTATCTTGCAGGGCAGTGGATTCTAGGTGAACGGATGCTGCCTTGAGCCAAAGTCAGGCGTCCTGTCACTCTCTGCCTGAAATACCCAGTATGTATTCACCTCGACGAGGTACATCAACAGAGAGTGATACAAATTCAACCCATTTCTTGCGTCTTTGAGGGAGGGTTTAGTTGGGAAATGGTGCGGGAGCGATGTCGGAAACCGGTCCCTCTTTTGAAAGGAAGCATCCGGGAATCGAAGATAAGGCTAACGATATCACTGTGCTAAGGAGGTCACGCTCAGCGGCTCAGGAACTGTATCCGTAGGTACTGCACAGTACTGAGGTGACAGTAATGTGACAGCATGTTGGTTATGTAAGCAAAACCCGTGCGCAAGGGACAGGGGTGCAAGCATGCACCTGCAGCTGCCTCAGTTCTAACCTGAAGTGGGGATTAACGAGGCTGGCAAACGGCTTGTCAAGTGCCGCCAGCAGCTGGGCTTCAAAGGTTTGGCTTTGATGTGTTTGTTCGAAACAACCGTTCGCCTCGTGATCTTTGAGCGATCTTCCGTCATCGAGTCATGGGCATCGACCCGGCGCCTCTCGCCAGGGGTAAATGATGCAATAGTTCCACTCGACCGATGCGAGTGAAGAAGCGTCAGACAATGGATGGCTTAAACTGCGCAACTTGCTTCGTGGTCTCTCGCCAGCGAGGGTTAGCGCAGGTTTGGTTGCTGTGCAGCGCAAATCTGCCTGCGGAATTGCCCCTAGGATAGGCACAGCAAAGCCTCGACTCGAGTGTTCGTACAGCCCACTTCAGCAACCACCCAGAAGCCCAGCGTTGAGTGGCTGGAGAGCAGCAGCCGACGAGTCACTTTCACTCATTCGACTCCAGCCTCTTCTCGAATTGCGCAGTGTCGATGCAGTGCTAAAGCGCGTCTAATCGCCGTTGCCTAGCCGCGGGAAGTCGTTCCAAGCGTCCAGAGCTCGGATTGGACTGCCAAGTTCACGTATCCCTCTGTCTTTTGGGAGGTTAGTTCATGACATTGACCGTGACTCAGAATGCCGTGGCCCATCTTCGGGATGTTGCATACACAGTACTGTACACACAGAAATGCCGTGCCTTATCCGTCAACTGGCACTGAATCCCGAGGAGCTGTCACAGTTACAATTGCAGCAGCTCAAGAGATAAGCTTGTGGTTGGCTGGATAATTGGCGTCTGGTCAGATCGGGCAATCCGCAGCTTGGAGATCGGGTGAAAGCCTAAGGTAACCAACCGTAATGCCGAATTTATGGTACGGTGTAGGACTCAAAGGTAAGATGGAGGTTAAAAGGAGAAGCAGAGAGAGAGTCAAGACATAAAAAGGGGGCTGATCTAAAATAGCAGCCCAAGACGAGACAAGTTGAGGGCACGATCAGCTACATAGCTTGTTGTTCAATTGCTACGATTCTCGATCCAAAGTGCGGAGCGACACGTGGAATCGACCTATCTGTCTGAGAGCACAAGATCGGTTTATTTACACGAGCTAACTAATGTTGACTGGCAGGAGTTTGTGGCAGCCAATGCCCGACGTAACACATAGCCCAACGGTATACAACACCATGTGGCCGCCTCCCAGCCTGCCACATGCCTCAGGACTTAAGATTCAACTCGAGACAATCGTTAAATTCTCTTCAATTAATGCAATTGCTCTGTTGTTGCCGTGAGGCGAGACCTAAAATTCATGCATGCAAACCAATTTATGCAGGGCAGTAGGCAGACAAAAGCCAGCCAGCCAGCCATCCATCCATCCATCCATATGTCCTCTAGACCCCAAGTCCCTTAGTAAGGAGGAGCAGACTATCCTGATAAATACATTAACTACATAAGCTGTACAGAGTCGATAACCACCCGAACTGCACATCCATGCGTACAATATACCCGCTTCCGCTCTCTTTAACCTTTAACAACAGCATTTACAGGCTCGCGCCTCAGCCCTCCACCAACACTGCTGCCACCGCCCCCTCTTCCCGCCTTCTCCTCCTTCCCTTTCCCCTTCCCTCCTCTGGACCCGGATCCCGACAGGGCGGCTGCATTTCCACTCCCGTTTCCATCCTCTCCACTGCTCCTCCCCTTGCCAGCACCTCCGCTACTCCCACCTCTAGCCCCAGGGCCGCCCTTCCCACCCCTCTGCCCGCCTCTCCTCCCACCGCGACCACCCCCACCACGACCACCGCCGCCACCCGCGCCTCCGTTACCATTGCTTCCCTGCTGGTTCCGCCTTAGGTTCTCCTCCCTCCTCCTCTCCTCCTCTTGCATCCTCCGACTCTCGGCATCCCACCACTCCTGGAAAGCCTGCTCCTGCTGGATCTCCTGCAGCGATCGCTTGGCCACCGCCTCCTTGACAATCTGCTTGTCGCGCGTCTGCTGGCCCATGATATCCTCCATGGTCAGGCCCAGCTGCACCTCGGCCTTTGGCTGCGGTGGCAGGTAGATTTTCGAGTGGGGGATGAGCGTCGCAGACGTACCAGCAGAAGCAGTAGCAGCTGGCGGGAGAGCAAAAGGCCGGGAGGAGGAGGTGTTGCCGGTGTAACTGTTGTTGGCTGGTTTCGTAGCAGGGGTCGACGACGGGCCGCCACTTGGCGTGCGCTGCCCTGAAAAACGGGTATCTGGGGATGCCGTACGTCTGTGGACTGGGATTGCGGGCGATGCTGATGGTGATGCTGATGCAGCTGCGTCAGGGGTCAGCAGACCCTTGGCCGGACCGGGATTCAGGAGCGTAGATGATGTTGTGCTTTTCACGGCCGGCACGGGTTTCCAAGGGGAAGAAGCCGGCGTATCGCTGGACGACCGTTCCCAGGCATTTTTGGGCGGGTTGGACTTGGCCGTGGCCAGAGCTGCCTGAGCTGCCTGCGCTGCTTGTTGTTGTCGTTTCTTTTCCTTCTGCGACATCTTCGGCTGGATTGACTTAGGTGTCGTCTCTTTCGCCTTTTGGGCTGCTAAACCAGCCGACAGTGCGGATTGGCTACTCGTTTCCAATTGAATAATGTCACGGAGGTCCAGCTTGGAGGTCGGCGTCAGCGCTTCTCCCCATGGCTTTCCTGGTCTTAGGGGCGTCGGTGCTGCTGTCTGCAAGGTGCCAGACGGGCTTGAGCTGGTTTGGGGTGGTGACTGCAGGCCTATGTGCATGATTTTGCCTGAACCTTTCCAGGAACTTCCCAATGGGGGTAGGTGATCCAGTTCAGACGCCCCTCTCCCACTTTTCCGAGCTTGGAGCGAGGGGCTGTTGGCCAACGAGATATCCTCCTCGTCCATATGGAACATCAGATCTCCATGCGACTCTCTGGGCCGAAGACAAGGACTTGCCAGTTCATTTTGCTCAGCCTTCGACGCCTTCCTGGTCCTATCGGGCGTGGGAGTGACGGGACTGGCATCGTCAAGGCTGCCATATCTCATCCTCGTCGAAGATGAAAGCTTCTTTTCCTCTTCTCGATGCGCTTTGTACGCCATTTCCTTCACTCTGATTTGCCGCTCCTCGTCAATCTCTCCGGCCAGCTCAGGGTTATTTTCATGCAGCAACAACTCAATCCGACCACTCCTGACAAATGGGGATTGCGCAGCATGGTTGGCTCGCACAACCTTGTCTAGTTCAAGAAGCAGAGCCTGATCAAGTTCGTCCAACAGATGATTCTCAAGCATCGTCTCAAGCTGCAGGCAGATGTATTCCAGCCCCGCCTTCTTGAACTCTGTCACTGCGCATGGACTGATGGCATTTAGGAGGTCTGCAATGTTGCGAATGTTCGCAAACCTGCCCATCACCTGCTGGCAGATTTGTGACAGACGATCCAGCATTAGGTAGTCGGCAATGGACATGACTTCCATCACCAGGTCAAGGAAACCATCCAATGACTCGCACACGGCAGGATCAAACATCTCTGGGCCGGAATCGCTGTAGAGGTACTGAAGGGCGTATTTGAAAGCCTCGGGTTCCATGTGGTTCATGTCGATTTTTATTTTGTCTGGTAAGCCGCGGCTGGCACCTTGTTCTGCCCGGCGCCCGGCGAGCCACATTCCTCCGGAGCGACCGTGATAGAGCCCTTGAAACCAAGGACATCGTCTACAAACAAACGCGCTGTGAACGGGGACATCAGCGCCATCGAGTTCTAGCACGACATCCGTGTCTCCGAAAAAGCGTGAATCTTTAATGGCACGTCGGAAATCCTGGTCCATGCACTTCTTGGCCTCCACCTGGAGCCGTGCAGCCGCCTCGAGATTGCTAATATCGAGACGAGTGGCAAGCCTCATGACCTCCAAGCGGATCTGCCGGTATCTGTATGCCAGTGGCGGTACTAGGCCGGTGAAATTCCACACGGGTATCACCCTATCCTCGTACGCAAACAGCACTAGATTGAGCAGTGAGACAACGTCTAAGCCCTGGAAGCAAAGTATTGCCTTGCCGTCAGCGTCACTAATTTCGAAAAGGTGGTTTGCGAATGATCCGGCTTTGCGGAATTGCGCAAGGGCGCCCCGCAGGACGGGGCTTCGGGCGGAGAGCAGCCAACCATGGACGGGTATCCTGATATCGGGCGAGGAAGACGTGCAGACGGCTGCATCCAGCGGTTCGTTCCGATACGACCAAGACTTAAAGAACTGTAGCAGGTCCTCTTCGAGATCTGGAGACTTTAGCACCTCATAGGCCACGGGACCCAGGCGGTTCCCGAGATTGTTGTTCTCCCAGAAGGCGAGGGTTTCATGCTTCTGGTTCCCCGGCTTGGACGCCTGAAATCCTCTCATGGGATTCAATGGTGCCACGTCTTCCCAGATAGACTGACCCGCAATCGCCAGTTGTTTTTTCATTACGTCCGAGTCTTTTCGGACGGCGGCAAAGGCACCATAGGCCGAGGCACGAACTGTGACGGCGTTTGTTATATATGGCACCCGCTGAAATTTGAAGTCCTTGCGCTTGGATTCCGATGGCCACGGAGAGGCATCTTTGGCCTTCGCTCGCTTTATCCTCCGCCACACCGCCCCAGATGCCGTGCTGATAATGACGGACCCATGCTCACCTACGCCAACTGAGCGGACCCCATCTTTCCTAGCGTTCCAGATGCACTGTGGTTGCGTCACAGCACCTTTAATCTTGGAAGGATTTGTCGTAGACGTGGCTGGCTGAGTGGCCTCGGCTTTGTGATCGAGGGTCATTGTGAATAGATCGCCACGCTTTGTGAGGGCTGCGATTGTCTCCCCGCCGGATGTGATGTGATGGATCTGACTCCGTGCCGGATCATAGCGGGTTGACAATTTAATGTTGTCGCCCAGATCAAGCGTTGCTAGTGGAAATTTGACGATGTGATAGCCGTATGCAGTAAAGACACAAACAGTGTGGTTTTGGAGCAGAATTGTTGTGGCTTTGTCGATGGCCGTCACCATGACAATTGGAGACGAGAACAATGAAGCAGCAACTCTTCGAGGCGTGTGTTGGAACTCGAGGGATCTAGAGTCGGCGTCCATCAGGGCAAGTTGGCCGATATTCTTGCCCCAGCAATACAGCGACGTGCCGGTGTGCGCAACCGAGTGAATCGAAGAGGCGGCAATCCCAATGATCGTCTCCTTCTTCAGAGGGCCAAACACCTGACGCGGTACGGTGCTGATCGGGTCTTCATCCTTCTTGGCTGGCTCTGGAAGAGCATAGCCCAACTGAGACTGGGCATTATTACCCCAAGTCCACAGTGCGCCACTATCGTCGATGGCCATGGAATGATTCTGGCCGAGGGCAACCTGCACGACCTTTCTGTCGGCAAATGGCCCTTGCACAGGGGTATAAGTAAAGCGTGTGTTTTCATCTCCAAGGCCAAGTCGTCCTCCTCGGCCGATGCCGCAGATATACAAGTTCGACACAGGGTCTGTCGTCAGCACGGCACTATGTAGCTTGGACAAGACTACATCCTGAATCACCAGGGGGCGATTCAGGACTAATGTCGGGATTTTCTTGATGTCTTGAGAAGCAGGCCCGTCTTCGCCGCTCGCTTGGAGATACTCGAGGTGGAATCTCTGTAGCAAGTGATCCGGGCGCCTCAGATACACGCGTTCCGGGAACTGGCGGTCATCCTCGTCGCCAAAGCCTAGTGACAGGTTCCTGTTGCTGCCAAATGCGTATAGATCCTCGCCAGAGCCGATGGTGTCCTCAATTTTCCTGCCCTGGCATCAGATCGCGACGGGCATAGATGGAAAGCAACCAAACTCACAGAGCCTTATCGAGAAGCACATCTGCTTCGTCACTATCAGAATCATCGTCCGATTTTTCACAATCGGTCAATTTCTTCAGACTGCGCTCGCCAATAGTCGAGTGATACAAATCGAACGGGCTGTTCCCCTCATGGTCCTTCGTCTTGATGAGCTGCCCGACCCGATGCAGCGAGGCTGTGTGTCCCGTGAGATCCTTGCGTTCCTTCTCGAGGAGAAGCCTGGCGATGGATATATTCCCGGCGTATAGCGCTCGATGAAGGGCATTCCAGCCGCTCTCCGGGTCTTGGACGTAGATGTCGATGGCTGGGTGTTCCAACAGGGCTTCCACAAACGAAATGGCATTCTCAGCCGTCGATGACGCTGCGCGCAGCAGAACGGTAAGACCGACATGGTCGCGGCTGTTTATCTCGTTTCGTCCGAGACCTCCGTGTCCATGGCGCGCGCTTGCGGGGTTTGGGCCAAAGCCCGGGACCTTGCGCGACTTTGTCGCTGCGCGAGGCGACGTAGCGTAGACGGAATTTCCACCTCCTCCCGTGGTCGTCAAGTTCGAACTTCGACTGCCATTCTGGGAGCCGAATCCGGCGGGAGCGAGAAGGCGTCGAAATTTGTCGACATCGTCTTCCCAGTAATATTTCCACAGGAGGTGAGTCATGTGTTGGAAGATTGTCGCGGGACGTGTCTCGAATGCTTCGAATGCACCTCGCTGTGGTCTCGATGGATCACGGCCTGTTTAAAGGTGCAATGGGAAGCAGGACGAAGACTTCCCCGCGAAAAACGCTCGACAAATTTCCTGGCGCCGTGTGGTAGATAGCAATATGTGCGAATTTACTGTGAAGTGGCAATTTCGGTACAAGGGCACGGCTTTTTCGGAAGGCTAAGGGGGATTCGATTCTCGAAATTGAGGGCACCGTACTATATTAGGAGCGTTCTACCGTGTCAATGAGTTGTTGAGCTTCTAGTAAGGGATATATCGAGCGACGGCGTCTCTGGAAGTGGTTTGCGGGGAGAGGGGAGGACCCAAAAGGGGCTTTGGTGACGATCTGTCTGTTAGATATGTTCCTCGATCGTGAATCATGTGCGCAGAGGTCATCAAGAGAGCCCCGCGTTCCTGATCTGGGCTCTGGTCGAGTCAGCCAATCGCGTGGCGCCTTCTATGCTCATGCTCCAAGCTCTCGCAGATAACAGTTCGGCGCGAGATCACTGCTGCGTTGGTTGACGGATATGCAAGGAAGCACCGAAAAGAGCTATCCGAGTCGAGCGCAACTGCCTTTTTCCCTGATGTATGTATTGCATGTACATGTTGGACAGTTGAGAGAGAAACACCCTACGGTTCGATCTCAAGGTACCCAGGTACGAAGTCGCTTCGTTATGCGTTCTTGATAACGGCCCGTGCTGTGCAGCCAATGCAGATCCATGACAGGGGGCCAGAGCTCTCCGATGTCGTCTCCCCGCGGGCCCATCTGCGCCAATGTGGGGGACCATCTGCAGCAATCGCAGGAACCGAATGTCTGGTGCGGCTGCGATCTGCCGAGTTCGGTTGACAACGGCTCTTTTTTGTTTTTTTCCCTCTCCCTACCGTCGCTATCTCACCGTCCGCCGCTGCGATTGCCATAGATTATCTTGCGCAACAGTTTTGCGCTTGACGTGGCATTTAGTATATTTCCACGACTTTCCGGTCCTAGGTTACCGCAAGCATCACGAGATGGCGTCAGAAAAAGCACCTCTGCCATTCGGCTATACCTTCATGGCCGGTGAGCTGATTCCGGATGATCCGCCAAGGCAGGCCAGAAAACCGTCAGACGGCTAACCACGATTCCAAACAGGCGCCATTGCTGGCGTTTCCGAAGCACGTGGACCCCCTGACCGCCATGCTAGCCAATTGACTTGCTAACGCTGGGGCTGCCTTAGATCTTGGTCATGTAAGGCAGGCAGACTGGTTGTAGTCGCGTGCGTCTCGGAAGCTGACCATGCTGCACTAGGTACCCCCTGGACGTCGTCAAGACAAGAGTGTGAGGAGTGCCACCACCCCATCCATCTCGGTAGCACTCGACTAATGACCGAGAAGACAACTCCAGACTGGCAAGGGCGCCGGGACTGATGCCTATACTGGCATGCTAGACTGCTTCCAGAAGATTATCCGCAATGAAGGGTATGCGTTCTCTTGGCTGGTTCCCGGAGTTGTAAGCGGCCGAGAGATTGACCGTTCGCCAGCTTTTCGAGACTCTACCGTGGCATCACGGCCCCAATCCTTATGGAAGCGCCCAAGCGTGCGACCAAGTTTGCTGCCAACGACAAGTGGGGCAAGTTCTATCGGGAACTGTTCGGTCAACAGAAAATGACGCAGTCGCTATCAGTCCTGACAGGAGCCTCGGCCGGCGCAACTGAGGCTTTTGTCGTGGTGCCGTTCGAGCTTGTCAAGATTCGCCTGCAGGACAAGGCATCGGCCGGCAAATACAACGGCATGGTGGATGTCGTCCTCAAAACTGTGCGCAACGAGGGTATTCTGGCTATGTATACCGGTCTGGAATCAACATTATGGCGTCACGTTCTCTGGAACGCCGGCTATTTCGGCTGCATCTTCCAGGTCCGCCAGTTGCTGCCCAAGGCCGAGACCAAGAAGGGCCAGACAGCCAACGATATCCTTGCCGGCACTGTCGGCGGCACCGTCGGTACCATCCTCAACACGCCTATGGATGTCGTCAAGTCTCGCATTCAGAACACCGTCAAGGTTGCGGGTCAAACACCCAAGTACAACTGGGCGTGGCCCGCTGTGGCCACAGTTGCCAAAGAAGAAGGATTTGGTGCTCTCTACAAGGGCTTCCTGCCCAAAGTGTTGAGACTGGGACCTGGCGGCGGCATTCTGCTTGTTGTCTACACCGGCGTGATGGACTTCTTCCGCAAGATGAGGGACGGCGACGCTTAGATGGAGGAGAGATACCCCAAGAGGCCAATGTCGTTAGCGGTTGGTATAGACGGCGCGGACGGAAACATACAAAGCGATCTAGAGTCCTCAGCCCATTCGGTCAACTTTTTGCTCGAGCCCCCGTACGCGTGACTTCTTCGAGCGGAGGATCATGGACCAGCCTAAGAGGAGTTGTCGTCCGGCCCATATCTACCTCGAGGGCAAGGGGCTATCCCCGTTACTGTTCCATATCGCCAGAGTGTTGCGTCTCCTCTTGCTCCTTCTTCTTCTTGACCAACCAGATACACACGGAACTCCTGGCTTGTACCTTCCTTCTTCTTCTAGATGATGGCCGTTTACGCCGCTTCTTGTTCCTCCATCCTCTGTTATGACCACACAACTCATCCTTGCCAAAACCACTGCCCAACCGTACTCTTCCACTTTCCAAGGATGTTCGCCTTTCAAAAACACGCCTCTTCCATCACACGCTCCCACTCAGATTCAAGAACCTCTACACTTCCTACCACATCAATCGATTCTGTTGACCTCCCACACTCAATTACTCTCATTGCTCGGGCAAATCCTTCGATCTAGATCTCGAGCTCGAAGCACTCCCAGACACCGGGACTCCGCGCCCGCTTCAAGATTTAAACACCACACCCACTGCGTCATCTTGCCTATTGGCGATAAGGAAGGTCCTTCTTCAAGCAGTGTCGCCCGCTCGCCAGTGAGCAGCGTCTCAAAAACGAGAAGCAAAGTCGCTCCTCGCTCCTTCTCTCTGTTCCGGCTGGCTGCTGAGACACCATCTCCGACCTCCAAGGCTCGGTATTTCTTACTTCAAATCTTGATAACTGGGTAACAGGCCTGCGAATTGCCTGGGCACCTAAACCCATTGAAAACCTAACTCTAGGCACTCACTCCAGTTCAAATGCCTACACTTGGCTCTACACCACGCCATATCCCAAATCTTGAAGGAAGCCGCAACTCACGCTAGGGGTAAGATAGAGCTTTCAATCTCCTTTGAAAGCCCTTGAACCGCACCAATGTTCTATCAATACCTTTGATATGTATCATACTTACTAACTCTCTACTCAAGTTGGCGATGCGAAACAGCTTCTCACAGAAAGCAGTGGCTTCATTATCATTATCAGACCATTTAAACAATGAGTTGTAACGACGCGCCAGCAGGTCGTGACGCTCCGGCGGGTCCCGTGGCCGGCCATGGACTCGATCACCCGTCGGCGCAGGACAATGAAAACGCCAGGGCCCTAATTGGCCGGCTAAACAATGATATCCAAACACTTACCGCAGAGAATGAGAGGCTTGCGACCGATAAGCGGAGACTGGTCCTTGAAAACACCAGACTTCACGCCGACAACGATAGGCTCCGGAGGAGGCTCCAAGGAGGCGCGAAAAACACACAACGTGTATGGTACACTCGCACGTGAAACCCAAAGAGATGGCTAATTAGGCGTATAGACATGGCCTGATGTTCTCCGAGACCATCTCTTGGGCAATGGCGGGAAGACTTATGAAGAAGTCTACAAGTGGGTGGCGACCCGGTCCGCATCGAACTTCAGCTAACCCCTAGAAATAGGCTCTCTGCTAAGGAAGAGAATATGAGTGCCAGAATCCAGTGGTCTCATCCAGCTACCAAATTTGTGCCGCCTCAAAATGATGGCTTGGCTCAAGGGGATGGCTCGGATATTGGCCCTGCAGTTCCTGCGATGCTTGGGCTAGACCACGGCGACCAGGGAGCAAAATTCTTCCCCTTTGAGAAGCTGCCGTGGCAGATTCAGGGTAGGATCCTCAAACTTATCCTCTACAAAAAGGGCCAGCTTATCCACTGCATTTCGAGACTCGACCCCTTTATCAAGCCCAGGTCCTTTCCTAGCATTGAGGAGTCAGGCGATCGTCGCAGCGGTCTCAAGGGCCGCTTCTTTTGGCGCAAACGAGACTGCAACATTACCCACGATGGGGTCGACCCCGGCCAGGTGCTCAGCATACTTGCCGTAAACAAACGTCTTTGCTTTTTGGGAACGCATATCTTCTACGGTTTGAAGTGAGTCGTCAAGATAAAAGCCGTTCTTAGGCTTCCACGGAAGCATTAGAGAGGCATGAGATGACTGATTTTGTTTGTAGTACGTTTGCATTTAGCAGCCTGGGAGAACTTGGCCGCTTCTTACAGGGGTCTGGGCCGGCAAGGGTTGCCCGTATCCAGCAGTAGGTTCTCCATTGCACTTCCGAAGATGACATCTCTAATGTCTCCATAGCATCGAGTTGTTTTGGACAGGCAACCAGTACTTGACCGCCCCGCCGGCCGAAGATACCGGGCGTCGTCGGAACGGGAAGAATGAAATACCCGAACAAAACCAGCGCGCCGGCGTCCCATTCTCCCGTCGGACACACCCCCTGACGTGGTTCACTGAGGTAGCTAATCTCAGGACATTAGTCGTGCATATCAACGAGACGGGCCGCGACTATGTACGCCGAGGATATGAGAATTCCAAAATGAAAGTTTTCATGACCAACGCGACTGCAGGCCAGCCCAACCAGCGTATGACGTGGTCCCTTCGCTGTGTCCAGGGAATGGATTACATCTACGAGCTGCGGGGCATGGATTGGGTCCGATTCTACGATTTTAACGAGGCCCTCCAGGCCGGTGAAGATGGCCGCAAGCCAATTCGCGACTGGTCATTTGCCGAGGATATCACGAACGCTACTACACTGGCCAAAGTTCCAAAGCTGAAGGAAAGAGCGCAGCTGGGAAATCTTGAACCGCTGTTTCCAAGCCGGAACGGGGGACAAGGGCAGGACTGGCACCCAAGCGTTGAAGATTGGATGCTGGTCAAATCAATCTACAACAGCAGCAACTGCTCGTACGATGACCTGCGCCTCCGGCAGCTCGACGAGGCCCTGAAGTATGAGAGCAGCTTGCCTAGCTCAAGCTCCGAGCCTAGCTCGAGCTCCGATTTGGACTCAGGCCCGGCCTCAGACTCGGAAGCAGACAGCCGTCATGCTTTCTGCTCCAACGATCTCGCTTCCCGTGTTTCCGTTCAGCCGTCCTCCTATTACACTTCGCTTTCCGACAACGAGGCCAATGACTCCGACAACGGGGCTGATGACCCTGACAACGAGGCTAATGAATCCGACAACAAGGCTGATAACCCTGACAACGAGGCTGATGACTCCTCGTCAAAGAGCGACAGTGAGTCCTCTCTCTTCGTCTCCAACGCTGAGAACGTCTCCATCGATGAGAACGACAACAACAACGACGACGACGGCGACAACAACGAAAACGCCAGTCCACAGCACATAGCCACTCCCCCGGCCACCAGTGCAAACGCTAATGATAACCTTCGCGCCAGACGCGAATCCACGGTCACCGGCGTCCTCCCCGTCGCTTCGAGAAGACGCATACGCGAGTCGACCACCGCCAGCGGGGGTCTGTTTGTGTCACCTGGCCCACTGCCGGCCGCTGCAGAAGACGATCCCAGCGTTGAGGAACTGCTACAGACCGCCCTCGAGGGGTATTCCTCGGACGATTCAAGCTCAAGCTGGGGATTCAACAAGACCGATCGTCCAGCTGGGGAAGACCCTGAGGATGATGATGATGCCGACGCTGACGATGAGATGGACCTTGACGGGGAGGATGATAATGATGACAATGATGACAAAATTGGAGAGGGTGATAATGAAGAAGCCGGGGAGGAAATTATTGCTAATGATGGGGCGATTGGTGGTAAGGGCGGCATTGACAACAACGGCCTGGGCCACAACAGTCCGGATAACATCAGCTCAGACAACAGCACCTTGGGTTTGTCCGGTCTCGGGGGCCTGAACTTAAGCTCTAGCCCCGGGCATGATGTAATTGCAGTACCGGGGCTTGGCGGTAATGCGATCACTGCAGCGGAAGACCTAACTGGGGAAGAGGCGGATGACGAGACGGAGGTGGTGGGTGGTGGTAACGGGAAGCGGAGGAAGCGAAGTGGTGTTGCCGCCGCCTCGAGAGAGTCCTCGCCGGATGGAAAGCGAGTTCGCCTGGATTGATGGCCGCGCAGTTGCCAATTGCTGAGGATTTGCCTTTTCAGAGTTTTCAGGGGTTTCAGGCTTTTGAGGGGATCTTGGGGATTTCAGTCATTTTTCTGCTTCGTTTCTTGTTTCCTATTTTCACCTCCTCATTTCCCCCCATCGTCTCTTTCTTCTATCAACAGTGCTACCAGATCTACCAGGAGAAGGGATCGGATGATATGCTTCTGATGGGCCGTTTGGTCCCGAGGCCTTGCCGTCTGATGGCGCCGGTCTTCATATTGGAGAGGTTATTTCGTTTCATAATGCCTCAGATAGGGATGGTTATCAATACCGCTGGGTTGAGACTAACAACTCTGATCCCAACATTTGAGAACAGTTGCACGCAGTTTGTTCCCATTGATGGATGAATCCTAGAATAGGGGACATGACTGCCGGATCACCGCTATAGTGGATTGCTAGTGGCATCCATTCATATACAGAAACCGCTGCATTACTATATTCAGTGCCCACGTTAGTCGAAGGTGATCTTCTTGCCTTGAAACGGAGCTGTAAGCTTCTCCTTGGCCATCCGCTTTGCTTCCCAGCTGGGATGAAGTGGACCACTGTCATCCCTCGTTCTCTTTGGGGGATCCTTCTTTGGAGGCGCTTGTGCGGGCTCGGGCCCCTTCGATTTTTCAAGCAAGGGGTTGCGGATGCCTCGCTTCCACGGTTTTGCATCCCCATCCACCGCACCTCGCTTAGGATCCCACCCTGCATCGCGGCCCTGGCTGGCTTGCTTTTGCAGGTGTTTGGCCTTGTCCTTGTACTTTTTCTCCCAGATGGCTTGTCTTGCCCTCTGACCCCGGCGGTTTTTGCGGGGTCTAATGTCGTCAATATCTTCTGCTGACTCGGAACCAGAGATGTAGCCTCCCATGAGCGTGGGCAGGAAGGTAGAGTCCCCAGGTATGGTTTTGGCGCCCCTTTTCGAGGTTGCAGCTTTCTTTGGCGGCGGCGAGCGATCTATGGAGGACGCTGAGCTCTCATCATCAGAGACATCCACGCTCTCGTCGTCGCTAGGCGACTGTTTTTGATTGCTTTGATCCGAGTCGCTGAAGCCCTCAAATTCGTTCTCTTCATCGGTCCCATCTTCGTCCTCGGCATCGCTTTCATCCCCTTCTTCGTCGGTAGTTATTTCCATCGGATCGAGCTCCGTTTTGGCAGCTGTGGACCTTCTTGTCCGACCCTTCTGGAGCACTTCCTCCTCTTCCTCGTCATCTTCAGTGTCAGATGCCAGACCGAGCAGTGCATCCAGTTGGGAAATCGCCTTTTCCTCCTCTTCATTTTCCTCCTCACCTTCCCCCGCCTTGGCGCTTTCACTCCCTTTCCTCTTCTTCTTCTCCTTCAACTTTCCTTCCTCCGGGCTGCGGTCCTTCGTACTCCCTTTGTCGCCCTCCGCGTGATTACTGCTTTCTTGAGGCCTATCATCGCCCTCACTTTTCTTCTTTCCCTTAATTTTCTCCTTCTTTTCCGGTACCGCCACGCCGATAGCCTTACACACGGCCTCGACAGCACTTTCGACCACACTCTTCACCTCTTTCCGATTATACAGCGCGCTCGTGACATTGTGCAATGCCGCCTTCTCCTCGTCCGTCAGCTGCGGTTTGGGAATTCCTGCCTTAATCTCCTCCGGCAATTTATCCGACTCGGCGATTGACTTGATGCGAAGAAGGGAGGAGCAAAGGTGGGCGTGGGCGGCTTGCTGCAGATCGAGAGACTGGTGCAGATCAGTCGACAAATGCCCATGAAGCGAAGTGTAGCGAGCAATTGGGCCAGTGACCAACCTTGAGAACGACAATTTCCTTTTCTATCCTGGCCTTTTTGTCAGGCGTGGCCTTTGCATCGCGCAAACGTTTGGACTGCCGCTGCCGCTCAAAGCCTCGGACCTTTTTCAAGGCTCGGTACAGGTCGATGCGGAAGCGGGAGAAGACTTTCTCTACTGGCACATCGTCTTCGCCGCGTTTTCGTTTGGGCATGATGGGCAAATGCAAGCTGGGAGTTGCTCTATGTCTCGTTACGGAAAGTTTTGTTATCGTCAGTTCTCGATCAGTTCATTGGAGCTTTCGCCTCAACTTTTGATGGTTTCTGAAGAGATGAAGCCCCGCTAGCTGGAAATTTATGTGGGTCTTGAAGCTCTGCGGGCTGTGGGACCCACTCATCTGCTGCGCTAGCCAATAATGTCAGCCTGAACGCATGCCAGGCGCGTGGAGTCGCGTAAGTTAAAGTGGACAACGATCAACGCGCTGGGCCCTTTGTCCAACGTCGGGAATTTTGGACCTTGCAATGTGAGGCGGATGATGGAACCTGAACAACAGTACAACATACCATAGCCAGCCCTCTAGACGGCCAGCAGCACAACGCGATATAGCTCCATACTCGATCATTTTGCTGCGCTTTCCCTCTGCGAATAACTCCCTGAGCTGCGACACTGTTAGGACCAGATCTTTGTTTTGGTTTGCCTGCGCTCTTCGCATTTGATCCTTTGTCGCTGTGACGGCCAAGAGCCTTTGCGAATGCCGCTTTGCGCGCCGCGACACAACTATACACAATGGCATCTGGGGCTCGTGCAGTACAATACTCAATTCCGCCACGAGAAGACTTCAACAAGCTCTCCGACGAACAGAAGACACGCATCGGCGAGGCGGTGAGTGCATCCGGCGTCGCAAAGTTGACAGTTCGCCCATCTGATTCCGGTGCCTTGCAGTTTGATCTCTTCGACGCCAACAAGGACGGTCTCTTATCATACGAGGAGTTTCGCTTCGTCCTCCGAGCGCTGGGCTTTGAGCTGCCCAAGGCGCAAACGTACGACCTGCTGATCCGCCACGGTCAGAAGCCGGCCAACTGGCAACACGACCAGGACTGTCCACCCGTTTACCGTCTGTTTAATCTCCCGACGACGCAGGCCATTACCGGCACATTAATCCGTCAGCGAGACCCAAAAGAAGAGCTTAGGCGCGCATTCAGGTTGTTCGACATCGACGGCAAGGGCCTGATCACACAAGAGGATTTGAGGAGGGTTAGCAAGCAGGTGGGGAATAATCTTCCCGATGCCGATATCGTGGCCATGATCGAGGAGTTCGATTCGCAAGGGAAAGGGGGGGTAGACGAGGACGAATTCTTAAGGTTGATGATGTCTAAAAAGTAATGTTGTGTATCCATTGATGGTAGGCTTTGATACCCTGACGTGGAGGTTGTGTTGCTGGACTGTTTGGAATAGCCACTGTTGACCGGCGGACTTCGGGGGAAGGTATATATAACGGCAGGTTGAATTGCAGGTTACGATAATATGCGCCATGAATCTCGGGGTAGTCTTGAACACCAGAGACCGTGGGCGCCGCGTCATGCCTCATCCCTCTTGACGCAAATAATCCAGTTCACCCTCCCGATCGGCCACATAAACGTTTCTTTGCCACTCTTCATCTCCCACTTGGCAATCTCATCCTCGCCGCCCTCAGCGCCGCAAGATCGCAGCAACTCCTTCACCTCTTCGGGGGTCCGTGTCCTCAAACACGACATCCAACCGTCAAACACCAACACCGCCGGCAGGATGGGCACCACGTAGGTAAAGAACAGCGCCAACGGCGCGCCCCAAAGGATGGCATAGTACGGCGCCATGATCAGGGTCCCGATTCCAAACAGACAGCAGGTCACAAACCCGGCCAGACTCCGATCCTGCAGCTCGAAGATTCTATGCGTGTCCCACAGTGTCCCCCGGTTTCAGTCAGCACTTAAATACCTAAACCCGCCTAGCATTCCATCACCGCAAAACGACCGGAACACAGACACGAACAAGAACACGGGACAAGACTGGGTGCTGGCGGTGGTGGACTCACCCAAACCCGTGACTCCCCTCCACAGTATCCCTCAGAATCCGCCGTGCCAGGGCATCGTCAAAGTGGTGAAAGGCCAGGTTGAACAGGCGGAACACCTTCTTCTTCCCCTGGCGGGTGTACCGCGCCGTCAGGTCCCGGGGCGCGCGCGACGCGTCGACCGACTCGCGCACATACGACAGGTTGGGACTCTGCGTGGCGGCCTGCGACCAGAGTTCCACGTGCGGGTGCAGGTCGGTCAGGACAAACTGGACGGGCTCTGGTAGTTCTATATTCTCCCGCTGTTGGTCAATATTGACGTGCCTCTCGATGGATGGCGTTGGCCCCCCGCCGCCGGCGCAGAAATCTATAAAGACGTAATCATGGATATTGGTTTCGGTTCTGTTGTCCCCTAGGTGGGTCGTCAGGAGCCCCGCGACGAGGCTGGCTGGGGAACTGCTTTGCAGGATGGGCACCTGTGACTGGAGTTAGGGGCTGGAGGGCAAGGCATATGATATTGGCTGTACATGAGTGGTCCAGGCTGCGGTGAGGGCGGCTTGGAAATAGGCTCGCAGAAAATTGGGAAACCTGGGGGGTGTGGCAGTATATTAGACTACCTCAGCTCAAGATGCGAAAGACAGCTGAAGCTGCGGGATAAACATTGGCGGACTTGCCAGGGAAAGTCGGCTATTTCAAAGACGTGCATCCGAGGGACAAGCGGCGCCATTGTGATCTGTTAAGGGGGACCTGAAGGGTGATGGATAACTGAGAGATCTGTTCGTTTGTTCATCAATTGAAGGCGTTTCTTGCTGTGCACCAACTTAGAGCACTGAGAGAGAAGTATGTATTTGGCGGGAAGTCAGCGTTGCACGGCAACTGTGATTGTGCGAATGTCTGATAACGGTAATGCTGCTGACCGTTCTATGGTACTGTGCACACCTGATCCCGTTCAGGAAGGATGACGTTGGTACGTGTAGAACAGATCTCTGGAAATTGTTGTATTGATTAGCACAACCGTTATGACGGCATCCCGCGTTTGGTGCCCGGGATCTTGGGACAACTGCGGAAGTTACGAAGTACACAGTGTGGAACTGGTACCTGTTCAGCCAGCGTCAGTAAATACAGTTCTACTGTAGTTGTACAGTACATCCATACATGCATTCACAGAATGGGACCTAAGGCTAGTAGAAGAGTATGTAACTGCTTCAATGGGAAAGCTACCTACTCGTGGAAGTGTTGAACGATACCTCATATAAGTCTGGAACCGAATTGCTGGATCGGCTCGTAGTCAATGGGCTGCCTCACTTCTTTACCTGTACGTATGTATGTAGGTACAGTACCGTATAGTACATGACTGAGAAGCCTGGAACGACCCGAATCATAGCGAACCAGTCATTGGCTCGCCTAAGGACCCCTGCATAAACCATCGGCCGTATGCAAGCCAGCATGTGAAAACGTCACCAAAGGGTTCTCCTCTATCACTGGCATGGCCTGATGATCCCATATTAATCCGCTGTAGGTTTGTAACCCTCGACCCATGCCCCTGGAATTGGCTCACTTGCAACATCGCCATCTCTTGAGGACATGGGTCTCCTTCTTGGGTCGGGGAGCTACATTATCGCCGCTCTCATTCTCATACTCCTCGCGCGTGCCATCTTTAGACCGGGGAGGGCCATCAGACGCAATGGAGACCGCTTGAGGTAACAATAATACTTTTCAATACCAAATCTGGGACATTGCCATAAACTAATGCCTAATGCGACTTGCAAGGAAACCTCCGGATACACTGCCTCTCGTGGGCAACGGCCTCAAGTTTCTGCAAGCTCGCTGGAAGCTGCTTGGCTGGTTCAACAGCTGCCAACGTCACTTCGGATATGAGACAGTTGCGCTCACAGTGCCAACGCTGCCGCCGGGGGTGCTCATCCATGATCCCAAGAACCTCGAGTTTGTCTTCAAACACGAGGGTCTCTTCACCAAGGGCGCCTTTGTGAGGCAGCGGTCGTGGGATTTATTTGGTGAGATGGACCCCCTGACCTTAGCTAGGGTATATGTTTGCTCTTCTGACCAGTACACGCAGGCAATGGCATCATAAACGCCGATGGAGACTTCTGGAAGCTACAGCGGAAGGCTGGCTTGGCCTTCCTCAATTCGGCCAACCTTCGAGTTCTTACCGAGGTTGCCCTTCCTCAATACCTGCGTGAGAGCATCGCAGACTTAAGATCGAGCACCGACAGGGGTGTCGTTGACCTGCAACATGTATTCCACGAGATCACCACGAAACTCATGGGCAAGATGGCCTACAACGCAAGTCACCCGGCCGCTTCGACCCTTCGCCTGCTGACCGCCTCGTAGATGGAGATGCACGCAGATGACGAGTTCTCAAAGTCGTTCGATTTCGCCTCGGGTGCCACCGCCGAACGCTTCCAGAACCCCCTGTGGCCTGTCACCGAACTGTTCACCGGATCCCGCTTCCGCAGGTCAGTAGCCATCGTCAAGGACTTTGGCAGACGGATTGTCACGAGTGCGGTGCAAGACCGAGCCGGACAAAGATTACAGGGCAAGAAGCTTGACGGATCCACGGATGAGAGCAACCACCTCGACCAAATCTCCGGCAGCCTAATCCAGTCGCTCCTCGAGGCTATAGGCAACGAGGAAATGGTGGCTGACGCCGCGCTGACGTATCTTTCCGCCGGCCGCGATACTACCGGGCAAGCTTTAACCTGGGCATTTTACCTCCTGATGCAGCACCCCGAGGCAGTTGCCAAAATCCGAAATGAAATCCAGCTCCTCCTTTCCACCAACCAGGCCCAAGACCAAGACAAATCGGGTCTCGACCCTACCCTCTTCATTCCGGCCTCGGTTCCGTACACCATGGCCGTCTTCTACGAGACTCTGCGCCTGTATCCGCCCATACCCTTTGAAATACGCCAGTGCCAGGAGGACACGACCCTGCCGGACGGCACCTTCCTGCCTAAACACTCAGTGTTGGTGTGGTGCCTGTGGGCGATGCAGCGGTCGCGGGAGACGTGGGGCGAGGACGCCGATGAGTTTCGACCCGAGCGGTTTCTGTATTTTTCGTCATCGTCATCACCATCGGAGGGAGAGTCCGAAGATGGGAACAAAAAGAGAGAGTCCGGTGCCGGCGACGGCCCCAGGCTGATCTCACGGAGCGCGCCCGAGTTTCCCGTCTTCTACGGTGGTGCGCGGACGTGTCTCGGGAGAAAGATGGCTGAAGCTATTGCTGCGCAGACGATTCCGACTCTGTTATGGCTGTTTGATTTTAAGCCGGCGTTTGAGGGGGAGAGAATCAGCAAGACCAGCTTGACGCTGCCTATGGAAGGGGGATTGCCGGCGATTGTTACGGAGATAGAAAGGTCAAGTAATGGAGGGGGTTACTCTCCGGCGTTGGGTGGACGATGATACCAATGAGATGATATAGAGGAAAACTGGAAGTGTATATGAGGTGTTTCGCACCTTCATGCGTCAAAACCTGCTCAATGGTATCGCTTGCCTGAAGACTAAGATTTTCAATATCAAAAGTCTTGAACCCTTACTGGGCCCGAAGGGGAACTTTATCCGTATTGTACCTTTAACGTCCTTCATGACTATTCCCTTGCCCCATACTCCCGGTGCTCATTCTAGATATCTCGCTGAACCATAGCATAGCCATAAGCCTAATCTACCGTACTGATTTTTATCGCCGCAGCGTTCCATGAATGCTGCAAAAACGGAGGAGCATGTCGAGACAAAAAAAATCGATCGAACTGGGACTCGAACCCAGAACCTTAACCAGCCAGAGACCACAACCTATTTTAGGCTGTGTGAGCCGGAAAGTTACGCGCTACCGTTGCGCCATCCGACCAATCATTGCTTGTTGACTTTGGAGGCCGTTTCTAGACGTCATAGTGTGTGGATGCACCTGCCATCACGACTAGGGGAGAAGGTTTCACCTGCCCTACAACTGGAAGGGAAGGTTTCACCGCCATCGCAATTGCGACCGTGAAGCATGATGAACGCAGTAATAACTGATCATGGTTCAGCCATACGGCATAAATGGTACAGCGTTAGGTGAGAACGAACTGGGAGAATTCAAGCACTGCTAGTTGAAGCGACCGAAAATCGCATATCATTTGTATGATTGCTTCCCCAGGAAGGCAAACAAAGCGAACTATATCCCATGAAGTAAAAACCATTTCCCAGATCCAGGCACATCCCGAAAGCCCAGAAAGAGCATAAACGCCATCCCCAGTGGGTTCCTATGTATCGCACACTCAACCCGTATAGCCCACGAAAGCACCCAACACATGAACAACAGCCAATCACCCATTCGACGAGTTCACCGAGAAATTGTAAGAAAGAGGTAATTAAAAGCCATAAAGAACCCGTCACGCCGTGTCCACCAGACCATTCAGAGAAGAAAACATGTCAACAAGATGAAAGAGAGAAGAAATGAAAGAGAGATCTACTCCCTCCCCTGCCTCCCCTGCCTCCCCTGCCGCTCCATCTCAGGCAACACCACACCCGAGCTGGCCGCGCTCTCGCCAACCCTGACCTCCTGATCGGGCACGCCAACGCCGAGCAGACTCCCCGTTGAGGTCAGCGAAGTAGAGGTTGACGCCGCGCTGAGCACCCTCTGCCGCCCTTCCCCTTGTCTCCTCCCCTGCTCCTGCTCCTGTCGCTGTCCCTGCCCCTGCCCCTGACCTTGCTCTTGCCCTGCAGTTTGAGTTTGAGTTTGAGCTTGACTTTGAATCCGACCTTGAGCCTGACCCTGGCCTTGTCCTTCCCTCAGCGCAGCATCACTAATCATGCGCTCCAGCTCACGGACCCTGCGACGGAGTGCCTCATTCTCGCGCTTGATCTCCTCAAGCTCGGCCCTGCGCGAGGCCGTCTCCTCGTAGCGCGACGTGGCGGGGAGGATGCCGGGGGAGAGCTCGCTCGTCGTGGTGGTGGTGGCCGGGGTGTTGACGGCGACCGAGGCGCTGCCGCCTGACTGCGACTGCTGCGACATGGAGCGCACGGGCATGCGCGCATAAAAGTAGCCCGGCAGGCTGTCGTGGTAGAAATGGGCGGATCCCGGGGTCGTGGTCGGTGCCGGCGACGGAGACCCGGTCCGGCTGCGGCGCGACGCGCTGCTGCTTTGTCGGCTGAGCGGCACGCTGCCTGCCGCTGCCGCTGCCGCGAGGGAAGGGACGGGGGCAGGTTGGCTGGGCCGGACCGGCGCCGGCGACGAGATGCCCGCCATCGAGGTGGTCGAGACAGAGCCCGCCGTGGCGGTGATGCTGCGGGCGCTCGTGCTAGATGAGGTGCGGTGGTGGCGTGGGTGCGGGTAGTGTCCCAAGCCAAGGCCCGAGGACGGCGTATCCACCCAGTGTGCGGGCTCGGTACCCGAGGCGCTTGCCGAGTTCGAGGAGGCGTTGGAAACGACCGAGGCATTTTGGGCGGCGCGGAGCATCGAGAGTTCGCGGGTCAGTCGGTTTACCTGGGTATGGCATGGTTAGAGCATGTTGAACGCGGGTCGCTTGCACACATGGCTTACCACTGCCTCCTGCTCTTTTTCGAGCTGCATGTGGAGATCGGCGGCAGTGAGCGGACGCGGGTGCCGTATGGGCCCCGGCCCGGGGCCAACTCCCGAGTTATCGCCCATGGGTCCGGGAAATGAACTCGACAAGGAAAGCTGCGGCGAGGGCAGGGCCGACGAGCTCGAAGCGTTGACCATACTCTGATTCGATGGAAGGATGTTCAGCGAAGGCGAGCTCGGAACGGGAGGAGGTGGCATCTGCTGCGAGGACGCACGGCGCGACGAGTTGGCGAGGAAATGAGGGGAAGCTGGCACAGAATTGAGATCGGGCATGGCGAGTCGCGACAGGAAACCGATGTGGGTAGCTGTGGGTAGCTGCGCGTCCTGCTTCTTTGACCTGGCGGAAGTTGTCGGAACAGTGGAGCGGCGAACTGCACTCGGTCTCGAGCGTCTCAGGTGGTAGGAAGAAGAATTATCAGACGCGGAGGGAAAGGAACGCTCCACCGGATTGTTTCAAAACAAAAGCGGCTAGTGAATGGCATGACAATGGTACCAATAACTATGGCCGATTATTTATGCAACCCCTCGCTTCCAGCGGAATTGTCCGCCGCATTGGATTGGATCGAATTGGAAAATGCGGAGGAATCAGCGATTGGTTTTCAGAATCACTCTGTTCTCTACGGAGAGGTTACAGTGCGATTCCCCGCCAGCCTAGCGCACCCTAGTGCACAGACACCCGAACTTCCAGAAATGCCTTTGCGGGGCCAAGCAGTTGGGACGACGGGAGTTGCCAAGAGGTCGGCTGCCGAGCGGGTCGTCGCGCCAAAGGGTGGGGCATCGTGCAGGGACAAGTTGCTAGTGACGGACCATGATGTAATGTGCATCGATGACAGGATGAGGAGTCGCAGTGAGGGAGGAGCACTGATGTCAACCTCAACGACAACCCCTATATAGATGCCGCCGATGCCGCCCGTATTCCAGTCAAGCTGAATGTTTCTGCCTAAGTTATCAATCAAGACCATTTAACAACACCATCAATCAGAAAAAAACGTGCGTTGCCTTGGCCTTCACCTTTGCTCATTCGACCCATTATTACTTCTCGCCGTGCATCTGCTAATCTGCCGCTTTTATAGTCGCGATACCTGAATCAGAATCCAAACTACACAATGCCTGAGGGACCTGAGCGTGGCCAGTCACCCCCGCCCGAGCGGTCGTCGGGCAGACAGATGCTCGAAACCCCGGCGTCTGGGAAAGGCACCGATGATGCCACAAACAAGCAGGACGTGAATAAGGAGGCTCTCGAGGTTAGCAAATGCCCGCGGTCACACAAATCCATATTGCAGCGCGCTAACATGTGACACCTAGCATTTGACCTCCAACCCCAAGGGCCCATTGGACGATGAAGTTACCAAAAAGTTCGCAAAGACAACCCGGCCGGGTCCCGAGGCCTAGAACTGCTGGCGTTTCAGAAACGGGGGATCCGAGTTACCAATTTCTTTGCAAGCATCAAGCTTTCTTCTGTATCTGCATATAGGTGCCTGGGCCGGCAGCAGGGAGCATTGAGAAGCCAACGCCGACGTTTAATGTAGTAGAATTGCAATTTCGTGTGGAAACATTGCCGTCTCTACAAAGTACTTCGTAGACTTGTTGCACTACAATGCGTTGTGCGGGCAAATGATGAGTATCACAACAACAAGGCGCCATCAAGTCGAAAATTACAACCTTACCAAGACCATAGCCAGACGCTCCGTAACGTCCATAGAGCTTTCCCATTGAGTGCATCTTAAATCTCGCCATGCCAGTGTGACGACTTTCACATGCATTGCCAAGTCGACCCTGGATGCGCCTGCACCGCCACAGTAACCTGTTGCTCAGCCTGCAGATGACGACATGGCTTTGCCCCTCCACTCAAACACATGAAGCTCATGGGTCTCCCACCCCCAAGCTCTTCTTTCCTTTCGCAAACACAACCACACACACCTTTTGTTAAACAGTGACACGAGTTGAAAATCTGAAATCTGTGAGTCTGCTCAAGATGCACTGAATTTGTATCCATATTTTTAATATCGCCATCACCAGATTCTGCCAGCGACGCGTTAGCGGACTCTCAAACGCATTAACCCCGCACAAGCAAGCAGTACTTCACCTGCAGCTCACGCTACTAGACTCTCACCATGGCCACTACGGTTCATGTTAAGAACATCGGCGGAAAGACCGAGGACAAGGAAATAAGGGACTTTTTTAGCTTTTGGTAAGCCGCCCGGACATCCCCATCTTCCATTCCCCGTAATGCGTCTGGTCTTCAGAGCATTCAAATCTGCACCACCTTCTTCCCCTTACACCACCTTGTCTCTGGTGAAGGTCCGAGAGCCGACAACACCAGCACCATGGTGCTCTTCGATACCGTCCTGTCCGCCGTCAGGAGGCTAATCCATACCTCTCTCAGCGGCAAAATTACCGACATCAGCATCACCAACGAAGGCGAGACCCGCAATGCCACCGTCAGCTTTGAGAAGGACACAGCCGCTCGGACGGCCCTGCTGCTGAACCACACGCAGCTGGGCGGGCGTGAGATCAGCGTCTCGAGCGAGGGCGCCACGACGCCCACCCACGAGGAGGGCGAGTCCGGCACGGCCGCCGAGCGGGGGCCCGACGAGGGGCTCAGGCAGGAGGAGAAGCCGCGGTCGCGGATCCTGGCCGAGCTGCTGGCGCACGGGTACGTGGTGGCGGACGCGGGCCTGCAGAAGGCGATTGCGCTGGACGAGAAGCACGGCGTGACGAACCGCTTCGTGGCGACGCTCAAGCAGCTGGACGAGCGGACGCGGGCGACGGACCACGCGCGCGCCGCCGACGCCAGCTACGGCATCTCGCAGCGCGCCAGCTCCCTGCTCACGGGCCTCAACTCGTACTTTGAGCGCGCCTCCAACACCCCGACCGGCAAGCGCCTCGTCGACTTTTACACGACCAGCCAGCGCCAGGTCCAGGACATCCACAACGAGGCCAGGCGCCTGGCCAACCTCAAGAAGGAGGAGGCCGGCGGCAACCTCTACAAGGCTGTTGGTTTGGATAAGGTATTTGATCGGTTCGGACAGGGCGGCAGCCAGGCCCAGTCTGCTCCCGCCCAGGGTCAAGGAGAAAAGGGTGCTACGCACCAGCCCCCCGGCGCCGCTCCTGCCAACGCGGCTGCTACCGAGACGCGCAACCCGACTGCTGAGTCCGGGACGAATCCGGAAACCATTCACTAAGTCTTGAAGAGGAGTGGGTAGGGTGATACGGTCAAGTCGGGTTGGATGGATTGTGAAGGGCCATGACTGATTCTCTATCCTTTAGTTTGGGAGCATGTATTGTATTGTTCATTTGCCGTTGAGTCCGAGTACCTGGTAGTGTTCCCCAGTTAGCTGTCTTCGCATTTTATCTTTTACTGGTCGCGTATCCTGTTCCTGATTGATTTCCACAATTATGAATGACAATGCTTGAGTTTGGTGAGCCTAGCCGATGCCATGTGATAGTGGACTGTGAGTAGCATGTGGTTTAGACCTGTCAAGGTGAGGCCGTGCCCTCCCTCCCAACCAGCCTCCTAGCCTGGACAGCGTACCATGTGCTCCGGTCACGTTAACCCTATTCCTATCCCACAACCTACTATAACAGCCATAGGTACGATAAATACATTCAACAACCATACTGGATACCTCCATCTTTGTCAGAGACTACCTCACATTTCCCAGAACGGTACCAGCGACTTGATATTTACTGCGTTTAGTCTCAGCAACAAACGGCTGATGGGAAGTGAGTTCACGATGCAGTGTAGAGAAGTAACCAGGTGATTATTATTGAAATTACCGTCTATATGTCTATCTATATCGTTTTGGCGACATCATACCGCCTCCGAGGTTCGTACCCTGCGAGGCAAATTTTGGAAGGAAACTTTTCGCGGTTGGCGAGTGACGTCTAAGGACGTTATCCAAGATCACCGTTTGTTGTAATTCAGGTACCGGCTCTAGAAGGAGAGTTAGCAACCTGTACTGGAAGCAGACAGTAGAGCATGGTTGGTTATACGTACCGCAACGAACAAAATGATCAAATTGCTTGCAATATACGCTATGTAGATGCCCAGGTCTCTCCACCGGTTATCAAAGCTGAAACCAAGCGGGGTATAGAACTCGTCGCCGACTTTGTACGCGCAATACTGGCAGTCCTGCGTGGCGTTGTTGACGAGGTAGCCAGGTCCGCCACGGTCAAAGAAGGGCTGCATGTACTCGCCGCAGGTCGTGTTCGGCGGCGCTCGGAAGACATTCAGCTCCTCGGGGGCACATCTGACAGGCATCTCGTGCAGCGCCGTCACCACCATGCCACCGATGAGACGGGTGAATGGATTGAGCTCGTACAGCCAGGTGCGGTAGCCAGCGGGCATCTGCGGCGGCGGGATCGTGACACCGCAGAACAGGGCAAAGGTGACCATGATGAAGGGGTCGAACTGGGATGAGATGAAGAGAGAAGGTGTCAAGGCGGAGAGGGCCTGGCCCATCGTGACGGAGAAGATTTCGGTGATGAGAACCATGAAGAACTGGTATCCCGCCCTGGACGACTCGGCCTGCAGGCCTGGAAGGTAATAGAGAGGGATGAAGAAGAAGACGGCACAGAGGATGCTGTAGGGCATCTCGGCGACGAGCAGCGATGTTGAGAAGACGAAGGAGCTGTACATCTTGGACGACTGCTCACGGAAAAACAGAGCGCGCTTGACGTGGTACATGACTTCGATCTGGCTGATGATCAGAGCAGGCAGAACCGTAACCTGGAACATGACGAAAACTCTGTACTGGAGCGACTGGCGCGACTCGTCCAGGTTCAAGAAGGTAAGACCGGTCAACAGTGCAATGACAAAGTGGTTGAACAGTCTCGTGAAGAGATAGTTGGGCGTCCGCCAGTGAGAAAGGTTTGCCCTGTGCACGACAACCTTGAGCTGGTGCCAAAACGGGGATGCGTACTCTTTCTCGAGCTCGCGGTTTCTCTGCGCCCCGGCGGCCTTGCGCGTTTCCTTCATCTGCGAGATGGTGTCCTTGACGTTGGCAAGCTCCGGACTGTCCGCCCAGATGTCGGCCCAATCGCGGTTGCCAATGCGAGGGGAGCTTCCGGCGCCAATGGCTTCGAGCATAAACTCGGCGACGTTGTCCGTGTCTTTGGCAACGGCTCCGTGTCGCTTTAGGTAGTCTCTCAGAACGCAGGCATCCTTGCCAATGTCGCCAAAGTAGACGCAGCGGCCGCCCGACTTGAGCAACAATAACCGGTCAAAATTCTCGAAGAGGGCAGCGTTGGGCTGGTGAATGGTGCAGAGAATGGCTTGACCAGCGGCAGCGAGCTTCTTCAAAAAGCGGACGATGTTGAAGGCACTTTGGCTGTCAAGCCCTGACGTCGGCTCATCGAGGAAGAGAAGAAGCTCTGGCTTGGCGGCCAGCTCGACGCCGATGGTGACGCGCTTTCGCTGCTCCACACTCAGGCCGGCCTCGGGTGAGCCGATCACGGCGTCCGCAAACGTCTCCATTTCCAGTAGGGCGATGATCTCCTCGACATAGCGGTACTTCTCCTCTTGCGGTGTCTCAAATGGCTGGCGTAGGTCGGCTGAGAACCGGAGGGCCTCTCGGATGGTCTGAGTTGGTTCGTGGACATCGAGCTGCTCCGCGTAGGACGTGCCTCGCTGGAATTCCTTGCCTGGTTTCACACCGTCAACCAAGACATCGCCCGTGATCACGCCAATATTCTTCCGAGCGGCGAGCACGTCCAGGAGGGTCGTCTTTCCCGCCCCGGATGCACCCATCAATGCGGTCAGTTGGCCAGGTTTCACATAACCGAAGACATGGTCGAGCAGACGCCGAGTGCCGCCGGGGACTGGGACGTCATAACAGAGGTTCTCCCAGGTGAGGATGCTCTCCGAAGCGATGTTCAGGTCCGAGTCTGACTCCTCAGAACGAGCTTTGCGCTTTTCTTCCCTCTTCTGGATAAGTGCCTCATTCAGCTTCTTCCGCTCCTCGTTTGGCTTCTGGAACACCTTGGCAGTATTGCCGCCCATGCCGAAGCGGACAACTTCACCAGCAACCACGTTCATGATCAGGAAGAAGGCGATCAAAGCGACGACGATACCCCAGTTGCGCCAAAGGAGACCCGGGCTATACGAGAAACCCTTGTCGATGTACTCGGTGCCAGAGATTTGGAGGGTACCCGGCGTCGATCCCGGAAGGGTGCAAACCTGATGCTGAATATCGGTGTACCCGGGACCTGAAGGGATAAGAGATTCGGCCGTGCATGTCATAGTAGATCTAGAAAATTCGTTTTCCATCAAGGCGCTGAAAGACAAGCCAGCGACGTTGATGTAGTAAATCCATCGCAGCCAAACCTGCTCTGCAATATTGTCAGCAAGAACTGTCAGGTATGAAGAGGGACCGCTGATTGCTTACCAGACTGGTATTGGATGAGATAACCAGCAGTCGTAATCATCAACGTAATGCTGACAGTGGCAAACTTTATAGCATAGTCAAAGTCGGGGCTGATACATCCTAGGATGCGGAAGAACAGGGTCATGGTGATATTGGCTGAGAGCAGCAACAGGTAAAAGGTGAAGAAGGCGCCGGCATCGCGAGCCAAGTTGGTCATGAAGTAGACGATAAGTGAGAAGACAAGCACCTGGGCGGCGGAGAAGATCTGGTCGACGAAGATCTGGGCAATCCAGAGCGCCGAAGGTCGATGAAACGCATAAGCCCTGTGCTTGTTAACGACTGCACGGCCGGTCATGGTCCCGGCTAGTTCGGAAAATGCTTGGAAGATGTTGTGGAGAAGCGAGATGAAGAGCAGGCCGCCTTTGCTGAACGCGCTGGCCGAGGTTTGGGGAAGGTTCAGGTACAGAGTACCCAAGACGATGGCGATGATAATATTCCTCAACCACGAGAGGACAAGAGCGAGGACATCCTGCATCTTCAGAAGAAGTTGACGCTTCATCAAAGCCCACACCTGCTGATGGAACCCAACAGAGTATTCGGATCTCTTGGAGCTGCCGCGCTTCTGCTCACGAACGGCGATGCGGAAGTCCTCGTACTTATCCTTCTCTTGTTCGAGTGCTGCTTTATACCGGGCCATTTCTTCGTCCAGGTCCCTGGCAAATTTTGACTCCTTGAACGCAGCTTCCAACGTGGCTGGGCTGTATGGTGCGTTCTCGGCGGATCTCCCGTCCTGATACTCGCGCTCAAAGGCGTCGGTGCAGCCAGTAACGTAATCAGGAGTGGTCTGACGTGGCCTAGGAAGGAAACCGAGGCCCTCAAAGTAGGCCCTGGCCTCGGAAGCTGGGCCAAAGTATACCTCTCTGCCCTCATCAATGACCAAAACCTTGTCAAACAGCTTGTAAATGTTCTCGGAAGCCTGGTAAAGAGAGACGAAGGTGCTCGTCTTGTAGAGGTCAGTCTGAACACGGAGAGACTTCAAGAAGTCAAGGGCAGTCGATGCGTCAAGCCCACGGGTGCTGTTGTCCCAGGAAAGAATACAAGCATTGGTGATTAGCATCTCGGCGATGGAGACCCGCTTCCTCTCGCCACCGGAGACACCCCGAACGAAAGAGTTACCGACGATGGTCTTGCGCGTGTGCTCAATGTTGAACATTTTCAACAGCGTAGTAATGACTTTTTCTTTGAACTGCTGCTTGGTGATTCCCGCTGGAAGCTTGCCTGGGATCTTGACGTCGAGGGCGAATCCGAGGGTTTGTTCGACGGTGAGGGTTGGGTGGTGAACATCGTCTTCCTCGTTGTAGACGGCCTCGCCGCGGTATCGTTTGAACTCCTTGGCAGTGAAAGGACCGTAAAGGACCTCTCCCTCGACGGCAGTGTAACCGTGTCGCTGGTTCGCGATAGTCTTGAGGAAGGTCGTGCAGCCAGATCCAGGCTTGCCTAGTACAAGAATCATCTCACCTGGCTTGCAGACGCCCCTGAAGCCATTCAGGAGCGTAGCTTCAACCCCTTTCTTGCCGAATCCAAGGAGATTTCTGACGGGAGTGATGACATCGAAAAAGTCGATAAAGGCGTCAGGAAAGGTTTTGACATGGTTTGTCTGGCCGCCTATGCCCTTGACCGTCAAAGAGTCCCTAACCAGCGACGTCAGTCGGATATCCCATACAAGCGTGACTCAAGAGCAACTGGAGAGCAGAAGCTCTGTCTTGGGAAAGCAATTCCTCGACCCCTGGTGCTTAAGACGTTTGTAGAAGGGTGAAAGCAATGCTGGCTATGCCTACCAGTAGACACCGATGTGCTTGGGTCGAATACCGGCTTCCCTCTCCGCCTGAAGGTCACCTCGTAGGACAGCTTCCAGGTCAAACTGCTCGAAGCTCTCCTCGGACTCTGGCTGGCCGTTTTCAAGCTGGCCCTTCTCCTGCTCCCGCTCCCCATGGCTGCGGCTGCGGCTCGCGCGGGACATGTTAGACAGCTCTCGCTGCAGCTCAGCGAAGTCGGCCTCGGCGCGCTCGATCGAGACGCCCGTGGCGCGAGTGGATCCATTGGGGTTACTGCGGCGAGCCTCTTCCCGTAGATCCTCCGCATTACGAGTTCCGGACGAAGTTGATGACCGAGGTGGGGACGGATGGGCAGCTTCCCCGGCCGAGGCCTCCTTAGCCTCCCCCTTTTCAGAAGCCATATCCATCACGGTTACCAGCCCCAAGCAGCTTTGATCCCCGTGAAGAGGTCACCGAGTTCGATGAAGGTGGTATTGAGCCGTTGGGTACTTGTTCCAACTTTTCAAAGACTCGGGGGTCAAGACAAACAAGGAAATGAGAGACGAGAATAAGAAGTATGAATCAGATGAAGCGGCCGAAGGAAGCCCTTCGTCCCTCCTCCAGGACCTCCAAGCGTGTTGGAGAGGTGGCGAGTGATTTTGCAAAGAGAGTAACAAAGGGTGGGAAGACACCAGGATAGCGGCGCAACGCTCAACCTTGTATAAAAATGTAGAAGGGAAATATCAAGGGAAGTGGGTAAGGGCTTGGCGAAGCCCCCATCTTGGATCATTACCAATCCAACTGACTCCCCTAGCTACGGTTGGTGAAGCCGATGGAACATTGAGGCCCTGAGTCCCGCCTAGTGTAGGGCCAGGCTCCACTACCGGATGGGGTAAAGGATTGCCGACTAGAGGCGAGCTGTTGCAAAACTGGAAGGCCCAGAATCCCAAAGGTTCCTTCAACAACCACCTTCTCTCAGCAACTGTACCAGGTACCTAGGTATCCGAAGATACCGGCATCCGTCGGAATTCGGTATTAGTAGGCCCGTAATCGGACTTACTGAGCATTAAAGCCAGCCTTGGCCAAGAAGGGCGCGGGACAGCTCCGTACCTACCGCGGTACCGCCCTTCTGCTAACAAACGGAACGAGCAAGCGAAACAGCAGGGGAAAGGGAAATTGGAGAAACTTCCCAGGACGGAGCCGGTGGGGTGTCGTCGGGAGAACGCCGGGTGAGCAATTGCAGTCGGCTTGGACATCCGGAAGGTGGGGTGGAGGGTGGAGGGTGCACTTTAACGCCCTATTGGGCCGCGTCTGTTTTCTCTGTGTTTTTCTTCGATCGCCATGATCGTAGCCATCCCGTGCTTGATGCGACAAATTCTTACATATTAGCGTAGTGACTCCATCGGGAGGTGGAAACAGATCATATGTATGCGAGTGTTTTGTTGAGACTCTGGCCGCAATCTCGCATTGGGCTCCATCCTATGCTCAATGGACATCGATACACCGTGGAGTATTCTTTCGCAAGTGTCTTCCCGAGCTTCATACCACGGCGGATAAGGTCGAAAAAGAGCGAGGAAAAAGAGAAACCTTCTGGGGTTGGCGAAGCAAAGATGACGAGGGGGGCTTGCCGCTTATCGAGGAATTGAGGGAGCGCTCCACATCCCAGCACATGGCATTTCGAAACGACCCACCTGCCAGAGCTGCTAGCGCGGCGAAGAAAATTGATGCAGTGGAACCCCAACCCACTTCAAGGAGGCACCTACCATACCCAGGAGCGTCGCTTTGAGATTTTCTCAGGCTACTGTGGTAAGCCTGCCTGCCACTTCCTTTGTATGGTACGTATGCTGAATCGCCTTGCATAGTACTGTACATATAGCGGGTGTGGTGTAAGAGGGGTATTACGGAACATGGCCGTCCATCGTTGGCAGAGCAGAGCGCTGGCTTGACGTTGAAGAGAGATTAGGTTAAGAAGGGGCCATCTGTAAAGGGAAGCCGAAGCCGCTCCGCGAGCACTACTCTGTAGTAGAATTCCTCATGTGGTTAAGGTTATTGCGGGCGGACACTTGCAACAACCTATCTTGAACTTGAATTCCACTGGCTTAAGCAATCCCAAAGCCAATCTAAACTGCCATTCTCCTCCTTAGTTCTATTGTCGTCCTTGTTAGCTTACATTGTAGCCAACATAGAATCTAACGCCGATAGCCTTATAGCGCCGGTCTCCTTCAACGTCGACGGGATTGGTTCCCTTGTAGAGTACATACAATACAAGTACAAGTGTAGTTGAAGAGCGTCCTGTCAGTTGGCCACCAATCTAAGCCTTGCATTCGAGCTTCCGTGGCGGTTTCTCCCCCGACGACACATACCACGTTAGGGATTCGCCGGTGACTCAGATGGTCTGTATGTGTAATGTATGCAGATGCAGCAATGAGGAAGGGTCCTCGTGCCAAGCTGTCACAGACGCGGAGCAATCCACGACTCCGATTAGAAAAAGATACAGCCATCGAAGACAGTCAATTACAGATGCCGCAGTCTATGAGTTATGGATCCGGCCCAACCTTCCGCCCTCCCCTAAAGTCACTGGCCCAGACATCCTACTATTCAACCACACATCCGCGGCTGGATCGGGGTAAAAGCGGACATCGCCGGATGCGAGACACCATCCCTTCTTCTTTCCCGATGCCGGACCCAACCGCGGCAACGCCGTACCGTCACCCATCTCACCCATCTCACCAACCCTCAGAGCAAGAACGCCGACAATGCTAAGCTGGAATGAGTAGGCAGAACCTACTCCGTACTCTGGCTTCGTTTTTCGCCTTGGCATGACACAACTCGACAAGGACAAGAGAATTTGGGTTCAAAACGTTGTGCGCTACCGTCTAAAGCTCTGAATCCGCTCCGTTGGCCTCGACAGCCATTGGACTCCCATTCTGGGCCTGCCTCTGTCTCAGCTTCGCGTTCCCAGGCGGCCGTCTCCTCGCTATGGGCCTTCCGTTCATGCTCATACTCTCGTCATCGTCGTCGGAGTCACCGTGCTCTTCGGCGAAACGGCGAGCCTCGTCTAGCACGCTGAGGTCGTCGGGTTTGCTGCGCAGCCATTGCATGCGCGGTCCGGAACGCGCCATCTCGGACACCTTAAAACCGTAAATTCTGGGTTCATATATCTTGCCGCGGCCAAGCCCTGGTGCGATGTTTCGTGCGTACACCCCGTTGATCATGGCGTGCTCATCCGTTGTCCGGGGCAGGTTGGCGGCCGTCTCGGCACCAGTCTTGGTCAGGTCGTACTCGGGGAAGGTAAGAAGGAAGAGGGCGCCAAAGGTGCGGCCAAAGAAGGCGCCATCCACCGTCTGGAAACGGCTGTTGGGCGGAACGTAGACGTCGAGGCAGGAGGGGCAGAAGAGTTTGACCGTGTCTTCGCCGGGTATATCTGACAGGCCGACAGGCAGCGTCCTGGTCTGGTTGCAATTCGTCCGGGGGCACATGCCGAAATGGCCCAGCTCGTACTTCTCCGACATTTGTTGGATGCCGGCCCTCGAGCAGATAAATCGCTGATGGATAAGACCGTAGAGAATCTCAGCTGATGACTCAATAACTGAAAGGTCGCTGGCGACGCGGCTGTGATGCCTCCTCCCGCCATGCGCCTGCCCGCCCATCATATCCCGGCCGTCTCCGGACACGTCTTCCTCGTCTTCCTCGTCCTCGTCCTCGTCTTCTTCATCGTCCTCGGGTTCTACATCAAGAATCATCTGGGTTGGAAGCGCCCAATGTCAATAACAACATCACATGGCAGCAGCGACAGCGAAGAGTTGTATACCTCTAGTGCCTCTTTATACATTGCCACCTGGTTTTGAAGACCGGTGAGGTTGAAGTCATCCTCGATAAACTCTTCGGATACCTCGGCAAAATATTCGTGGCCGAGGAGGGAGCAGAAGGACGAGATCCATGATTCAGGAGTCCCGGAAGAGGTCGACATGTTGATAATGGGGCTGGCGGCTGAATAAATGCGGGTTGGGGTCGGTGGTTTGGCTTCTCGGCCGACGCGTTGGCTACCTTCTTAGTCCTATGATACGAGCATGATCGAACAAATAAGGGTTGCGGCTCCGCAGAAAAAATTCCAGTCGCTCGTGGAGTGCTTGTGACTGCTGCACCTTCCGAGCAATGCGATGCTGTTGGTGTTCGCCCGTGCCACTCCGTAATGTGCTTCACTGGGCACTGGATCATTTCCTGGCCTGGGCAACAGGAGGCCTGGTGCGCTGAGACTTCAGCCCCGCGGTTGCTGCCTGGATTTTCCGGCGGCACGCAATTCTGGCCCTTTGCTCTCACGTGCTCTCGCGTTCCTTAATCAATCACGCCATGTGGCTTGACGCGTTTCGATCCCTTCTCCCTTCCACCTCCTGCCAATTGATGAACAGCTGGGTTTGGACTCAACCCCCAATGCCCCGCTTACCAGCTCTTTTCAGCTCGGCCAACTCAACAACATTCTGCAAGCCGCGTTTCTTGATCGGGGACATAGTGCGGAGACTTTCCACGGTTCCTCAAGTCGTTGGACCAATTGATGTCGCAGATTTCCGGGAGAGGGCGTTTGCAGCTGGAAAGCCTCTTGTCATACGGTCACGAAGTCATTCAAATCATGCTCCTGCTGAGGCGCAGAGCAACAATGAGACGCCGTCTGTAACACTCCCGGCCTTGACAAAATGGTTTGCATCATCTAGACAAGACGATGGGGTTGACCTCAGCCCCGATCTAAGACAACACTCATCTGTCATTTTACCCTACGAACTGATCCTACCTGCAAGCACCAGGCCCTTCCGCCCTCGCATTCCTATCTTGGGTTTCCTCTCCTGGCTATCAGAATCTCCGTCCAAATTGCACCAGCAACTAGCTTCCCTCCTCCAGCATCACATCACCGTCAACCATCCTCAGCCCCAGGCCTTCCAACTCCAACCTACACGCCCAAACACAGACACGCCTACCCACACCAATAATACCTCGTCAGAGGAAGAAACCTTCTTCCTCCGCTTCGATGCCCCGCTGGCATTGCTCTGCGCAGCCCTAGAATTCAACAACACCGCACAACACCACCACCCACCCCTTTCCGAGCTGTACATAGCCCAAGCCTCACTCTCCTTACTACCAGAGGCACTGCAGAGCGACCTGCCCACGCCGGCGCTCGTCCAGCAGGCAGGGAAAGGCGACGTCTACAGCTCGAGCATCTGGCTCGGTCTCGAGCCCACCTACACCCCCTGGCACCGCGATCCCAACCCAAACCTGTTCTGCCAACTGTGCGGCGAGAAGGTGGTCAGGCTCCTTCCCCCGCGGCAAGGGGAGGCCTTGTTCCGGGCGGTGCAGGCGCGGCTTTTGCTTGGGCACGGCCAGGTCGGCGCGGAGAGCGCGAGGATCAGGGGAGAGGAGATGATGCAGGGTTTGGAGAGGAGGGGTTTGAAAGAGGCTGTTTGGGGCGGGGGTAAGGAGGATAGGGATGAGACGATGCGTCGGGACATGGTCCAGGCGGTTGTAGGTCCGGGCGATGTGCTGTTCATCCCGCTTGGGTGGTGGCATAGTGTCAGGAGTGGCGGGGAAGTGGAGGGTAGGTTGAATGGGTCTGTCAATTGGTGGTTTCGGTGAGGGGTTTGGGTGTGTTGTTATGGGATTGTGGCTTGGCAATGACTGTACGCTTGTGGGAAAAGGGTGCCCTGTCGTGCCGTTTTTTGGATGATCGGCAGCAGTTTTTGGGGACAACTCGCCGTCCAAGAGACCCATTCGTGATTGATGATGATAGATGTACAAGATGACGGGGCTCGAGAGTGCTGGCCAGACCTCTAGGAGATATAGCCAGGCTCTCGACAGCATGTACGAGAAGTTTCTGAACCCAATTGCGGTTTCTCTCAAGTCTATACCCGATGTATCGGGGTTAATGTTTACTGTTGATCGCTGATCACCAGGTATTTCGTTGACAGGTGTGAGATCAACTACGCGGTGCCTCGAAACTGTCCGCGGAAGGTGGATGGGTTGTAAAGCTGACAATTGTGTTGACATTGTTTTAGGGATGTTCAGAGGAAGCACGAATGATTTGATGGAGTCAGTAGTCAGACAGCGAAAGACAGGACAATAAACTGCATTGTCAGCTCATGCTATCATCAATGTTGGGATGCCGTGAAATGGAAATGATCCGACCCAACGTTCGGGCTGGATGTTGGGCATGACAAGCCTACTTTGAGGTAGTCATGAAACGAGGAGCCGGGTTGCGGTGAGTGAACTGGCAACCCATCAACCTCTTCATCTTTGCAAGCAGAGTTGGGTTATGAAGAGCATAAGGGGCGGCTCGGATTCTTAAAGTCAAACTCGATTCGTTGGTAACTGTACTCCCATTGCTAGATAGCATTCAACCAGCAGAGACTGGCTTTTACAAACCCGTATTCCGCCCAAATCACATAATATATATGCCCATACCATTGCCGCCCGAGTCAGCGGCAACCAAACCAACAGTGATGCCGTACAACATTGCAGGCACTTTTGAAGCAGTGCTGCGTAACACAGCGAAAAGTCAAGCCGTGTGGTTCCTTCCAGAAAGCCAATGTGTATCCCGCCGCTTTGCTCAAAGCGGAAACCGAATCAAAACAGAGTGTACGCCGAATCCGATGCTGCTGTCAAAGTCTATACCATGAAGGAAAAAGGACACGGGACTAAAGGCAACGCTTAGACAACTGGGCCGGCCTTGATGACGTCCTCGGTGGCCTCGCTCTCGTACTTCTTGAAGTTCTCGAGGAAAAGCTTGCCAAGCTTGGTAACCTCGTTCTTGAAGCTCTCGGCGCCAGCAGTCCAAGCAGTCTTGGGGTTGAGAAGCTCGGCCGGCACACCGGGGCATGTCTTGGGGACCTGGAGATTGAAGACTTCATAGTTTTCGTACTCAACCTTGGCCAGCTCGCCGCTGTGGATGGCGTCGAGGATGGCGCGGGTGTATTTCAGTGGGCAGCGCTTGCCGCCCTGGGCAAAACCGGCGCCGACCCAACCGGTGTTGAGTAGCCAGGCGTTGGCGTTGTGATGCTCGATCTTGTCGGCGAGCATCTTTGCGTAGCGCATGGGATGCAGCGCCAAGAAAGGCTGGGCGAAGCATGATGAGAAGGTCGCCTGGGGCTCGAGGACACCATCTTCGGTACCAGCCATCTTGGACGTGTAACCGCTGATGAAGTGGAACATGGTCTGCGCGCTGTTGAGCTTGGAAATTGGCGGCAGGACACCCCGGGCGTCACAGGTGAGGAGGATGATGTTGGACGGGTGGTTGTTGGAAATGCACGGGATCTTGGCGTTGCTGATGTACTCGATCGGGTACGCGCACCGAGTATTCTCGGTCAGGGTTGAGTCGTCATAGTCGACGACACGGGTCTCCTGGTCAAAGACGACGTTCTCGAGGACTGAGCCGAAGCGGATGGCATTGAAAATGTCAGGTTCCTTCTCGGCTGAGAGGCCAATGGTCTTCGCATAGCAGCCGCCCTCAATGTTGAACACACCGCGGTCGCTCCAGCAGTGCTCGTCGTCGCCGATCAGGGCCCGGTTGGGGTCAGCCGACAGAGTCGTCTTGCCGGTGCCGGACAGACCAAAGAACAACGTCACATCGCCATTCTTGCCCTCATTGGCGGACGAGTGCAGCGTCAAGATGTTGTGCTTGATGGGGCCCTCGTAAAACATGACAGTGAAAATGCCCTTCTTCATCTCACCGGCATACTCTGTCCCGAGAATGACCATTTCCTTCTCGGCAAAGTTGATGGCGACCGAAGTACCCGACGTCATACCCTCGGTGTATCGGTTAGCCGGGAAGGAGCCGGCATTGTAGATGGTGTAATCGGGATGGAAGTGCTCGAGCTCCTCACGGGGCGGGCGGATGAGCATGTTGCGCATGAAGAGGGCGTGATAAGCGCGCGCGCAGACGACGCGCACCTTGATGCGGTACTTCTCGTCCCAGCCGGCATATCCATCAACCACATAGATGCGGTTGCGCGTATTGAGGTAGTCGATTGCACGCTCACGGTTGATCTTCCAGACCTGTATAATGCACCCTGGTCAGTATGATGAATGGTCAGGGACAGGGTCTCCACGTGACTGAGCCAGCGTGGGGTGGCAGGCCCGGGCCATCGGCATTTGAGGCGGGGTGGGGGTGCGTTGTTTGGGATGAGGGGCTGCAGGCAATGACGACACTGGCAGGGGTGTTTGCAGAGGGTCGCAACTACTCAACAATGACGCCGTTGCACCGCCCATCGCCCCAAGACGACAATCGCAGCTTCCGGACGACCGAGAATGACCGTGCGATGGACGCATTGCCCAGGCAATGACGTCCTCAAGTCAATGTGCGGAAGTCTGCTGCAATTGCTGGGGGTGGCAAGCGGTCATAATCACACTTGCTGCCCGCGTGACCGGCGCCAAGGCAACAGAAAATGCCAGAAAAGGGGAAGCAGACACAAGCCTTAACGGACCAGGCAAGAAGCGGCATCGCCTCGAAATGGGCAAGAAAACAATTGAAGGAAAGGAGAATCAGGGGTAAGTCTCACCTCGGGCGTCATGGGTTTGTTGACTGGACCCCACCTATTGGAAGCAGTGTTAGCACGAGACAATCATTGGGCAATTGCGGAAAGGAAAAAAGGGGGGAATGCTGTGCGACATACCAGATGTCCTTCTCGGATGTCGGTTCTTTGACGATGCGCTTGTCTAACGGTGACCGGCCGGTTTTCTTTCCCGAGTAAGCGCTTAGTGCGCCGCTGGATGTGATGGCAGTGCCGGCTTCATAGACTAGCGCATCTTCGTAAAGGGCAGCAACTGAGGGGTTGGGGATCTGACAAAGAGAACGGGTGAGCTTGGTGCAAAGTGTCGTGTTGGAATCGATGGTACTCACAATGGCAACGGTGTCATAGTCGATGTGAGCCTTCTCGTGGAGCTCCTCCTCTGTGCCGGTGGTTAGGAAACTGGATGAACAAAGAACATGGATCCGGTTGCGGCTCGTTGGCACATACCGAGCTCGGTATGCTCAATGTGTGGACTGTATCAATTGCTGTCAGCACTGAGTGAACGATGCAGACCGAGCACGAAGCGGGACTTACGCAACACCACCGGGGTGGAGGCCCGTCTTGTTGACCGAGTTGACAATCACTGAACCGGAGGAACAAGAGGAGGTTAGCAACGGAGGCCGAACCACGCAAAGGGGGGCGGGTGGAGCTTGGGAGGACTTGCTGTTTGCGGATAACGAGGAGGGTCCAGAGGCGGCTTGGAGCTTGCTACGAGGGCCTTTGACGGAGGGATCAATGTAGGGAGAAGCGGTTCTGATGACGGGGTCCTTCATGGTTCTTAAGTGCTTTCTGCTGTGCTCGAAATCGGCTAGCTTAGGGGCGTGTGTTGACAGGGGATGCGGGAGCCGGGACCACTTTGACGATGCGGGCCAGAGGTTAATCCACTTTCTGCAGGGTATGCAAGCGTTGCGGACGGAGAGAACGGGGTAAACAGGGGAGGCAGACCGGGAAGTACTGATAGCCAGAGGTTGACAAGTCTTCGATAGCCGGAGTGGAGGAGTGCGAGTATATAAAGACGTGGGGCCCCGGACACAGGCAGGCCCAATAAAGAGTGACGACAGCATTCCCACTTGGAAGAGTTACCCGCCGTACCTACACCAGCCCGGGTCTTGAGCCGGGTGTGAAGCGGGTGCAAGTGGATGCTAGTTCGGGCTGGCGGTGACTTGGCCGCTGGGCCACGAATTGTTTCCGGAGCGCCTCAACCGCACCCCTGTCACCTCTCGGGACTGCTAACGGCAACGTCTTGTTTCATAGGTTGCGGCGACGATGTCGCTGCCCGTCTGGATATCGAATTGGGCACCCACTAGCACGCCCGCATCGCTGCAGCCGACATAGCAGGGCACTCTGACCGCTTCCTGTGCAGACTGCAGAGTGCCCAGGTGTGTTGTTGTTATCTTTGTATTGCCACAGCTTGTTCAATGTTGCCGCCGGCTGATTGACTGGCACCTCGTTCAGCCGTCAATTCTCAGCCGTTTCTCACAGCTACCGCGGCAGAGCCAGCTGTCATTCTGTGTACTCTGCTAGGTACCGTAGTACTGATCCTAGCTTGCGTCCTGGATCCGGAAAAAGCAGGGAGCGTGAATCTGATATGTTGGTTTCAACTAAGACAAATCGGGTTGCGCAAGACCGAGGTGGAGCTTGATGGGATCACCTAGAACGACGTCAGCAGGCTTGACCGGAGGCTGAGCACTCTGTTTAGCTTGGCACATGACCTGTGTAAGAAACTCTGGCTTATAACGCCAGTCCTTTCAAGGTTGGCAATTCGCTTGGTACCTGAACGTTGACGATTCACTGGGGTCATTCAAGGCAAGTGGAACTCACTCCAGATTCGTCTCAATTGGGCGGCAGCCGCAGACTGCTGCAACGACATCGACCCGCTGCCATGCTCCCCTCGAGGCATTGATTGCAGTTTCCCCCTTTGGCTAGGCTCCCAGAGTCGAGAAGAGACAGCAACCGGGAGCTTGGAGCGCCCAGCCCTTGGCAACCCCCAGTTGGGCCAGGCTCCATCTGTTCTCGAACGGAAAAGGCTACCCCGCATCGTGAAAACTCTCCCAGGCGGGTGACAATCCTCGGATCAATTGCCAAGCACGCCTGGACTCCATGTCCCGGCAAGATACCTTCGTACACGTACACCTAATACATAGGTAGTGTAGAATAAGGTATAGTTACCTGTTAAAAGAGATTGGATGACAATAGAAAAGAGGATGGCAACGGGCTCACGAGCACACCGAATAAACAACAAATAAGCAACCCTATATATCCGTAGGTGCAAGACTTGATACGCAATGGCAAATTTCAGGGTCCTCCGCTGCTAGGGTTGGCAATTTACTGAAAAAATAGGATTTCTTCATGTAAATTACCCTGACAGTAAATAACACTTTACACGAACATTGGTCTGTGCGTCACACCTTACCCTATAAGGGAAAGTCCTCCTCTCATTCGACAGCCAATCATAGCCTTGACCAAACCTATGAAGGCCCACTTTCTCTTTGCGCGACAGACAAGCCAGTCAGTCAACCTTTGAATTCATCAATGGTAGGACCTTAAGGAGGCTGGAAACACGGGATCTTATACAAAATAATATAGCGCTTGATGCAGATGAGCTCGAGATGGAGGAGGACTTGTATGCTAAGATAGGTGACGAAGACCCTCTAGTCCATCCAAGCTGTCGAGGCAGGCCAATCGCGGGTCAGAAAAATTGGGAGTTGCCCATATATAGCCCTGACCCTTTAAGGGCTTGGCGCATTGGCGGTGTCATGATCATTTGTTTTTTCAGTAAAAATACTGTAATTTACTGTCACTTACTGTTGTCAGTGAAAACTGCCATCCCTATCCGCCGTCAAATCATGTTTCAACGGCACGTCAGGTACGGTAAATTACAGAGTAATTCCGTAGGCTCGTTAGTTACACTAACGTTACTTACGGGCCAGATCATCCGCTCCCGCCTTGCATCTCGCGGGGCACCCCGCCGTTGCTCCAGGCTTCTGCGTACCTGCCCCACCGAATGCCACTCTTGGTTGCCAATGACATTCCGTCATAGGACAAAATGAGAACCAAATCAAAGCCCATCAGATCGTTACTCCGATATTGCCCGAGATTTTGAGAAGCATGCAGCATGCAAGAATTCTAAGCGTGAAGAATGAGGAATTAGGGCCTCAAGTCTCTTGGCAAAAAGCCGATTTCTCGACCCGGCTTCTAGCACAGATCAGGGTTATCCAAAGCCCGCTGTTAAGCGTGACATCAGCCAGGGACATCCGATTGAACATGGGCAGTTACGTAACTTGGCACCAACGTGACCTTAGCCAGCGACTCGAATGGAAGCTCCGCATGTGATTAGCAGCGACCAATTTCACATTTTCAAAACCAATTCATCATTGGCTCTTGCTGCTGAAGACAGCAGTACACTCATTCCCACGAAAAAGCGAGAGGGTCACGCGCACATAACCAGCGGTAAGAGCTAAGGGGTAAGGGCTGAATCCGACGGTTGCTTGTCAAGTCCAGAGAACCACGGCAGAGCAAAAGGGTCGATGGCACATTGTACAATTCAATACATATTCGCAAGGGGAAGCAAGGGGAACATTGTCTTCCCATTGTACGGTATGTGGGAGGTGACTCGGAGCTGACGTTAAGTACATCACAGTACGTACATACCTAGGTACCTGGCAACTTGGCACTTGGCAGGGAATGTTTCGGGTATGGACACATCCAAAAACCAATCCAACCTTCAGCATCCAGTCGTCCCCTGTAGCATGCGGTTGCTCACCCTACACTGCCATAAGATCTACTTCCGGTTTCTCCCACCCCTTAGCGTTAGTCTCAATGCGTAAACCCGTTGGACCGGCAGTCTTCCTCGGCCCCTATTCTTCAGGGGTTCCAACAGCTGCCGAGTCCCCGATATCCGCCGGTCGGGATTCCTTGGCAGCCGCCTGGTTATCAGGAGCCGAGAAACACTATCCGAAGATGTCCGAGTACGACTCTCCCAACGGCCAAACGATGCATGTGTTATCAGAGGCCTCCATTTCCCCTTGACAAGTCTTGCTGCTTGCGTGCTTCGCGCGCCTCCTGTCTCCCGAGGACGGCTGCAAGACCATGATGGCACGGATCGCAATAGGGCTCTCCGCAGAATGTCACCATTCCTTGGATAAGGAGCTCGATCCAGAGTGCTATTTAGTTACCGCTTCCGTAAAGCTTGACTTGCAGCGACATGTTCGGTAGCCCACTTGGCAGCCAATATACCGCAAATGGGGTGCAGATATTGAACACCAATGTGCCCTCGGCAACCCGCGCCCAGACGGGAGAGCCCGCATTCTCACCCAGGATCTCAAAACGGTCAGTCCAACAACCACTTCCTGGATAGCTGCTTCACTAGACACAGGACACTTACCAGACAAAACGTTTTCGGTGTACATTTGTGCATTTTAAGTCCTGGACAACAGGTGGATGAGCCCACGTCTAGCCATCGCCCAAGACATCGTGAAAGGTAGTGACTAGATGTACTACGGAGTACGAGGTGTCTGGATTAGGATTCTCGGTTACTGGTAGCCAGGCAGGCGAATAGCAGTGAATGTTCTGCACTCGGTTTCTTCATTTACCAAGGCACCTACCTAGGCATGTTCATGGTTGCAGTTGGGTTCAGTCCCGGGCAGGGTGCCATAGTGAGATTTAGCCGCGATCTCGCCATCTTCGTTTGTCAAGTGGTTTGGATATTCTCCCCAAGTCCGACCTTTCCAATCGGTAGTTGAACTTGGCACGGGGCCTATCAGTCATTGACCGCAGATAACCCCTCTTGTTGTAAAGAGGGCGGGATGTACTTTGTAATTGAAGGACCGACGGCACAGGCCGTAGTACGCTCGTTATTCATTGACACAGGTAGACCATAGATGCGAGCAAGCTGAGGGAGATGAGGCACTACACCTACCCTGAGTAGGCAGGTACTAGTACTTGGTCTGGTGTAGCAGACAATAGGGCATGAATAAGAGGACTTGGGAATCCTTGTTAACCCAGAACCGCAAGGCTTCATATTGTTTCGATTCCTGTCGATCATCAGATTAAGTAGTATGACTTCTAGGTACTTGACCTCTACTACCCATATGACAGTTGTATTTGACTTATGGCTACGCGTAGCTCTCCGGCATTGTAACCCCCATTGTGTTGCAGAAACTTGCTCAGTGCTCCCACTCTAAGTATCCTTCATCCGCGGTCTCTGCCGACCACTCGTCGGTTTATCCCGGGTTGGATCCGGCGTTGTGGATCGGCACTTGGCATCTACCGCATACCTAGTCACAATTGTAGTGCCTAGTAGGAACTTGACTTACTTACCTAGTCTAGGTAAGCTAGCTGATCATTCTCCGTCTCCTCCCGAGTCAGATCCCAGCAGCACAAGCAGCAATGGAGCTGGTTGCTGACCGGCACAACTAGTACATGTACTAGAAGCTAGCAGTCTGCCTGTCTCACTTTATTCGAAGTCATTTTCAGGAACCATCCATCCGACTTGAACTCGTCATTCTAGTTCCCCCACCATTATCTCATGTTCTTTCCCACCGCTAGCCCGCCAACTCGGCTTGTTGTTCTTCTGTTTCACGACTCAGCTCGGTCATGACTGGACATGCACGATTCCAAACTACCTTAGTGTCCAGGACGTCGTACCTACGCTCGCTTCTCTGCCGACTGTGGTAGAGTAGGTAGATTGAATGGGAGGCTTCGAGTCGTCTGTTCTGGGCTAGCTCTGGTACCCCTCCAGGTGCTTCTTTTCATTACTACTACACTCCCAGGGACAAAATGCAAAACAATAAAGGACTGCCAAAGATGGATCTGCAAAGCCTGCTATGAGAGTTGTCTGAATGAAACGTCTGATGCTCACCTCCTTTACCCCAGGGGCTAGCTCAAACGTCTGGCAACCCGGCCCATAGGCCTTTCTTCCATTCCTCCGAGGCGATCCCGAGAACGAGTTCCAGGGCCGCAACCTAGAGAGCCCCCTGAAGACGTTCTGCAAAGAGCTCGTAATAGGATCATGTTGATGTAAAGCCTAGTACGGTGGTAAACGAGAGCATTGTTTAAATGTCGTAGTGTCTCTAGTGTCTACTGCTCTCGATATCAGATACAACGAGTTGGTACTTAACCAGTCACTGCACTTGTACTTTTTTCAAATGTGTGAGTTGCAGTCTTGCAATCGATCTTAGACAACAGGTTCCTCAGCTGCCTTGTTACTGAATACCTCCCAAGTCATAGAGTCTTGTTACCTTGAGTGACGTTCAGGGCCCGTTTAGAGCTTGCCACGCAAAAACTGCGTAGCACATTAGATACAATGTAAGTCCAGATACGTTTCAGTTTGGATACGGTGTTACTCATGTTGAAAACAACTAATAGCGGCGTCAAGCCGTAGCACCTGGATACCTGATGCGAGGGCAGCAGAACAACTCGTTCCACCGTTGAAGCCAGCCTCCATACAACTACCAGAGTAAGGTTAGTTAGATTTATCCACCCTTGTTAACAACTAAAAGGTCCCTTGACAATGGCTGGAAGGTCAAGAGTGCCTTTATATTAGTAGTACGTAGTAATTCCAGCGGCAGTGGCAAGTTAGGTACCCCACCTGGCAACGGAACAACTGATAATAAGAGCTTATTTCTTTTTAAAGAAGATATGAATGTTTCTTTGGGACTTCGAGTCCGCTTGTGCTCTGTGTTTTGTTGTCAAACTGGATAACCTGCATATACTAAGCCTTCTTCGACCTCCCTTACTGAGGGAGGTGAAATCAGCAGCAAGTATGACTACAGATTCTAGAAGACCGTGTATTAAACGCCGCTTCCATCCTGAAGAGCAGCTTCCATCTTATATATTCCGGTTTGGTACTACTACTTAGAGGTACCTAATAGTACTAGGTAGTATGGCTTCAAGTTGGTAAATGTCTTCAAGTTCCCTTTGGCATACAGGTTACCAGACCCGTGCCAGACCATATACATATAATACAAACGAGAGGTACTATGGAGCGATGCCAACACCTTCTCCCAAGTGCTCAACTGGACATCACAGATCACCTAGCTAGCTAGGAAGGTAAGATAGGTAAGGTAGGTGCCTAGCTTGCTTTGCTTGTGTTTAACTTTTGGGTAGTATACAGACAGCCCTCTCCTCGACCTCACTTATCAAGGTACTACATATTGCTTGTAAGTGCATTTCACTCAACCTAGTAGTAGTCATGCTTACCCTCAACTCGCTCTCCACATATGCTCAAAGGCTTCGATCCAATCTTCAAGTCTGGAGGATGACTCGGAGCGCTCCCACCGTGACAGTACCGTTATGTTGTTTGTTTCCGGTGTGTCCCCGGCCAGGAACTTGAACTCAAGCTACCTAAGTACATAGCGATCTTGGCCATTGGCTCGATGGTGTCCATCATGTTGTGGGCTTTACATCTGGCTTGTTTTGCTTGGATTACTGCCACCGATTGCAGGGTGAATGAAGAGGTCACGGGTACGTACCAACTCCATGCTAGTAAGGAAAGAGGGTCTGCTGACATTACTGGCATCATTGCCAGGCACCTTTGCATGTGTTTCTAGCGCAAAGAGAAGTATATAGATGCGGCATCTGATGCTGATGCCCGCCCATCTGAGCTTCATTAGAAGGCACCGGCAGCACGTCGACTTCCAGGATTGATGTTCCTGGCTTGTGATGGCAGATTCAAGATCCGTTAGGACCGTTACTCACTGACAGTGACAGGAATGTCACAATACTAATCATTCTCCGGGATCTCCCTACAATTCACATGGACGTCTCCCAAGTGGCAAGGGGACTCTCTCTTTTGAAGCTCGAAGTTACCATTGACTAGCTCAGGTTAAATACCTCATCTTACCTCATGTGTCGATGTTGTTTGATACCTCCCTTCTAGGGATATAAGTTGGCTAAAAATCGAACAATACTCCAAATTACGCTAATCGACATCAGAGGTTGTGTCGATCCCGCCTGCAGCAGTCTGCATGGCGGCCGAGCCAAGCCAACCTGCATGCATCGCTTTTGCGTTTGATTGCAGCCCTTCGGCTCGGAGAAATATACCTGGAAAGCCGCCGGTTCTTGCCAACTACAGCCATATTGAAGACTCCATGATCCTCCACTTGTGATGGGTATAAGGTGTGCGCTCGTAGTCTGAGATACTAAGCGGTAAACCGAGGATGGAGGAAGAGTTTGTAGAGCATGCATGGTGCAACAGCAATACTGTAGCGTGATTGCTTTCCTCTTTCATGTTGGGGCCTAGGATCCCTTCGTGCAAAACTCATCACAGTTCCGGCCGCTTATTCCATCCAGTCACAAGTGAAGAAGTGTACTTCGGGAACCATCACCTCCATAGGCAGCGCAGAGGGCCCGACACATGCAGCCAAGATGGACTGCTTGCCTGGCTCGGCTAGTGTGCCGGGCTGGCGGGGTAGTGTGGCATCGCGGTGGGGTGCATCTGGCGATGCGCTCTGGAGAACCTGGAAGATGGAGAAGAGCTTTGGAGCGTTGGTGTACAATACACTGCATCTCGGGTTAGCATCGGTGCCAGCAGCCCAGCCGACGAGGGGCGGAGCGGGGGGAACTTTTATGATCGGGCCGCGCTGCCCTACTAGCGAACCTAGTGTATTGCAATTGTATAACAATACACTTCATACAGGATGACCAGATGGCAGATTCCCCAAGCAGGAACTTTGATGACATGTGTAACTGTGAAAATGGGTATCAAGCGAGATGTTGGGTTGGCTCGTGAATTGCCAATCACGCATGATGGTTGTGCCAAAAAAACGTGGTTGCGACGTTGACATCTGCGAGCTTAGACCCTTCTCAGCCTAGCACGCAGGTCCGGAGAAATTAGGTTTCTAGTGAGGGGTCGGGTGCGATGATTCCTCCCCCGGCGCGTTTGACACCAGCCATCACACCCTCCACAGAACACCAGGTTTCATTGGACCTGGAAGCTACATACAGTACCTTGGACAATGTACGCAGCGTTTTTCCTAAGCTCGAGCTAAGGCACCATTGAATTGATGTTTATTTGGCTTGTCTATCCTGAGCCTGTACTTGTACCCGGAGAAATTGAGGGAATTACGGACACGTCAGCGCGACAAAGCCAACCGAATGCTGACAGCATCCAGACCTTGACAGCTCCACAGAATCTGCCGTCTCTTTTCGAGCCAACAACAATTGTCCAAGCTGAGTATCTTAGCCGGAGAAACAGCCACAAACGTCTGCAACAAGCAAATTGTGAGATCAGAGACACACTACTGCGCATCATTACAGCCGAGACAGCCATGCACGAGAACGGTCGGTCGAGGTGCACTACCCTACACTAGCGACATCCAGCGAATTTCACTATCCCATGAATCGAGAACGCCGCCGCAAAACAGAACAGGGGAGAGACTCCACTACTCCACAGGCACAACCACTGGGCTGGGGCCCCAGGTGCTGTGTGTGGTCGGGGTCGCTTGGCGCCTTATCAGGAACGGGTTTGGCCTGTCCCGCTTCACGACTGGGGTGCGGAGGAACGGAGAACGAGGATGCATTCCAGCGGACCAACAGATACACTATTGGCTCGCAGTCCCCTCGCGCCTGAAAGGGCTTGAAATCCCGCGAGTTCTGCGAATGGGGGGAGTCGCCGCCCAAAATAACCTACAAGACCAGCCTTTCCCCAGATCAGACAGCGATGCTCTCAGACTCAAGCGACACTACATCTGCCGTTTCTTGCTTTCGGCGTGCTTGTCCTCTCCCACGGCATTCCCCAGGCTCTGGTGTTAAAAACACGGGCATATTCAACATTTCAATGTGTCTGCTAACCCGGTAGCCGGAACCCGCGCGTTGTGACCGCCACTCGCCTCTTCTGACTCGAGTCACCGCCCGCTCGACAAGTGCCAAATTTCCGCACGTGAGATAGCCGAGATGGAACCGTACGCCCAGACTGCCGATAGCCTAGACGACAATATCGCGTAAGCTTGAGCATCTCGACCTGAAGTGTGATTTTGATGTTGGACCTTGCGGCCAGCAGCTGACACGGAAATCAGCGAGCGGCTCAGCCAATTGAGCACAGGAAATCCAGGTTCGAACCCGTCTCGCCATCCGCCATCGTTATCGTCAGTGTCCTCCCTAGACGAGCGGTACGACGGGCGGCGCAGATTTCCGTCCGGTGGCGTGCCTGTGCCGCGCACCCCGGATCTGCAATGGTATCCCGGCTCAGACGATGTCTTCCGTACGCCAAACTACGAAGTCGGGCAGGTTCCTACAGCCGGTCCACCAGTGCAGTCGCCAAGGGTCCCCATGTTCCATCGCAAAGACTCGTACGGCTCTGAAAGGCGCCCGTCTCGGGGATCGACAGCTGGCTACAGTTTGTACCCCGCATCCAAGCCGCCTCCCGCTACCAAGCCACTGCCGCCCGTCCCGCAGCTTGCCAAGCAGACGTCCCGCCGCGTCTCGTCGCAGCTCTCCATGGACGGCTCGGATGTGGTATCCGGCGACACATCCCGCTACTCGCAATCCTCACGAAGCACTGGCACGCTGGATCGTGTGCCCACATCCAGTAGCCTGGCCTCGCCAACGTCACCCTTTGCGTTAGCGCCGCCGCCGACCACGTTGCTCGAGGAATTCCGCGCACAATCGCAAGGGCAACCGCTAGAGGCCCATAACAGTTCTTCCCGCGTCACCCTTGTCCCGTGGAAACAGCTTGAGTCTGATGAGAAGAGTTCTAAAAACAAGGACCAGTCTGTCTACTTTTTTGACATCTCAACCACGTCAGCTACTCTGGCCAGTAAGCATGGCAATAACATTATCAGGATATGGTCCGTCGGCAGCGGTGAGGTGCAAAACAACATCAAAGTCTCATGCTACACCACTGCTCAGCCCCGCTCTCGCGAGTACTTTGTGCGCAGCCACGCGATCTTGTCGGAACCCTCCAACTTGATCGCCATTGCAACCGGGTTCGGTGATTCGCTCGAGATTTGGGACTGGGGCAGGAAGAAGAAACTTCAAACCATCGATGGCGCCGAGCGCTGGGCAGCCGTGCGCTCCAACATTATGGAAGCCGGCTGGTGCACGCTCGCCACCTACCACGGCGACAAAGACAAGCTCGACCTCTACGCGTCCACGCGCTCCTACAAGAAGCCCTTCAAGAAATCCCATACCATTGACCTCGCCGCTTCCAACCTCCCCGTGCTGCCCAAGTATCCCGAGCTTGCTTTTTCCGCGACTGGCCCGCTGCTCGTGACCGCATCGGGCCCCCGGCCGCCCCGCGTCGGCCACCCGCCGCCAGAACGCGAAACCCTGCTCGTGGCATGGGAGATCCACGACTCTGCGCCCGCAAACACCCCCTACAAGGTGGTCGCTCCCTGGCAGCACTCCGAGCTCGACACTGCCCTGCCCTCGGGCTTGGCCACGTATGGCAGCGTTGCCGTGTCCATCTGGATCCCCGCAGGCTATCGCGCCGTGCCGGTCCCCGCCGCTCGCGGCGGCAGTGGCTACAATCTCGCTCCAGTCCCCGTACCGTACCGCCATGTGCTGGTCTGGGATTTCTCGGCTGCCTCCACCAAGACGTTCTCTATCCCTAATTGCACGTCGTGCGTCTCGCCCGACTGCAGATTCGTCGCTTACTGCGATGCCCGCGGTGTGGAAAGTGGCGCGAGGGGATGTCTTGCCGTGTTGGATGCCATGACCGGTAGGATGCTGTGGTGCTGGCCGGATCCGGACGCCGGGCCCGCCGAGAGCGGTTTGTTACCGCAAAAGATGGGCCAGTTGGAGGATTTGAGCAAGATTACCGAGATGTGCTTCTCGGCCGATGGCGGCTTCTTGTTTATTGGTGATTGCGAGGGGGGGATTGGCGTTTTTGAAGTCAGGGAACTGGGTGGGGGCGGCGTCGGGTTAAGGACCGTTGGGGGGCAATAACAGAGCTTGACCTACTTTGCTATATCGGATCCTTGGGGGCGGTGTCGTCCGTGGATGGGGCTTGAGATCTGCTACACTAGATCTGGATTACAGAGTAGCGTGGCCTACTACTATCCAACTATTTCTGCGCGCATGGAGTTGGATGGCTTGGGCGTGCGGAGCGCTTTTTTGTATACTTGGCACCTCCGACTTGGATAGATACCTTACATACCTCTGTTGATCCCGCGATCGACAGTTTGGAAGATGGCGCTGCTTCAATTTGTTGGCCTGCACTATGGATGCCATCAGTGCTTCTTGCCAGGGTATCGCCGGCCATTGCAAGTGCAAGGCCTGGTTCAACCCTCTCCAAAAACAAACTTGATCACAACGAGAGTCGCAGTAAGGTACGTTGCTCTCTCACAGTCATGCCTAGTACTTACGCGTATTCTTCCTATCCCAGATGTCACAGTTGGGAGGTTGTACGCGCGGCGTTAGGGAATCGTCGCACGTAGAGTCGGAGACGAGCATATCAGTCTCATGGCGTCTTGGCGGTTCGGCGAGGGGTGAAAGGGGAGGAGAAGGGGGGAGGCAACGCCTGTAAGGGAGCTGTAGAAGGAACGAGCTGCCCGAACATGAATCCAGCGTGGTGGGTAGGTACATGTGTTATATTTCCCACGAGGCATGGGGGTGATGTGTGTGTGCCAATCTCGACTTCGGTTGGGCCGTTGGCTGGGTGTCGACCTTACGCCAGCAGGGTTTGGTATCTCCCTATCTGGTTCACAATGGCTTCAAGAAGTCCATTGACATATGCCACATCCACATCGTCTACCATAGCTCAGTGAGGGCACGGTGTCACGTATACATGTAAGTGTCCATCACGGCCATTGACCCCCTTTGCGACAGCCTAACTACTAACACCGGGATTCCCCAGAACTGGTTGAATGAAGGTAATGAAGGCCCCAACCCTCTAAATAGGATATGAAGTCGCATCTGCAACAGTGACAAAAATAGAACTATTTCCCTATCTTGGGAACATCTAGGCTGTTGAGACCTGCAAGCTGGCTTAAGCATCACATACATGATACATCTCCCGACTCGATCTCAAGGCCTACTACACTACCATATTAACCTTACACCGGATAAATTGCCATAGTACCTTCTAGCAGAACCGTGACCTTGACCAAGTTAGAAAGGTAACAAGACGCTTCAGCCGGGCATTTCCATGGCCAGCTTCCTCCGGACATGTCATTCTATTACAGATTCATGTGTGGGGAGCATGTCGGCATGCTAAGGTAGGTACCTATCATCCCGCAATCTAATATATTGCGTTTCCTGAACGATGTTTCTTCATTGATCATTATGTAAGGTATAGATACCACCTCATTTCTGAACCGACTAACTCAATGTGTTCTCTTCTGCTTACCTTCCCTCGTCCATTAAGATAACATGAGTCTTTCTTCCGTCGCTCACTGCCATGTCAGTTGGCGGTGAATATGGCCCACTCACTGCTTCACCGCTTCGCGGGGATTTCAGCCACCAGCCACCAGGGAATCACAGCAGCTGCTTCCCTCTCTATACCTTTGCAAATCTATGCTGCTGGATTGCAAAAACTCAAAATCGAATACCCTCTGTCTTCAGGCCTCCAAGTTATGTTCGCTACGTGAGGTGTAAACTGCTACAGAAACCGTGACCACGTCGCCGGCCCCGGGGAATCGGGGATACACGAAACTTGAGCGAAACCACACCACCAATCGCGATGACGGACTGATCTCGAAAAGTCGACTTCCTCATCCAATATTGCCTACAAAATCGGCACCTGTTATAGAATACCAAAAACGACGGGTGTGTGCTCTCGTTAGTACCTTCGGGCTTCATCCCTCTCACCATATGCTCACCTACCTAAGTGCGGCAGCTAACTGCTTGAGACCAGACCATAGGGTAGCCCTTATCAAGCAGTCTTATTTTGAGAGGGACGGAACATACTTTAAATCAAAAAGCATGGCGATGAAGATGCTCAACATCAGCACAATCCTCACCAGCGACGAAGACCAAGTCCTCAACGGCATCTGGATCGGGCTCCTGAGTGTTGAGGCGCTCATGGTCCTCGGCGTCGCGGTCCGCGGGCTGGTAGGGGCCGTGTCGTCGCGGTTCATGACCCATGATCCGGCGCATGCAAAGGGCTCGTCCTCGTCTTCTGTTGGGGATATCACTGGTATTTGGTGAGCGGGAATTATGGTGTTGTTGGACGTGCGGGTGTTTGTTTGTCGATATGCATTTGTGGGTATTGGGATGTGGTTTTGGTAATGACGATGATGATGATGATTGATGAGCGTAATGAGGATGAGACGACGCATCGTACGGGAGCATTGCTTAATGACTAGGCCTTGCATCTGCATCTGAGGAGTTGGGCTGTTTTCAGGTTACTTTGTGGCTGCCTAGGTTGTCTTTTCCCTTTGGCAGTTTGCTTGGGTGTTTCAAATTACACTTCTGATGAGAGGGCATTGGCATGAACGGGTGATGGGTCATTATTGGAACTAACCGCTGGACGACATGCTATCTCCAGGAAGGCGACTGAAAAGAAGGGTTGTTCAGGTTAGGTAGCGATAGGAAAACGGAACTGATACCTGCGTCTTGAGTCATTCCTCTACAGCATCTCCATGTTCATCAAGAGTCCAGTGGCAGTCTATACGTAAAAGAAACGTCACCATTAAGGTCCAGTCAGCAGCACGGTCAGAGAGACTCATCCCCCGATGCCACCTCGAAGACCACTCAGTTACTGTACGTACCCCTTTCTTTATACGGCAAGGCAGCGAGGCCAACGACGTAGATCTTCTTGTGGCTTACCGGAAGGACGTTTCTACATGTATAGCTACATGTACGGTAAAGGGGCCAAATACGTTGTTTGGATGCTGACCAGGATTGAACTTACAAAATGGAACCCATATTGCAGCCATTCCTTGATCAATGAACCTTTCAACTGCGCTGTCCGCCACCGGTCTAAATCCTTCTCTTGCCTCCGGTTGGCAGGAGCAAGAGGTTGCAGTGTGACGAACGGACCAATGCCACGGGACGGGGTGTGAGCCCTTTCGTTTGAGACTTCAAACCGAGAGCTTACCTAGGTACCTACGTCTGTGCTGTAATGCGGTGGAGAGTCCGGTTTCCATCATATGATCCGGGCCTTGTATCATGAATGAACAATTTCAATGAGGATAAGGTATATTCCTTTCCAGTCCGCCGGTGGAACATTGAAGTATATACATGTACCTCGTACTACCTACTCCGAGTAAACTCCAGATTATGCCCTGGATTCCAGTATTCGAATGCTCGAACACACGCTGGCAAAACTTCGTTCACTTGTTGTTAGGTGGCTATGGTAGGCTTTTGAAGCACCTGGATGACAGCGAGTAGTAACAAACTGCATTGGGTATCGTACCTAGGCAGGGTACCATATAGGTGAAGTCTCCATTCCTACTTTCACCCCCCACGGGCAGTATCATCAAGTAGTCAAGCGGTAGTCATATTCTACCTGGTCACCACCCACATCCTAAACCGCAAACCGAGGCCCCCAGTTCGATTCACAGCAGAACACCTCACACAATCCTCTCCCACACATGTCCCGATGATGTCCCAGCTAAGTAGCTGGTCTCGTGCGGGAAGTACAGCTTCCCTACTCATTGACGAATGCCTGACCTGCCTAGATGCAGGTGAATGTGCCCTTGTGCCAATTATCCGGCGGACAATCCAAAGCCACTGGACGGGAAAAGTATCCCGCTTCGCCCTCGTGGACAAAGTATTGGAGGACGTCTACGACCATAGGTTGAAGTTTATTTACTCACCTTATCAGGAGAGGAAATGCATAGATGGGATACTTAATGAGATGATAGACGCACATACGTCGCCGCCGTCTGTCATCGCAGCCGCTCCCGGCGCACCGCCGCCATCCGTTCCTGCCGGCATCTCCCAGGAGATAGCTGGCAACCTTGGATGGAAGTTCTTTGAGCATTTCCTGGGGGCAATGTCCAAATACCGTCTCATTGATGGATCGCAGCCATACAAGGACTGGATCCCGCAACAGGGTCCTTCAGGCAGGTCGCCGATGATACCAACGTTGTGGTGAGCACGGTACTGCACCCCGGCCATTGCTAATGACGATTGGGTACATGGACTTGATGCTCGATGATCAAATGCCTGGCCGCAATGACACTTGTAGCTCGGTGTAGTCGCATACACCAATCACACGATCGTCCTGGTTCAGTATCAGGCAGCAAAGAACCGCTCGAGTTTGACTGATATCGAAGGTTGCCTTGACAAGCTGGCCCTTAACACGGTACTCGAAGGGACTACTAGTATGGCCACTCGATCCTTCATGTCGTTGCCGCCTGGTAGTCTTAGGTCTATGCTGTAGGACCGACGCAGATCTAATTGACCTCAATGCTAACTGTCCGAAGAATTGATTCGTTCGGATTGTTTGGCTTCTCGGCAACCTGCAGCCGCTGGTTCTCAGCACATCTCCTGTATTCAGGCAGGTCAAACATCCATGAGGTTAGCATCTGTGATTTCAAGCTGTAAGGGATTCATAGGGATTCCTCGCCAGTCCTGAGCACAGTCGAGATGAGAAAGCACGCAGTTTGCTGAATTGCTTGGTAACGTCCCAGGTTACAAGGTGTTCTTCGTTTCATCGCAGTTGCCGGTATCACTTCGAATGCCAGCCATTCGGGCGCCAAGGCAACTGCTGCATTAACCTGGCGAAAGCAAAAACTCGGCCATTCGTGATGTTTGTCATTTTGGCTTGGAGGAAAGGCTGGAGAGACAACCCTAACTCACCCCCCCTAGAGCCGAGCATTCAAATTAGAGTGAATCTTTCAGGCTGTCTTGGTGTCGTCGCAGCTCACAGCTGCGACGTGGTAGGGACTTCTCGGGTACGGCAGGAGCACGATGCCCCACCTCATTCCACTGATCCCGCAGAGGGGCACAGCTTCGGCACGGACTCATGTTTGTGTTTTGTCACCCTAAAGTCCACGCCTCTGTGTTCCTATGGTCGCAAAGCAACACCACTAATGCTAGGAGCTGCAGAGATGGGTGAACTGAGACCAAAAGCCCGAGTGCAGTTCCAATTGCATTTGATAGCTCCTCACAGCTTGGTTTGGAGCACGACGCTACATGTGCCCCTGTGGATCAACACCCTGGTTACCCCAGATTTACCCCGGATTCCTTTGGACTGGGCTGGCTAGCGCTTCCTGTAAGACGCTCGGACCAGGTACTTACCCATGTTCGGACCAAGCGGCAGTGCCCCTGCCATACCGTTCCATGATGATGTACTCGTCACGCGATCCCGTGGACGAGCCAACGTGATCTCTCCTGACATTTTACCCCGCCCGGTCTGACGAAACAGTCGAGGCAGGAACGGTGCAGAAGCTCTGGCCAATGCGCTGCCCTCACCTAAAAGACCTCTCTGCCCCCGCTCGTCTCTCCTTTTCCCCTCCCTTTCTCCTTTGTCCAACGACATCCGTTCTCAAGCGTACAGCACTCCTCCGACCAACAGCCATCTCCAGTCTCCAAAGGTAGGAAGATAACATCAATCCGTGTGCCCTCCTTGATTGCCGAGCTGGCCGCTCATAAGTAGCCTTCTCTTGTAGAGACAACTCGATCACCTGATCCTCGCTGCTCCAGCACAACAAGCAATCCAACATGTCTGAACCGCTCACCAAGGTCGACTCCGCCGTCCAAGGCATTGACACTGCACCTGCCGATAAGTCCAAGGAGACCAAGCACCGACGGGCTAGCTCAAGCGCCAATGGCGTCATGAACATCAATGATCTCGGTATGTCCCATAGAGCTGTACCCTCCTATGACTCACCGTCCTGGGGGCACCGTACAGCTGCTAACTGGATACTCAACACGCAGAGGCCCAGGGAATTGAGCTCAAGGTTGCCAAGGAGACGCAAAAGACGGGGTGGTGAGTCCTATGATGGCATGATCCTCCAGCATCTCCGATGACAGGTAGCTGATACCGCATGCAGGAAGATCAACACGTCCCCTACAACAATAGAGGACAAGGAAATCCTGAAGAAAATGCTCACAACACCACCGGTCAAGAAGATTGACCTGCACTTCCCTCTAGGGCTGGAGGTAACAGCACGGAACCTGAAGGGTGTCACCATCAAGGACGCACTGGATGCGATCCACAAACAATTCAAGAAGAGGGTATGTTCCTATTACGCTCTGTCAGTTGCTCTGAGTGCAAGCTGATGCATTTGTACTGCACCCAGGCCGATGACGAACTAGATCTGCCGTACCTGGCGGGCTTCGAGTGGGACAAGGAGGAGTCATGGACTCGGCTGGTTGTACACCTGCAGAAAGATGCCGGCGTAGCGCCGTCAAGCAAGAAGAAGAAGAAGGGTGGGGAAGAGTGATGAAGAGACGTCGCTCTGCAACCCCCTCCTCTCAATCATCTGGCTGCGTTTTGTTTTTAGCATGGACTAAGGAGGAAGCGATCTCGCAAATGTAAACGCACCAAGGAGGGGGCAACGAAGCTTGAACTTCTGTGCCAGCAATCTATCATTATTGTCGAATCTTGCTAGGGGTAGATGGGCCATCTCGATGACGGGGTAGAAACGGTCTGCCAGTAGATGCCTACGCGCAACCAGCTCCCTGCGTGTTGATCAATCCATCGTATTTCTGGCTGTGTCGCATACTTGCGTATATGTCCATCTCTTGCATAATGGTGTTGGCGTTTAAAGGAGACGCGCATGACGCCGTTCAGGGGCTTGGTCAAGCTGAAGCGGACTAAATGATGATACGAAATATGGATTGGTGAATTGGTCGGTTCGGTCGGCTCACGATCCCGAGACCGAGGAGTGGGTCCGGACATAACCCAGCCTGCAGGTTCCACTTACTTCATAACCTAAACCCGACGATGTGCTCCTTTTCGGGCATTGGCTTTCTAGGTATATGAGAAAGAGATCTCTTGGCCCTCTACACTACTGTACGGTTAATCTGTGTACACGTGCACCTCGGTGGTGGTGGACGGTGGACCAGCATTGACCGAGTTGAGGAATTGGCCGCATAATGGCGGCTAGCTTCGGCAGCTACCCCAGGCCATTCATCGCGGAATTGGGGAGTGGACGGGTGAACTTGCTTGTGCGATGACGGCAAGCGGGCAGCGTGGAATCAGCGGTGCAACGATCAAAAACAGTGCGCTCCGCACTTATAAGAATGGACTCCTCAAAGGTGTCTCTTGGGGCTCTCTTTCCCTTGCATCCGATTCCCCTGTGGCCCTCCAATTCCCACCACCCTTGCACCGCGCCTTCTGGCCGAGAGCTGTTGCCTTGCTCTAGAACTACTTACTGCAACAATAACCATGCCCGTGAGCAACTTTGACTTTCCAGAGAAATACCAATATCAGAATGGCTTCGGTTCCTACCTGGAGTATGCTATCCTCCTCCGCTCTCCCCCCATCCACCACAGCCGGACCAGCACCTTGGAGGCTTGGAGTTTTTGACTAACCCGCCGACAGATCCGAAGCAGTCCCCAACGCGCTCCCCGTCGGCCAGAACTCCCCGCAGAAGCCGCCTCTAGGCCTATACGCCGAGAAGCTCTCCGGTACCGCCTTCACCGCACCGCGCCACGAGAACAAGCAGACCTGGCTGTACCGCGTCTTGCCGTCATGCGCCCACCCGCCGTTTGAGCCGTGCCCTCCGAGCGGCAACGAATCCGTTGCCGACGAACCGCGGGCGCTGAAAAGGCTTCACTACATCCCCAACCAGCTGCGCTGGGACCCCTTCGACCACGCCACCGCCAGCAGTACCGGCGGCAGCACAGAAGCCGACCAGCAGCAGAACCTCCCTGATTTCGTCCAGGGTCTGCACCTGCTCGCCGGGGCAGGCGACCCAACGCTCAAACAGGGGCTGGGGATCTACGTGTACGCGGCGGGGCGGTCCATGGACGCCAACGAGGCCTACTACTCGGCCGACGGCGAGCTGCTGATCGTGCCGCAGGAGGGCGTCCTCGACATCCGCACCGAGCTCGGCTGGCTGCTCGTCCGCCCCATGGAGATCTGCGTCATCCCCCGCGGCGTGCGCTACCAGGTGCGTCTGCCCGACGGCAGCGGCCCGGCGCGGGGCTACGCCCTTGAGCTCTTCCAAGGCCGCTTCACCCTCCCCGAGCTGGGGCCCATCGGGTCCAACGGGCTGGCCAACGCGAGGGATTTTCAGGCGCCCGTGGCCAGCTTTGAAAATGCCGCCGGCGCGTGGGGAGAGACGGCCGGCGATGCCGAACGGGGCGGGGAGTATGTGGTCAAGGCCAAGTTTGGCGGGAAGCTGTTTCGCACCGTCCAGAGGCATACCCCGTTTGATGTTGTCGCGTGGCACGGGAACTACTACCCGTATAAGTACGACCTGGGCCGGTTCAACACGATCGGGACCGTCTCGTTTGACCACCCGGACCCGAGCATCTTCACGGTGCTCTCGGCGCCCTCGGACCACCCCGGCACGGCCATCGCCGATTTTGTCATCTTCCCGCCCAGATGGCTCGTCGGCGAGGATACCTTCCGCCCGCCGTGGTACCACCGGAACACAATGAGCGAGTTCATGGGCCTGATCAGGGGCGGCTATGACGCCAAGAAGGGCGGCAAGGGCGGCTTCGTCCCTGGGGGCGCGAGCCTGCATAATGTCATGAGCGGGCACGGGCCGGATGTCGACAGCTACGAAGCCGCGAGGAATGCTGAGCTGAAGCCGGCCAAGGTTGGGGAGGGCAGCTGTGCTTTCATGTTTGAGAGTTGTCTGATGGTTGGCGTCACCGACTGGGGGTTGAAGACGTGCCAGAAGGTGCAGGAGGAGTACAACCGGCACAGCTGGGGCGGGGTGAAGGTGCATTGGAAGGGGGCTGGGGTTCATTAGGTGTTACCGAGAGAGAAATTCGGAATCATCATCGGATGATGGCAGGGGTGGCTAATGGCGTATTTGCAGAGTAACGAGTGTTTCTGGCCCTGGCACGGAGGAACTTTGAGGCGTACTTCTGGCGAACAAGCAGAAGATGGGTAAAAAAGTTAGTTCTCATGACTCGCAGATCCGGTCATGATATGAGAGCCGTAGGCAGAGGTCCTGCTTTTGGGCGGGAGAGCATAACCATGATGCCCGAATGCAGACTCTAGCAAGCAACTGCAGCAAGCGGTGGCGTTAGCTGTATGCGGATAGTAATTGTACCACATTTATCACCCGCAATCAATATTACACTCATGTCCTAAAGTACGCTCGTGTCGTAGTTACTGTCCAGCGAATGCAGATCCGAACACCTCAAACTGGCAGCACTTGGTGAACGGCTTGCGCTCCAGTGCTCTCCAACAGCCCAGCTGGTCATTAATCCCAGTCCCGTAGGGTATCTACCTTTCGTCGTCCGTCGTGACATCCTAGATCCTTTGTGTCTGCCCTGCAGAGGAGGCCAAGGAAGTGAAGAGACGCCTAACTCTGACCCTGCACGCATATTTAATACGCCCGACGTCCCGCCTCAACTGGATATCAAGGGCCGAAAAAATGTATATGTCGTATCGTATCTCGTTCATGTCATGTGTTGGTTTCATGATTGTCGCGGCGTCTCATCTGGGCACCAAAAAAAATTAGATCGGACGATGGAGCCGATCATATATCTCGACGGTCCAATTTTCCTTCCGCTTTCATGATGAAAGCGGTGTTATCTGCCGCTGTCTCCCACCCGTTGACATCTCTCCGTCGAGTCGTTTGGGTGGCCCTTCATCCGTCCCGACCCAGCAGCCTAAGAGGCCGCTACGGGCCAGGCGGCGCCCCTTTCCAGTCCCTTCCCGTCTGTTGCCGCTTGATTAGCGATAGCGCATCAGGGGCAGCGGCCTGCACCGCCGACGCATCATTGCAGTGGTTTCCGTCCATGGACCAGATGGAAGGTAAAGTATGTGTGGATATCCGAATTCATGAGGGCCTTCCTCACATCCACCAGAAACATCTCAATCTGCAGCTCGGTCCAGCCCAGTGCCGTGAGCGGCCGACGGCTGAAGCCTCTTATGCCATCCATAATGGCTGTTCGCAAGAACAAGCCGCAGAGCCGAAGCCGCTTATCCTGGGGCCACAAGCCAATGGGGCATTTGTGTGTTCTTTCCTGGACTTCTTCGAATCCAGCTTCTTTCAATACATCTGGCAGGTTGCGGATGGCGTAGATGTCTCCGCCATACATGCGCATTCCGGCTCCCATGTAATTGATGTAATCTCGGAATGCATATGGTGTTTCCGGTGTAAGTGAGTCGTCGTCACTCCTGAGATTGAAGCAAAGCTCCTGGAATTCCACATAGCCCCCTGGTTTGAGATGACTGTCTTCAAGTCAATAACGAGAATATACTCTTGCGGGATCCTCTCACCTACCGCATGACTCTCCCTAGGAGAGTCTTCAAATCCCGAATCGCCCATAATGTGTGCCGTATATGAATGAAGTCGTACTTGTTCTCGGGATCTACCCATTCTTCCTCAAAATCGTCGACGAAAAAGTGGACGTTTTCGGGGACGAAGTTTGGTTGTATTGGTGAAAGGTCGATGCCGGTAAATGTCGTGTTTGGATATTTATCGCCAACTGCATGTCATCAACACCATGGTAAGCTTCCCTGCCGCTATATTCTCCCAGACGCCGTCCACCCGGTAGCACTCTGGCCGCAATGGCAAAGGCCTCATGGCTGGCATGAAGAACACCGTTGTTCCGGGTGTCAAGCAACGCAACACGGATCGCCCCTTCAGGAGCGGGCGCAAGAGATCGGCACTGCCGTACTAACGAGCACCTCCCTCATCACGAATCGCCCCATTGGGGGGTCATCCTCCAGTACCAATGCCGTTCTCAAGGAAGATTCCGGGGGGGAAGCAAGTTCATATCACTCACGCTCAATGGGCCATATTCCCGTCCCAGTACCTGTTGGGTCATCCGTTACGGTCAGCCTCCCTTCTGTGGTGCAATGTACGCGCAATCGGACAAGCTAGCATGTCCCGGTGGGTTCATAGGCCCCCGAGACAAGGACTCAGGCGAAGATAACAACATATCCAAGGATATGGTACGACTACCACCCACCTAAATCGAGCACCTCGCCACCAGCCTCCAACACCGGGCCAACGGGCGCATAAAAGTATGCGCCCTGGGTCAGCAATAAGCACATGGCATGCTTCATGTCGTCGCGCTCCTGCTCCACCTCGTCGTTCGGCAGCGCATACTTTCCCGATTTGTAGGCGTGGTAGCGGACCCCGCCCTCGTAGACGTGCTCTCGGATCGAACTTGTCATTGATGCCGGATACTTGGACATGTCCTGGTCGAAGACGAAAGGCGCGTTATCTTCGGTATTGGTGCTCCCGCTCTGGATACTTTGCTCCGACTCGGACGGAGCGAGGTTGAAAGATCTTGATCTCGCTGCGCGCATGGCTTCGGCGGCGGCGTAGAGTTCCTCCTCGGGGGTCAGCCCAAACCCCACTGCAATGTGACTTGACAGCGAGGAGGCGACAGATTGGCCACCGGGAGCCGGTGATGTTATATGCTCGTCTGAATCCATGTTTGCTGCTTCTTCCGGGCAATCCATAGGGCGATAGATCAAGGGATGTACTTGGCGGAAAGCTGCGTCGGACTTGCTTGGATGGTGACGAGAAGGGGGGACGACAACGCAAATTGTCGGGTTCCCGAGGGTCTGGGAAGGGTGGTCTAAAAGCAGAAATTATTCTTGGACCACGGGAGGGGAGCGAGCCAGGGTGTTGGAATGTGCGTCCGCTGGGACACTGCGGGGCCCAGGCTTCGGTTCCCCAGGGAGCAGCAAATGACCAATCCCAGCGAATCCCAGTGTCGGAATGATGGGACCTGCCGCTTGGGTCCAAGGCGGGAGGGGAAGCGTGTGCCGAATGGTGTCCACGCAGTGGGCCCTGAACCTAACTGGCGGGACTGGATTCGCGGACACGACACAAGTAATAAAACCATCACCCCTCATCCTCGTCGCTTCATCGCCCGGACTAATTAAGTGCCTCCAGAATTCACGACGTGAATCTTGACAACACGAGCGCATAGAGCAAGTAACGTCTAACGAGATAACCCAAGTGAGAGGCGAGCGTCGGCTTTGGGCTAATTAAGCGTAGCCCGGAGGCGATGCCCCGCGGAAGTCGCCAAGTACCAGCACGCTATCCGACCAAGCAGGGGTCCTGGATGGCGGTGAAGACTTGAGTCCCAGCAGTCCGGGCGCCTCCGCTTGCCAAGGAGAAGTGCCGTTCGCAATTGGTGGGCCACGGTCCGATTGCCGGAATGACCGCAGCGCGTTCAGACGAGCGAGACAACCTCCTTTCTTAACATTTATGATCATCCATATGTTCAGGTGAAAACCGCTCACTCTGCAGGCGCAGCAGGAGGAATCAGAAGGGAGTAGTAGGTCTCGCATCCAATGTGACCATCTCCTGTCGTAAAGCAACTCATATTTAAGAGATCCCCTGCTCACAAATCTCATTTTCTTAGTCCGCCAAGAGCCAGAACTTCCCATCGCAATGGAACTCCCAAATCCTGGAAGCAAGGTCATCAAGCATCTTCGCTGTCCAACGCAGCCCACATGTTTTTACTGGCGCCCCACCACTATTCGTCTTGGATCAACCGCATGCAGCTGGCTGCACATGATAAGGGCGCCAAGAAGCGTAGGAGTCAGCAGTTATGTTACATGCCACATGGTACGATATCTGGGCCGATGTCCGCTTTCCAAACCCGTTATACCCAAGGATGGAAGCCCTATATCTCAAGGGCCTTCGCAAGACCCTTTCCCAAGTGCCGAAAATATATTCCTGGAAAATTCAGTCCTAACTACTAATTTTTCAGCAGGTAGCACTGTAGCAGCAAGGCCACTTCGAAAATGAAATAACGAGGGAATGCGCTAGGAGCGCAAATTTCATGCGGAGGGGCCCGAAGGGGAGAAACATAGAAGGACAGTTCATTTCATCCATGGCACTCCCGAGGCACTATACGACAAGATTTGGGAGCCCTCCAGAGTCCATTCACTACGCTTTCCATCGCCTTAATGCAGCCGACCCTCGAACTTCTTTGCCAACCTCGTCTCCGTTATTCGATACGTATCAGGGAACCAGTCCCTGAGCTGCTCATTATCCCGACCCTCCACCATCTCCACGAGAGCTCGCGCGCACATCCAACATAGCACCATCCCGTGCCCCTGAAAACCGCAGCTCGCCCACAGGCCCTTCTCGCCGGGTACTTCCCCGACGAAGGGAAACCCATCCGGACTAAATCCCATGATACCAGTCCACTCGCTTCTCACCCTTCCCGCGGGGTCGTCGTCCCCCCAATCGCTCCCAAAATACCTAGGTGTTGCCTCCCTCAAGTATCGACTAATCCTTTCGTTGACCGCAGTATCATCTGTAGTGCCAAACTCCAGCAACCCTTCGTCCGGCTCCCGCGCCAGGCCGCCTCCGATAATAACATCGCCTGCAAACCGCGAACCTTGCGGGCGGGTGATCATGTACTCATACCCCTTCTTGTAGCAGAAGCTATATGTCGTCGGCAAGCACCCCCCATTGGGCATGGCCGTCCCGGGGCGTTGTGCCGTGATCTGGCCTCGCAAGGGGACAAGAACCCCTTGGAAGCGCGGCACGATCCGCGCCGTGTACCCGTTCGTGGCCAGCACTACCCGCCGGGCCCTGATGGCGCCCCTCGGTGTATGCACCGTCCACATAGCCCCAACCCCGTCACCACCATCACCCCCAACCACATCAGTAGTACTAGCAGTAGCAGTAACATCCCTCGACAACCCCACCACGGGCGTCCCGGTCTGCAAGTTCATCCCCCAGTCCAAACACATCCGCAACACACCAACACAAAACCGGTACGCCGACAGGCTTCCGGCGAAGTACTCGACCGCGCCGCAGACTTTCTCCTCCTTGCTGCCAAAGTGAGTGTCATGGACATGGAATCGCGCGCGGGCCTGTTCTGCCGAGTACAGCGTGTACTCGGCCGCTGGGTGACCGGGGGGCAGGGCGGCGCGCATGGCCTCCACCGCGGCGCAGGCGTGGGCCCAGTCGCCTTCGTCGTAGATGATGTCGACCGTGTTGCATGCCTCTAGGTCGCATGGTATTCCATGCTCACGGGCGAAGGCGTGCACCGCGAGGATGTTGGACAGCTCCAGCTGCGCGATTTGAGCGGCTGCGGGGACGCCCAGGGTTGAAGCGTGCGCCGGGAAGGAGCGGTAGGAGGCCGCTTTGGTATGGCCGCCTTTTTGAACAAAAGAGAAAGAGGGAATTGTGGTCAGGTTTAGGCCGAAAGATCCTAAGTAGTACTGGGTAAAGAAGGTAAAATGAGTACCTACCGTTTCGGCCCGTGGCGCCCGAACAGGCTTGTCGGGCCTCGAGCATGACAATGGACGCTCCGAGTCCGTCCGGGTTGGGTCCGGGTTCACTGTGCTGCAACAGACCCCATGCCACGGCAGCGCCGGTTATGCCGCTGCCTATGATGACTGTGTCGGCCGTCGAGGGGAGTTGCTCGGTGGTCCGCAGATCGGCGATTGGGTCGGGAGGGTCTTGCCAGTAGCTTTGGGTTGGGTTTTCGCTGGGCAGTGAGACGGGGATTTTGGCGCGCTCGTCCATGTTTCCTGCTGGTGGGAGTGGGATCTTTTCCAGGAAATGGATATTTAGTCGGAGACTGAACAACGGTGCTGTTTTGATGTGGTCGATGCGGGCTGTGCTTCTTATCACTGACTTGAGGAGGGGAAAGCACTGCTGCAGGCCATGGAATAGGCCAATGAAATTCGATAGCTACTTCCAATTGAAGAAAGTCGAAGCGCCTGGCATGGATCGTGCATTGGGCTACGTGCTAGTCGTGTTATATCACCGAGGAAGGTTCAAAGGAGGTCTGGGGACGAATTCTTATTCATAAGGCAGGTAAGATATCGCCAGTTATCTCAGGGTCTATCTGATACTCCACTAAGGGACCCAAGGTCCTACTCTGTTCCATGACCTTGCTCATGAACCCCTGGGCCAGAGGTTCAATGCAAGATGTGTCTTCCAATCATCAAAGGGGCAGTACTCGGAAATCTGCATGGTAGGGGCGGATGGCCATGATGCCATGATGCGCCCTCATGATTCCAAGTCCTGGTTCCCATGCTGTTACCACTCCTCTCTCATCCTGTCACCATCTCATCGTCAGCATCATACACATCATCGGGGTTCCCAGTTTGCTCTGCCGCGGGAGTGGTCCCCGGATCAGGAGGGGATCGAGAAGTCACCCTGGACTTAGGAGAACGAGCAGACAGTCTCCTGCCCTTGGCTCGGCCAGACTTCGAGATTTTCTTTGACCGTAGCATAAGCTTCTCGAAGTCTTTCGCGAGCTGTTCTGCGATCCATTTCTTGTCGCAATTTCCTAGAGTTTCCTTTGCCCGCAGCTTAAGCTTCTCGAAGTCTTTCGCCAGCTGTTCTGCCAGTGCGGTCCGTTCCTTGTCGCAATTTCCTGGAGCGTCCTTTGCGCGCAGCTCAAGCTCCTCGAAGTCCTTCGCCAGCTGTTCTGCCTCATGATCATTCTCTATCATCTTGGCCGCCTGCAGCAGAAGCAGCAAGCCGTCTGCCTGGGCCTCGGGAAGTCGAGGGGCTTCGCATGCTGCTTCTGCCAGCGCCTGCAGCTTGCTAGTATCGAGATGCTCTTGCTCCGGTTGGGCCGGTGTCTGAGCGTTAGCCATCATTCAAGGTTAGCAGTGAAGTAGTAATAAGGTGTATCGGGGGTAGAAGTCAAGATCGCGTACCTATTCGCCGCAATCTGACATTCTGACTGCCGGAGCTGGCCCTTAAATACACGGAAGGTAGGGCAGGGCTACAAGACACGGCACGCAAAATCTCTCAGACTCTCCAGAACTCTTCGCGGCACTGGGCATGGGAAACTGTGACACGGCTCCTGTTCACGCTTGATAATCCCGAACAGAATAGATCTTCAAAAATGGTGAAGATAGCTTAGGTGGGTAGGTAAACTACTAGTAGAGTGTTCTATGTGACGAGGGCAGAGTGAACAAGCCACGTCGCTCCTGGACTGCAGTGACTACTAGGCATTGAGGCAACACCTGGTCTCCTTGCCCAAGTCCCTACCTACATTTACGCTCTGGTGAAGTGACTTCCCGCCTCCTCGGGCTGACCTTTCATTCCATACAAATCAATGCGCTGATCTAAATACTAGCAGTAGCTGCCTGACGTGGTAACTTAGGTGTGCACAGGCACTCCAAATTCAAGTTATGAAAGTGTGCTCTGGTGGATTCTGAAATAACTTACGGCGGGATGTGTCGGTATGTTTATGGTTAACGGTACAGTACCTACCTATCTAATTCGCCCGTCTGGGCCTGAGCCTAAGATAGATCAGACTCCTGCATGGTCGGCTCACTGCTCCAGTGAAATGACAGGACCTCAGTCAAACTCGTCATTGGGTCCCCTGACATGCGTACAGTCGCTGATAGAAATACCAATACCGCGGTGAAGGCGGGCGGCGATATCGACAGCCTCTCCGTGAGTTAAGAAGTCTTGAAACAATCTCGGGCCAGCGGCCACGACAGAGTCCCACAAGACGGCCAGCTGAATCCACTGCTCCGACAAGTCGGTGATGCAGTTCTCGATCAGCTCTATGCGCCCGCCAAGGTCGCCGGCTTCCTCTCCAAAGTGATTGTACCCCTTCCTGACTAGTTCCATCATCCGGTCGATCTCTAGCATGCTCTTCAGGGTCTTGCCCATGAGGCCGTGAATTGTTGTGCGGCCTGAGCTGAGCACGTCACCGTAATGCTGGGCGTCCATGCTCGCAAGCCAAAGATAGTCGCCAATAGCCCGGCTAGTGTATATCAGATGCGTCTCGGCATCCCCTAACTTGGAGGGAAGTGCTGATAGAAGAGCATCGGGAGAAGAAGCATCAAAAGAGGGAGATTCCAGTGATTCCACTAAGGTGTTGCTTTCGGAAGGAGATACCAAGGTGTTGCTTTCGGCGCTTGGTAGCGACCCGACACCAAAATCACCACTGGCACTTACCTCTTCCCATCCCTCCAAGTTGATCTCAGGCTCCTTCTCCCACCAAGCACGCGCAGGCATGTTGGAGGTTAGACTTAGTGTCTGCGACAAAATCGAGAGTAATTATTCTTGGGTTCTCTTAACTTGATGGTCAAGTCTTATGCAACGGAGAATTCCTGGAGTCAAGTAGGAAGATGAGAGATTGCAAGCCTGTTATATATGGTGATATCGATATTGTCCCGTCATTTGCAACGGTATCTGTTTTAGAGGCGGGTATTGCACTCCTAGTTGTAATGGCAACAAAGAGCCTGACCTACTCTATGTCGCCAGTATCCTTTGTGCTATGGACGAGGGGGCATTGTCACACGCTGTCCGGCGTGTTGCTGAAACCAAGTCCTTTGTCTAAACAGCCACAGCTGCTGTTCCATTATGGTACTTTGAAATCCTGCTTTCTGTATACAGGCAGTGCACTCTCGAGGGCTGCTTTACCCTTATACTAGTAGTCTGTTGACAATTAGGTGCAGCTCGACAGCCATGCCATACACCAGACTGCTGTCTACCTGTAACAGTTGAAGGACCACTAGCACAACGCCAATCGCAAGTCGAAATCATGATGATTTGACATGTAAGAGTCATTTCACGACGATCCTTTCTTTGCTATGATTATAACGAGATACGAATTCATAGGTAACAAGCCTTAAACCTCAGCTTGAAAAAGCCAAAATCATCAAAGTTGTGTAAACCACCTTTCCTACAACCTTTTTCGCCCAACCCCCAACTTTAGTTCCTTCTAGCCCAGACCGGCAACCCACGTTTTCCAACGCGTCCTTCACGATGTACCTAGGCATTTAAATCCCCCTATACTTTTTGACAACCGTGTCTCCATCGCTGCCAGCACCCCTCCATACCACAGTCAAGCCCATTACATCGCCAGTCCCGGAGTTTGACTAGGACTCGCAAAAGCAGGCAGGCGATCATCACCCGCCAACTCAGCCGGCATAGGGTTGCTGCCCTCAACCTCCTTCCTGCCCCTGGTCCCATCCGAGTCACGGTCAACAACAGCCCCTTTCTCAAACCCGTAGTAACCGCCACCCGCTTTCCCCTTCCAGCTCCCATCCCCCTCCCCATTCCCATTCCAATGACCCCCCTCCGACCCAGCCACTGTAACACTCCCACTCCCAGAAGATCCAGACCCACCACTCCCCCTTTTCCGCGCCGCGGCCGCTTCGCGAGACCGCAAACTCGCCCCGCGCAGCACGCCGCCCAGGTCAAACTCGACGTCGTGCTCGCTCTCAAACTCCATCTTTTGCCGCTCCTGCAAGCCCCCGACCGCCGACATGGCCGGTGGGGGCTCCTCCGCGTCGGCTAAGCGGGAAGAACGCCAGGGTTGCCGCCCCCGCATCCGCCTTCGCCACAGCAGCCAGGTAATGCACGCCAGCACCGCAATTGACCCGGCCCCGACGCCCACTCCGATTCCAATCTTTGTGCCCATCGGGAGGTCCTGGTCAGCATCGCTTGCCACAGCGGCTGGAGTCGCGCTGCTGCCGGGGTTACTACTTGTATCTAGGTTATCAGAGGGGTCCGTAATGGAGGTGTCATCGTCGCCTGAGGAGACCGGCTGAGTGAAGGGGCTAGTGTTTTCGCTGCCGCCCAAGGCCGGGTTGGGGTTTTGGACGGCGACGGGGTTGGCATTGGGGATTGCGGTCCCACCCGCCTGGATGGCCGCGTTGGCGGCGGTTGGGGCCGGCGGGACAAAGACTGACATAACGATGGAGCCGCCTACTGTGGTGAGGCTAATGATTGGGGATGGGGAAGCGGTTGCTTGGTCTTGCGCTTGCTCCGGTAAGGGGCTGGAGGCCACTGACACCGACACCACCGGGGGAGGGGCGGTTATGGACCCTCCGTCTGCGAGTGGCGGCGGTGCGAGGGATGCTTCTGCGATTGGAGGTTCCGTAGCTACTACTACCGGGGGAGGCGGAGGTGGTGCGGGCTGCTCGACAGGTGATGGTTGTTCGGGAGCCGGTACTTCTACCACCGGGGGAGTGGCTAGTGGTGGCTCGTTCGGGATCGGTGCTGTAACCACTGGCGGAGGTGGCGGTGGAGGCGGCGGGGGTGGTGGCTGCACCACCGGGGGCGGTTGCTCCGGACTTGGGGCTGCCGTGGCCGGCGGGGGCGGAGCTGGTTCAGTGACAGGGGTTGGGTCAGGGATTTGCACCTCCGGCACGGTTGTCTCCACCGCCGGCTCCGCCGAGATCAGTACTAGTGGGTCCGGAACCGGCCCCGGAGAGGCAGTAGCCGGCGGCGCTTGGGTTTCTCCCGAAGCAGGAGGTGGTGGCACCCCATCCTCACCGCCTAGAAGCCCTGTAGGCCCAATAATCGGATCGAGCAAAGGGTCGAGTAACCCGCCCGGTGTTTCCGGCGCGGTTGTCTCGGATGTACCCGCGTCGTCGGCAGCCGGAGTGCTCGCGGCGTCGGCCCCTCCAACTCCCAGATTCAAATCCAACAGCTGTGCCGTCGCCAGCGCGACCTGCAACAAGAGGACGCGGATGACCAGCATCATTCAACTTTCAAGAAGCGAAAAGGAGAAGCAAAACGATTAAGCAATATTAAAATGATAGGAGCCTTTTGCCAAGTGTGCAAATGGCTGCTATGTAGATGCCAGTCATCTTCGAGGCTGAGGAGAAGAGCAAGAGAGAAAGAGAAATTCCCCAAGGGGAAGGCGCCAAAGATGTTGGCATTCATCTTCTGATCGGCGATGCATGATGGCAATGGACAGGCAAAACTAACGGTTGAACTCTTACTCGGTGCTGCCAAGGACCCAGTTTTCCCGAACGGGCACAGTTTCATCCTCCTGAACGTCAGGGGCAGCGTGTTGCACTGTTTGGTAAACGCCTTGATGGGGAGAGGATCATCGCCCGGAAAGGGAGCTTGGCGTGTCAAGGTTCCTGTTGCAGGCCCGTGATATCCCAAGGCGCGCGCTTTGACGAAAATCTAATGTTCCGAGATTCACTCGGTCATGCACTGACAGTTAGACGCTAGGTCAGGTAGATGCGCCTTGCCATGACTCGCGCTATCGCTCCTTGGTACCAGTGGCTCACCGCGAAAGTTTGTGACAGACGGAGGATTCAGGACGTCTAGAATGCAGCAACGCCCAACATGGGCGGGTAAATAGTGTCAGGTGAGACTGCTGGGCTATTCTATTCGTCCAATCCTCTCAAGAGTTCCGTTGACTCTCTAAAACACGCTCGAGGAGTAGCCCAGTGCAGATGGCACTGGCAGTAAAGAACGATTTCGTTAGGGTAGAGGTATACGTATAGATACCTACTCAGGTCACTCAGGTGTCAGTCTGGTAAGGTAGATCGGCGTGAACCTTGATTGAAGAACGATTGAACTGCGCACCGCTTCCGTGCGGGAGGAACGGATCGAAACCGGGCGCAGCGCCTTGATTGCTAGCTGTCAAAATTTCCCGAACTTCCCGTGTGTTGAACGTTGAAGATCTTCAATGCCTTTCAGTAGTACCAAGACATTGAAGACAGCATTAGAAGAGAAAATCCCCGAGAATCCCGTGTGCTAATTGTGCCTCTCAGAGAGTGGTTACCACACCAAGCAGTAGTTCCAATTGTATGCTGTTGAAATCTCCTCTTCACACGCATCCTATGTCCGCCCTGAGTTGCTGTCTTCTTGGTAGGTCGATCGATGTATATGGGAATCGGGTGTTGATGATTCCACCCCGCCCTAAGTTAGGTAGTCCATTGGTTTAGTAAAAATCCATCAACCATCCCCGGATACTAACAGTCCATGGGAGTGGTCGTGGACACACTGTAGTAACCCGCCTCTTGGCCTGTAGCTGCCAGGGGAGCTTGAACGGATAACCTGGTAAGAGCAATTTTCGCAATTGCCCTCGGTATCCTGGTTGCGGCGGCTTGCCCCGTCAAACCAGCAAATCAAGCGGCAAGTCTAGCACAATAGGCTGGTATCTTTCCTCCGTGCGGGGTTTTGCCAGCGTCATCCAGGCGGCGTTCACAAAGATGGTCTTGCGCCCCGGCTCGAACCGCAGCTCGGGCTTGGTGAAATCTAGGTGAGCCGGGGCGCCGTCGCTCACGAGCTTCTCGGCCTTTGCAACCTTGTCCGTCTCGTCATGCCACGTGACCAGTTCGACGCCGTGGCTGATGTGGTAATGTCCGAACACGGACAGCGCCGGCCGCGCCCGCGCGACCGCCTCGGCCAGCACTGGGCATCCCGTCAGCGGCGGGATGGGAATCCAGTCGAGGCGGCCGAGCGGCGGGCAGTGGGTCACCCAGATCGGGACGGACGACGGGGTCGAGGGTGCACCTGCCCATGCCTCAGCAGCCTGCGGTGACGGGTGGGGTGCGTAGATGAAGGCATAGGGCTTGCCGAGGAACTCGGGCTGGCAGGGGTTGGCGTAAACTGGGACGGCAGTGTTGCTGGAAGAATCCGGCAGGAGCTGGATTTCCTCCACTTGACGGTCGAGGTAGTGGATCCCGGCTGCCCTGGCAGCCTCGGACTTGAAGACTGCGAGGGCCGAGGGCAAGAAATCCTTGTGCTTCTCGTCCAAGGCCATGTCGTGGTTGCCTGTGTCGCTATGTTAACTACCTAGATAGCACTGGTGCAGACAGGAAAAGGGAAGATGGCATCATACCAGCTACAATAATCTTCACTTTGTGTGGAAGAGTCGATATCCAGTCGTAGGCGGCTTGCAACTCCTCCATGGTCCCAAAATCAGTCATGTCACCGGAATGAATGAGCACGTCCCCGTCCGGCAAGCTCCCAGTGCAGTCATCGTTGTGCGTATCGGAGATGCACACAATTCGCACTTTCCGGTCTTCGGAAGCGGAGTGTGGAGGGTTCAAGGCACCCATTTCTCAATTCTTTTCTGATCGTCAATATTCGTACTCTGAATGATGGATTGCCACTCTGAACGTTCCAAAACAATCTAATCTCGGCTCTACACAGTAAGCGAGGACAATTGACGACTATAACTCGATGGTCAGCGCTGCTTGCCTGGTCAACTTGGAGTCGTCTTGTTCAGTTGCTTACCTAGGCTCTCTACGAGGCCAATCTGTGGGCGGAAGATCATCACGCCGAGCAACGCGTGAAGTCCAGCAGATTGTGCGCCTATAATTACCTAGCGCGAATGCCGAGACCGCAGGGTTCAAGACCCCTGAACAGCTTCGCAACATTTCGCGTGATGGCAGATTCTGGCTTCTCGAAACCCAATGCTCTGTCACTTATTCACTTCGGAGACGACTGGAACTGTTGGTTGAGGTGTAGCTTCCTAGAATTACAGGAGCGATGGATCCAGCCTTGTGCCTTCCTCCTGGCATACCCTAGGTCACGTGTCTGAGGTCCACTCCCTCAACCTAGTGTACAAACTTGAACCACGCGACTCATCTACCCCAGTCTGCCTTATAGGCAAAGTCCAGGTCCTGTTGAAGTCGGGTACGGGCCCGACACCCGGCGCCCCGGCCCGGACATCAAGCAAACTTTATTGGGCAAATGCGGACATCAACTCAACTTCATTGGCCAAATGCGCTTCTGGGTGTCTGTGCCACAGGAAAGTATTCTTGGAGCTGAAAGCTAACCCCTAATCGAGACGCAAGTTCTCGGTTCGCGACGCCCGTCTGGTAAACGCGCTGACGAGGCTCTGAAAAGTGAAATTGCTCAAGCCACCTAAAGACACAGGTATAACAGACATGTGCTCAATTCAGAAGCCGTTATTGGCCAGTCTAACCCTCATCAACGAGCCTTTGGTGTTGAGCCTCAGGACTTTCCGCAAGTTTAAAATTGAAGCAATCGCCGGCTTAGGGTACCCAGGTATGCCTCACCACCACTCATGCCCACTGTCCTACGTTACTCTAGCAAGGCATACCGCTGCAACCAGCGATGTGGTGACTAGTCATTTGATCTTCACTGTGGCCGGTACTGTATGTACATCATACAACGCTAAACTTGCGCCATCATGAGTGCCGACGCCGCGACTTCAGCCGCCGAAACGGCGCCCGAATCTTGGCAATCTAGTCTCGGCCTATCCGGAGTCGACCTCATCGCCATGGTGGTTAGCGATTCGGGGCTGGCGAACTGTCAACCACAGTGGTGGAACGGATCTCCAACTGGCTGCATGCTGATCGGCCTTCAGCCGCGAGGAGGGTGGCAGGCACGTACCCTACTGGCGTTCTTCACTCCCGACTGTGATGTTACACTACTTTTCGTATCGTGTGTGACCGGAAGCGAGGCAGTTCTGACCCTTTCGCCGCTATCTTCTAGATCGTCCAGCGCGCTGTGCAATGGGGCAACGACAAGTGGGCCAAGTGCTTCGGCGTCGATTGTGCCTCGCCGCTTCTGTACGCCTACTTTGCCTGCACCATCCGAAACCGGCTCGAGGTGCTCGCCACGGACCGTCTGCGCTCCCCCATGGAAGGTGTGCCACCGGGCGGACCTTGGAACACCCTAGGTGATTCCTTTACCGTTCAACGACCAACCAAACTCGTCGACGGCAGCCGAGGCGGACACGCCTTCATGGCTGAAATCTTGGCGCCAGACGGAGATACACATTACAGCATTGCTGAAGGCGCGCGGTTGCAAATGCTGAGTGTTCTGATGGTGGGTGCGGGCCTGGCGGTCGACGACTCGCTCGAAAACTATATCGACGTTGTACTGCCTGCCGACTTTGATTTATCCGGCGGGCTCGGGAGTGTCTTTGTCCGCCTTGCATATGGTCTAGTTGTCGCCAGCATCCTGGTTGTCGGCCTTACGGTTGCCGCCTGGTGGTCACTCATGAATACAAACCTGTTTGGCGAGGCGGCGCGACCGTTCATGGTCAAGATAGTCTCGCTCCTAAGTTGGGCTGTTGGCGCTACGGGGCTGCTAATGATGGGCGGTAATCCGCGGGTTAAGCTGGTTGTGAAGAAAATCCCCGAGCATATAAAGTCACGTCTCGCTTCGCTCAAAGATGAGGCGTTGGCATCCAACAGTATCCGAGTCGAATCTTCTAAAACTTGCGTCACAACAGAGATTACCTCTCCGGACGAAAAAGACCGACAAACCGAGTCTGAACATGGCCAGACCTTGCACTTGGACCCAGGAAACGAGGCGCGATCAAGATACGGCACAGACCCAAAGGTCAAAATCCAGTTCGGCTCCCTTCACGGCTCAGTCTTTGTTCCGGACCGGGGCTCTTGCAAACTGCGCTTGTCTGTCGTAGAGCGACTCTGCGCCCTCGATATCCAGACCGTTCGGACAAAAGGGTGGTATATCGGGATGGCATGGTTCGGCCTGTTACTGCTCGGGGGCGTAGCTCTCCAGATCGGAGCCACACTTGCTCCAAGGTGGGAGGCTGATCTTATGGGCTTGGTGTTTCTCCTCGCTACTGCTTTGGCAAGAGGAGCTGGCGTCGCCGGAGATGAAGACTGGATGATACCCAAGTGGAAGCGGCGGCGGAACGCGTCGAATGGCGCCGTGCTTCTGGGCCAATTCCAATCCAGAGCGGGCATCCCCGAGGCTTGAGCTACCATCACAGGCCTCAGGGATGGCTCTGCTGGCAACTATGGCGTCTTACTCCAGGTTTCTGACTTTGTCCTGAGAACTCCCTGGTTGTTCGATCTTCGGGTTGCGTTGAGCAACGGAGGCGAAGAGCTGTACTCCGTGCTCCGTCCTACTCTCTCCCGACGCTCTCAGGGATCCGCTTCAGTCTGGCCACTGAATACCTAGTGCGTCTGGACTTTGCCCTATCCCGAGGATGAATGGGGCTACTAAGGCAAGAATTCATGAAGATAAGTAGTGCCGCTTCAATCATCATGTAAGATCCTCCTGCCTTGACTCTGAGACTATTTGAATAATCGCGCTGACCTGACCCCTAGCACGGCAAACTCGACTGCGCGAAACACTGTGTCACGAAACGAACGAAATCGGCCGTGTAAAAAGAAGGCGGGCAGCTGATGCTGTGACAGCTCGCTCTCGTTGAAGCGCCGAGGTTGTGTGGATGCCCTTCAGTTGTGCCTGCTGGGAGGCAATATTACTGGGGAAAATGAGACGAACCTAGGATGATAGCGTCCTTTTGGCTACTCTCTACTTAATTCAAGAGGTGAGGGCCTTGGGGCGGCCTTTGATATTACCGGATCCCTATGAGATATCATGATATTTATACCATTTGGTTAGGTGTGCCTATGTAAGGAGATCCAACTCAAGTACTAATCCAATGAATATCAACACGCGGTACCAGCTATTTCAGTTGATACTGCAGATCAGTTGGGTACCGCTTTGTAGATACTATGCATATTTACGTCAGCTGCTTCCCGCTTGTGATGGGCATGCCCCAAGACGGTTATATGTCGTAAGGCTTTGCTCAGCATGGCATATATGATCGTTAGGTACCCTTCCTACCGACCGGACTTTGTAGTCATTGTCCACAGATATAACGATCTTGTACCGACACCGTAGCGCCATCGTCATTGCCTTTATCTCGTCTGGTGTTACCGGGTACCCGGGCATGGTCAGCCGACATTGAGAGCGGAATAGGCTGACTAACTCTGATGCCCAATGCTGATCAGAATTGGCATAGTAAGCAGACGAAGCCTGAGAAAGTGACTGTTCCATCTCTATTTGGGAGCCTACCCTGACTGTCTATAGTATGATATAACCCATGCCCATTGTGTTAGCTCCCTCATTCATGCTCCGGCCGCCGCCGCTTGGTATCCGACCCGAGATAGTCGATAGCGTTCCGGCAGAGCGGGCACGTGTTGCGCCCGCTGTTTTGGAACCACTTGTACAGACAGACTCGGTGGAAGTCGTGATTACAGGTGCCGCACTTCTTATCAGGCAGCGTCTTGTCCTGCGCAATGATTGAGTAGCAAATAGCACACTCCTCCTGGCCTTTCAAAGCCAGCGAAATATTTCGCCGGAATGCCATGAGGCCGTCAACAAGGCTGCAATTCTAATACAGAGCACAGCGTCAGAGACTGTTGACACCCTAGAAACACAAGGGAAACTTACCCCGAACATGATCACGGCCTTGGTAGCCTTGAGCCATGACTGCCACCTGTCCTCCCTGACTGCAACCCTCCTGACGCTGTATACCTCAACAGGATCTAAGGGATATGACTCCGGGACAATGAGCGAAATGGTCGCTGTGTCGTCATCGACTGGATATCCTGCTGTGATCTCCCTCAGTGTCTTATTGACCTTCACAACCAATTTCTCGGTGTCTCCATCGCCACCTTCTTGCTTTGAGGACCAGTCGATTACTTCGTCCAAAGCATCCGAGATAATCAAGGGCGAGAAGAACTTCTGCATCCAGGACAGCACCGTGTTTGTGGTCTGCTTAGAGGTACAGCTGAGATACCACATCTTGAACAAGCCGGGAATGTACTTCAGAATAAGATAGAATAGGTGTATCAGGAGCCAGTTCATGTCTCTCTCAGCAGGCTCAGAGTCGGCGAGATCAATCCTGTAGGAGCGAATGTGCTCTGTAGTAAAGCCTTCTCGGTTGAGGTCAAGTGCTCGGGCAAAGGCGTGGCCGAGGACATCGACTAGGAATCGGAGAAGAGGCTCGAGCTGGTTGCCGCTCCGCAGGTTCTCCGTGTAATCGCTACGGGCCCTGAATGAAGCCTTGCTAAAGGCATCGAACACGAGGTGCCAGGAGAGAAGGTATGCACGGATTTCGGCTGGAAACCGAGTTAAATCTTCGTCGGAATAGTCATCCGGGTTCGGAGCATCCAAAAGAAGGGAGAGTAATTCATTCGGGAGGTTAGCCGCTACAGTTGTTAGCATGTTTTTCCAGCGCGTTATAAGACACCACTTACCCGTTTTGTCCATGACGACAGCAAGATTGATATCCTCCTGAATAGCGGGCAGAGCTCGGTGGAGCAAACTAAACGCGGCCCGCTGGATGTCTCGTGATTCTGATGCAACGGATCCATATAGCTGCCCAAGATCCGGGAGGTCCACATGCTGAATCTTGCTCACAGCTCTGCTGAGGAGAGCGTCAACGAGCTGATTAGGCAGAGAATCGGCCGCTTCGCGTGACATGCTGACCAGGCCAATGAGGGCCGTCGATTCAGCCTTTGCGTGTTTGGCGAGGGCATCGTCGAGGTCGTCATTCGCGTCGTGTGCTGCATGGAGCGCCTGCATCAGCTTCAACGATGCATGAATACCCGGTAGCAGGTCGTTATCTTCTCCCTCCGCGGCCTTCTTCCAAAGCCAGATACAGTATTCTATGGTCTGATCCCAGAAAGGACCATAGGCGTGCTTCACTCCGGGCAGAAGTCTAGTGATGGCCTTGCAGGTTTCCGCAGCGATTGAGCTTCCCATGTCGCCTGGTGTATCTGTCCACCGGGCCAATTGTTGAAGAGCGAGAACCTGCTTGCGAGGTTCAACGGGTATCTGGTCGGATTCGTAAACATCCATGCAGAGATTCAGCAGGACTATTGACTCCAATGCACGCGGTGCAGTAGGAGAGAACCCGGGCACGTCGCTGACAAGCCGTGTGCACAGCGTGGCGACTGTTTTGGATGACGCAAGCGTGTCACCAAAGCCAGCGAGGAAAGCTGCTATCAGAAAAGCAATCTCAGGAGTGACCCTCATAATCCCAAGCCTGCTCAGCCAGTCTTCCAGCTTTGTGAGCGGCCCATGTGTCTTAACAAGGGCTTGAAACAGAGAAGCCAGAGATTTAGCCGTGTAAAATGCACCCGGGCTTGAGCCGCGGGACCCCTGAACCATAAAATTGATGAGCCGTTCCACTAAGGAATCACCGGACATGTCCCAGTCCTTCCAGCCCTCAGCGCCTACAATAATGGCGTTGATGGCGCCTATAGCAAGTTCACTGAACTGCTGGAGCTCATTTTCGGGCTCGTCTCCGTTCCGCCATAGCCCTCCGTGCCGCGCTGCAGCTAGCTGATCCCCCGCAACCGCTTCCGTGACGCAAAGCAAATATACGAGCTCTAACTGGAACTCCGGTGGGAGTGAGCTCAAAGGAACTCCAGCAGAAAGCAGTTTGGCAGTGAAAAGGGCCATCCTAGCGGGAATGGAACGCCCCTTGCCATCTCGGCGTTGCCCCCGATCCTTGGCTTTGGAAATGTCTCGCACTAAGTAGTAGGCCCCTCCCATGCTGCTGGTAATCGACAACGAGGGGCTAGGCGGTTGTGCGAGAAAGCAAGAGAGCTCATTCATCCAAACTGTCGAACTCGGGAAGAGGTCCTCAACTGATACACTGTCTGATTCTAAAGCGGCGAGCGCTTGTTGGAACAAGGTATCAATACTGCAAACGAATTAGTGTTTCAACTCACAGGCGACAAAGGAATTTGAAGAAGTAACGCATACTCCAGAGAAGAAGGACCAGCATCGTCGAGTTCCTTCTCGATAATCCTTGGGAGTGGGTTCTGCCCTGTGGACTGTTGGTCGAGCGAGCGTCGCAAGCCCTTAGCCCTTTCAGACAGCGTGGAATCAGAGAGCTCCATTAAGGAGAGCAGATGACTCAACAAGTCCACATGTAGATTGTGGTCTGTTGGGAGGAGATCGGGCCGCTTCTGTAGAAGCAACTCTAGAGCGGCAAGGGCCAAGCTGCACGTTTGGGGAGCATCAAGGGCAGAAACCACCTCAGCGGTGATACGCGTCATGGATTCTTTGGTCAAGGTATTGAAAGACAAGGTATCCGCAAGAAGGTCCCTCAACGACGGGGGTCCGTTGGCCTTTGTAGACTCTTCCCATGCTGACACAAGAAAGCTCTGTAATGATGCAGAACGCTGTGCGATTTGGTCAATGGAAGGAATCCCAATAAGCATCCTGACAGCGGAAATGGCCGCCGCTCGGTCTGTAATTCGGAGAGCTGCCTGAAGGAGGGCCGTCCAGATCTCCTCAAAACGATTCCCCTTGGCGGCTGAATCCGCGTTAAGATTGGACACAAGATAGGGGAGTGAGGGAGATGAGATGATAAGATCAAACACTTCTGTACGGTCGACTGGGAAAAGGAGGTCTAATAACTCATGCTCAGCACAAAGTCGGGGGCAGTGCTTGAAAGCCGACTGTAGGACTGATGCAGCGCCAAAGGGTTTGAAGTTCCTCCTAGACAGCACGTTAAGGGCCCCGTGCATAATCTCTACCGAGGATGTAGTGAGCACACTTCGCAGTAATGCACCCTCGTCGTCTTCCTCGGAAAGGATCTGGGCTGCTAATGCAAACCAGCGCTCGCCTTCTGAAGCAACGCCGGTCTGTGACTGGCGATATCCGTCGGAGACCTCCGGGAGGGAATTAGATATCCGGGACAAGAAAGAGCTCGTCAATTTCTGCCATTCCTCCGCCACCGCCTTGTGAGCCTCGGCTCCTGTATGACGCGCCACGGCCTTCCAAGCTGTTGCTAAGAAGTCGGGCCGCTGCGGCGACGGCAAAGATGAATCGGAGACAGGGTGCAAATACTGCCGTGTAAGGGAAGAAAGGTTCTCTTCCAGGAAATCTGTAGTCGGAGAAAAATGTTGAAGGAAGAGATCGAAGACGCGGGCATAGGACTGAAAGCCCTGGGCGCGGCTGGCCTGAGACTCGAGCCTATTTGCGATGCCCTTCCGCATCGCCGCTAGGAATGAGGACAGGACATCAACTTGCGGTGTCCTGTCGGGACAGATCTGGAGGAGTTGATCCAAGGCGCGCCAGAACTCCTCAGCACCTCCTTGTGAGCCTCGAGCAACAAAGCTCTCCAGCCGCTGCAGTAGATGCTTCTGAGTGCCCCACACTTGTGGGAAATGCCGCGTCAGGCGGGCTAAGGCTCTCAGAAGGTCAGTCGCTGACTGAAGCTGGCTCTTCTTTAGGCCATCTGCAATGAGGGCACGTCCGATTTGTTGTAACCGCGGCTCCAGGAGGTTGGGCTGCGTGTCCAAGAGGGTACTGAGGAACTGATAAAATACCCGGCGTACGAATGGATCCTCGGCGTTCGGCATGGTCCATATTGCTGGGACCTCCAGATAACTAGCCAAGCCATCCTGGAGCGAACTTATATCCCCTCTCCTCACCAAATTCAAGACAAGAGATAAGCTGGCTCCAACCACTCGGTAATACTTTGCTTCGGAATCTTGCTTGGTGGTCGACCGCTCGTCGCTGAGTGTGTCTGGGGTTTCTCTGACGGCTTCGCTGGCGAAACCAAGTGCTCGATTCTGCACCGCCTTCCAAAACGCTTCCTCTTTCTCTTTGGTCGGTAAAAAGGAGGAGAGCGCATCACTAGCAGCCTTGGACACACGCTTGTCTCTGTCGAAGGTGCCAGCGAGCCACGGGCCAACAAAATCCGGCAAGCGTTTTGCGATGCGCTTCTTGGCGTGACTAAGCAGGCGAAATAGCACTTGGTGGGAGAGTTCTCTGGCCCGGGCCGAGTCGTCGATGGATAATCGGGGATAGAGCTCAAGATATGCGTCTATTACCGGCTCTTCCAGCGGATGGGCGTCGGGAGGACGAGACTGCACATAAGTGAGAATGTCTTGCAGCGCTTTCTCCTTTGTTGTGCTGTCCTTTTTTAGCAGGTTCTTGAACGGCACCACTACCTCCTGGGGTATGGCGGAGAAATCGGGTGGTAGCGCGAGGTACGACAAGGTCGTTGAGGATGCTTTAAAGCCGCCGAAGCCCCCGCTCTGCATTGCCCTGGGACCTCCCGAGAACATTGAAGTAGTTATTGAAAGGCAATCTCGTCGAGACGTAACGCCGTGTTGAGGTGGTGTTATGGGTTTCAGACGTCAGAACCTTGAAGCTAGTCTCGTCAGCTCCAGTCGCTTAACCCCAACTGACTTGGCGACTTTGCGATCGGGGAGAATCAATGCGAACCCACTGCTGTTAGGGCCGTTATTTAACTTCTAAAGGCCGTATCTGTATTGCTGAGCTCGTCCCACGACTGGAGGAGAAGCGGCGCGCAACCCCGCCCCTGAAGGTTGCTGCGGAGTATTATGTCTAGCATCAACATCGAAGTTACATTTGCCGGTCGGTTGACGCCTTTTTGGCGGGGCAGTCTCTTTGCGTCTTCACTTAACATGGAATCACGTGATGCGGGGCAGCACTGCAGTCTTGCACGTACTGGCCGGCATGACTCCATCGGTGAGAGGGTCAGTGAATTGCGATGAATTTGTACATAATATCCTCTACTACGTAGTATAGAGGACTACTGTTCTTTCACTTAGTCCAAATCCAAGAGATGAAGGAGTACGAGATTCATAGGATTCGTTACAAAGATGATTTACAAGGTTCAATACCTTACATAGAGAATGCTCCATATTGACATGAATCACTCCGTATCTAACAATACTTTAGGTGCCCTAGTTATTGCAGTAGGCGCCCTTTTCCCACTTAACTTCTCGAAGGCCGATCTGATACAACGGTCAGGCACTGCTTAATGATGAGGAAATGGTAAGGAAATGGGGATTGTTAAATGGCAAGCTACCGACCGAAGGGAGTTTTCAGATCAGATACGTATGGAGTACATAGTTTTGTGTATTAGTGGGGAGTTTGAGAAGCCATTGAGAAAATGACGTCGTCAGTGGCTGTGGGTCGGTCAGTGTTTGGTCTCAGGTCCCTGGAGGAGAAACGGCCGATTACTATCCGACTTCAGCGAACACTGAACGGTGACAAGGTGGTTTAAATTGCTCCAACTTCCAGTGCATTTTGCATCCTTCTGATATCCGATGTTTGGAAGATCTACAACAACGGTTCCTCAGGTCATTAAGGTAAATCCAAAATAATTACCTACCACCTTTTAGGATGTGAAGTCTCCTTCACACCTGACAACAAGCGACGGAAGTCGGTCACATCGCGTCGGTTACCCTAGCACCCGGAACTCGGTGCAACAATTCGTCGACAGAAGCTTGACGCGTAGGTACTTAACAAAGGACCTTTACCTCCGCAAGACGACTGGAAAAGGTCTCGCTTCACCAATCGTCGCCCAAAGGACACTTCATTACCTAGCAGTGCCGTCATTGCCGAGTATCCGCCTGGATGCAAGGCTTATCATGCCAACGTTGGCGTTACCCCGCATCTGCGTCATGTTACAGACGGACAGGGTCCAGTGGCTTCAGGGTCACCTAGATTCAGGGCCCATTAGACCGACCGAAGCATGTAACTCCAACGAATCAACGGAAACCGGCCGGCGAGGGGGGCCTGCGGTTGGCTTGTGTGCCCAGGCCGGGCTGCATTTGGCGGGACGATTGGATCGTCGTGCGATCATTACCCAGTTAAGGCAGGTAAAGTAGGTTGCACGATACATATTTGTCTTTGCGCGGCCGGGGGAAACCGGCCGCTTGACAATTCCAGGTCACTTGTCCCAGTCCTCCTGCTTGCCCCAACTCCCCTCATCTACACCTCCCCACGATCGCTTCACTTTTGATCTCTTGGGGCCCAACATCATCATTCCTCCATGACACCCATCTTATCTGGAGGTGATCTTTGGCAGGTAACTTCCTGATAGGAACACAACACCTTTCCCTCCCCTAGGCAACCTTAATTTGGTCCGTGGACTGTAATACATGTCCATGTCTGTCTCATGCGACAGATCCTCCGGCTTGCACCCTTCATATCAGGATACCTTGTTGTCGCGTAATTTTTAGCTGACTTCATAAAGAACACCAGGTAGCCGATAGCGCCACTAGCATGTCACCAGCTCCCTGAAGTCGTCGTTCGCCATGTCGTTGACCGCTGCTTCCAACCTCGGCCATCGAGCCCGGTGCTACAGGGCCGCCCGCCCAGCGGCTCTCGGCTCTCTTAGAAGCACAGTTGTGTGTCACCATCCCTCGCAGCAATCCCGCGGTTTCCGCTTCGGTCGTCTCTGGTGGTCTTATTACCATCAGGATTTGCACCATGACATCTACCATCGCCATCGCCGTTTCCGGTGCAAATATGCCGAGATTCTCAATCGCCGGTTGTCTTGGGAAAAGCCATCGCTCGCCCAGGATGCCACAGCAAGGTTGAAGCAAATGGTCTACAATTGCTGGCATCCCCATTTCAGGGCAAGCCAGACCAATGGGCGGTACATGAACACCGATGCTGCGCCCAAAACTCCGGACAATCCGGATGGCGTCCGACCTGGGCAAAACATTGAAGATGCAGAGCGAGCACCCTTGGAGCATCTCCTCTTCGGCAAAAGCTACAATAACCCGAAGTGGAAGAGTGCGGCCGGCAGTGGATGGAACAGCCCTGACTCGACCCCAACGCAACCAAGCACTGACCCAGAGTATGTTATCGACCCCATCACGAACCGCAAGGTCCTCAAAAAGCGGCCTGGCAACACGCGTTCAGCCTCAGACGGAGCCGCGGAGATCCCGATCAAGGTATTCAAGAACTACGGGTCCCACTTCGGGCAGTTCAGGCCGCACGAGTTCCAGGAAGGACAGGCTCCCATCTTCTACGATGGCCCGCCACCCCGGTCTGAACTTGACAGCTATCGTCGTGTTCGAATCGACGAGCCAGGGGACCCTAACAGTCAGTTTGCTGAGCAGCGCGGCCAAAGTGGGCCTGAACGATCATCACTCCGCCATGGTACTGCCCAGTTTTCTAACCTCGTGGATGCTCTTACTGCGACGCACAAGGAGGTTGACTGGCAGCGAAACGATGGCATCTCGCTAACCTCTCCTGAGTACCCGGATTTGCACAAGTATCGACCTGTATCCATTGGGGAGCTGCCCACCCTTGACAAATCTACAGAAAGCCCCCGCTATAAGGACCTGAACAAGTACACTGCTTTCAGATACAACGAGCCCGATGGTAAAACTTCAGACATAGAACCGCTTCAAGGAGCCGAGGAGTTGGACAAGTATGGCGCTGTGAGGAGCCATGAACCGGATGGCAAGTACAAGGTGGAGGCAGAACCCGAGACAGACCCGCAAGAACTGAGCAGATATCGACCCGTGCGGTCTCACGAGCCGGATGGCAAATACAAAATACAGGAGCCAATACCAAAGCATGACGACTTTGACAAGTATGTCAATCCTAACAGCCCCGAACACCTGGAGCGACGTCTTGCGGAACCTGAAGAGGCCGCGCCGGACCCAGCGGAATTGGCCCGGTATCGCGAGCCCGTTCTGAGCCACGAACCCGACGGCAAGTATGCCGCCGAGTATGCGGAGCCCGGACCTGACCTGGCTGAGCTGGCAAAGTACCGCAAACCCTTCTTCAGTCATGAGCCGGATGGCAAGTATGCTGCTTCTTACGTGGAAGAAAGGCCAGGAGATGCCGAGTTGGCTGGGTACCAAGCCTTCCGGAGTCATGAGCCAGACGGAAAATACGCAACAAACTATACCAGACCCACATACGATCCCGCGGAGTTGGCTACATATGGACCATTTCGCAGCAATGAGCCGGATGGGATATACGCTGCCGACAATGCGCCAGCCGAAGCCAAGTCTGCGAGAGAGGCCGCAGACCTAGGCAACCACGAAGCGTTCGGCTACGAAGACTTGGAAACTATCCCCGCTTATGGAGACGCCCAACTCCACAAGGATGCCTCGGACGCCCCTGGATGCGAGACTACGCAGATGGACAAGTCGTACGAGCCACGGACCGCTCCGGTTGAGGGAGGCTATGATGCAGAAGAGCTGAAGAAGTACCAAGCCGTCCGATGGAATGAGCCCGATGGGAAACCCGCCAATGAACAAGCTACCAACCAAGGATTCTTCGAGTATGATCTCAAACGCGAGTCGACTTCCGAGGCAAAGACGCCGTACCGGAAGGTTGTGGAGGAGCTGATGGCTCACTCGGTCGTCGCTGACTCGGATACTGCAGGTGCTGAGTCTGCAGCACGGTCATTCGAACAGAGTGCGGGCAGTCAAAGAGGCGTCAACAGAGAGGACCAGAAGGCAGCACCTCTGACAGGAAATTATGTTCGAGATTTCCCGGAGGATTTCGCGCATGACTGGACATCCAAGATTTCTGAAGCGCAAGCTTCGCTTGTGGCGACAGAGCGAGGTGCGTCCGAGAATCATGTTTCGGAAACGAAGGATACCAGCGAGGCTGTGCAGCCGGCCCTTGAACGACTTAGCAAATTCCGTACCCCGAAGACTGCCAGTGGTGAGGGGGAAGGGAACACCGCACAGCCGTCTCAACCTGTTCATCCCCCGGGGCCTAGTCTTTACAAGATTATCGTCTACGACCCTACGATGCAGAGCATTGAGGTTGCCGAGACGACTTCTGTGGTACCCGACAGCGCTGCCCCCCTGACACCGGCTGAGGTACTTTTGCGAATTTCGAACCCGGCCAGGTTTTTCCCCCACTTCGCCCCTCTCCAAGCCGAAGGATTTGAGATTGTCTCCGGCAGCGGCGACGTTCTCATCTTCCGCAAGGTTCGAGAGGCGAATCCCCAAGCCCACCAAACCTCGCCGGCCCCCATGGAAGCCGTCACATCCACCGCCGCCGCCTCTTCCCATGCTGCCGTATCTTCCAGTCCCGCCGTCACTGCCCACGCCGCCGTCAACCCAATTGATAAGACAGGGGGGCTCATGGAATACACGGTTGCCGCCGGCCGCTTTGCTAGCCCCACCGGCTTTGTCAACTACGACCTGCCGCCGCCTACCGCTTACCAGGCCGAATCAGCCGAGTCGGGTAGCAGCGTGCGCCTTGACGAGCCAGTGCTCCGCGCGAAGAACGCTGATTACGAAGAGCGCAAGCACGCCAGCCTCCCAAAGAGAGTCGCTGTTGGCGCTGCATGGTTGGCTGGTATCTCCTACTCGATTGGAGTCGTGGCTGAGTATTTCAAGACTGGCGGCGCTGACGGCAAAGGTCCCAAAGGGCTGTGAGGGAGTTGCCTTTTGGACGCAGATCTCTTGAGCGTGGTGTTCTTCAATGTGTTTCAAGTCTTTCCTTTGGAGTTTCTGCGTGGTAGGCGTACATGGCTATACCTATCGGCATTGGAGTACTGGGGTAGGGTTGGGATCCGGTACGGGCAATGGCATTTTGACTTCCATTCCTCTCGCTTATACATCAGGAGGTTACTGGATCAGACTGCGCGTACAATACACGAGTGGGCTGGGCTGGATGGCTTAGGTGCGCTGCTTTGGTTGTACTGTATAGGATGCTACTCAACAGCGACATTGTCAACTCTTCTTCCCCTGCTCCAGACGCGGTGATCTGTTAGGGGCATTACAGTCGTTGGTGCTGGCTGTTTCAATTGTGACTGTGCCACCGGATGTCAACGGATCAGTGGCAACTCAGACAAGTCGACTGTGAACTGATAGCTTGCGGCGCGAGTCCCTTTTGTTCTTAATTTGACTTTTATCATCATAAGTCTTATCGTTAGGCAATGATCTTGCCGTGGCTACCAACTGCCCAGCTGCAAACCAGCAACCTGAAACCGGTCCGATCTTCCCAACCCAAACACCCTTCGGTGCAATTTCCCAATTTCCGAAGGGAGAAGACGAAAGTGTACTGTACACAGCTGTAAATGCAGTAACCATCCTAACAGTTATTGGCGCTCGCTTCACTGCCGTCGCTGGCACAGCATATGTGTCTCGTTAAAGATCCGTGAAGAAAGAAATGCAAACCTCCCGTCCGCCATCTGCATGTGCCCCTTGATAATATCACAATCCCGCTCAGAAACCAAATGCAAAGAGGCAAAAAAATAATGGGGTAAAACGGAAGAAAAGAAACGAAAACCCCTCCCAAAGATATAGACACGAAGAGAAGAAAAAAGGAACTGGATATCACGGAGCAAAAAAAAAAAAAAAAAGCTTTCAAGTGCGTCCGGCATCCGCCTCGGTAAACCCCCCGCCCTCGCCGCGCAGCTGCCGCGCCTGCAGCTCGTGCTTGTACTCCTGCGCCGACCAGCTCTGCCGCCGGTCCAGCGCCGGCTTCCACCCGCTCGTGTGTGACATGGCGCGGTTAGCGGTGTTGCTGCTGCTGCTGCTGCTGCTGCTGCCGGGCGAGGCTAGCAGGGACGCTGACAAGTTGAAAGGGTCTGTGATGGCGGCTCCAACTCCTGTGGATGCGGATGCAGATGCAGAAGGCTGATGAGTTGGTTCGGTGGGTGGATGCGTGGGGACAGAGGTGCCGAGCGTTGTGGTCGACATGGTTTATGGTCGAGTGTTGTGGTGATGTCACCTGGCTGGTTGAGAATTGCGGTAAGGTTACTAGTATGTGGCTTTGGATGTTTGGATGGTGGTGATGGTGATGATGGAAAGCGCCTTTCGCCGAGTAGAGATGTAAACGGAATTGAGGCGTTGAGCTTTTAGAACAGTGGCTTGGAAGTTTTGAGGTCGTCCAGCCGGAGAAGAGCGGGAAAGTGTGAGGCCTGGGTATGTTCCGTTTTAATAGTGACACGCTCAAGTTCGAGAGAAGTGAGGTGACGATCTCGATCTCATTGTGCAGCTTCGGTTGCCACTGGGGTTGCTGTCGGTCCCGATGAGGTAGGGTAACGGCGGGGGCTTATCTGCACTTTAGGGGGAGGGGGGCAGGTTATCGCTGCAGTTGCGGTCTATAAGAATATCGGCTTATCGCGGAGGCGATCGGTTGCCAAGATCTACCATTTCCGTAATGCCAAGTGTCTTCCCGTCCCCGCATCGTCGATCGTTTGCAGCAATTGCAATTCGAGCCACGATCACTACGCCGTGTGTCCAGCGCTTTTATTCTCTGGGGTTTTATCTCTCCCCGCACCTGAGACTGTGCCGTTCAATTCGAATCACCTCGATGACAGCTTGGACAACTGCGCGCTTAATCTCCCCGCTACCGGGCTCCTTGGACTCAATGGAAGCCTCCAAAAGCTGCCGGCTTTCGGACTCGCCGAGTTGGACGACGTCTTTGACAGAGTCGCCAGGTTCGGTATCTTGAGCCGCCCAAGCGCCGCAGCGGGGTCGTTGTCCTTCTCGCCAAACGACTCTCGGTACGTGTGCCGCGTCGCCCGCGATGACCGGATCGACCGCGGCGAGTTCAGGTGGTAGTTGAAGGATGGGCTTCTGAGCCACGACCTCTGCGTCCACGCTTTTGGCGGTGGGTTTTCGAGCGGCTCGCCTTCAAGCTCGGCTGGGTTGGGAGTGCTGCCAATTGGTGCGTTTGCTGGTGCGCTCCCGCCATCGAGCTCCGAGATAGGACTCAGCGTTGTGGCTTTATAACTGGCCCAGTCCTGGTTCCCTCCGGCCCCCGGACCTAAGCCCGCCTCGCCGCCTTCCTTCGCCAGGGCACGCAACCTATTTTGTCGCTCTCTTCGTCGCCTAATGAGAAGGAATGCCGCCGTAAAAAGCAGCACTCCTGCAATGACCGTTACCACTACGATAACGGCAATGCTTGCGCCGCGGTCAAGGGCGCCAATCCCCCCCTCCATGGCCGCATTGCTTGCATTTTGCGGAGCAAGAGTAGTCGTCGGCCCTCCGGTTTCAAAAATTAGATTTATCGACTCATTCGGGCCTGGGGTTGCTGTTGCATCTAGGACCACGGTGCGAAAAATCGCTGGGGGAGATTGTTGACCCCTTAGCGAGCTGGATTCGGCCCGTTGGGTCGCCATCGGGGGAGACTTTGGTGGTTGATCCCCTTGTTGGGTAGGTTCAGGCTGTTCCCTCCCTGCCGAGGTAGGATCCGACTGTCGATTCTCTTCCGATGTGGCCTCCGGTTGTTGACTACTCTCCGAGGTAGCTTCCAGCCGTTGTTGACTCGTTTCCGAGGTTGGCTTTGTGTCCGGTCCAGTCGTGGTCGCCGACGTCCTAACGGAAGTGCTGGATGTGGGGAGGGGTGCTAATGTGGTGAACGCTCCAGGCTCAGTCTTCGCTAACCTTAGTCCCGGCGTCAGCGGGTGCGTTTCGAGTTTGGTGAGATCGGCCTCCACCCATCGAATCTGAATTGCTGGTCCGACCGTGACGGCAGCGCCCGCTGTTGTAGCATCACGCGCGAAACCCCATACACCACCGCGAAAGTCACTCGTGTCCGTGGTGCATGTCAGTCCTGCCGGGATACAGTAAACAGCCGTTTCTCCGGGTGCAATGGCAGGAAAACCTTCGGCTGTTCTTGTCTTGGTCAAACCACAGCTGGGCCCAACGATGAAGCCGTCAGGGCAGATGGCCGGCGAGTAAAATTGGAAGCCAGCTCCGGCTATGTAGCTCGACCAGGACGGCGGGTCGCACGATTGTGGGCCACTTCTTGGAAAAGCCGGGTACTGGGAAAGCAGCCTGGTGGTCGTCAACAGCCAGGTCGTGGGGCATGGCGGCGTAAATACAGATGTCAGTGCAGCCAGCGGTGCCGTGCCGCCGTGGATTGCAGTAGGAGCTGACATCTAGCGGCGTTGACCAACCCATGTCAGCCTGTTTGGACCAGCAAAACAAAGGCAACCTTTGATGGCATGAGTCTACCAAGATTGAGGGCTATGATCTGCCTTAAGATCTTGCACAGCACTACTGGCTTCCCCTGAGGAAATCATGGTTTCCCGATTCCCCTCACCATCTGCCGTCGCGGCAGAGCATCAATGCGTTTTACAGTTCGTCCCCGCTCACTGGAACGAGGTAGATCTCCTGAAGATTCGGGACACTGCGTCACACAAGATTCCGCGGCCGATCAAACCAGCAGATAACCACTCTAATCCCCAGAGGAGGTGCCCCTTCCTGGCAAAGGAACCGCCTGCGGCACAGTGTATCACTGCATCCCACCGTGCCAAAAACAGAACCAGCCGACCCCACGATTCAGGGGTTCCCAACAGGTTTTAGCACACGCTCTACGGAGGTACCTATCTGTAGAAGTGCTGCTTCATCACAACCAACTGATGAGGTGCTGCAGAATACTCCACGACGTACAACGAGTTTGTGTTACGCGGGTCGAGCCGTGACTGCAGTTCAGCCGTGTTCGCAGGCTGCATTCTTAAGCCTCAGTACCTAATTAAGCTGAGTAACCCTCAACTGTTACCAACAATTGAGAAGAACAGGCTGCCAAACCAAACCTGCTACCAACAGGCCAACCGGAAGCTTCCTCAATCGAGACAGGGTTTAGAGGCACACTGCCTAGGAGCTACCCCGCATCCTAATCGCAACTACAGTACTCGACAGTTGGCACCTGTATAGCTGATGCGATACAACTTATCGCCGCAAAGCATGCGCAGTTCCGATTTCTCGAGAGCTTCACTGACAGAAGCGCTGCCATTACCGCGCCCGAGCGAGAACGTGGGGGCTATCGAGCGCCCCGTCAATATTCACGTCAGTCGCAACCGCGAGCCCATTCGCATGCTGGTTCCGACCTTTCGTTCTGTGGTTCGAGTTGTGGCATGAGGCACTGGGATCGCGGCTGAGCAATGTGATGGTAGGCTTGGCGGGAGTCTGCGCCATAGCGCGTCTCAGGTCTTGATTCCCACGATCATTTCGCATACCGACTCACGACGTACGGAGTACATACGCAACTACTTGTGGGTATACATAGGAGCTGACCCTGACTGGCAGAGGAGGTACGAAGTAAAATGCCTCATGTTTTTCACCCACCCCAATCCATACACAAGATTCAAGATCTGGCTGTGCAGATGCATCATCCATCGCGACAAGAGGCGTCTCAGGTTACCGAATCGCCAGTCAATGTGTAAGGTAAGGTAGGTAAAGCAGGCAACCTAGCACGGAAGGCGTCAGTTCCAGGAGGTTGACTGGGAACTTTCACACCACCCGATCACCCTGGATTCCCAGGGTCTTTATCTCTCTCAGAAGCGGCGAGGACTCGAGCTCCTAGCAATGGTCAGAAACTTACCAACTAACAGACTTGGCACCATGAATGAAGGGTGCCTAAGCTGCGTAGGATCGGATAACATCATGGTTCCCGATTCTACTAAAGCGACGGCCTCAAAATCTAAAGCGACTGTGTACATAGACACAATCCTCCGCGAACCCAGCAAGCCACACCAAAATTTTGCAGCCACCAACACGGAAGTACCGGAACTCGATGCACGCAACATAAACGCAATTTTTCAACCTTCCTACCCTCCAACCCTCGTACCCACCTAGCCAACCTACCCTATACCACTAACCCTTACCTTCCACCTAACCTACTCACTTACCCGCTTACCACCTACCTACCACCTACTTAAATCTTCTACCTACCTACTACAACAACAACTTATATACCAACTACTTAGCTTACTAGCCCTCTAATTTGCAATAGCTAAGATAACTATAATTCTATTTATAAATCTATTAATAAGGTTCTTGATAACCTTCCTTTCCTTATACAACTATCAAATTTCTTCCCTAATTGTGACGAATCTCGGTCCCCTAACCACTGAGAGGGACTTCTCTGAGGCTGAAGGTCTGACTTAACGACGGGGTGAGGTTCGGTAGAGCCAAAGGGTCTACAACAATTGACACAAGCAAGTGTTCACACAGTAGTATAGACCACTGCTTGCATTGCTTACTGGAGAACCTCCTGAAGGTCCTCCACGAGTGACTATCTAGCTAGTATATATAATGCTCCGTTTCACCGTGCTCTGGTAATTATCACCAGTGACCGTCCTGTCTTCACCATCGACAATCCTCTTGTCGCTGGTGACTTCCTTATTGTCACTGTTGACAATCTAGCCTTGGCAGTGATAATCTCCTGATTGGTCTGTTAAGCGATTGGTTGCCGATTCGTCCTGCAGACCTGCTGCAGCCTTCCTGAGTGACCAACAATGGTTATTTCATGACACGATGCCCCTCCTCGACGTCTTTCGCCCCGAAAGACCTTAGCCCTGGTTTCAAATACCGCCAACTCCCACACTTGTGAGTACTGCAATCTTCCTTCTGCACTGCCGGAGTGCTAACAAAATGCCGGTAGAAAAACGAAAGTCCAATTCCGCGCGTTACCGTGCTTCCCTGGCCCAAAGCATTGCCGAGAACGGCTTTGTCGTCATGCCTTGCTCTTGGTGCGCTTCGCAAGGTCTTACTTGCAAGATGATAGAGCGTTCTTCGCGTTGTGGGGAGTGCGTTCGTCGAGGGCGTTCTTGCGATGGTTCCCGTGTCCCACTTTCTTCTTGTAAGTGTAACCTTTCCTGCTCCTGGACGTTGGTTCTTGTTGACTTCTTTAGTGGAACGCATTTTACAAGAACAACGGCGGATTAAGGACGCGGAGCGGCGTGCTGAGCTCGAGCTGGACGAATCTCAACGTCGTTTGGAGGAGGCCCAGCAGGAGCTGTCCGAAAAACTCGCACGCCTCCGCCGTCTTCGTCAGCAGAAGGAGTTCTTGGTGGAGCGGGGTGCCGACATGGTGGCGCGGGGCCTGTCGACTTTGGACGAATTGGAATCGGCTGAACGGGAGGAGTCGGCTGCTGTTCTTGACGCACAGCTTAGTGGTGCCGTCGACGTGGCTGATTGGGGTGCCGCCCTGGGAGCCGTTCCTGGACTGGGGCAATGGGCCGATCCGGGTTCCTCTGGTGGAACTCTGTCAGCTTCTCAGGGCAGTGGAGGTTCGTGACTGGCTCCCAGGAGTTGTCCTCTGGGCCGAAATCCAGCCATTTGACGAGGTACTCCAACTGCTTTTTGTCGTTAATCCGTGAATCCAAGATTTCTTCGACGTCCCATTCTTCTTCTTCATCTTCTGCCGTGATGTCCGTGGCGAGTTTGGCATTCTTGGGTGCTGGTTCCAAAAGCGAGATATGAAAGACGTTTGTTCGTAACTTCATTGATGCTGGTAGTGACAGTCGATAGTTGGATGTCGAAATTTGCTCGTCGACCTTGAATGGTCCAATCTTCTTGAAGTCCAGCTTCTTGCTTGGTCGTTTCGTCCGCAAATTCCGTGAAATGAGGTAGACCTTGTCTCCCCTCTCTAGGCGAGGACCCTCGAGCCTGTGTTTGTCGTAATACTGCTTCATTCTGTTCCTGACGAACTCGAGATCCTTTTTGAGCGTGGCGTGAAGTGCGTGTAGTTGATCTGCCTTCATCTTGGCCCTGGGAACTGAAACTTCAGGTCCCCTTCGTAGATCTGCTTCGTAGCCGTAGTTCGCGAAGAACGGTGAGACTTTGGTTGTCTCCGTGGGTGTCGTGTTGTAGGCAAGTTGTGCTGTTGGTAACAGCGTGACCCAGTCGTTCTGCTGGAAGTTGACGTAGCACCTTAAGTATTGCTCCACGATTTGGTTCAACCGTTCTGTCTGACCATCTGTCTGGGGGTGGTAGGCTGTCGAAAGCTTGCTGTTCGTTCCTAGGCGCGTCATCAACGCTTGCCAGAACTTCGAGACGAACTTGGTGTCTCTGTCTGTGATCCATTCCTCCGGCCATCCATGGACCGAGGTGATGTGTCGTAGGACCACATCTGCCAGTTGCTCTGCCGACCATGTCTCTTTGTAGGGGATGAAGTATGCCCACTTGGTGAGTCGATCCACCACTGTGAGGATGCCGTCGTACTTCACTCCTGTTGTGGAATCCTTAGAGAGTGGAAGTTTGGTGATGAAGTCCATCGTCACCGAACTCCATGGTCGTTCTGACACTGGTAAAGGTTGTAAGAATCCGTACGGCTTGTGCCGCGCCGTCTTGGCTTTGTTGCAAACGTCACATTGACTGATGACTTCTACGACTCGTTGTCGTAACAGTGGGAATGTGTAGTGTTGCTTCACTTGAGCTACCGTCTTGGTGATTCCCATGTGTCCTCCGAGTTTTGACTCGTGGATTTGTTTGATGAGTTCTCGTTGCTCATCAGGTGTCTTACAGCGGGTCCGTCCTGGCCGCTGTTCTCTGAAGATTGCTCCAACTTCTCCAATAAGTGGTGTATCCACACGGCGATCTCCTCGCGGTTGCGAGCTGCTATCGTCGTAACGGCTGCTCTGCGGTTCGGGAGCTTGGCTCTGTGTGTCGAGATCTTCTCGCGGTTGGGGAGGTGTAGCGTCGTCGCAATCCTCCGCCGGTTGGGAAGCATGTCGAAGTGACCCATCTGGTTGCTCCTGGAAAAGTGGTGGTGATGTCTTCGCATTATTCCCGGCATGATCCGGCCGCCTGCTCAGTGCGTCTGCACGCGCGTTTTCTGAGCCCTTCTTGTAGTGAATGACGAAGTTGAATTCTGAGAGAAATTCTGACCATCGAATTTGTCGTCCGTTTAACTCCTTCGTGGTGGCGAAGTATTGAAGATTCTTGTGGTCCGTGTACACCTGAACCGGGTATGTCGTGCCGCTGAGGTATGGCCTCCATTCTTTGAAAGCTTCAATGATAGCCAACAATTCCTTGTCGTGGATCGGGTAGTTGAGCTGTGGTCCGACTAGCTTTCTTGAGAAGAATGCGACTGGATGGAGTTTATCGTTCTCATCCCGTTGGCTTAGTTGTCCTCCGATCGCGAAGTCCGATGCGTCGGTTTCAACCTCAAATGGCTTCCTGGGGTCCGGCAACACAAGTACCGGGTCCCTAGTGATGGCATCGCGGATCTGTTGAAATACCTGCTCGTGTTCTTCGTCCCACTGGAACTCGACGTCCTTCTTCGTCAAGTCGTGCAGAGGTCGTGCGATGTCGCCAAAATTCTTGATGAACATCCTGTAGAAATTGGCGAATCCAATGAACCCTCGCACTTCCGTGGTGTTCCTTGGCCTTGGCCATGCCCGAATGGCTTCGATCTTGGTTGGTTCCATACGGACTTCTCCTGGCGAGATTTCGAAGCCTAGGAAAACCGTCTTCTTGACATGAAACTCGCTCTTGTCCTTGTTGACTGAGAGCTTGTGCGCGTGGAGTGCGTCGAGCACTGCCCTCACGTGCTTCCGATGTTCTTCGAGTGTCTTCGAGAAGATAAGGATGTCGTCCAAATAGCAAACCGCAAACTTGTCAAGGAATGGTTGTATTGCGTGGTCAACAACCGACTGGAAGGTGGCGGGCGCGTTTGTCAACCCAAATGGCATGACAAGGTACTCAAAGTGTCCGTACGGTGTCCTGAACGCCGTCTTCCACTCGTCTCCCTCTTTGATCCGTATGTGTGCGTACGCTGTTGGCAAGTCGAGTCGTGTGAACCATTGTGCTCCTGCTAGTTGATCCCGAAGTCGTGAGATCAGGGGTAGCGGGTATCGGTTTTTTACTGTTTGCTCGTTCAACTGCCGATAGTCCACACACATCCGCAGCTTCCCATCCTTTTTAGGTACAAATAGAACCGGGTAGCCTGCCGGGGATGTTGATGGTCGAATGTGCCCTCTGCGGAGGTTTTCGTCGAGGTACTTCCGCAACTCTGCATCCTGCTTCTCGTTGGTGTGATACACCTTGAAGAACTTCAACTGGGCGCCTTCCTTGAGTTTGATCTCGTGGTCCCAAGGTCCGTGATCTGGCAACCCTTCCATGTGTTTTGCTTCGAATGCTGGGTGTCCCTGATACTCTGTTGGGATCTGTCCCGTTTTGTCGTCCTTCTTCGTACTTGCGTAGTACGAGAATTTGGCGTTTTCTGTTGAGATGAATGCTGCCTCGAACCCAGTGACCCATTGCTGAAATTCGAGTTGTCCGCGTTCGTCGACTGAGATCACGGCGATTTCCTTGCTCGCTCGTGTCTTCTTCGATCGTCGTGTACCGCCTCTTCCGGATCCTGTCGTGGTCTCACTGCCACTGCTCAGCTCCTGCGGTGGGCCCGTGGGTAACGCGTTATCCTGCGTACTACCTCTCCGCGGCTCCGTCTGCGCGTCTCCCATCACGTTGGTTGGATGCGACGGCGTGTCTCGCGGTCGCAGGTGGCCACCTCCCTTCCAACTGATGTCTGGGTCATACTCCTCGTGCCAGGGTCGTCCGAGAATCATATCTTTCTCTGGTCCCATGTCCACGATGTCGAATATCACTTGGGTGGTTTTCCCCTCCACCTCGATGTCAAGTGGTTCTGTTTCTCTCCGGACCCATTGTGTGTCAAATGGTCCTGTGACGATGTGGGACTCCTCCTTGGGTCTCCACGGGATTCGTAGTTGATTGACGAATTTGGGTGAGATGAGGTCGAGTTGTGATCCTCCATCTACCAATGCAAGTGCCTGGAA